ATGTGACAACGAATGCACTAACTATCAATTCGGTATCCGACTCCAACGCTACAAATGCTGGCGCTTTACAGGTCGCCGGAGGTGTTGGTATCGCCAAGAAATTGACGGTAGGAAGTGATGCGAGTTTTGTCGGGTCAAATCAAAGTATCTTTTGGTACAACGGTTCGGTATCAACACCCACATTTGGAAGCAGCATAACGGGCAACGTTTCAGCAGCAGGGTATTTTTCCTCAAATTCGGCTATTGGCGATATGGTAATTCGGGCACAGTACAATAATTCACCGACAAACTTACGATTCGCTAATGGACCCGGCGTATCAAATCTTGATATATTGACAAATGGAAATGTTCTAATCAATACAACAACCGACTCCTCTTCTACAACAACTGGCGCTCTAACAGTTGCTGGAGGTCTAGGTGTGGGAAAATCTCTATTTGCTGGTTCAGCCGCCACGGGAAGTCATACAATGCAAGTAAATTCAACTTCCTTTGACGTTTTGAAACTTCAAAGTCTTTCGGCATCTGGGTTTTCTTCTATCGGTTTTGTTAACAACACAGGAACAACGGTGGGAGCATTCGGGTTCGCAGGAGTCAATACGACCGCTCCAAATGCTGGAAACTTCTTCCTATACTCCGGGTCTAATGCCAATTTCATAATCAACTCTAACCTCCCCAGTGTACAAATTCTTTCCACCATAGATTCTACTTCGACAACATCAGGTGCATTTCTGGTGAGAGGTGGAGCGGGTATTGCAGGAAATGTCAATCTTGGTAAAGATTTGACTGTTAATGGCACAATCTACTCCAATATTGCCTCAACCGGACCTATTGTTAGCAGCCATCTTGGGACACCGAACTTGGCAGCGGGGAGTTTCTCAACACTTCCAATTGGAGTAGGAGCGGCTACAAATAACATGGCCAGATTGTACTTTAACTATGCTGGAGCAGGTCTTGCAACTAATACGTTGGGTTTGGGATTATGGAATGCACCTCAAGGGCTTACAGTGGATGGAACGGGAAAGGTTGTTATTCCTAATGGTTCCATCGGCAATTTAACAGTGTCAGGAAACATGAATTTCACCGGGAATCTTGCAACAATCAGTGCAACTGGTTCACAAGGTCCTCTCTCCATAGATCCGAACCAAAGTTCCAACCCTTATGTACGGGTATGGGACGATTTACGGGTGGTAGGCGATTTTTCCGTGTGGAATTCGGCCGAAAATACCACTTGGTTCAAAGTCTTTACAAATAATGGTGTTGCATCTGTCTTTACCACAACCGATTCCACAGGCGTTGGATCAGGCGCTCTTCAAGTGTCTGGAGGCGCATCTGTAGCGAAATCTTTATATGTTGGGGGAAATCTGAACAACAGTGGTACTGTATCGATCTTGACCACTACTGATGCCACTTCTAACGCATCAGGCGCTCTTCAAGTGAGTGGAGGCGCATCTGTAGCGAAATCTTTATATGTTGGGTCAAATCTCAATGTGACCGGTGATTTGAACAGTCCTGCCTTAACATCGAAAACTACTTTGTTCCCTTACCCCACAACGCCAGCAACAGGTTCCTCATGGAACGGCTATACAGTTACAGCCTCCAGCGAATACACGTATGCAAATGGAAACGGTGTAGATGGATACACTGGTCATCCATTCGATGCGTACATGAACGCCTCCATTGCATCCAGACTGCGATGGCAAACCAGTTCCACAAGTACAGCCAATTTAGGTTTAGATGGAACAACACAAAGTCTTCATTACTCTTTATTGAGACTCCCGTCGGCCATTGCTATGAGTTCAATCAAACTCACCGCCTACCTGATGGACGCCGTGGCGATGCCTACTACGTTCTCCGTGATTGCCGGAACTACCGAGTCCGCTATGGTAACCATTGCAACGTTTTCGAATATACCTGGTTCTACTTGGACCACTGATGGTAATTCATTTAGTTTTGCCAACGCCACTGCTTACCCTGTTTATGGTATCTCATGGGCATACGCAAATCAAACCACAACCGGAGGGGTCGCTATCCGAAATATTCAATACAATCAAGCCGTTCCCAAAGCGACCCTTGTCACTGCTTCTGCAAACACTATAGATGTTTCCGGTGCGTTAACTACGGGCACATTCGCAGCAAGTGGTTCAGCAACTGTGAATTCCTTGACATGCAATACGAACGTATATGCTTCACAAATCATTCAATCTGCTGTTTGTATCAAAGACGGTGTTGTAGATACGTTGTTGACCAATGGAAACGGTTATACAGGCGGGTTTGGTCCGATAATGTGGAAAGCAGGTATGTCTGGCGTCGTTGCTCATGTTAGTTTTATGGGATATATGAATTCGAATAACACTCGGGTAACAATAACTGTTCAAATATTGGATCAATCCTCTACCGTAGTCGCCTCTAGAGCAGTCTCGTACTACTGTGATATAAGCAATTATCAGACTCGCTACCCATTCAGTTTTCAAGTGCCGTTGCTGTTTTCTTCGACGAATACGCAGTTAAGCGCAAGGATTGTCATACCAACATCTATAACATTATCTAATTCATATCTCAACTTTTGGACGCAATGCTACTAAGTATCAATATCAAGAACGCACGCTCGATGGTCTTTGTCTGTTCCACATAGCATTCTCAGTTGTCCCTTATCGTCTGTGATCCCTAGATACCCGCTCTGAAAAATGAAATCTTTACGGAGACGATTATTCTTCTTGGTAAAAATAGTGTAAATCTGCTTAAAGATTTCCCGATTCTCGTCATTTATTTTGATATATGCCATGTAACCGGGTTTGTTTAACATAGACCGACATATTCGTTCCAGACTATCGAGGTCTGCTACGAGAAAACGAATAACAAAAACTCCCTCGATAAACTTGATATGTGAGTTAATTTCAAAAACGTTCGGCATTGGTTTGAATTTACTCAAGAAATTGACTTTGGCTGTTGGAGAAAATGCGTCCACAGTATTTCGGGATGAATGGCAACAAAATCGCCCCCACCGCTGTTGAACCGGTCTCAACAAAATCACCCCCACAAATTTGAACTACGTCTCGAAATCGCCCACTCCAAAATTATGCAAGGCGTCCGGAACAAAACACCCCCAGTGGGGGCGATTTTTACGAACCTCTTTACGTTGGGGGTGGGCGATTTTACAAAGCCCATCACACGAACGGCGGGGGCATTTTGAGAAGTGGGGCAAAGTGAAAATGCCCCCCTAGAGGAACGTAGAGAATTAGGAGGATGAATAGTATTTAGATACCTACTTGACCATTTATAGATTTGTTTCGAGTTCAATGACCGCTGATCATGTCATATAACCTCATTTCTTGACAGTTAATATCGAATGTAAGTTGTTATCGGATTTGGTTTCGGTCCCACGCCAAGATTTAAATAGAAGCGACAAGGTGCAGATTGGAGACGTGAGCATTAAACATGTCTTTCTTCAATAAATCGCTTGTCAAAAGGTTAACGGGAGTTTCGCACCGCGAAAAGATGTCCGACGATGATTTCATAACTCGCTGTGGATTTATCACTGGTACGATAATGGGTTCAGGTTGGGAATGCAAAGAATACTTACGGGACTTTTGCAGATTCAATTCCATCATGAAACCTGCCTGGAAAAAACTGTATGACCGTTGGATTGAAAACGAGAAAAAGGAATGGGCTTGCTTCGACGAGCCTGGAAAATTGGAGTTTGTCAAGAATGACGCTGTCACAGAGAGTCTCTCTATGCCCAACGAGTGGGCTTTTGGCACTGGCAAAATTGAAGAGAATAGTTCAGAAACCACTACCGATGCTATACCTGATAAAGCAGACTAAAGTTCTGAAGGAAAGCAAAGATTTGAATGTAACGTAATTTTAAACAATGAACGAAAGAATGTTCGTATTGGTGGATGTCACAGTAGAGTATGAGTTTGTCATTTACTGTAACGGGGTCGACTAATGAAGTAGGGAAATCTATTTTCTCAGAATAAGCGGGGGGCATTTTGAGAAGTGGGGCAAAGTGAAAATGCCCCCCTAGAGAAATGTAGAGAAGTGGAAAGAAAAGAGAGAGTGAGGACGGGATAATAGATGTAGGGGGGCATTTTGGCAGTTTCAAAACCTATGAGAGAATATATAAAAAGTATTTGAGAAGCAATAATGAGAAAAGAAGTGTGATTTGTGTGGGAGAGGGTGGGTTCGAAAATTGCCTTTTTGCCCCCCTACATGAAATATGGTATGGGCGAATAGATAGGAAGGGTAGTTTGGCTAGACGCATGTAGGGGGGCATTTTGTTTTGCCCCCCTTTTTCAAAAATGCCCCCGCAGACGGGAAAAAGATACAGGGGGGGCATTTTGGCAGTTTCTAAACCTATGAGAGGATATATGAAAAGTTTTGAAAAGAAGAATGAGAAAAGGATGTCTCTTTTTGGTGGTGAGAGTTGGTTCGAAAATTGCCTTTTTGCCCCCCTACATGGAACAGGGAATGGGGAAGTAGTAGAAAGGTTGGTTGGACTCGACGCATGTAGGGGGGAATTTTACTTTGCCCCCCTTTTCCCAAATGCGCAAGGATGGTTAATGGCTGAAAGGCTTGTGCGGTTAATGCATAACACCGAAGGTGTAGGGTACATTGTTAATACATTACACCATACACCCGCCAGTATGGTTAATGCATTACACTTTCAGCAGCCGTTACGGTTAATGCACAGTGTTGAGTGGAGTCAGTACAGTTAATGCACAGTGCAATTGTATAGTGGATCTGGGGTAGGGCGTGGTTGCGCCGTGCGAGCGAGATCGTCATCGGAGTTTAAAACTTTGGACTCCGCTCGTGCGCTCTGCTGCGCTTTCGTGGTTGCTTTGGTCGTACATTTGGCCATTCTTGCAGGTGTTTATCGTAAAAAAAATGGCGGGTTTGTCGTGCGGGTTGTCGTCGTCGTTCTTCCAAAGAAGGGTGGTGCTACCATGTAACAGAGTAGACTCTATTGTTGATGATAAAGTACAAGAAGAACGACTCTCAAAAGAGGAAGGGCTTTTAAGGGGGTGAAGAAAAGGGTGAAGTTCCCAGGTCACGTGGTATGTGGCGTGTGGCGTTCCGTGACCTGTATCCCTCACAGTGGGAGTGCCTTAAAAATTCTGACGGCCAATATCATATCTCTGGTGCGCCTTATCCTTGCGCCCATCTCCTCACATCTATTTACTTTCCTTGCCTGACAGATGCATTGGGTCTCATGACTGGTCGATGGCATTCCCAGCCATATTACGGCGACAATGGAGCGACATACGGATTCTATTCGCAAATCTGCTTGCTCCCAAACTCTGACCTAGGAGTGGTCATCCTGACAAATAGTGGTCCGAGCCGGTGCTTCTTGGAGCGTGTTTGTACCTACGTATTTGAAAGGTGCGTTTATCCGGGTTATGGAATTGAGAGCGTGGGTATGGAATCGACGATGGGCTACGGACATTGAACTTGTTTCTTTATGCCTTTAGTTTGTTGAGGCCCGGCAGCCACCCTGCCTCATCCTACACATGCAAAACCGGCTCAGCCACAACACCAACGCCTCAGCCTCACCGTACCGGTACAACCAGGCTGCCCATGTCCGCGTACCAAGGAACTTACCATTCGCATGGATACGGCAATCTGACCCTGGCTCTTCAAGACGACACACTCCTTCTCTCTATTGGACAGTACCTTCCGCAACTACAGACCTCCATCACCCCGATCGGTCTTGATACATTCTTCGTCCCCGTAACCGGGCTCAACGCAACTGTAGCGATGAAAGATGATGGAGTCCTCGGGATCCATTTGCAGATGGAGATGGAGATGCTGAAGGATTGCCGGGATCCGTTTGCTGGGATGGGCTGTGCCGAGTGGTTTGAAAAGGTCGCTTAGAGAGTGAGCGGTTAGAAACCGGACTTCTAGAATGTAGACTTGCAGTGGAAACTTGGCGTATGTAGCTGAACAATATCATTCGGCCTCAACCAGACAGTTCGACCAGCAAATTATTCGAACATGATTCTAGCGAACGGGGACGGAGGGGCTTGTGGGCGAGGTAGGGAACTGCAACCCGAACAAAGTCCAAAAGGCGAGGCCGGGACTGAGAGCTCGACGCTTTTAGAACTCACTTTCCGGCCAGTAGTTTCGTGTGAGAGATCTTCTTCGATAGGCGACTCTATAATTATCGCGTGACGACTTTTAGAGGCCGTCTGACCCATGCCCGTCGGCACTGTGTGGGGTCAACTTGCTAGGGTATTTTACGTGCACCTGCACACACGGGTGGAACAGACACTAACTAACTAAGCTAACTAAGTAGCTAGTCGACTTGTCTTGGTCCATTTTCGCAGAGACTGCACCGATACCATGGCCAGGCGTACTCGTTCAATTGCGCAATGCACCAACTTCTGGCCCCTCCTCCTCCCCCGCTAGCTAGTGAACAATGCGGTATCCACGAGACAGGAAACGCGCCCGCGTCGCTGTGGATGAAGTCATCGATGTTGATGAGTTAGTGAAGGAGAAGGAGTAGTGGAGAAGGAGGTAGTGGAGAAGGAGGTGGAGGCAGACGGCAAATCGCCGACGAGGAAGAATAGCACGAAGAAACCGATTCAGGTAGTGACGTCGGAGAGGGCGAGTGGATCGACGGTTCGGCCTACGAAAGCTCAGAGGCAATCTGGCGTATGGCCACAGAGAGGCATCGTCAAGAAAACATCGCGGCGATTGTCAGGATGCTCAATTCATGCCATTGGCGCTCCGTTGCTGACCTGCACGACACTTTTGTGCGTGAATGGGACGCCGCGGTGTTCTACGCTCAGCGCTCTGTGCGCACTCAGGCCAAAACTACACTGGAGATGGTCGCCACGACCATCGGCTTGTGCACGCTCGGCGGCCTGTTCACGCGCCGAAAGATCCTCTGGCTGACCGACAGCTCGCCGACCGTGTCCCTCTGGTCTTCAGGGTACGCTGCGGGGTCGTTGATCTCCGGCGCTATTCGCATCACCGACCTACTCAACCCCATGCCTCCCGCCCCGGCTGCCCCGCCCGCCACCGCTGCTGCGCCCGCCCCCGCTCGCCCAACGCGTGCTGCTGCTGTCGCGACCGTGTGTGCAGCAGCAATGGCGGCTGCGGCGCCATCACCGGCCGAAGATGAGGAGGGTTACGACGAAGCGCTGGCGGCGGAAGAGGATCTGGAAATGTTGAATGACGAAGATGTCAAATTGCGAGATAGCAGCGACCATCCGATCCGAACTCCATGGCTCCCTTCGCCTCAACTTCCTCCGAAAGTTTAGGCCTTTGTGGGAGAACCATCTAGCACGATCTAAGCGACTCCGAGGCAATCTGCAGCGTTCCGGCGGACATCTACACATGGCATCGTATGACAGCTTGCCAGACGAGCGAACGACAGGAACAGGTCAATGATACTCGGTATCACTCAGCGTATCAGGACCAGCAAATACTACATCAACGGGCGATTCACGTATGTCCAAAGCCCATGGGCAGACACACATTGTCAAACAGCTCCGCTACAGTTCCGCATTTGCGGCATCTTCAGTACGCCCTTATTCCTTAAGAGTACTCGCATGGAAAATATGACCGACCTTGGCACGGCGACGGAATTGGCTCTGCCCATGCCACGGACCTAAGGACCCCTTTCCTGGGTCGCTCCTCCGGCCCTGAGGTCACAGGTTCGACCCCTGTACAGAGCAGTTGCATGGTCTGAATGTCCGTATTCGCGCTAGCAGCGGAGCCAGGGCTGAAGAAAACCAAGTCATACAACGTCGATGTGATTGGAGGTATCGGGAGCGACCGGCAGGAGCTCTGCTTCGTTGAAAACAGTGGTGGGCAGGGTGCTTCCAGTCATTAGCATGCGTTAGATGACAGCATCAACGTATGTGTGTAAGAAGCAGATCCGCGACATTGTCCTTTTGCGGATTTGTGGTGTTGTGTTTCTTTTTCCGTTCGGAAATCGCGCTACGCGTGTGTAGTCCTTAGGAGGGGGTTTTGGTCCGGTATGCACGGAGGCGTACGGGGTCCGGAGTTTGGACTCGGGGGCTTCATATCCATGGTAGTGAGGAGGAAGGTAGGCAAAAACGTAGGAGTGCAGACCGACGCCGTGAGGTGCCCTTCAGCTTTTCCCGGCTGCTTCTCTGGCCTCGCATGGCATTGGGCGAAAGCGAGGACGCCGGCTCAAGAAAGCGGCCGCTAAACAGACAATCATACTGTGCATGTGTATGGCAAATTGTTGGGTGAATGTCCGTTTTCACTTACAGAACACTGGAAAGTTGCTTAGGAATGTTCCGCGGAAGGTCACTCCTTACTGTCCGTCTGCGACTTTGAGTCGTGCATGTGTGCATAAGTGCCGTCGGAGCGATGAAAGTTGGGGCTGCCGACATTATGAAAGTGTCTGTTTTACATGGAGACACTCCCCAACAGTCCGTCTCATATACTGTGCATAGATCTGGATTGCAGAAGATTAATACCTAGAGAAGGTAGAGCCACATTTGCTACGACACAGTGGAGGTGATGCGCGGAGGACGTGTAAACGACGAATCGGAGTGATGCGGCAGACGGACGGAATCTCCATTCATCCAATCTCGTTCGCGGACCACTTTGCCGACTCCGACCGGTTGGCTAACCTTCCTCGCCATCATCGCACCCCCCGCGGACAGCCCCATCTTCCACATCCGCCCGCATCGGCGTCGGCGTCCTTGCACTGGCGTCCACCGCAAGACATTGTCCCATACGACCACTCTTGTCACAGCAACCCCAACGTCCAACCGAAAGTACCGATGGTGTCCCGAACAGATTGTATATTTGACTGTACATCCGCCCACGCGCACATGAAAAAGGAATATCAAAAAATCATGCCATTTCTAAATCGGATTTTCGATGATTAATTTTTCGTTTACGCAGAGGTGGTGGAACGGGTCTTGGGCTTGGCGATGGCACCTAAATATGGGAGAAGGAGAGAGATCGAGAGGTGAATATGTGAGGGAGAAGTATTGTAAGTGCACAGTCAGATGTATGGGACGTACCTTCACGGAAACCGTTCTTGAAACGGCGAGCGACCGTCTTCAGGTAACGCATACGGCCGGTACCGGTGGTCTTGCGACGCTTGCCCTTCTCAGACCACTCGACTAGGAGAAAAAAGGAAGGACGGCGAAACTCAGTTTCCTTGGTTCCGTTCCGCCTCGAGTGTGGAAAACAACGTCCAGTTTCAATACTCACAGTGACGAATCTTGGCCGCAGGGTAACCGCACTGCGCGCAAGTCTTCTTCTGGTTGTGGAAAGAACGACGTCCACATCGCCTGCACAGAGTGTGCGACTTTGTGTGCTTCTTACCGAAGGATTGAGTACCCTTGGTCTGTTTGCGTGAGGGAAGACATCTCGTTAGTATTGTCCACGAAGTGAGTCCAGAAAGGAGAAGTTCGCTCCCTCCGCCCGTGTTGTTGCGGCAACAGGACGTCGGCCGTTCCAGAGTTCCATGCCCAATGGTCGTCTCCCAACCCACGCGAAATTCGTAGTCGTCTTGAATTCCCCAACGATAATTCGCCTCCGACCGCTGACCCAGAATCCGCCAGCGAGCCAGACCCTAGCTGAGAGCCCCGCCGCCATCGTTTCTCCCACATCTGGTCTCCATGTCGTTGACGTTCATGTCGTTAATTCCCAACCTCCCCCTGACCATCCGGTGGGAATCATGCTCGTCTCCATTTCGTTTGTCGGAATTCCTGCACCGCAAAACCATACGCTGCGGTGCCGACGATATCCCCAGTTGTCGTTCGTAATCCCCGTCCCAAGTAACACCCCTCGACCGTCGATTCCATTCAGCAATTCGATTTCAAACTCCATCATCCCATTCCCACCCCGCTCCACCTCCATCCATCCATCCATCCATCCATCCGTCCATCCACTCCGGCATAGGTTCTCCCTGCTCCGGTTGTTGTCGGGCGTTGTCGTCTCCTGCTCTCTCTCTGCTGCGTACCATGGTGGCTGCTTCCTAGATTGATAAGGATTCGACCCTCGCTCGGAAGATATTGAATCGCAGAATGCCGTGCCAAAGCGCAGGTGCCAAAGGGAAGCATATGCAAGGCGACCTTCCCAATTGAGACTCTGAGGCGCGTGACTCATTGTGTGTCATCTCGATTGAAACTCCTCAAGCACGTGCGGGGAAGAGCTAGTTGTATTGGCGCCGCTTTTTTCCTGCAGAATCCGGCGTCTGTTGCAAGATCGAGAAGATCGTTTCATTCCCCATGCTCATCGCCGCGACGGATTCTCGCCCCCGCAACCTCCCACTCTCCCCTGTCCTCGTCAAAAACTTCCTTCGCCAATGCCACCACCCCGCATCCACATTCTCGGCGCAGGCGCAATCGGCCTCCTGCACACCCACATCCTCGCGCAGCACAACGTCCCAACAACCCTCCTCCTCCGCCCCGCAACTCTCCAATCCTTCCTCAAAGCCGGGAGCATCATCCGCGTACATGACGCTGCGGACGATTCGACTGTGGAACATACTGGGATTCAGGCTGAGGATGTGGCTGCAAATGGGAAGGAGGGGAAGGGGGGGATCGATTGTCTGTTAGTATGCACCAAAGCAGGCGACACGCACGCGGCCGTGCAATCCATCCGACACCGTCTCATCCGCCCCCGCTCCATCTCTCATCCCGCAATTATAATCCTCCTCCAAAATGGCGTCCTGGCCCTGCACCCGACCATCCAATCCCTCTTCCCGCCCACCTCGCACGGCGGACCCGTCGTTTTCGCGGGGTCGACGACGCATGGCGCGTGGATGAGGGATCGCTTCAATGTGGTTTGGGCGGGCAGGGGTGGGACTTGTTTCGGACCAATCTCTGGTTCTCCCGCATCTATATCAGATACGACAGGAGGTATACTAACAACCCTCAATCGCGCAGGACTCGAATATCAGCCACCAGATGCCCTCCTCCCAACCCTCTTATTAAAACTCGTCACAAACGCCTGTCTGAACCCCATCACCGCCCTCCTCGGCCTTCCCAACGGGTGCGTCCTCACACCCCTGGGTCGTGGCTTGATAACCCAAATATGCACAGAACTCGCTTCTCTACTCCCCCATCTCCACGCCCCAGCATCACAAAAGTGGTCAGCGGAGATGTTGACGGATTATGTATGCGGGGTAGCGGACGCGACAAAGGGGAACAGGAACTCAATGTTGGTGGATGTGGAGAGGGGCGGGTGCACGGAGGTGGATTTTATTTTGGGGTATTGTGTGACGAAGGGGGAGGAGTACGGGGTGCAGACGCCTGTTTTGAGGGCGCTTTGGGACTTGGTTAGGTTGAAGAGTGGGGATGTGGGTGTATGATCATGATGGGATGAATGATATGTCTTTTAAGTTATGTTCTACCGAAAATACAACGGCGTAAACCCGACACTCCCATCCTCCCAAACACACGTCAACAGCGCGCCCCGTTTGAACATGGGCGCGAATACGATGGTTGTCGGTAGCGGGGGTGCACCATCACCTTCTTCATTGTCTTCTTGTTGTTGTTGTTGTTGGTCATCATCCGTGTCCATTTGAGATTCATTAGCGAAAGGGGATCGAGGTGGGAGTGGTCGTGGGGCGTCAGGGTGCCATTGTGGACCTCTTATAAACCCACTAATGCAAAAATCAAAGGGTTAAGGACATACTACTGGATGGGATTCTCGCCAGGAAACTCACATGATATCCAAAACAGGTAACGGGCCCCTCCCGACCCTAAACAGCGCCACCAATTCCGCCCCGTTATGCGTGCCTTCAAACGTAACTGCGAGCCGTTTACATGTTGGGTCGGCCGCCATTTGTTTTATATATCCGCCGACCCTATAGAAAGTCATATCAGTGATTATCCATCGAGACGTGAATTGTGGTGACATGGTCACGCACCTGAACCCCGTCGAGGTCTCAAACAGAGGCATTTTGGTCTCTTCAACGGCCTTGATATCCAGTGAAGGCGGCGGGGAGTTGATCTGCTGGGAAAAGATCTTGCGGCCGCGGGCGAGGGCAAAGAAGTAGAGGCGGGAGTCGGGGTGCCATATTACTGACTGGGGGAGGGTGTTAGGGGTGGGCAGAGTGAGGGAGTGAAGAGAAGGGGAGGGTACGTACATGTGGTCTCCGCCCGTTGGTATTGACGACTTCATCTTTCCAGGTTCGTGTTTCCCAGATCCGCATCATGTTCCTATCACCGCACCCAAATCAGTGTCCCACTCACACAAACCCCAACCCTCCACCAAACACCACCACCTACGTGCAAGCCTGAACCAAATACTCCCCATTCGGACTCCACCATACCCCTGTCGTCCCCCCATTCGCGCCCCCGACAACCGTCGCTTCTTCCATCGCCACATCCCACACAACTACCGCACTAGATGTCGCCGAGCCCGCAACAATGTACTGCCCATCCGGCGACCATGCGAGACAGGTGAGGTTGTCGAACCCCGGGTAGCGGAGGAAGGTGAGCCAGGCGAAGGTGGGAGTGGAGGCGTGGAGGAATGTTGCTGGGGTGGTGGAGGTGTTAGGTGTGGGGTCGAAGATGAGGCGCCAGAGGGTGATGCCGTGGCTGGGGAGAGGAGGGGGAATTAGGTTTGGGGGTGGGGATAGGTGAGGAAGGGAGGGGACGTTACCGTGATGCGACGGCGAGCAGCGTGCCGGTCTGTGGACTCCACTCTAAGGCGGTGATATCTGTCTGGAACTCGTGGCGTAAACCCGACGGGAGGGATGGAAACCATTCTAAACCGGCAGTACATCGTCCGTCAGTTTCATCCGTTCACACAAAAGCTTTTGTAACGAGTTGAATGTACGTACTTTCCGACACGATATCGTAAATATGCACGCTGTTCTGCTTATGGGCCACAGCTATCACTTGCCGACTCGCATGCCACGCCAGCGTTCTTATGGGCCGGGTCGCGAGATCGGCTTGCAGGCGCGTGTAGTACTGTAGTTTCCTCGACGGCTGTCACACCATTCCACCATCAGTGCTCGCCTCGCGTCCTTCAAAAGCATATGCTTCCGCGCCTTACCCACCTGCTGCATACTAGCAACCCGATTCAAAACCCACTCAACAACCTGATGTGTCTTCTCTGAGTACCGCGCAATAGGCTCCTTGCGGTCCTCCCACCACGTCAACACCGAGTTCAATAATGTGTCCAGCTGGTCTTCGAGGGCTGAGGGTGGTGGCGCTTTTGCTAACCGCGCGATGGGGAATTGGACGTCGCTGGGGTCTGAGAAGGCGTAGGGGAATTTGAGGATGGGGTATAAAACCCCCTGGGAAGGTGAGCTTGGGGTGAGTCTCCGATTCCCTTATCCCGTCCCTGTTCGCATCGGCTGTCCCACAATCTCGAAGCATCAATCCCGTCCCCTACCTCAGCCTGCACATAATCAAACAGCCTCGGATCGTCGTTCTCGGTCACTTGCACTTCGAAGATAATCCGCATTAGTATCCCGGTCGATGAAGCGTCCCGCGACCGACAACATACCCAAGCTTCCCGAAAGCTCCGCAATCGTAACCGCCTCCTCGGACGGCACGAGACTTTCTAGGTATTCGGTTGGAGACTGCGTTCGGGTGTCTGCGATGAGAAGGAACGTCGCGGTGGTAACTAACTATGCCAGTTGAACGGGACTGGAGGCGAGGCAAACAAATACCTTTCTCTCGTCGGGGCGGCATTTTCGGGATGCTGTGAATGCTATGAACTGGGTTAAGGGCGGTGGGAATGCTTGGACGGACGGTGATGGGTGAGTGATCTAAAAAGCCGGGAACGACGTGCGGGTGGATATGTTCTGGGGCCTTTGAGAAAGCTGTTGGAGTATGAGTAGTATCAGACGGCAAGCGCAGTCAGTTGATGACCGTTGGTATATCAAGGTTGCTGGGAGTCTCGTTGCGCCTTTCCCCGAAATGATCGAGTCAAGTAGATCAACAGAGTAAAGTTGAAGAACACGCGCAACCCCCACTGTCTGGCAGAATGGCAATAAACCTTCTCCTCATCCATTGAACTCATGAACTACGTTCCTCGTCCAGAGCATATTCCTAAACCTCCGTGCATGTCCGCGGATGAGAGAACGGCATATTGACCGGCGATTCCAAGACTGCTGTAAAGTCATGAGCGACGTGACCGGCTCTTGGGCGCCATCCTTCTCACTAGCCTTCAAGCTCCTATGCCTGTCCAGACTCCTGGCCGCGATATACTCCAACATTAGCGGTGAGGCTTCCTCGCATGAACTCAACAAGTCGTATATCTAAAAATACTGATATTTCGCTGCAGATTGCGACGAGGTATTTAACTATTGGGAACCGACTCATTACTTGCAGTATGGCCTGGGCCTGCAAACGTGGGAGTACTCGCCGGTCTACGCCATTCGATCGTGGGCATATGCCCTCCTTCACTCGACATGGGCTGGGGTGATGGAGATGCTGGTATCGAAGAATAAGGTTCGCCGGAGGAGGGGAGACTTCGTGCTGCTGAAAGCCACTTGGGCCGAACCTCTGGCTCATCATCTCATTCAAGCCGACAGTCTTTTACGAAACGCGCGGACTATTGGCCATAGCTTCTGCTACTACGGAAGCATGTCTTGTCGATGCTGTGGTGAAGCACGTGAATCCGAAAGTAGGCCGCGACTTGTTCTTCATGCTCTTCATGAGCACCGGCTTGTTTGTGGCTTCGACAGGTATGTTATATCACAATAGGTTCCTGAGATCAACAGGGATGGTGTTAACCACAATCTGCAGCGTATCTACCATCAACATTTGCAATGTATGCTGTGACGCTGGCTACTGCCGTGTCCTTGGAGAAGCCTGGGCGCCTCCGCACATACGCGCTAGTGCTGATATATGGAGTTGGGTCGCTCCTTGGTTGGCCGTTCAGCGCCGCGGCTGGGACTCCATTTGCTGTTGAGGAGCTTTTCTTGTCCGGCCGCCGGCTCATGCGGCTGCGACATCTTCTTGAAGCAATCATTGCCACCCTGCTACTTGTGCTTGTAAGCTGCTTCTCTGAATCTCCTTGACGGAACATACGCTCAACGATGATTTGCTGCACCAGGGACCTATGGTGTTGCTGGATTCCACGTTCTATCGCAAGCTCGTAGTGGTGCCGTTGAACCTTGTGCTGTACAACGTCTTCAGCGGCGCGGACAAAGGCCCGGACATCTTTGGAACGGAGCCATGGTGGTTCTATCTGCTCAATGGCTCCCTGAACTTCAACGTTCTCTTCCCCATGTACCTCCTGGCATTGCCCCTTCAGGTACCTTCTCCACTGCTATCTCATTCATTGATTACAATGTGCTCACGATCGCATACCTTTCTTGTTCTTTCGCAACAGCTTGCCGACATGATGCTCCGGGGCGCAGGCGCATCCCAAAACTCAGCGTTGTTGATTCTCAAGCTCCTACCAGCAAATGTGATGCTAGGCATTTTCAGTCTCCAGCCGCATAAGGAGGAACGATTCCTTTTCGTCGTATATCCGCTGATCTGCTTTAATGCGTCTATCGCCTTATTCATTGCGCGATCGTGGATCCAAAACGCCGCGTCCTTCTTCACCTCACGGGTAAGGCTTCTGCTGGCAATGTATCTCGTCAAGACACTAACGCTGACGACATTGTCTTTCTCAGACCGTAGGCAGACGCGCAAGTCGCGCTTTTGCAGCCATATTCTTCGCCATCTTCACGGTTCTCTCGCTCTCCCGTACCCTGGCGCTGTACTTCCACTATCACGCGCCCCTAGATGTATACCCACAACTCCATTATCGAGTCCCAACCGGATCTGCCACCAGCAGCAAGGAAATCAATCTCTGCGTCGGAAAAGAGTGGTACCGGTTCCCCTCTCACTACTTCCTCCCGGATGGCGTGCGGTTACGGTTCCTGAAATCCAGCTTCGATGGGTTGCTCCCGAAATACTTCGAAGAACATCACCTGTTCGTTAATGTAACAGCCGAGAAGGAGCGGTCGCCGGCCCATATATTACAAACAGAGGGCGTAGCAGCGTACGCGGCGATGCTGAGGAATGCGCCCAGGCTTACCCATGTAGAGGTTACTGGCATGAATGATCAGAACATCGAGGCCATGGACCGATATGTAAGTTTCGTGGAATACCTCTTTCCGCCTTTCCTCCCGGGAAAACCACCCTCACGGATTCTCCTTCCCAGGTTCCAATAGAATCATGCGATTTCGTCATAGACTACACTCCACCCAACGCACAGTTCCACCCGGACGCCGCGGAACCGTTATACAGCTTAGACGAAGAGCATTGGGTGAAGCACTATTGCAAGCCGTTCCTGGACTCGGCTTCCACTGCTCGGCTTGCACGTGCGTTCTATGTACCCGGCCTAGGGTCTAAGAGCTGGGGCGAGTATTGTTTACTCAAACGACGGCATGTACTGTAGACAGCCGGGGCGTAGAGTTTTCTTAACACCGAGGTGTCCGTGTGAGAGGTTTCGCATATCCGATTCAATCGGGGAACTGGAGACACTGCACTCACGCCTTTCACACCGTCTTCATATAAGAGTAAATCTTATAACGCGTTCCGTCGACCTGTGCAATGCCCTCGCGGCCCAGGGCGGAGGCGCCGCGTGTCCCGTACAGCCCGGGGACCAGAATTGGAGTGTCGTGCAGCAGGTCCCCGCCGGTGTGCCCGCGGCGACGTTTGTGTTGACGGCGAATGCGAAAAATGGGGATGGGAGTCTGGATGGGAGAGGGTGAGTGGTTTTTTTTTTTTCGTGGTTTCAATTAGTGGACTTGGTTTGGTTTGATTGATGTTTTGTGTCTTGTAGAATCACCTGCTTCACCGGTCCGGTTCAAGTCGCCGGTTGAAATTACACCTCTGCTGCGTCGCCGCGCGATGGGTGGTAATAATACATTACGATCGAATGCCGTCGGATGTTGCTCGAAACACATTCCCCGGATTCCTCAAAGGCGTATCTATCTCTAGTGAGTGTAGTGTATTTCGAACCGGCGCGTACCCCAGGCGTACCCACCTTGCGATTTCGTCGATTAGTCTGATTGTTGGGGATGTCCATCTCGCAGGAATGCGAGAAAGATGTATAGTATAGAACGATTCAGATGTAACTACGTTTACAAAAAGTCTATGTACAAAGGAAGTGTCTCAGTATGTGCAAAAGACGTCGCAGACGTCGGGAATATGAGGCAAGGTAAAAAAATCCACTTGGTGAAGCACATCGCCAAATACGCCGTCTGCAAGGATGTCCTTTAAACAGGTCAGGAAAGGTCCGCCAGCGGTCCAAATCCTCCTATGCCGTCTCCCTCCTCCACCACCCCCGTCCGGTCTTCGGCACCCTAACCGCCCAATACACCACCAACGCCATCGCGACATTAACCCCGACAAACGCCCACACGACGGCAAAATTCCTCCACCGATCCGCGTACTTCATCCCAAACATATCCAAAAACACATCCGTATTGCTCAGCGGACAGAAGTGGCACTTTTCCACATCGCCCGGGTTCTCCATGTACCCGCCCGCGACGGCCTGGAAGAACGAGATGTACTGCCCGCAGGAGAGCGGGGCGGTGGTGTTGGGGAGCGTGGGTGGGTCGAATGTAAGGATCTCGGAGGGGGAGCAGGTCATGGTGACGTTGGAGAGGCCGGTGGAGAGGAGGCCCGAGACGAGGTAGGTGAAGGGGGAGAGGTGGTACATCCATTTCCAGAGGCGGGGGAGGGTGGTTGGGGAGGCGAGGACACTGTGAAAAATCGATAAAAAAATCGTGAGTGGGATGGCTAAAACTAGAGAAGAGTGGATAGTTTGCGTGAAACGTACCCGCAGAAGATGAGACACATCGCATACCCCACGTTCGCCATATTCCCCGCCGTCTCCGGCATCTCCACCCCCGCGATAAACATGATCCCATACGTGCTCGTAAACATCAAAAACTGCCATATATACAGAAACATCAACCCAGACCGTTCAACCACCTCCCCCTCCGCCGCGTTCCTGTCCATCCCGATCGGGTAGTACCACCCGCAAAACATCACGGCGGCGAGAAGCAGGTTCCACGGCACCTCGACGATGATGTGGCTCAACATGAACGCTTGCCATGAGTATGTTTTGCTTGGCCGTTCACGCGCCTCGTACAGCGCGCGTTGGGTGACGAAGAGCGGCATGAGTTGTTGGCAGAGGTTGCCAAAGATGGTCATGAGCATGAAGATGGAGTACATTTGGTTCTGCAGGCCTTGTTGGGTATGTGGGGCGTTGAAGAAGGAGAAGCCGATGAAGAGGCCGGAGCCGATGCCGAGGAGGAGTTTGGAGTAGATGTAGGAGGGGGTGCGGTAGTATTGTTGGAAGATGCGGAGGAGGGTTTGCGATAGTTGGGTGTGGAAGGGGGCGGCGAATTCTTGAGCGTGCTTGGGTATCTTGGTGTCGGTTGGACTCGTATTCGGCGCAGGCAGACTGAACTGTGAAGCGTTGGTCTTCATATACGCCAACTCCTCCCTCACCTCTGCATACTCCGGGCTGCTCTCCCACACTGCACACCAATCCACCTCCGTCGTACTCCCCGGCGTCGCCCCAATCACCTCCAACATCCATTCCGCCGGGTTCGCACCACGCGGACATGGCGACGCACCATTCCTCTCGAAATACTCAATCAGCGCCATGCAGTCCGGCCCAATATCCCCAAAATACACCGTTTTCCCGCCCTCGGCCAACAAAAGCAGCCGGTCGAAGCGCTGGAAGAGTATAGCGGAGGGCTGGTGGATCGTGCAGAGGATGGCTTGCCCGTTCTGCGCGAGCGTGCGGAGGAGGGAGAGGATGGACCAGGAGGTCTGCGAGTCGAGGCCGGAGGTGGGTTCGTCGAGGAAGAGGAGGAGTTCGGGCCGCGCGGCGAGTTCGACCCCGATTGTGAGGCGTTTGCGTTGTTCGACGTTCAATCCTATGATCCACGAAAAAGAAAAAAACAACTGATCAGTTTCATCTTACCCCCGCATCCCATACAAAATGCAATGGAAAATCAACATACCTTCGCCCGGAACACCAACAACAGCCTCCGTCCACCCCTCCATCCCCAACATCCCAATCACCGCCTCCACATACTCCCTCCTCTCCCTCCCACTCCCTCTCCCCCTCAACATCGCACTAAAAACCAATGCCTCCCTCACCGTCGCCGTCGCCAGATGCATATCCCCCTGCTGCACATACCCCGCCTTCCGCGCAAACGCCTGATCCCGCTCCTGTCCATCCACCCGTATATCGCCCGTCACGACCCCCGTGGTGATGCGGGAAGCGAGAACGTCAAGGAGGGTGGTCTTGCCGGCGCCGGAGACGCCCATGAGGGCGGTGAGGGTGGAGGGTTTGACCCAGCCGGAGACGGAGGTGAGGATTTGCTTTGGGGAAGGGGAGGCAGGGAGGGTGTAGGTGACGTCTTGCCAGTGGAACACGGAGGTGTGGGGGTGGATTGACGGGTGGGTCGAAGGGCGCGGGGTCGTATTTGGGCGAGATAGGGAGACTAGGCGGGCGCCTTTGGATTCGATGTCGGTTTCCGTTTTGCCGTGGGTATCATCATCATCATCGTCATCTCGCTTTTTTGTGGGTTGCCGTTCACGTCGAAACAGCAACACCTCCCCCTTCGACTTCTTCGCAACGATGTACTCACTCGCCAGCAAATACGTGACCAAGAACAGCACCATAAACCCCACCACAACCCCCACATTCCGCCACTTCCTTCCCAACTCATACGCATACGCCACCCTCATGAAATCATCTCCCTTCACCGTCGTACTCCCCGGCATCGCCCCCGCGGCCACACACGCGCGATTCACAGCAGGGAGGTCGCTGTAAAACGGACCCATGGGGAGCATGGTCGTGCAGGGGAACTCCCGCCCTTCGAATTCGTTGATGATGAGGCTTTCGAACCCGTAGGAGATGGGGGAGATCTTGACTAGCCATTTGGCCCAGCCCAACATATCCTTCACGGGGATCGTGAACCCCGTATACATCACCAACGCCAGCATCAGCACCGCACTCGGGGCGTCCGCCTGGACCTGGCTGCGACTGGCCGCGCCGATCGTGCGGAACAGCATCGACATTGTCAGAGTGATCACGAAGGTGGTGAGCCAGAAGAAGAGAAAGGCTTGAGGGGTCCGGCGGAGGTTGGCGAGTAAGTAGATGGGGACGTTGAAGGTGAGCGAGTTGAGGAGCTTGTAGGGGAGGTCGGTGAGCATGGAGGCGAGGGCTTCGCAGGAGGGGTGGTAGAGGGCGTAGCGGGTGTGTTTTTCGACGATGGGGCGTTGGGCGTAGAGGGTTATTATCTATAATAATATCATGGAGAATAAGCATACCGTACACGGCACCCCCGACGCAGCTGAATGATATGAATTGGGTACATTACCTCCAGGATACTACTGAAAGCAGCCATCAACGCCACAAAGAACAACAAACTCCCCCGTTCATAAAAACTTCCCGTCTCCGCCGGCAACCCATAATACACGCTCCCGACCACAAGCGCCACAAACATATTCCCCGCCAGCGCCGTCAGCGGCAACGACGGGTCGGCTCTCAACCGCACGAACCCGCGCCACACGCATAGTTTCGTTTGGCCCCAGTAGGATAGGGTGTAGGGTGAGTTTACGGTCTGGTACCGGGATTGCTGAGCCCGGCGGGAGGCGATGAATCTGGTGAGGTGGTCCCCGCCGATGGGGTAGGTTTTGTCGTACTGCTCGATCTCACGCAGGAGGGATTTATACGCGTCGCTGTTTTTCCAGGCGGCGGCGAATTCGTCCGGGGTATGTGGGACGGTGTTTTCAAAGCCTGGGCGGATGAGGCGCTCGGAGGGGCTGGTGAGGGAGGTGAGGAAGTCGGGGGTGGTTTGGCGGTCGGGGCAGGTGAAACCTAGATCGAGGAAGTATTGTTTTGCGGCGCTGGTGGGGCCGAAGTAGATTTGGCGGCCTTTGTAGAGGAGGGTGACTTTGTCGAACAGCTTTTGGGGATTGAGGGTAGGTGGTAAGATTTTGATTGAGAGGAGGGAAGCAGGGGATGGGGTTAAGGGACGACTCACATCGAAAGCGCTCTGAGGCGCCTGGTATATAGCCACACAAGCAGTCGCACCCAATAGCTCCGTCTCCAGCCTCAAACTCCTACAAAACTCCACCGCGTTCGCGCTATCCAGCCCCCTCGTCGAATTATCCCAACACTGCAGCGGCGCGCCACTCAACACCGCCTCGGCGATGCTAACGCGTTTCCGCTCCCCGCCGCTGATCCCCCGCACGTAGTCATTCCCCACTTTTGTGTTGACGGTGTGGCTGATCCCAAAGACGGCCATGACGATATCGCGGACGTGGCGCGTGAACATGTCGCGGTCGATGCCGCCGGGGACGTGCCGGTGTTGGCGAGCGGCGGCAGCGAAAGTCAACGTGTCGCCGACGGTCATCATGGGGAAATGCACATCGGTTTCAGCCGTATAAATCGCTTCCCCGCGGAAATCGCTGTGCATCTGTTTGGCGCTGATCCCCTGGTAGTTGAGGTACACGTCGCTGTTGATGATGTATCCGTGAGTTTCCCCCGCGAGTGTTTTGAGCAGGGTTGAACATCCACTGCCGGGTGATCCAAGCAGCACTAGCATCTCCCCGCTATGCACGACACCGTCAAAGTCATGGAGGATCTGGATCTTGCGCTGTCCGATCCCCAACACGCTTTTCACCCACCCGACGACGTCATGCAGCCCGGTCTGCACCGTGCGCTGGTAATCCGTGTCCGCACCATACCCAAACACGTTGAGGTTGCGAAACGCGACGCCGGCCGTGCGTTTTGGGAACCGTTCGGGGTCCCGGGAATGTAAGCTCAGCAAGGCCTTCACCCACGCCCGCGGACTGAATGTGGGCGATTGCGGGTCGAGATTGGATCCGGGTTCGATGTGAAAATCGTTATTTTGCCGTAGTGAGGACAGTGACTCGATGGAGAATTGCCGGGAGAGGCCTTTTGCTAGCATCGCGACCTTTCCATCCGATTCTGTTTGTTTGTGCCGTTCGTCTACGTTGATTAATCGCTCGCTGCTGCTGTTGCTGGAATAATGTGGGGGTTCGCTGGCTTGGCGATGGTATATGGTCTCCTGGAGAGGGATATTGTCGTCCACGTCGTATCCTAGCCCACTGCCTTCGCTGCTTTGGCGAGTTCCCCTATCTGGTGACATGGTGTCTTGTGCTATGCCCCTAGTCGATACTGTTATGTGCTATGACCTTCACGAACTTGTGACCTAAGTGAGCTCCGTGCACTTGCATCCATTTGCTTTCGTAAAAACTGGCTTTCTGGGGGAGGTGGAGTCTGCGCGCGGGAATGCAGCTGATGAGGACCGTCAGTTCCAGCCTGGGGGCGCTGCGATAGGACGGGTGCTGCTGGACAGGACAGTACAGTAGCTTGGAAGGCGGGTTCTTGTTAGACAGTGAGTCTGGGAGGGTATTGCGGCGGCTTCAAGGCGCAACGAAAGCCGCCGTTGTGCTATTATACATATCCTATTGCGCGAGAGAGTCCCACGGGCGGCCGAGAATCAAATCATCCCCTTACGTTTGCAGGATGGCCGTAATACAATAATATTGCGGTGATCTCATTTACGCATCTGGCCTGGAATATGAGTTGTAGTGGACGGGCGGCACCATAAGACGGCAAGCCCTGTCAAGTGGCCCCAAGTGTAGGATGTACCGCGCGACGGCAGAGCGAAGAGTAGGCGTCGTTGGGCCCCCATGTGATGCGTTTCCGCCCACGGACAAGCCATGCGCGCCGGGCTCCTCCTGCCAACCTTCTCGAACCATTCCTATATTATACGCCGTGCTCTGTGTATCAGAAAACGAGTGCATATGGCGCCAAGAGCGACGACAGGACCAGGGGACCACGAACATCAACACGAAAGAAATCCCAGGCAAGGGATAGTGGGATGTCGTTGTCCTTGAGCAGACTCATGTGCAGATGAACGACGGCGAAGGCTTCCGATTCAACCTGTGTGCCGCGTTGGGCAAACTCAAGCCCCCAGATCGAGCGCCAGACGAAGGAATCCCCACATCTAACAAATCCACTCCCTCAAGTGTCCGTCGATCTGCAAAATCAGCTTGGTGTCCTCCCCGACCATACCCTCATAAGATGCGAGAACCTCCCATTTTCCTCCAAGGACTTCCGAGTCATTTTCATGGTGATGGATCGAGAGAGGATGCAGACGTTCACGTACTCCACAAAGCATACCCGCAGCCAGCATCTCCTGTACCACCCGCAGCGGCCGATAGGTTTCCCCGCGTCGGTTTCTGATGCGCACCCAGCCGTCGATGGACGTAGTAGTGGATCTTCGACAGTCGCCGTGACCGGCGGAGGGTACGTAAGCCGTTGACGAGTTCGAGTGGGGACTGGACTGGCACATTCCTACCCCATTTGCCGTTGAGAAACACCTTCGCTCCGCATCCCGGTGGACCGGAAGACGTCTTCCATGTGCATGTCCTTCAGCGCCGCGTGGACCCACAGGTGATGGTGGCGGTCAGCGCCGCTCTCTTGGCCCTCTGGCTTCTCGGCTGGACAGACGCATAACCAAGTAGGCCTCAGGTGTATCATGTGTAATTTCCACAAGTGGTGTAGCGGATCAAAGACACACACAAGACTGGCGCATGGTGGTCAGGTCAAAGCCACTCAAAGCTGGCGCATGATGATACCTGGACGATCAATGCAGGTAGAAATAGAAAGCTACGACATATGAGTAAGTAGTGTTCGCATCTACAAAATCCGGCGCTACACCACGGATTCGCTAATTCCAGAGCAATGCAACTCGATCCTACGACGATCCGCGGAGGTAGGATGGCCCTTGGAGATGGCGAAGCTGCGAGTGATGAACGTTCTGGTGGACGATCTGCATCCATTCAGAGAATTTGGGCTGAGAGGTCGTCGGAGCGAGCGATGCCAAGGCTTTGTATTGTTTAAGGAATGATACGTTTGGCGGTTTCATGGGTTAGGAGGAGGAATTCGCCACAGGCTTCTGATGCCTATATATGGTTTCGCCTTTTGATATTTGTCCTGGCAGATGGGTTTCCTTCAAAGACTACGACATCCGAGGTGTTTGTCGCATACAAAATTGAAAACTCAAAAAAGCAAAACGATCTTACCAGGAGTCGAACCTGGAATCTCCTGTTCCGTAGACAGGCGCCTTGACCATTGGGCCATAAGACCGTGTTGATTCCATGTCTCATTACGTCAAATGAGAGATTCTTGAAAAGGCGACGTTTGTGGTCAAACTTGGCCTGGGCGCCGCTCGAGGTGTCGCGTCAATTGGTCGTTAGCGTTGGGAACTTAGAGCCGACGTGTCGATTTGCAGCACCTGCGCCGTACTGTCTCCACATCTTTCAACGCTCAGCAACGCCCATCGATAGTTTTGCGACGCCGAAGGAGTGTTGAGGACGTGGAGCCAGAGCCCTGGTGCTCCCGGGGTCGGCGATCGTGGTCACCCGCACAAAGAACGCCCGCGAGGAGATTGCGGAGGTCGTCGACGATCGTGCAAGTCGCGCGGCTCGGAGGGGGTGAGCGCTCACTCTACGTATCCGGCAAATCTTTCTATACAGAAGTGGGTTTGCGGTTTTTGCTGTTCTCGCTGCGAGAGGCGCTCGGACAGCGAAGTGAGTCCGTGAGAAGCGGTTTGATTTCGGGGAGAGGGTCCTCGTCCAGCGCCTTGCTGGGTATTTCTGTTGACACTAGGGAATGCTTGTATCATTTGAGCATTTTTGGGCCAATAGCGTTTTGTTTATTACGCGTTTTGGTTGGGGTGGTTTGTCACCCTCCACGCACTCCCGTGAACCGAGATGCTAGTATTGTAATGCAGGGAGGCGTCCAAGTGTCGTTTCTCTTGGACACTGTCTGCGAAAACGGGATGAAGACCCAGGGCCAAGGTGGTTTCCGAGCAAGGCAGGGTGAAGTTGCTGACTTTGAGAAAGCGGGTTTGAGACAGAAAAGGGGACCCAATCCGGTTGCCGTGATATTGACATTGGAACACTTGGGGGACAGATGTCGAAATCCGCCATTCTCCAAGTTGCTGCTACGGTCACGCGTCGGCCTCATTCTCCGCCGTTCGGACTTGCTATTTGGCCAGCGTACGGAAAGCTTGGCATCAACAGCAGACATTCCAGGCTACCAGATGAATCCTGAGCCCGGGATTGCGCGCCCTTTGTCGATGTCCGTGACGGAAGAAAATATGTAAACGAGGGTGTGGTGGCGATCGCACCAAAATGGTAGATGACAGGGCTTCAACTCCCACTGGTACTTTGTGAAAGAACGCATGTGATTAACCGTAAGCAAATGACCCGCTTTATGTTAAACTCTCAAAGTTACAAATCATCGCTCCAACCAGAAAGAATACATGTAAAAACGAAGGAGGGTGATTTGCTCAGACAATAGAGACGACCATATATAGAAAGTCTGTTTTCCGATCTCACGAATTGTCCAGCCCCCTCCTCCCATAGCTCACGCCCGCCAGCAGAAACGAGAGCGGTCAGATCAAACTATCTATACCCGAATCTCCTCTTGCAAGGTATTGTTGCTCCCCTTACGCTTCAGACTGCTCTCACTGCCCGACTTGCGCACGACCGCCGCCTCACTCGGGATCTCACGACCCTGCAGCTTGGCGAGGATCCCGCTGCTGATCAGCACAAAGTCCTTGCGGCCGTCCCACAGCGGTAACAGCCCGACGGAGAGGAAGGCAAAGAACGCCCACACGATCGAGGTGACGACCCACCCCCGGAAGAACTTTTCGCTAAACACGTAGTCGCGGTACAGCGAGAGCGGCCAGATGAGCATAAACACCGCAAAGATGATGATGGACGCGACCGACGCGACAATCAACCACTTGTGCAGGTTTTCCTTGCCGTATGCGTCGTTCTGCTCGATCTCCTGGATCTCCTTCTCGTCGACGTTGCCATTGCGCCGGGACTCCCACACGCTGTCGAACTTGAAGTCGCCGGGGGAGAAGATGGATCCCAGTGTGCAGACGATCAACCCGAGGCCGATGGCCCCCGCGAACGCGTAGATGCAGGCAGTGGGGTTGGAGAGGGAGGTGACTGTGAGACCCTCGGCGCTGTAGTGGTTACCGAGCACGAGCCAGATGATCAGGCCGACGAAAAAGTTGCCCCAGATGGCCGCCGCGGCCCAGTTGGGTGTACGCTCGACCCAGAAGGAGAAGATCATTTGAGGCAGCGCGGCGCAGGACCAGACGCCCGTCATGTTGTACAGCAGGCCGAGGTCGACGCCGACGCCGTGCAGGAGTGACGCAAAGGCCGCGGTGAAAAGCGTGAAGGCGACGACGGCGTAGTGCTGCGTGCGAAGGATGTCGTCGGGCTTGGCGGCGCGGTTTATGTAGGTCTTGTAGATGTCGTAGCCGCTGATCGATGACACCGCAATCAGTTGCGCGGAGATGGCGGAGGTGGCACTCATGAACATGAGCAGGAGGACGGCGACGGATCCACCGGTGCCGAGGATGGCGTTGGCGGCGTACGGGAGAACGAGACCGGCGGAGACCTCGGATGGCGACATGCGGTTGGGGTAGGTTGGGAACGCAGGCGAGGTTTGTTCAAGAGCGAGAGCGACGAGACCAGCGGTGGTAGCGAGCGCCCATGGGATGGAGAACCAACTGAGGGAGCCGAGGATGTATCCCGGCACGACGGCGCTTGGGGCGGCAGCGATGGCCTTTTGCGAGAACGATGCATCGTTGAAGACCACCCCGGTGTACTCGAGGAAGGACAGCCAGCCGAACTGGATCGCGCCGCGGGACTTGAGGGTGAGGTAGCTCCCGGCAAAGTTCTCGGACGGGTTGCGTTCCGCGGCTTGCTGAAGGAGCTCCCACATGCGCGCTGGGCTGCCGATAAGGTCGCTGGTCGCGTAGGTGGTGATGGCGAGGATGAACAGAATGACCAGGATGATCACCGTGTGCAGGTAGTCGGCGAGAATCGTGCCGCGCAGACCGGTACCGAGCGTGTAGGCAGCGACGGCGATGGGCAACAGGAACAACGAGGCGTAGATGCTGACGCCAGTGATGGAGTTGATGGCCGCTGCGGCGCCGATGAGCACGCTGGAGCAGACAAGGATGTTGGTGGCCAGGGCGAAGAACATGAAGGTCAAGTGGCCGAAGGTTCCGTATCTTCTACGCAGGAGCTCGAGGTGCGTGTGGAGGTGAGGGACTTTCTGCTTCATGCGGATGGCCATGAGCGCGAAGAGAGTGACTTGAGACATATTGCCGGCACCGTAGACTGGTGAGATGGAGGAAGATGGATTCACGGCATTAGGGAAGTTGAACGTTGGAAGTCGATACTACACCGCGACATGGCATGAAGGATTGATCAACTTACTGAGGGCACCAGCAGCTCCATACGAATAAGCGACCGAACAACTACTGAGCAACGTCACCGACCATGTCCATCCGGAGACAGCGCCCGCCGCCGTCAGACCAACACCCAAACTGCGACTAGCGACAGCGTATTCAGCCGACGATTTCCTCACGTTTCCAAACTTGTGAAGCGAGTGCGAGAGACCGACAACGATGATGGCGAAGAAGGCGCCGAGCCCGATCAGGACCCCGTAGCCGGTGCCTTGGCTCAAGGGAGGCTCGCCTACCGAGGACATCTTGCTGGGTGATGAAGCGTATGTAGGATAGGTTTATGAACGGGCGTCGGACCGTGCGAAAGATGATTGACCTTGAATGTGGGATGCTAGTGATGTACGTGGGAAGATGCGATGCTTTTGAACCTTGAAGAGTGGGATGAATCGGCAAAGAACAAGACGAAAGAGAAAGGCGGGAATAGGCAAGCTCGGAGGAGCAGGACTTTGTTTGTTGTCCGTGATGGGGAAACAAGGAAAGGCCCTGAAAGCGGGCAGGAGGTATTTGTAGCTGACGACCCTCGCTGCGAAAACACAACGGCTCCGACGGAAAGGAGATCTGCTGCAGATCGTATGAAATGGCCGATTGAGTTTCCCTGTTCCTACTGAAAGGAGAGAGTTGCGCAGACTCATAGGATGTCTGGCGAGAAACACCGCATGCGAGGGCCATTTTCCCAGTCATGAAGGACGGTGGAGATGCAAGTAGGAGCCCTGCCTTATCGCCAGGAGATGCATGTTTTAGGGATTCCCAATGGAACTGCATTGCGTGCTTTGGCGGACTCTCAAAAGACAAATGGAGGCGAGACAGCACCAAATCCAAGACGGAATACAAATGGGAGATAGACCCATGTTCCAGGCCCCAACTCCTCCGTCGTCCTCGCCTCTTGAACGGGAAGGGATTGGCATATGCCTGGCAGAGATAGTTGGTCGTCGTCGTAGTACTGCATGAATGGTTATGGAATGGATGTTGGGAAAAGACAGCTTGGGATAGGGTGTCATCAGAATGGGGGTGGATTGCGTGCTTTGGGACTTTCACGCGACATGTGCGAGGGAGGGAGATGGAGGAGACCCTTACATAGGAGAGGATCGATAGGGCAATTAGGGTGGATGTTGTTAAGCATCGCGCATTTTGATTAGACTCTCTTAATAGAATGGACATCACGAGAGGAGGGAAACATCAAGGCAAGCCACGGGAGCCGCTGATGTGCAAGTTAGCCTTGATTTTGCCAGGATCGCCCTGTTTCCTAATTGCCGCACATTGAAACAGTGGGAACCGGAGACGGCATGCTGATTTAGAGTCAGTGCGCGCGGTAACACCGGCCACCGGAACGCGTGAATCATCACAATTGCGTGCTTTCCCGTCCTCTCCTTCCCAAAATAATACCTACCCACACGAGGCCGTGATCGAGCAACAAACCCCACATCCACATCCACATGCAACATTGCAACGGACACCAGTTGCACAACATGGGCGGGAAAGGCGTTATGTGCCACGGACGCACTGCGTTCGACTCCAATTTTCAAAGGTCCCTGGGTGTGAAACTGTGGAGGCGCCGGCGGAAGATGTTGATGGTTATCGCATCTCCACAGTCATGGCCCCATGTTCGAGCTCATTTTGGTGGACTCTCGTCTCACGAGCGATACGGCGGAGTCGGAGCGGTGCTGATTGAGCCGATCCAGGCCTTCCGCCCTTGTCACATGTGATTATCTCTGTGGAACGTCGCTGGGAGACTAGGAGGATTGTACGGCAATTTCCGCATTCGGAGCGCTCGGGGCATCAATTCAGGACCGGATCGCGCCATAGTTGCCGCCCAAGAGTCATCTTGACTTGAGGCTAGGAATAACGGGGTGCTACATAAAAAGTACACTTCGGCGGTGAAGCGTCGTGCTGCTCTTCAAAAGACTATCGTTTGAGTCCATCGCCGAACAACATCGCAACTTCCCATCCACTTTTTGCCACCGTCACAACTCCATACAGTCCTTCCAAAGATGGTCGACCCCATTGCCAGCGAGGCCTCATCCGCCTACGACGCTCACCACAAACAGTTCACCTCCGAAGGCCTCCCCAAAAACGCCGCCGGCTGGCTCTCGCGCGCCCAAAAGGTCTCCGAAATCGTCGCCACCACCGCAGCCCAACGCGACCTGGACAACACCTCTCCCACCGCTGAAGTCCTCCTCCTTAAGTCCTCCGGCCTGACAAAGATCCTCGGACCCGTCCAGTACGGCGGAGGCGGCCAGGAATGGGATGTCGCTTACAAGGTCATTAGGGAGGTCGCGAAGGGTGATGGATCCATTGGAATGCTCTTGGGTTACCATCTTTTGTGGAGCACTACTGCGAACGTTGTTGGGACCGAAGAGCAGAAGGAGAGGATTCAGAAGAATATTATTGAGAACAACTGGTTCATTGGAGGTAAGCAGTTGATTTTCCCACGGCCACTTTTCTGAACTCGTTCTCTCAGAAGGTGCATGCGCTAACGCCTACGTTGTCCACATCAGGTGCCGTCAACCCCCGCGACGCTGATCTAGTTATCACCCCCGAAGGTGACGAACTCGTCTTCAACGGCTTCAAGCACTTCAACACCGGCGGCGTCGTCTCCGACGTGACATGGCTCGAAGGCGCTATCGACGGCCACAAGGAACACATCTTTGCCCTCGTCCCATCCAGCCAGCTTACGTTTGCTTACAACTGGGACAGCGTCGGTCTGCGAGGTTCCGAATCCGGCTCTGTGAGAATACAGAATGTTCGTGTGGCCTGGGCTGACGCGTTGGGATGGGATGCTAAAACTCAGAAGCCTATTGAGGCTGTTTTGGGGATTCCGTATGCTTCTCTGTTGCTTCCAACGTAAGTTTACTCTCTGTTGGGCCTTGTCGGCGTGCATCAGTTGACTCGAATTCATTCACTGACTCTCTTTTCCCACCCATATGTAGCATTCAAAATGTCTTCAACAACTTCTACGTCGGCATCGCCCTCGGCGCCCTCGACTGGGCCCGCGCTTACACCCTCAAATTCACCCGCCCGTGGCCCTACACCGACGACCCCAAATCCAAAGCCCAAGACGAATTCCACATCCTCCAAAAATTCGGCTCCTTCCACGCCCACCTCGCCGCCGCCTCCGCCCTCGCCGACGTCGCAAGCACTGAGATCGCCGACCTCTACCGCGCCCACTCCCAAAACCGCGACGTCGACGCCCGGAAGCGTGGCGAGGTCGCGGAGACCATCGCGAGCCTCAAGATCGTTGCGACGGATACCAGTTTGAGGGTCACCAGCGGCATCTTTGAGATTGTTGGCGCGAGGGCGACGGGGAGGAAGGCGAATGCGGATAGGTTCTGGAGGGATATCAGGACTCATACCCTGCATGACCCCGTGGCGTACAAGGAGAGGGAGGTGGGACGTTATGCTTTGCTCGGCGAGATTCCGGAGCCTACCTGGTACACGTAAATAGTTGGGCGGGCTCATCTTGTACACGGTTTATTCGGCTTCTCCTCGGTTGTGGTGTAGAGCAGCATAGCTGGCGCAGGATACGCTCAGCGCGACGACGGGTTTCTCATGCATTGTACCTACTTTTGAAAAATGGCATCTTCACTTACCTTGCATGATGAAGCACGCTCTTGGCGTTGGGTATGTCGGCTCAAGGGCCTCATGACTTGTTACGATTGCCATCACCGGTCCTGCAAAACGCTCGTCGGGAGCGAAACCACGTCAGGGAAAGTAATCGTGTCTGTCACAGAAATAGTAATGTCGCACCACTTTCTTCCTGCCAACCCAGACCATACCAGATTCATACCTCGGCACGAAGGGCCAACCAGCCATATGAATGACTACCAGAGTTCTAGATCTAGACCGGAGGGGCATCGCAGCACCATCACAAGCGCGGGCGATTTCCGATCACAGCTTGGAAACCAGACAGTGGACAGTACAGTGGGGGTCCCGAAGTAACTGGGTGGGAAATGAACGAAACGCTTCTTCGGACATTCCATCACAATCCGCTCTCCATGACGATAATAGTGCCAGAAATCCTAAACCAACATCTCGATCTTTGCCACTATCCGTGAACGCCACCCCGTCCGTCCGTCATCTTCCTCCTCGAAAACCAACCCCGGTAAGCAAACCTCAGCTCAACCGCCACTGCGTCGTGCGTCACTGGCCCACATTCCTAACACTATCTCCTCCGCTGGCAGCCCATTCAAAGCCCGCGCCCTCCTCTACAACTCACGCTAGACGCCGCACAGGATTTCGTCATGAGCTCTAGTCGGTGGCACGCGAGCTGTGGACGACGCCATGTGTTGCTGAGCTGCGGGTGGTGAATTTCATAGAAGAAAAGGATGTGGATTGGACGGCTTGGAGGGTCGCCCGCCGCTTGCCCGATTGGCAACACGCTTACCCGTTGCCACCCACCCTGCTGCTTGTGCTGAGTGTGCCTGATCGTTCCTCAATTGTCCAAAATTGTCTTGCAAATTGTCAAACCCATTAGTTCGCATCTATGAGCCACCTCACCATCCGCAACCCCAATAACACCAAGCTGGCAGTGGTGTATGTCGGCCGGGAGTCCACAGATTATGTCAAAAAGGGCGATGTCCTGACATACCTCTCCATCCTCACGGGCACGCCCCTTCCCGTCCTTACCGAGCATTACATCCTCCAAAAAGGCATAAAGCCGTCCGGCACAACAGCTGCCACCGGTGACTTACGTTCCGGTCACCATGTCATCTTCCCGAAATCTCCGAGCCATCCTCAACTTCAACCTGTCGGAGGACCATCTCCCACCCTTTTCCCACCGAAAAAGCCGTCGTCGAAACCCCCGAGCCAAACCGACCTAACCACCGCTGTCGGAGCTCTCTCGCTGGAAGACGCAACCAGGGAGGATGAGTCCGACCCCACTCCGGAAGAGGTGCAACGATACGCCATGTTCACGCTTTCTCTCGCCCTCCGGGACCGACGCTGTGTGGTGACAGGAAACGCACATCCCAACCTCTTGGTCGGCGCCCACATCATCCCCCACAGCTGGAAGCGACGTCAATACATCGGGCTTCCGCAAGAGATCACGGAGGTGCTCTCACTGGGTTACGAGGAGATGGGCGTGAACGATTTTCGCAACGGTGCCTTGATGGACTCGGCTGTCCACACTGCATTTGGCTTGCAGTACTGGTCGGTCGTGTGGGAGGATACTACAAAGAAATGGCGCGTAGTGGCGATGTCGAAGGAGGTCCCGGCTGGGTTGGTGGGCAAATACCTATTGAGCCCAGACCCAGGTGTGGCAGCCGACGGGGGGAGCTACGAGGACTCATTCATCAACCCTGAATTCCTAGAGTATCACTTCAAAACGGCGGTACTAAGACGTATGAAAGGGGGAGGGGAAATAGATGACTTGGGGGACAAGCCTACGCAAGATGTAATCAAGGTTTGGTCGGATGACCAGACCTTTGCTAGATACGTCGCATCGGGCGGGGATTGGTCAGAAGCGGTGGAATGAGATGGAGAGTGTGATGGTGATTTATATAGTGTGTATACGTGTACAGCTTTAATCGAGAATGACCATGGGATGCGCTTTGCCGAGACCGCTGAATTTTGAGTTGACCTTCTCGCGAAGGCTTCACGAACCAACCGACGCCGAGAGTTTGATTGTGGTTTGATTGCATGCTCAGCATCCCCCATTCTGTGTTGCCAGAAAGTGCTGCTGCGTGCTGCTGATCAGCAAGTCGTAGGATTATGGGTAGGTCCTTAGAACTGAGACTCTATATTCCTTCTTATTAGGTCGCACCCATCGTGGCATAGATTTTTAGATTCTTTCGACGCCCGTTCATTTGGAGCGGGAGCGCACCATCATATATACATAATTTACATCACACCAAAGGTTCATCACAATCCCACCACATCCCTACGCCGTGCCTTGAGTTCCGCTTCTTGTGAGGCCCTTGTTCTTGAGATGGCGGTTGGTGGAGGGGAATATCGCGGGATCTTCAAGTTTGTTCTGCATGTTCACGGGCGAGTACGCTTCCGGAGTGTGAAAAAGATTCACACAGAAGAACTCTGAAACTTCCTCAACTCCTGCAACTCAAGGATCGTTGCCAGGAGCGTGTTGTCGTCTAGATCATCTCTATCCAGACTGCCAAAGGAAGAATCATGATCAAAACGTATTCAAAGCTTTATCCAAGTGGATGTGGGAGCGCTATTTACCTAGGCACCAGCGCTCTCGCCTCCTCGACAGTTTCGATGTTCAGGTTGGCGAGGAGAGCGCCTTCGAAAGGATAATATCGGGAGTTATCGTATGCGCTGCATGAGAGAAAAGCGAGTTATGGATGCGTGTTTGACGACAACATGGCGGCCCGGGTGAGTGAAAGTGGAAGACACGTACTGTTTCATATGCCGCACGGTGTTGGAGTCGTTGACGTTGCCGAAGCGGGCGCAGTAGGCTATGGTTTTGGAGAGGATTCTGCACGGCCGCCGTGATGAGTGTTAGGTGAAAGCGGACGAAGGAAACACTTCAGATGCACGAGCAGTCGGTCCATCTCAAAAATGAACATCTCCAACAGATCCGTCCTCGGATGTCAACAAGCGACGGAAGGCAGATATCACTTACTCGTTATGCGGCCGCTCGATCCCAGACTGCATTTGTTCGTCACGCTGCCGTTCCAGGAGCGCCGAGACTTCGGGTATGAGGAGACAATCTGCACCGTCGAAATCTTTTCATGTAGTAGGAATATTAGCTTTCGGTGGGTTCAATACATTAGTTTCGTAGCTTGTTAAATGTTGGACAGGTCGAGACCTCCCCCACAGCCCCCTCCGTGCTCCACCGTTGCCTTCAACTCCCGTGTTCGCCAAAATCTCCGGGAGTATTGTGTCTTTGGCGCAATGGACGATGGCTTCGCTTCCAATTCAAATCGAACCTTCCATATCGCAGACCTTTGCTTTGCTCGGGCGACTTGTGCGGGGAATCCATCGCAAATAAAGCCCAAGGCTCGTTCAGGTATGTGGCTGCCACTCGAGCAATTTGAGCTCCCTATCTCTCGCACATAGAACCAACGCTTCCATATAATACATCTCGCTGTTGTTCGGATCGTTCATGCTCGCGATCTTTCGCAGATAGAGCTCGACGCCCGCTTCGCCGGCCTCGCTATATCTCGGACACGGTGCTATCGGCAACAGGGTGCAACGCTTGTTACACCCAGAGCCCCATGCTCCCTACGCTCGCAGAACTTATCCCGCAGCACCATATCCCTCCGCCCCTCCCACCAAACACCATACTCCTCAGCCTTCCCGCCCGCAAAGACGCACCTGCCCCAAGTTTAGCCCTCGAAGCGTCGATCTCATCCTCCGCCTGGCGCACACGTGGCGGAATCAGTCGTCGGGGTGGTTGGTAGATACTCGGGATCCCTTCGTTGCCGTACGTGGTTCCGTTCGGAGCCGTGCCGTTTTCGGCGTCGGTCGCCATTCTCTGTAGTGGGGGGAAAGATGGGAGGTCAGTTTGTGTCCCCTCCTGGCGTTCTGGAGTTCCGTAAGTGTATGGAAAGGGAGTGCCGTACTTTTGCGTCCTTTGAGGTGGTAACTGGCTTAGCGTTAGTGTGGGGATGTAAGCTGCGGACGAAAATAAAGCATGTTTGGAGTCTTCAAGTCCATACCTCAGAGCGCACATAATACATACGTCTTCGGCAAGCGCGTCGCTGTCGATTTTTTGACCCGTCATTTTTGTGCCCACCTGTGATCTTCCCTTTGTTGACTATGTTCCTGATAAAACTCCGTAGAAAAAATGTCTATCCTTGATTTTCTTGCTGGATCTGATTCACACACCTCAGGTCCATGCTCAGCGCAGACACAACAAGTTGCGCAGAATGTGGGGGTAAAATAAATACTTTATTTAACAACGGTTCGAAAATAGCGCCAATACAAAAGGGAAAAGGGAAAACAACGCCAATACAAAAGGGAACGAAAGGGAACGCCAATACAAAAGGGAACGAGGTATCGCAAGAAGAAAAACAAGAAATATAGAGAGAGACCTTCCGCTCCTCCATCAACGGCGGAACACCAGCAATTGCCGTGGAGTGACAGCAGTCGCTATCGAAAAAAAAAATCGACGCTTTCGAGGGAGAAAAACAACCGCCACTCTTGCGTGGGGGAGAGGGCATTGCGGATCGGGGAAGGCGATTGGTTTCTTGCTTCACCGTGTGAGCACAGTGGGTCCCTTGGTCAAGGGTAAAAAGAGCAATATGGAATGTCTCCAGCACACGGTGGAGTCCTGGACTCCGCGGAAGTCGCTTCGTGGCTGGAGATAGGACAGGAAAGGTGAGGTTTGCTTCATGTCGGTTCCTGCGTGGACTATTCCACAATTGAGCGTGGTGGGACCAGTGAGGACTGTGATGGCTGCGGTGTTGGTGGCGATGGGATCAAGGCCACTAAAGATAGGGAGAGACCTTCTAGATGGGGTGTGCGGGACATCGACTGCTGCAGGATCAAGTAAGAGAAGTGCACGTTAATTGAGGGGTTCAAACTTGCTACGAATAAATGTACACAAATCAACAAACCTATCAGCATCGCTGTTTATTGCGTGGGGGAGAGGGCATTGTGGATGAGGGAGGGCGATCGGGCGTGGGGGCAAACGCGGCGGCGATGGTGGGGGCGAACGCGGTGCCGATGATGGGGGCGGCGGCGGCGGCGATCGTGGCAGCACGCCAGAAGATCGGGGCGGTGCCCGCGTTTGCGGGCGGTCCAAAATCAAGCACCCTCGCAATTTCGTCGTCCTCCTCCTCATCATCCCCATCATCCTCATCACCCCCATCATCCTCGACAGCGGCGCGCGTAGCGTTCAGCCAATCGACGAGTCGGTCCTTCTTCTCGCCGCCCTCGACCTCAGAGGAGCCACCTCCACCAAATCTTGCCCACCTGGCTGCCAACGAAAACAGAGCCCCCACCGAATTTTGCCCACTTGGCAGAGCCAACGAGAAAAGATCCCTCTTCTTGCCGACCTCGTCGGAGAAGCCACCTCCACCGAATTTTGCCCACTTGCAAGCCAACGAGAAAAGATCGGCCTCCTCATCACTAACCCCCCACGTCGTCGTCCTCATCTTCCTCGTGTTCGGTGATGGTCAGTGTGAAGCGCGCCTTGAAGTCGTTTTGGCTGTGAAAAATACATGGGTAGGGCGGAGTCACAGCGGAACACCCTCGGTCATGATAAATTGCACCATGAAGTCGTTTTCGCTGTCTCCCGCCACGAAAAATACCATGGGTCGGGCGGAGTCACAGGGGAACACCACCTTCTCCTGCCAGCGGCATTCGTCCGTGCCCCAATTAGAGAGCGTCTCGACAGTCTCCGATGCCGTCCGCCGCACAAAGCGGGGGGTCGAGGTTGCGATAGGTTGCGATACATATCGCTAGGTGATCATTGACGCAAGCATTGATGTGCGCGTGCGAGAAACCGTCATCGGCCTCAGTCATCGACCGCATCCTCGGGCCCTACTTCCCCACTCAGAGGTTCACACGTTCATTCTCTCCGCTCATGGCTCACAAATCTAAAGAGTTTCACAAGGTAGAGACCTGGGAAACCAGTCGGAATCTGCATACCAAGACAGACAAAAAAGCATACTCACGCTGCCGTTGTTCGGTTGAGAGAAAGAGAGCAGAAGAGTACGTATAATGTGGTTGCGATTGCGCGTCAAGAGAAGGGTTTGTGCGGCGCTTCGAACGGATGTGGCAGCCTTATAAAGGTTCGAACGTGGGAGAAACAGGTTAACGTCCCCTTTTTACAAACTGGACGTAACATAATACGTGCATGTTCTCCCCGCTTCCCCTTGACTCCAGGGCCCACGGACGCGCTTTCCTAATTGACGCGTTCCAGACCTCCCTCAATTTCCGCCTACTTGGCAGCCAACGAGAAAAGATCCCCCTCGTAGTACCATCACTATCGCCCACGTCATCGTCCGCGTCTTCCTCGTCCTCGTCTTCCTCGTTCTCGGTGATAGTCATGGTAAATCGCGCCATGAACTCCTTTTTGCAGTGTCCATCCACAAAAAATAACATAGGTACGTACGTAGGTCGGAGTCACAACGGAACACCACCTTCTGCCCTCAGAGGCATCCGTTGCGGGCCCCAACCCAAGGGAGTTTCGTCTGCGACGACTTCCGCCGCACAAAGCGAGGGTTCGAGGTTGCGCACATCGCTACGTGATCGTTGATGTGCGCGAGCGAGAAATCGTCATCGGTGAGGACAATTACGCGGGTCGTGCGGGGCGTGGCGGATTCTGCGATGGTTAGGGCGGTCACCTCGTCGACGGTTTTTCCACGCCACCGAAAGCGCGCGGGACGGTCTTTCCCCGCCACCGAAAGCGCGCGGGACGGTCTTTCCCACGCCACCGAAAGCGCGCGGGAGTGGGTGAGGATGAGCGAGGCATGTCGGTGAGTAGTTTGGACTGGTTCGCTGTAGCTGGGACTCCAGAGTAGCGGGGACTGATGGGCGAGTAATTTGAGGATGTTGCGGGGTATGACGGACTCCTCGGACAGTAGCTCCCGGAGTGGTCCACGGCTTGCGCGTTTTGGTGATTTGGACCCGCTTCGTCCATTTCTTCCAGTCGGTTGCACGAGGAATGGCGGGTTTCAGGTTGTGGGCTTTGCAGAGTTGCACCCGGCTATGTTGTGGGTGTATGGTGAGAGTGGGTTCTTTGAAATGCGTTTTTCCTTTTGCCGAATGTGATCTGGGGTTGTGTGGTGACTAAACATGATTGTTTCCTCAACAGTCAGGATGATGTACCTCTCCTCCACCTACCCAGAGATCGGACCGAACGCCATCCACATCGGCCTCATCGATATGGTTGATGAGGCGGGAGGTCACGAGCTTGAAGCCCGGATCCCCAGTCTTCAGGTTGAAAGTCTCTTCGACGGTCTTCTTGACCTCCTAAATCGTCGGCCTGATGGGGTTAGGTGCTTGATTCAACACGACCATAGTTGACGAAAAACAAGATACCGACCTCGAAGTTAAGGTTGAGCCCACGGAAACCCATCAACCACGCCGGTTCCCATCAGCATCCCTCACGTCCACCGTCAATCTCGTCTCGACGCAATGGTCGCAAGGATGTCCATGATGGTGTCCTCTCGAGGTAGTGGTCGACAGGCCTTCCCACGACATCAACTCCACCCGTTTGTCATCAACGAAAAGCAGGATGGTCGGGTACGCATCCACATTGTCGACTTCGCAAAGAATCCCTATCGCAATTGATGCTGCATTCGATTTTGGCTATGTGCACGTTGGAGGAGGTGTAGTTGCGAGACTCGAACTCTTGCTGCACTTTCAGCCATTTTGGTGTAACCCGGGTGAGAGTCAAGGTATTAGCTTTTGCGGCACGTAACAGGATATTGTAGCTCAACGCACGTACCTTTGTGTGTACGGACACCAGCTTGCGCCGTAAAATAATCTGGGAGAAGAAGAAAGAGGGGCTTCAGTCTCGAGCAGTTTTGAAAAAGGGCAATTCCACAAAGAAGCGCCCACATCCAAGTATCGGCTTCTCTCAAAGCCTCTCCGACTTGCCCAGGTGCCGGAGAGCCCGAGGCAACCACAGTGAGCGGATGAGATACGTCCAGATCCAGATTGTTGTCAGATAGCCGAGCGCTTCATTCCAAATGAACATCCCGTTCTCGAAGCATTGCCCACATGGGGCAATGGGCGGCTGTCGACCACCCAGCGTGACTTGAGCATTCAATGTAGCCAGAGCGACCGCCTACACAGAAGGCTCCAGTCACGCGAGATATGGCTGCCATCATACTCAACTCATGTCTGCTAGTCCTCCTTGGAGATCTATCTCGACCAGACTGATTGTGTGCCACTAGCAAATGACGTTTGCCCCGCAAATTTGCCAGAGACTCCTCGGATGGATTCCCATCGAACCCCGGAAAGATCCACGCGTTCTGGTCTCCTTGCATCATAGCGTCCGCTAAAAGACCCCACACATCCTCCATGCAAAGCCTTCCACCTTTCAACTCAATGCCAGCTCCATAACTGGCCCCAAGAGCAGATCGGGCCTTCTTTGGTATCGGTGGCTTCCACCACAACAACACGATGACACGATGGCGGTGAGAGCCACGGAGTTGAGAGCCGTATCGCTGGACGCACTGGTGCGGTCGAGGCTGATGGTGGGCGATGCAGCGCTGGTGCACGTCGAGATCACCGTGCTAGTGGTAGCGGTGGCTGGAGTCGACGCAGCGTTGGTGGCTGGAGGGTTGGTTGTGGTGGTGGTCGGCGTGGAGAGACCAGTACTACCGCACGAGAGAAGCCCACCAATGATGCTCGGGATTGGGATGGGATCGTCCTCGTCGTCGTTCCTAAGCTTGCCGATATAAAAACTTGCCAAAGCAATACGCTATTAGGGAACCACCCTTCTCCACCGTCATCCACGCCTATAAGTGTCGGATGGAGGCTGTGGTCCCATGGACAGCGAGCACGATATAGCGTTGATGCTTGTGATCAGTCCAAATGACGCGTCTTGTCTGTACTGCTTCCGACGCGACGTTGTCGTCGCAGTCAAAGTAGCGCGTAACCACAGTTCTTCGTCATCCTCCTCCACACTTGTAAGTGTAGGATGGGCTGAGGTTGCCAGCGCGTGAACAGCAAACACGATATAGCCTTTGCGGCGCACGGCAGAGAGAATGGAATGTCGCTGCTCGGGGTAGCCGCTAGCACAGGATTTGCGGTGCCGAATGGTCGGGATCGCTCGAAACGAATATACCAGTGCCCGTTTGGGTCAGCTTGAACCCCTCTTGAAAACCTTGCTGGACGCAATAACCCTCACAGCGAAGACGTTTCCAACTGCTTGACAGAGGTTTCATCTGTTGGGGACCGTTCCGTGCCATTTCGATTAGTACGCAGTTGCGCAACTGTGTAAAGACTCCGATCGCGGCCATACCTTTAGATCCTGGTTTTCGCTGCCGATTTAGGTACGCTTTGTCCCTTCTAGTCGTTCGCCAAACTCTGCCAAGGTGAGCACCCCGCGGGGGAGCGCCAAATCACATTCTTCGAACGAGTGACGTTATCACAACACGTACGCAAAAAATAAGATTGGATGAGTAAGGGGAGTTGGGGTGAAGTATTTTCCCACGCGTGATGAGGGAGTTGGGGGTGAAGTATTTTCCCACGGGTGATGCCCAAGATGGGATGGGGTGCGAGGGAGTGGGAGGGGACGTACCCTTTGTAGTTGACGTAGAGGAGGTGCGCTGATACGCCCGCCATAATGAACTGAGTGCGTGTAAATGAGTAGGTGTTGGTTTCAAAAGATGCGTGGGAAAAAGGGAAGAAAGGCCCCGCAGCGGTGAGGAATAGGGGTATATACTGTACTGTACTATACAGCGTCCGCAGAGGGTCCGCCAGGGTCTGCAGGTTTAATTAAGGTCACGTGTTTCGGTGGACCCGTTCACTGTTCATGAACTACACAATCACCGTCCAAGGAACAGACAACAGCCATGGATGTATCCCCCATAAAGGGAGTAGCAGCACTTACTGACCGATAATTGTATGCCACTTCTCTCATCGAGGTCTCCTCGCGCCCCGGACGAACTCCAGATAGAAGCCCCATGGTGCGCTCCGGCAGCAAAACCGGTCGTCTTCCTCTCCGGAACTTCAAGAGCCTGCCATCCAGGTGCGACAAGTGCACCTATACCACGCAAGTACACTTGCACGTCAGCTCCGTCGCAATCGGAGTGGTGTCATCCTCGAGGAAACTTCCAAGAGTCCAAGGGTTTCGCGGGGATTATCTTGAGATGTCAGCCTATGTGTGTGTGTGTGCAGATTGGAGTTGTCGAGACTAGAGTACCCGGAAGTTTTGTGGAGAGGTGTCTGTTGGTTGAATGCGACTGGATGGTGGAGGATCAGTGTCTGAAACCTCTGAAACCGCCTTTGAGTGGGGAAGGCTCAACCCTCACTCGAGGCGTTTCTTGGAGCAAAAAGGCTGCGATCAGGACGCTCCGTCTACCTTAGCAGAATCGAGATGCCTTCGCTACCGGTCTAAGGACGGCATGTCATAAGGAAACGTGTGATTTACGACCGTATCCTAGGCCAAGCAAGCGGCGGGTATGTGCAAGTCCGAGTACGCTCGCAGATCCAATTGGTCGCAATCGTCAACGACGACGGTTGAAATTGAGTTCCTCATTCGGCGGCAGATTCGGCGGAGTGATGCGCGAGCGTCGTCCTTGGCTCCTTGTCCAGTTGACCAGAGGTCCGACCGCAGATCGAGCACTGTACATCGGAACTTTCACAGCGCCTTCGCTACCTGGTCTATTTCCCCAATTCTAATAATCAAAGGTATATCTACTGATATCACAACCAATGCCCAGAGTACGAATGCATGTCATCCTGTAATAATCGCCTTAACTGTATGTACCGCCTTTGCTAACCGGTTCAAGGACGGCGGTCTGCACGAGGTTGCGATTTACGGGGCAAAGGAAGCAGACCGGCGAGCAGTTCGATCATACGTGCGCCTTGCAAGTTGCAACTGACTCTCCTTGGTGGCGATGTAACGGAGTCTCGGACTTTTGACATGAGGAAGAGCGTCCACAACCGGTGGAGACGAAGTGTGTGGGGATCGGCCCACATGACATTTTAAGGGGTAGGCAGAAGGTTGGAGTCCAAGGAGATGCCTTCCTGGAGAACGAAGCATGGAGCGGCCACCGGCAGACATGCATGAAGAATTGCTGCCAGCGCTCACTGGCGTACGGGCGAATGACGAATGACGGCGGGCACATATCTAAATACAGAAAGTTTGTCAAGTTCAAGCTTTACGCACTCCAAAACGCGTGTGCGGGGACCGATTTTGGTTGTCTTGCTTTGTGCTTGGTGAGCACGAGGGCTGAAGGAGTTGGGGAACTTGGGGCCCCTGGGACAGATGCATGCTGTGATGGAGACATGATGATGATCGCTGGACCCATTTTTGCCACTTTGGGTTCGGTTTGCCATATGCGAATGGGCGATCACAGATGGGAATTTTTGCGAGTACGATGCATGTGTTTTATCTTCATTGAAGGCCCTGCTTTTGCATGCGCTTGCTCAGCCTTGCCGTGTCTGCTTGCTTCAGCTTTTACTCGCATCATCTGCATAGACGAATTCGCCCAAAGGGTCCTTGGACATGTATGATTATTACGTATCCGGGTTATGTTGTACGGACAAGAGGGGAGGTAATCTTACAACAAACTCATATTAAAGCAGGCGCAGGGCCCGATTCCTGCAGGTGTGGGAGAGCGTCTGCTCTGTCTGGGCGAGCGAGAGCGTGAAAGTGATCACACGACAGCGTGCTTGCGTTCCCCTTTTCACGCGCCCCAACGAGACCGTTAAAATTCGTGCCCTTCCCTTCCAAACCCAACGCCCCACGAACAACTCAGACCTATAACACATTCCCCAACGGGCACATTCCCACACACTCATCACTCACAACCTAAAAGGAACCTACCGTCGTCAGGTCCCATATCCACCCCCCGCAGAAAGCAGTCAGTTCGGGCAGTCAACTCAGCTCCTCTAAGTTCCGCCGGAAAGCGTAGAACTCCTACGTAGGACAAACCGTGCCGCGGAAACGGTCTCCCAACCACACACAACATATCCCGCCCCGTTCGTGCGTTACTCAACCGGAAAGCGGTGTGTTGCTCCCACTCCGACAAGCGTGCCAAGCGTCTAGGACTGGGAACACTGTTGAGCGAAGCCAGCCATTGAAACGAACGCACATTCCACTTCCTCTGGACACCATTCTAGCCACTTGAACTCCCGCACATAGCAGTATTCCTACTTCTCCGGAAACGCAATGGACTTCTCCGTATCCCTCTCACAGCACGCGGCGGACATTTCGTCGTTGCGCAAGTCGCTGTCGGACACGCTGGTTGGGTTGAGGCAGGATATGGAGTTTTCGAGGAGGGAGTTGCATCATTTGGGCGAGCTGCTGGTTGATGATGGTGAGTTGAATGATGCCGAACATCCAGCGCACTCTAACTTTGAGAACTGACGGAATTTCTTCGCAATCATTACAGCCCTGCTGTACAGATTTCTGAGAAAGCACAAGTTCAACATTCAAGCCGCATCGCAAGCATTCCTAGATCACGTCGACTGGCGGCTGCAAAACGATCTTCCCAACTACTCGACAGCGTCACTCACCCCAAAGGCGTCACAACTATGTCATGAAGGGCTATTCTACTTCTGGAAGACGGACGTCTACGGCCGCCCGCTCGCGATCCTCAACCTCAAGCGGCTGGACGCAAAGGGGACGGATTTGGAGGATCTGCGGTCGCTGTTCATCATGCAGATGGAGGTAGCGCGGCGGATCGTGCATTTCAACAACGACCAGGCGCAGAGATTGGGTGGAGAGGACGCCGACAGACTGAACTACCAAGTTTCCGTAGTGGTGGATCTCGACGGTGTCGGCCTCGGGAATATCAACTACGAGATGATACCACTCTTCCACGATCTATTCAGTCGGCATTTCCCGCAGACGCTGGGCACCGTCTACGTCCTCAACTACGGGTGGTTCCACTCGGGCATGTGGTCGCTGCTCAAGACGGCGCTCCCGGCGGACGCCTGCAAGAAACTGCAGTTCCTGTCCAAATCCGAGCTTCATAAACACGTCGACCCGTCAGACCTCCAACAACCCTTCGGCGGATCCGACCCAACCCCTTTCACTTACGACACCTCCCCGATCTACACTCAGTTCGCCCACCCAAACTACCACGTCGCCTCCCGTAGAGTGTTGGAGCAGCTCTCGGCTCTGGACGCCGAGGATGAAGGGTACCATGAAGACGAAGACGTGTGGTTCGACGCCATCGAGCAGCCCATGACCCCCGTCCGATCCGCAGCCGATCTCCAATCAATGCTCCGCGTCGCGTCGGGACGAAACCTCCACGGAATGGTCCGCGTGGGCTCATCGGCGCGTATTGGGAACGGAGCCTCGAGCAAGTCGTTGAAATCACTCGCGAGACCGGGCGCGCCTAACCTGCCGCCTGCGGGTGGCCTGATGATGCGTGCACTGCAGACGCCGCCTGTGACGACAACAGTGATCGCCAACCCCTTCACAGCCGCCGTCGCCGCCGCCGCCGCGTCCCTCCACTCCCCAGCATCCAAGCAACCCGGCCGCCGTCGCGCAATCGTCAAGAAAACCCTCGTGAAAGCCGTTCAAACACCCGCGCAGCCTTTCATCTCCTTCCTCTCCTTCCTCATACCCGGCGGCGCCAGCAAAGCCCCCACCGATATCACAACCAGCCCGACGACTTCATCATCCTCAGTACAGCAAGCAGGCCGCAAACGTTCCAAATTCGTCCTAACTCTCCTCTTCCTGTTCCTCCTGTACGGCGGCTGGAAATCCAAATCGATGCGGAGGCTGTATATCGGGTGGATACTCGGATCCTCATCCTCCGCCTTATGCTACAATCCATCACTCACATCGGCGGCGGCGGCGGCGGCTGCAGCAGGAGTCGGGGCGGGTGGGGGCGATACGGCGGAGTTGTCGGTGGGGAGGATGTTTGGGAAGGTGCTTGGAAAAAGGGATGTGGGGGTTGTTGTTGAGCCGGCGTTTGTGACGGCTATTGGGGGGGCGTTGGGGACGTGACGGTCGTGATGGGTGAAACAATATCTTTGGAAGAATCGACAAACCAACCCCCCATCCGCAAAGACACTACTACCCCAAACCAAAACCACCCAGATACCCAGTGTGTTATATTTTGGTTCCTTCGTGTCTAAAGATCCGCATTTTTTGTATAGTGCTGCAGTCATAATTCTATGCTCTGATTTATCAAATTGCTTTACTGCCGTGGTTATGATACATGGGTATGGGAGGGTGAGGGGGTATATGAGAATGAAAAGTACGCCGCTGGGGGGGGCAACCACCAAAGTTCGGCAGTCCGCATCCCTCGCGACCATAGGCGGTTGCTCACGCGTATTGGCCTTGTTATGAGGGTTTATAGTTTAAGAAAACCCCGTGACTGTCCTAATAAATTCAATCGCTTCCAGGAGAGGAAACAACCTGCTGTGGATTCCACTTCGGCATCCCCGCTTCCTTCGGCACCCCGCACATCGCACAACCCCACCCGCACCTTCTCAGCCCTCGGCATCCTCACCGTCCCCTCGGAAACCTCGCTCCGCCGACCGTCCTGGGAACGCCTGTATCGCCAGATTTCGCATCCTATAATAACCGGCTCGAAGTCAACCCATAGCAGGAAACGAAGACGAGGGAGCCGAGGCGAGAACCACCGCAAACGAATACGATCGGACGGACGAGGGTTCGTACTACAAAGAGGGAAGGAAGGGACATCTCAATATAAGAGGATAGAAAGAAGAGAGGATGTACAAGCTATACCTGTTCCGGAACCAGATCACCGCGCGGGTGCTGGTCAGTCGGACGTTTCGGATGAGTGTAAGTTGCGCACAATCCTTTCATATCTTGCCCCGCAGAATACCACAAGAACCCTAACCCGCCCTCTCCCTCATAAGGACAAACTCCTCTCCCAAATCGGCGAACACCGCCCGTCTCTCAAACTCCGGGGCGACCACTGGGTCCCCTTCGCGATCCTCACGGGCCTACCCACGCTAACCGCCGCCAAATCCCTCCAATCGCGGCTCGCCACCCCGCAAGAAAACCCCAGCGGGAAGTACCGCTTGCCCCTCCCCGAGGTGCGACCGAGCCCGTTTGAACCGAAGCACCCGAAAGCGGGACGGCAGGATGATCCGTTGAAGTTGAGGATTGTGGAGCGGGAGGTTGTGGGAGAGGGGGAGAGGGTGAGGAGTTTGAGGGGGTGGAGGGAGCCGGAGGAGGTGCGGAGGAAGATGGCGGAGTTGTGTAGGGCTTTGGTTGTTGTTCCTGAACTCCAAGCCCTCACTACCCAAACCACCACCACCACCACCACCACCAACACAACACCACCACCAAACGAAAAGGAAACGGAATCCAACCCCGAAACAAGAACGCCGCCGACAAAAGAACCGCTGACCCTCTACGTCGAACGCCCCGAATGGCGCACGGCAGCCGAAGAAGTCGACGGCCTCCTCTGGCCCTCCTTCGTCGCGCATGAGAAATTGAGGCTGGTTAGGAATAGGTACCCCGATATCCCCGGGTTTGATTTGAAGAGGTTGGATGATGTGCCGTTGGACGTCTTGAGGAGGGAGGCGGAGGCGAGAGAGGCTGCGGAGAAGGAGGGCAATGCGCAGGCGAGTGCCGCGCAGGTGTAGGCGGTCGTGAGAGATGGGTTCTGCTTTTTGAGCGCGCTTTGATCCATCATCTCTGTATATTAGACATCCCACCCATCACATTTTTATTTACATGCCGTGCAATAGACAGGGCTGGAGTATGCCGTGTTGTGCACTCATACACAGCTCTACCCAGTAATCTCAACCCCGCCATCTCTCGATTTGTGTTTGTTTATGTACATGTGATGTTCCCGGCATGTTCGCAGCGTGGGCTGCCTCCCTTCCCCACACCCCGTGTAGGTACGATGTGTTGTTGCCGGCTGCCGTCGGCGCAGAATGTGTCATTGGAGAGCGAGGCGGGGTGGGCGCCATGCCGAGAGGGCAGGGTATGATGTGAATTGTTCACATGAATCTATTTACACATGTTTTCGTTGCCGCGAGCCGGGATGTGGTGCAAAATCGCTCAATGCGAGTGCTGAATGAGAAAGGGGTCACAAAAACGTCAGAACAACTATACCATACTCCCCCCCAAAAACACCACCGCACAGAAACATACCTCAACAGCCAACAACAAGGGCGTGAAAATCCCCCCCATCAAACACCCCACCTGCCCCTTCGTCAGCCTCACCTCCCTGCTCCCGCTTTTCTTGCCCCGCTCATACACCTCCGGCAAGATATGCATGGTCGCCACATACAAGAACGTCCCGGCGCTGAAAAGGAGTAAAATCCCGGTCCACTTCCCCGTCGCCCCCGCGTCATCCGCCATCCCACCCCCGACCAGAAACATGTAGGTGATGAGTGCAGATAAGGGAGCGGAGAGGGAGAAGAGGGCGAGGTAGTTGTGGATCTTTTGGGGGGGCAGGGATTCGGAGAGGAGGTAGGTGGAGAGACCGAAGGCGGAGGGCGCCTTGTGGAGCATTATTGCGAGGAAGACTATGAGTTCTAGGCTGCCGCTTACTATCAAAAGAAGAAAAGGGAGGTGAGAGTGATGAGTGATGGGGTGGATGAAACAGATGCCGTGGATGAGATGCGATCGCGGCAATGATGTTGGCATAAACAGTGAATGCTCGCTGGTGGGTTGCAGAACAACCGAACGAGGGCTCGCTTGGCTTGCCAAAGAAAACCGCGGATGCTCGCTAATGCTCGCGTCTGCATTCATACTCGCCCCTCGCCATCACTCGTGTTACCTACCACTAGCACTCGCCGCGCCCAACGCAATCCCATCCGCCGCCGCATGCACAACCAACCCCACCACCGCAGTATTCACCCCACTTTTCTTCTCCTCCCCGACCCTGAAATCGTTCACGGTAACAATGCGCGACCCATTCCCTTCCTTCCCATGCCCTACATGATGGCTAACATGATCGATCAGGAACATGAACGCGAACCCGAGCGCAAGCGCTGCGCCGATGTATTTGTGGGCTTCGAATGCCGTCTCGTGTGTGTCGGATGCATGACCCCCTGCAGTCCCAGATATGCCGCCGCTCTCCACCACCCCGCCTCCTGCGGAGACTGATCCGCCGGCAACGACTGATATCGCCTTTGCGGCCGCCACCGCCGCAGATTCCGCCATGGACGCTTGCACGGAATAAAGCGTCTCGACACCTTCCGGCAGTATGACAATGAGTGCGGTCCCTACGAGCATGCCGCTCCCATAACAAGAGATAAGTTGAAGTCTCTTTTCACTGAACTTGAAAGCCAGTGGTATGAGCCCTGCAGTAAATGAGCCAAATAGCATGGCAAGACAGAGGAGGAGGAGCCAGGGGAATGAGTCCATTTTGGAGGATTTCCAAGGGTGGAATGGTGGTTGGCGGAGTGGGGTGGCGTGTTCAGTAGGTCGCAGCAGCGAAAGACAGCTTCGTACGTAGTCGACAGTAAGAATGGGAGTATTGGAGGGAGAAGACGACCGCCCTACTTCTGAGATAAGTCACTGGGGGCGCTGGTGGAAGCAGGTGTGCTTTGAAGCGGGTTGACGCTTTCCCCAACGGATGAGCGGCTGGTTCGCTTCTTCCTTGGCGAGACGACGGAGGTGAAGGGCGGAGTGTCCGTGAGAGGGGTGGGTATATGGGATATGTGACATACAGCGTATCGACCACCCGAGTTGCCAAGCGGGGTGAGAGTGAGTGTGGAGAGGACAATACGTACAGCAATATGGATATGTAGCGAGGTGTTTGTGGAGGGAGTATCTTCTTGCAGGAAACGCAGCGTAGATCTAGAGGCCGCTGCCGATGAGAGAGACTTCCCACGCGTCGAGGGCCGCCTGCGCAGTCCACGTCCACCCTTCTCGAGACTCCCCACAAGACAACGACGAGTGTCCCGCAGCACGGACATTCAGCGGTTTTGCGTTACACCACTTCGTCCCCGTCTGCACCTCCCCTTCGCGTGGTACTTGCTTCTCGGCACCGATGCCGCTTTCACCGATCCGTGTCCCTGTGCGGTACTTTGATTCCCTCCCACCCAGGGGTCGCCTACAATAGTCCTGTCCACACTTTTTATCATTGATTGGGCTAGAGGAGACCCACTCGTGGTCGTCTCTGCGGCTCCAAACCACATGCTCGGAAGCGGCCATGATCAATCTGATTCCGCCCGACTACATTCGGGAGTGTGGCGGCAAGCGTGGTTCCGGGGGCCGAACACGTTCGAGAGTGTGGCTTTGCGGCGTCCGATTCAGGTAACCGCAGCAGCGGTCTGCATCGTCGTTTAAACGGTGATGATGGCATGGTCCGAAAAAGAGGGGCGCACCATTGTGCTGTCCCAAATCCGCATTACCACCACCCATCAAAACCTCCCCCTCACACACTCCCCCTATCAACAATCTCCCAAACCTCCCCTCCCCCCACCCCCCGACAAACAACCCTCCCCTCATCCCTCAACTTCCCCAAATGCAACCCCAACCCCCGCCTCGCCGCCCCCCGCAACCTCGCCTCCCCTTCGGGCATATCCGGATACAACACCTTCACGATCTCATCCACACCCGCCACCCCCTCCCGCTCTCGCAGTATGCCCACAATCTGCGCCTCCCTCTCCATCCGATGCCGTATATACCCCTCTATCGCGGCCCGGGCGTCGGGTAGGACGTCCCCGTGGCCTGGGTATAACACTGTTTGTGTATCGACGGGCAAGAACGAGAGGAGTTTACGTAGGGAGGCGATATAAGTCGTCAGGTTCTCAAAGACGGTGGAGCCGTGCCCGAGGATACAGTCGCCGGAGAAAAGCGTGTGGGTGTGCGGGTCGTAGAGGCAGATGTGATCGCTTGTATGGCCGGGGGTGGTGATAATGTCGAGGTGGGCTAATCTGTCGCCGTCGTGGAGGGGTATGAACTGCGTGCCTTCCAAGCTGTTGATGGATGATTTCGGGTCAGGGGTGTGGTATTTGTGGAATGTCATGGTGATGTTTTCTTCTTTTGCCATTTTGGTAAGCTCGTCCACTCCCCCGACGTGATCAGCATGCCAATGGGTCAACACAATGCCCAACTCGCCGACCCGCCACTCCCTGACAACATTCTTAACCATCTCTACCCACTTCCGCGCAACGTCGCCGGCGGCGCCCGTGTCGATTAGGGTTGCGGTGTGTGGGGAGGAAGGGTGGCGGAGGAGATAGGTGTTGGAGCCTTGGAGAGTGAATGGGCCGGGGTTGGGGGCGATGATGCGGGTTGTGGTGGGGGTGAGGGCGGTTAGGGGAGCAAGAGGGGGGAGGTGGGGGGACGAGGGGGGTTGGTTGGTGGAGTTTGTGGTACACATTTTGCGGGTCGAGAGGCGGATGGCGGAGAAGGTTGAAGTGGGGTTGTGATGTGGGCTGAAATTCGAAGCTGAGTCTTGTGGTGACGCTGTGGGAGCTCGGTGGAATCGATGCCGAATGCTGCGTGACGAAAGGCGGTCGACGATACGGAGAGTTCGACGGCAAGGTTGTGTTGCCATCCAGAACATGGGAGCAGCTTTTTCGATCTCGTCGAAGATGATCTTGCACCTCAGCTTATCTGTCGGAGCTGTGACGTACACATACAGTCGGACTTCCGGCCGTTGGGAAGGCAGGAGCTCTGCCACGGGGAAGCCGGTTTCGTGCTATGCACGCCGAGAAGGTCGCCCTACTAAGCTTGGCTAGCAGGGCTGAGTGTGAAGGAGTAACTCCCGAGACGTCTCCTCCTTCCCTTCATTTTCCGCCCGTATCGTACGTAAATTCGCCCAAAGCGCTGCATGTGAGACCTCCGCTCCCTTGGCTCTCTGAGACAGCGTCTGCATGGCAAGGCGCGGCGAGCTGCAAAGCTGCAATCCAACAATCCAACGACCACACCACACCACACAAGACACGTGAGAAGCCTTTTGAGGGTATTGCTCGCTCGCCGATGCAAGGAGGATGCCCATAGCATCTATGACTAGCTTCTATGGAAGATTATGTAGCTATACTCCACTTAAACTTTACTTTGGGATCAGAAGTTCTAGATAGCTGATCTCTGAAATGAAAAGGATACCAGTAGTCTTTCTTCACGCCTCTAAATGTCCCAGACTGGAGATGCAGTAGTCTGGCTGTACTTTCGACGCTGCTAACCCTTCTGGAGTAGTTACGCCTGTGTTGAAATCCAAAAATAAGCTGCCACATCCCTTAGGAACGCAATCAGTAGAATGAGTGCTTACCTGTCATTACGAGCAACGTCTTCAGTCCTCCGTTTATGCCGAACTCTATATCGGTGTCTAATCTGGTGTGTTGAAGGATGTTCAGTACATGGTGATGATGCTCATAGGCGAACGTCCAAGAGTACCTATCACCAATCATGCACGTCTTCTCCTTATCCAAATGATACTTAGCCACAATCACATCCAGCATCGTCTGATGCGGCTTCCCCAGCACAGTCGGCTGTCTCCCCAACGGCGTCGTCAGAGCCGCCAACAGCGCGCCCGTACCCGGGTAGATCGATTTGCCTGCCGGGAAGGTCGAGTCGCTGTTGGTGGCGAGGAAGTGACAGTCGGGGTTCGAGTGCAGGTATGTGAAGGCTTTTGCAAGCTTTTTGTAGTTGATGTTGAGGTCGAAGCCAAGGAGGACGGCGCCGATGGAGGGGTCGGGTTGGATGGTGCCCATTTCGTCCATGCTGCCTAGGTTCTCGATGTCGCTCTGGGAGGGAGGGATTGGTTCAGCTAGAATCAATGAGAGTTTAGTATCGACGAAGGTACGATCTCACCTCGCCACCAACGCTCGCTACGCCCTCAGAAGCCAACTCCTCTTGCACACCAGCCATCCCTACGACGTAGACCTTCTTGTCCTTCGGAAATTTGAGGAAATTAGCAACATAGTAGGCGGCCGCATATGAAGATCCAAAGATTTCCTCCTGCATTTGAAACTACAGGTCAGCAGACGCAGGACATGAGTTCAAATGAAGATGTGCTTACCGCTGATGCATCGATCCCTAATGAAGCAAACTTTTTCGCATACGCTTGTCGTGACTTTGTGCTGTTGTTTGTGACGAACAAGAGACGCTTGCCCTAGTAAACGTATGGTGTGTCGTGTTTAACCGTCGGCCTGACACGTTATCTGTCCACTGGACGCCGGTCGCTATAATACCTTCTGCCGCAAAGTCTTCAGAACCTCGCGAACGTGGTCGATAACATGGGAGCCGGACCAGATCACTCCTAAAAACCTCCCGCAAAGGGTGCCGTTAGTCGAGTCCCAGGTGAATATAGGGAAAGAACTGTAAGTTTACCGTCACAGTCAAACAAGAAGGTATCGATGGAGTCAATGAAGGTGGATATTTTGCCCTTCTTTCCGTCGAGGCTTGTGGCTGCCATAATGTATGACTCGAGTGTTTACGGAAGATGGCGACGAGTGAAATCAACCGTGGGGCTGCACGTAGGGCTGGTATGCACAGGTAGTGTACGAGTTATAGGGAGACGGTCTAGCGCTGTGCTGGTGTCCTGTTCAGTAGAGCAATGGGGAGTAATGAGCAAGTCAATGCCGTTGGGCGTTCGCGAGGGGAGTTCTGGGGCCATTTGTAAGTCGGGAGAGTCGGGAGTTCTTGCTTCCTCACGCGTACGCAAGCTACAGTACGTAGGCAAGGGAAGTCTGTGAAAGCGAGGAAACCCAACGTTGAGACTGGAGAATTCATGCTCATATTTACCCACCCTCCTGAGATTGAAGAGACCAAGGACCGCCTGGGAAGCTGTTGGGACCGGCAACGACAGCGGCCTCCTCCCACAGTCTAAACATATACGGTATAAAACCGGAGTTCCCGCAATGAGGCAGAACGGCGTCACGACGGACAGGAGGACAACCCGTTGCAGGCTCACCCTCCTCACCCGCTGCGGTGTCCTCTCCCCGCACAAGCTGAGGTTCAGGGTCCAGCGTTTACTCCTCGCCCAGGTAAAGACTCCTAAAAAAATGGCGGAATGCCCGGCCAAACGTCGTCAAGATCACTACGATGGTGACTAAACCCTGCCAAACCTGACCTCCTCCCGCTCCGTCCTTCTATCATGAATATGTTCTATGAACGAAAGGCTCGCAAGTCCCGAAAACACCACTTGGTAGAAGGTGGCCTCACGGCTATTGTCTCGGCGCTTACACGGCTTTCAGAGGTCAGCTATCCCATTATATCTTACAAAACACTGGCTCGTGGGAAAACCGGTCTGACGGAGCGCTTGCATCAAATTAGACATGTGTAACGGCATCTACACCCGATGTCCAGGAAGAAATGGTCCATCAGCTGGCGACCGCTCTGGCGGGGAATGACAGCCGGTTTAGGGAGGCGTGTATACTGGCGACCGCCGGGGGCGCGCAAGCACACGTGCCGGTGAATGTATTGTTGTGGGTCGCGAAGAGTGGGACGGCGGCTGTTCGTGCTGTGAGTATTGATGGGCGGGAGGGATTCGCGAGAGAGTTTGAGCGGCAGCGGATGCGGTTGATTCGCGGACTTGAGACCCAGCGATAGTGGGCGGCGAACGAAGCACAGTCTCTCTCTCTGAAGCCGCAATAGCTTAGATGTCAGGAGGGCGACCCCAAGCAATCCTAGTTTTTTGGCGAGCCAAGCGAGCCAGTCGTCCTGCAAGCGCCATCGTCGCTACCTGTGTTGTCGCAACTCGCAGAATACCGCTTTCAAAACGCAGTCATGCATTACATCCATCAATCGCTTTCATAGCAGCATTACCGCGTATTCGTACTTATTGATTTCTTCTTGGCACCTCCAGGCCGTCCTCCAAGTCCTCTCCCACCTCCTAACCACGAAAGCCATCCCAGCCGATTCCAAGATCACCTCCCTGGCATTACAATTCCTCGACGATGATTCGGAGCGGGTTCGGATGGGTGCGATTCACCTTGTTTGGTAAGACCTCTTTGTTTCACAGGGGTGGGGACATCAAAGTTCAACATCGCATATTCTTGGCAGGCTGCTCTCAATGCTTCAGCTCGAATCGCGACAACAGGGCAACAACAACGCGGCGAAACGGAACCATGTTAATCCGATTGATCCGTCGTTTATTGCACTGTGTGGGGCTTTGGGGGATGCGTGTGCTTCGATCAGGGCTAAGGTGAGAGTGGGGAAGGATGGTCGGAGACTGCAGATGTGTGGTAGCAGTGGGAATGTGCGAACGGGAATGGGCTGACTTGCGCAGTGGGAATAAAGCACTCGCGCATGTCTTTGCGACGCCATCTACTGGGATATCGACCACACCGGCAGGACCTAACCTCATCCGGTCTCTCCCATTCATCGCTCCCAAAAAGGCCTGCCTTTACATTGGCACCTTCAACGCAATGTCCACCGAACTCGCCCTCCAACTCCTCAGAAAAGAGCCCGTCACACGTCGGATCCCTGCCAACGGTCCCAAGGTATGCCGCTTTCCCAATTTGTTACTCTTACCGGCGTCTCGGCCGCTTTGCTGAAACTTCCAATCACGAAAGCAAAAAGCGATTGTAGAACCCATCACGCGCTCCTACCCGCAACTCCTCCGCGACCCGGCGACGTGCGGCGCGTTCGTGCATGGGATGGAGGATGAGTTTGAAGCGGTTAGGAACAATGCCGTTGGTGAGAGGGGTTGAGTTTGCGAGGCGTGTGGTTTTCTCGACCGGTGTTGAGTTGCTCATGTCGATGTGATACATAGATGCCTTAACGACACTGAGCATGCACCGGGTCGAACTCGCAAAAGTCGCCATCAGCTTCTTCGTCGGTACGCCCTCCCGTGCCTTACCATCCCATCTCCAACCTCCCTCACTCAACTCCCACATCTACCCATCAGACATGTTCAACGACGAAGCGGAATCGGTCCGCCTGAACGCCATCACCTCCTTCCACACGCTTGCGCAAACGCAGCCGATCACATTGTCGATGGAGAATGTGAAGACGATGGCGATGGTGTTCCAGGATGGGTGTGCGGATGTGAGAGCGGCTGCGCATCGGTTTATTGGGTATGTTATTTTCCGTCGTCCTGAATGTGTGTGGTTGATAGGACGTCTTGTTGATCACTCCTTTTGGTATGATTTTAGAGCCGTCCGAGCAGCAACACCCACAGTAGCAAAGCAAATCCTTGACGTACTCAGCGCAGGCATCCGCCGATTCCCGGAAGACAAACTTTCGATTTACGCGTGTCTGCAGGGGTTTGGGCGGATGAATACCGATATCGTTGGTGAGGGAGAGTTGATGATTATGGCTTCATGGGTCAGGGAATGATCTGATGGATGTGATTTGGTACAGATGCACAGCTCGGCGCGATCCTGAAGCTAGACAAACGGTTCCTCCCAAAACAGCCCGATATCGAGGACATAGAATGTAAGTCTCCCCACAAAATACCCTCCCCATGCAAACGCGCCTCACACCCTCCACCGAGCAGATATCGGCCGCCTGATATGCGTGCTGAACGCTGATAAGGATCAATCATTGAAGTTCCCGCGGTTCGTTTACCAGCATGCGCTGTATTTGCAGGGGAAGTATCCGCAGTTTTTGCCGTGTGAGACGGTACGTTGTTTCAATTACAAAATTTGCAAAAGCAGTGAGGGGTTATGAGGGGCTGGTGACATAGCTATTAAGATGCGGGACGAGTGCCTTTGAATGACTTTATTACTGATCTCGGGATCTTTACTACAGGACTCGCTACGTGTACACAAGTCCTTTTCGGTGCGGGAGTGGGCGCCGGATGCCGCATGTAAGTGTTTACCTCTTGTTCCATATATGAACGTTGATGACGCATTGACAATACATGGAATCGTCGCAGGGACGGCGACGGAAGCGCATATCACTGAGGCGTGGAAGACCTGGCATACCCACCATCCGGGCGCGGATGCTGCGTTGGAAGCTGGGCGGATTGCCAGGTATGTATGGGATGTGAGATTTGTGGCGTAGCACATTTATTTTGTGAATATACGTGGGTCCATTTCCCGCCGAATGGAGGTTACGAATCGCTGACGGATATGCCTCCCTTGCGCATCATGTTACTAGCAACCTACATCGACTGGCACTCCCATCCTCCGACCCGAACGCACGCGCGCATTTCTTGAGCGCGTACATGCGCTGTGGACAGTGGTTCGCTCAAGTAAATTCATGAACTATCACTCGCTGGTTCCTAATTTTCACTAAGCACTAATCTCCCAAACCGTAGATAAAAACCCAAATCCGCACCTTACACAACCGCCCAACAACCCGTCACTCCGCCACGCGTCTTCTCGGCCTCTCCCGGGCACTGCCGCATGCATACCACGGCCTGACGACGGAATTGAAGGCTGCGTTGGCGGTTGTTGAAGTGTTCGCGATGGCAGCTGGGGTGCTCGTAGGCGAGGATGATGGTTGGGCACGGGCGATTTGGCTGGTGGCTAGGCGCGCTGAGGAGGCGGAGAGGTAATGAACCCAGAGTGTGTGCATTTCCCTCCTCTTCTGGGTCAGCTGGGTTCATCCACTTTGACGCCGTATGCAAACTTACTCTCACTTCACACCACCTAGACTCACAAGTCGCGTACCCCACGCGCCAACCAACCCGTCTCTGAACCGCCTCATCGATGCCTTCCAGGTCAGCAGCAATGTTACAGCTGGGAATGGCGTGCCGCGAGTGAAAGCGGAGGCGATGTTGGAGTTTGTTCAGGTATGCTGATATATATATCAGAGCAGCGTGTACAGGTGCATTTGCCCAAACTCTTTGTCTTTATGAATGCTTTCATTCCTCCCGTTCTCGGCACGAACGCAATCTCAGACACTCCGCTTCCCGACGCCGCCAACGCCAAGGATCTTACGGCGCGTGTGATGCGTGCGCCCCACGCCGGAAATCTGCGTTACCACGGTGCTGCGGGGGGAAAGCAAATGATATTCCTGGGCGATGTCGTAGTTTGCGTGGTGACAGTGGAAAAGGCGTCACGATCAAGAATGCGCTCATACGAGCACCTTGTCGTATCTCGCATAGGGTAAAGAACAAGGTTGCACAGCAAACCATTGCACAAACGTTCGTGTCCCCAAGATGGAGCTCTTGCTCCTACTGCATATATATATCCACCGTAACTTTTGTACATAGAAATGACCTATTTACACGGTTGTGCGATAATCTTTCGAACATTGGATGGGACTGTCTCCGACTGGCGGCCAGAGCAAAAACCGCGGACGGGTGGTAGAAACATAATATGGCATGTTGTAGAGCGGGGAGCAAGGTGAAAGGGGAAGTCTCGTGGTTTGTCTCGGTCCCGTCCTCACCCGCACGGCACCGGTGATCATGTATCCCATCACAGTCCCTGTCAGCCGCATCAGGAAACACCTCTCGCTGACTGATAATGTCCGTGCTTTTCAAAATAATACGGGAATTGACGAATTGAAAACGAACCCGAAGCATCCACATCGTCGATGTTTCGAACATCCAGACGCCCCGCGTAAGGTCATGCCTGCACGCTCATCGCCGGAGGCGCATTCGGCAGCGTGTCAACCTCCCTATACAGCGGCGCATCATCCAGTGGTATACCCTCCTCGGGCTCCGTGACCGCGTCCATCAGAGGCGGCGGCGACTGTTGTAGAGTGAACCCCTCATCCGCGGCGGCATCGCTAATGAAAGCCGGGATCTCGAGTACGATGCGTTTCCGTTTGAAGCGTTTGAAAGCGGGCAGATTGATAAAGTCGCGCCATATGCTCTTCTTCCCAAAGCCGATGTTTGTGTCGTTGATTACGATTGTGGGTGTTTGATGAGGTCGCTGTATTCGTGGTGGTTCGTATTCAATGACAATCCGGATGAAGTGCTCGACGTTGAGCATTGCAGTGCGGCAGTCGGGCGCCGCGGCGGTCGTCGCTAGCGAGAATGGGAAACTTGCGCTGCCGCCACTTGATTGCTGTAGCTGGTCTGATGCGACTTTGTACTTGATGGGGTGTTTCGTGACGGTAAAATTTTCGACGGCCGGTTCCATGCCCTGCAACGTGGTGAGTCGGCGGGTGAGGGGCACCCATACGTGTTCAAAAGTCTGCCGTTCCCGTAGACTGCACTCCAGGTGGCGCACGGTGGATACGCTCTGGCCCTTGTCTTTCAATTCGAGATCAACTTTGGAAAGGATGTCGTCGCGGAGAAGTGGGCGTGGTAAGGTGATGATGTACTCGAACTCTTCTTTGGGTGTGGTTCCGCGAAAGGTCTCTGTCCTTCGTTCCATGGTGGTCGGCAGCTTCCACTGATGCGAGTAGTTCCCTCCTGACGTTGAGCTGCTCAATAGTCGTGGGATTGGCTCCGTTCGCGCTGTCTGTGGAGCGTGCGGGTCTGCGAGTGCCATACCCATGCCATCGACATGTGGGAACATGTCCACAATGCGAACGTTGTTGGACAGATTGCTGTCGCTCCTGGATCTAGCGGGTTCCACAATCAACCCGCTCGTTGAGCGAAGGGGCGGAGATGTGATATTTGAGGATATTGACATTCTCACAAAGGACGAACGAGTGGAAGAGGGAAAGCCCCGTCGAACGACGACTTCACGATGATATGCGAGAGGATAGAGATGCTTTCTTTGCAGCTTGACGGTCAGTTTGTATGAAACCTCCGCATGGCGCAATTTGAGAGAAGGCGGAAGGTCCGGCGGTATAGATATCGTGAATGGGAAGTCATGTCTGCAAGACAGCGTTTAAGTCCTTTTTGTCCAATCCAGATGCTACACATCATCTCTCTTTCTTTCTCACCTCCCGTCACTCAGGCTCCCCGCCCCATCACGCTCCGAGTTCCATAGCACTTCCGTCTCACTGACGAGCTCCCTCCCAATATACGGGTTTGAAGGATGGTACTCCGTCTCAACCCCTCTGAATTCCACCTCTATGCCCGTAAAGGTATTTTTCAGGTTGTATACAGCCACCGAGCCGTTGAACACGACGGGAGGTGGGTCGAAAAGGTCATTGATACGTTCCGCTAAAGCCAACGGCAAAGATGAGTGTCCCACGACGTAGGCAACCTCCTGAGGGGATGGTGGAAGTATGACCGGACTCGGACACGAGATCACGCACTTTGGCCTGACAACCATCAGACTGTGAGGTTTGTAAGGAGATAGTCGTGAAGCCGTCGAAATGCTTAACGGCTTTCGGAGGGAGTCGTAGAACCCTTCCCAAGAATGCTTGTGGATGAGGTCTTATCCCAGATCTGCGTTCTACTCAGTGACGTTATGAAGTTGTGGTGCCCTCGGAAACCCATCTCTTGTATGAAAGTTTCCACCCATCGGCGATTCTGTATGCCACCCAGCGAGCGTTCCTTGTGCGCTCCTGTCTCCCCATGTGCCATGTGGTATCATATTTGCTGTTCAGCCAGTGAACACTATGTGTCATCCATAAAAGTGGGGTAGTATTGTGGCATTAACCATGCAATGAACTAAGATATAGAGGATCAGCGGACCGAGGGGAACGGGCCGATGCCGAGAGATAACGAGGAGGCGGGTCATGGGGGTTTCGGGTGCCCTTCGGGATGTTTGCAAACGCTTGCTAGAGGAGATGGGGAACAGACGAACCTCTGACACATGGAGATGGACGAATCCTGTGGCTGGCCCCTCCTCCCTCCCCAGCACATGATGTATGCGACCCTTCTCTTCCTACGTCCTGCACAGTTACATGTACAGTACCCTTCCATGCCTTCTCATCAGAGGCTTCCGGAACAGTTGTGTCATCAGTATTGGGAACGCGTCAAATGAGAAACTGTCCGTTTTTTTCCCTGTGGCCAAGCAACCGTATTTGTAACATCGACAGAGGATATGCATCGACAGAGGACACTGACGTCTTCGTTCGAAGGCGATCTGAATATGCTCGGGCCGGAATCCTTCCAGGGAGGAACCGTAACCCTCAAAGAAACAACCCTGTAATGCCATTTGTACTTTGAATTATGCGAACTGCTCGTGCTTGCCGCGATCTAAACGGATTGTTTTGCTTCCCTTTCACCATCCGGGAGGCATTGCATCATTTTCGAGCAGCGGCGCCGGATCAGCCTAAGGTACACCACTTCTCTCCTTTCAATATGTACCTCACCCGAGGGCTTCAAACTGCGCTCTTACCGACTTCTTTGACGTACATACGTACCGTGCATACGTACTGTACATGTAGGAAGTTTAGTTAGGATATGCACGTATATCTCAACTCCCCGTCGGCCACTTACCAAACGTCGAAGTGCATATCTCCGTCAGTCCCATCAGTCCAGAAGAGCAGGGAGAAGGACGGGGCTAGTCAACAAAGGGTATCTGCATGGCTGTCCTGTAATGTTGCATAGCAGTTTACATTGCACCCCACAGCGCAAGGACCGCACCACAACCGCTCAAAGATTGGCAATCAGACTCCCAACCACTTCAATATGGAGGGAGAACCTGCAAAGGGCAAGAGCCTGTTTGACATTGAGGGAGACTCCGGGACGGAGGAAAGAGGAGGAAGGGCAGGAAGATGTTGAAGAGGGGAACAATGACATGGGGCAAGGAGAAGAGGCCAGCTTGAAGGAAGCCGTACCTTCCACGCCAAAGCGAAAACCATCTCAGCAGGCTACCACAGCAACGGCATCCAGAGGAGTGGTAGCACCAACGTCAGCAACAAAACATAGCACCAAGCTGAGGCTTGAGAAAGTACGGAAGGATGTACACATTTGGGCGGAGAAGATCAAACCTGACCACACAAAAAAGCAACATGGGCCAAAGCAGAAGGAATTCCTGCGGTGGTACGCAACAGATTTCACGGATGAAGCGCCACGCTTGCCAGGGATTGTGTCTTCCAGCAAACTTCTCGTCTTCATGCAGGAGCAGCTGATTCAAAGCGGCTGGAGAAGCTGGGTGAAACTTATGGAGTCAAACCTTATGGACTAGGCTGTGCGGTTTGCCTTTGGTGCGGGCGACTTTGCCCAGCGGGGCGGCTGGAGAAGGCCTCATGGAGCCGTCCCTGTGCAAGCACTTCAGCGTGAACTTGCAGTACTTGGTGCAACAGTTCTGATGTGGCCAGAAGGAGGCTCAACGGATAACTGTTTCATTGGCATCGAAGGTTGGTTGAGTGTAGCTTGCTTGGAGCAGTTCAATGGCCAGAACGAGGCTCGACTGATAACTGTTTCATTGGCATCGAAGGTTACGAGGAGCTCCCGTTCAAAATGCCCGATGGGAACATGCACACGACGTCAGCACCCGAAACCCGTTACTACAACTGTGAAAAGCACCCCAAGGAATGGTTTCGGCGGCACAGGGACAGTGGTCGGCACACCTTACGCAAATATTGCTATCTCGGGGATGTTCAAGGAGTGAAACAACACATCCTCCCTTCATTGTGCCCAGGGAGGGAACGAATGAGAGGGCCAAACTGGCATGCCCCCAATCTACGCCGCACGCCCCCATCAACGCCCAATCGTTGACCAAGATATTCAAGCTGGAGCCACTTTCCGCTTCCTTCAGCATCAATATTCCCGACATCAAGGTCATCAACCCCCGTGGAATGTGGGGCCATGGGAGCAGAATCCCGCTCCCTTGTGGTAGATATGTACGTAGAAAGGAGAGGGGATAATTAGCTTAGGCCCAGAGCCACCCCTTTCCCTTCCCTTCCCGATGGCACTCTGAACCGAGTTGCATCTTGAATACGCGACCCATCCCCCTGTGTGGGCCGTGCGCGCCACGTCCCATGTCATAGATGCGCTTTCGCCGTCGATCGGTGCGCATCGACGGTTTTTGACAGCGCGGTTGTCGCTGACGTTGAACAATCCCCGCTCCGAGCTTCCAACCGGTGTCTCGGCTGAGCGGGCTGAGAAAAGAACCGATACGCAGATCACCGCCTCTGCCTCCCGCCGGATGGGAAATGAAAAGCGGAAATGAAAAGCATGTGCCTTCCCCGATCGGATGGAGCAGTGTTGGGGAATCTTTGACCCTAAGGGAAAAGCGGGAGACGCTGCCAGCTTTTAGAAAGCTCATGATGATGGATGTGCATAACTGATGACCAACGGGCCAACCGTTGCCGCCGCGACGGGAGGTAGAGGCGGTGCGGTATCCCCCTGTGCTACTGGAGGACAAGTATCTCGCGCTGAAAAGCAGCTCGTTTCCACACGACGGTCAAGCATATCTATGGCCATAGACTTATCCATGTGCGCGCCTTTAGGGTCCCCATCACTCGTCGTCGGGTGAAGCAACATGGTTTTCTCGATGACGTGTCGCTTTTCAGCGCCGGCAACCCGAATTCCCGCCATTTATGCGTGCTGCAGATCTTCTCAGGATGTGCCATCCAGATGCCATGCATTTTCATTCCTTGGCCTTTATGTGATGTAATGAATGCGTTAAGAAGCAATGTACAAAAGGGGGAATGGGTTTGGCGAAGGGGTATCATGGGGGAAAATACATAATAATACATCGCGAATGGGGTAGGAGGTAGTCCTCCAAGCCATATAAGAGGTGGCTATGCATGCGCTTCGCTGAGGCTAGCTGAACTCAAAAGATGAAGCAGTCGAATGAGCCCATGTGCGGGGAAATGACACTGGGAGCCGCGTACTAACCGAAGTAGGGATGCATCAGCGCTTCGGTGGCGGTTAACCGCTCTTCCGGATCATATTGAAGCAGCCGATCGATGAGGTCAACCAGCAGGCAGGTTCCTGGGCCGGCGCTGAGACGTGTGAGGGAGTCCAGCCTCGTTCGCTTTGTGCTGATGGGCGGAAATCGTGACGAGGATGAGCGACGATGAATGAGATGCATCCGTCTAAGAAAGCAGCTTTGAGCTTACCGGCAGGTAGATACGACTTCCAGAACTTCTGGGGTCATCAGGATGTTGCTTTTGCTTGCGTATGCTCTCAGATCCGCGCCGCCGAGGAGTTCGACTATGGTAGCAAGTTGATCCACGTCGTCGGTGCCTTTGAAGAAGACTTCTACTTGAAAGACCTACATTGTCCAATGAGCTCTCAGTCTACCAAACAATAGCCACTCGCAAAGCTCAGTTACGAGCTTACCATAGCAGCGAGCACACAGCCGACGCTCCACATGTCGAATGAGTAGTCATAGCGACGTTGACCGAGAAGGATCTCTGGCGGCTTGTAGTAGCCGGTCCCAACATGGACGGTGAAGTCTTGGTCCGGCACGTATACTTCGGCCACCCCCCAGTCAATGAGACGGAGTTCGCCTTTCTCCTGGTCAATCATGATGTTCTGAGGCTTTACGTCGCGGTGGATGATGCCTTTGGAGTGTGCGTACTGTAATGCCTTATGGCATATGGAGACGGAGCGACAGAACGATGAGTATACATGCGTGTGCTTGACAGATGTAGCACCGCTGCCTACCATGATGACTTGGAAGCTGTATCGCTTTTGGTCTTCTTGGCTGAACGTTGGGGAGATGTCCATCCAGCTCGTGGGAGGAACAATCTTGAAGACCAACGCAGGGAGGTTGCTCTGTTGAATGAGTAAGGCCGGACGGTCAGATGATGCATGCGATGAGCGGGTATGAGCTCCAAAGTATCTTACGATGCCGTCGACGAAGGCTTCGTGGAACTCTGTAATGGAGGGATGGTCGTCATAAGTCGCCGGCCCTCGCCGAGTAAATTGATGTCTGCAGACGCCATACCGATGATGTTTGGACCGCCGGCGAGCCTCTTGAGGATGAAGATCTCGCGTATGGCCTTGCTCATGCAGCCCTTCTTAAGGGCTTTGAGTGCGTATGTTGTCTTGTGGTTGGGACGGCATGCAGCGTAAACGATGCTGTTGGCTCCTTCGCCAATGACTGGGCCTCGTTTATAAACTGAGCCATCACTGTAACGGAGATCATCGAGTATTTCATCAGCGACGACTCCTTCAAGTATGGACGGGTAAGCGGCCATCCACCATTGACGTACCACCATTGCGGGCTACTCGACTTCCAATCGAGTTGCGGTTCTTCGATGTCAACGAGCGTGCATGAGGAGGAGGGAATGTTGCTGCCGTTGGTTCTTGAACCAGCCTGATAAGAAGTTGGGTCGCTTGATGCCCGACACAGGAAGCGGCGGAGATCACCGCCGACAGCCCCGGGCGTAGACGGGCTCATGCCTGGCGAGTCGTTCGTACCACTCGGCGTCCACGACCGCCAGCGACGGCCCATGCGCGGGGTGCATTTCTTGTCATGGCATTCCGAATCTAGTGGTGAGGGTGGAGTTTGACCCCGAAAGTGCTTAGAGAGAAAGGGAAACATAGCGTGGCGGGTAGGCGAATGGAACAACTTTGCTGACGTCGTTTTGGTTAGACACTTTGCGATGAAAACGGGTGCGGACTTTTGAATAGGCACCTAAGAAGAAACGAATTGGGTTGTTCCGGACCACGATGGCACTTTAAATATGCGTCGTGGAATGGAAGCCGCCATAGAACCTGGGGAAGAAAACTTAGCGCTTGGAGCGGGTTGCGTTCGCAGGGGTCAGAGGAGAACACCGATTGCTCTTGAATCATCTATTGATGAAAGCGGTGCTGTTGGTCAGGACATTCCATTGACGACCAGGCAATCGTGACAGCATGTTTCTACTATCGGATGCGTGTGGGCAGCCGAGAGCATCGGCAGTGAAGCCACGCATCATGGTTTCGCGCTTTTTTGGGGAGAACTGGTTGGAAAGGATCCTCCACTTCACCCCATTGTTCGCTCAGGTTACCTCCTGCAAGGCGCTGGGGCGGGAAGACGGACGAGAGCGAAACAATCTTTCTCAAATTGATTGATTGCATTTGCTGAGGGGCTCGATGTTCTAGGTTCCTCTCGGATTGACCTTTTCGTGCCCTTGTCTTGATGCCGGTGACTACACCTACCTCGATCCTGTCGAAATGATTTCCAGGTCGTAATAGGTTTCGCTTTGTAGAGATCAAGGTTCATACCTGCAGGGTTTAGCGATACATTTACGGAATCCCGAACGTAATCCAGGGGTATACCGCAGGCAACCGAGGTTACGCCTCCTCATGACTGGGTAGTTTGACGCGCTGCTGGTCCATGAAGGTCGGTCGAGGCAGTGAGCCTTGTCGAGTGAGGTCCAGGGTCTTGCCTGCAGGTGTTGCCACCCATACATCATGAACGATATGCTCTCCATGTGCAAAGGCTCAGACATACATGGTTGAGGTTTCACGGTCGACTCACTTGACTGTTGCCGTCCATTCAGACCGAAACTCTCAGGGCTCGGCCCGGTCCCTGGATTGTGTGAGGCTGCTAAATGGGGCGGACGTCGGAACCAGTGTTACTGATGACCCGCGGAGGTCGACGGGTGTTCCAGATGCCTGATGGCCCAAGCCCATTGCCGATCCCTGAATGTTGCAGCTGATTCTCGGAGCCTCAGATGCCCCTTCTACACATAAAGGGTCTGCAGTGGGCAGCCCACGCCGACGCCGACAGATGATAGATCTGCACGTATTGGAAACCTGCGAATAGCGGTAGACAGGAGCGATCCCGCACGGCGATCAGGGGAACGGGCTAGGTCTGTAGCGGCGGAGGGGAATGGCTAGAAGTGGGTAACTCGTGCTAAATGTGAGTAACTCGGGTTAGGGTTAGACTAGTTAGACAGTTGCCGAGCGGAGCGGGTAGACCCTGATTGTAGGAGGCCGGGTAAGGCCTCAAATGGGTGTGGGTTTGTTAATCAAATGGTTCACTTTGGCTGTAAAAAAGTCTTATTCTTGAGGTGAGCTACCCACATTTAGCACGAGTTACCCACTCCTAGTGACGCCCGCGGCGGAGTGGAAAGTTACGTAAACAGCGCGATATGTTGGCGAATCGGCGATTCGTCCTGTTCCAGCACTGAGTGCTTCCTTCTGCCATCGTGCGACGACTTCTCGAACACCGTCAGGGAGAGCCCGAGACACGGGTGCGAAAAGCGGAGTTATTGCCGTCTACATTGGATCGGTTCAAAGCAATCGAGGGTGATGGACCACCTTTCATCAAAGGTATATAAGTAGGGGGGCGATAGCCGAAGCCCTTTCCTGATGCCAATCGAAACTGCCACCGTGCTCGGTGTTCGGATCGAACCGAATTCTTTGTGTTTCTGGAGCGCTCCGACCGACAGATGCAGAACTCAAAAGGTGTTGGGTGTGTGGCTCGGAGTGACAGTTTCCTTGTTTACGATACCATTCAGGGGCAAAGAATATTTGGCTCGTGTCGTACCTCAGGCATGGGTAACGGGTTGCATGCATCCTTCGGGAACTTGTCGTACATTCGGTCATCTGGGGTGCGTCTTGGGCGGATGACATTGCACAAAACGCACAGTGAGCCAGGTGTGCTGATCGCTCTTTCAAACTGGGTCGAGGCCATGCAGAAGGCGGGTGTTCACTAGTGTTCATGTCGCTTGACCTCGACCATCAGTCGGTGCATCTCGGGCCTGACCAGCATTAGATGTACATGCAAGCGTACCAGCGAACACCTTTGTCGAATGTACAGAAGCGAAAAGATATCATTTGGTAAACGAAAGCGATGTCAAGTCCTCAAAACTCTCAACGATAAGACTGTAAGTCCTCAAGGCTCTCAACGATAAGACTGTTAGTGGGCGATGATGGATGGTCCAGCAACAGGTTCCTTAGTCTAGGGAGTATGATTGGAGAAGACTGCCGAGACATATAGCAAGAACAAGAAGCGGATGGCAGCAGCGATATGCTCTACTCAATGTTTTCAAGTTCTCAGTCCCTCGGTCTGAGCCATTATTACATTCAGTTTTTCCTGTACAGGAATTCAACCAGGTTCCATGGTCTAGGGGTTATGACTCAAGACTCTGAATCTTGCGACCCGAGTTCGAATCTCGGTGGGACCTTGCTTTTCCCCAACTGTTTTTTTGGGGTAATCCCACGATTTTCAACTTGAACCGCCCAGGAGTGGGTACCGACTCCTAAAGTAAAGTACCACATGCAACCGACTGGCTAAAGTTTCCAATCACCATGTCCTTACTACCAACCCTCAAAGCCCACCTCGCCGACGCCCTTACAACACTTGACTCCCTACGGCATACCCTGGACAACCTAGTGTACGGCGATGGAGCGTTTTCTTCAGAGACCGTAGCAGGGACTACATATGCGCGGCATGGGAAGGTAGCGGACAGCGGGGGCAGCAAGTGGCCGGGAAGCTTAGCGGAGGCGGTGCAGCAGGCGCGGGACGACGCTGGGATGTTTTTTAGGGCGGTTGGTTGCAATTATGCGGTTTCCAACCATGAGCAGGGAAAACATGGGATGACTGATCTTCTACCTCTATGCAAACACAGATCGACTGGACGGAACCCTTCATCCTAACCCTGGTAGGGTTTCACGTCGTGTTCCTGGCGTGGATATGCACGGGACGGAAGCAGTATGCGCGGACGGCGGTCAATTTCTTCCTCGTCGGTTCGTTCCCTTACTGTTCAGCTCATCCGAAGTGTAAGATTAAATACGCTAAAACACCGGATGGAATCCACAGGAGGACTCATATTCGCGTCACGATGGCTAAACACGTTAGGATCGCAGCACTACGCTAAGCTTGCGAGCGTGGACTATTTTGACCCGCATGGCACGTTTTTGGGCGTCATGTGGGCCGCACCGTTATTGGGGGATCTGGTTCTTTTGACGGTGAGTACATGAGCGAGGAGAGGTGTGAGCGGCAGCGGATTCCGAGTCGTGCTGGTGGAGACGCGCCCACTGACCTGTGGTCTATATCGCCAGATATTTCTGCTCCGACAGTCGATGGATATGATGATTCAGGTGAAACGGCAGCAGTTGCGGAGAGAACAGGCGGCTGAGAAGAGCGGGAAGGTGGGGAGGAGTGGTAATTCCGGCAAGAGCAAGAAGCAGCGGTAGTCGACTAGAATCTCGGTCGCGCCCATGCTCAGCTAACGCCTTATGACCGCCGGTCCCCACTGTCAGACGCTCGTTGCTGTAGATGGTAGACGACAGGGATCTGCAAACAAGAACGTAGGATTGGCAGCTGGTCTTCCGGAGACCATCTCGGACGTTGGTGTTCGGATATGTACATGATGAAGAAACTAGATAAATTAAGTAATAGCGTGCTATGCTGCCAATGGGTTCGTGAGATGGCTCTACAGGAAGAACCGGCGACGGCTGGTGTCCAATTCCGGCTGCGTAGAGAAAAGAGTCTGCATGAGTATATGCTGCAATCCCCATAAGCAAAACACAATAGCCCATACCTTATGCATCCACTCATACTCCCCGAACCTGGTATCAAAGGTCCCCTTCTGCAGCCACCTCAGCTTCAACGTAAACCGCGGTCCCAACTCCTGCAAATCGCACCGCTCGCCATCCTTGAAAATATACCGATGTCGCCTGAAGAAGATGAAATCGCGCTGGTTGTGGAAGGTTGCGACCTGCCGGCCTTTGAATTCGGGGACGTGTGGGAAGAGGGAGGCGAAGAAGCGGCCGATGGTGTGGCCGAGACGGGTGTTGAAGTTGTTGAGGATTAATTCGGGTTTTTGGGGACCGGCGCGGCCGTGGCCCTGTTTGCGAGACATATATGTGAGGATCGGTGGTGGACAAAGGATTCTCAAAGAGGGCGCGACGTACCCTGATCTCTTGACTCAGCTTTATACTGCTCAGTTTGAAATGTGCCGTTGGTCCATGTGGCAGATGGATCATCGTTATGGCGTCTAGAATGGGTAGACATGGGTCTTTGTCAAACGTCGTCTTTTTAACCACCGCCTCTCCTAAGGTCCAAGCTTCGCATCATCCTCTGCTCTCGCATCCCATCCCCTCTGCACAGCATCTCCACTCCCCTCCTCCTCCACCCCCAAATCTCCCCTGCGTTACAAAAACGGGCGGACGTACTTGGCTTCTTTCGGTCCTCGTTAACAACCACAACGTCTGTGTAATTCCGCTTAATGGCAAGTTCCACAATCTTCTTGATTTCGAACTGCGATCCACGTTTCACAAACTCGGCGTCAGGGAATATCGATACGAACTCTTCTGCAAACTCGTAAACGTTCTGTTTCGATCCAGCAAGCAGAAAATGTTCAGTACATCAATTCAACTGTGTCACTGAGCCACTGAGTGCATCTCAATCCTCACCGCACTAGGCCTCTTGCTCGTCGTAACCAAGATCTTCGGCGGCAATCCCCCAAAATATTGCGCAAACTCATCCGTCTCCTCCTCCTGAAACACCTCCTCGTCCTCTCCCACCACCGTCTCGTCAAACTCCCTCATGTTATCCAAGGTCTTTGGCGCATTGTCCTTCAACCGCTGCTCCTTCAACTCGGGTGCGTCCGCTTCCTCTTTCTGGATCCGCTGTCGGCGTTTCAGCTTCGCTCGAGACTTTTCTGACTTGAGCTTCGAAACGACTTCGGAGCGCTTCATTTTGTTTTTTATGTCGTTGGGGTCGGTGGCTGGCATGCTGGGCGAGGTTGTTTGTCACCTTGCGGGTGAGATAATTCGTGGGAATGCTGTAAAAGGGGCTCGGCACTGTTCGCTTGGTCGGAATGCTGGCCCTGCCGCAAAGATATCGGCAGACGTTCAGGTCGGTTGACGAAAAGTGCGAAAGTCAAAATGCACCTCACAAGAGGGAGATGACATGGGCGCCATGTCGCAAGCCACACCAAGCCACATTGACGGCACCCGACAATTCAAAATACTCGACACCGTCAGTGGCTGCTAGAAGTACTGTACACTACCTCGCAAGTATGCTCATAGCTGGCCGTCTTTGGATTTGCTCCTTCCGCATCGGAGATGTGAACGCTTCAGGTCACATCCATCGATGCCGCTTCCTTAAAGGTCGTGCATTCCTCTCGCATTCGCCATAGAAAAGCTGGTGGTGGGGAGGAGAAACCAGGGAATGCGAACGCTAATATGCTCCTCTCTTTCCCAGCTGGTCGCATGAGTACCACTACCCTGGCCACTATCGCGGGCAAGCCGATGAAATCTACCCACCCTCCGACAACTCCACCAGGGCCGAAACCCTCTCCCAGCGTGAAACCCTTCAACCTCTTTTGGGTAAATGCCGTCCTCGCACTCGCGGGCACCGTAGTATACCGCATCAACACCTCCTACGTCGTCGCCGCCGCCGAGCGAGGCGAAATACACCCGCTGACGACATGGCTGACGCGGTGCACGAACCTGATTTATTCACGGCGGAGCGGACGCATGAGGACCATTCGGAGTGGCTCGCGGTGCGGGAGAGGGAGGCGGATAATCTGCTGATTGTGCAGAGTGCGCATGAGCCACGGCCTTGTAGGATTCGCTTCCCGGCATGTTTGAGCGGGCATCGCATTATTTGATTGATGTGGATGTGTCGGACGTAAAGACTGGGTATTCGTGGCTTTCCCGAGGCACAGATAGATGGGGATCGAGGACACTGGATTGGTATATTTGGATTCGGCCGCAAATAGGAATTGATTGGCGCGATCAGACTGGACGGACGCAATGAAGATGTGAAGAAAGCGCCAATCGAGGCTTATGTATCGAGGCTTTCATCGACCGTAGCGACGTCGACCGTAGCCCAAAATTCTATTCTTGATAGTCCTTCCCAGACGAAGTCCGTCCAACACTTTGATACTACGCCGTCGGCCGCTTCGGGCCAGGCGCCACAATAATCGACAAAACCTCCTCCAAAACCCACGCCGTCAGTCCCCAAATAGTCTTCCCCTCCCCCACAACCCAATTCCTCACCTCCCTGCCCCCATCCCTAAACCTCTCCACCTTCGTCTCCATCCCCACCAACTCCTTCAACCCAACCGCAAACACCTCCCCAACCTCACTATCACTAAACCGCATCGCCTTCGGATCCACCGGCATCTGCACATGACACAACACAGGATGTATCAAAATCGTATGCGTGCGGTCGGGCATCGGATGGAACACCCCCAATGGCGTCACATGCACGGGGTCAATGAAGATCTCCTCGTGCGTCTCACGCAGCGCTGTGGCGTACACATCTATATCCCCCGGGTCCATTGATCCGCCTGGGAACGAGATCTCGCCGCCGTGTCGCCGGAGTTTGGCGCTGCGGACTGTGAAGAGGATCGAGGGGACGGAGTTTACTGTGCAGAGGGGGATGCAGATAGCGGCGTGCCGCCATGTGGTGTTCTCCGGACCCATGTAGCGCCATTTTGTGGGCTTGGTGGTGTGGAAATGAGTTTGGAGACGGTTTTGGTAGATGGCGAGGAGGCCACGGTCGAGGTGGTCTGGGGAAGGGGTTGGTGGTGGGAAGCGGGCGCCGGTGCGATTTGGCAGGAATTGGGGTGCTGCAAGCGGTCGTGGTGGTGAGCTGGTGCTTACCGCGGGTGGTGGTTGTGACGGTAGTGAGGATGGCGACCCTGCAGACATAGCCTGTGATGCGGACGGCAGTTTTGAGGCAGCTGAGAACGACCTTCTGAATATCGACGGTGAGCAAAGGAGGGTGCTACATATACGTCGTGATCTTCTCGTTGGAGTTGGTGACGCCCGCGCAAGCATGACTCAGTCTCTCGTGCGGCTACAAGCGAAGCTTTGGAGCGCGGACGGAATCGCGGAATGCTCTTCTCCAGTTACCGGTAGGGTGAGAGAGGACGGTCCTCCTGCATGCGTATGTAAGATCTCGGGTGTGAGTGCAGAGTGCAGACTGCAATTCACAACTTGCCCCTTGTCGCTGCGCCGTCAGACCACGATCGATGACGCATCATTGCAAGGCATCGCGTAATCAGCGACTCCGACTACATTGTTCGCCCCAAGGCTTGCCCATTCCTATAAGCCTACCAACTGACCACCACTGAGCGAGGTATGAGGAATCACAGCAGCCGGCCTAACGATAAGAAGACACCCCGTCAACAACGTAGAAGAAAAAGTAGTACCAAAAAGAGCAAATCGTATTAAAAAACAAAATGCGAAAGCTGTAATGTCTATGGGTAACAGTAAAAACAAGAATCTATGGTAGATCTGAGGGTATACTCTAAAGCGACAGAGTAGTCTAGTGGAAAATCTACGCCGAGAGGATGTTGTGGTTCACGAGTTCCTTGCGGATCAAGCCGGCGATGATGCCGTGGGTCTTTTCGGTAGGGTGAACGTCCCACATCAACTCGGGGGATGCACAGGCGGACCACGTGTTGAAGTTCGTGATGTCCGGCTGCGTGATGCATGGTGTGGTGGCATTCTGGAGGGTTATGTGGTATCCGAACGACTGGGCGTTCAAGATGACATACGCCAGACTAACTTCCATCGCCATGGAGACAACCTTGATGTCCGGGTTCGCAAAGTCGAACTTGAGGATCTCTGACGCGAGGAGGAAGTTGTGAGTGACCCAGGGGAGGCCGCTTGCGGGGGGCAGGTTGAACACGACAATATTTTTAGCTCCCGCAGCTGCAAGAGCATTGAGCGAAGTGACGATCCCTTTCACAACTGTGGCGGGGGCAGCATCGGGCTTGTGGAAGTAATCATTCGCGCCGGACCAGACGGTGAAAAGTGTAGTGGCCGCAATGTCCTTGGTGAACTTGCCCTTGTTCTTGGCAACCCAGGTGGAGGTCTGTTGCACGAGACCGGGCATCTGGTCGGGTAGGTACTTCTCGCCGATAACACCCTGGCCGGGGATAAAGTTCGCGTCGGAGGTGGAACCGCCATACGCCAAGTTCTCGACGGAGGCGCCGAGGTTCTTGCTCAAGGAGTCGACCCAGTTGTTGCCGTTAGTCCACCGACCGTCTTTGTAGAACTTCTCGGGCCACAATGCTGGGTTTGCGGCCGTCTGGGACTTCAGGAGGAGAGCGCGGGAGTTGCCCGTGTCGGAAAGACTGTCACCGAAGACGACCATCTTCTTGACGCCGACCGGCTTGGCACTGAGGATCTCCCATGGCAACAGACCTAGAGATAACCGCCGCTCGAGGCTGTCGCGAGCAGCCAGGGTGGAGTGGATCTCGCCTTGAGACAGAGCGGTAGCGCAAAGCGCAGAAGACAGAGCGAACCCAAGGATGGCGAGGGTGGACTTCATGGTAGCTGTTGTTGGTATTGAGCTGTTGGAATGAAAGTAGGACGGGAAGACGGATGGCACCCCCGGCTTTTATCCCGATGTGGGAGCATTTGCGCAAAACGAACGATCTGCCAATGCCGACCATACGCGCAAGAGCAAACCACGCGCGCACCCCCACACGCATAGCAAACTCCGGACTCTTTTCCGATAATTCCAAAGAAGTGTGTTCCCATTTGTGAGCACATTTCGAAGCCTGAAACCGTGGGCGATCCCTGTTTGTCGTCAAATACGCCTCTCTAAACGCTACCTCACTCCCTTTTGGGCCAAATTTGGACGCGAGCTTCGCGAATTTGGGTTGCGCTTTCGCGTAACCGCGGGTGAAAGCGGGCTGGTACCGCTGGGAACTGCTGGGATCGGGTGTTTGGCAGACAATGCTCCGGGATGTTTGGGACAGTTGTAGTGTGCCTGTTTTCGGTCGTCCATTGTCGGAACCTTCATCCGCACCGTGTCGATCAATTTCATTACTTCCCGAAAACACGGTGTGGTCCAGCCGCCATGCAGCGTCCACTGACCGGTGTTTGGCCGCGTCGCATGCGCCACGCTTACGAGGCGAGGCTTGAGCCTGCTTTGAAATTTGCGGACGAGTGCGTGGCATGTGTGCGTTCGTACCGAAGATAACCACAACCTGTACAGACACATTTTCAGCTTCCTTCATTTTCAAATGTCCAAATTAGCTCTACCAGCAGAGAGACGGGCGGGGATGAAAGAATACTGTGACTACGATTATATATGCGTATATTAGATACTGTTAATGGATATATGAGGGGTACTATGTGAAGCGGTTTCTACGCCGTATGATGGATGCAAGAAAGAGTCAAGGCCGCGGTCGTATGCGTTGGCGGGTAAGGTGTGTGCGTTCGGATTGTGGGACTAGAGGTGTGTTGGGAGGCTTTATTGTCTGCCGGCCTTGTACATGGCGGCGATGCGGGCTTTGTTGGCCTCAACAATCTCTTTGCGCTTGAGTTTCTGCGCGGCAGTCTGTGGATAGGACAGATGGATGAGGAAGCCATATTTGGCGGCGCGTACAATATCCAAGCAAACTATACATACCAGCATCTGGTTCTCCGGTGTCCACAACTCGGCATCAATGGCAATGTGTCCAAGGATCTCCGCGGGCTTGAATCCACCGTTCTTGGCCATCGTCCTGAGGTCCGCCAGCAGCGCCTTCAGGATCAGTGGGCTCTCGCACACCTCATCGAAATGACCGGGGACGCCCAACTCCTTCGCGAGCGTCATGATCTCCTTCTCGATAGGGTTAACGATCGCGACGGCGAACGCCTCCTCGGAGTGGGCGTACACGCAGATGTTGTGGGTGTAGGGAGAGGTCTTGTACTGCGACTCGAGCTTCTCGAGAGCAATGTACTCGCCGTTGGAGAGTTTCACGAGGTTCTTCTTACGGTCGATGATGGCGATCGTGCCGTCCGGGTAGAACTCGCCAATGTCGCCCGTCATCAACCACCCGTCGGCGGTCATCGTCTCGGCGGTCGCCTTGGGGTTCTTGTAGTACTCCTTCATGACGGAGGGTCCGCGCATCCAGATCTCGCCCTGGGGACGTGGTCGGTTGGATGGGTGGTAGTTGGTGTCCTCGACGGCGGCCAGCACGATCTCGACGGTGGAGGTGGGTGGTCCGACACGACCCAGCATCCATGGGTCGGTGGGGAGCTGGATGACGTTGGCGGCGCAAGTTTCTGTCATGCCGTAACCTTGGAGGATGGGGCAGACTGTGCAGGTCATGAACTTTTGGGTTTCCTTGGGCATGGGGGCACCGCCGGAGATAGCGTACCGGAGACGGCCACCGGTTTGGGCGCGGATGGGCTTGAAGATGGTGTTGTCCAGGAAGCCGGTGGGGAGACCGTATTGGATCAGCTGCCACTTGAGCGCGACGGCCAGGTCGAAGATCCGCCTGACGTTGGGGGACTTTGCCTTCAACTTGCCCATGACGGCCTTGCGGATGCTGTAATTTGACAAAATCGGGATCAGATGAATACCGGAACTTGCTTGAGCTTTCCCTCAATCACGCCAAACTCACGTTTCCCAAACGGCGGGCACACCAGCCATGACAGTAGGGCGAAGTTCATTCAGATCGCCCTTGCAGTTACGAACGCTAGCGTCCGTCAGGGTGCGAACACTTCCGTAACCGATGGCGCATCCACAAACGAGCGCAAGGTGCTCAGTAACAAGTTCCAAAACGTGGGCGAGAGGAAGGTAAGCAAGGTAAACCTCGCTGGTGGTGGGGAGAATAATGTCTCCGCGGTCCTTTGCGCCAGCAACAGCAGCAACAATGTTGCGGTGAGTCAGAACAACACCCTTGGGGTTACCAGTAGAGCCAGAGGTGTACATGATGACGGCGGTGTCTTCGGGCTTGGGGGGGACGGTGTCGACGGGGAATTCGATTCCGAACGCGGCGATTTGGTCGATGTGGTAGAGGGCGTAGTGAGGGAAGGTCTCCTTGATACGGGCCAGCACTTTCTCGTCGGCGGTTCCATTGTAGATGATCCTCTTCAAAGATGGGACATTGGCGCCAACGCTGGGCATGATCTTGAGAAGGTCGGCGTTGGTGAACAAGGTGGTGATCTCGCACTCGTTCAGAGAGAATGTAAGACCTTCCTCTCCGAGAGTGTCGTAAGCGGTGGTGACGGCGATGGATTGGGAGAAAGCGGCGTGAGCCATGAATTGCCAGTCACGGCTGGTAGCCGCGAACAGGGTGAGCTTGTCACCGGCCTTCAATCCAATGTGCTGCAGACCACCTCCAAGCTTGGCGACGTGCTCCTTGACTTCGGCGTAATTCATCCAGGAGTATCCGGACAGCTCGAAGAAGTTCCACTTCTTCACCTCAGTGACCTGCTGTCCACCGATCGTCTTGATCACCTCCTTCTCCTCCGTGACCACGCGAATAACGGACCGAGCTCCCATAGCGGGACGGGTGGGGAACTGCTTGGCGGCATGGAGAATGATATCGTGGACGGTGTGGACATCGGGATGGGGACGCTCGTTCAAGGCTTTTTCCGAGGTCAGAGCACGACGGGCCCGACTGCGAGTTGTTGTGGCCTGGCCGACCTCGACGGACCGAGGCTTGCCGTGGTGCAAACCGAAGAGGTAAATGGGGAGGAGGAAAGCAATCGCCACCCAGGCGACGAACAACGTGAAAGCCATGGCGAAGGTCGAGTGGATCAGATGTAGGCGGGTAGAAGGCAGCTAGCACACACAACACAGGGTCTGAGGAAGAAAAGGGGCGAGGAAGGAGGCCGGATATATATACGCTCGTCTGTACACCCGCCTATGGCTGGAACCTCCGACGGCGGCATAATAATGTGGTACAGAAGATATCTGCGCAAATTTACGATGACCTTTGCCCGGTTCTTGCGCGACAGGCCGCCGCGGCCGGGCCGGCGAAGACCGGAATCATGGAGGCATGGTAGTATTACGATTTACTAGTAGTAGCCTGCGGCGGTCCAAGAAACAAAATGCAGCGCAGGATCCACGAATGTGAAGGTTGCGGCCGCTTTCAAGGCAAGGACCATCTCAACGCGCATGGTTTCTGTTGAAATTTCTCTCGAAATGAACATACGAGACGCGTCCGCGCACAGTGCCCCCCCATGTGCGTGGGAGCCTAACAGCTCCTACTCCAAATTTTCGCGCAATTTCCTAATGTACATATTACTGCGATCATCACCTTATCTTCTAGCGTGATGTCCATTGCCTGCGAGGGCCTCAAGAAAGTAAGAAAAACATGGTATGGTATACTGGTTCTCGAGTCCGGCTAAAATACTCTCAATCTCATGCCAAACGTTGGATTCATTTGTAAGTAATAACAGCGGATACAGGGACTCATAAATCTTTGTTGTGGCTATTGGATCTGAAGGTGCTCCAGATCTGAAGGATTCTGAAGCCTTCTGGTCCAGCCTTCCGTCGCTTCTACAGTATTAGAGGCGGCATGTACAGTATATACTGTACGCCCCAAATCTGAGGTTTCCCGGGATGAGTTCTCCGAAACAGCTACGACCCGTGCGACGGCAGTGTGAAGCAGCACATGCTACTGTTCATGGCATGGAAGCCCAACTCTCGTCGCATACGGCATTCCAACAGCTCAACCATGACGACCTTGTTTATGCCGCCACCGCCAGTTCAGACATGATTGCCGAGGCTGATAGTGTCAAAATGTGTCGCTTTTCGACGCGTAGACGAAGCTGTGGAGATGACAGACAGTGCGAGCAAGAATCGAAGGCCTTCCCACAAGTGGTATATGTATGTACGGCTCGCCCCCGCATTACGTACTGGAGACACAGATTCACAAGCGTATCTTCAGGACGACGGTTTATCTCTTCTAGTCTTCGACCAGCCCTGAAGCTTCACTGGAATAGAATGAACCCGAAAGTCACGATAGGCGTGGTGACTCGCAGCCAGTCCAGGGTCTTGAACGGGGTGGCACAAAGCTTCAGGTGGATGGAGCCGCCATCATTTTTCCTCCGAGTTGGATTTGAGTTGGAGTTTCTGAACGTGATTGCGTTTAGGGTGACCAAGCGTAAATCTCAAACCGATGCTGGGAAGTCAACCAAAGCAGTGACGGCTAAGAGGGCGAAGACTGCTAGCCCCGATGTATCTTCTTTACAGCCGGCCGATGCGCCAAAGGCGGTAGGCGCCGAAGAACTGAAAACAGTTCCGGCGGCTGTTGCAGAAAAGACCGCGGGCATAACAATACCGAGGAAGTTATTGGATTATGAGACGGTGGTGGCACATTTGACCCGGCAAGATCCCGCGCTGGCAAGCATCATAAAGGCGTCGGCGAAGAAGTGTCGGATATTCGGCGATTCGGGCGATGCAGGAGCTGAGGGCAGACAGTTGGACGCTTTCAAGGCGCTATGTACCGCGATAGTCTACCAAGTTAGCACACTCAAATTCTCTCTAGTTCATCTACCACACTCTGCAGCTACTTACTACTGCCTCTCTTCGACAGCAACTGAGCGGAAAAGCTGCCTCGGCCATTTTGAAGAAGTTTCTCAGGCTGTTCGGGATCACATCTGAGGAAGGAAGCGATAAAGAAATCACCAGCGAACGGAAGCCAAAAATTTTTCCCACACCACAGGAAGTCCGCGTTATTGATGTGCAAACCTATCGAGACGCAGGGCTCTCATATAGGAAGGTATTCACCATCTGTTTTCCGGTTGCTCCGTCGTAATCATTGACCCTCCTATCTACCAGGCGGAATACCTGCATTCCCTTGCCGATAAATTCATTGATGGATCAATAACAAGTGAAGGGCTTCTGAACATGGACGACGAGGAGATCAGCAAGCTGCTTTGTAGTGTCAAAGGGATAGGACAGGTGCGGCACACTCAGGCTGAATGTCCTTACTTCGAATTCGAGCTCATCAGGTCATTCACTTTTTAGTGGACTGGTGAGGCGTTCACGTTCGACTGACTTTCGGACTTTACTTCTGTCTGACATCGCGTCTCCAGTGGACATGTTTCTGATGTTTGATCTCAAGCGTCCCAACATCCTACCCGTTGGCGATCTTGGCGTGCGGAAAGGCATGAGCCAGCATTTCCAAATGAAGGCAGGTGCTAAGAAAGGGAACAAGACGAAGAGCAGCGGGGTTGCAGGCAAAGGAGTGTACCTACCGACGGTAAGCTTACTATAAGCGTAGAAGGATCAGATCATCAGCATGTTTCGAATGAAAACGTTCCCTCAGCCCGAAGAAATGATAGAAGCCGCCCAGGTATGGGAGCCCTATCGGTCAATCGGGGCCTACTACATGTGGCAACTTTTGGACATCAAGACAGTGGAGAAAGAAAAGTAGCGATCCGCCCAACATTTTTGATAAGGACGATCGTAGAGTAATCAAGTACAGTAACATAGTAGCGACTCAGCATGATAGGAGGAGATCATACCCAAGAGGACAATACCAAGTGGAACGATACTTCGGTCTTTTTTGTTTTCCTTTCATTTTGCTCTCAAGTCTGTTGTTATAATGATGCTTATTCCATCAAGGAAATCCAGTCTTCTGGAAGATGGCTTACCCGGGGTGTCTTCGACAAGGTGTCATCGTTTGTGTTGCCAAAAAGCTTGACCTGACCTTGTCGTTTTCCTCATAATACAGTATGACATCAGCAGGGCGGAGCTGTCAATGGAACTGTCAAAATCAGTAGTTCTTACGCCCCCGCCGCGTCGAAAATCTTCATCTCTCGAACTTTCGGAAGTCTACATAACCTCATCTTCGGATTTCACTATCATCGTTTACTTCGGAACTCAACATCCATACCCTACTTCGGATCTCTATCATCGAACTCAACATCGGATTTCCACTCATCGTAAAGCATCGTCAAGCTTCTAACTCACGATCAACAGAATTGTTCATTATATCATCGACATGCTAGATATCATCATCTCTATACTCTTCTGCATCATCGAATCCCTCATTCGAGGCACCGTTGCTAACATCGCTTCGCCGCTGTTGAGCGTTTATGACACGATGTCGAACAAACTCTCGTCGGCCTTCTCTGCGGCTCTTTGCATTGTCGGAGGGCCGGGGCCCCTCGAACCCCACCTTCCGCACCGCGACCGAGCTATTCTTGTCACCGGGACCAGTGCCGGCATCGGCCGCCAGGCCGCATGGGCACTAGCGTCCCAGGGATACACGGTCTTCGCCGGGGTGCGAAAATTGAGGGAGGGTCAAGAACTACGCCATGAATTTCTCAATGCTCAGTTTCGGGAAAATATAGTCGCGGGACCATGTCCCATTGGCGAAATTATTCCGGTCGTCTTAGAAGTAACAGACAAAATGTCTATCTTAACGGCCAAGAATACGATTGAGAACGTTCTCCGCGGCCGTGGCGGCAAGCTTGTTGGCGTGATAAATGTCGCCGGGTTGATTTTTCTATCACCTCTTGAAACGACGGATAGCAGCGAGGTTCGCCGTATATTCGATGTCAATTTCTTTGGCGTGCTGGACGTCGCGCGGACGTTCTTGCCTTTGCTCAAGAAATCGCGCGGTCGCATCGTGAATGTTGGTTCTGCGGCGTCGTTCCTCGTTGCTCCTGCGGCTGGGATCTACTCCGCCAGCAAGTCAGCCATTGGATCGGCCACTGAAGCTTTGCGTATGGAGCTTGCAAACTCCCATGTCGGCGTGTCATTGATTGAACCAGGTAGGCATTCCGTACAGGACTTTGCGTTGCTTACATTTCTGACTAACCGGTGGTGTTTGCCTTTATTAGGTGCTATTCGTACCAGAGCATGGGACGTGGCGGTCAACACCTTACCCAAGTACAATGCTGATCTCCAGAACGGAACAGCCGGAGCCAGTTCCGGGATTGGCTCAGACGGCGTTTACACGAAGGCCACAGCAGAACCATTCCAAATCGGTGAGCAAGACGCAATTGGCCCCGACGGCAATGATTATCCACGCAAGGAACGCAAATACTCGGTAGACTTCGCACAGTGCCACCTCGGCTGCACCAACAGCGGGAACGGCGACGGCGCTCAGGTGTGCAACAGGGATGCGAGCTTCGGCATCTTCAGCCATGAGACTGTAAACAGCAAAAATACGGATGGTACGAACGACAAGCATATCAGCGGCGGCGCAGGCAATCTTCAGACCGCGAACGGGAAGAAACCCAAGAAGTCGAAACGAGGTGGTGCGCGGCCCGCCCCCATTAGAGCATCATACGGCAAGCATCAACCGGAAGCTGAGCCCAAGTGCCCAATACTGATCTGCCCGTCATCGCCTCGGTCGCCTGTGGGCACGTTGGCAGAGTCCGAACAGAACGCGACCATTCTGTGGTACGCTCCTCTGTTCAACCGACTCGAAATCGCATACAAGGCTGGGATCCTGCTTGCGTTCCCACCTAAGCATGTGACGCAGCATGTAGAGCATGCGCTAATGTCGCGATTCCCGCGAGATCGATACCTGGCCGGTGCTGATGCGAAGATCGCGGACGCGATCTTGACCTTCGTACCCCAAAAGATTGTCGAATTGGCGATTCGTTGGTTCCTGTGGTGAGGCGGTGGATTATTCTCGGTTCCCTGACGCTGTCATAATCGTTGCGTTGCGTCACTCTTCATGACCACTCATCCGCAAGCGGGTCTCCTCTACATTGTCGCTCTACATACATCTTTTTTCCTTCACATTTCTTTATCCCGCACGAAAAGTGAGAACGGGACGGCGCCTGCGGCCCTTTGCGTGCTTCTTTATGGCTGAAGCATATACACATTTACGTCGTCAAGGCAACAAATTCTATGAAATGCCCATACACGAGCTCTCATCTTACTGGCTGGCGACTACACCACCATGTCGTTCCCACCTAAGTCGACTGCGTTTCTTGGGGCCATCTTTTCCGACACTATACACTAGCTATGCAGGGTTTCTGCCCTGCCATGAGCGGTCAAACACCAACTCTAGTTGGAGCACAATGGTGACGGGCCTTGCAACAGTTCAGTCATCGCCATCTTTCGTGAGATCGACAACATTCTCATCATGAGTAAGATCAATGCACGTCGTCCGACTCCTCTTAAACGCCGTCCGTGCGGCTTTCACATCCATCTTTCTGAAATTCAACCGATTCTTTCCACAATCCACGGGCATCGACGCGGTCCTCAAGAATCCTGGTGGCGATCTCGTTGGTATTCGCTTCTTCTCCAAATGCTTCTCATCAACTCCTTTCAAGTCCGCAAACCGCTTCATACCGCCATCCTCCAGCGGCCGCAGATATCCTTGTCCCAGCTCCTGTAACTCGTCGAACGAGATCGTATCCTGCCATCCGCGATCGTTCCCGCAGATCTTAACGAGCCGTGGATGCCGCAGAACCCAGGGACCCCCCAATGGCTCCCGGACGAATCCGCCACCTTTCAATTCGACGGCGAACGGGTGCGGGAAAATGAACTCGATTTTGCCGCGCAAAGCTTTTGGACACGTATAAGTATACGGCACACTTGCTTTTGACTTTGACGGAGAGGAAGTGCTCAGAGGTACTCGATGCGGGGCCAAAGACCGGCAAAGGGCGATAAGCGTCTCACGGGAGAAGCCGGCTTCAAAGGCGAAGACGACACGGAAGTGGCCCTGTAACAGTCTGTTAGAAAAATGTCCAGCACTCGTGTGTTGTGCCATCCGGACCATCAGTGCTCACCTCATCACCACGAACATTGACTTGCTGATTGTTGGTCAGACATCCAACGAAGAACATATTCATTATGTGTGGGTGCTCGGTCAAACTGAGCTTCAAATAGTCGTTTCTTGGGCAGAATGCGCCGCCGACAACGGCAAAGTCAGCCGTGTCCCCATGGCCTTCGATATAGTCCTCCTTCAACTGAAAAAACATAGTTATTCGTCTGGAATATGCAGAACGCATTGTAAACTTCCGACGCAACGTACTTTGAGCCAGGAGCTTTTGCGTCCCGCAGAGTACGTGCTGTTGGCACCTTTGATGACCAGCCCTTCCTCCCGTTTTCCGATGGTCTCGACAAACAACGCTCTGAGAGCCTACTTGTTATATGGTCAATCAAACCAGATCCCTTGAAGCGCGACACTGCGACCTGTACCTCCGTGTGCTTGGCGCTAAGCGCGCCTTCAGGGACATCAAGTTCCCGGGTTTTGGAAAGACGTGCCTACTCGAGAAGATCAGCAAACGGGGATGAAAACATTTCAATCCCGATGTAACGCACCCAATTAGGAATCGGCCGTATCAACCGCCGCAATGCATCTCGACGTTGAGCATATGGCCTGAAAGTCCAATCTGCGCGTGTGAAGATAAACATTAGCGAACGATGTGAGAAGGTTCAAACATTTCGTCATACCCTCATCATCAAGGTATAATATGTCAAAGAAGACGATCTGAAAATGGCGCCTCCCGGACAAGACGCCGTCATCAGGGGCTGACAATCTGCGATTTTGGAAGTCCAGCCCCACGTCTTTTATTGTTCCGAAGGCTTCAATGCTCTGAGTGTCTTCGTCAAACACCAGCAATTCGCCTTCCAATATGCATGTGCGGCATGTTATTTGGCCTTCAAATGGCTCACATTGTGGCACGGGACCGATATTCGCAGGTCGACCAAGCGCTGCGCGGATGATACTATGTGGATCTGAGTAACCCATAACAAGGTTAATGCACGCAGCATATCGACAGAACTTACTCATGAGTTCTCCACCTATCCATCGTACTATTCCTCCCACTTTTCGAGAAGATCGTGATTCGCCCGTTATCGTGAACATCCATTCCGAACTCCACATGAATCTGCATCCGTTCTCCATCATATTTGATCTCCGCAAAGCACTTCGTTTCCCCTTCCTTCTGCATGGTGAGCAGGGCATGGGCAGGCGACCGGGCTTGCTGACATTGCATTACTGTCAGACATGTATGAAGCCGCGGCTTGCCATATTGGAGCATGGCGGGCAGATAGTGGCCGTCTGATGGGCAGCCACTGACGCGATCCCGCAGAAGACAAATGAACCGGCTGGAGGTGAGGGCGAGGTCGGTCTGCCTTGCATGCAAGGTGTAGAGAAAGGGCTGATGAAGAAAGATTGATGAGTGCCGGCACCATTCTATTCGGGAGATTGCCTACTCACATGGAAGGAGTTGAGAATCCCACGCCAGGTATGGACTATGGACAGATCCTTCAGAATGATCCGAATGAGCCTGCGGTTGATAATCAATCGGGTCCATCTCCTGCTGCACACAGTTGTCAAATGCTCATGAGTGCTTACCATTTGCACTCTCTCGATCTTTGGCCCCGAAAAAGGTCCTCCAACACCTTCCTTGCCGTACGACTGCCTCGCTTGGGTCTCACTCCACCCTCGGTCGTGCTGTACCGTGCATACGTCGCCAGTTCATCAAGCAGCACGTTCACCTCCCACACGGTCATCGCTTTCCCTCCCGCCTCCGGCTCCTGCAACCTCACAGTCCCTTCCACGCATTTCGCGAAATCGCCCTGTCCAACACGCTCTACACCTAGGTATGCGTCGCAGTCTTTCCATCTGGTAAGTCGCGCGCCGCGACTGGTGCCTCCCAAACCGAAGACGGCCAGAAGGTGTTCCGCTAGCGATGGTTCGCGGAGATGATAGCGTCGGGAGATGTCTTGACACGGGAAAAGAAGGCGGAAGATGTCGTGGACAGCCAGTGAGAGGTGGTCGAAGCCGAAGGCGTGGAGCAGTTTCTAGAATTGATGACTTGTTAGGGGTCTGGATGTAAAGATCTGAAATATACTCACCTCCCACCAGATTTTGATAACTCGGCGTCGACTCTCTCGTAGTTGATTTCTCGTTAAACTTTTGGATGCGCCGTCTAGTTCCAGCTTATCCAAAAGGGTAGCGACAGCACAGAAAGGTATTGACTTGGCACTCTTATCCGCCATATTCTCTGCGGTTTTCCGGGCGGGTGGTCAACTGCGAAAGAGCAACGAAGCACACACTGATTATTTCCCCCCAGTGAGCAGCGCCTTACTAGTCGTCGGTGGCAGCATGTGCCTCTCAAGCTCAACAGATAGTTGGGTAGTCGCTTGTGAAAGGGCTTCCCCATTGCACACCTCAGGAAGGAACCGTAGTTCGGACACGTTGTCCGCAAATGAGTTTCGCAGCCACCCGACTCCCCATCCTGTTTTTTTTCGGAGTCCCAAGTGCACTACGCATATTTCTGCCATAAGATGGGACGAGACAGAGCGAAGCAAGCACATAGCACACACAATGATAGGGTATAATGGTGCTATTTGCTATGAAAGACGGCAGATATATGCAAGACGATGGAGGATATGAACAGTAGAGAAAGATACAAAGGGAGAAACAGAAAACAATAATTACAGGCGATGATATGTGTATGAACGTGCAAGTGTTTCTCTTCACTTGACGATGACAGGAACCCTCGCGCCCATTCCTACTCCACCCACTGCCACCGCACCGGAATCCGCCACAGGTCCCCTTCCATCAGCCGGCCAGGCCAGCGCTTCGCCAAACGCTTCTGCCGTAGGGTCGGCCCATCGCCTTCGCCTTTCTTGTTCGACCATACCGCCCGGGACAGGTAGGCGGGTGTTACCCATGAGGTAAACATCGATCTCACGAGCGGATTGGCGTCCTTCGTTGATAGCCCACACAATCAAGGACTGTCCACGACGGCAGTCTCCAGCAGCAAACACGCCGGAGCTTGCGGTAGCGTACGAGATCTGGTGCTGACCTTGTGCTGGCTGTGGAGCTTGTTGCGCTGGTGGCTGGTGCTGTTGGCCAGTGACGCCGGCGCCTGTCTTGATGTTAGTCTTATTGTCCTGCGCCAATTCCAACTGCTTGATGACTTCGTTCTCGGGGCCGAGGAATCCCATTGCGAGGAGGACGAGATCGGCCTTGACGAACTCTTCGGAGCCGGGAACTTCCTTCATCCTCCACGCGCCGCTCGTGGGGTCCTTCGTCCATTCGACCTTGACGATGTTGATACCAGCCACACGGCCCTTTCCGTCGGACACAAACTCCTTGGTCAGGACGCAGTACCGTCTTGGGTCGTTTCCGTGGTGAACAGCTACCTCCGCATGTCCGTATTCCATCTTGAAGACACGCGGGTAGGTGGGCCATGGGTTGGATTTCGAGTCACGCTTCGGTGGGGGTTGAGGGAGAAGTTCGAAGTTGACGATTTGCGTGGCTCCGTGTCTCATGGAAGTAGCGATGCAGTCACATCCGGTATCACCTCCTCCAATGACGACAACATTCTTGCCCTTGGCTGACAGGTATTCATCCTCGGTGATGTTCGACGTGGATCTTACATCTCCGGTGGAAAGGACGCGTTTGGTGTTGCGTTCCAGGAACTCCATCGCGAAGTGTATGCCGTCGAGGTTCCTGTTTGGCACAGGGAGGTCTCGGGGCCAGGTAGCTCCGGTGGCGACGAGCACGGCGTCGTTCTCCTCTCGCAGAGTCCGCGCCGAGACGGTCTTGCCCACATGTGCGTTTGTGATGAACTTGATGCCTTCGGCTTCCATGAGATCGATGCGCCGTTGAACAACGCCTTTGTCGAGCTTCATGTTGGGAATACCGTACATCAACAAACCACCGACGCGGTCGTTTCGCTCGTAAACTGTTACGAGATGTCCGGCCTTATTGAGCTGGTCAGCCGCGGCGAGTCCAGCGGGTCCGGATCCCACAATGGCAATGCGCTTGCCAGTGCGGTGCTTGGGAGGTGATGGCACAATCCATCCTTCTGCGAATCCGCGATCGATGATGGCGCATTCGATGCTCTTGATGGACACTGGTAATTCGTTGATACCGAGCACGCAAGCACCTTCGCAAGGAGCGGGGCAGACACGACCGGTGAACTCGGGGAAGTTGTTGGTGAGCAACAAGCGGTCCAAGGCCTCGCGCCAGTTGTCCTTGAAGACCAACTCGTTCCACTTGGGAATGATGTTACCGATGGGGCATCCGTTGTCAGATTGACAAAACGGCACACCACAGTCCATGCAACGAGCGGCTTGCGTCTTGAGCGCAGAATCGGGTAAGCGGGCGCTAATTTCCTTCCAGTCCTTGACACGCTTGCGGGGGTTGCGGTAGCGGTCGCCTTCGCGCTTGTACTTCATGAATCCGCGGACCTTATCGAGGACTTCCACGCGCTTCTTGGCCATCGACTCGTCCATGATACTGTCTTCCAAGTCCGCGACCTTGGGCTCGAGAGCTTTCATAATCTGGACTTGCTCGGCGTCTTCTTTGCGGCGGGGCTGCTCATAGTCGTGAATACCCTTTTCGGTCTCGAGCTCTAGCCTCTTCGCAACCGCTTCTTGCTCCGCGGCCTTTTTCTTTTCAAGGGCTGCACGGTAGTCCCTAGGGAAAACTCGAACAAACTTGGCTTGCTGGTTTGGCCAGTCGGCGATGATGCGGCGCCCGAGAGCAGAGCCGGTTGCGATGGAGTGCTCTTCGATGAGCGACTTGAGCCACAAAGATTCCTCGGCTTCCGTAACCCGATCGAGATCGACCATCTCCATGTTGCAGTTACGCTCGAAGGTGTCCGTAGCGTCCAAGACGTAAGCGATACCTCCGCTCATTCCCGCGGCGAAGTTACGCCCGGTTTCGCCGAGAATGACAATGCGTCCACCGGTCATGTACTCGCAACCGTGGTCTCCGACGCCCTCGACCACAGCCGTGGCACCAGAATTGCGCACAGCGAATCGTTCGGCTGCGATACCGCTGAAGAAGGCAGTACCAGCGGTGGCACCGTATAAGCAGACGTTTCCGACAACGATGTTCTGCTCAGCCTTGAAGACGGAGTTGGCAGGTGGGTATACGACAATGCGTCCGCCGGAGAGACCTTTACCGACGTAATCGTTGGCATCTCCCTCGAGGTCGATTTGGATACCTGGAGCGAGGAAAGCGCCGAGAGACTGTCCTGCGGAACCCTCGAGCTTGATGCGAATGGTACCATCGGGGAGCCCTTGCTCGCCGTGCTGCTTCGATACTTCGTACGATAGTGTGGTGCCGAGCGCACGGTCAGTATTGACGACCTTTTCGAAGATCTCTACCGGGCGGCGGTGCTCCAACGCCTTCTTAGCCTTCTCGATCAAGCCGTTGTCGAGCCTGAGGTCCAGCTTGTGGTCCTGCTTCTTTACGTTGTGCGTGGCAGCACCTGGTCGCAGCAGGAACGCCGGGGTGAGGATGGGAGTCAGATCAAGGTTGCGAGTCTTGGGGTTCTTGGCCGACTCGTTGATGGTAAGGTAGTCCGTGCGTCCAACCATCTCTTCGATGGTGCGGAAACCAAGCCGAGCCATGATGCTTCGGCACTCTTCAGCGACGAAGTAGAAGAAGTTGATGACGTCTTCGGGAGTACCCTCGAACTTCTTGCGGAGCTCCGGGTCTTGTGTGGCGATACCGACGGGACAAGTGTTCTATTGTAGAAGAATAGGATAATGAGTACAGATAGTTCGTCGGGATTGGCGAACAATGCGATTTAGACCTACCAAGTGACATTTCCTCATCATGATACAACCCATAGCAATGAGAGGAGCTGTAGCGAATCCCCATTCCTCAGCTCCAAGGAGACAGGCAACAGCCACATCTCTGCCAGTCTTGATCTGACCGTCGGTTTGCAGAACGACACGTCCACGAAGATCGTTGAGCACCAGCGTTTGGTGCGTCTCCGCGAGCCCAAGCTCCCAGGGCAATCCTGCGTATTTAATACCAGTCCACCTGGAAGCACCTGTTCCACCGTCGTGTCCCGAAATCAGGATGTGATCGGCGCGTGCCTTGGCGACACCGGCGGCAATGACGCCGACACCGACCTCGGACACGAGCTTGACAGACACGCGGGAAAGCGGGTTGGCGCACTTGAGATCGTAAATCAGTTGCTTGAGATCCTCGATGGAGTAGATGTCGTGATGGGGAGGGGGCGAAATGAGACCGACACCGGGAGTGGATTTACGGGTTGCGGCGATGCTTTCGCTGACTTTGTGGCCAGGGAGCTCTCCTCCTTCTCCGGGCTTGGCACCCTGAGCAAGCTTGATTTGTAGCTCTTCGGCGTCAGAAAGGTAGTAACTGGTTACACCGAACCGGCCAGAAGCGACTTGCTTGATAGCTGACCGAGCAAGCTGACCATCGATTCCCGGCTTGGAACGTGCGGGATCTTCACCACCTTCTCCCGTGTTACTCTTGCCTCCAAGCTTGTTCATGGCGACTGCGAGCGCAGAGTGGGCTTCGTAGGAGATAGACCCGTAAGACATGGCACCCGTACAGAATCGCTTGACAATGGATTGCCATGGCTCTACTTCCTCAATGGGGACGGGCGTAGCCACATCGAACCTGAAGTCCAAAAGCCCACGGAGCGTGCAGTTCTTGATCTGCTCGTAAGCGTTGCGAGAGTATGTCTCGTACGCCGTCTCGTTCTTCCGTTTGACAGCATCTTGAAGGTTGGCAATGCTGGATGGGTCGTTGATGTGGGACTCTCCTCCATCACGCCAGTGGAAGTCTCCGGGCTCGGGAAGGACGTCGAGGGAGACCGTCTCTCGAGAAGGCCATGCGGCTTCATGCAGAGCAAGTGTGTCGAGGGCAAGGATGTCGAATCCTACACCCTTGATACGAGATGCGGTGCCTGAGAAGCACTTCGAAACGACGGAAGGATCGAGTCCAAGAGCTTCGAAGATCTGGGCGGCCTTGTAACTCTGGAGAGTTGAGATGCCCATCTTCGACATGACCTTTCGGATACCGTCATTGCTGGCCTTCATGAAATTGTAGATGATCTTTGCGTCGGTGATGTCGTTCTTGATGATGTTGTCGCGCTTGAGCTTCAGCATCGCCTCGAGGGCCAAGTACGGGCAGATGGCGTCGGCACCGTAACCGAGCAGCACACAGAAATGGTGCACCTCGCGAGCTTCACCAGTTTCGACAATGAGAGCAATCTTGGACCGAAGACGGTTGCGAACAAGATGGTGGTGCACCCCTCCGAGCGCGACAAGAGCGGACAACGGTACGCGATCCGCCGAGGTTTGACGGTCAGTCAAGATGGCGATCTTGAGGCCGTCGTGGATAGCTTGCGAGACTTCGGAGCAGACACGGTCAAGCGCGGAAAGGTAACCGGCGGCTCCTTCCGCGCGCATGAACGTGATATCGATTTCCGCCACGGACCAGTCCGCACGGAACTGCGGCAAAGCCTTAATAGCCGCCAGCTCATCGATGGAAAGCATGGGCGACGGAAGGTGAAGCCGGTGAGCTTGACCTTCCTCGACTTCGAGAATGTTACCCTGGGGGCCGATGTAGCATGAGAGAGACATGACAATGTCTTCACGGATAGGGTCGATCGGAGGGTTTGTAACCTGCGCGAAGAGTTGACGGAAGTACTCGTACGGAAGCTTTGGCTGTCGGGACATGCAAGCCAATGGGGTATCGTAACCCATAGAACCAAGCGCTTCCTTTCCATCGGCGACCATGGGGAGCATGAGCATGTTGAGCTGCTCAATAGTGAAGCCGAAAGCGAGCATCCGCTTGTCGTGGGAAACGGAAGTCTCGTCGAGGAACCATTGCCCAGGTTGAGAGTGGTGCGAAGCGTGGTGCTGGTAGAACATGCAGACATCCGTCATCGAGATCATGTTCTCCTTGATCCACTTCGCATAAGGCTTCTGTGTAGCGATGCGCATCTTCAACTCCGTGTCATCGACCACGCGGCCTTCTTGGGTGTCGACGAGCAACATCTTTCCGGGGCGGAGACGTCCCTTGGTGGTGATACTTGCGGTATCAACGGCGATGGTTCCAACCTCGGAAGCGCAAATCATAATGTCCTTGTCGGTGATGTAGAAACGACAGGGTCGCAAGCCGTTACGATCCAACGACGCTCCGACGTACCTGCCGTCAGAGAACGTGAACAAGGCCGGACCGTCCCACGGTTCCATCAGGCAGGCAGCCCATTCGTAGAAGGCACGCTTTTCAGGCTCCATGTGAGGCTGATTCTCCCACGCTTCGGGAATCATCATCATGACAGCTTCGGGGAGGGAAACGGCGCCGTTCATGATCAATAGCTCGAGAACATTGTCAAACGCAGCAGAGTCGGAACCGCCTTCTTCGATGATGGGGAGCAAGGTATCGAGGTGGTCCTTGAACGCTTCGCTGCGCATGACACCTTCTCTAGCCCTCTGCCAGTTTTTGTTGCCTCGCAGAGTGTTGATTTCGCCGTTGTGCGCGCACCATCGCATGGGCTGGGCTCGATCCCAGGAAGGGAAGGTGTTGGTGGAGAAGCGCGAGTGCACAAGGCAGAAGTGAGATGCAAAGTCGGGATTGGTGAGGTCCGCAAAGTACGGGTAGACTTGGACGGGCGAGAGAAGACCCTTATATACCATGTGACGGCTGGACAAGGAGCAGATGTAGAACCATCTGATGAGAGTGAGGGCGTGGGTAGACTGCTTTCGAAGAAGGTAGAGCTGCCTTTCGAATTGCATCTCATCGAAATCGGCGGATGTGTTGTTGATATTGTTCATGGCAACATTGTTGTAGTTGATGGGGGTATTGTACATAGCGCCTGCGCCGCGTTGAACAGTAATGAAGGGTTGGTAGATTGCGGGCTCCTTGCTCTTGGAGGACGGACCGAGAATGCTGTTGTCGCGCGGGACAGGTCTCCAGCAAAGAACAAACAGTCCCAAGGAGCGAGCGATGTCTTCAAACTTTTCCTGGCTCTCTCTGATAACGGTTTCGTCCGGCTTAAAGTAGATGTTTCCAACCGCGTACTGGCCGGGAGGCGGCAGGACGATTCCGAAGTTCCGTTTCACGTCGGTAGCGAAGAGACGATGGGGGATGCCGCACATGACACCAGCTCCATCTCCATCGCGCGTATCAGCCCCAACAGCGCCGCGATGGGTCATGTTGCAAAGGAGGTTTCTCGCATCCGCAACAATTTCGTGAGAAGGCTGTCCTTTGATGTGACAAACGAAGCCTACACCACACGAATCCTTCTCGAATGCAGGATCATAGAGTCCCTGTGCCTGTGGGAGGGCACCTGCCCATGAAATGGAGAAGTTGCTATCCTGAACATCGTTCTGCGCCTTTCCAAGATCGGCCATTGAAATGGTGGCTGTTGCGTTCCGTTCGTGAAAGTACAAGGGTAAGGGTTGCCGAATTGCTATCACTGGAAACCTGCGCGGGTGAAGAAGCAGCAGATTTAAGATTTAGTAAGAGCCCGCAGATGGTTCTCACTGCATCGCTGTTCTCGACTTCATATTCGTCTCGCCCAGCCGATACACAAGACAGAAAGTGCAGGAGTGGGAAAAAAGTACCTTTGCAAGTAGTGCGAATCAATGTATTCACCGGAACGTGGGCTGTACGACTTTTACAAATGCAGCGCCCACGTTCAGTCTGTAATGTATTTACTGGTAGCTTTCGCGGATTGAAAGTTCCTGAGAAAGTTGATAAAAGCGAAACCTGTGCGTTCGGACAGGGACGGTGGAGAACTGGTCAGAAGATTGTCGTTTTGCAGACGGTAAGTGCTGAGCGCAACTGGACCCTACTCTTTGCCGGCTGTGCTGTGGGTATGGGCAAGACTGGGCTGCAAGGGAGTAAAGCACTCGATAGTGTATGGAAGATGCGGGTGAACGAAAGGGCAGCGATCTCGAAAAGATGGCGGGCCGGTGGTTGGGTGCGAGAAGAGAGGAGGGGAATGCGGCTGCGAGCTACGAGTATGTTCGACTGTGGGACGCAGGGTTACCGTTTATGCAGGATATCTCTTGTGGAAAAAAAGAATCCAGGAAGAGAGAGGAAGGAGGACAGCGCGGACGTTATGTATTTCATCCGAGCCCCAAATGTAATCATTGGTACAGTACGTATAATGCGGTGAGGCACTTGAAGGGAGACGAGGGAGATGGACATCAACCCAGGGATTATTATCGGGGGCGGCGATAACAACCACCGCATTTGCTGAGCCTTGGACCCCCATTCCTCCATTCCATTATATGTGGGTTATCGATGAGGGAAGGTGGGGTTGTGGAGAACACGAGAGATAAGGCATTGTCCCTTTTGGCACGCGTATCCATATGCCTATGACTGTGCTCCCACGGAAAGCCCCGAAACTTCGCACGCGCCGCTTGACATCTCCATCTCCAGTTCCCGGTCACAGCCCGCCCCCCGGTTTGAAATTTGGGTGTCTTTGGTGAAATGCACATCCCACCGGTCCTCAACTCATCAATGTACCACCTCAAATCCGCTAAAAGACTGCTGAACGGGGAACAGGCTTACGGTTGGCGCTGCGGACGTGTCCTTACCGCAGGTCCCAAAATGCACCATCGATGATGATCGAGCAGCAAAGTGACAGGTCAAAGTGCTTGCACGCCCAGGGTCCCGCTGTTTTGAGGGAGGCGTGGGGTAAACTTCACACCCAAGTTACTGTACATTTGAGTCTCCCAGCATCTCGCGGCAAACATGTTGCACTCACCATAATTGCGAACCTTCCCCGCGAAGTTCAACCACCCCCAATGCAGGGACGGCAACTTAAACAAGGAGACATGACTGCTTGATGTCCATGGTGCATTCATCCAAGGGTGTACTCCAAATCCACAGCCTCTGCATTTCCAGTGTTGCACCTTATCTCCTCCTTATCGGAGGGAATGACACATCGTCGCGTGGGGAGTGGTGGCACGAAAGGGTTGGTGCTATTACACACGGTTGTGGCTTTACCTTAATTCTTGGGGTTATCACATGCCTACGTGCGGACTGGAATTTTCCACACAAAGTTGAGACGCGTCGATACACGCGTTGCGAGCATCTTGTCCGAAACACTTGCTCCGAAGCTTGAAATGTCGCAAAGGTCACTACCTCCTTTCGCCATTGGTGCACACATAGGTTGCGGAATTCCACCTCCTCTGCGATGGTCGTATCATAGACATGCTTCGCGTCAGCAAATCTTTTGACGCTTTCTGTTTCTTCAAGCCATTGCATCGATTCTGGTATCGATGCCTATCGATCATTGTTTCATGTATGCTTCATCCCATCTAGTGACGGTTTCGGCGCATGCCTTTCCCAGGGCAACCAGAATGCCAAGTCTTCCCGCCCGTAGCTCGCCAGCTGCTGGTTCCAGAACAAGACCTTCTTCTTGCTTGACGTGTGCCAAGATAACACCTTTTCCCGTTCAAACCCCGACGGCTTCTGAGACGACCCAGCGGGTGATTTTCGGGTATATAGCAGCACCGTGGTAGCCACGTTATAAACTCGCCTGCCCATCAGCGATCAACTGCCAGCATCGGCCTTGTGACCCATCTCAGTCATTCATGGTCGCCAGCTCTTTTGATACTCCTTCACCTTCTCCTAGGTGCATGCGCCATATGCGCGAAACCGTCTAGCATTGGAGTGCAGGGGTAGGGAATTAGCGCAGCAATTACCTGCAACCCACAAGATCCTGAAAGAGAATGGGGATGCCAATGCCAAGGCAATTGTGATGATAACGAGCCCACCCAACACTCAAAGGCTCATGTTGGGTTGAGAGTCACCCACGGCATTCTACAGCGGGGCCTGGGCATGATACCCTTGTGTAAGAACCCATTGGGACACGGCGTGGGGCTGGCGTTCTACGGCGGAGCCACCAGCAAACTCTGAAGACCTTCCCATGCGTGCAAGTGGGCTGTCCTCTCTAGCACACCGCAGCGTCAAGCTGAGACAAGGACGGCTACCGCAACACGGCCCAGCGGCCCAGCAGCAAAGCGAAAGACAGTTACAACAGCTGAGCTATAACCGTTTTGCAAGTGATGGTCAAGGTTACAGCAACCGAGCTTCCACAATGCTGAAGAGCTCAAGGTTCCTGGACTTGAAGGCGGCTACAGCAACCGAGCTACCCAATACGGCGAGCTCAAGGTTCCTGCAAGGACTTGAGGGTGACGGCGATGGCGAACTTGTGTGAACGGTAACGGCGGCGGCGACCCTGGATATCCCGGGTAGAGGGGAGACAAAAGATCGTGAGAACGACATAGTTGAGAAGAGGGAAGGTTGTTTAGGTAGTGTCCCAGAAGTCAGGGGGACAATTAGGATCGCAATTACCTGAGGTCCCGACAAGTTGGCAATTAGCAGTGTTTTGGCAAGAGCAACGACACACCGGCGAAGCATAGAAGAAAAGACGTCCTGCACTGTCTAGGGATGCGATTTTGGGAATTAGTAGTTGCATCTTGATACAAGTCAACGCGAGATTGACAGCCATAAAGAATTTGGTTCGCCGTAAGCTCGTTGAGAGCTGCCCGTCTATGCAACGGCCGATGTAAACTCCTTCAATCCATTATTGCATCGTTCGTTGACCGTACACAAAGGGCAAACGCTTGCCCGGAAGAACGCCTTTGAATGCAGGCATTGATTGCCATTCAAGGATTCACGCCATATGCTTTCGAATCCACAACCGCCTTCGCCCGTCAGCTGACAATGTATTCGCAAGGAGTTCGTTCCTCTTTCGGCAACTCCGCATCGATATCTTTAAGAAGTCCTTTGGGCTGGACGCAGGCTCGCTCGGTACCGTAGCTCTTCAGGCGAGAACGAGCGCTTGACCAGTGGAAGGAGCAACTACGCGCGACTATCTCGAGGCCGCCAAGGAGTGAAGCGTCATAAGCATCTCCGAACGAAGCTTAGCGACTCTTTGCATGTCAACGGTGGGATAGTGTGGATATCAAGGCTCCAGTTTTTCCTCCTGCGTTTCACTTCGGCCGTTGCCTCACCGGGCTTTAGGTCGGTGTCGTCTGAGCCTATCCGTAGCTGTATCCGTAGTTGGCTCACGCGGTACCCAGCAGTGAAGGTCCCGGACACGGAAGCGCACGTCCAGACGCGTCTGGTTGAAAGTGTCCGAAGAACTTCAATTTCCGCCGTGTCCGCTCCTTGAAAACTTGGACCCACCTGAGAACTTGGACACAATCCGGACCCCCTGATCTTGAGCACAGTTCGCTTGTTCACTCGGTGCCAGTCTCCAAACCCGCAAGGTGCTTATCTTGTGCAGCAGCGTGCGGTTCGGCGTTGCAGGGTTGGAAGCCACGCGTAGGGACCTACCTATCCATCACCACAGCACGGCCTGGTGCATTGCGTCCGACAAGAGTCTTCAAGTCTCTCCTTTTTACCCTCTCTCATACCGGACTTATTCACGGCGAGAATGGCGGAAGAAGTCTCCACAGCGATGGCGACGGACGAAAACCGAGACGCTTCACTAGCAAGAGGCTCCCGTGCAACAAGTCCCGCAACCTCGCGCATTGTTTCCAAACCTCTCCAGGAAAGGGCCCCGGCTTGCCCACCGAGCTCACTGACCGACGAGCAATTCAAGACCCTTCGGTCCTACTATCGCAAGAACCCCGATCTAACCAGAGAGCGACGGAAGAGCCTGGCGGCTACACTGCATGTATCGGAGAAGACGGTTGTTCAGTGGTACGCAGAAAACCGTCGTCTGACTGCCGCCGCCACAGCGGCTGCTGCTAGAAAGGCAACGAAATTGCGCCGGTCCCCGAAGGCTTCAGGAACCGTGCCGAAGGAAAGGGACGCCGAGAAAGTTGATAAACAGTCCCGGCGAAAGGAGAGCAAGAGCAACAAGGAAAACATGGACCACGTCAGAGCGGAAGAGTGCATAGTTCTCGACACCCCGTCACCGGCGACCGCAAAGAAGATGCTCAAACCATTGACAATCATGCGTCGGCAGAGCACTCCGCCACCTCCTTACCCAGCGAAAGCTTCTCCCATTCCACCTCTCGCTGCCGAAGAGACGCTAAAGAGTCCAAACCAACACGAACCTGCTCAGTCTCAGCCAGCGGCCACCCCGATATCTTCCCCAAACGCAGTCATTATTGTTGAGAGCCCCGTGGCCGTCCCAGACAGCCCGACACCCGTCGCAAGGAGTAGACCCGCTAGACAGTCTTCACCCATGTGTCAGCAACCCACTTCGTCGCCGGTTCCGCAAGCTTTCTACCCGCAAATGACGCCTCAAACGCAATTGATGCCTCAAATTTGTCCACCAATGTATCCGCCGCAGTTCTTTGGCTACCAACCTATGGGTATGGGCATGGGCCAACCGATCGGCATGGGTATGCCGATGATGTCCATGCATATGCCGATGATGCAATGGCCGTACATGCACATGCAAATGCAGATGCCCTTTCCTCAATTCCCCCAGGCGATGCCTATACTTCCACCGTCGCAAATGCATCCGATCCCCATCGCACCGCACCCGCATCCGGACTCCCAGTCGTCTCAACGTGCCGCGAAGCGAGAACTGGATGAGTCGGACAGCAAGGAACTAGCCCAGAACAAGAGGCGCCACACCACGGCAGAACCATCGGCGCCGTCCACGCAGCCGAAATCTTCCAAACCTGTGAAGATGTCGGCTCTCCGCCCCGATCAGCCGATGTTGGCGAAAGCCAGCAAACGCAGTCAGAGCGCCATGCCGGCATCAAAGAAAAAGACGATCCCCAAGAAAAGTAGTACTGCTGCACGAAGCACGACTCCGACTAGGACGCCTGTGACGCTTTGCATTGATCTCTGCTCACCTGAGTACCAGCCTCCTACAAGAGCAAAAGAGACTGATTCACCGTCCAATGGAAGCACCTATTCGGTGAAAGAGAACATCTCCCCGTCCATGGAAATGGCAAAGCTACCTGCCAAGAAGGTCACTGCCGCGAAACAGAGTCCCGTCCGATCTGAAGCGGAGAAACAAGCCGATGCTGAGATGCTGGAAAAGCTTTTCGGCGACACGGCTCCTGTTCAACCTCCAACATCATCATCGTTGTCGATCGATGTCAGCGCCAAAGCAGTCACAGCAGCCACATCCGCATCACTGTTCGATCCGGCATTACACTTCGTCACCTCGCCTCTGGATGGATTCGCGGACCTGCCCGCTGGTGGGTGGGATCTGGCCAACTTCGACCCGGACCCCAATGCCGCGCGGAACTTTTGGGAGTCGCCCTTCAGCAACCTGGATTTCGGCTCCGAGTTCTCCGTCGCGTCTCCTCTCACGACCTTTGGCGATCTGTCGTCGATGGCTGACGCCGCTGGTGAAGGAATTCATGCGATCCCGGGTTGCGGGTCAAACAGCACAGTGTCGAACGGTGCCGCGAAAACAGGCAACCCGCTTGATCTCGAAATACTCTTCGACGGACATCCTCAATCAGCCCATATCATGGCCCCCGCGATTGACCTGAGCGAAGCTGTCCCTAATACCCTCGCAGACAATGAGGTTGCGACGCCAGGAGATACCCTCCCGGCCATCACTTTCCCGCAATGGGACCACAATGATTTGGACGACATTCTTGCTCAGCTCCACAGCGACAATCCGGGCGACGACAACCTGGCTTCGATCCGGTCCCCGGATTTGCCAGACGAAGTCGATGTCAGCAACCTCCCGACGCTTGACTTCCATACCTCCGTGTTCAACACACATCCTGGATCGATCGACGGGCAAGCTTTGATGAGCGATTTTGACCAATTCTTCCTATACAACAACATCAACGAACCGATGCTACTTCCCACGATGTCCGAGTGCGCACCAAGTTCTCCCATCATGGCATTGCCAGCTCTTGCTGGTGAAGCCGGGATGGATGACCCGGGAGCAGCGTACGGATTCCCGCTTCTCGACATTGACGGCCCCACGGACCACGACGTGAGGTTCGCCGATGCACCGACCGACGAGAAAGCGTCCGGTAATGCGGAAGCACCATTGCTGCCCAAGGAAAGGGCAAACTGAACAGCACGCTTACTGCGACGAACTCTGACCACACATCTGCGCGTTCGTCAAGCCCCGGCATTGGACTCGATCTATTTGCTTCCAATCCCCGAGCTGTGTTTTTGGACACAATACCCCTGCCTTTGCTTTTGTTGCGCCGACCTCTAGTCTCAGCAGCCCACAGTTTTGATTTATGTAATCTGTTTCCCCCGCTCAATTTTGATCTATCCATACATGTTTTTCACATCCTCCGCTGTAGGATAGAACCCTATATCCCTCCTCCTCCTCTGCATCATGTGTGTGGGAGACCCGTGATATTTGATCACAATTTTGTTAAAATGAGTAGAAAATAGAAAAACCTATGAAAGCAGCATTTTGGCCGATGTCCTTGTTGGACGTATTCGTCTTGAAAAAAGAAAAGCTTTTATCTCGAGCTGCCCTTAGGCACGTGACCGATTCAGATTATAGCCCCAAGTTGATCTGCGCTTTTCGACTTTTGTCGCTGTGCATTCTTTTCCTTTGCAGCTCATATAAAAGAGTGCGAGCAGCAGAGAGCAACTCTGGAGCAATAACCTGCAGTGCTTCGCGTAGTGGAGCCGTTCGAACCCTTTCTAGCCATGTCCGTCATTATCTCCACCTTGAGGCACCCGGCCTCCTTGGCGTTGACTGCCGTGTTTTTGTCCTGGTGGCTTTATACAACCGTTAACTCGAACCGAACCACCCCAAGGGCTCCTTCAGAAACCCCCAAAGAAGTGGGAGAGGATATAGTTGAGAAGGAAAAGGTTGTGGTCAGTTCCGCTAAATTGGCAGCACAAGACGCTCGCAAGCGTCGTAAGCAGCGTAGAGACGAAAAGAAGGCAGCGGCGAAAGGTTGTTGCCAAACCGGCGAGGAAGAGAGCAATGGGACTGGCTGTTGCTCCACCGGCGGAGAGAAGGCAGATGCGGGCTGCTGCAAGACAGCGCCCGCATCGGTCACCGAGACCCCGGCGGTCACACTTGCAGAGCTTGGTGAGGACACCGACGTGAAGAAGACGACGTTGAAGATCATTTACGGCACGCAGACTCGCACATCCCGTGCGCTATCCTATCGTCTCAAGGAGCTTGTCGAAGCTTCCATCCCCCTGATCAAAGATGTGCAAGTGATCAACATCGCCGACTACGAAAACGAGGATCTGTTGACCGAAAAGTCGCCCGTCGTCTTTTTCTTGTCCACGTACACAGAAGGCACGCCGACAGAAGATTGCTCGTGGTTTTATCAGTGGCTGGAGGACGTGCGGTATGACCACAGAGTCAACAAGCAGTGCATGAAGGGATTGAAGTTTGCGGTGTTTGGATTGGGCGATTCGGTTTACACCGACCATTATTGCACCGTTGCGAAGGTGGTGGACAAGTATATCGGAGAGCTGGGCGGACGCAGGATGGCCCCTTTGGCGTTCGGGGACAAGAGCGATGACACAGAAGCGCAGTTTCTCAAATGGACAACACTATATCTGAGCCGGTTGTTGGGCGTGGCTAATCATCTGTCCGTCGCAGATGAAATGGAGTTTGCGGACGCTGATGTCTCTGGGGACGAAGAGGACGAGGAGGAGAGTGCCGATGAGGAGGATGGTGACGCTGCTGCTGGCGGCAGCGGTGACGAACTCATGGATCTGGAGGATATGGGCGCGATGGCGTCCAAGATCAAAGATGCGAAAACCAGAAAAGCAGACGAGGAATCTGCTTTCAAGGCCTCCAAAGGCTTCAAAGGCTCCAAAGGCACCGAAACCGAAGAAGTACGACCAGAAAGAGTCGCGAAGGAGATGGTTACCCCCATGTTGCGGAAATCCCTCGAGAAGCAGGGATATAAGATCGTCGGCACTCACAGTGGTGTGAAGATCTGTCGCTGGACTAAAGCGATGTTGCGGGGTCGTGGCGGATGTTACAAACACACGTTCTACGGGATTGAGTCGCACAGGTGTATGGAAACGACACCCTCCCTGGCCTGCGCCAATAAATGTGTCTTCTGCGTAAGTGTCACTCAGCTGTCTATCTGCTTATCAGCTCCTGTTCCGCATATTTACTGATCCGGATCCGAATGACCTCGCTAGTGGCGTCAACACACCAATCCCGTTGGTACGGAATGGAGATGGAAGCAAGACGACGCGCTGGAGGTCGTAGACGGAGCGATGGAAGGTCATTACAAGATGATCAAGCAACTGAAGGGTGTGCCCGGTGTCAAGGCGGACCGGTTCGAGGAGGCATTCACCATCAAACACTGTGCTTTGTCGCTGGTCGGTATGTATCAGACCCTTCACTTCGACGCCTGTACTTCTTTTGGGGAATATTCAAGGGACTGAACTCACCATGTTTGCGTTCTGTCACAGGCGAGCCAATTATGTACCCCCAAATCAACGAGTTCGTTCAGATTCTGCACTCCCGGAACATCAGCTCATTCTTGGTGACCAACGCTCAATTCCCTGGTGAGTGAACGTTGCATCAGAATTGGGCTCTTATAACCTCTGCTAACCATGATCTTTACTCCTTGGGCAGACGCCATCGATGCGCTAGTGCCGGTGACCCAACTTTATGTGTCCATCGATGCCGGTACCAAGGAAGATCTGAAGAAGATTGACCGCCCTCTGTTCAAAGACTACTGGGAGCGGTTCCTAGCCTGTCTTGACGCACTTGGCAAAAAGGTAAACTCGGCTCTCACAATCGTCAGCCCTGTAAGGACTCCCTTCTAACCGTACAATCGAAAACTTCAGGGCCAACGCACAGTGTACCGCCTCACCCTCGTCAAAGACAAAAACGACACCACCATGGACGACTACGCCACCCTCATCGCCCGCGGCAACCCAGATTTCATCGAAGTCAAAGGCGTAACCTACTGTGGCTTTTCCGGCGCATCGCACCTGACCATGAAAAACGTGCCCTATCACCATGAAGTGCTGCAATTCTGCAAAAACCTCTGCGACAAGCTCGGCGACGACAAGTACGCTGTTGCGTGTGTTCATGAACACTCTTGCAGTGTCTTAATTGCCGACAAGACCCGCTATTACAAAGAGGGCGGGTGGTGGACGTGGATTGATTATGATCGGTTCTTTGAGCTGGTTAGGGATGGCAAGGAGTTTACGAGCTTGGATTATATGCAGAGGACGCCCGACTGGGGTGTGGTCGGGAATGAGGCGGCCGGGTTTGATCCGGCGGAGACTAGGTTCCATAGAAAGAGTAAGAAGACTGCCATTGTGGAGGTTGCGCATGAGGAAACGGCGGGACGGTAGTTGGCAGGGCGTAGGTTGAGGTGGTTTGTGGTTTGATCCACGCGTATGGCGACTGCGAGTGTTTTTCACAGATTCACGTGAAATGATGTATTTAACATGATTTTGGATCACTCACTTCTTCATTATGAGTTTCTTCGAAGGAGAGTCCCCTTGCAGGTCTAGAGCTGGAGCCATACGCCAACATTCCAAAAGAGACCTATACACCAAGTCTGAAATTGCGCGTGTATACAAACACACACACTAGCCAACACCTCAAATGCCGCCGCGGAACCTCATTCCGGACCCGACGAACTGTCACTCCAACGTTGCTTCTTACTTTTTTTCTTCTTTTCTTTCTTCTTTTTCTTCCTTTCGCTGTCTACATCTCCACTTTTCGCCCTCTTGCGAGACCCGTAATCCGGATCCGCCCCATTCCCAACGCCCTGTGCAGATGAGGAAGCCGTAGCAGCGTAACTCGTTCTGCCACGGAATGATGGGTCGCTGACTGCCGACAACGACTCGCGTTTTGGATCGTAGTCCAGTGGCTGGGGGAAACCGTCTTAAGCTCCGGCCTATCCTCCAAACAGTTAGCGGAGCTCCCGCAACATACCATCAAGAACTCCCCCGCAGCCGCGCTCTCCTTCTCTCTCTCAATCTCAGCAACTTTCCGTTGGGTCATGCGGAGATAGGTGTTTGCGTTGGAATGACTCGGATCAAGCTCTAGTGCGCTTTTGAAGTCGGATACCGCGGATTTGTACTTCTCCTGCTTAGCGTATCTGGGACAAAGCGTCGGATGAGCGAAGGCAATGGCGGGATCTTGCAAAAAACCTGGCACTTACAGCGCGCCCCGAGCTACGTATGCCTCCACGCAGTCGGGATCATGCGATAGCGCAGTTTCGAATTTCCGTAATGCTCTGTCGAAATCAAGTTGGAGGAATGATTCTATTCCCTGCTTTACGCTGAGGAATTTTGGGCTTTTAGCGATGGCGTTCTGCAGAATCTGCGGAGTGATTCAAACATACGTCGCAATCGCATAAACCTGCTCCTGTCGTGCTCTCAACGTGGTATATGTTTCAAAAGCCGCCCTGTCCCCTTTCAATTCTTCCGACCAGACTCCTCCCACCCAGCGCCTCGTCCGGCTATCCTGGTCCACTAGGAGACTTTGATGAATCTCGCCCGGATACTCATCGAAGAAATTGAGATAGGCGGATGGATTTTGGATGTCGATACGCCCTTCCTCAAGCGTTGGATTGGTGGATGTAAACCCTACAACGCCATCCTTGATTTCTTGGACGCCTTTGCGGAAGGCGGGCATGGCCATAAGGCTTTGAATGTCGGCTTCTAATGCGGGGTCGGGATGTATCTCGGAAACTGGTGGATCCAAATAGCGAGGGCGTGGCGGCGGTAGTACACCGTAGCCTTCTGACTTTCGCCTTTTCAAGATGCAAGGTCAGCCGCTGGAACCAACAACGCTTGCCTGCCCGTAAACCAAGGTCATCTTCCCATACCTATCTGGATATGCATCATAGTCGTCCCAGCCCTCCTGCGCCTCTTGTTCGCCGTGCCAGCTCTGCCTGGCATACCGTCTCGATCCGTTGTTTACCTGGTCGTTCCCGCTTTCACGAGACTGGTCCTGCCGCCTTTGCGTGGATTGCGCCAATTGAGAACGGAATTCGTGCTTGTCAAGAAAAGGTATGACATTTCCTATCCTTCCGTATGCCCATCCAGGAACGAACATCGGACGCGAGCTATCTCACCTTTCCGCTCATGCTGTGTTGATCCTTTGTGCAGTGTCGAGCTTCCGTGGGTTCGCAAACCGTTATCCCTGTGGCCAACGACACTCTCCTTCTCGGCGGGACACTTTCCGTGCGTCGACCGGCACACCAATACAACTCTAAAAACTAGATACGATAGGCTACGATGGTCCCAGGGCCGTTGATTCTTTATCTGGAGTTGTTCCGGGATGCAAATGTTCGTGCTATGTCTCTTGACCGCTGTTCTCTGACCGGCGCTGTTCCGCGCTGTCGCAGTCGCAAATTCAAGAGATTCACGCTGTCAAAAACCCTTCCATCATCCAGGGATAGCGATGGGATGGGCCTTCTCCAGCGTGAAAGAAGGTGAACCACACTGAAAACGCAAGTTGCGATCGCCGCCTCTACCGACTGAACACCAGTGGCTCAAGACAAGATGGGCAAAATTGCAATCCTTCCAGGCTATATAGCACTGCTTGTCCTGTAGTCGTGGCAGGGCTTAAGGCAACGTTAGCGTCCGAGGCGATCTTTCGACCTACAAAATGCAGTCGCTTCAACAAGGCCTATCCCCGGTGAAGGACAGCGGACATTGGGTGAGTTTTCGGTTATACGCAATTCAATCTTCGCAGGTCACAGTCGGACTGATCGCACATTTTGCAGCATGCCTGAATCGATTAAGACCGCCTTTGGAAATGTTATGCCCGCACGTGTAGGATTCCTCTTAGGGCTCCTCTCCCAACGGAAGACTACCCGGAGCTACTGGAGAAGATCTGGCCTTACTACAAGCAGCTGACCGGCTTTCCAGCAAAATTGACCATCTTTCCTCTGTGGGAGCTTCACATATCCAACGTGCACTTGCAGGCCGAGATTTCGGATGGCAGCGGGGGCCGGGATTACATCGTGGCGGAGGTCACGACTTATCCGCAGATGTATTACATGCCGTCGTAGTCCTTTGAGGACTGCAATGGGGGCCGACTCTCTCCCTTTAGTAACCGGGCGGCCAGTAAGCGCAACTAGATGGAGACTTGTTTCTCCTCTCGCACGAAGACGGACGGCAAGACCTCTGGGTACCCAAGACTCTGACACGATCGAAGCGTTTGAGGATCAGCGCGCGGACTACATAGAGCTAACAACGACGCACAACCAATGGTGGGCGGACATGCGGCGGGTGGGGATGCCAAGCATTCAATAATTGAAGCTGAGAGAGCTGAGCTTTGGGCACGACATACGTAATTTTCTGGAACCCTTAGATTTTCAGAGCGTATAACCATAAGAGGAAGCCGCCGTATACTTCACTGCTTCCGCGTCAGCTACCGCCCGTCCTGTAGTACTGGGTCGTGTGCAGAGTTGCTCGCAAAGATCCTGGGTCGTTGGCTGCATTTGCATCCACGTGACAAGTCGATTTAATTCCCTCAACCCCGCCGCCAACCATAGCGCCAAGCGCACCACGAGTGGCAATTTCGTCTGCCGAAAACAGCCGCCCCATAGAAGCAATGCCCTCCTCACTGGCAATCAGTGTCACTTACCTGCTGCTCTTGTTAAGTCTAGCCTCAGCAGTATCGGCCCAGATATGGAAGGCAGGACATGCCACCCGATATGGTGAGATAGTCACTCTGTGTCTCTGGGGCGAACCGACTACTCTCTGACGCTTTCTCAATTGTCCCGAATAGGCCCGTATGCGTCAAACCCAGCGGAGTCTGAGCAGGGATACTTGCCGAACGAAGTAGGGGTCGGGTGCTCGACGGGCATTGTCGGAAACGACCCTCGGTGGAACGCTATCGTCGCTGGCGGCACTTACACAAACCCCACGAACCCGAACACTGTATGGCCCAAACGCCCCACCGTGGCCGTGTCAGAGGCAGCTTACCCATCAAAATCGAGGATCTGCTATAAGACATTGAAAATTCGAGCGTCGGGTGTCAAAAACGCACCGATTATTGATGCGGATGTGGTGGATTTCTGTCCCGCAGCGAAGTGTAACTGGCCACGAAAGGAGCTGGCTTTCAACGTTGACGTGTACGGGGAATACACCTGGAAAGCGCTGGGCGGGAAGGACGGCGGCGGCAAGCTGAAGGTAGAAATTGCCTGGCCGGCGGATGTCACTCCGGCCCCTATACCGGACGGGATTGGAGCCCCCGAAACGCCTGTGACAGTTGACCCCACGGATGCACCGACTCAGCCGCTGGACGGTGAGTTTGTTCTTTCCAGGTGGACTTGAATGGAAAGTGAGAGCTGAGAAATCTCTGACCGGGTACTCGTCTTCCTTTTACAGATGAGTCAGCGGAAGGAGGGTTGTCGAAGGGTGCGATAGCTGGCATCGTCATCTCGTGCGTGGCGGTCAGTCTGGCTTTCACTTTCTGGATGTGGGCGATTTTGCGGAAGAAACGACGTCCTCAGACCTCTCCCATGGGCGGACCGGCGGCAGCCAAGCCCACGGTGCCTCCTATGACTGGAGCATAGAGTAGAGAAGTTCATCAACTTTCGGGTGGACGTGAAGACCTCATGAACGGCGTAGCAGTGGGGGGCAACAGATAGCGCGGTCTTTTTGGCGTACATGTTTTGGCGGCGGCCCGTAGACTTAGCACAGCATCAGCATAGATTCTTTTTGCCCGAAATAGTACTGTATATCAATTGTAAATCACAAATCAACGACTACCATCTGTTCTCCTAGTTGTCAAGACGCTCTCCAAGTGTGCTATCTGAACTATGCCCTAACCTCTATGTTTTGATTGATGGTGAGCGAGATCCCACTTGCTTGGACCATAGATATAAGATGACACCGATGTAAACCGAATGGCTGTTAATCATCATGAAGTTAGCATTCGCCAGCGAAAACTTTCTAAAAACTCTTGTGCACTCACACTGCCGGCTCCCTCCTCAATTCCCTCCCCGCCCATCTCCCCCATAGCTTCGCCAATTTCCACGTCCGCCACAATGCCAACCGCACCAGAAACACCGCAAAAAACAGCGCCCGATTCCACGGCTCGCTGCTCTTCTCTGTCGCCTCTTTACTCGCAGTCGATATCCCGTACCGCACGTCATGGTACATCACCGCGACCGCGCGGGCCGCCGGTCGTATGCTGGACGTGAAGTAGTCAAACGACGTGCGCGCGTACCATAGCAGTGGTGCGTTGTCCGGTGCAGCGGCGAACGCGGCTGTGAGGGATGATGAGTTGAGGCCTTGCTGGTGAGAAGTCTCCTCCTCGCTTGCGCTGCGGATCGCGGGAAGTATGTATCCCGGCGCGGTTGCGCCGACGGCGACGTGGTGCACGACGTCCCCGCCAGAGGGGGTGGGGAGGTCGTGGGCAGGGAGGTGGGACTGCACGTCTTCGCTGAATTGACCGGAGAGCATCATACGGAAGGTTTTGAAGTTTGTGCCCAGGGGCTTGTTGTTACTGTCCATTGAGCCTTTGAAGACTGTTGTGCCGAAGTCTTCTTCGTTCGTTTCCACCACTGATTCTGTCGACCCCTTCGTATCACCGCCGGTGAATACCATTGTGCCAGAGACGGGCTCGTCATTTGCCTCTGATGCATCGTCGTCGCGCTTGATGAAAGTGCCTTCGCTGCCCTCATCAAAGTTGCTCGTTTTCGTGATAACGGTGGACGTCGACTGCTCCTCACTCTCATCAGCACCCGCCCCAGGTCCCTTCTTCTTCTTGTTCTTCTTGCCCTTCTTCCCTTTCTTCGTCCCACCATTCTGCAGGGCTGCTGCCGTCGTCGCAGCCCCTGGCGTCCCTACGACCCCCGGGCTCGACGCAAGCTCCGGCGGTTTAATGCCTCGTTTGGCATCCATCGCCTCCCTCACTTTCATAATTAAGGGGATGCGCACGATCTTATTGTCTGCGGCAGACTTGCCGGCGTACGGTGCAACGAACGGGTGGGCCAGTAACTGTGTGGCCGTGAGTCGGGATTTCGGGTCCTTCGTCAGACATTTCGACAGAAAGTCGATGAATTCCGCAGAGAATCGGGTGGGGTCTTGTACGCTTGGCGGTGGGAGGTATGGGATTTTGAACATGGCGCGCATGGGGTGGAGCGTGTGTAATGGCGGAACGCCGTCGGCCATCTCGATGGCTGTGATTCCGATCGACCATATGTCGGCTTCACATCCGTACCCGTCGCCAATAATGACTTCCGGACTTTGCAAAACACATATGTCAGTCTGTCATTTAAAGACCTTTGCCATCCTTGTTGTGATGCAGACGGGCCGTCTCACCTCATCCAGTATGGAGTTCCAACCACGGTCTTCCTCGCCCCGATCGCGACCGTCAATCGTTCAGACACGCCAAAATCGGCAATCTTGACCTCCCCGTTGTCCGTCAGTAGAATATTCGCACACTTCAGATCCCGATGCACGACTCCCCGCCCATGCAAAAACTCCAACCCTTCCAGAGCCGACGCGAGTATGATCCCCAACTGCCGCTCGGTCATTGTACGCTCGGTCAGCTCCATGCAATCACTGACCGACCCAGCCGCGCAATAGTCGGTCAGGATCCACATAGCCTCGCCGACGGGTACGCAGCCATAGTATTGCAGACAGTTTCGGTGTGAGCATTGTTTCAGCAGATCGATCTCTTTTTGGATATCGTCCCGCTGGCCGGGCTTTGCGGTCTGGATTTGCTTGACGGCGAGCACGAATCCGGATTCTTTGAGTAGGGCTTTGTAGACGGAGCCGAAAGCGCCTTCGCCGAGCTTTTCTTGGAGCTCAAAGAGCTCTTTCGGATCCTAAGAAATGTTGCGAGACGGAGTGAGGATTCGCATATACCGCACAGAGTATCCCACCGCTCCAGAACTCTCACCCCTTCACCACCAAACCAATTGAAATCCGCATCGACGTGCACCCGCTTGACAAAGTTCGATGGAGAACTGATCCCTCGCAACAACGGCGACTTGACGGCGGCATCTTCTGCGTGGCCCACTAGCTTTTGGATCCAGTTTGGTGCTTGAGAAATTGATCCTCGTGTCTCGCGCATGATGAAAGATGGCGAATGCAACTTGGGGGGAAAGGGTAGGGACAAAGCCGATATGTATGAAATGGAGCCGAAGGGGGAGACTCGGAACCCAAATTCCACCAAGCGCCTGCCACTTCCTTTGACGAGCGCGAGCCCGTCAGTGACTCACCGTGCATTCAGAATTCATGACAAGAGGGTGGCATGAGATTTCTCGTCCGTTTTCGTTCCGAAAAAAGCATTGCTCGACAACCCCACCAACGCATCGCAGCCACCACTACTCCACTCACCCTATCATATATCACGTCCTACCGAAGCGAAGGGAGATGGAAAGCACCGCGCAGTTGAGTGTCTCCACGTCCGATGTGTCGCAAGATGGCCCTCGAGATGGGAAGCGTTTGACGGCAAGGTCGTCTTCACTATCGAGCAATAGCCCTATCATTCTGCATGGTATGTTGTACTCACAAGTACCTGACCAAGCTCAGCTCACTAACCGTTCGCCTGGACCGCTGACAGTGCTATGTGTCGCCTTTCACCACAGGTCAGTCTTCCTCACATATCGGAGTTTCCATCCCGGCATCACTCATATTCCTTGTTTTGACTGTATCAGGAACGGGCCACAGGTCGAGTATGCGTACCCATCGTTTCCGCCATTGAAGGAGAAGCCACGCAAAACATCATCAAGGGAGGATGACTTAGCGATAGAACTGCCAGACGAGTGGTCCTTTTTGGTAGGTGGGAACCTGAGTTTCAGGGCGCGCGTGTACTTCGTTAACCAGCCTTTCGAAAGCCATTCTTATGCCTACCTGATGGCGCTCATGGTTAGTGAACACTTTACTCTTTCTGTAGTCCGTATGCTGTTGCTTACGTTATCTCTACCCCGACAGCTACCGATGAGGAGTTCATCTGTAGGTATCGATTGCCGTCTATGGAGGCAGGTGATGGACGGTAAAGCTCAGGCTCAACGCATATGCAGATTTCCATTTACCACCCGTGCCAGAGTGGCACAACTACCCGCAATCGACCCTATTCGGCCTGGCGTGTTATCGGCAAATCGCTGCAACGGTTCGTCAATTACGAAAAGGCACACGTCGCAGGCATAGGAGCTCATAGATTCATGCAGGAGCTGATAAACAAAACTTCGGATGTCACACGAAGCACAGTTCAGAAAGCCGTTGTTGTGATAGCTACACAACCAGTGTTAGGTACTATTCTTCCAGTCGAACGTGATGCGTGGCAGAGGTCTGACTTGACGCGCTATCAGGTTCGGTTCGGACGAAGCTTGGATTGGTTACCCAGGCATTCTTTGCGCAGAAGGACTTCTCCAAGCTGGAGATTCTGGAAGTAAGTTGATATATGAGAAGGGTGTGTAAACATAGTGTCAACGGGGCGTGCTAATGCTAGTCTTCACTAGACACTGTACCAGAACCTCGTGTCATCGGTCACTGGGTTTATTCCCGACTCTGTGTTTTACATGGGTGAGTGACACGGTGTACCTCATTCCAACTGCTACGTTCAGAATCTAACGGGCATCGCCGCAGGGATATCGCTGCGGGAGCTGATATTCAAGTTTCGGCAAAAAACGCTGGTATTATTCAAGTTGTTATTCTTAGAAAAGAGGGTAACTACTGTGCGTTTTGCGAGATAGCGCGTAGGGGAGGGAGGTCGCTTACTTTCTGCGCTGCCCAGATTTTGTTTTTTGGTCAAAAAGTGGAACGCCTTTCCGCATATCAATATAGCCTGATATCCCTGATACCAGGTAGAGCTTCTTTTCACACTTCATTTCTATCACCACATATCTCATCTCGTTTGCGCCCAGATTTGCTCAGAAATCTGCAGGATGCGGGTTCACCCAAGCTGGGGAATTCACCACCAGCATCCATGCCCGAGCCAGACGTCACAGCGAGTCGCGAGAGTTTGAATGGAAGCCGGAGACTGAGGCAAATAGGGGCTCCACTGCCGATGTTTGGAGAGGTGGGTTTGGCGGAGAGTCATAGGACGTCAAGGGAGTGGCTCACCCGATGGAATCTGCATTAGTGCGCCTTCTTTCAGCCATATATACCCCTCCAGCAAATGGACGTCCTAATGTCGCAGGACACGAAGGCGTTCATTGTTGGGACGAGCAACTCCATATTCCTGCATCACAAAACGTTAGCTGTCGACGTGATCGCAAATGTAAGGCAGCGTTGCGAGGCATGGGCGAAGTTCGTGGTTACTCAAATGCGCGTAGGTGGACACAGGGGCAGTGGAAATCCTGAACCCAGCACTGAATTCGATACTGAACCTGACAAGGTAAGCCGGAGCTCAAATTACGGTAGTTCTCCGAAATTGGACTCATGCCCTGATCCCTCTTTGCAGTCCAGATAAAAAATTCATAGACGGTAGGTGGTGACCAGTCGCCGACTTAAGTACAAACATCCAGTTGATGAATGTACATCTGGTAGACATTACAAGAGTAGTCCTTGCAACTTATTCGCAAGAAGGTGAGATATTTTTGGCCTTGCACAGGGTCGATGTGAGTCAACGTCTCGACCGTCATCCGTTTCAGATGACATGTCCATGAGCCAACAACTGGAGTTCGAGGGAAGTGATGACGACATTCGATCGCGGTTTGAGATGTACATACTATCGATGCTGGCGTCGGTGCGGATATCTCAGACAGCGTCGATATCTGTGGATCCGAACGTCCGCGGTTGGTTTTCTTTGGAGCTTCGTCGGGCGTTATGGGCGACCCGGGAATTAACTGACAAACCGGATGTAGGCAAAGATTTCCTAGCGGATTACAATCCAGCATGGATCAAAGGGTGGCAGTCTACAATACATTACAGCAAATGGCTGGCTGCTAATGGTGGAGATCTCCCAGATACAAGCGAGTAAGGCTTTTCTCATTGAGCCAGCACACCCAAATCCTTGCTTCTGACTCATCACTCATCATATCTTACACAGCATCAATCCAGCGCATCCATGCCAAGGAACGTCCGCGTTCGGAATCCTGCAAACATCTCTCGCGGCCCGCTTCTCGGACTTTGGACGGAGTCTGTCCCCAGTGCAGCACAACGTGTCCAAAGCGGTCGAGTCGTCGATAAGCAGAGCAGAGACGCAAATTAGCAAAGCTGTGGAGATCGCTACTGATCCGGTTCAGCAGCAGAAACTGCAAGGTATGGGGAAATGCTGAATTCTGAACGGGTCAGTTTCACGGTGGACAACCAATGAGAGGAGCTCACCCAACCCTCCAATTCTGGAATACTGTAGCTGGAGCATCACAGATCTTCAACAACGTCACCGGCTACATTGCGCAAAAGCGTAAAGACTGGGCAACAGGAAGTCCTTCGGTAAGTCAAATCCGTTACACGCTGACTCTTGCGGAAGGGAAATATTTGACGTAACCACACTGCTCTTCTGCACGTACAGGGCTCGTCAGGTAGAGTCACGCCGGAAGAGGGCGGGGAACAGAACTGGGAGGAAGTCGACATTAACGAAGGACCTTCAAACTCGAGTAAGCGCGGGTCGACAACAGGATAGGCGAGATGAAGCAAGGGCCCCGTAGGGAGTTTGTTGGGTAGATACATATAGGGACTCAGCTGAATGTAGTACCTGCCATCTTCATGTGACCACGTTGGGTCTTTCCAACTCTATAGCAGACTCTCAACCCGCATTTTTCGGTTTGAACACCGCCGGAGGATGGACCAGTTTCCTTTATTACAAGGAAAATTTTGGAAGAAGCGGCACGTAAACGGACGAACGTTGGAGGATGTGGGGAGGAAAGGTTGGGCTTGCCGGAGAAGAACGGATGACTTTGGGACGGAGAGGTTGAAAAGCTTCTTGTCATTCCGTTGCCTTTCCGGGTTTGATGTTTAATGTAATGAGCCAAAATTGACTGAAATGACAGAAAAACCTGGCAGCAAAATTACCTTGCGGAAACAAAAGGGTGATCACCATGGTTTGCAAGGAAGCCCGAGGACATGATTCCAAACTTCCAGAATCCGTGTCGACCACCGGCACCGAAGACCAAGCCGCCATCTGCGTGATAGAATGGGCAGCGGTGCTTCATGGATGCCGGCGTTGCACAACAATAGACGCGATCGACTTTGCAGTCACGGTGTGGCCGCGGGTCTCAATAATTGCCTTACTGCCACTACCGAGTAGTAGCCGCACAACTGAGCAGCCTCTCCGTCTCCGTGTCCGCAATGAATTATGAGGCGATTTTCTCAGCAATCATTCATTACCAGCCTCCAGCTCAACTCCGCGGTGTGGCTACCGTTGGCGGCGTTGAAGCCTCATAATTGGAACCAAGTCCGACCTGCAACTCGGCCAGTTTGGTACATGGGAAGCTTTTTTGGAACTTGAACTCGTCAGAGCAAAAGGTAATGCAGTTGTATGTCATTACCAAGGCTTGGAGCGTCTGGTCATGGATGGGCTCCAACGTCTCGAGACAAGTTTTTTCGGCAGGTCATTTCGGCAATTTGTACACTGGAATGGGGCCCCGCGCTCCTACGCCCAAATCGCAAAGGGCGCCTCAAGCGAGACGTCGCTTGTGCGATTTGAATGAGGCCCGGGATGGATGTAGGGCTTGCAGCGTTGTCACTCTTGTGCGAAGGCTACTATCGATCCTGGTGATCCATCGAAGGCCGCAGGTTTCAAGCAGGAGGTTCCCTGGGAGGTTCCTAAAAGGCGGAAAGGTTTCAGAGCACGGCCGGCGATCAGGCTCATTCTTGTCCATCCACTATACCAAGTTGTCATCACCCCTCTTACGGAGTGTATGCACCCAGAGCATCCCGAAGCCATCGGCAACCAGGAGCATCGGCCTTAACCCCGACACCATACCCAAAGGATACCGTACAGTTCAACTACAGATAGCAGCCGCCGAGCCGCGTAGCTCATCCAAACCCCGCCTCATCCAACCACCACCCCGCGAACCACAACCATGGTCTCTCTGTTCGGCAATACTTCAACGGCATCTTCGGGCGGCAAGCGGTTGCAACCCCAAGAACCACTGGACTTTGACCGTTATGGCAACCCGATACAAATGCCCGCAGCGCGGAAGGCCAGTCTGGGCGACGTGTACAATATGCCACCAAAGAAGGTCATCAAGGCCATGAAGGGATATAAAGCCCAGTACGTGAAGGAGCTGGAATTCAAGAAGGGTGATTTCTTCTTTGTAAGTATTCATTTGGAGCAGCATTCCAGTCGTTCCGGGCAGGAACAGTATAAGCTCACCGAACTTCTCAACTCGCCAGGTCATCAACGATAGCGACTACTTTTACTATGAGGTGGTCAACCCGGTCGCTCGTCAGAGGGGTTTGGTGCCGAGAGATCACTTCGATAGTCTGGATAAGACAGCGTTCCCCAAATCGCCATCGCTTCCGTCTCTCGCCATGTCTCAAATGGAGCCACAATACGCCCCGCGTCATGCCAACCACATTACCGATTCACCTACATCGGTCGACCAAGAGTTTGACGAATACGGATTGTACAGGAGCTCTGCCGCTCAGACTGCGTCCAACTACGATGACTACAAGCATGAGTCGATGTTTACCACCATGTCGGCCGGACAACTGCCCTCCCCGGCGTCTTCCACTGGGCACAGCTCGGCATCCCTGTCTGCTGCAGATTCGTCATACATCCTCAAGCAAGAACAGCCGCAGCGGCAGCAATCACCGCACCTCCAAGATCAAGAGCATCAATCACGTCTGGAACGCCCGAATTCCTCTTCATCCGAATCCTACTCGCAATCACCCCCCGAACCTGTTCGATCCCAAACTGCGGTGTCGTTCGTCTCCTCCACCTCCGCGACCACTAGTGGGGGTCACAAAGCAAACAGCAGCATGAGCAGCAGCCACCACAGCTCTTACACCTCCAACCCTCACATGTCCCACACAAGCTCCGCACATTCATCCCACCACAGCTCCAGCTCCGCAATGTTTCCCGGAATGGGCCGAGTCATACCCTATCCTGTAGCCTGTCGCGTACAGAACGACGACGTCCAACCGGACGGCAGGCTGCTATATACCGTCGAGCTATCTCTTTCCGATGATACCACGCGCGTGCTCTTCAGGACATTCGATGATTTTTATTCCCTTCATGTTGCATTGCTCACACAATACGCGGTCCAGGCCGGCCGGTCTAGGGCTCAGCCACGGACGATTCCATTCTTGCCACCCGCACCACCATCACGAAAAGTGGGCGAAACCCACGCTGCGCCGCCCAGTCCGGCAGAGACTGCGAAGAGACGGAAGGCGTTGGACCTGTACTTGGCCGACTTGATCGTCCTCCCTGCTCCTATCCGCCACTCTGCACCCCTCAACCGATTCTTCAACCTTCGGAAGGGCGACAACTCCATCCCCACCCCCGTAAAAGCGGACTCGTCTGCGACGCTCATGGATCTCATTTCCGACTACCACTCCTACGAATCCTTGCCCCGCGGCCCCGCAGCGAGACGAAGCTTCCACCCCGCCCTTGCCGACCCCAATACCGCGTCGGTGAAGATCAAGCTTCATGTTCACGGAGCGGATAGCCTGGCGTGGCGTGTTCCCGAGAACATCACCTTCCGGCCGTTCCTGGAAGAGGTCAAGACGAAGGTCGGCTGGATGTACGAGGGCTGGGCGATTTGGTACAAGGACGAGACGGGCAGCATGATCAGAGTCCATGGGGATGTCGACTGGAAGGTGCTCGTGAGGGGACGGTGGGGCACCGTGGTGCTCTACATCGATTGATACCCTCTCATCAAGCCGACGATGCGCCGCCGACATGGTTCGGCGAAAGACGATGGTGTATATTGCGTGGTTTGGGAGGGGAAGTAGCCCTCCATTTCTTCTACAACTCAATCGTTATAGATACGTATACATAGATTTAGCCTGTATCCTCTTTTCTTGTCTCTTTCCTTTGGTTGTTCTTCTCTACTGGTTTGACACCTCGTCCTGCAACGTTCATGTAGATTCTAGATCATAGCTATTTCATATAGGCCTTACCCTCTCTCGTGCCTCATCTCGATAATATCGGCGTAATCCTTTACTTCTGAGGTTCTTTTCTCATCTAGTCTGCATTACATTTCGGCCCTTCGCCAATTGGTCCAGTCGTTCTTTCATATCTTCTTGATGTTCATCTCGAACCCGGTGTCCCAACGAGGTGGTGTGCGCCTATAATGGTATATTTCTTAGTGCTCTCTCCCAGTGCGAAACGTAAGCAGAATTATACATATGATACGCGCACACCCCTTGTCCGTTTATACCGCTGTCATTCGGACAAAAGCGTCACACCCCCAATATCGACAGGCTTGGTTCCCCGCTCTCGCTCAAACTTAGCTACCCAGACCCTGATCTGTTCCCGTAAAGCATCGCAAAACACACCTTCAGCAAGTCAGTCAAGCAATTGCACAGCTTGCCCACTTGCACCCCAACGCAACTGCAAAACTCGTACCCGCATTCTCTACTTCTGGCGGAAGGCACTACTCGACTTTCACGCCCACCAAGCGAATTCACTCCATCCGACCTTCGGTCTCGCGGCCTAGCCACTCTCTTTACGAGCGCGGGACGCTTTCGAAGGCTCTTTGTCATCCGACCGACTTCCCCACAGTTCTTCTGGGTCGCTTGGTTTTTCTTGCGAACGAATGTTGAACCCCATTGTCCGAAATTGCTGAACGAGAAGGTTGCCCAGGATGAGTATGGTCAATATCGTCAACGTTCAGGTGAGTTTCCACCCACAAACGACCAGGGCTGTCGCTGCCTTGTGCCTGTGCGCAAAGCTGCTTGCGGCAATGGGCGCAACGTGCGAATCGGTGCATTGGACTGCGCGGTGAAGGGCATTTTCGGACAAGATTGTGGACTAAACCGTGTCTTTCCAAACAGATCATGAACAACCCTTGTTCGTTCTTTGATCCGTTTCAAATCGAAATTACCTTTGAGGTTATAAGCGAGTTACAAGAAGGTGGGTTCGCCGGCTTCCAACTGGGATGCTGAGGAATGATGAGTGGAACCTCGCTTGCTGAGCATCACGACCGAGGTCTTATTTTGTACTCAAACTAACATGCGTGCCTTCCCTGCTCATAGATTTGGAGTTTAAGATTGTGTATGTAGGATCTGCCCAGAGCGAAGACCATGACCAGACGCTAGAATCCGTCATGGTAGGGCCTGTGCCTGTCGGGGCGAGCAAATTCTTACTCGAGGTTAGTGCCGATGTGAGGACGAAGACGTGTATGTTTTCTTTCTGAGATGCGGGGAAGTCGGGACATATGTTGTTGCCATGGGCAACGGTCAGCCATTTTCACGATTTGGCCATATCAGCCCTCCTCATCTCGAGACTGACTTTCGGATATCAATCTCTTCTTCCGCTTACAGGCACCAGCCCCAGACCCGAGCAAGATCCCGAGTACCGATATCGTAGGGGTGACTGTGCTTCTCCTGATGTGCTCCTATCGTGACCGCGAATTCGTCCGAGTGGGGTACTACGTCAACAACGACTACACGGATGAGCAGATGAGGGAGGAGCCGCCGGAGGAGGTTCAACTGGATAAACTGCAGCGTGCGATTCTGGCGGATAAACCGAGGGTGACGAGATTCTCTATTCCTTGGTGAGTTTCCTGTGCACATGGCCAACGTCTTTGACAACAAAGCAATCCTGACCTTCGTTTGTAGGGACAACGACGAGAAAGCCGCCGCAGCAGCCGCCGCCCAACAAGGCATGTCCTCAACCCTCGAAAACGACGAAAACGCAATGTCCATGGACACGGACCTCAACTCCCACAACACATCGATGGCCGCTCCCTCCGCGAACCCGTCTAGCTTGGGGTCACCGGAAAAAACCATGGGCAACGTGGCTGCTGGTGCGGGTATACCCCAGGCGCCGCCAGTGACGATGATGCAGGAGGCTGCGTGAGTCTGAGTTTGGTTCGGCGTCGATGAAGGGTGAATGGGCTTCAGGGGGATATCCGAAACAATGGAGGGCCGGGCGTACAAAGGGTGATAGTTGTGGGTCTGTGTTGTATATATGGTGGCATAGTGTTTGAATGAAGCTGCTGGTGCCCTTCGGCTGCTAGCGACTGAACAAGCGGGATGTGTTTTACCTTGTCATTGTCGTTATTGTTGGCATGCAGCTTTCTGAATTCTCTTTTATCTATACCCTATCGGATGCACATCAAAAATGAAAAAAAAACATTGTAAAAAATCACATGGCGTGGAATCTGAACTCTTAATAAGTGCTTTGAGAACTGTATAATATGACTGTACAGTACGTGTACGTACAAGCAACGTGATGCATTCACGGGCAAGTGCAAAACGCGTGCACGATTGCTAATGCATTCACTCCCACTCGCCCCACCCATCCTCTTCCTCCTCCTCCACCTCATCGCCATCACCGGTCTGCCGCTTCCCACCGCCACCACCGCTCTGCGACGCCGTCTCCCCGCCAGTACTGCTACTCCCGCTCCGATTGACGACCTCGAAGCTTTCTGTGGATGGGGAACTGACGCCTGTTGTTTCTATTGAGTCGACCTCGGGTTCTGTGATGGTTGTCTTGGGGGCTGATGTGGCGGGTGGAGGGATGGTGAAGGTGGGTTGCGGTGGGGAGGGGGATGGGGAGGGGGAGGGGAAGGGGCTGTCGGGTTTGTTGGTTTCGGGTTGCTGATGTGCGACTGCGTTAGGAGATGGTGGGGATGGTGATGGGGGTTGTTGTGTCGCAGCAGCTTTCTCCGAGGCCGGAGTAGAATCGGACGGCGCCGGTGCTGTTTCTACCGAAGCGGACTCGGACGGTTTTGGCATCGCGTCCGCGTCCTTCCCTTCTGCGACCCCCGCATCTTTCTTGCTCCCGCCCTGCTGCCGCCCTTCCTCCTCATCTTCATCCTCCGACCCCCACGAGAAATCATCAGCCTCTCCAGCGTCTCCCGCCGCGGCGGCATTGGCGAGGAGCTGTTTGCGGGTTTCTTCTTCGCGGTCGACTTCGGCGACGCGGAAGAAGTAGCGAAGCCAGAAGTCGGGGTAGGATAGGTCTGCTGGGACTATGCGTTGATGGGGGGTTAGCAAAATGACAAGTTAACAGTGAGGTGACACAATATGTTTGGAGGGCATACCAAGTTCGTCCAGGTATGTTTTTGTTTCGGCGGTTTCTTCGAGAACTTTTGTAATTTGGGATTCGTGGTTTGGTAGCGAGAAGGTCTGCTTGTATGATTCGAAGCGGGAGGCGAGCTGTTTATCTGTTGACTTTGCTGGATCTGCAGAGAAAGTTGTGATGTCGGTGCGAAGGGCAGCGACGAGCGCACTTTTGCGGTTGAAGCTACAATATGCATGATAAGCAGTGGATAAAGCGCCCTCAACGCATCGGTGGACGTCCTGCCAAGCACGAGTCCAAAACTCACATGATATTCTTCTTAGCACCCGCCCCAGCCTTCGTCTTCCCCTTCTTTCCCTCGTCATCCTCCACAATCCCCGGAATAATCGTCACAGCACTACTCAAAAACCCCGCAACCCCACCCCCAATCTTCAGCAAAAACTCATCCGCCACATCCGCCATCTTATCCAACCTCGCCCCAATCTCCTTCAGTCCCACCCCCTCCCCCTCCCCTCCCCCATCGTCATCGTCCGCATCCTGGGATTGGGGCACGCCGAATGAGCTGAAGGACATGTCGCCGATGGCTACGGCGGAGGAGGTTTCGTTTAGGTTTTTGGGTGGGGAGGATGGGGATGGGGGGTCCGGGACCGGAGCGGTGATTTCGTGGATGGTTTCTTTGAGGCTGTGGGTGATTTTGTCGAAGTGGGAGGTGGATTCGGTTGTCATTGTTGAGACGAATTCAGATATATCTCTGTACAAATGACAAGAGGGTTAGAAAAGGGGACTGTTGCTGTGAGGACAACGCAGGAGGGACATTGTCCCTTACCGCTTGTAAACATCAACCACCGCCTCGCTCTGCTTCTTCACCACATCCACCCAGCCACCCCACGCCGAACTCAGGCCTCCCCAACCGCCCAGCAGAGAGGAAGAGGACGGACTGGCCGCCTTTGCAGGGGGAAGCGCGGCCGTCGATGGTGGTGGTGTTGCGGAGGGGGAGATCTCCCGTGCTGGTTGACGCGCGGGCGGTGTTGCTCTCCCCGCGGCGTCGCTGAGGTCGAGCATGTCGATGGGGGCAGGCTGGGGTTGCTCTGAGGCCCGTAGGTCGGCGGCGGTGGGGAGGTCGGGGCTGGATGTTTCCATGTTGTGTGTGTGTTGCGAGCGATTGGGTGCAATTTTCGGAGCTGACTTCACAACGGCAACTTCGCTGGAATTCATGCTGTTCGCCGTCACGCGTCACTTGAAAAGTTCAGCCTGGAATGAACTCTAGCTTTAGATTCATTCGGGGAGCTCTAGACAGGAAACACATCGAGTCCCCTATAGCTTATGCATTTCTATCTGCGCTACATGCAAGTGTGCTCTCCTACGATGGCTACCCTAGTAGATATCTCCTCACAAAGCGCTTCTAAGTATTGGCCTCACACCAGCAGCGGCACACGAACAACCAGACCTCCTCCCTCGACTTTCCGTCCCGTGAAAGCCGTATCAAGAGCCGAGCAAGCCACATAGAGGTACCCATCCCTAATCGCCAACTGCCCGGGCCATCTCAGAACCTCGGGATCCCGCACCAGCGTCTTAAGCACAGGCTGTCCCGACCTCGTAGAGTAGACCCGTATAGCAGAGGTCTGCGGGTCCGCAATGTAGAGATCCCCATTGGTAGCGACCACCATCCCTCCCGAGACGGGCTTATGGTCCAGAAACTTGGAAACGTACGGGCGCGCGGATTTGTGGGAGTTGGTGTCACGGGCGTAATCGAGTTGACTCAGGGGTACCTTGAACGCTTCTCGTGACGAGGGTGCGGCAAAGTACATTGCGTCGTTCTTGGCGTCGATGGCGAGCGCTGAAACGGCCGGGCGGTAGGGGAATGCCCCGAAATAGGCCCATCGCAGGGTATGTGTGCCTGTAGCATCCAAGATGGAGGCAGATCTGTTGGCCTTCAACGAGTGATGCCCCTTGAGCACAACACTCCTGCCACCGGTTTCGACGTCGATCGCAAAGATCTTTGGCAAGCCTCGGATCATTGAAGCGTCGGCGATGTAGAGGGATTTGCCGTCAGGGTGGACTGCTAGGTCGGCGACCAGTGATCCACGTCCTGTGCCTGTTCGGTAACGGAGGCGTTCGTCTCCCTTTTGGAGGTCGAAAGCGACGACCTTTGGCTTGTTGGTGAGGCCATTGATACCATCGTCCAGGGCGTATAACGAGTTCCCGTGAAGCTTCAGCGACGTGATTTGCCAGTAACTGAGTTGGCGTTTCTCAGTTGGCCAGGCGGTGAGGTTCTGCGTTTTTGGATCCCATTTCGCCAACTGGAGAGTTCCACCGAATTAGCTCTGCACATTAGACGGCATCAGTACACAAAAAACTTACCTTCAAATTTCCGCGGTCGTGTCGCGAATGGAATGACACATAGAGATCACCGTCGCCAGTGATTGCGATTGCGTTTGGTGGAATAGGCAGTTTGGCAACGACCTCGATGGCAGACGCTTTCTGGAGTGGTTCGTCCGTGATTGCAGGGAATGGAGAACCTCCGAACCCTACAAAAACAAGAGGACATCAGAAACCATCCCAACGTCAACCGTCATCCCATCGACAACCATCATCAGCCACCACCTCCATCTATGTGGGTGGGGGTGTATTGCGCTCTTGGCGCAATGTGGTGCTCGCTTCGCTCGCTGAGGTTTGCTAAGAAATGCGGTGAGGGGAGTATTGCGCCTCTGGCGCAATGTGGCTCGCTCGGCGGAGTCCGCATTCCCCCCAGGTAACAAGCTCCCTTTCGCAACAACCGCTCGCGTGCACCCTTGTGCAAATCAACCTTCGCTACGCTCGGTCGCCCGCCTCACCTCCATTAGACCAAAAGGCGACGAAAGTGATAATGGAAATCGCAGTCACTGCGAGAAACTTGAGAAACCCAGGCACATAAGGGTCCAGAACAAACCCATCAAGGGCCGGGTCCCTTCCGTTGAAGCGATCGGCGGGTGCGGGTTCCTCCTCCTCCCAAGTGTTGTCAGGCGTAGTAGTAGGTTCGAATACAGCCACGGCAGCAGGTGCCTGTGCTGTGACGGTAGCGCTGTCGATGTTGTCCACGGACGAAGAGCTCTCGCCGTCGCGCTTGCCGCCGCGTTGGCGCACTTCAGACGACATTCTTGCTGTGGTGGATGTGCTTGTCCTTTGGATGTGTAGCCCCTAGGACGGACCGGTTGGCGACGTCTATGTATGTATACTGTATATAGCTGTGTGAGAGGCCCACCAACACAGCGGGCGGGTCGTTCTTACATATGGGCTCGAGGGAGCGGAAGCGGAGGGCCTTGGGGTTTTCATCCGGGAGCAGATTGCAAGTTGCAACGCGTCCACAGCAGCGGACGATTTCTTTCCATGGCGTTCCGGCCCTCACTGATCAATCCACTCAAGCGGTGGGCATGGCTTGCCGAGCGCCGGTTGATCAAGCATCGTCAACAAATTCTCTGGCACCTGCTTGTCTTTGACGAGCTTATGCAAGTATACGAGGGCGTTGTTTCTCGAACGACCTTACGAGATTGAAAGGTACACTCGACCTCGTTGCTTTTGTGCCTACGTAATAGTAGCGTGTTCCTTATGGCATGGTTTTTTATAGTGACGACCTATCCGTCTCCTCAGGAGCCCGTAACGGAAAGGACTCACCTCTGCGGCAAAGTTGCGCTTACGACTGACCACCCGAGGCCCAACGTGACTTGCTGCCTGGAAGTCCACATTTCGGGCGAAATCATATTTATGGTGACACTATGCTCGTCCACCCCTTTAGGCTTTTGGGGTCGCGGGTCTCAATGCTCACCTCCTAGGTTTCGCCGGACGGTTCACATCAAAAAGAGGGTGCGATGGTATTGACAGCACGCAAGGCCATCTGGTTGTCTCTCTTACATATGTGACGAGTGTAGGTCCCTTACGTTGCAAGGAGCCGAATTCGACAGCGTGTTTGGGTGTCTTGCCCTGCTGTCAGAGGTTCCAGACATGAGCGTTATTTGTTCCTGCTTGCATGCATTGTTGTCCACGCAGCACAGCACAAGGGATATTAACCCACCCAGAACCCACCACACCGCCTTCCGCGCTCACAAACTTTGTCAGTTCAGATGCGGGAATGAAGAATTTTCCAGCGTTACAAAGGCACGACCCATCGCGAGCAACACACAAGGCAAACTTCTGAGGAGAACAAATTGATGCAACGGTCGACAAAAGCAGCTCCTAAAATAGTTCAATCCAAGGAAACCTCATTTCGATGGAGACCAAAACTGCAAATGCACACAAGAGCAAAGCCTCACTGGGTCCCACCCAATCGCTGGGCAAACTCGCGGGGGGTGGAAAAAGCCAAAAACGTTGGGCACCTCTTTCGGTGTTGCTGGAGCTCGGAATCATAGGCATCTGCGTAGTCTGCCTTTCCATCGGCAACACCGGATATCTGTCGCTGAGCACGGTGCCGCAGACCAATGGGCATTGGACCCTTTGGTCAGAGAGTTCCATAACCTTTGGATATGGAATAGTGGTGCAGATAGCCCTTCTCGGTCCTCTTCAACTTGGTCGAAAGATTTCGCAACACTGGCTAGCTTCGAAAATTGTCTCGAAGGGCATAAAGTTTCGTCAGATGGTTACCGCATGGTCCGTCATCTACTGCAACTCCCATCGTGGCGTGGAGGATATTTGGAGAGGATGGAGCGCCATTACATTCTTCATGCTCGTCGTATATGTGGCGGAAGTGATTGTCATCGGTATTTCTTATGCCTGCCGTAGAATTCCTCAAGGAAATTTTGGTGTTGGGCTCATCACATGTTCCGCTCTGTCAGGTTCCATCGGTTCGTTGTATAGGAAAGAGCCGTTGACTGCAGTCCGTTTTCAGACGAGTTTGCCGTTGCTTGGGCCTTATCAAAGTAATCGGACAACGATATCCGCGGCACCTCTCGTCACCCGGATGGCGCAAAAGTAAATAACAATCCACTTTTTCAAACGCCATGTGGTATCTAACGGACTTTGGCTCCAGAACAATTCTGGGTCTTGGTCAACTTTACGATCCACTGACGCTTTCCGGGCTCGTCATCGCAAATGGGACGGGATCCGCGTGCGAGAGCACCACTTGCACCGCTGAATCATCTGTGATACTGTCTCCACTCACCGCCCCGACGGCAGCATCGGAAAGTTTTGGGGACCACCCTTGGCCTGCCCCGTGGGACACTCTAGGCCGAAACGACCGTGTAGTTGGGGAGTTCTCTTCCCTTACTGCTGATGTCTCATGCTCGCCGAAAGCTTTCGAAGTCGTTGCAGACCCTCAGATGTGCATTGACCGAAGTTGTTACATATACTATACGGTCAATGCTTCAGGTACCTCAATGTTCTACAACATCTACTCCCTCGACACTCAGTTCAAGGTGGGCACGCAAGTCTCCCTGATAGCATTGTATGCGGAGGAGGTCGGCAAGTACGGGCGGATAGCTACTATCGACGACAGGCTGTACTTTGGGGTTCTCGTGAACAGTCTGAATGGGACTGAGTTTGCAAACATGAACAACGGCTACTCGAGAATAGCCGATGCCGAAGCGCATCCCAACACGACGGTTTTCTTTAGCTTCGCCCTTTGCAGCGCCGGTTTTAAGATTGGAAGGGAGGTCGCGACCATGGAGGTATGTCACCGTGTGTGCGACACAGATCAAGAAATGTGGAGTCGATGTTCCGAGTGGCGTGAATGCTCATCTGTGCATCCACATCCTCAGGTTGTATCCGTGGTCCCCTCGTTGAAAGCTTCGATTTCCGGCTCACGAAGATCACGGGAGCCCGAGACATACAGGATTTCCGACGACACCGGGGGGTATGGCCTCGCTCGATACGTATATGAAGTCTTGACGCACATAACGTGTGACACGCTGCTGTGTTCAATCTTCGAGAATGAAGTCCCTTGGTTTGACCCGCTTATTGGATTATTGAAAGTCGACGCGGCAGGCAAGGCTATTGTCGATCCGGCGAATCAGGTCCGGATCTGCTGCGAAGTGTACCACCGTACGACACATTGACCAATACATGTCCAATCCCGCAGATGCAGATGATTTCAGCAGCCGTCGCACGTCTTCTCGCGCTCTCCGCCGCCTCCTTCACGACAAATGTGATAGATCCCGCAACCACTCTTCCCGCCGTGACAACGTGCGAGGTCTATTCAGACGAAATCAGCTACGATATCTACAACGCACGTGTCATGAATGGTGTGCTCACTGTAGGCCTCACATGTGCTTGCGTGCTTCTCATTTGGGACCCGATAATGAAAATCTGGACCATATTCGCCAAGGATGAGACCACGGCGAAGAAGGTAAGAAGGCGAAGAAGGCCGGGAAGGGTGAGTCCGAAGACATATTCTGGGAGCCAAATCTATTGACACGAGTTTCCCGGGCCTTAGAAAGCGATAGTAATTGGCATGACCGAGAGCATTTATGTTTTGCTCAAAGGCCTTGCGCCTAGCAGCACCTTATACTCGCTGATGCCCGAAATGTCCGAATCAACGCCTGAGGACGCCCGAAAAGCAATCGGTGGACATCTGCTCGAGCTGAAATCAAACAATGCTGGGCTCACCGCAAGATTGTTAGATGAACGTCAGCGCAATCTGAAAATGACAAAGGAGTTGAGGGAGGAAGATGGAGAGAGCGGTGACGCATATCATGCCGATCGCAGCGCATAGGAGACTAAGGTTCTGAAGGAATGTATTTACTGGGCCGTCCTGATCGACAGAGTAGCGAGACGGGACGCCCCTTAGAAATAAATCATTTTCTTACAATGCGGGATGTAGGACTTGGATGCGATATCGATGGTGGCACCCTATTTTCTGAGAAGCATTGATGGTCACGTCTTTGACGGCACCCTTCGACAGCGCGTGCCACACTCCGACTGTATGCTACAGGAGCGAGCTGTGTGTTAATCCGAGCCTTTCACATGAACTAAAAATGAGAATCTGCTCTGGACGAGGAACTCAGTCCTCTACAGTATATGGACGAGGAGGAGGTTGCTGAATGCCGCTGGCGAAAACACAAGTGGGGAGGAGAGCCTGGGGAGGAGAGCGAACGTGAGTTCAGGTCTCCTTTTTTTGCGATTAGATGCGCTAGGTAAAAACCCAAACCGGGAGCCGCTCGCTAGAGCGACTTCCGGGAAATCCCCTTTCTGTTTTCATAAGATAGAAATCACCATGGAAACCAGCTTTCGACGTACCTGTGTCAGGAAGGATCGAATTGATAGAATCAAAGTGCAATGTCGTGAACAGAGTGTGCGCTTAGTCTGTTTTTGTTCCAAGATCTGTGCAATCGAGTGAAAAAGAGATAAAGGGAAAGGGCTACACGCAATCTATTATTTATACGCTCGAGAAGAACAATAGAGAAGCTTACTTACGCAACCTCCGAACGGAGTCCGTCTAGCTGGGATCATTGGGATGGCAGACCAGACTACTACAAACTATATATATACGGGATGAGATGAACGGAAATGAAAAACTAGAAAGTACTACAACAAACTTAATGCAAATGCTTCCTATCACATGCATACGGATGGAAAACTATTACTCCGTATGTATCATCAGCTGAGGGTTTCCATAGACTCTGCAGACTCCGCTTCGGCAGGCTCGTCCCCCACGACGGGTGCCGGCTCGGTGGTTTCTCCAGCCACGGCAGTCGGGGCCGACGTTATAGCAGCAGGCTCCCCGGGCACAGGCCCCCTCAGGTGTTCCTGTCTTCCCCGCTGTCTTTCCATCTCAATCTCCGCTGGTTAGTGGATCCCAACTCGCTCTTTCAGAGGCACCCCTTTCGGCTCTGGACAGGTGTGGGAAGGAGGTGTGACGATATCCTCTGTAGGTTCAAACTCGGTGTCGGGGAGTTCCTGCGTAGGCTTGCTTGTTGCCGTGTCCACTTTCTGACTGCCCCGTGTTCCACACATTGTCCGCTTCTTGGGCTCCGCTCGTTGTGGGTAACTTTTATTTGCAACGTCCCTTCGCAAGGAGCTTGGATGTGCAGGCGCGGGTTGCCGCTCGGTTTCGCCCCAGATATTGAGGTCGTTGAGGTGACCAGCTTGCAGCTGCTCAAGGTGGGATGTCAGGGAAACATCTGTTTGAGCTTGCCCATCACGGTCGGTAGGGAAGGCAACCCGTAGCCCAATCCCCTCATCAGAGACAAAGTGGTGGTGGTCAAAGGGCAGATCAGCAGTGCCTCCTGCTTTATCCATGTGTGAGATGGCCAAGCTCGTTGGCGAACCGCTGGCACCTTTTTGAATGGTAGGGGCAGTATAACCCGCCAGACAAGGGAGCCATCCTCCGAGCGCGTAAAGCCCATCGATGCAGGAATAAAGAGGTCGTGTGGAAACTCGAGGTGAATGGCCCGATTGAATGAGACCTGTGTCGCCATGTGGGCCGGGCTCAGTTGAATCAACGGTGCGCGCTCGGGAGGGGGGCCCTCGCCCTTGTCGCCGGAGCCTCGAGGTGGGCGCTGGGTTTCCTTGGATTTTTCAGTTGCATTTTTCTCTGGGGGGCGACCCGTTTCTTCCCAACCTTGGGTTTGCCAGTCAGCACCGTAAACTTCGCTTGTCTTCCCCTTCCCCGTTGTTCCTTTGAGAGGAAGTTGGGGTGGATGGGAACGTTTTTGCCGCCCGCCCGTTACCCAGTCGCCGGAACGCGCCAATTCTAGAAGGTCCCCACATTCCAGAGCTTCACCACCCTGTTCACCACCCAAGGCGCAGCTTGCTGCCACCTGACGGAGGATTCGGACCCTCGCGATCGTTTAACCTCGCGATCGTTTCCTGACGTGATTCTCGCCCTTCGGTCGTCGCTGGGTCTAGAGCGTTTTCCACCGGAGCGTTTAAAAGCTGGCCGGTGTTGGATCAGGCTCCTGCTTCTGAGAATCGACTCGCTTTAGGCCAGTCACCTCTTCGGTGCCTTCAACTTCCTTCCACCCATCACGTAGACATTTTACATCATACAATAAGCAGTGCAGCCAGCGTGGCATACATTCCTTGACTCGAGATTCGATTCGCGAACATAACGAAGCATCGCCAAGTAGCTACAAGCCCCAGAGCGAGCGTCCGCCATACGCATTAGAACGTCTTACTACGAACAAAGAAGGATCCAAAACATGGTTCTACCACTCGGCACTCCCGGCGCCGATGCCATCTACTATCATGTGATGTGCTTCGTCTTTGTTGTGCTACTCATGTGCCTCTCAATCCAACTCCACGGAAGCCATGGCACGGCTGCGATGAAGATTTTGCTCCTTCAGAACGCAAGCGCTGCGCTGTATTTCGCCACCCGCTTCATAATTGTTGGCCAAGGCCATGACCCGCTATGCGGCGGGCTCACGCTGCTGGCCGGCGCGGGATTCTGGTACTCCTCGCTCGGTTTTTACTATATCATCATCACGCAAAAGACGAGGGCATTATTACGGGCAATGTTTCCGGCCGTCAACGCGAAAGTTTTTATCGCATATCAAGTGACGCTACTGACCATGTACGTAGTCAACGTGGCATGGGCATGTGCGTTGGTCAAGATTGAGCAATGCAGCACCGTCTGGGGCGGCCTGAACATCGACTTCATCTTCACCATCGTCATCCAAGTCCTCCTCCTCACCGCGGAGTTGATCATCTACTACAAGCTGTCCACAGGCCCATTAAAAGGGAGCAAATGGACGCCGCTGCAGAAGGAGTATCTCCACGGCGCGATTGCCCTCATGGTCTTTCTGATCACATCCAACATACACATATACTATAATTGGATAGCCACGGTCACGTATTCGCTCTGGTATATCCAAGCCGCCTGGTTTTCGTACGTCTCGTACTCGACGATATGGACGCTGAATGCAGCGAAATCCGCCGGCTTTCGGACGGAGTTCCCGGTGTCGCCGAAGGGCACCGAAGGTCCGACAGAGTTTTTCAGCGACCCTGCGATGCCCACGTCAGCACGTACTCTTCCCGCAACCACTGTGTAGTAGTATGAGGAGGAGATGGGGTTGTATTTTTACGAACAAAAGTGCACAAAACGTCTCAAGAAGCTGCTCCGACTCACACACAATATGTTGATGGCCCCAACATTATTTCCGTTGACCCCACATAGTGCCGAGGGGAATGGGTTAGACGGCCGATGGATCTAGAAGTTGTCCCACCCACGATTATACGCGGAATTATAGATCGCACGTAAATAGAATCTCGCAGGCCGTCGCTGGGTCGGTCTGTCTGGGATCTATGCTTCGCGCTGTCGAATTGATTACGAATGCCGGCTGTATTATATACCGCAATCACGTGAACTGACTTTTGGCAGCCGCACGGAGGCTTTGGCCATTGGTTGATGTGCTTGGGACGCGGTCGCATCCATCCAGCGGCGTGTCGTCTCTGAGACCAAAATCATCACAGGTCAATGGAAACCACTCCGCCAACTGCTCCAACTGCCCATGGCAAAGACATACCACATAAATCTTCAGCATACTCAGCATCCTTTCTCACTGTCCGAGGTCGACGAGCACTAACCCTCGGAGTTCCCCGGAGTGGTCTGTTTAGAGCAGGGATCTATCGGTCAAGTCGCAACTTCTGGGTTGCCCACCTAGAACGAGGCTCACCGGCCGCATTTGACATCTTTATACCAATCTGCATAAAGCGTCGGCGAATTGCGATACAACAATGGCGGAGAAGGCCTTGGAGGTTTACACAAAGGGGAGCGAGGCATGGTTCCCCGACGAGAAAGAAGGATGGGTCATGGGAAAGCTCACAACCAGGGTTATCGCCGATGACGCTGTCAAACTCGGTTTCCACATAGATTCCTTGGGAAAGGTATGAGTATATGATTATTTTGAGTCTCTGCCTTTGCTCTTTCTCTCTGGGTCCATCGGAAGGCTTCAGCAGCAGGACGAACTGTTGACATTCTCCTCACTCCTACATTAGGACGTGATAGTTGAGACGACAAAAACGAAGCTCAACGACACCAAAGCCGCAGACCTTCCGCCATTACAGAACCCTCCTGCTTTAGACGGCATTGACGACTTGGCTTTCCTATCATATCTTCACGAGTAAGTTCAATATCTACTCTGTTCCGAAAGCTGATGGAGCCTCTGACTCTTCGTCCCTCGTCCAGACCCGCTGTTCTGCATAACATCCGATTACGTTACCTCCAGCAAAACATCTACACATACTCCGGGATAGTTTTGATTGCTATGAATCCTTTCGCAAAGGTTCCACTTTATGGCCAGGACGTCATGAGGGAGTACTCTGGGAAGCGAAGGGAGGAATTAGAACCACACTTGTTTGCTGTTGCGGAAGAGGCGTACAGGAGCATGATTCAGGATAAAAAAAATCAGTCCATCATCGTCAGTGGAGAGTCAGGTGCTGGAAAAACACAGAGCGCAAGATACATCATGCGTTACTTTGCTACGGTGGAAAGCGCAGGGGCAAGTTCTGGCGAAAGTGAAGTGGAGCGGTCTGTGCTGGCTACGAATCCCATTATGGAGGTATGTCGCCTAAAGAAGACTCATTCAGTTCGGCATGGACATTTGAAATGCGTCGAAACGAACTTCTGCTGACAAGAAGTCTCCGATAGGCATTCGGAAACTCGAAAACCACACGTAACGACAACTCGTCTCGTTTCGGAAAATACATGGAGATTCTGTTCTCGACCCCTACAGAGAAGAACCCATCGGTTCGGATTACCGGAGCCAAGATCCGAACGTACTTGTTGGAGCGGTCTAGGTTGATTTTCCAGCCTGCCACAGAGAGGAACTACCACATTTTCTATCAACTCTGCGCGGGTGCTCCTGCTGCTGAGCGGAAAGATCTCGGTCTGGGATCTTGGGAATCTTTCTTCTACCTGAATCAGGGTGGAATGGGGACTATTCCTGGCGTAGATGATGCGGCGGAGTTCGTGGAGACGTCGAAGGCTTTGTCGGATGTTGGAATCTCTCTGCAAACGCAATGGTAGGTGAAAGCTTCCTTCTTGGAGAGGTACGTTTATTTGGCTCATCTCGATTATATCTACAGGGCGATTTTCAAGATCTGTGCAGCATTGCTTCACATGGGAAATATTAAAATTGAGGCCAAACGTGACGAATCGCATATTGCCGACGACGATGCCGCCATGCAGATGGCGACCTCTCTTCTGGGCGTAGATGTGAAAGAGTTCAAGAAATGGATCACAAAGAAGCAGATCATCACCCGTTCCGAAAAGATCGTCTCCAACGTGAACCAATACCAAGCGGTCGTGGGCCGTGACTCCGTCGCCAAATTCATCTACTCCATGCTCTTCGACTGGCTCGTCAAGGTCATCAACGTCAACCTGGCCAAGGAGGGAGTCGAGGACAACCAGCGGTTCATCGGTGTCCTGGATATCTACGGGTTCGAGCACTTCAAGAAGAACAGCTTCGAGCAGTTCTGTATCAACTACGCCAACGAGAAGCTGCAGCAAGAGTTCAACGCTCATGTTTTCAAATTAGAGCAGGAGGAGTACGTTGCGGAGAAGATCAACTGGTCTTTCATCGACTTCAACGACAACCAGCCTTGTATCGACTTGATTGAGGGCAAGCTCGGCATCCTCGATCTTCTTGATGAAGAGTCGAGGTTGCCGTCAGGCGCTGACCAGTCGCTCATCACCAAATTGTATCAGCGATTCGCGGTCCCGACGCAGAAGTTCTTCGAGAAGCCGCGGTTTGGACAAAGTGCGTTCACGGTTAAGCATTATGCTACGGACGTCGTTTACGACATTGATGGATTCATCGAGAAGAACAAGGATACCGTTTCTGACGAGCAGATGGCGGTGCTGAACTCGTCGGCGTTTGACTTTTTGAAGGAAGTCATTAAAATTGAGGAGCCCCCGGTATCGGATGTCGCGTCGCCGCCACGTCCTGGACGTGGAGGAGCCTCGTCGATGAAGAAGCCAACACTCGGATCCATATTCAAAGGTTCCTTGGTCAAGCTGATGGAAACCATTCGGCAAACAGAAGTCCACTACATTCGTTGCATCAAGCCAAATATGGCGAAAACGGCGTTTACGTTCGAGCCCATCCCCGTACTCCAGCAATTGCGGGCTTGTGGTGTCTTGGAAACGATCCGTATCAGTTGCGCGGGTTATCCATCGCGTACAGGCTATGAGGATTTCGCGGACCGGTACTACCTCCTAGTACCTTCGAACCAATGGTCGCCCAACCCGAACCAGCTGACGGAAGCGATCGTCAAGAAAGTCATTAATGACGACGACAAATACCAGATGGGTCTGACCAAAGTCTTTTTCCGCGCGGGACAAATGGCCTTCCTGGAGAAACTGCGTACTGAACGACAACGCGCGTGCGTCATCATGATCCAGAAGAACGTCCGTGCCGCCATCTACAGGCGGAAGTACCTGCGCATGCGTGCCGCGGCAATCACGATCCAGAAACACACCCGCGGGCATCTCGCCCGCAAGCAGTACAAGGACATGCGGGAGACGCGCGCGGCGATCAAGATCCAGAAGAACGTGCGGGCGTGGTTGGCACGCAAGCGGTTCAACAGGTTCCGCGATGCGGCCATCAAGATCCAGAGCACGTACCGAATGGCCCGCGCTCAATCCGAGGCCAAGGCGCTCAGGAGTCTTCGCGCTGCGATTATCATCCAGAGAGTGTACAGGGGCTACAGCGCGCGCAAAGCATACAAAGCGTCCAAAGCGCGTATGGTGCTGATCCAGAGCTGTTTCCGCCGTCGTATTGCGATCAAGGAGATGAAGGTCCTAAAGGCCGAGGCGCGGTCTGTGGGCAAGCTCAAGGAGACCAACTACAAGCTCGAAGGCAAGGTGGTCGAGCTGTCGCGCACGCTTGCGGAGCGCAACGAGGAAACCGCACGGAACGCGGAAAAGATCACGCATTTGGAGGACCAGGTCCGTGTATGGAAGGAACGGTTCGAAAAGTCCGACGCTGTCAACAAGGGCGCGGCTGCCAAAACCGAGGAAGGAAGCGCAGAGCTCAGGAACGAGCTTGTTGCGGTCAAGGCTGATAAGGAGAAGGCGGAGAAGGAGCTCGAGAAGCTTGGAGTAATGATGAAGCGAAGAGACGAGAAGATCGAGAAGCTGGAGGAGTCGGCGAAGCTCCTGAAGGAGGAGCTGGCCAAGGCAAAGGCGGAGAAGTCGGTGCCCGTCATGAAGAAGGAGGACGAAGAGGCCTACATGGCCTTGAAGAAGGAGGTTGTCGTTATGAGGGAGCAGATGGCACGGCTACTTGCTGGCAAGTACCGGGCCGATCGCGTTGCAGACTCGATGTTGGCTGCCTCGTTGAGCCCGACCGACGGCCCAGCAACCGCTAGCGGATCGCAACCGTACCCGTTGGAAAACACAAAGTCGGCCGTCAACATGCAGATCGAGATGGACATGGCTGCCGCTGCCGCCAAAGCTCGCCCACGGCGGCACAGCTTTGGTGAAGGCGCCCAGTCCCCCGTTCTCGAGCCGCCGCCACCTGCCGCTACGGGTGAGATGACGCCTCGCAAGACCCGCACCAACATGATCATCGACACCGCTTTCGCAAACGGCGGCATGAACTCCACCGGCCCGATGTCTGCTGGCGCCGGCGTGATGCTGGAAGCCGAACGCTCCGTGCGCATCTTGGAAGAGAAAGCGCTGGAAGACGAGATCATCGACGCGCTGGTAACGAACCTCCGCATCCCGCTCCCATCCACCCAGACCGTCGCTACACGCAAAGAGATCTTCTTCCCCGCCCACCTCATCGGCTGCACCATCGTGCAGATGCTGCGCAACGACCTAGCCACCCGCATGCTGAGCCTCATGACCAACGTGATGAAGGCGATCCAGAACCTGACCATGAAGTTCGAGGACGACTACGTCTCCGCCTTCTGGCTGTCTAACTGTTACGAACTCCTCTGCGTTGTGCGGACGACCCGCGAACGTGAGCGCGCGAAGGCACGGACCAGGCCCAGCGGCGAAACCGGGGAAGCGGAACGCGCCCTCGACAAGGTGTTGAACGATCTCGACTACCTCCTCATCGAGATCTACCACGGCTGGATCAAGGAGTTGAAAAAACGGCTCACCAATATGATCACGCCCGCCGTCATCGAAAACCAGTCCCTGCCCGGCTACATCTGCAAGCAGTCCGGCGGGCTGTGGGGCAAATGGGGCAAATCGTCCTCGGCGTCGCAGTTCACCATTGAGCAGTTGCTGAATTTCTTGTCGAAGTTGAGCAAGACTATGCGGTGCTATTATATGGAGGACACGATGACCCGGCAGATTCTGACGGAGCTGTTGAGGGTTGTTGGTGTGAGCGCGTTCAACCATCTGCTGATGAGGAAGAACTTTTGCACGTGGAAGCGGGGGGTGCAGATTCAGTATAATGTTAGCCGGTTGGAGGAGTGGTGTACGAGTCATGGGATTGCTGAAGGTGGGTTTCTTCGCTCGGTTCCTATGAAAGAATTCGTTCTCGTATGTTGACTTTGCTGCATTACCTATCTTTAGCGACACTACATCTTCAACAACTCCTCCAAGCCGCCAAACTCCTCACCCTCAACAAGACCTCGCCACAAGACATCGAGACCATATTCGACGTCTGTTTCCTCCTCAACCCCACGCAAATCAAGAAGCTGCTCTCCCTCTACTACGCCGCCGATTTCGATTCACCGGTATGCCTTCCCCTATTAGTCTACAACCCTTGCTTTCAACTCTGCAACTCACCGCATTTTCTTTCTGTACCCGCAGTTATCACCGGAACTCCTCAAAATCGTCGCCTCAAGAGCCGTCCTGAACGAGAAATCAGACATACTACTCCTAGACCTCGAACAGGCGCCCGATTTCGTCAAGCCGGCGTCGAAACCGGTCGACACGATCGAGCGGTTCGTACCGACGTGGATGAGTTTGCCGAATATTACGACGGTTGTCTCGAGCGCCAATTGAAGACACGCGGGTGTCACATTTTGCGACAAACAACGACAATACTTCCCGATGAGACCTTAGATGTGCCCAAAAGCATTTGGACGAGGCGTAGAAAATTTTCGTCATACTCATCTCACTATTCCTGTTCCCCTTTCCCTCATTACCCGATCACGACGTTACGCTTTCCGATGGGACTAATTACGGTCTCATGGAGCCATCGACTTGGAAGAAGATAGCTAGCGTAGCAAACATGTATCTATCTGCCGCGTTTACATCTGGCAGGCATCCCCCTCATGTAGTTTTCGTTCCCTTCTCATCACGTTTATACTCATATCCCCACCCCTCATCGCTTTTGCAATAATCATCTCAAACGATACATGTGCATCCATCTGAACGTCGGGTTTATTTCCCACCATCAAAAGCGGCTGGCAAGCCCCCATCACAAATGTACACCATCCTCAAAACACCTCCCTACTTCTCCAACATAATAGCCAGAAAATCCGCATACCCAATCCTCCCATCCCCATCCGCATCAAACTCTTTGATCATATCCTTCAACGTCTCCCTATTCCTCCTGGGATCCTCCTCGCTCAGATCAGGGTACAAAGCGCGCATCATAGCGTCCAGATCCTCGAGATCGATGAAACTGTCGGCGTTGAGATCGAGCGATTCGAAGGCTTCGTGGATCTGTTCGTCGGTTTCGAGGCCGTCGCGGATCATCCATTCGTGGGACATTTGGAGAAACTCTTCGAATTCGACTAAGGGGGATGGGGTGGTGAGATGGTTGAGGAGGGTGGGGTGGAGGGTGGTGAGAATGTTTATGTATGTGTTACCTGTTCCGGTATGGTCCGCATCGACTTTTTCGATCATGGACATGATTTCGTCTTTCGTGGGTTGGAGACCGATGCTGTGCATCACGGCGTCGAGCTCTTCGATGTCGATTGCGCCGGATTTGTCGCGGTCGAAGAGTGTGAAGGCCTATAGTGCCACACCGCTCGTCAATACCGTTCCTAGAGCTGAAGTCAATGAATGCGTCCCTACCTCACCTCCTTATAATACTCATACTCATCATCAGTAACCCAGAAAGTCTTCCCGTCCGCCGCCGTAACCTGTCTCCTCCCACCTTCACTCTTCGTCACCGCCGTCACAGCCTGCGGTCTATCCACCGCCGGCAACAGCTGCCTCCCCGGCGCATTCGGGTCCGCTGATCCAATCGGTGTGTGACGCTTGCTTTTCGCCGAACCCGGTGCCGAAAGGGGCATGCCGCTCCCGCTTCGGCCAAAGAACTGGATGGACGTGCGGCGTTTGGAGCGGGCGGAGTGGTTGCGGTCGAGGAGGGAGGAGGTGGGCCGGAGGTTGCGGGGGGTTGATGTTGAGGGGCGGGCAGGGGAGGAGGAGGTGCGGTGATCTGAGGATGCGGATTGCGGTGGACCTGCGCGACTGACTCGTATGGACTCCATTGTTGCTGAGCGAGGGGTTTGAGCCCTGCGTCCTGGGAGGAGGCTTTGGGAAAAGGGATATGTGCGTTAAGAGTGCTTTCAAGTAAGAATTGATTGTGGGTGGTTTCCGTGGGAAGTACTCGCTATTGATCTACGTCGGAGGAGAAAGGGTGCGAGGAAGGAATTCTGACAGCGCGAACTGACGGGATGGTTACGTCGGGAGCTAATTAAACTGTGTCCACGTCACGTGTCAATGAGAGCTTTTGAATTCGGGGATTCCGAGAACTCACCTGCGGAGGTTTGCAGCATTGCACGCCGGTTGTTCTCCATTCACACCCCATCCACAGCAAACGTAAGTACACAGAGAAGATCTGTTAAACCTCAGTGACTGTATAGGCAATTCAAGCGCATTTGGAGCTCCCGGCGTTTCCTGATCACTTCTCCCGTGTCGACACTGCGATCACGATTTATCCCACTTCCTCTTTAACCCCCTTCTCTAACAATTCACCAGGACTGCCTTCCGAAAAGATGAGTCAACCAAATTCCGCCGCCATCAGCGCGGTACCTCCGGTCGTCTCGGTGCCAGCGCCGCGCCCAGCTGCCGCGCAGGGCGGTCTCGGCGGTATCGTCAACAGACTTGCTGCGTTCCGCCAGAGGATGAACTTGAGCTCGCCGGGGAACTGGGAGAGCTTGCACCGTGAATTGAAGAGTGAGTTGAGGCGGGAGGACTGGGTTGGTAGATGAGAGGAACTCATGAGCTGAAGAGTTGGGAGGACTGCGGAAGGGGAGCTGCTTTTGGGGTCAACAACCAAACTGACCTATGTCCGTATTTTCTACCGTAGTGGTCCAGCCGACCAACTTCTTGATTGAGGGAGCCAAGTTCGATTTGACTTCGGTTCTGTCGCCCAACTTCACTGTGTTCCACTCATTCGCATGGGGTTCTGCTCAGTACCCGCCTACGTACCACTTCGGATCTGTATATGCGGCCGGACAGGTAAGCCAGAACAATCAGTCACTATGAAAGCCGGTGATTTGACATCTTGGGGAGGCAAATTGTGGGCTGATAGCTTGTCCTTTGTGTAGACCATGTTGCACGGCCAAATTGACGACCAGGGTGGTCTTCAGGCCCGCGCACACTACAACTGGGCTACTTCCCCGGCGCCTGCTGTCGCAACGGAGCAGTTCGACCCCAGCAAGCCCGCGGAAGAGCAGCACCCCATCCCCGACCAGGCGCGGACGAGCTCCACCAGCAAGGTCACCGCGCACCTCGCCGCAGCGGGCGGCCAGAACATGGTACAGCTCGAGCACGACCACATCGGCACGGACTACTCCCTCAACGTCAAAGCCATGAACCCCAACCCCATCGACCGCTCCCCATCCTGGGGCCCCAAGAAGGGCACCTCCGCCACCGGCGTCTACCAGCTCGCGTACCTCCAATCCGTCACGCCCTCCATCGCCCTCGGCACCGAATTCGTCTACCAGCGCATGACCCCCGACACCGAGGACTCGGCCCTGACCTTCGCCTTCAAGTACGCGCCCGCACCTACCAGCCCCGTACCTCCCCCGGCCACCTTACCCCCGGGCATGCCCTCCCCCTTTCCCCCCGTCGACCCCAAAGCCCCCTCGCAGGTCTTCACGGCCACCTACTCCCCCGCCACGGGCCTGCTCCACTCGTCCTACTGGCGCCGCCTCAGCCAGCGTCTGGAGGTATGCTCCGAGCTGCAGCTCCTGCTGACCCCCGAGAACAGGATGGGACCTGGTAGGAGGGAGGGTCTGGCCTCGGTGGGCTTCAAGCTGGACACGATCAACTCGACGATTAGGGGTATGATTGATACTACTGGGAGGTTGAGCGCTGTACTTGAGGAACGGATTGTGGGTGGGATTGCGTTCCAGTTGAGTGGGGAGATTGACTATGCGAAAGGAGGCGGTGGTCAGGGCCGGGTTGGGCTTGGCTTTGTTATGGAGGCGTAGAGGAGAATGTCGTTTCGCGACCCCTCTTCGCGTCTTGTATTTAGATTCTCGTGTACTGAAGTAGTTAGCCCATCCTGCGTGCGCTTCCGATGGAGCGTAGTAGGCAGTGGCAGCTGGCATACATTCCTCCACATCCCTGCACGTTATATACAGCACCATCTTCATATTTTCCATACGTCTCTGAAAGCGCCTTTGCTTCGAATTCGATAGAATATAGTACCCTTTCTTCTATCACTTTGAAGCTTCTCTGTGAACGTTGTGAGCTTAAAAACACTCAGGGCGTCATCGGGAAAGCGCTGAAACTAATGCTACGGTCGATGCATGCGGTATGTAAGAATGCTAAGAATAAATAGTGACTATGTACAGAATAAGATTGCAAAACTTGGATATCGACCAGATGGTTACAGAAGATCAAAATCATCGAGCTGTAAAATGGGAGAAAGGGTACATCAGTACCAAACTCGGGATTCTGATTCCAGATAGGCCGTGAGAGTTCCCTCCTCCGTACCTTATCGTTATACTTCATAACCTTCCTCTTGATAGCACTGGTGTTAACCCACGTCACGAAATCCTCCATATTTCTCGTCACAAGATACGCAGGATCCGCGATCGTCTCAGGCCCGACCCTCACATGCCCTTGCTCAACATACTTGACGGCCTGCTTGACCGTCTCTGCCATTTTCAGCCTAACCATAACGACCGCGAGCCGCCGCCTGCAGAAGGAGGCGACGGTCACTTTTGAGCACTGGGAGAGGGATTTCTCGGCGGTGAGGATGCCCATGCGGTAGAGTTTTTCGAGGAGGGCTTCGGTTTTTGTGGTGCGGAAGGGGTCGGCGGGGGGGAGGAGGGAGAGTTTGTTGGCGAGTTTTGTTATCTGGCCGGCTAATTTGTTGTATCTGATGTGAAGGAGGAAGAGATGTGGGTTAGGAAGAGTTGAATAGCGCAACATGGTGGAGGTAGAACTTTCGCTATGGCATTTTGGGCATAGATTCTCTCTACTTGCTCGACGCCGTAGTCCCGGACGCCGTCGCGCATTGTTCGACGTCCACAACCCGTTTGACTTTCCTCCCTCGTCCCTTCCGCCTCCACTCCTCCTCCTCACCAACTTCCCTTCCTCCCTCCGCCGACTTACTTTATGTATTCCTCTCTCCTCGTTACGTGGTATCTGCGCATGACCCTAGTCTCCTGCAAGCTCTGGTCTGACTTCCATTGCAGAAAGTCGACCTTTTTGAGCAGCCTCTTTTCGTGGTGTTTGAGTTCTCGGACCATTGTTGCCTGTCGTTGTCGTTGCCGTTATCGATAGTGGGTTTATGCGTATGTCGTGGGTCGTTCGTGGGGAACGGGATATTTGCAGTTGGTTGATGGACAATTCGCTGTGGTTTGAGAGCCTGGCAACTTTGGATGTTTACGTACGTGTGGCGTAAGCATTGCCCCCTGCGCCACAGTCGCTTGCTGGGCTGGACCACTCGGGGTTGGCGAAGACCTGCAAACCGCAAACTACAGCAGCCCTCCGCTTAGCAGAGGATCACCCACACACCTTTCACAAACCCGATAGGAGGACCTGATACTTCCTCTTCATAGCCCATACGGTCGTTCGCTGCTGGCAACGAACCCTTTTCGAGCCAGGTTTTTTTGTAGCACAGAACTGCAAAGATGGTATGTCTTTTGGCCAAACGCATTCCTCAGCGACCGACGACGACGCAGAGCTGGGGCAAGGAGTCTACTTGCGATACCGGAACGTCAGCGAACTCTAACTCCCCGATTTTGCAGCACCCGATATTATTGCACGGCCACACTCGGTCTTTGACCAAGATCAAATACAACAATGACGGTGATCTCCTCTTTTCCGCCTCAAAGGACAACCAGCCAAACGTCTGGTTTGCTCACAACGGGGAGAGACTGGGGAGTTACAACGGCCACAATGGTACCGTCTGGGACTTGGACGTCAGCTGTAGGTTTCCCTAAGAATGGTCTTTATGGGGAATGAGAATGGGGAAGCGCATGTGGGCTGAACCGTTTCGCTGGGAATCTCTTTATAGTCGACAGCACACGCCTCTTGACGGCATCAGCAGACAACACGTGCAGGATGTGGTCCGTAACGTCTGGAAAGGAGCTGTTCCGATGGAACACCCGCACCGCTGTCAGGCGGGTTGCTTTCGGCCAGGGTGACCGTGTCGCTCTCTATGTTACGGACGCTGTCATGGGACAACCGTCGACTGTGTGGATTGTCGAGATCGAGGAGGACGTGGAGAACCGTACGTTTGCCGGATCGGGAGATGAACTTGAGGGAGTGGCTACATAGGGGATGGGGGCTGATAGGGACATCTCCCGTCTTGCTTTTCAGAAACCGAGGACTTCCTTTTGAAGATTGTCATCCCGGGATCAAAGGCTACCGTTGCGGCGTGGGGAGACCTTAACAAGACTATCTACACTGGTCACGAGGACGGTACAATCACAATCTGGGACGCAGAGGTATGTGGGTACAGGACGAATGCGAGGCCAGAACTTATGACCCATATATCAAGATCTCCTCCTCATCATTTTCCTCCCTTGCAGACCGGAGCAAAGATCAAATCCGTCAAGAACCACGAGAAGATGATCACGGACATGCAATGGGCACCAAACCTCGGCTACTTCATCACATCCTCGAAGGACCACACCGCCAAAATCTTCGACGCAAAGACGCTGCGTGTCATGAAGACATTCGTCACGGAGCGTAACGTCAACTCCGCCGCTTTGTCACCTATCCGTCCTCACGTACGTAACACAGTCGATCACTCTAGCCCGCAATTATAGGCGCGTAAGCACAACCTAGCAACTAACGTCGGATCACTTACCTCGCAGATTGCACTTGGAGGAGGACAAGAAGCTATGGATGTGACCACTAAGGGAGGCGTGAAGCAAGGAAAGTTCGAGACACGGTTCTTCCACCTGCCGTTCGAGGAAGAGATTGGCCGTGTGAAGGGACACTTCGGGCCTATCAACACGTTGGCGTTCGCACCCGATGGCAAGAGGTAAGGGGACCTCCGCACGGGTGTTCGGGATGTACAAAATGTGATATCTAGTTACATGTACTCACCATTCCTTCGCTCACCATCAGTTTCGCGAGCGGCGCCGAAGACGGTTTCGTAAGAATCCACTTCTTCGACCCAGACTATTTCACCTTCAAGTAAGTCTGCCCCCTTTCCCCTTCCCACTCATCTCCAACTAACTAAGAATACTCCCCTCGCAAAAAGGTACGACGAGGAAACCATGACCCTCTAAACCCAATTACCCCCCGCCACCCTGACTCCCTCCAACCCAACAACCCCCTCATTCCGGATCACAACCGCGCACACGCACACACATTGCGCGCTTGACCATCCGCACCCACTTCTTATTATAGTCGCCGCCTAGAGGTCGTCTAGAGTCGCAGAAGGTAGCCATCACCTCTCCTCTCCCAATCTTTTTCCTGCAAGAATTTGTTGTCTATATATATTTTGTATACATATCCATATGATTCTCTCTTTTCTCCGTTTGGAATTTGCTGGGGCCGAGTGTTTATGTTGATCGTATTTCCATATTGGGACCAGCTGTGAACGAACATTCTATGTCTCACATAACATCGATCGTCCTCACGCCCACGTCCCCTCCAAATTCAACCTAAAGCTCCTCGCCCCCACCTCCGTCGCCCCCCTATAAAACCCCGGCCCAAGCGTTCCATCCCCTTCACCCGCCGATGTCCCACCAAACCTCTTAACCCCACTGACAAACACCGCCCTCACGCCCCGGCCACCCCCACGCGCAACCTTCTCCGACGCGGCGGTGAGCTCGTAGGACCCTGGACCGGGGTTATGTTGCGGGAAAGGCTCGTAACCCGCGATGGGAGCGGGGAGCGGGGCGTCGTGGGCGCAGGGGTTGTGGGGCGGGGGGGGAGGTACGTGGTGGAGGGGTTGGGAGGGGGGTGGGCGGGTTGGGTTGCTGGGGGTGAGAAAAGATGAATATTAGGTGATTGAACTCCCAGGAAAGAACTTTTTTTCACGGGAGTGGGATAGGGATGGCCCGGAGGGTAGGAGATCTTACCCATGTGGAATGTCGCGTAACCTTTCAGCTTTTTGCGGATCGTATTGGTTTGGCGCTGGGTTGCGTGGTGGGCTATATATGTGTGTGTCCAAGCGTCCATCAGTGGCCCCCCACATTCCAGGTCTGTGTAATATTCTCGAGAAAATATACCAACACCCACCTCGTGAAAACCATCTTCCTCGGCACACTCCTGAACGCCGCCACCGCCCCCTTCGTCGTCTTCCTCCCCACCTCCTCGCTTATCTCATACCCCCCCGGCGCGACATGCCCCCCACACGCCCCCGGCGCCTCCACCGGCGCGCGGCCAGTCTTACTTCTAAACACGCCCCACGCGCCCTCGCTTTCCGCGAGCCAGACGCGGACCCCGCGGCCGGGTTGGGAGAGGTGCGGAGAGTAGAAGCCTGGGCCCGGGGTGGGATGGGTGAAGCGGGAGCGCCAGGTTGGGACGCCTGGGGCGGGTGAGGAAGGGGAAGGGGCAACGTAGGGGGTGGCGAAGGAGGGGGAGGGGGATGTGGTGAGGGAGTGGGAGTAGCGGGGGGAGGATGGGTGGTAGGTTGCGGGGGTGGGGGCGGGGGTGAGGCGGGCTTGAAAACGTTTTGACTGGGGGGTCGGGGAGAGTTTGGGGGGAGATGAGTGCGTGGTTCATGAACGGAGGGGGCAGGGCGCAATCTCTCCCTTTTTGCTCCGTCAAAGGGATTGAAATGCTGGCCAGGCAGATGTTTGCAGAACGCATCCCCTCTCTTTCGAGCCTACCTTTGACGCAAACCCTGCAGCCCCATTCTTTGACTCCGACAGTCCCTCATACAGCTCATCAGGCAGTTTGATGCGGTAATACCCCGGCCCTGGTAAATCATGCTGCCAGAGTCCAAAATGAATCTGTTAGTGAATCACCGTGGTGGGATGTCATTGACAAACTCGTTGTGCCACCTACCAACTTGGTATCAAACCTCGAAGCCGAGGACCCAAACGCTTTCGCTTCCCCGTCGTCGTAGACGAACGTCTGGAACCGGGTGGGGATGCTGGGTGGATGGACGAAGAGTTTTACTCGGCGGTCTTGAATGGCGAAGAGATACGACATGTTAGGGTTGGCTGAACAGAATCGAGGGAAAGATGGATAGAGTGGGGTTTACCTTTTTGCTTTGCGTGGGGTTTTGTTCTCGTTTTCGGGGGTTGCGATGATGGCGCTTCGGCGGCTTTTGGGGCGTGGGCGGTGCTTGTCATCCTTCTGACCGATTGGGGATAGGTGTGAAACGTAGGTGGAAGTCGGATGGGATAGGGCACGAGAAGACGGGTTGAATTTTGAGACGTCGATGCGGAGTGATTGACAGTGGAATTCGACAGCGCATCCTCCTCCCTTCATCCCCTGGGGCTTGCAGTGGAGCGCAGCCAGAACCCCCTTGCTTTCGAACCTACCCCCTCACGAAAGGACAGACCACCATCTCACACCGCTAACACTCACTCACCCGCCTGGTTTGCTGCGACTGGGTTCCCTCCCCGCTAACGGGATTACAGGTTCCAAGATCCACCTTGCCACGCACTTGACCGCGATTTGGGTCTGGAGACCCTTGATCATAGCATGTCGGACGTTGAAATCACATCGTACGAGCCAAGACGGGTTGACCGGCGCATACAGCACCAGCAACAGCAGCTGCAGCAGCCACACCGTCGCACTGCGCATAGCACGGGCGACTCTCACGGTAACTCCCATCATCAGGCCCACGATCAAGAGTCACCTCCGAACCATCTAAATCGCGGAATGGGACAAAGGAATAGCCACAGGCACAACGACCGTTTCGACTCGCCTGCAAATCGGGGCTCTCCCCAGGATTATCGCGGTCGCGGTCGTGGTCGCGGCAGGGGAGGAGGGTCCACCAGGGCACACCCTTACAACCGTCCGGAACGCGTTGATAGACGAGATAGCCCGATTTCTACCCCGTCCCGCATCGACCATCGGATCGCGGCGCAGGACAGGAGCAGGAAATATGATGCGGGCATAGGATCGTCGAGTCAGGGGAGCCCGATCTCGTTTTCGATTGATAGGAGGCTCAGTGAGGTGCTAGTTGCACACGAGCAAGACACTCGGATCGTCTCTCGACGAAGGTTTGAGCCGTCATCGGCTTACAAACGTCCAAAATATGGGGATCGCAATTGGCCCGCGCAGACTCAGGCGCAGAAACAGGCTTCACCGCCGCCGCCGTTGAAGACGAGTGACCTTCGTCACTCGATCGGGGATAACTCGTCTTTTGATCAAAGCGGGTTTCTGCAGTCTGTGGTCGAGTCGGCTGGGATGCTACCTTATCCGCATCGATTTGTGGGGCAGGAAAGTCCGATGGCCTCCAGCTCGGACATGGAGGATTCAGCGCTGGACCGCCGTGCTACTCCGGCTGTTTCGCATGATCATGAAGCGCAATCCCAGCTGCAGACCCGACCGAAGGAGCATAGAAATGATCGTTACCGTGAGGCAGATACGGGCGTCTCAAGAAGACCAAACTATGGAAATCATTTGCCTCCACATGGCCCCTCGCGCTCAAACAGGATTGACGAACGGTCATTCCCGGCTCCCGCGGCGGATAGGGAAAATGAGCGTGAGAGGAATCCCCGACCCGCATCGCGGAATGAGATGTATAACGCAAAAGATAAGATTGCTAGCTACAACCGTCCGGATTCACGAAGTGACAACCGGCCTCCTCGCTCGGCTCAACAACGTTACACGCCAGTTGCTCAAGGAAAACCACCGCATATCGACACCGCTCTCCTAAAACAATTTGAGAAGGAATATCTAGGCTCTGAACACAACGTCACACTCCTGGAACTTAAGCAAACAACTACGCGAACGGAAGTAACGGTCTTGTCCGAGAAACTGGAAGAGCTAAAAGCCGCTCTGAAGCAGGTTGACGAAGATGTTTCAAAGGCGTGCGATGCGCGTGACCGGTGCAAGGAGCTTTGGGAGCGCGAGAAGTTGCGAATTGTCGAATTGGAGCAGAAGGCTTTGCGCAAAGCTGACGAGGTCTCAGCTGGCAAAACCGGATCTGGATATCACAAGCAACAACATGTTGGTAATGCGGGTGGTGATGGCGGGATCGCCGCAAATGGAAATTGGGAGCGCTCTTATCGGGGACAGCAGAACACGACGGGATACCGGAGCCGACCTACGAGCAGTCAGAGCTCGCGGGATCTGCAGAGTGGTGAATGGACACGCGTTCGGTCTTCTCCGCCGCCTCCGCGCCCGAGAACACCTGCAGGCCGTTCACAGGCAGCGCAGCTGGCCCCGCAACGGCCGCCGTCGCCCAATCCACAGGTCGCCACCAACCGAGGTAAAAGCAACTTTGTCAAGGCGCTGGAGAGGCAACCAGTCCCACCACCTCCGCCGTCGTCCGACCCGCGCATTGCCGCCGCGGTCGCGAAATACAGGCAGTACGGGATTGATAAGCCCAAAAGGGACGACGAGATGGTGCAAAAGTTCTACCAAGAAAAAAGGGCAGCAGAAGCTGCGGCTGCTGCTGGACCCAGCAACGCAAGCGATTCGTCTGAGTATCCCGCCCGCGAATCTGATCCGTTTAATCATCCGTCCTCCTCATCAATGAGTACCCGCAGACGGGATGACCCGCAACATGAGTTGCCCATCAGACGTGTGCCGCCACCACCACCCGCATTGCCACCGCCGCCACCACTCCCGCAGACAGCGCAGAGTCCGCGGAGGCGCGACGACAGGATCATGGATTTGACACGGGACCGTGAGCAAGGCGCACCTCAGGGTCGTGAGGATCACCGCGACACTCAGACCAGGGAGGGCTACCGTTTCGCGTCACCTCCTCCTCACGAAGGCGACAGGAGAGCCTCAGGAGGGCACGCCCAACCTTCGCATGGCTATGAGCAGCGCGATCGTTCCATACCCCGCAAGGTCATTCTATCCAGGGAGCCTGGCCACGGGACGGTGGACGTTCACGATACCGGGCGACGGGACTATCGAGTGGACTCGGGAGACAATGGCAGCAGCGGATACCAGTCTGGAGGATGGCAGGGGAGAGGCCGGGGCAAGTCTCGTGGACGAGGCGGCCGAGGTGGCGGGGTCTATCACAACAACAATAGTAACGGGTACCCTGACAACCGTCGTGACGACCGGTTCCGAGACCGAGAAGACCGTCGCGACCAGCGCCCCCAACAAAGCGAAGTGCATGTCCAGGAACGTGCCGTTGATCGCGATCTCAACCCAAGCAATGATGCAGCATTCCCCAACACGGCTGAGCCAGAGGTGCAAGGCGTGTCTGAAGCGACCTGTGAAGGCAGATTCAAGCGCTCCCGCGTCTCGGAATCCGAGGATGATGATGATGAGAACAATCATGCGCGGACGAGACCGTGGCCTCCCAACTCACCACCGCCTTCGCCTCCGCGATGGCAAAGTGAGAATGAAGAGGGCATCTCGGGATTAAGCGGCGGTACGGATGAGACCATGGTTGGTGGTGACCAGTCGTCCACCACCGTGCAGGGACAGGAAAGCCAGGATCCCGTCACGACGGCGACGTCGATCGCGCCGGCTGCTGATGGGTACGCAGCAGCTGCAACAACATACACAGACGAGCCCGCCGCGACACACCTGCATGAAAACGAGACTGACAAGACGATCACGCTCCCGGTGGAATCCAACCCGTCCCCAGCCGATGGAAAGCAGCCCATCCACGGAAACGAAACAGCGCACCCTGAGATCCACACGACGGAGCAGGAGCCCTTCGCAGCAGCAGAAGAAGAAGGCTCCCTCCTCGAATTCGTCAAAACGCTCTTCAAAGGCGAGAACCACACCACTGTTCCCACCCATGATGGTGGCAAAGAAGAAAAGGAACCCGTCGCCCGCACATCAACCGACCTGGACGAAAGCGACGACGGGGTCGCGATGGCGTCCGCGGGTGTCGTCATTGAAGACGCTCTGCATGCACCGGCGTCGGTTGCCGCGGCGGGGAAGAAGGGTGGGAGGGGAAGGAGGGGGAGGGGTGGTGGGAAGCTGAGGAATGGGAAGGGGAGGGGGCGATGAGGTGGAGCGAGGGGAGCTTACAACGTTTGTATGACAACCATGGTACTTGGTACTTGATTTGTGTTTTTGGGCCCTGAGGTCCTCGCATGGGAGTGGAAGGGAGGTGGGAGAACATGCGATGTATGTACATGTAACAGTTCCGGGCTTGCAGAGCGCCGAGACTCCCCTCGTTCCCTTGTCTCTTGTTGAAATGTGTATATAATATATGCTTTTGTTTTTTCGTCAAGGACTATTCATACTCGAGGAAAATCCAATACTCCAGTGCATCGTGGAAGTCAAGTGAGATGGGGTTATCGATTCTTTTTTATGACTAGATACATGAAGCTCAAACGAGCGATCTAAACGATCTTTAGCTTATGACGAATACACAAAGTGTGATGTTTGAGGGATAGCAAAACTTCCTACAACTCCTCGTGACCCTCGTGGTCGTGAGCGTCAGACGTGCCCTCGGCCTCAGCGGCGTTGACATCCTTGATCTCGTCAGCATGGACAGCGTTCTTCTTCAAGAACGACACGAATCCATCAATGGAGCGTTCACCATCGTAGTCGACAATCTCGTTCGTCTTGGCCTTGAACAGCTTGATGGTCGGGAACCCCTCGATGGTGAAACCGGACCCAGGGGCAATATCGTTCTCGGTCGCGTCCATCTTGGCGATGACGATCTTGTCGGATCCAACGGCCTCGCCGAGCTTCTCCCAGGTCGGGGCGAGGGCCTTGCAGTGTCCGCACCATGGGGCGTAGAACTCGACGAGGACGTCCGCGGACTTGTTCAGGACGACGTCATCCCAGTTCTTGCCGACGATGACCTTGACGGGGCCGTCGTTCTTTTCTGGGACGGCCTCGGATTTGAGGGAGGGCTGGAGCTTGCCCGCGAGGTACTCATCGACGAAGGACTTGACGTTGGCCTTGGTGAGGGATTTGCTCTGGTCGAACGGGTACTTGACGTTCTGGGCGGGCTCCTGGATCGCGAATGCGGGCCATTGCTCCTTGACGTTCAGGTTCTTGGCATGGCCACCGAACTTCTGGGCGTCAATGTAGACGAAGTTAAGCTTGCCCTTGTACTCCTTGGCGATGGCTTCGATGTCGGCGCCGGGGGACTTGCGCTCAGCTTCGGAGCTGTAGAAGAGGTAGGCGAGGGGAATGCCGCTCTCGACGTATTTGGCGTAGTTCTCAGGGCCAATCTCATCCATGGTGGGAACAGACTCGGCGCGGAGGAACTGTGCGATTTCATCGTGCTTGAAGGCGCCGGAGAAGGTGGCCTTGCCCTCGTCGAACTTCTTGTAAAGAACAAGAGCGGGAGCGGTGACCTTGAACTTCTCAGCAGCGGCCTTGTCGACGGCGGCACCGAAGAGGAACTCCTCGCGGAGCTCCTTAGCGACCTTCTCAAACTCAGCGAACTCGGACGACGCCTTGTCGGCGAAGAATCCGACCAGAACGACCTTGTCTGATGTGGAGAACTCCTCGACCTTGTCGGCGGTCAGGATGGAGACGGGAGGCAAGTTCTGCCTATAAAACAGCGAAGAGTGATATTGGGTCAGACTTTGGTGGGAAGGTGGATGAATCCATTCCGATGACTCACTTCTTCATGTAGCTGACGATCCCATCCGCCTTACGCTGGCCCTTGTACTCGCTTGGGACACCTTCACGGAAGACCTTCAGGGTAGGGTAACCCTTGATGTCGTGCTTTTCGCAGAGCTCGGTTTGCTCTGTGCAGTCGACCTTGGCCAAAGGAAGGCTGGCCTTCAGCTCCGTTGCTGCCTTCTCATATTCGGGCGCCAGGCTTTTCTGGAAGGAGTGAGGGAAATGTGAGTTCAGGTGTATGCATTTGTACGCTCCCACCTCCGAGGAATAGGGCCCATGGCGCGAGAGCGCTCGATATCCTTGCTATTGCCAGCCCACGGAAGCCGCGTGACAGCATGCGATACAACAGCGAGCTCCTTCGCTCGCATTCCCTTCACGCCCACCCGGTGATCTCGCCAGAACCCGAAGCGTCAAAGTGCCGTCAGCAACAAACTTCTAGGCCATCTTTCCCCTACGGCACATAAAACTTCTCATCCTTTCCTTTCGTATCTTCCCCGACCCTCTCCATCCTCGGCACAAGCAGATCTATACTTACGCAGTGACCACACCAAGGCGCGTAGAACTCAATCAGCGACAACGGCTTCTCAGCGATCGAGTCAAAGTTGTCCTTCGTCAGGACGTGCACATCGGAGGAGGCAGCGACGGAGGCGGCGGCGGCGAGAGCACAGAAGATAGCACTGACGGCCTTCATGGTGGACAGTGTTTTGTGTGAAGTGGAGAGTGAGATGAGGGGGGGATGCTGGCGAGGGAAAGGAGCTTGCGAGGCCAGTTTGGGTCTTTATATGAGCGGCAATCAGTGCCCAATCAATAAGGGCGATCCTTGTGGGCTAATGACTTAACGGCCCCAACAAGACGGTTTGATTAAATCGACCATTCCTCGCGGTGTCTCATTTTGCTTAGGAGCTTGATTAGATTCTGCTCCCAACTTCACCTTTCTTTCCCAATCCCTGTTCGAGAGGTCCCGTGCCAAGGTTCAGTTTAGCGTCCACATTAGAAATCAACCCCCAAGTGCGCGGCCTCCTAATCGAGGCAGGCAGGAGTGGCCTTCAGTCACTGGCTGGGATGGGGCTCGGGATCGCGTCTCTCCTGCCATTGCCGTCGTTGCAGCCAATCACCATGCCGCACGGCATAAGGCGAAGCCACATTTGTTGCCTTTCAAAGCCATTAAATGCATCACGTGAGAGGGTGGGCGTCCGGACTTCTGGACAACCCATTGTGAACTTCCCTCTCATCAGTTTCCGCACTCTCTCGCAATCCGTAACGAACGCACCCTCCCATCGGACGCAAATCTACAAAACAACAACGATGTCCGCACCCTTCACAACATCAATCCTCACCCTCGCCGCCTCCCACAACCTCCACCCCTCCTCAGCATCCCATCAATCCTCCCCAGCCACGACCCCCTCAACCAAACCAACACCCTCCCAACCAGACCTCCTCACCCTCCTCGACACACTCACACACCTACAAACCGCCATCCACACCGAATCGATAGATCTCGCTATTCGGAGGATTCATCACCTTCCTCGGAACTTGAGGGAGGAGGAGGAAGGTGACGAGACTGACGCGTTGGAACGCGTCGCGATACATTTGCGTGAGGTGGATGAAGGGATGGATGTGCTGAGGAAGGTTGTGGTTGTCGACGGTGAGGAGGAGGAAGATGAGGATGGGAGGTGGATTGAGGTGGATAGGAAGGCCCATGGGTAAGTTCCCTGTTCACTAGCGGGAAACTGGAGGGCTTTTCATTTCTGACATTCATGAACAGGGCATTGGCACACCTCACCGAAACAATGATACAATACCACCACCAACCTCCAGGATCCTCAACACCGCGCGTCCAGCAGGAGTATGTGGAATGGGTGCATCGCGGGGGAGTGGAGGAGAGTGTGCGGGATGAGTTGGTGAGTTCTCGTCTTTTCGTGGGGGGGGGGGGGGGGGGGGGGAGGAATTCTTTCAGATGGGATTTATGGGATGTAATGGTTTCGTTGTTTGTTTGTCTTAGCGGCCAGGGCTGGCGAAATTGCGAAAGACGTATGCGGGAATGGTGGAGGAGTTGGAGGCTGTGCGTGGGCGGAGGCGGATGGATGTGTGCTGAGTGTGGGCGATTGGTGGAAGAGGCCCTGGGGATGGAAAGAGGGCCGCTACGCCTGCACCTACATTTTTTTGCCGTATAGTCTAATAACGAGATGGACGGAGCTACGTCTGCGGTGGATGAGCTGGGCGTGGGGTAAGGCTGGTTCAAGGTCGCTACGCGCGCGGAACGTGGCGTCGTTGTGTGGGAAGCGAAATGACAGAGTCACGCAGGCGCTTCGGCCGACGGACCTTCCGAACGGCGCCAATGGTGATGACGCGGACGAGTAGATCGAGGGAGGAGAAGGCGACTCCGACGATGACGGGAACAAGGACGGGGCCAACTCCCCGGACCTCTTTGACAGTGGTCTTCCCAGTCAGAAAGCCCATCTTGTAGTCTTCCCCACCGCCGTCGTTCAAAGCAACGAGAAAGATACATATATAAAAGGTAAAAGCGCCAATGACATACAATGTGGAAGATACCAGTTGGGGATGGGGGGGATTCGTGTACCACACCTCTAGAGCGGATGTTCAGATTGCTCGGAGTTGTGATGGACAAGCTCACATTGTACGCGCATAGTGTACAGCGACTTTCCAATCCACATATCCCCTCACGCCGCGTGTTCAACGAAGGAAAGCAAAGAGTGAATCGCTCATATCCACCCCTCACACACCTCCTCCATCTACTCATCATCCTCCTCCCCCTCCTCCTCCTCATCCTCCTGACTCTTCAACCAAGCCACGAAAGGCTCCATTTGCTTCACAAACAGCGTCTTTCCCTGCGCGCCAGCGCCTTTCTCGTACCAATAAACAATCGCACTCTCGGAGACGGCGTCCTCGTCGTACAGGCCCTTGATGATGGACCGGAAGTGCTTCTGGAAGCGGCCGTCTTGGTAGGCGAGCTGCTGGGCGAGGAGGATGAGCGAGAGCTCGGTTTTGGCGGAGGTGCAGAAGACCGCGAGGACTTTGCCCCAGGTCTGTTTGGGGGATTGTGGGGGTGAATGAGTAAATGGCGTCGGGCTTAGGAGTCTGATTATCTATGATCAGTATACCTTCAGGATGCTCTTGATCTGACCCTCGAGCTGTTCGGGGCGAGTGGACCATTCGGTGGAAGAGATCAAAGCTTCCCAGATGATCGGGACGACATCACCTTCCGTCCAGCTGTTGGCGGACATTTGCTGCTTGATGTACGTGGCAGCCTACAGGGAATCGACAAGCTGCTTCAGTTGTCGGCACTTCATCAAAAGAGGTATGATCTGCGCCGAAAATGCCGCCCTCACCTCTTGAGGGGTCCCCTCCACAAAGATCTGGAACAAACGCTCCTTGACCTGTTCCTTGACGACGCTCTGCTGTTTCTTATTGAAGTACTCGACCAGAGGCTTGAGGCCCTCCGTCTCAAAGTGGCGGGCGACGTATTCCGCCTCGCGCTTGCCCGGGGGAAAGAACTCGAGAAGCTTGGTGTCCAGTCCACCCTTCTTGATGGCCATGCTGAGCTGGTCGATGGTGTGGTCTTCGAGGTAGCTGCGGAAGACGCCGGTGACGAACTGCAGGGCGGCCCCTACGAGAAATTCGATAGTCAGTCTCTCTGCGCTTCCCCGCTGTCAAGATTTCTATGTGCAAGCCCTTAAACCCGCGAAACCCACCATCCTTCACGAGATGCTCCTTCATCATGTTGCCCAGAACGGAAATGGACAGCAACTGCATGCTAATCAACCGGCCAGTAGCACGGGCCAGCTTGTTCGTGTTGTCGCCGAACTTGTTGACGTACTGCAATAGATGGGACATGCATTCTTCGAGGCGCCTTTCGAGATACTTGTATCGGCGGATCAGCCGGCTACGAGAGCAAAAAAGACAACGGCTCGTCAGAAATCGTCATGATCTTGCCATATCAATAGAGCACGACCAACATCTTCACACCCCATCCGCATCTCCCCTCGCTCCTTACTTCATAATATCGACCCTAGCCCTGACAGCCTCCTTCGAGTCTTCGGCCGCAAAGATGCTGAAAGGGTTCTTACGGGGTCCATCTTCGATAACTCCACCGGGGGCAATCAATCCACCGACGATCAGAAACTCAAAGAAGGATTCGCCGTAGCGCTTGTAGTCCAGCTTCGATTCATTCAACTCTAGAAGCGAGGCGTATTTCTCGATTTCGTCCGCGTTCTCGGGGATAATCTTCAGCAGGGCGTCACGGAAGGCCTCTGGTTCATGTTTTGTTACAGCTTCTCGCTGTTGTAGGGGAAAGTATGGGGTTAGATTCAGCGTGGGAGACCATAGATCACTCCTACTATGTGCTGCCCATTTCCATTTCCAAGCGTCACTCAAGCCCTGCGTCGTCTATCTCCCACGGCGGCGCACGACCACTGACCTTGCGCTGCTTGAGCTTAAACTGAGGCGCAGGGGCGGGTGGAGCAGACATATATATTCGACGGTTGCGCTTTTGAGCTTCTTAGTAGAATGTGTGTTGAAGGGGTTTCCGTATGCAGTCTGCAATGAATCATGGGTCTGTTAAGCGAAATTCGGCACCTCGAACAGCACCAGTGATGACGCTACAGCCGCGGCGTCTGCCATCCCCCCTACCTTGCAAGAAACTGTGGACTGTAAGTTGAAGTGGGTGCAGTTATTGGCTGTAAATGCGTGGCTGTTGTTATGTGTGTGTGCCGTGCGAAAGCGCTCTCCCTCGTGCGAAGGAAATGCACCCAGCCACAGTCTCGCATCATTTTTTCGTCAAGTCCCGCATCCGCGTGTTCTGCAGTTCCTGCCAACGCGTCACGAACTAACAAGAGCCAGCACCCTCGGAGCCTCTTGCCGACTTGCCTCCCGCTCACAACTCAACTGTGCTGCGTTCTACAACTTTCCCACCCATAACCACACACGCACAGACGCACCTGCAGCACTGCTGCCGTCAACGCGTAGACTCAGTGAGCGTAGCATAGCATAGCTAGCCTGCATACATAGCGTCCAAAGTCGTTCTCGTCAGTCTCAGAGCATTTCATAAGGGGCACAGCACAGCTCATTCGCCATGCCCAGCGACCTCGATAGGTGCGTGCATGTTCCCACCCGCGGTGTGCAAAGCCAGGCATTGGATCCCGCTTGGCGTACGGCTATACTCACTCGTTTTTATTGTAGACAAATAGACCAGCTTCGCCGCTGCGAAATCATAACGGAGAGCGAAGTGAAAGACTTATGCAACAAGGCGCGGGAGATCCTGGTAGAGGAGAGTAACGTGCAGCGCGTGGACGCTCCTGTGACGGTATGCAGCCTGTTTGCGGGTGGAAGTGCGTTGGGGCACACCGTCTGAAGCTGTTCGCGTTTCCGTCTCAGATATGCGGAGATATCCACGGCCAGTTTTATGACCTGAAGGAGCTGTTTCGGGTGGGTGGGGAATGTCCAACGACTAATTATCTATTCATGGGTATGTGAAAAGGTCTGGTGCTCTGATGCGATGTGTGAAAGTCTTGTCTTACCGGACGTGTTTCCTAGGGGACTTTGTGGATCGAGGATTTTACAGCGTAGAAACGTTCTTGCTGCTGTTAGCGCTTAAAGTCCGATATCCGGATAGGGTAAGTCCTTGCTTTCGAGTCAAGCGGAAACCGGCGCAAAACTTACCCTGGTGACCTCCAGATAACACTGATCCGCGGCAACCACGAAAGCCGGCAAATCACGCAAGTATACGGCTTCTACGACGAGTGCCTGCGCAAATACGGATCGGTGAACGTATGGCGGTATTGCTGCGAGATATTCGACTACCTGAGCTTGTCGGCGATCATAGACGACAAGATCTTCTGTGTGCATGGAGGACTATCACCGGCTATCCAGACGCTTGATCAAGTATGGGAGTTAGCATTGACTTTGTCGGTCACAGGTGAAAGGCATAGTGTGCTTATCGATCTTTGTCCCGTGACAGATACGAATCATAGATAGAAAGCAAGAAGTACCGCACGACGGGGCGATGTGCGACCTACTGTGGTCCGACCCGGAAGGTAAGGACGAGTTCACCTCACTGTAGCGTCGATGTATACCGCTAACGGATGTGTGTTTGCAGATATCGAAGGATGGGGTCTGAGTCCACGAGGTGCTGGATTTCTCTTCGGGGGAAATGAAGCCACAAAGGTAAACGACTTTACGCTTTACCCGGCGATCCCCTTGCATATTGAACGGGGGCGTCGTCTAATCCGGACCTCCTAGTTCGTCCACGAAAACAACCTCACTCTCATCGCACGTGCCCACCAACTCGTTATGGAGGGGTACAAAACCATGTTCAAAAACACTGTTGTGACGGTCTGGTCTGCGCCAAATTACTGCTACAGGTAGAGTTGCGGCAACGTGCCTCTTCCTTGTCGCCACACTGTCAGAAAGCGGTCCTAACCTTCTCTCTGGGAACAGATGTGGAAACGTGGCAGCGATCCTGGAACTGGATGAACACCTAAGCGCGAATTATAAGATCTTTGAAGCTGCGCCACAGGTCAGTTCTAACCCTCACCCCTCGGCTCTCTCCATCCGCTCGCCTAAAACATTTGTATGCTAATAGGAGGCGAGAGGGTTACCTAACCGAAAACCAGCGCCAGAGTATTTCCTCTAAATTACCTACCAAAACCCCGCCTTCCGAATCACCCGAAGACCGGGTTCGGTTGTCCCTCCCGCATCGTCGAAAAGAAGCATAACTAATAACCTCACGGCAGGGGCTCGTCAACAACACAAACCCTGGCAAAACCGCTTGTGTCTTTCAGACGCACGTTTTATAGTCGCGAAACGGCGTACGAGCAGGTCATTTCTTTGCTCCCTCGCCTCTGACCCCGATGCGGTCAGTACAACTGCTCTTCTCACGCATCACGCACACCGAGAGTTAGCCGACCCCGCCAGTCGCACTTCTACGACTTGTACCTGGACGCCCCTTCGCCTTCGCACCCTCACCTTCTTGATATCCCTAACATAGCGTAGCGGGGACGGCCACCTATACCTGCCATTGGTGGAGTTGCTGCCGCTCATTTAAGACAGCCAAACCGCGACCGCGAAGAATGTGATTCTTCATATGTATTCGTGACGATGTGTGATTTGTGTATCGGCTTGCGAGTGTGAATTGCATTGAGATATCCAATGTTTACAAAATGCCCGGGATCTAAGTGATGGAGAAACAGTGATAGATGGGTCGCACGTGGGACACAGTGCGAGTACGATACGGATTCGGGGCCTCGTTTTTGTTCATCGGCCGGGGAGATGGACGCAATGTTGTAAAGTTTTTGTTATTGTCCGCCAACCTCACTTATTTCAACCTTCATCGGCGCCATGTACCGCCACCCCCAGTCTCCTTCTCCCGATTCTGTTTTGCCGCCTTGTTATTGGCCGCCTCCTTGTTGTTCACCGCTACTTCCTGAGTTGTGGGGAAATCCACGTCCCAGTACCTAAATGAGCGGAACAACCTGATCAGCAACGAGTTTGAGAGCAGTTGGGATTCGAAGTGACGTACCCAGGCGGCGTGTTCGGCGGTTTATGAACATGCCGATGCCTCGATACCGCCTGCAGATGCGTGGCGTGGGCGTTACTCTTCTGGTCGTGGGCACAGCCGGCGGAATGTGCGGTGGGCGCGCCGAGTTCGGGGAGGGGCGCGATGGGGCCTGCTGCCTCGTAGAACTGTTATGACAATAAATGAAAGTTCGTTGGTTTTGATGAGATGATGCAGATGAATGATGGTGTATGTCATCAAGAGACCCACTTTGGCACAACACCAATTATCCTGAGCCTGCATCTTCTTCCTTTGTTCTTTATTGCGCACGACTTCCTGATACTTGTACTGCACAGGTGCCGTTCCGGACGTCCGCGGTGGACGCGCAACCACGGTCGTCGTCATCGTTGATGTGGTCGTCATCGCACCAACCCCCATACTCCTCGGCAGTTTCCGCGTCTCGTCATCCGTGATCTCCCTATCACCCTGATCATGCTCGTCGCCGCTCGTGCTTAGCACTTCGATGACGGGGGGTTTGGGCGGTTCGTGTGCCGAGGACGATCGAGCGGCTTCTTTCGAACGTGATAAGGCGTTTTTTGTGGCTTTCTTTCTTGCTCTTTTATCTGTGTCGGATTGCATGGAGGACGGTGTTGCCGGTAACGGGCCTCTGATGGGAGGGGAGGCGTGGCGGGTGGTATGCGATGCCGGGGTGATGCGATGGGAGACGCGGGTGGAGATCGGGGTTTCGGCAATGAGAATATCAACGGCATCGGGTACTGTTTCGCGGGGTCGCTTGAGCGTACTTACGGGTATAGACGTGGGCAGAGCTGTTGGTCGGGATGATGTTGGCATCGTGCTCGATGGTCTTCCCTCTTCGCTTGCTGTTATCGCTGCCTCCTTGTTCGAGGTATTTTGATCGTCCAGCAACCTTGCGGTCTCTAGGTTTCGCGACGGTGGTGGGACGTTCAACTGAAGCTCGTCAGCCGCTCTCACAGCGTCTGACATGGATATTTGCGAGCTGGATGGGGACGAACATCCGAGCAAGTCCGCACCGCGCGGTTTCGGCCGTGTTGCTGGGACTGGGGAGGATGCCGCTTCGACGTCGGATGATGGCTTGTTCAACAAGATTTCCGAAGATGTTGTCCGTCCATTACGTTGAAGCTTCCCTTCGTCATCACCCTCAGACGGCTCATCCATAGAAACCGCATCTGCTTCCTCTCCGACTTCCATAGCGCTCGATGCATTGATTGCCGGATGGTGAACTCCAGGCCCCGTATCCATATCGCCCCAGTCATCATCCATCAAGTTCCCAAAATCAATGTTCATGAACACACTTGGGCCCACATCCCCAGGATCCTTGAAGCCTAGCCCTCTCTCGAAGTCGTACGGAGGAGTTGGATCGACATGCTGGTCGGGTGTCCCGCTTAGTTGGTCTACAGCTGCTGCTGCTCCGAGGGATGGAGTGATGTTTTCCAAATCTGCAGGGACGAAGAGGGTCTCGTCTACATGTGTGGCAACCACTGCGGCCACGACTTGTTCCGGAACGGCATCCGCAGCGGGAATATTTGCCTGGTGCGGAAGGAGCGGTATCCTTCGAAATTTGAGGTTCTCTTTGACCCTGTCGTTCGAGAAAGATGAGAAATCCTGACGGAGGAGTGACATGATACAGCCAGAATGTATCAACGACTGCGCCTTACATCGGTGACCCGTTATTTTTGCATACCATCGTGGACATCTCACTATCTGAGACATACTTGTCGGAACGTCGGCGCTTAGCACGTGGAGTTGCTGCACCAAAACGTCAGGGATCTGGCGGAAAGAGGCGTACAATGGATCTGGTAGCTCACATGTATCCAAATTTTCTGGTTTGTTGCCGTTATGCTCCGGGGTAGCGGCCGGTGCAGCACGAGGAAGTTCTTGTGCGGCTAATGAAGGCCCTGCAGCTCCAGCTGCTGAGCCCCGATTTTCCTTCAACTTCTGTATCGCATGTTGATGCACGATCTCGTTCGCACGCCGCTTCTTTTCGAGCCAATCTTGACCCTTCTTCTCCGACTTTTTCGACATTGCTTCCGCGTCCGCTCGGGCCTTGTCACGTTCGGTCTTCAAACGATCGTATTTACCCTTCAGATGAGTATTTTCTCGGGTTAACCTGCCGGCGGGGGATATCAGCATTCTTTCCAGACTCACAGCCGGAGTATTCTCTCCACCACCTACTTTATGTTTTCGTTCTTTAATTCATTGAGCACATTTCCGGCCGAAGAGTCCGTCGGAAAGAGCTTGGTCACGTCCCCCAGCTCAACCAAACGTTTTCTGCAGAGGCTGTCAACAAGTTGCGACTTTCCCTCAAACTCTGGTGCATCCAGCTCACCTGAGGATCTCAACCTCAACCTGCAGATCCCTCCATTTCGTTTTGTATTTCAGACACTTTCCTTCCGCGGCCGCGCTGTGCTCTCGCTGCACATCCACCCTCTCCTGATATAGTAGAACAAGCTCTTCGATATGGTCCACTGCTCTGGATGCCTGGCTGTCTCGCTCCACTTTGCAGGATGCAAGCTCGCTTCTCAGTGAAAGCACTTCGCTTTCCATCGATATCTTTGCCATTCTAAGTTCTGTAGACGGTGAGCGTTAAAAGGGTGGAATCGAAGACAAGCCTTGCAAAACGAGACCGAAGGGCGGCGACCGGACGACTGACTGTTCAGTTCTTCGTAGTGCAGCATCCATGCAGCTTGCATGTGGCCGTCAAATGTCCCTTGCCCAGGGGCGGACTGAGTTGCTCCGCCCGGCTCAGCGTCTCCATTATCTTGCATCTTGTTTGCACTCGAAGCGAGGTTGCCGATAGCTCAACCACCGGCACTTCTAAAGCTCAACCAGCACAAAACGTCAAGAGATTGCGGAAGTTGTCGTCAGTGGTTTCCGAGGCCCGCGAGCGATGCCGTCCTGCGTAATATAATGGGACCCTGTCACCCTGGGCGTGGGGAAAACGAAGTTCTGACGATCGCAACTGGTCCCGACGGGGGCTATGCAACCTCCATTTACGTGCGCAGTCCCGAATAGACGCCTTATGACCCCCATGTCGACAGCCCCAGACGGTTGACCTCCCCAATTTCAACAATTTCAACTCTCATCTACTGTACTGTACAAAGAGCATCCGGGTCTGTTCTCATAGTTATTTCCATCTGTTATAGGGTGTGCTTTAATCTCGTTGCGCGCACGCTCCCTGCAGCCAACCCAGCTGAAGCTACTTTCTAGCCGTTGCATATCTGCTTTATAGTTAGATTCCTTTATTACACCTCCGAAAAATGGGCAACCTGCAGTCGAGCACCTCTCCGAATTCGTCGGACCCGGGCGGGGCTAGCATTCCGCCTCTAGCCCAGGATTTTCGGCAACAGGCGGATGAGCAAGCCCGTCTGCGAAATTCCTGCTACCAGAGTTCTCAGGAAGCTTGGCGCTCAGGGCAAAAGGACCAAGCAAAGGTCTGGAGTATCAAGGGGAAGGAACATGATCAGCAGATGCGAATCTTGAATGAGCGGGCAGCGGCCGAAGCCTTCGCTGTCAACAATCGCGGCAGAGACTTGTCCGAGATTGACCTGCATGGCCTATCTGTCGACGGAGCGATCGGTGCTGTCAAGCAGCATTTGGGGAAGTGTAGGAAAAACGGCGTGAAGAAGACGGTGGTCATCACAGGTCGCGGGCTGCGTAGTTCCAACGGGGTTGCCAAAATCAAACCTGCGGTGGAAGCACTTCTCAGGGAGGAAAAGCTCCGAGCGACTGAAGACCCGAGAAATCCCGGCTGTATTGTTCTTGAGCTTGATGTGCCGACATCTTCGATCGGGTGGTTCATCGAGAAGGCCTGCGTCATTATGTGACCTGAGTGTGTTTGCTGGGAGATCGAATTTTTTTTTCCGTAAGCTGGGTTTGCCACTGTCGCCGTAGATAAAGGTGATAGCTACTATGTCCTGCACGAGTGGTTAGGGCGGTGAGCAGGCAGGGGCCTATCGATCAGTCTAGCTTCCACCTTGATAAATAAACCATTGCTCTGTGAGCGGCATGTGCTTCACAAATTCACCCCCGAGTTCGTTCTCCCGTCAAGCTCGAGACGGGTCACCACATGGATCATCCATGGATCAGCTAAGGAAGTGTCTCCCGGTCCGGCGACCGCACTGTCGAAATTTGGGAGACCACGCCAGCCATTGGGAATCCATGCAGGGAGATTTCTATCTGTTTCTATCTAACCCCGTTGCTCCTGGAGTCTGAATGCCATCTAATGCGGTTACATCCCTTCCGTTTATCCTGTATATACTAGTCATCAGCGCCCTGAGCGTTGAGATCAATAGGAAATTTCCGTTACAGCAGACGATCATCAGCATCCCTGATTAAAAACAACCGACCCTGGGACGCGTGTTTACCGGCCGCGGATCATCAGCTTCAAACCCACAATCTCAAGGGCGCCCGCCCATGGATTCGCTGGTGTCTTCGTTGTCTGTTTTTGCATCATCGACATCTCATCAGGGACCAATTTCACAAGTTAGATGGTGAGTCCTCCAAGCCCCATATACCGCTAACTTTGAGCCCAAGGAGGCTGAGTGAGAGGTAATGATTGTCCCGTGCGTTTGAGGACTGTGAATGGGCCGCTACATAGCGACCATTTTCCCGGCGGGTGGGAATGATTACCGAACCCACAGGGGTGAAGCGCAAGGGCCTCCCTCGTGAGAAATTCTAACAAGGCGCCATTGCTCCATCTGTTTCCGGAAAGTTTTGAGAGCCCTGATGTTGCCGGAGCGCCGGGTTTGAAAAAGAACGCATACGTACCAGTGAAGGGCAGGGAAAGACACCCGGAATAAGACCTGTAGACGACAACGCATCGACTAAATACCACCGGTTGCACGGTTGGGCCGGAGAGTGCAAGGCGGCTCGGCTCGTAAAACAATACTGCTTTGCCGCACGCACGCAGCGGTTGCTGCTCCATCGCTCGTCAGCAACTCCCAAAATTGTTCTTTCCGACGAACAACCTACAGGCATCTTCCTCGACGCGGGGACGACACGCACAACCAGAACGCTGTTGGAGCGCGGACGTCTTATTACTGTGTTCGGTTCATCGTTCAGCATTTCTTCGCTGCTGGCGTCGGAGGCGTCCCTCCTGCGAACGTGTTTCTGCCACTACCGTCGTCCTGAAGGAATCGGTGAGACGTAAACAAAAAAGCCCATACAAACTCCAAAAGCGAAAGGCTCCACTTCTACACCACTTCGATATGAGCGGGAAGCGGGCTGCCAACAAAGGGGAAAAGGATAAGGAGAAAAAGGACAAGAGCCAAGACACGCCATACTGCTTCGTACCGCATACGGCGTACGTGCCTCCTATCACTGCTATCCGGGACAGGTGGGTGTGCTCATAAATTCGATTTTCGGGGATGTTCCGATCAAAATGCCAAGGCCCGATTTCTCTCATAAATCAACAGAGATCTCCATCTGAGGATACGCCAGCAACCTGAGAGGGCTCGCGCGTCTGTCGGTGGCAATGCTGAAAAAGGTTAGAGTCTAGAATGCGGGTTGTGTGGGGTTTCCTCGCGCAGCATCAGAGAGATTGGATGTTGAGACTAAAATGACATGTTTTTTCTGCCATGTAGGAGAGCGACGTCCATTAGACCCTCCGCCGGTGGTGCATCGTAAGTGGAGTTACGTTGGAAACGATGGCGATTCGTTCAACTCATCAGAGTCCACGTCTTTACTATAGTGGTCATCACAAATCGTCAGACTGGAAAATTGTGCACGTAAGTGGGGGGTGGGGGTCAACACGAATTCCTTTCAGTACATCATTTATGGAGACTCTGCCCATCCTAGTGATTCGCTGTACAATCCATACTACATGTGCTACGCGAGCTTATGGCATGCCGACCGCGACGAAGAAGTGATGGCTCTCAAGCAAGACCGTCACCGTGGCCGGTCTCTTTTGACAGGCACTATTGTCGTTTCCATGGCACGGTTGCGTGATGTCAACAATGTTGATAGCTCGTTCTTTCCGTTCACCGCCATTGGGGTGGCGGTCGAGGGCACTTTCCGGTTGATGTTCACATTGTTTGAGATTAGCGGGTAAGTCGTGAGGGACTTTTTGAAATCCTCGAGTGCTACATAGTCTTACAATTAACTGCTTGGGTCTCTGGTCCAATAGGGGTGCTGTGCATTGTCGCGGGAGGGTTTACTCTGAGAGTTTCGTCGTATACGGCAGGGGATTCCCGGGACTGGGAGGTATGTTGTTTGGTGAAGCGCCTCGTGGGTAGCCAGCGTACTTATAAGCTATAAAAAACATCTTTCCCCAATCATTATAGAGAGCACCCCGCTTTGCCGTGCACTGGCTGAGCAAGGAGTCCGCATTCGTCTGCGGAATGAATCGAAACTGCGGAGGTATTGCGGGACGGCCGTTTATTCTATCATTTCGAACATGCAGGCATTGACACGGACTCCCCAATCGGTTTTTGCAGGAAAGCACTCAAGCGCAAACCGTCCGTGGAGGCTGCAGGGCCCGAATCTTCCCTAGGTGGTGAAGCATCATCTGGGCCACCTTCCAAGAAGACGGCCCCAAGTAAGAAAGTGATTGATCCCAATACCATACCTCCACCGAGGGCACCGAGGTTTGCAAAGGCTCGGGCACGCGTGACAGCCTCACCAGTGATGGGGGACCACGAAAGGCCAGGAAGTGCACGAAGGAGTTCAACAAGCGTGAGCGAGGCTTCTCATAGCGTGTTCAGTTTTCCGGAAAGCAGGAGTGATGGTCCCAGTCGGCTTGCATCAACGCGAATCCTGGGGCGAACAGACGATCAGGTGTCCGACGACTTCTTAACTGTTCCGCAGCCCACTTCGCGAGAAAGGAGAGCCTCTGATTCCGCGGCTGATTCCGTTGGCGGTCCGAACCAACCGTCAAGCAAAGCCTCGGCGCGTATCTCGATTGACAGCTTGATAACCAACGACGTGAGCCCGGCACCCCGGCGAGCTACCGTCGCCTCATTTGGTGACGGCATACCTCCCCCGCTGGGCAACTTCGATCCTACCGCCAGGCACCCGGCGGATGAAGGGCGTACTGTGTCAAGCATACAAGCGATGGTGGATGGTCGTCAATCATCATCGCACCATTATGCCGCACATGAACATGATATCCACCCTCGCGACCGCGGACATGGAGACCACAACACTTACGGTCATGGGCATGGTTCTCAGCATCCTGCAACGCAGAGGACAGATGGCTATCGCCCGAGCCAGGCGCCTGCTCATCCCCTGCAAGGAGCCTCTGATGGGGTTTACGAGCACCCTGTCGATCGACACCCGGCAGAGCACCATTCTCATGGACATCATGAATATCAACCGGCACAGCATCATCAACCTCCTCAGCTACTTCCACCCACATCGGCAGTCCCGCATGTGCCGCCAGCACACGCGCATCGCGGCACCTTTGGTACCGAAGGACAAACTGATGAGCAGAGGTACCATCGGGACTCCCGTACATACTGGCAGGATGGCGTACCACCTCCGTATCACGGTCCTTACAGTCACAGGTCACCTTTGGAAGCTGATGGCGCGTATGCGCATCATCATCAAGCCCCACTCCCACCTCGATCACCGCCGCGACATTACGAACCGCGTTCCCGGACGGCTTCCGTCACTCCTTGGGGCCAGCCGGGCGCGGAACCAGAGTATTACCAACGCCGTCGGAGTTCATACTCGCGAGAGCCCGCACACCATACCCATGGCCCTTATGGAGCTGAATACTCGCATAGACCACCGTCCATCTCCCACCACTCCGCCAGCAATGCCCCACAGACATATGGGGGCCATCACAGTCATTACCATCACGATTCATACGGCCCTCCCCAGCCTCCCCAGCCTTCCTATCGACCGTCATCCCACGGCATGGAGCCGCATTCGTCTTACTACGCACAGCCGCCCCACCACGACCCCTACGCGAATCATGGCTATTACAAAACATCACAACCACCACAACCACCACAACCACACATCGCGCCAGGACAGCCCTCGCACCCTTACCCGCCGGTGATGTCATCCAGTGCCTACGATCGGCAGCACTACGCGCGACAGCAGGACGGACACCCGTCCTCGCCACCCATTCATGTCGCGCCACCCCCGCCGGGCCATTACGACGGCCCGCCTACCGCTCAATATACCCCGCCCGTGCATCCCATCGGATACCCGGGCTACCCGCCTCCACCGGCACAGCAGCCATCACGCGGTGACCGCCGCTCGCCGTATGGCCATTCATACCATTGAGGGACGGGCCTTTTCCCGTGGACCTCTTTTGGGTTTTGCTTGGTATACGAACAATCATAGATGGCGAGTGGCCGCCTTTCTTTGCCCTATTCCCTTTTCGTGTGCCCTATTTCTTGGACGTTATTTTGCTAGGAGTCGGGCTCAACGCGGATGCTGGGTGTTGGCCCGTCCCTCCCCTGCCCTAGCACCTTTACGCGTTACCCGACTTGGCGAGTTCGCCTTTTCCCACACCATTTTTGTTAATCTTCCCCAAAGGCGAGCCTCCACTACTCCCAATTTTGTTCTATCGGCTGGGGCTTTGTAAGATCCCAATCAACAGTCTCTTGAGACGCTTGAAGTTTTTTTCAAAGAGATTCCTTCTTGTTCCTTGATACCAGTATACATTTCCTTGATACCTGTGTACATACATTTGATGGAGGTTTGGGAGCATTCGAAATTCCGTCCATAGCGTATGGGAGGTCAGAACTGGAGAACACGCGGAGATTCCCGGGTGGCTGTGTAACCCAAAATCGCGCTGGCGCTCCAACCTTCCTATGTCTCATTGCTCACAAGCTGGGAAGAATCTCACCCATTACGCCAGTGGCTCTCAATCGTCGACAAAATGGTTAGTATACCTCACCCACAGCATACCCGGACAGCGCAGGCGACGGCGGCAGGGACGGCAGGACGACAGATCGAACGAATGTGCGAAGATTCGATGGATGGATGGCTGGGGATGGATGGATGGACGAATGGTGGAATGGCTCTTGGAGGGGAACTACCATCGGCATCTGGTAGTCGGACGTAGGAGCGACACCGGAGAGATGAACGGAGGAATGAATGCAGGCTGCGGTTGGGCGCCCGAAAGGGCGCTGGAAGCGAAAGTCGACTTCATTCTAGCGAATTGCATGCGAGACCGCTGCCCGGACTTTCACAACGACGTCGGAACAGTGGGGCGGTGCACTATGGGAGAAGGGGAGGGCTCGAGGGCTGGGATGGACGTTGGATATTACGAAGGGCTAGCCACACTGTCGGATCCAGGGGAGAAACCGCCGTGTCGCGCCATTTACCGACATGGGGAATGAACTCTGTTTGGCAGTGCTTTAGTTGGGCATTCGGCTAACCAACATATGCACTCATTTTAGACCGAAGAAGCCGGCAAAACCCAAAATGTCATGAGGGCTCTCCACCTGGAGAAGCTCTGCCTTAACATCTGTGTCGGCGAGTCTGGAGACAAGCTTACCCGTGCCGCCAAGGTGCTTGAGCAGCTGACCGGTCAACAGCCCGTCTACTCGAAGGCTCGTTACACCGTCCGTACCTTCGGTATCCGTCGTAACGAAAAGATTGCCGTCCACTGCACCGTCCGTGGACCCAAGGCCGAGGAGATTCTCGAGCGTGGATTGAAGGTTCTCGAGTACGAGCTCAGGGCCCGTAACTTCTCGCAAACCGGAAACTTCGGATTCGGTATCCAGGAGCACATCGACCTGGGTATCAAGTACGACCCTTCCATCGGTATTTACGGAATGGACTTTTACGTCGTCATGGGTCGCCCCGGTCTCCGTATCTCGCGGAAGAAGCACAAGGCTGGCCGTGTCGGTGCGCCTCACAGGGTCAACAAGGAGGAGACCATCAACTGGTTCAAGAAGCGCGTAAGTACTTGTTGCCTATCGTAATGCTGAATGTTTATGCTGCATGGATGACGGACTTCTTATATGCCGTTTTCTGCTCCTCATACAGTTCGACGGTATCGTTCTCAACAAGTAGATTACTCCGTGCACGATAGAGCGTGGGGGGAAAATACTTGTGTGGGGTGTAATATAAACTACAAAATCCACTTTTTGCATTCCTCCTGGTCCCATGCCGGAGCACTTGTCGATCGTTGCGATATCGGTGGAGGGTCGTCGCGCCGTTCTCAGATCGTCGAGCCATCGCTGCTGGCAAGCTGGACTATACGACGTCCAGTGCTGCCGGTCTGCTGTAGGCGCGGGCTCGCACCGTTCTTCTCTTTTGAGACCCTCCTCCTGCCTTGTCGGTCGCCACATTCTCATTACAGCCACCGCGTTCGTCCCGCACCTGCTTTGCCATGGCTGATTATCTGGGTTTGGATGGTGGCTGCATACGGTGTACATGATTCAGTACATCGGGCTGGAGCTGCTATACCGGGTGTTTCTGGAGACGTTGGCCGGGGTGACCTGGCCATCAATGTGGTATATAGCTTTCATACCACTCATCCACTGCACATAGCATATCCGAACGAGTGGGTCTTCTGCGAAATCTCTGTTCACAGGCATATCCAAAACCTATGTACAAGCTGCTCTCACTTGGAATTCAGTACAGGTTCTGCAATTGGGGAAAGGCGGTGTAAGCCATCCAATCGTGTGTGAGGCTTCCTTCAATTCTCTCAAACCTTCAGTACATACTGCCTTCTTCATGATCCGCAAGAACTCTTCCTGGTTGATCTCACCATCACCGTCCCGATCAGCCTCATCTATCATCTCCTGTAGCTCCTCGTCCGTAAGACTCTCTCCGAGTTCTTTGGCGACTCGTCGCAGGTTCTTGAAAGAGATCCGGCCCGTATCGTCATCGTCGAACAAGCGGAAGGCTTTGATGATTTCCTCTCGTGTGTCTTTCTCCGACTACTCAGGCGTGTTTTCGGTGAGATCAACTTCGATATGAGAATCCCATTTTGCGATTACAACCGCCCATACCATCTTGACACTCATCAACTCCAAAAAGTCATTGAAATCAATAACCCCACTCCCACTCCGATCCACCTCGCCAATCATCCGCTTCAGCTCCTCCTTCTTGGGCTCAAACCCCAGCGCGCGCATCGCCACCTTCAGCTCCTTTGTGTCGATCGTGCCGCTGCCATCGGTGTCAAACAGGTCAAAAGCTTCGCGAATCTCTTGCTTCTGGTCCGCGGTGAGGGTGTGCGTGGGTTGGGAGGCGGATTTTGAGGAGGTGGGGTTGGGTCCGCGTTTGGACGAGGTGAGGGTTGCTTTGGGGCGGTGGGATGTTGTTGCCTGGAGGAGTGAAGGGGGGATCAGATATCTATCTGAGGGTTCGCTAGGGGGTGCTATTCGGCGGTGAACGCTTACCATTCTGCTCAGACGTGCTGGTACTGCTCAGGGTGGTTTTGTGGATATCGAAGCCTCGAATGCGTTTCCTCACGAATGCTCTGTTCAGGAGCTTTCGGACAAACGCGTGGCGTGAAAAGGCGTGGAAGGGGCAACTCGTACAGTACTGTATGTACACTGTACTTGCGCACCACCTGTTCTACCTTCGCGATTTTCAATCAAAATTGCACATAAGCTCTGGACGAGGAGCGTCAGGAGCGTAGTCCTCTAGATCTAGATTTGGAATCGAAATTCAATGGACGACGGAGGAGTGTGTCTTCAGAATGACTTTCACAGATATGGCTCATGATGCGGAGTTAGCCAGTCTTGTTTGCAAAGATGCGCAGTATACGGAAAGAGATATCCTCAACGCGGGTGTCTGTTCCCCCAGAGCATTCGAACAGGGGCAGCGAGCGGGATGAGGTGGTTGGCGTTGGGGTTAGGAAGTTGGAGGGTGTTGACGGCGTGGTGGAGTGTGGAGGGGGTGGAGCCAGCGTCGACAAGCGTGTTGGCGTGAAAAGTCTAGGGTCGGCAGCCCAAAGTCCAGCAAATGCGAAGGCAAAGACGTCTAGATATCTCGCGGTCCCCCTCCGACGGCGAAAAAAACCGCAAGCTAAGTCGGTTGAGCCTGGGCGGGAGTCCCGGATTCGCTAAGAAGAGGAGGGTCACGCGGAGGGGAGACAACGACCAAACAAGCCCTAATATGTTCAAGTTGAGAGGTACTCAATTGTACGTGTAAAGCAAAACGATTGTTCAGTAAACAACAACGGATATCCAAATATAAGGGGATTAGGCTATGCGACCAAAGTCCGGTAGCAGCGGAACAGAAAGGGAAAATGAAAAAGAAAGAGGATGCACTGTTCTAGAGCGCTACCAATGGTGTCTACCTGCTAGTATAAAAAGCTACGCCGGATGTTATGTTCAGTAAGAACTCGGTATCGGTCTAAAATGTCGATGGGGCGATGATCGCCGGAAAGGCATAATTGCGTCGGCACCCACAAGGGGACAAAATCCCGCGCGGCGCAGGTTCCGAATCCCTGAAACCATATCGCACCTAAAAGAAGGCAGCGACGGACGCAGCAACCGCACCAACAGCAACGAGCATCTTAGCGGCGACGGAGGAAGCGGCGGAGACGACAGGAGGCTCGGACGGGGTCGGTTCGGGAGAAACGGTGGGCAGCGGCTCGATGGGAGTGTATGAGATGGGGTTCTCCGGGTCGACGGTGGGCAAATCGGTCGGGATAGGCGCATCGGTCGGGATGTCCGTAGGGGTGTCAGATGGGATAGGTTCGAGCGTGGGGGTATCGATAGGAGTGTCCGTAGGCAAATCGGTAGGGACAGGCGGGACAGGGATCTCAGTAGGAACATCTGTAGGCGTGTCGGTCGGGACGGGGACGTCCGTAGGGATATCAGTGGGGACGTCCGTGGGCGTATCGGTCGGGACGGGGACGTCGGTAGGGTTCTCGGTAGGAATATCCGTCGGCGTGTCGGTGGGGATGGGGACGTCCGTAGGAACGTCGGTGGGCAGGTCCGTCGGGATGGGGACATCCGTAGGAACGTCGGTGGGCAGGTCCGTCGGGATGGGGACATCCGTAGGAACGTCGGTAGGAATATCGGTAGGAATATCGGTGGGGATAGGTTCCAGAGTAGGAACAGGCTCACACGGCGCGGTGACCGTCACATAGACCGTCGTGGTCACCTTCTCGTCCTCGCAGTCGTCGTCATCGGAGTCCGAGTCATCGTCCGAGCAATCGTCGTCATCGTAGTGATGCTTCTTCTTATGCTTCTTCTCCTTACCGTTGTACTCGTTGATGTCAGTGGATGCCACTTCGGTGGGGAAAGCGCCGTCGATCGGAGCGATGTCGGTGCTATCGGGGGCGACGGTGGTGTGGGCTGCGACCAACGTGCTGGAGGCCAGCAAAACGGCGGCGGAGTAAGTGCGGACGCGCATTTCGAGGAATATCGAACTTTTTTGGGCAAATGGGCAATGGAAGGAGGTGAATTCAATTGCTGGCGGGATAGAGGCCGACCTTATATAAAACGAAGTGGGACAGTCAGCTAGCTAGCTCTTTTTCCTGACCGGTGGATTACTGATGACGGAGGCTGCTCTTTTGTCGCCGAGGAGCGATTGACGCAAGACGCACACACACGCACACACAGGACACATTCACAATATATGATATATAGGAAAACTCTCCCATGGTGCGCTCCAATTGGACGGTCACTGGAAGTCCTTCCTGCATAGCCGGGCACAGTGTGCGATGGAGAGGGTTGCGGGATGGCGGTGGATTGGGGGATGGATCGCTATCACGGCTGTGATCTGGGTTCTGTACGCGGACATGGCGGTACGCTATGACACCACGCACACGCGGATACCACCAATACGCGTGAGGTGGAGAAGGAGAGCCCGGTCGCCGATCATCCGAACGTTCAAAGAGCCCCTAGAGCTAGAGCCCGGGTCACCATTTTGACTACGGACGAGTGCTGGAGAGACCTTTGCGTGGTGCAACCGCGGCTCGCATACAGTACATACGTCCGGCGGGAAACACTCGGAAAACCTTGAAAAAGATCGACGGTGATGATGAACGCGCGAAAAAGATGAACTCCGTCAAAGGGAACGCCTCCTTATTAGATGCCTCTTTTGCCTCAAGCCTCCGAGGCCCTCTGCGTCGATCAGAGCAGAGGGAGTCCGCATGAGAAAGTAAATGCCAGTGCATCGACTTAAATGCCGCACAGGAAACACCTTATTCACATAGTGACTACGTTTAATAGGACAAAAGCACATACTGTATATACATACATACATAGCACCATCGAACACAGACGCGAAAGAAAAGAAATCGGATGACCCTCTCGAGTTTTTTGAAAGAGTTATTTCCAGACACGGTCTCCCGCTTTTATATTCTATGGGTTACGCTTCTCCCGAATTCCGAGATCTGTGCCGAACAGGAGCTCAAATGCGTCGTCGAATTGCGGCAAGTCGCACTCAAAGTGGATTGCATATCGTCGAAAGACGGCCTCGCATGGTTCCCCAGGGTATCTCGGACGTCAACCCGTAGTTGGTGCACATTATTGCATGTGGAATGAAGCCCCTGATGCATCAACAGCCAGCGCGCTGGGATGCACAACACAGGAAACTGCCCTACGTCCAGCGGTCCCCGGCTGGTTTCCCAAGCGATTGTATCAGCGACTTCTTCCAGAAGTCGAACAATGTGCATCATGATATCGATTGAAGGTGCCGCACGGCAAAGGCCCTCCCACAGCCGCAATACGGAAGACTTGGTGGACCACACGCCATTTGGGCTCTGTAGAATCCGGACTATTTCCATTTCCATATCTCGCCGCTCGCCGAGCATCAAAAAAATTCGCTCAAGTTCAGGTACGCGAAAGTATTCTCGACGTCGATGGCCCAGTCCGCAACCGCTTCGTGTAGATATACCGAAGCAAACGGCGAAGAAGGCCGGGCTCGCCGCTGCTGATTTTGGCGGACTACCTGGTGTACGCGGGGCTAGTCATCATCGGCGGCATGTTGTTCGTTGTCAAAGTCGGCGAGGCTTGCAAAGTAGCCCGATGCGGCACGCAGAATCGACATATGAAGATGCACGTGGCAACCGTCGCTGAAGACGATTTCGGTGTCGGACGTTGAGCTGTTGTTGAGAAAATGCTCAATACCGGGGAATGTTCGATCCTCGAGGTTTAGAAACGAAATCAGTTTGAAGCATCACTGTGGGGGATGTTTTCCCTCCTCGTATATATATATCCTCTTGCTCCCTGACCGGCTCTTGCGTGTTCCAGTGCTTCATCAGGCTCAGGTGCCGGAGTGTCCCAAGTTGTTGACGGCTCAGCACCCCAACCTGAATCTGAACCCCATCTGTCTGACATTGTTACCACGTACTTTTTGCGTGTTTCTTTTCGAGAAAAACTACACTCTTTTTGACTTTGAAAGAGATATTTTTCCGAATTCACATTCGGGCACTGTGGATTGTGGGATGCCAAAAGCACTGACAGGAGACGCGCTGTCGAATTTTCGACCTTCACTTGCAGGTTTCTGGCCTCGTTACTGCTCCTGGCACCGTTGATTCTCAACTGCCAACTTCAACAGAACTCTGTAGCGCAGGTCGATGGACAGCCGCTTGAAATAAGGATTCAGGTGAGGTTGCTTTGGCCTTGATAGACGTCGGAAAAGACTTCGGTCATTCGATAGTGCTCGGCGAGGTACAGTACAACACTTGGATCCGCTTGTCTCCCGGAGCCGATTTAAGAAATCCCAGGCACTCATTGTGGAACACTTGACGGCATGGTACGGCGGGCGAGTTCTTCATTCCAACCAGTTAGTCCTCGATGCTGTCCCAAGTTTTCCCATGTGCTAGGATGCCTTCCTTTGCCGCTTCATGAATCCGAGTGGCTTGTAAGGTACTCGGAAATGGAACACAAACCGAGAAACCCCTTGACGTTCAAGGTCGACATCTTAACATCCACGCTGTATACCATATCGAGGAACAGTACGAAATCCGTCTCCTTCAGACCTTGGAGCTGTATCTCATTCGACGGGTGTGTCTGCCGCCAGAATGTATTCAGGATGACCGCGAAACATTGTGCTTTCACAATCTCAGATGGTAGTAAGAGACGACGCTCGGTGTGAGATCTGACATAGATTAATGCAAAAACCGCTACTTACCCTTGACTGGTTATGGTGAAAGTGAAGCCGAGGCTAGGATCGTGCCTCTCTACAAACATGTGCCTATAGCCCAGCGCTTCTATATATGAACTGCGTTTCCATATATGACACGCTATCCAAAGTGGAGCTTAAATCGGATCTGTTGTAAACCGATGCTAACGCCTCCACTGTAGAGTTCCGGGTAAGCGTTTTGCTGTGGCCCAGCGGGTAGTTCATAACAGGATCACACGTACGACGGTTTTTGGACGACCGAAAGCCCAAAGAGGTGGGCGAGCGAAGCGAGCGTACCTCAGTTCGGCTGCACACAGTGGGAAGTGCTGAGAATGGTTTCAAATCTGCAGCGAGCGCGAGCGCTCCGGCCCTAGTTCCCCTGCCGTCACCCACAGCATACGGCGGCGGTCATTGGGAGAAGAAACCCTCCGAGTCACGATCTGCGGGTAGAGCTTAACCTTGCTGGCCAATACAATGTGAGATCGGAATGAAAGTGAGCTGAGTTTCAAGAAACACCAGGTGAGGCTGGTCAGCTAGGCATCGGACGAGCTCTTCTTGACAAGGAGAGCGAGAGGGGTTGAGGGGTCGAATTTCGCATGTCTCGAAAGAACGAACGCGCATGACATAAGCCGACGCGCGTCCGTTCTTCCAAGTTCAAACGCGAGCGCCAAGTTCAACCAACTTTCGTGGGACCTTCCTGCTCTTCCCCACCATCCCAATACCGCCCCCCCCGTCCTACCCACCAAACCATGCCACGCATAAAAAACCCACCATGCCGGGCATCCGGCAACGGCGTGGTCGTCACCATCGCGTCGGGCCACTACCCCAACGAGATTCCCGGCGGCGGCGCGCCCGTCGTGGTGAAGCGCGTCGAGGGCGTTCTATCTCTGAGCTGTGAGTCCGTGGTGCCGTTGTGCAGATGGGGTTCAGGATAGAAAGAGTTAGCATCGGGACTGATTCTTTGTCGTAGCGGAAATCAGATTCGCGCGGCTCATGTCGACAGGTCTTGCCAGTGGGTCGGGAAATGAGGCACACGGTACGCAGAGTTCTATACCACGCTCATCTCGTTCGTAACCCCCGCCCCTGAGAAGTCACTCACCACCCCACCCCCCAGGCCCAAACGACACTCCGATCCCAACCCAACTCGGCGCACACCCGTCATTCTCATCCGCGCGCAGGCCGTCGCTCGCTTCGTCAGCAGCAGATGCAGAGGGTGACCAGACTGAAGACAGTAGGAGGCGACATCTTCCCGTTATGCATTCGCCGCAGCCGCAGAGGCTCATTTCGAGGGCTGCGGAGGGGATACGGCATGTAAGTTGGGATGCACGAAGAGAAAGAGGGGCAAGGGGGGGAAGCTGGGGGGTAAAGGTGCAGCGCAGCTGACTGGATCTTGCCCACCCGGCTAGTTTCCGGTACCTGTCCTTGTGAGACGTTCCTAACCCCCTTTTCCGTCCTACCTCAGAACACAGCCAGCGTCCTCGCAACCCCGTCCAAGAAGCGGAAACCACACCCGACAAGTTGGAGTGAGAAGGTAATCGTGGGTGGGGGGGGGGGGGGGGTTTCTTTCATACTTTTCCGTGTTGGGAGGGCCAACGCACCATTTCGCATCTACTCCGATGCTCACACATCCTTACAGATTCCCAGATCACCCTCCCAGCGCGCCCCCGCGTCAACAGCAGCCACGGGCCTGCACGCAAAACCGAAACACGTCTACTGGCAGCCCCCTGCCGCCGTCCGGCTCCCGCGGCCACATCCAAGTACGCCCATCACCAGTATCGCCGCCCCCGACCGCGCCTGCGATTGATAATGTGACTGCAGCGGCTGTTCGGCTGGGGTCTTGATTTTGGGGCCGAACGGGGGACGGGCGAGCGTTGGCGAGGGGGAGGGGGAGGGGGGAAGGACGGGCGGGTACGGGACGGCGTTGGTTGGTTATATGCACAGTGAGCGCGGAAGTCAAAGGGGGGAATGGCACGACCGGACTGCTTTCTAGCACTTTTTGGAGCTTTCGTGTGCTTAGATACCGCAAGGGAAACGTGCATGACGGGACTTTGGCATGTGGTAAAGTCAGATCCGATATATGCTAGACGTGTTGAAACGTAGTCATACAACTTGCATAAAGGCACGGAACAAAATCAATAAGTTAAGCGAAAACAAAAAAGTGTGCGTGCTGGAGGTTGTAGGGTGGAGAGCGGGAGGGGAGGCGGGAAGTACACGAAACGAATGTCGAATGCATTGTAAATATCGACTCGACCACTCATTTCCCGCACTGTATAGACCAGTTTGGGGGCCCGCCCCACCGACTCGACTCGTAACCGCGGCGGGATTCGTATTTGGGCGAATGCAAAATGCAAATCTTCCGACTCGTCTCTATGTGCTGCTGGTAGTGCTCGTGCCCGAATCCAGGATAGTCGTCTGGCTGGACTGCTTGTCAATATCGGAGAGCATGAGGTTGTCCACTGCGAAAAACCCACAAAATCAACTTCAGGTTACACCACCCACAGGTTACAAAAAAAACATACAATCACATCCCGCCCATACCTTGATCCAAAAGCTCCTCATCTTCTTCTTCTTCTTCTTCTTCCTCCTCCTCCGCCCCACTCTCCTCTTCCTTGTCACCACCCGATCCCTTCTCACCCTCCGCTTTCTCCCCACCCTTCCCACGTTTCGCCCCGATCCACTTGAACCCACCACTCCACAGCGAATCGACAAACTCACGCCCGACGACCGCGGCAGTGACCTGCACGGCCTCTTTTTCTTTCAGCACGAACGACCGCGTGAACCCAGTTTCAAAGTAGTCGACGAGATAGTCGTCGGCGAGGATCAGTTCGCGGAAGGTCGAGAGGGTCAGGCGCATGGGGATGTCAAGGGCGGGTGTTGTTGTTGGTGGTGGTGGGTGAGCTGCTTCTGCAGGTGGTGATGTGACCGCCGCGTCCCCGCCCTCCGAGTTGGACGCCGGCGACCCCGCCGCGGCATTCGCGTTAGCACTGATCCCAAACGCACGATTCATGAACCCGCTCACAGCGCCCAAATGCCGATCACCCTCCTCCCTCCTCAACAAAAACAAAAGACTCTCCGAAAACTGTATAACCTCATCCTTCACCAGCGTCCCGTCCCTATCTCCGTCATGCATCTCGAAAAAGAGATTCAGGCGGGTCATCATGTCGCTGTAGATCAATTGCCCAAGGCCGGTGACGAGGTCCTGGAAGTTGATTGCACCGTCGTTGTCCGTGTCGAAGGACTTGCGGTACAGCTTGGTGAGGAAGGAGGAGCCGACGATGGGTTTGAGTGTCTCCATGGCGCCCAATCTGCTGGCTTGCTCGTCCGCGTCTTTTTTGGTGTTGGCCCATTCGGAGAGGCGGCCGAGGTACATGACCCACTGGTCGAAATCCAACCTGTCAGTGGCTTTCTTCGGCTGGTTACTGTTGTTGTTATCGTTTTTGGAGCCGTAGTACTGCACGCTGTAGTACTCGTCGCAGAGGAAGAGAAGCTCTTCTTTGTTGAAGCGGGAGGTGTGGTTGAGGTTGCGGATGATGCTGCGTTTGGCGTAGAGGTCCAGGCTGTGCACGACTTTCAGCTGCAGACTTTTGCGAAGGTCGGTGATGAGGTCGTGGTTGACGCTTTGGAATTCGCGGTAGGCTGTCTGTGAATAGTTGCACGTTAGCGTGCCCTCTACCCCTTCTTGAGCGTGAGGAATTCCAAAGTATTCTTACCAAGATAAGCTGATTGAACCGCGTTATTGTCCTCCGCGCCTTCTGCTCATCAGCCTGCACAACGTCCCCGAGCGTCGCAAAGTACGCCTTCAACACGTTCCTGCATCCAAAACCATCGTCAGCTCAGTCACAGCTACGGGAGTCGAACTCTTCCCCGCACACATCCGTATCCGCAAAAGCACTCACATCAACTCCCCATCATCCTTAACCTTCATGATCGCATCCCCATTGATCTTCAGAATGGCCAAGCTACGAGGAAACAAACCGCCCCAATTCAATCATCTGCCCCTTCAATTCAAACCATTCGCTATCAAGTCAACCGTCCTATGAGACGTACCCTATTTGGAAAAACACCTAAAACAAACCCACAAAGGGTCAGTAAAACATCCCCCCCCCCCCCCCCCCCAACCCTCCTCTCACACACCCAGCCGTACCTTAGGCCCCTCCATAAAAAAACAATCAATAATCCTCAATGCATACGGCAACGAGATCGAGTTGATGTACAGGCTCAGGAACCAGGGGAGGCAGGCCACCGAGAGCTGGATCTCGTACTTTTTGAAGTGTTCCGACATGAGGGGCATGTATTTCGTTACCTACAGGGGACAGGTTAGATGGGAGGAGGGAAGGGGGGAGGGAGGGGGGACGCTTACGAGGCTTTCAAAGACGTTGTTGTCGACGACGGCGCCGACCATGTTTGTGCTGTTCGCATGTCAAGGTTGTCAGCCCTCCGACCCACCCTAATCATCAACCCCCATCACGACCACATCAAGGCTGTACCTGTAATACCCCGGCAACAATCCTACACACCCCGCACCAAAAAGCCCAGTCAATTATCGTTCCATGCCCCAAGTACACACACTATGCCTTCGCCAGGACTCACGTTCACACAAGATAGTCAAGACCCAAAACGCCTGCTCCTCCGTCAAATAGATCAACAACACGCTCACGACGATGTTCATCGCTTGGCAGTAGCCGATTTCGGGTTCGTGCCACGAAAACGCCTATCGAAATGCTTTTGTGTTAACGTCCATCCCCGAACCCCCATGTGGGTTTTGTGGATTTAAGGGGTACGTACGTAGAGCACACGCCGCAGGGCGTTGATGCCTTCCTCGTTTTGGTAGCCGCTGTATTCGGGGAGACTCCTGCAGCCCCCCAAAAAAACCGGTCAGCAGCTGTGCGTTCGGGGACATGACTAATGAAAGGGGTGATGTTACCGGTTGAGATCCTTCTCAATCTCCTCCATCGACAGTGACATTTCGCCTTCGTGGTCCTTGTGGAGTTGTTCGTAGTAGCCTGGGTGCATGTATCTGAACAAATGAAATCGAATGTAAGTTTTGGGGAAGATGGGGTTCGTGGAGAGAGGGGGGCACGGTTACCTTTTGTACATGGCGCCTGAACATACTTCCCATATCTCGCCTGTGGATGGGACATTGGTCAGACAGCGATGATCAGAAATAGAGCTCGCCGATGCACGTACCTCTCAAGGTGTTGGGCAGTCCTATCCTGACCAACTTGATGAAAGTCGGTAACCGCACCAGTGTCAAATTCCTTCCGAACTCTGCCCGGGGGGCGCATCCAAGATCAGCCCGCCCATTTCGTGGACCACACGCAGTCGCACGACCATCAGAACCACATCAAAGTCCAGTACGCACCTCTAAAATACGCCACCCAATACCTCAACTTATTCTTCTCACTCGCCTTCTTCCCGTCCACATACCCATACTTCAACCCCAACCCACCGACCGCAATCTCCTTCCCATTCAACAGCTCCTCGCTCGCACACGACGCCAGGAACGGTTTCAGCTGTTTCATCAGCGTGACGTGCTGCTGTAACCGGTCTTTGAGGGTTAGGCAGAGTTTATCCGCCGACGCGCGGTCGGATGTCATTTGGAAGATCAGTTTCAATTGGTGGCGGACGGTGATCGCGATAGTCGAGACTTGGGAGTTGATCTTCTCGACGCGCATGATGGCGTAGAAGGGGAGGACGAGGTAACATTGATACCTCGCCGCGGAGATGAAGCAGAGGTATGTATCGGAGAGGTACATGCGACCGCTGAAAGAGGATTTGGTTCCGGAGATCTGAGTGATTGCCGACACTTCCTCCATGAGCGTCTCGGTGGAGGGCAGGGAGAACAGGGTTTGAAAGCGGGTGTTGCGTTTGGCTTCTTCGAAGTTTTGTTTCAAGGGGCGGCCGATGGGGCCAAGGCCTTTTATGGTTGTGGGAGCGGTTTGAGGGCCGGTGGAGGTGCCCGGGGCGAAGGAGAGGCCGGGGGCGGGGTCGGTGGAGGTGTTTTTAAGGAGCTTTTGCATGGCAATATTTGTTAGGTGCTCTAGAAGGTCGAAGGTCTCGTCTCGGTGGAACAGATTTGAGAAGACGTGCTGTTGAGTGGGGGGTTTAGCAGGGGCGCTCTTGTTTTCTTATGGTAGCTTCCACGCTGTTTCTCACCTCCGCCTTGTTCCTAAGCTTAATCCGAATCGCGTCATTGACAACCCCCCGTTTCGACTTGTCCTTGGCAAGCTCTTCGATATCCTTCAACTCTATGACCACTTTTGTTTCCACGCCGAACACGAAAGAGTAGAAGTACAGATGCGATACTCCAATGTACATCCAGCCTTGGTTCATCAACTTCTTATGATAAGAGCAACTGTAGACTGCGGAATATGGGAGGGCAATAAGTGTGCGAAGCAGCGAGCAGAAGGACGTCGTCCTTCATTTCCAAGACATACAATTGACCAATCGCTCTTCCTCCGAGATGTGAAAGATCTGCCGCCATGAGCGTGCAGCTGCCCGGAATTTCGCGTCCGCGGACTTTTCATCTGTGTCTTTGTCTTGAATCACATCCCTGTCAGCGCTACTTCCCTGTCAATGGTTATCTGAACTCGCAAGGGCCTCCCACCTCCACTTGTAACAAGTGACTGGAACTTTGATATAGCGAACGCTTCCTTGTCCGCCATATCCTCCAATTCCGTTACACCAGGCATCAGGTTCTCTGCGCAACCGAAGAAGCAAATAACGAATGAGTCCCATCAACAAACATCAACCATTGATCCATTCACCCATGGCCATCATCCATCAACCGTCAACACCATCAACCATCTCATCAACCATCCACCATCCATCCACCGTAAACAATAAGCATCACTGGCGCTTACAATAAGAGCGGCCGTTCGCCATCGCTCACGATAGAAAACGACCGTCCTTTGTCGCTCACATTACTGCTCGCGTCGCCCGCTAAAATCGCGCGTGCGGCGCGGGAGTTGCTCCACTCGCGGACGCCTTCGCTCTCCTACGGCTCGTCTGCCTCAAGTAACCGTGCATCTCGCTTCGCCGTCCGCGTTCGGCCACTTGCTCGGTCGCCCCGCTCGCCGCAATTCCTCCTTCCTCATCGCTCGGTCAGAAACGCACCCTGAATCCAAGCCCAGTCCTTTTCGGTTGCTTTCAGCGTATCGCCTGTCTTCATGGGCGGGTTGAGTCAGCGGCGCATCATCAACAACGGTCCCTCCAAGCCTCCCAGCAACTGAACAGACCGCAACGAGATGCCCTTGTTCGGGCCCCTCAGCACTTCTCAGTACTATCCTGAACGGCGGTTGCTTTGTGTCCAGCCTTCAGGGGTGGGGGAAGATGGTCAACCGAGTCAGTCTGCTGTTTTTGTGGCGGGAATCCCCAACGCGTGCGAAGGCGAAGGTCTACATCACAACTTACACATTCTGCAACGTCGTCCAGAAAGACTTCATGACGGTGCCCTCCTGGGTCTTTAGCTTTTGTAGTAAGAAGAGCTCATCCTCCTGTTCGTGGGGCGGTGGGAAAGGAACGGTCAATGTCTGCCCAACCAGATAGGGGGCCTGGGGGGGTCGCGGGTGTGGATGGGGTTTCGATACCTTCAAGTTCTCCCAGTAGGAGGAGATATCAACGGGGGCTGGTATGCAGAGCATTCTGAGCCCGCACCGAAGGAGAGTGCAATATATATATATAGAAGTGTAAGGTAGAGACCGGTTGGGTCGAAGACAGGAGCAAGCTGGGGAAGGTGGAGGACGGGACGCGAAGGGGGTTGGGGAGGGTTGCCCAGCTGACAGCCAGAGCGAGATGACACAGCTGGATTCTTATTATTTTAACAGAAACCAGCACCCCCTCCCCCCCCAAGCACAGGCCCCCCCAGCCAACAATGTGGTCCTCAGCAGCCCTCTACACAAACCCCTCCTCCTCGCTCTCACCTTCCCTCCTCGCTTCGCCCGCCTCCCCCGAAAAAAACATAAACGCCCTCATCCGCTCCCACTTTGCCGCCCACAACCCTAACGCGATTCTCGCCCTCTTCTCCCAAGCCCCCTCGCAGCCAACATCCTCCCTCTACTGCATCCGCCCCACCCGCGCCCTCCTCACCAGCATCCTCTCCCACTGCGCAACAGATGCGAGTGAAGTGATACTATCGATTGGATCCGCGTCGGGGTTGTTGGAGTATCTGCTGCAGTGGTTGGCGGATGAGACGGGTGCGGGGGTGGGGGTTAGGGGCGTGGATGTCGCGCGGACGAACGTGTTTTTGGATGAGGGGACAGAGGACGGCGAGAGGGGGTTTGTGTGGTTGCCGAGTGGGAAGCCTTCTGATGAACGCTTCACATCCACAACCGTCCTGTTCACATCCTATCTGCGGCGACCCTCCATCTTACTCGATTACATGAGCGCATGTCCCGTTGCGCACACGATTATCACTGTGGGACCCATCTCAGAAGACCCGGGTAGTATTGATGACAATGTGAAGCGGGGGTTGGAAGGGTGGGGCAGCGTTGTGTGGGTGGGAAAGCCGGAGGGGTTGCAGGATTGGGAGAGAATGAGTGTTTGGAGGAGGAGAAGGGGTATTACAGTAATAAGGGGATTGGGATGCATTTGAGGAGCATGTGGGATGCATGGGCTTTCACACCTTCCAGTTGCTATTCTAAAGGTCGGAGCAGCAGCCATTAGGAATGATTAGTAAAATGTGCGGAAGATGTCATTTGTACATTAAGATTGGGACTTGGGTATCATAAGGGCAACGGTGTCCAATTTCAATGATAAGCTCGCTCTGCGCGTGCACACAGCCCCCCCCCCCCCCCCCCTCCCCCATCCTCTTTCACGCGTTCCCCGTCGAATAAGCGAATTCGTCGGGAGTCATCGCCATTTCCAATCGGCCGCCGTCATCAACACGCCACGGAAACCACAAAGGTTCTCGTATAAAGAGCTGCCCCTTCCCACCTCCTTCTTCGCCCAGCAACACCCCCCCAAAACTTACTGACTCAAACGAGGCTTGCCGTCTCACAGCCCACCCCTTTCTTTTTTACACACACACAACTTCGATACTGAGAGAAACACACAAAACACAAACGGCATGGACCGTCAGTCGGCGTACTCCAACACCCCAACCGACGGCGGCGAACCCTCTGTGCCCCTGTCACGCGAGGAGGACACAGCCCGCCCAGCAGCCCGCCCCGCAACACCCACCCGTCCTCGCTCGCCCGCCATGTACAGGTTCAGACCCTACGCCGGGTTGCGCCAGCGGATGGTCGATTTCGTGATGGGCGCTAGGTGGGAGGCGGAGAGCAGTGCGCGTGCGGGTTCTGCAGAGGAGGACGGGGACGCGGGAAGGGAGGTGGAGAGGGAGGTTGTTGCTAGCGCGGCTGGGGTGGGGGTGCCGCCAACACCACCCTCCGAGCCCGTCGTCGCAGACGCAGACGGAGAACGCTTGGAATCGTCCCAAGCACAGCAATCTAGTGAAGAGTCTGATCCGGCACGCACCACCAGGACTTCCACACCCTCCGACCCCCCCTTCCGCTTCTCCCTCTTCTTCAACGGCGACGGCGGCCGGATCGTCTTCTTTGTACCCACTCGATTCGAGGAGTCGTTAAGGAACGATACCGCAGGAAATGTCGATGAAACAGAACATCTAAATCTCACTAACGCGGGTGATGCTGGTGGCGCCGCTACCGCAAGGAATAGGACGAGGAACGGGGGAAGGGTCGACATGGAGTTGTTTCTACAATCCTTGCAACAGATATTCGAACAAGCCTTGCTCCCCACCACCACCCCACACACCCAGGGCCACCCGCCCGCCGCCCCCTCCGTCATCCACAGCCTCCCGCTCATCACGCCCACACCCAAACGCTTGCAGAAACATCCTGTTTGCATCATCTGCCAGGAAAACTTCTCCCTCCACTCATCATCGCATGAGCATCAGCAGCCGTTGCCCTCGCCGCCACCTTCCCCACCACCACCCCCCGTGGACGTCTCCCCTCCCTCGAATCAAAAATCCGACGCTGATACCCGGATCACACGTCTCCCCTGCTACCACTACTACCACCGTTCCTGCATCACCCAATGGCTCGAAACGAGCGGGACCTGCCCGACGTGCCGGTACGAGTTCATGACGGAGAACGAGGAGTATAACCAAGTAGTTGAGCGGCGCATGAAGGGCTGGAGGGTGGGAGAGGGAGCGGAGACGGATGATGAGGGTGACGGGGTTGGGGGTGTGGATTGAATCACCGGTGGTCTGAGCCTTAGGGAGGGTAGAGCGGGAGTTGGCGTTTTTGGAGGAGCATTGCATTGGTAGTTTGTCATTTGTCGCCTTTGCGGGTCAGTGTATATAGTGTTGGTCGTGCGTGATCCTGCCAATTTTTCTTTTGGTACTCGCGACAGGGTTCTCGGTAGCTTTTTTGTGCCCCCTCATCGTCGCGCCTTCTAGCACAGCATTCAGTCTCATAGCATTTTGGTTACCATCATTGGCAGAGGGAATGAAAATTTGGCGAATATACCCATTACAACGTGTTCGTCTGTGTTCTCGCGAGATAGTCGCGTTGCAAGGTTCCACTGGCCGGATGTCCGGAAAAGATGGCGGTGCATCAGACCCCCCCTTTCCTCCCCTTTCCATTTGGTGTTACCCACGAGCCTTCAAAGCCCCGTTAACGTCCCTTCACCCTCACCCACTTCTCACGAGGCAACACGTGGTTTCGCCTTCTCCGACGTGTGTTTTCGTACACGTAGGGCGGGCGTCGTCGGAGTCCCTGAAGTAGGCGGTTGCCAAGCGAGTGATGGTACGTACAGTACTTATATACAACCCCTGACATCCGACAGCTCCTGAGAACGACATGACCCTCCCCTGCTCCCCCGCTTCCCTCTCCTGCCGCGTGGATCTCAGTGTCCCCAAACAGTGGATCCCGTTCTCGGAACACCCCCGTCGTTCGGGATGCTGAACGCGTCGGTGGGTTATGGAAGCGTTTGGCACATGTAAGCGGGCACCCCAACGCGTTTGCGCACATGTAAGCGGGTCGGACGCTTACCCCGGACAGGGGATTGAACAACCTTCGCCCCAGCGTGGCCGGTTTATCGAATTCGAACGAAACAGTGTGAAATCTCACCCGCAGATTCTGGTGCGATGCATACATGGCCCAGTCAACGCGGAATTTAGTTAGCCTGCGACGGAGGTGGAACATGCTCCGTGAATAGATAATAGCTTCAGGAAGGTTGCTAAAATATATCCACCGGTGCGCGGACGCCGCCCGGAAACGTCTGCAGGCAGGTGGAGGGGAGCTTGCCGGGGGGTCTAGCACACTTGCCGCACTCAGCATCAGGTACGTCAGGGAACCGACCGCAGGCCGCAACGTCCTGGGAAGGGAAGGCAGTCAAGGGCGGCATGTAAGCCTTGACGCGCGTCCCTCCTCTCTCTATATATCGATCGATACGAGGATGGTGTGCCTCAGATTCTTCTCGGCGTCACCAATCCCAAGGGACGTCCCACGGTGGACATCCAACGTCCTTGTTGTTCTCAACAGCAAAGTATCCCATTCCGATCCACGAGAAACCCCATGTCGTCATGTCTCAAGATACCTTTGAGGCTCTTTCCCCATCTCACATGAAACACAGAACCTTCGCTGGAGTTCCGTAAGGAAACGGAATCGCGGTCAACATCCCCACAATCACAGAGCAAAATTCCATCCCACCCAGCAGCACAGCACGCACGTGGACGCCAGTCCGTTGACTTCGAGTGGTCCCTTGTTTGATCATCCGCAAGCGCATCCATCGCCCGTCCAAACAACATAACAAGCGCCCCAACACATGTGACCCCCCCCCCCCCCCCCCTCGATATCCCTCTTACACGCGAAACGCACACAGGAGGAGAAATCCCTTACGAAGTCTTGATTTAGGAGTCTTGCCCGACGCGGGCCCGATGAGTCCCGTATCAAGAACGCAGAACACGGATGACTCGATTGACCGCCAAGCGCGCGGGGGGGGGGGGGGGGGGGGGGGGGGTGGGGGGCCCAGCAGCAGCGCTTGTGTATGTCCCATCGGTTAAATAGGTCCATTGGGTGGAACCAATTAGGGTACGCGTCAATTTCGCGCTTTGTTTTTGTTTCGCGTCTCAAAAGTACCTTTCGGACACGTTGCACAGTCGTTTCGGACACACACACACTATTCTTCACGCATATATATACACCGAGCAAAACAGGGCTCATGCACAGGATGACTGATGGGAGAGCGCTTGGGGGACTTGAAAATATGCCGTTGTCGGCGTCGGAACAAGGCAATTTCTTCGGCGTCTGTTTGTCCGGCTTTCGGACAGGCGATCTGTCAAACCAAAGTCCCGATAATCGAGACCCCCCCAAAACGCGCCAAACCAAAAACAGCCAGAACTATGGTGGAAGCAGCCTTTCCACGTTTTCACTCGTATGCAGGACCTTTGCTGGAGGACCTCCGTCGGGAAAACGCGTCAGGATCCTCTCACGCGTCATTTTTGGCGGCTTTTGGGAGTTCGAGGGAAACCGTTGCCAAACCGGGCCTGGGAATCCACACCGCCCCCCCGAAAACAGAATCAAAGACGGTCGCGCATGCCATACGGCGGCTACCAATCTCTTGTAGACCACACCCATGCCGTGCAAGGCCTTCCCGCGTCGTTACCGGCGGTCGTTGCAAACCACATCACGCGAGCTGGAATTGAAAAATACCCCTCTTCCGCATGCTCCCTGTAGAAGAATGCACAACACTGGACTGAGGAAGAAAAGAGGGGAGGCGGAGGGGGGGGGGGGGGGGGGGGGGCAGGGAGGTTCCTGATCTTACCGCGACGGCTCAGGTTCCGGTCCGGAAAGTGTGGCCCTCCTTGGGCCTGCTGGACCCGTGTCTCGAAGACCAGGCTCAAGCACTTTATTTTCTTCCTGCCAGCGGCGCTTTGCCCAGGTACACGAAAAGTTTTTGATTTTGATTCATCGAAGGAAGCTTGCCTGAGCACGCGTCAGTTTCGCGTTTTCGGACATCCGTCAGTCCGCTCGGACATGGTAACCCGTACTGTTGACCTTTTTGCATCCCGAAATATCCGAAGGGATCCAAGGGCCTGCTGGGTGTGTTTGGGGCGGGCGAAGGGATGCTCGTTGGGCCGCCGAGTTTGAACGTCTCTCGGAACGGGGACGCGTCCGTTTCGCGTTTTTTTCGTCGGTGCTGCATACGCACTCGTTTTCGGACCACCCCCCTCGATAGATGGAACACCACACCCATACCTCCGAAAATCAGCGAGGCGCATCGCCGCGCATTTCCCTGCGAAATGGATGCTGACGCACAAGGGGTTATGCACTGCTGGAGCAGCGCGTGGGACTCCCGACCTGACGCGTCACTCATGACCGAACGCGTCGTTTTCGCGTGTTTGTCGGAGCTCTCGAAAGTGCTTTCGGACGGGTTGCACAAGCGATGGGTCCGGGACACCCCCGATCTCTTTTTTCAGTCGTACAGTACATGATCCTCTTGGACGTGCTCCTCAGCGGACCCGTCACGCAACGCGACCTGGACGCGGCGATCATCGTGGCCGTGGAGAGGGAGGGGGAAACGACGGTGTCCATGTTGTTGGCGGCGGGTGCCATTATAGTGTGCAAAATACATGTCGAGTGAATACAACGGTCCGTCTCTACGACGTCTTCACCCGAAACGGGCTGGCTCTTCAGGCATTGCCGCGACCTCATCGTGCGTCAGGACGCACATGATGGTTATCGTGGTGACGACGGCCGATTCGGTGGTTTCGGCAGTTTCGCCTGGCATGTCTTGGTGGTCTGGGTCTAGGCCTGGGTATTGCTCAAAGCAGCATCCCGATCTTCATGCGCCTAGAAGAAACCGCCTACCATATAGATGTTGAATCCCATATGGACAACACCGAACCTATGACCATCCCCTACGCGCGACCTAGGATATCCATAGATTCCGGCACGGTCAAGCTGGAAGAGCCGGGAAACCATCAGGCCAATCATCAACTATGCTTTGCAGGAGCTCGTCACACGCACGATGTTTATCGCGATTCAACCGAGACACCTTCTCCGCAAGCAGTGGATCAATGCCGAGAAGAGGTGGAAGCTTTGGCATGACAATCTGCAGGTATCGGTAGAGGCTTCTGTCCGACAGCGAGGATCTTCAAAGGCCGCTTGCCTCCCCGTGCCGCCCGCATTCGCTCCACCTGGTCAAATATTGCATTGGCAGCGTTCGCGTCATCACGCGCGTTCGGACTCCGTATATTCTGTACAAAAAGGGGATACTGTTCATTTTCATTGTTCTACTCTGCATAAAAGCATACAAAAAACAAGACTCACTCCTTCTCTCCAATCCAACTTCAAAAGCAGATTGCACAATGGTCAGCGGGAAAAAGACTCAAGAAGATAAGCACGTAAAGAAATCCAAGGAATCGGGTTGTGGATTCAACATGCTTATGAGCGTGATGAAAGATGTGGAGAAGTTGTCACGGCCATTCTGCCTATGCTCTGATCATGTTGTGGAAAGGTGGAAAGTGGAGCTCGCAAGACACGTAACGTGCGGGCAACGCCCTCCTGCTTTTCTACCTTCTCTATTTGACAAACCAACACTCGGAGACATCCGGATAATCTTGCAATCATCGGAGAATCGGAACCAACCCTCGGGTGTTTCTGCGAGTCTTGTGTCTCCAGAAACATCTCGCTAGGGACGTAGACCCCAGATCAAACCTCCCATGGTCCGCGCGCAGCCAATAGGGTCCCTATTGAATAGGGTCGGCGGGCGAACATGGAGGGTCCCGTCCTAGTTCCCCCCCATGCCCCCCCATTTTTTTTTCTCTTTCCGTTGGCATACTATTTCCGAGCACAAAACATCCCCTCAGCGAAAACCATATCACTCAGTCTGAAAAAGTCAATTTGCTCGAAACTCAGCATCTTCATTCATATTTGGGCCCCCGCTGGGGGTGCAGGCGTCAGAAACCACTCAAGTCCTTCTAGAAACGAACAAAGGGGAAGGGGGGGCGTTATATACAAAATTTCTCGAAGAGAAGGAGGGGGGGTAGGCGTACGCCGTAATGCGTTGAAAGTAACGAGGCGAAAGGGGCGAGCGTAGGAGGGGGGAAGGGGGAATGTGACTTGGTGGGTGTGCGGAGGGGGGTGGGGCGGATAAGAGGGGGAAAAAAGGTATGGGCAACAAACACACGACGGCTACCGCCCGCTACTCCGATAAGCCGGCGGCCTCGAATTCGAAGGCGAGACCGCGTGTCCATTATACGCCTCGGGCTCGACCCAATTGCTCGGCGCGCCCGTCGTTGGGCCATGCACATGTCTCCCTGTCCCCACGACCTGTTTCGGGGGCCGTCTCGACGAGGGACAGCAACAGCACCGTACGATCGAGTACAGGATCGAGAGGATAAGCAAACCGGCGATGACGAGGATGGGGATCGCGACCGTTTTGTTGGTTTTGATCCAGCCCAGGGCGTCGTCGAGGATATTCCCGCCCGTACAATCGCCGTTTTTGCAAACCGCCTTCCCAGAGAGCCCGCAGGGTGTTCCATCTACAAAGTAGGATTGGAGAACGACGCACTGGGTTCCCGCCTGGCAGAACAACTGACACTGGGATTGTTGGTCCGGGCACGCGCCCGAGAGCGTGAGTGATGCCGCTGCTTCTGATTTACACTGTAGATCCCGCGAAGTGCATTGACCGTTTGCGCATTGGGCTTTTATCCCCGTTGTTGTGGTACAACTGCTCCGATCCGGTTTGAATGTATCCGTCGGACACGTCGCGTTGACACCATTACACGTTTCGGGGATGTCGCATTCCCCACTCGATGCGCGGCAGGTTGTACCGGACGGTTTGAGTTTACATGACGCGCAGCATTCGTCGTTTTTGTCGGAGCAGGTGGCGGCGGGTTTCAACTTGCAGCCGACGTCGCAGCAGGGGTCGGCGGCACAGTCGGCCGCGGTGCCGCAGTCGCATTGTTCCGAGCCTTCGCGGATGCCGTTGCCGCAGATTCCGGTTGCAATTGTTTTTAGAGCGCCTGGTTCTATGGGAGTGGAGAGGGGATATGTAAGAGATCAGTACTCATCAAACTCCTTTTCGCTGAATTTGATCTACATACCTTTGAGACATGTCCCAAATTTCGGAAACCCGCCACAAATCTGATTGATACTGCACGGCGAGAAGTTATCCGTCTTTGACGAGTCCGTGGGGTGCATTATAAACTGCCCATTACAGTTACACGTATCCGTGCACGGGCAGCAGTCACACGCTTCCGGGTCCGTGCATGGACACTGGTTCGTCGCGCCGGAACAATCATGGTACGCGCCGAAATTGTGTCCTATCTCATGCGCGACGACCTTCCACTCGATCTGGACAGCGGCCGAGACGCCTGTCCCTGATACCGACTGTTGGCCGCCAGACGAGGATTGCACCGTTGTTGTCGTTTCACAGAGGGTTTTGAGCCATGCGACGCCGACGGAGGGACCCGTGGGGCAGTTAGTCATGAGATGCCACAACCCGGCATCATCCTTCTCCTTCTGTCCCCTCCAGGCCGAGAAATCGCTCAGGCGCTGGTTGATCGAGTAACTATCGCTGCACTCGCGATTCCATTTCAGGACGGGGTCGGTGGGGGTGCATGCGTCCTGCAAAAAGACCTGGATGACACCGAGGTTGATGTTGAAGGAACGTTCGTAAACCCCCGAGGCGGTGTTCCAGTTCTCGAGGATCTGCTGGAGGGCGTTTTCCTTGCCGTTGTGGAGACGGACGTAGGTGCAGTCCGCGGCGACGGCCATGAAAAGGACTTTGCGGGCTGTCGGGCATCCTGCTGGTGCGCGTTTGGTTAGGGACCCGGCAAGGGACCGTTCGAGACGGTCGGAGATGTTGCGTTGGGCACCGAGGTTGTCCTTTGGGTTGAACGGACATGACGATTCGATTCCGCTTGTGAACCCGCCGTCCTCCCGTCTCCCTAGGGTTGACAGTTCGGGTATTTGCCCGATGGTAGCTGACTCGTCCCGATCCCGTAGCAGTATCATCCGCGCGGCACGGTGTCGTTCCTGCCGCGACGAGGAAGACGGCACCTGGATGTCGACCGAACGCCTCGTTTTGTGGTACGTCTCAATCTCCTTGACGTGGTACATCTGCCCATCGGCGACGAACGAACCGTGAAAGATCTCTTCAGATGGATCGAGTATGATCCGTGCCCACCCTACATCCCTTCTCGCACCGGTCAGCGTTTTCCCAACAACATTTCCTTTGTAGGCGTGTCGTGCCATCCGATGCAGATCGATGAAATTTGGTTCGGCGTCGCTGGCGTATTGCACGTGGGCGTCGGAGTGAAGGAGGTCTGTATTTGGCTCTAGATCTAATGTGAAGGTCTCATTTATGGCCTAGGGAATGCCACAGTTAGTCGATGTCGTTGACGGGTGGGTGGCACTCGTAAAATGGAGTCTCACCTTGAAGCTTAGTTGAAGGTTTCCAGATACTTTCTTCTTGATGGACACCTTTTCTAGAAAGTCATAGAAGCGAACGGGTGGTATCGAAGCTGAAGAGCTGTGGGCTGGAGATAGGGATTGTATGTCAGTACAACCAACAAACAACGGATGTTTCAGCGCGGACTTGCGGTCATGCCACTGCACATACCCCAGACATCGCTGACTATGAGCAGCAGGACAACAAAGTAGACGGCCAAGGCCCTTGACATCGTTGTTGATAGCCCCATCTTCGTAAACCTAGCTCAAAATTCTATCGGTGCGCGGGGCAGTAATTGGCGTTATGGCAGGTAGTTCCGCAAGCCGTTGTTGCGCTCCCGTTTCCCCACTAGCGCCGTCCCCGTTCGAAAATGATCGCTCGTCGTTGTCGTTGCCCAAGTTCCGTAAGTGCTCTCCCTTCTAGCTGATATGCGAGGTATGATACAGTGTATACAAGCGACGGAAGCCACCAAGTGGGCAGGACCGAGAGCCAGACAGGCGTCCTATGAGAGGAGGATTGGCAGTTTTGGCGGGTGCGAGGAAGGAGGTGGAGAGGTTGCGGCTGGAGAGAAGTGCCAACGACGAGGACGGGGAGTGGGTGCAAGCCCGGCTGTTGTGTTGCGTTGCGTTGTGTTGCGAGAGGAAGGCGTTGGTTTTCCCCGTACTGTAAGGGAGGAAACAGGCAGACCGACAGGCAGTTCCTACTAGTAAGTAGTTCTTGGCAGGAAGGGAGGGAGGAGGCTTTCCGAAATTGCAAGCGCGTCTCCTCTACTTTAGGAACTGTAGTATACTTAGCAGTAGTTAGTCTGGTCTTTACTGTACCTTAATAAACGGTCAGACTGCTTTAGCGCTTCTCGGAGGCGTTTGTTTAGAGCGTTGTTGATGTTGATGCAATAATCACTCCCGCCCCTTCTCAATGTTGTCGTGCGTGACACAGCCGCTTTCAGACCGGAGCAGTGTGCGGTTGGTTTCCGCTTGGTGGCGTTCGTGGGCTGTGACGGACGGCCGCTAACGTAATCGTATTATGATTGAGCTTATTGCTGCAATAAGGCCTCGTTCGAATAAATCTCCGGCGTCTCTCCTTGTTTCAGGAACTTCCGCGAGCAATTGACAGCGTGCTTGTCAAACACAAAGACCTGTCACTCTCGCCCGTTTCCTGCTCTTGCATACATACACTTGGCATTTCTCCCAAGCCCCACGTTCGTGGCATCCTTCCGTATACAAGCGACATGGCTGTTGGTTTCAACACACCACCTTCACATGCACCTCCGGGATCAGGTTGCATCGGAGCGCCCTCCCTCCCACCAGTACTACATAGACATGCATCGCCAAATTCAGGTGAGGCTTGACACATCCCAGCGAAAGTGGTAACAAAGCACGGTGAATGCCACATCAGAATGCACAACCAGTGGGCAAAGGTATGGTTGGCGGTGAGGCAATCAAGGCATCTTTGCTTCGGACTTGTCCTATCTTGGGCCTCGCAGCGATGTCCACAGGGCTCAAAGGATCAGTTACATTCATATGCGACGAGATGTGTGTTCTGCGCCGGAATGAGGACAATCCTCATCCTCGTTCTTTGACCCAAGCCCAAGTGACGCCCCGGATGGAAGGACTCCTCCACCCGGATTCCACTTCACACAATTTGCCAGGACGTGAGAGGCCGATAAGATGGATAAGCCCATGGCTCCTGATGCATGATGCCAGTTGCGGCTGACAGATGGGCGAATCTCCTGCCTGCATGGAGCATACGGGGCTGTTCATGTTGCTGGGTTCTCGCCGGAAGTTTGATGAGGTGTGAGCACGGTCGGGGAGTGGGAGTTGCCCGTTATCAGCGCGGGTGGACGCGGATGGACGCGCGGAGTCCAGAATTCAAGCCGGCACAGCGGACATCGGGCGGGACATCGGGCAGGTTTATGCACGGAGGATTTATACGCGTCGAGCGTGTAAGCCGGATCATGAGCCAATATTAAGGTAACACATGTGTCTATTATTGCAATAGCTCCGACTAATGAACGTTACTACCCCCTTTTTTGCAGCCACAATTGAGTTGAATCCTGGATCCCATTCAGGAATGGAATGGGCGGAGATCACTGTGGGATTGTGGATGGGTCTTCTTCCAGCATATGTATATGGAGTTTATGGAGTCTTCTGCGAGTCTATACATAAGCTGGAAGGTGAGATTCCCATGCCCCGCTGTACTGAGAGCTGACCACTTTCCCACAATTCGCTGACCACTTTCCCACGATTGCTTTCTTGTAATGCCTTCACGACGGGGAACAGGAATTGACCATGAAGCGTCAGCTATGCGACGAGTCGCCGTCCAATTGTTTATCGAGGTATGCTATCCACATGCTTACCTACATATGTATGCTTGTTTATATCTCTGATGTGCTCTATGTATGCATGTTTAGGTAATCGCACAGATTCTCAACATGTTCATCACGAGCCTGGCGCCGCCAAGCAGGCTTCCACTGACCATCGAGTGCTTTGTTGTGCTCTGCTGGTACTCACACGACGGCGGTGAAGCGGATGATGATCCAAATTTCACACGAACATTCCTGGAGGCAATCAGACGGTCGGACGATGATGTGCTGTGGCGCATGGCAAGAACGAAGGATGTGTGGATCGCTCATGCTTCCGCGCTGAGTTCGGTTCGATGGCCCTGCCTGAGCAACAGATGATATTCCATCTACAGCAGGAATGGGTCCGTTTGGGAATGGGAGTGCTGAACCTTTGAGGTCGCCACGGAGACCCCAAGAAGCCACCACTGGATGAAATTTCGGTCATCAGAAAGGCCCTGTTCAAGGGACCTGCGAAGATCCAGGCGGGTGTACTCAATGACTGGGCGGGCCGGACTCAAGCCATTGCTAGAACTGACATAGCACTCATTCGGGAAGGCGCAAGGTGCTTGCCAGCCATCCAAGAATTGCCCAAGCACATCACTTCCTGGACCCTGCTGGTCCAGAACGCAGTGATCCAGGACCACACCCCCACCCAGCGTCCCCGGCATTCAAGTATGTCACCACCCCGGAAGGCCCCTCGTCTGGTCAGAGAAACTGGTGGTGCAGACGGTTCGCCTCTTGCGCCCAACGAGGGTACGCCCTCTGCACTTGGTGATAATGGCGAGTATGGGAACCGTCCTCTTGCGCCCAACGAGGGTACGCCCTCTGCACTTGGCGATGATGGCAAGTATGAAGCGCCATCACGCACCGTAGCTGACTGGAACAAGGGGACCACGACCAAAATTCCGTCGGGCTGGCGCTTCCTACGGGAATCTGACGTCGTTGGACTGGCCCCGCTGGAGGTCATGAATCTAGTTCAAGGATCGATCCTGGCCCTGAAAAGGTCGGTGGATGATGGAGTTCTGGACCTGATGCTCTTTGCGGTGACCCATTCGGAGCTTTATGAGGCATATGAAGGAATTGCGCATAGTAAGTGCCACCTTGCATTTGAAATTTCCGGTGCTGTTAACCAAACGGTTAACCAGGGGGCTTGGGCTGAGGCACCCAGATTGAGACCATGATTTGGATTGTGGAACTGGCGAGCGCAGATCATGTTGATGTTGGGACATTGACTACATTGAGTGAAGCATTGAGCGAAGCAACTTTACAATCACTGACACATGTTTTCTTTGCTTTATTCACCCCTATAAATTGGGCGCTCGCCAATTACCCCACATCAACGCAACCTCCCTATATTGCCGAATATCAAGCCACACTCCCTGGATGATAGATGCGCCGACCAATCTTCCCTATGTTCCAATCCTCCCCGACGAGCCTCAGCTCGGATGCGGAATGTGTGCAGCGACTGGTCGTTGTTATGATCTGGACGACAGAGGCGGAAGCGAAGAAGAGAAGACAGAGCGAGAGCGATAGGCGACAAGAGATTGTATTGGCGAAACAAGAAACAAGGACTAGACCAGTAGATGAGAAGAACTGGTGTTGATCTGCTGGGGAGGAAGGGAATGGACGAAGAGAGGCCGGCTATTTGTAGATAGACAACCCAGCAGATCAGAGAACAACAACAACAAGAGGGGACTGGGGGGGCGCCAGCTATGCTCCTAGAGCGGGCGTGGCGAGCGTAGAGAGCATTGCTACAGCTGCTGGCTATGGAGAAGTAGTGGGGGGTGTGGAGAAGCCGGGGGGGGATTGGCGAAATGAAAGGAGAGAGGAGGAGTGGCGATATTGCGGGAGGATTGGCAAAATGAGAGGAGAGAGGGGGAGTGGCATTGACATTGGCATTGACATTGGCATTGACATTGACATTGACATTGACATTGGCGTTTGACATTGGCGGTTGACATTGGCGGCTGTCAGTAGGTAAGCTTATGGTATGGGCGCGTCGTCCATAACAAGAAGCGGCCAGTTGATTGTTCAAAACAACATGCTTCTTCTGGATATACCAGTCTTCCCATCTCACGGCCTTCGCAACCTTCCGTTTCCATGACTCCACAGAAACCTGGTCAAATCCTCGAAGCACCAGTTCCCTAACCTTCTTGAAGTTGCCCCCATCGTTGTTCTGCACCACCCAATTCTTCACATGTCCCCATGCAAGCCCAATCGGGTTCAGCTCACAGTGATAAGGGGGAAGCCAAAGAATGCGGTGTCCGTATCTCGCAGCGATGAGTTCACACTTGATGCGGGGATAGTAGCCTCTCTCGGTTGCCATAGCCTGCATCGATGCCACTGTTGCCCATTTCCATCCAAGACCTGTCTTTTTACTGATCCGCTTCAACGGGACCTGCAGCTCTTTTTCATCCATGCCATACTTCTCCTTCAACATGGTCATCAGTTCTTCCGCCTTCATGCTGTTAAGGTGGGGCTCATTCAAACCGCGGTGGTAGGAAGCGTTGTCCATCATAAAAACTGCTTTGCGCAAAAGTTTGTTGGTGCAATGATCACATAGCGCCTCAAAATATCTGTAGATGAGAAGAATCAATAATTGCATTGTGTATGTGTGTATCGTGTCATACCTTTCAAAATTCTCACAGTTCATGTTGTCATGGTAATCTCCTTGTGACTGAGTGGCGGCAAAGACAACGGGTTCGCCAACCCACCCATCAGGCCCTCCCGCATGCACAATGATGAGTCTTGGTCCTTTGTTCCCTCTCTTCACTATCGTAGTTGCGTCCACCAACCACGTCTTCCGCTGGACATGGTGCTGATTGCAGTATGTTTCATCTAGCCACACCTCCATCTCGCCAGTCAGATTGGTACGCATCTCCATCCTCGCTCGCAAATACTCTGAGCGCTTACGGTGAATCTCGAGGGTTTCAGTGTATGACTGACCGGCCGAAGCGTTGGCCCAGCTAAAGCCAAGCCCTTTAAGGATACGGTTGATAGACCTTGTCGATATGTTGACCTTCCACAGCTCAACCATATGCTGGCGCACAATGTTCGATGAGACTGGGGAGCCTCCAGCGTTGAGAGTATGAACCAGCTCTCGGATATCAATTTTCATGGCACGGTGGTTCAGTCGGAGACGTTCGTACTTTCCCCTCTTGTCAACGGACTTCTCAAAGGTTTGGGTTTCACGGTACTCCTTCCAAAGCGCTGTGACGGTATTGTTGCTAACTCCACAGGCCTCTGCCGTTCTGCCACGTGCGTCAAGTGCAGCTGGGTTGCCGGGATAGTTGTCTGCGTGAAGGTAAAGGAATCTCGCCATTCTGACAACCATATATTTTTCCTCTATGATCAAGGGCTTCCCACGAGGGCGAGAGGGAACAGGAGGGAACAGGTGTTGCGGGTTGGCAGTGTTGCTGAATCTAGGTGAGCGGCGCAGCGGAGTTGACTGGGTGGCCGGTGCAGACGTTGCGGGTGGCCTGGTGGGAGGTGTTGAGGGTGGGGCACCACGCCTAGTCCAGCCCAGGGAGGCCGTTAGGTTAGGCACACTCAAGAGACGCGTGCGGTGGTCCCGGAGGTCTCCCTGTGCTGTGGGGAGTCAGTTTGGGACTCGGCAATTCTACAATGGCGCAATGGCAAGCAGAATGTCGCCGGTCGGGGTCGGAGTGAGGAAAAGGGGTGTGTCGCGCGACTCTCTCGTGAATCTGCGGGCGTTTCTGTGCGCGCATACGCACTGTCAGGTTGCGCTAACTAGATATGGTGTCGTGATCTATAACTCCCCCCCCCCCCCCCCCCCCCCCCCCCCCCACAAAAGGCCGCACGCCGCAAGCTTGAAAGCAGCGGCCCCAACCTCAAAGGTCATCGCTCTCGCACCAGCACACCCGTCAGACGTACTCCACCTACAGTACAGTACATACACCGCTCCAAGGTGTCGGACTTTGGCCCACGAGCATCGAACCCTGGCTCTCTAAAGTCCCTCACTAACGAACCCCCGCCAGGCAGCCTCCCAACATGTCCGCCCAACCCCTCCAACCCGGCCAATTCGTCACCCGAAACGGCGCCGAGCTCTACGACCCTACCACCAAAACCCCCCTCCGGTGGGTCTCCTTCAACACACCAACCCTCCACTTTATCGACGACCCCTCCTTCCTCGTCCCCACCACTTATGAGCAGGAAGACCTCGCGCGGTCCGTCTCCCTATTGGGCGGGCGGGTTGTTCGCTTGTACACGCTGGGGGTGCAGGGTAGAGGAGACGCGGCGTGGGATAAGGGCAATTTCCCTGGCCCAATGAAACATGTGATCAAGAGAAGGACTAAGAGTACGGCGCCGGCGGGGCAGCTGTTTGAGTTGAACGAGATTGTTATGCGGGGGTTGGACAATGCTGTCGCGGCTGCCGAAAGGAGTGGGATAAGGATTATTTTCCCGTTTTTGGATAACTGGGAATGGTGGGGCGGATACCCGCAATTCACGTACCTCATCAACGACAGTGCGGCGCCGGCGACCTTCTTCACGGATCCGACCATCATCACCAACTACAAGACCCTCATCCGTCTGGTCCTCACCCGCAACAACACCATCACCGGCCGACTCTACTCCGACGAACCCGCCATCCTCGCCTGGGAAACAGGCAACGAGCTGGAATACAACAACGGCCGCGTGCCCACATCCTGGACCAGCGATATTGCCGCCCACATCAAATCCATCGACAAAAACCACCTTGTAGCTGACGGCTCGTGGAAGCACGGCTGGGACGACTCAGCCCTCGCCGACCCCAACATCGACCTCTACTCCAACCACTACTACCCTCAATTCGAGCTCCCCAAATCCGAATGGATCGGCGTTGGCGTCCTCGCAGCGGTCATGGGCATCGCCTTCATGGTAATGTGCTTCACAATCTGCTTCTCCAAACGCGTCTCCTGGATTCGCATCCCGACCGACTACGAAAACATCAAACGCGAGTCCAAGAAACGTAAGCTCCTCACCCTTGCCATCGCCCTCTTCGTCCTCGCCGGAGCAGCAGGCGGGATCGGCGCCATCGTCGGCCACCGCATGACCGTCCCCCTCTACGCCGACCGCGCCTCCTCGGACGCCGCCACAGTATCCGCCCACGACAAAGCCTTCTTCGCAGGCGAATTCGGCCTCGCGTCCTCCAAAGCCATGCAAGGCCTCATCGACAACCACCTCGCCCGCTCCTCAAAAGGTTTCGCTGGCGCGATGGTCTGGTCCCTCCGCGGCCACGCGCGCGGGGGAGGGTTCAACACACACGCGGAGGACCACGGATACCAAGCGTACCACTACCCCGGCTTCACCACCTTCGGCGACGACGAGAAAACTATCCTGGCGGCCGTCACAAAGGGCGCCAGAGAAGCCGCCGCTCAGACAGGCTACACCATCCCCTCCCCAGCCCTCCCGATCCCCCCAACCCTCCTCCCCATCACGAACACCACCTTCTTCCGCTGGCAAGGCTCCTACGGCGCATACAACTACGATCTGGAACGCGCCGATGGGGCGAATGCGACTGCCGCTGCGGCATGGACGATTGTGGGTGGGGGGTTGAGTGATGCGATTAATACGAATAGCACCGCGACGATGTTCACGGAGACGACGGCGCAGAATGGGAAGGCGTATTCGTACCGCGTGAGGGCGAGGAATGAGGTTGGGGTTGGGGAGCCGAGTAATGTTGTGAGTTTCACTGCTTGAACGAGACAATGAAAGACTTGGAGAATATAGACTGGACAATGCAGATTCCATCCCTCGGTTCTCCTTTCTGGCGTATTTATTTCAGTGCTGCGTAGACAATACCCTCCTCGGCTTTGTCTGGGGACGCTTTTGTGTTTTTGTTTGAGGTCTTATGTACTCTATGTGTGTCCATTTTCTCTCATGATATATAACAATGTCATCAAAGGATACCAGCGCGAACCGGTCCTTCCATCCACCTCCTGGTGGACCATCGATAATTCTTTCATAAACAACACGCCGTGAAAAACATCATTACGCAGGTTCATGCGTAGGCATCGGCACCTCAACCCCATGCGTCGGCACGCTCACCCCCGCCGCCTCCCCACCCTCCTCCTCCAACCACGCCTGATACCTCTCCCACAAAACCCCCACCTCCACGCCCGTCCACCCCCTCACCGTCTCCTCCGCGGGCCTCCTCGTCAACTCCCCCACCAACCCCTCCCACTTCCCCTCACACCAATCCAAAAAGTACCCACTCCGCTCATACCCATCGGCCCAATTCCCCCCGACCCCCCTCCGCCAATGGCGCGCGGCCAGCCCCCCGCGCAGCCGCACGTAGTCAGCAACCCCCTCGACGATCCAGTGCGGCGCGGGAGCGGCGACGTAGCATTGCCAGACATGTGTGAGCTCATGGAGGAGGACGCCGAGTATTTCATGCGTCGTCGCTTTCACGTCCGAGGCGTTGGTGGCGTGCACGCTCTGGATGTACGTGCTGCTGAGATGGATCTCGGAGGTGATTGTTCCCGAGGGCGGAATGGCGTCCGAGGGCGGGGGCGTGTCGGTGCATGTGGTGTGGGAATGGGTGGTATGCGCGATCCCCTCGAACGGGCGCACATGCAGGCTGATCGACGCGAGGGGCGGGAGGGTTGTGGAGGATGCGGCGGGGTAGATGAGGGCGATTGCGCGGAGGGAGAGGGTGAGGAGGAGGTCGGTGGGGATGGGGATGGATTTGGAGAAGAGGGTGGTACCCGGGTGGTGGGTGAGGTGGACTGTTACGGGGGGGAGGCGGATTGGGAGGGGGAGGACGGTTGGGGTTGGGGTTGGGGTGGGGGCGGATGGATGATGCGAGGTTGGGGAGGTCATCTTGGCGGGGTGGCGATGTGTAAACCGAGAGGATTTCGACCGACTTGATATCCAATGTGCTGTGCGACGCTGATGGTGATGTTCAGAGTGTTACAGTGGGAAGGAGGGCAGAGTTGCGTTGCTTTTTGCTTACCGCATAGGCGGTCGGGAAAAAGGAGAAGGTTTCCCCCCTTTTTGCTGTGCCCAGGGGTCTTGGGCGGCACTCACGGTCCCTGGGTGCCCATTAGAGGCCGGATAGACGTACTGTACGCTCGTCCGTTGTGCACACAGCTCTCCCGTCTTGGGTTCTCCCAGTCCAGCGAATACGTACATGATGGGCGCAAAAGTAAAACTCCTCGTAGAACACAGCCGGTCCCTGCTCGCACTCCACCACGCGTTCGCCAGAGGCGCATTCCCGTCCTCCTCCTCCTCCTCCAAATCCACAACAACACTCAACGATGGAGTCAACCTCGACGTCTCGCGCCCCGTCGTCCGGCCCGAGGAGGAGATATTGGAGGAGTATTGGGAACGCGAGGGGATTGTGGATGAGGCGGATAGGATATTCATGAAGGAGGTATTGAATGGGTGTGTGCGGCATCGGAAGGTTTTGGAGGTGGGTGACGGTTGGGGGAGGGGGGGGGGGGGGGGGGAGGGCATGCGGATGCGATTGGGGAAGTGGGGTGACAACTGGGTACTGAACGAGGGCATTTCCGACTTTCGACATTAGGTGGCTCTGAAGATGTTCTACGCGGCGATGGAGGAACGGTTATTGAGGAATGAATACAACCTGTATGCAGGTATGCAACTCAACATGCACGGAGGGCCACATCATATTCCTTTCACTGATATAGCGCTTTTGAAATCCACCCAGTTCTCTTCTATCTGACACTCTTCCGCCTCAGCGACCTAAGTTTCCCCAAACTCCGAAGCATCCTCCTCAGCTACCCCCCCACCCAATCCGCGCCGTTCGTCCGATTCGTCTTCGACGCCCAGCGGCTAACCGGCGACCTCCAGAAACGGTGGAACGCCATCCTCGACGCCGAATGGGTGAAGGAGAACATCATCAACCCCGTCCTGTCATGTGTCGATCTAGGCCACGCGCTGATCACCGAGCTAGAGGAGCGCGGCGCGAAAGGCATGGTGCTGAAAAAGACGTCCAAGGCCCCAACCGAATCCCACCCTTTCCTCCTCACCAAACCCAAACCGCGGCGCATCCCCTCCCCGACCGACATCACCACCAACGTCCCGAAAGCACGCGCTGTGCCCAAGTCTGTGTACGACGGCACCGGCGACTTTGAGGCCCTCGAACGCACGAAAGCCGAGAACCGCGAACGCGCCCTGCAGGCCTACGCGAAGGCCGAGACGCAACAATTCGCGGTCGTCACCCGCACCCCGCCCGTGCCTACCCGCGCGCAGACCCCGCCGTCGCCGCCCCGGCCGCGCTTGCATAAACCCGTGCCGGCGAACCTGAGGGACGCGGTGCCGATCAAGCTTACCACGGCTGCGATTTTGAGGGAGGATGCGTTGGTGAGACGGCATCGGAGGGAGGAGGAGGTGTGGTTGAGTGAGGTCGAGATGGGATTGAGGGATGGCGGGGAGTTTAGGGAGTGGGAGAATGAGGCGAAGATGAGAGGTGGGTTTTTGCGTTTTCTTATTCCCCCCCGCGTTTGTCCCAGCGGGATCTGCAATTTGCAATGGCTGATCAGTACGAACGCATGGATGGTGCAGAGGAAGAAGACCGAAAACTCGAGCAAGAAAAACGAAAGCTGGAGATCCAGCTCATGCGCGAAGAAGCATACATCGCCAAACAAGATCTGCTCAAAGAAAACAGGTGAGCCCCGCAAAATTCCGAACCTCGAACACCCGCCTTCAATCTTCCAGTATACTGATCGAATCGGTGCGTCTCAGGGAACGAGCGCAAGACCTAATGGCAGAACGCGAAACCCTCCGCGCCACCGCCCAAGCCTCCCGCAAAGAACTCGAAGAAGAAAACCGCAAAAAAGTAGAGGAGATCCAGGGGATGCAGGAGGATATCCAAAAGGCCAAGAAGAAAGTCATGGACGATAACCTGCGCAAAGGTAAACCAAACAAAAAAAAAACACAAGCACATATCGGAAATACATATCCCCATTCCGCTGAGTGTTTTCTGAATATTCTTTCCTCCCACAGCCGCGGACATAACCCACCAAACCGCGCACCTCCGCACGCTTGCCCTCAAAGCGCAGGAAGAAGAACTCGCCCGCAAATCCCTCCTGATCGCACAGATCCGGCAACTCGAGCGCAGCATCCCCTCCGTCGGGTCCATCGTCAAATTCGTCGACCCGACCGAAACGTCCCACGTCGGTCTCCTCTCAGAAATGTCTGTCACGGAACTGCAGGAACGGTTGCTGGTTACGAAACAGGCGAAGGAGGAGGAGGAGGAACGGAGACGGGAGGAGATTGGCGAGGAGAGGAGGGTTAGGGTGGCTTTGATTAGGGGGAAGTTGGAGGATATTGAACGGGAGAGGGGGGAGAGGAGACGGCGGAGGAGGGAGGCGGGGCGGAGGGGTGAGGGGGGCGAGGAGTCGGCGCTTGTTACGTCGACGTCGGCTGCGGAGTCGGTTTATAGTTATAAAGCGACGACGACGACAGCGACGTCATCAGCAACGACAACGCATAAACAGACTTCAGAGACACGGGAACTGAAACACCTCCGCGACAAACTACACCAGAAGCGCGCCGCACGCCTCGCTCAGCCTCCACCACTCCCCGCGGGCCGTTCGCTCAGTGCAAAGGGCACGGGACATGCGGTCCCGGACGTCGCGGCGTCGTCGGAGTGGATCGAGCTAGATATCGCCGAGAGGGAGTATCGTGCCCAGCGTGGGTTTAGGAAGGGGACTTCGGGGAGTAGTGGGACGGTGGGCTGGGAGGCGGGGGAGGTTGGGGCCTAATTGGGGATCGTTGCAATTTTTGGGGAAGGGTTATCCTTTTGTCTTTTTTGGATTATTGTTGTGATAGCATGAGTGGAAAGTGGATTGGAGGCAGGCATCAATGAGATTCATTCACCCCCACATTACAAAACACAGCCTAATTTCTAGAACGAAGGGAGACGAAGTTCTATTCTATAGAAAGCTTACTTATAGACATACGCATGCGGAAATACCTCCTCACCGCCTCGCCCGTCCCAAAAAGCCCAATATCGCGCCCAGGATAAGCACCACGACGCGGTTCCGCGGCATCATGCGCATCATGTACAGGAGGGATCCGCGGTCTGCTGTTAATCTCCCCTGCCCTACTGACGCTGCTGCTGCAACTGAGCGTGGCGGTCCAGGGGTTACTGTCGAGTCGACGGGTTTGGGTCGGTGTGTAAGTGTTGTTGATTGGGGTGCGGATTCGGATGGTTGTTGATTAGTGACAGGGAGCTGGATTTTGGATAGGGTGGGTTTGCGTGGGGGTTTTGGAGAGGATTTGAGTTCGTTCGAGGGGAGTGTCATGCGTTCGGAGGGTGGCAGGGAACGATAGGACTGCGATAACAAAACACACATGACGAGGTTAGAGACCATTCAGACCGCACACACCCCTAGTGCAGAATTCGCAACCCACCTCAACAATAGCCCCAATAAACTCCCCAATCGGCCTCTGATGCCATCTACTCGTCCTAAACCACCCCTCAAACCACCCAATATGCCCACCCCTTTTCGTCGTCGCCATAATACAGTGCGGGTTCTCATACACTTCAAAGTACGGCAACACCTCCGGCGGGCTAATCGGGTCGTCCAACGCAGTCAGGACCAAAAACGGCACGCGGATATCGGGTATATACTGCGCAGACGACGCTTTACGGTAATACTCATGCACGGTGCGGTACTTGAACATGACGCGGGTGAGGAGGTTGTCGAATTCGTATAAATACCGCGCTTTGAGGAGTTTGCCGGCATCGAAGATGTCGGTTCCCGAGAGTTTCGAGGAGTGCTTTTTAAAGACGCGGATGAGGTTTTGGGTGAGGGCTTTGGAGTAGAGGTTGCGGCCGAGCCAGGTGCGGTGGAGGGCGCGGGAGGAGCCGAGGAGGTCGAAGGGGTTGCTGACGGAGACGGCGCCGAGGAAGGGGCATTTGTCGCCTAGTTCGCCGACAAGCTGGGTTGGATGAAGGTGGTGTGTTAGTTTTGGGATGTGTGATGTGGATGAGGAGAGGGGATGGTTCGCTCCGCTCGCTTGGATGGTTGAATGGTTGAACGATACCCTGCTCGCTCCGTTCGCGACAAGGAGGTTAAGGTGGGTGGGTGAGGGGAGTATCGCGCCCCTTTGGCGCAATGGGGTGCTCGCTTCGCTTGCCAAAAATCTGACGCTCGCTGAGGCTCGCTAAGAGCCGTGATTAGGGGTATTTCGCCTTTGGCGCAACAGAACTCCTTCGCTCGCGCTCCCTGGCGTTCACCGCCCGCTTCGCTCGCAAAAGCCTTCGCTCTGGTCGTCCTCGCTGACACTCGAACTATTCCCATACCTTAGTGAGAACATTCGCCCCAAGAGAAAATCCAACCGCAAACAACGGCGCCCTCGGGTACTTTCTTCTAATGTGCTCGACCGCTAACCTCGCATCATCCGTATAGGCCCCACAATAAAGTTGCGCGGACGTCAGCTCCGTATCCGCACACCCCCTAAAATTACACACCACACTCCTATAACCCCTCCCCCCAACCTCATGCACCACATCCTGGACATACGACTCATGCGACCCGCCCGTCAGTCCATGCAGCACCACCACTATCGGGGTCTCCGGGTCACTTTTCTGCTGTTCCGTCAACGTCGCATCATGCGAGTCGAGCGCGACATTTCCGCCGTCGGCGAAATAGATGAGTTCGCGAGTGTAGGCCACTTTGTTCCCCGCGTAGTCGGCATACAGCGAGGCGTAACAGGTCTGCAGGTGCCCGTTGAAGAGGAACCAGATGGGTTTAAAGACGTTTGTGCGGTTTTGGGAAGAGTAGAGGGTTGGGCAGGAGGTGCGGACGAGGTTGAGGAGGGAGATGCGCTCGACCCGGGATTCGCCGGGTATCTGAGCCCCATCGCTGGTGCTTGGGCGGCGGCCGCGGCGGATGCCGACTGAGCGGGGGCCGTAGTGGAGCTCGACGCGGTCGTTGGAGAAGAGTTTTGCCCAGAAGTATTGGGCGAGCCAGAGGATGAAGGTGGTGATGACGGCGGTGGTGAGGAGAATATGTTGTGGGGATTTTGTGGCGAGTTGGTGCCTGACTACAAAGTCCGGCGGTAGTGTTGATAGGAGTTGTGAAGCGAACCTCGTTGGCCCTTCTCGAAAGAGGTTTGGCTGGTCGCCCATCGAAGCGTTGGAGACTGCAGCCGACATGAGGTGCAGTGGTGACTTTGAAACTGAATATGAGAATGCCTGTACCGCTCGCAGCCTCGTCTGATAGCGCTGCAGCCTGCCGTTGTGCCTGATATAGTATTGGCTGGAGGAGCGACTTTTCCGCCGGCTGAACGTGGGCCCCTTCTTGCAGCAGCGGGAGCGGAGGGCGGGGTGTGCGTCCGCCAGAAACGAGAGGATCATTTTAGCACCGGCCAGGAGGAGCATACGGTAGCATGTCATGGCAGTAATACGCGCTTCGGATGCGCGCGCAGTCGAGAAAACAAAAGGCCGCGGCTAAATGCAATCGCATAACCCTGGCAACATCTTAGACTCGAGGACATACGTAGTAATGATCATGGGGAAAACACATACTGTACTTCAGGAAAGTTTATATCGTCCCACCCAACAACAACAATGAACAGCGACTATCATATAGACTGTCGCAGCAGTCCCCATCCCAAAATCCGACCAAAAACAACTAGTCACACAAAAAGGGGTTTCGAAAAGCATCATCACAAGCCAACTGGAAAGCAAGCGAACGCGTGGAGAGTACCCAATCTCATTTGGGGAACTCAAACTCCACCAACTCTTCATGGTCATACTCATCGCCCGTCCCGTACGGGCTCACCGAACGGTCGCTAGTGACGAGATCCGCATCCGACTAATGGGAAAACGACCAACAGGTTACAAAAAGCCCGCCTCAATCACTCAAATCTTCGCTCACCCGTTCACAAAACTCACCGGAAACCCAGTCCTCCCCCTATCCACAACAACCGTCTCCTTCTTACCCTGCTCTTTCCCCACCGTCTCCTCCCTCTCCCCACCCCTCCCCTTCTTCGCATCACTCTTAAACCGTCCACCACTCCTCAACAAGAAATCCTCCGCATCCACATCCAGCCCGCCATGTCGCTCCTCATCGTCCTCGTCCTCGTTATACATCATGTCCCTGTCATCGTCATCAGAGTCCGACCCGAGGATGTCGTTGATGTTGAGGTCTTCGCTGATGTCTTCGATTTCGGTCGCGTGGTCAAAGGCGGCGCTCGTGGCGGTGGCAGGGGGCGGAGGTGGGTATTGAACTGTTGATGTGGTGGGTTTGGGAAGTGGGTCGGAGGATTGTTTGGACAGAGAAGGGAGTGGAGCGAGGGGTTGCAGGCGGGACGTAGGGTTAGGGCTCGGGAAGGGCGGCGAAAGCTGTTTCGCCAGAGTCGGGTTCGGATCGGGAATAGCAGGTGGTGCTCCACGTTGGGCGGCTGTCTCTTCCCTGCCTACTACTTGAGCATCCATCTCGAACGACTCATCCTCATAGTTATCGGGGTTTGTGGCCGTGGTCGCCGCCACCCTCGTCATTACCGGAGCCGGGGCAGGAGGCGGCAGCGGCAACTGCTTCGTGGGAGGTGGGCCCGACGGCGTGGGTGAGGGATGCTGCGTCGCGGCCACACTCGCCGTCGTGGGAGGCGGAGTGACGGAATTCTTCGGCGACATCGTCTCGGCAGCTTTGGCGGCGGCAGTAGCATTGGTGCTATTCAACTCCAGTAAACGGTAAAGCGCCGGTTTGCCGTTGCGTGCGGTGGTGGGGTTGGAAAGACCTAGCGACTTTAGCGTTTGCTTCTCCTCGTTGAGTTCGTCGAGATCTCGGCCCTGTTTATCCGGGAAAAGCAATGTTTGTGTTAGCTTGAAGATGGGAAATACGATGTGTACGCTTCGAGGCACTTACGATATCAATCTCCGGATCAAACACAGCCAAAGTTGAATGCAAATCCAGCGCCTTGAGCAGATCCCGAACTAAGTAAAGTGCTGTCCGACCTACGAAATCGATCAAGACGAAAGACCGTCAATCATCATTCCCACTGTGCGAGAGTTCATTCGGCGGCACCCACCTTCCTTAGTCCTCCACATCAACTCCATCTTCCCATTCTTAAACGGCACAGTGTCATTCACATGGTCGGGGTCGTGAAGGATCGAGAAGACTGTTTGGCGTAATTGGGCCTATGCGCGGTATCAGAAGTGAGTCCGCAATCGCCATCTCGAAACCCCATCCCTGTCGGACATCACGCGAAATCTATCCCCATCTCATCCCTCAACACAACTCCCCGCCTCCCGTCTCCCCTCCCTCGCACCCAACATACCTTCAAACTCCCCAACACACCCCTCTTCCTCAACACATCGGTCACAAGCAGTTTAAGATCGTTGGTGGGCGGTAGGGGGTCGCCGGGCTGCGGCGACTGCGAGTTTGAGGAGGAGGTAGGCGAGGTGGGTGAGATGGGTTGGGCTTGCGTTTGGGGGGCGGGTGTCGCGGATGACATTATTATTGAGGTTGCTGAGGGGTGGGTAGGTTGTTGTTGTGGGATGGGGGTAAAGAAGCAAGCTTCAAGACTGGAAAGTCTGGGAGGACTCTGGGGAGGACTTTGAAAGACGTGAACGCGTTGGGCGGACTCGTTTGACTCCAGGTTGGCTCTGCCAAATTCCCTGACGAGCACATCAAAGTCGCCCCACTGTCCCGCCTGTCGCGATATTCCTCCCCACCAATAACCCACGGGGATTGAAGAGGCCCGGGTAAGAGTAAAGCTGTTGAGCTCCGAAGGCGTGCCGAATATAGCGGGATGGCAAACTTCTGTCTTTTGCTTGGTTGCTGCAGTTGGCATCTGAAGGCTACTCGAGGCTTGGTCGCACTCCTCCAGCGTCCTCCAGCGTAGATAAGATGCGGCAGTTCATATGTGCGCCAACCGCTCTGAAGACGAAGACGGCACGGTAACAGCAACGCCGACTCTGGGTGGTTCAATGATGACTTTTCTGACTGCCGAGAGCAGAGTGACGAGGAGGCGGAAGCGGCAGCCATGGGTGAAGGATTTGGAGGAAGGACGGGAACCATATGAATCGAAAAAGATGTTTTTGGCTGTGACGCTGCTAAACTGTTTCATGATCTCGACGAGGGGCATTGGGCACCCAATCCACTAAAACTGAAAGCACGCGGCACCGCGGTCATCGTCGTTCCCATCGTCCCGTTCTGCGACGACGTATCGGCCAACAAAAGCAAGCGATATGGGCCGCACGAATCTTGGTATTTTCAGCTCGCAGGATGGCCATTTCAACAGCAGCAAGAGACCTTCAATATCCAATTCATCTGTACCTCAAACACTATGAACGGTCTGACCGGAGTAGACATGGGCGATGCATTGGCAGACGAACTGACCCGTCTTGCTGATGGGGTATTAGCATGGGACTCAAGCCGGCATGAGGAGGTTCTTGTCATCGCTCCCGTGTTGGCTATTGTCGGCGACCTGCAAGATGTTCTGCGTGTCATCAACTCTTATCTGGGCTGTCCGACCGAGATCTCGCGCGAGCGCCGGATGGTCCGTCTTCGCTCATGGGTGCAAAACATCCGGACCAGCGCGTATAGGTCCGCATAGCACTGGAAGAATCCCAAGCATCAGATGTTCGGTCGCGGAAAGATTAAATGGCACAGTTTCTCGTGTGCAAAGAGCCGGACGGATGGGTAATCGATGTCAACCTGCAAATTCCAGCCTCCGCCCGACTAATTCCCAAGCCTCTGTCGCGGAGCCAGTCGACACGGTTTTTATCCATGGTACGACGTACCATTGTTTCGCGGGTCGGTCTGAGATCACTCAACGGAGAAACCGTGACTTGGGAGACGCATATGGGAATGTTTGGGCAGGTGCGGAGGAAAGGGTCGAGTGGAAGGAAGTTCCGAGAACCTTCATATCCCTGCAATTCTCCGACGGGTTCTGAGTCCAAGCCTTCCAGAAAGCAAATCGGGAGGCAGGGCTGGGAAGCCGTATCCTGACGAGATATATTATGTTCCTCCAGCCAGCGTTCAATATCATTAGATGGAGACCTTTCCCCTTCGCATCACAGCATCCACCCAATACTCTGAACATGATGGATGTGTAATTGGGAAATCCCTCTTTCCTCATCATCACTCACGACAATGATTCTTTGGATAGCTATCTAGAGAAAAAATCACTTGTTTGTGATTTTACCACCGGCAACGGGATGGGATGCATGGGATGTGCGCGGGGGAGCGGAATCGGGAGCGTCACGCGTTCCCGTCAATAATGTCAAAAAGTGGTTTCACACATTTTCCAACCTCAGGCAGCTGGATGCAACCCGCTTGCAGACCACTACTATTAAAATGGAAAACCTTGGTGTGATCCATCTGAGCTAACACTGATTCTATTTTCATGGACCTACGAAGCGCAAATCAAATGCCTGCAGCGGCAGCTACGGACCTTCGTCTGTTCGCCCCACTCCCCGATGAGATCCTCCACCTCTCCGAATCCGAGACTGCTTGCCAATACTGTGGAATCTCGTATCTCCTACTGTCGAAATATGAGCGAATGTTAGAGCATGTAAGAGGCTTGGAAAAGCATTTGTCAGGGCTTCAGGTGGGTTCACTCCTTATATTCTGGGAGTTGATACCGTCTTCTGATGCCCGCATGTAATCAAGTAGGAGTACGCCAAAGAGCGACCGAAGATGCTGGAGGACCTCAACCTGCTAAGAATGTCTGCAGGGGAGCTTCAAGGCAAAACTAAAGTGTTGGAGGGCGAGCTTGCAAGGACACGGCAGCAAGCCCGGGACTCATCCACGGAGTTGGAGGCCCTCCGCCAGAAATACGAGTCGGCATCTTTGGATTTGCGAGCGGCGTCCCAGAGGCATCAGGCGGAGAAAGATTACAATCGGACATATGTCAACAGACTTGTGGGCTTGTTGACTGATATCCGGTCCGAGTTGCTCCAGCATAAACGCGGTGTTGTCGAAGCTAAGGCTGAGCTTCGAGACAGGTAAAAGGGAAAGATTGCCATAATGCATGATACACACCGTACTGATTTCATCTGCCCGGCTCAGTTACTCGAAGTTGATTCGTGACACGATTCCGGCCGTGCAGCACATCATCTCCGAACAGGTATCGCAGTATGTTAACCGACAACGAGCAGAGGTGGAGCAACGGCTGCATCGGGAGTCGGAGAAGGAGCGCGACTCCTTAACCGAGCAGCTGAGATCTGCCAAAGAGCAACTGGATATAGCGTAGGACACGGTCAACAAGTCTTCAACCTGGATCGGCTGCTCATCGACTTCTTGTCGTATTAGAAATGAACGGATATCCAAGCTGCAGCATGATCTCCAGCAGCATAAGATGGAATCGGAGGAACATGTCATTGCCCAAAAAAGTAAGAGTGGGTCGAGAGCGATGATGAAGGCCAAAGCAAGTAAAGTGGATCTTACGCCGCTTAGACTACGCTCAGGGGCTGCAATCAACCTGTCTGAAACTGGACGACCAATTGCATGCTGCCAGAACGATGTTCACTGTGAGTAGAACATGTTCGCATTGGATGTGATGCTGGGTGACCCCTTCGTCGCTCATTTTGTTGCTCCAATCGCAGAACCTGACACACGAGCGAGATAAGCTGGCCGTACGGCATCGCAACCTAGAAATGCGGATCATAGAAGAACGCCAAGCAAAGCATCAGAACTCCGCAGGGCTCCGAGACCAAATTGCGCTGTTGGAAGCCAAGCTCGAGCAGAAAACGGTGGGTTGGACAATAGCGGACCGATTGGAGAAGAGATAGCAAGGATGCTGATGATCTTGAGATGGCAGAAGGAGCTAAGCGACATTTCCGAGAGACAGCAATCGGAGCGTCGCAACTCTCAAGATGGTGTCAATGCGTTGGCAAATGCGAACAGGGCGCTGGCTCAGAAAGACGTAAGAACAACATCATTCATCTCTCGTTTTGCCTCTTGCTAACACAGAATATAGGAGCAAATCCACTCCTTGGAAAGGGGCATACGAGAGCTCCACGGAGCAACGCAATCCATGCGGCTCGACCGGCAGAGGACGATCGAAGCGCACCAGAGTCGCATAAAACAGCTCCAAGACAAGTTTCTGGAGGAGATCACTATAGCGGGGAAGCTAGAGGTGGGTCGCTGAATTGTCCGTGCGGGCTTCGGATGTGCCCGGGTACTGATTTGAATGCCCTTTTCCATTGTAGGCAGATAAGCGAGAAGCGGAATTGCGGAGGATCTTCGCTGTGGACAAGGACGATGCTCTGCAGTTTCAGAGAGACACAATAACAATGGCATGTTTCCTTGATGCGATGCGATTTACGCGGACAATAGCTAACGCCGCGGACTACAGGAGATGAACTCGCGCATAGACGAGCTCAATCGCCAAGTAGAAGCGCTCAAACAAGCGAAAGACCAAACGGACATGCGAGCACTCCGACAAGTACGCTCCGTGGAGGAAACCTGGGAAAGGAAGCACGCGGTGGCAATCGAACAGCTCAACAAGCTGATAGCATCGAACGCCGCAGACTTTGCCCACTATCAGGCCCGCATCCGCGCACTCGAGGAGCAGCTTGCACAGGCCTCCACCACACAAAGAGTGTCTTCTGCAGGCCCGCCAGTTGATCCCGCACAAATCGCAGAACTGAAATCACTACTGACGAAAAGGGAAGCGGAGATCGGCTTTCTGAAGGATACTGTCCGTTTGGAATGCGAAGAAAGGATGGGATTGGTGGCGGAGCTGGACCTCATCAAAAGACGGACGCCGGCCCCCGCCACCCTCTCTCGCAACCCGAGCCGAAACGGTGGCATTCAGCAAAGTGATTCTACATCGGCCAGCCCGGTCTCCAGAACATCGTCAACAAAATCTATGCCGCAGATTCCGCCAGCGCGTGAGCCATTGGAGCCCGGTGAACAGACGTTTCACAACCTGATGAAGGCTGCTGCGGCTAAGAAAAACAAGATGCTGTCCGCTAGGTCAAATATGGAGCTCAATACCAAGGGCGGGATGGGACTGCCAAGGTCGTCGTCAACGAGATCAAGCTGGAGTACCGGGAGTGGACGCTTCAAATAAGGAGTTTATTCTCGCTTCTCGTACTCTGTACATACTGTAACTTTGGCCACATTCTTACAGGAGTAATTATTGAGGACGACGCTGTATATATGTGTTGGCGAGCCCGACACCACCCATCCTTGGGCTCAATGTCCTGCTGCTTGTGAATTTCTGAACTCTGATGCGTCTTCGAAAGTCAACACGAAACTAACGCGTCGAGATGGCACGTGACTTCAAATTCAAATCGCCTTCGTCCTGCTGCGCAGAACCCTCAGTAAATTGTCCAAGTCCAAAAGACCTCACCTTCACAGCAAGCTCCTACACCCCCCACACACGCCAAAATGAAGATCCAGGAAGTACAAAGCACAACGAAGGAGCAAAGGTTGGTATTGGGTATATGAGCGTAGGCATTCTCATAGCGGGATTAGCTGTGTCTGCTTTGTGTTCGCACACGCTTTCATTTAGCGACTGCTAAACCCCTCCCCTGAACAGAATTGCAACCCATTCCCACATTAAAGGATTGGGACTGAAAGAGGATGGGACAGCGGAACCAGTGTCTGCCGGATTCGTTGGGCAAGAAAATGCTCGGGAGGTGCGTCCTTCACTACTTCACTTAACTGCCCTCGCTCGTCCGGTGGTGCTGATCTACGAGGGTAAATGTTTACAGGCGGCAGGGATCGTGGTAGACCTTATCAAATCGAAAAAGATGGCGGGGCGTGCGGTGCTGCTCGCGGGAGCACCAGGAACAGGAAAGACGGCGATGGCGCTCGCACTGTCGCAGGAACTGGGGTCCAAAGTCCCGTTCTGTCCGATGGTTGGAAGCGAGGTTTACTCGTCGGAGGTGAAGAAGACTGAGGTGCTCATGGAGAACTTCAGGAGGGCAATCGGTATGAAAGACTGGGATCTTCGGGCTGGTTTGTAAAGGTGCCTATGTGGTGGACACTGACGCGCGGCAATGCAGGGCTTCGCATTAAGGAAGTGAAGGAGGTTTACGAAGGGGAGATAACAGAGCTGACGCCCGAGGAGACGGAAAACCCACTGGGAGGCTATGGAAAGACGATTTCCCATGTCATCATTGGGTTAAAGACGGTCAAGGGGACCAAGCAGCTGAAGTTGGACCCGGTCATCTACGAGAGCATACAGAAGGAGAAGGTGGCAGTGGGAGACGTCATCTATATCGAGGCGAACAGTGGGGCGGTGAAGGTGGGCGTCTTAGAACCTATGTCATTCCACGGATCGATATAAGAACTAAACGACCATTATCGAATGTTATAGCGGGTTGGACGGTCAGATACCTACGCCACGGAGTTCGATCTGGAAGCGGAGGAATACGTGCCTCTGCCGAAGGGTGAAGTGCACAAGAAGAAGGAGATCATCCAAGATGTCACTCTGCATGATCTCGACGTTGCAAATGCCAGGCCGCAGGTAGGTCAACCAGAATAGTCAGAAGCAGGAAATTAGAGGCGTAATGCTAACAGTCTGAATTCAGGGTGGACACGACATTGTCTCAATGATGGGGTCGCTGATGAAGCCGAAGAAGACCGAGATCACGGACAAGCTTCGTAAGGAGATCAACAAAGTAGTGAACAAGTACATTGAGCAGGGCGTCGCGGAACTGGTTCCTGGAGTCTTGTTCGTTGATGAGGTATGTGCCGAGGTCATGGCGACGATGGGTTTAGATTCACAATACTTTGCTAAGAAATTGCAAATGATTGTGCAGGTGCATATGTTGGACATCGAGTGTTTCACTTACCTGAACCGAGCCTTGGAATCGTCCCTATCTCCGATCGTGATCTTTGCAACAAATCGTGGGATGTGTGCTATTCGGTAAGATCTCCCACTTTACTTACACGAGGCCCCCGGACAACGCTAAACCCATCAACTCCCCCACAGCGGAACGGACGACGTCCACGCCCCGCACGGTATCCCCGTCGACCTCCTCGACCGTCTCCTTATCATCCGCACCCTCCCATACACCCAAGAAGAGATTGCCATCATCCTCAACATCCGCGCCAAGACCGAGAACATCACCATATCTGAGGAGTCGGTGCAGTACCTTGCTGATCTGGGGGTTAAGACTTCATTGCGGTACGTAGAGGCTTGGTGTTGGATTTTGCATGCCTTTTGTTCTGTGCACATGACTGATGGAATTGCGTTGTCATAGGTATGCCATCCAACTCCTGACGCCATCGAGTATCCTTGCGCGTATTAACGGCCGGGATTACATCGAGAAGGAAGATATGGAGGAGTCGCAGGGCTTGTTCTTTGACGCAAAGGCGTCGGCGAGGAATCTGCAGGCGACGCAGGATCGATACATTCACTAAACTGATATCGAGGGTATCCGAGCCGGTTCAACCCTATTGTAATTATAAATCCCGTGTGGATCCACATGGAAGATGGAAATATGTCGAGAGTGAATAGAATCTTGGGTGCACTCATTGATACTACCGCATGAGAAATGCATTGTTGTTCTACTCAACCACTCCAACATACGCCACATAAAACGCCGCCCAATGTAATATCCGCTATCTAAGCTACCCAATCTCTACTTGCAAGCGATGAAAAAAGTGTTGTCCCGTAACTCCTCAATGTTAAACCCAAGACCCAGACCCCTCTCCTACTGCGGCAAATCGCCATACATATCATTACTGTTCCTGGCAATCAAGCTCGCGCGGGTCGGGCTCCTCACATCAACTTTTGTCGAAACGGCCTCGACCCTGTCCGACCCGCGCTCGCTGAGGATGTCGATGATGTGCTGCGTGAGGAGGTCGATTGCTACGGTGTTTTGGTGGCCGCGCGGAATGATGACGTCTGCGAATTTCTTTGACTAAGATTATGATGTAGTAGGTTGAGTAAGGTCAGCCCACAGGGAAATCGAAGGATGCGATCCGTGGAGTATGCGCTCTTAGCCCTTCCGTTGAGGTTCGGAGTATGCTTACCGGGAGAATAAAGTCCTCAAAAGCGGGTTTCACAAACGTGATGTAATACTGCAAGATCTTCTCCAAGCTCTTCTTATACCTCTCCTCGGTGTCGCGGACAACTACGCGCCGGGGGTGGTCAACAGTTAGAATGGCGTGCCCCCTACCCTAAACGTAGCCCGACCTGCACGCGCTCCTCCACCACCAACCTTGCCGAGCCAGCCGGACATCACTGTCAACATCCACAAACACCTTCAGATTCAATGCGTCGCGCACTCGGCGCTTGTACAGCATGAAGATGCCGGAGAAGATTACAACGTCGGGTTTTTCTATCCGGACCGTTTCGGGAAGGCTGATGGGTGGGTCCAGGTTCTGGTCAGGGGGGATTCAGGAGGGGGGTCGCATACCGTGCCCCGGTGTCCACCTACCGAACGTTCTTTTGGAAATCGTACTGTGGTATCCCGGCGGCCCGTCCGTGTAATATGTCCTCCATGCAGTCCTCCAGTAACCTGAAATCGATCGCGTTCGGGTGATCTGGCGGAGAGAGGGCTCTTTTTCAGCGACCTGTTCGTTGGTGATGCGAACACACTGTAGTCTCAAAAGGAAGCCGCACCAAAGTTGTACTCCCCGGTTTCCGCAAGCTTTTGCTCTTCTGCCGACAATTCCCGGTAAAAGTTTTCCAACCTGTACAATTAGCAGGGGATGTACCAATGTATCAGTTCCCCGCACAATCGTGATACTCCCAACTCCCCTCCACCAGGACCAGTCCCAAAAGACCTACCGGATAGTAACAACCTTCATCCCAACGCTGCTATCAACCTCCCTCAACCGGTCCATGATAATCCGGCACACCTGGTTCTTCCCGCTGGACGCTCCGCCCGCCACACCGATGATGAACGGGGTCCGGGCCCGGGCAGAGTCTTTCAGAGGAGCTAGCGGCTGTTCGAACTCGTTGAGGGAGGAACATGACGAGGATGTTTCGAGGGTTCCGATCCTTCCTGGATAGCGGAAATTGGACGGGAGTAAGACATTTGCAGAAGCTCAGAATGACTGAGATAATGGCGTTCGACGTCGGTGTTGGAATCATATGTGTGCACAACACCCTATCGTCGCCGTCATGGCGCGGAAGGAGGGTCGCCGGTTTTCACACCCCACGACCGAACGACTGCCAATTGGAATGCTAAAGACCCATGTCCGACAAGGAAGCAAACCTACCGAGCGGGTCCAGAATGGCTGACATATTGTGAGAAGCGAAACTTGGCTTGGGTGAGCGTAATCGGTGATGCCTGGGACGAACGACCCCACACCAAAAGAAAAGGAAGCGTTTTGGGCGATTTGAGCCACACCTCGGACTCTCCGACGCGTGCTGTGTTGCCAGAGCCACGCCAGAACTGTGCCAGAACGTTGAACACGACTCTCCATGACTGCCTGCCACCTTCATATGCTTGCATGCTATCCCTATTATGCAAGAGACCTTTTCAACGAACTGACCGTTCCCAGGGTGGCATGCACCCGAGCTACTCGTACTGAGAGATTGGATATGTCTTTTTGAAGAACCTGAAGGCAGGATGGATTTCACAAACCTGGTCTACTAATGACCATATTGGTCATATCCCGGCCACACCCTACTCCCACAGGGCATCAGCAGGAGGGGGGGCAGATCCCGAGATATACCTAACCTCCAAGATATGCCGACGGGAAAGTCTGAAGATGTGAAGCGCCCAACCCGAAGTTCAAAAGGTCGGGGAACAACCAGTCTACGGTAGCCCCTCGAGAAGCCTGATAGGTTTCATAGAATGCAGCAACGGGTCCATGCGATGCCGTTGCTCGCCACACCGAGCGGCCAGGAACGAAACTGCTTTCGGTCCACTTGCTCTCCAAGGTCTTCCGAGAGACTGATAGAGCCGAGGAGGAAATGTAAGGCGGCCCATATTGAGATTGTTGCTGTTAGATAACGGTGGTCTACGCTCGCCCGGGTGATCTGCGCAATATCACAATCAATTCACGCCTGGGAAGTTGTCGCCCCATCGAGAATTTCCCCATTCGCCCCTTTTCAAATTTCACGACAGCGGCCTTTCCAACACTCGCTCAGCGGCAGGCAGGACCCACCACCGCTCATATCCCCGCCGTACGCACATTCTTCGTCGCCCACCCCCTTCTCCAACCCCCCTCACACCTGCAGAAAAATGGTATCCAAAGAAGCAATTGCGGCCGTCACGTTCGCCCTCGGCTTGCGCCTATCCCAGTCCTACTGGGAGCAATATGTCTCACGCGAGATACTCGCAGCCGTCATCGGTGGTTCCGCTCTCGTGGTTCTCTTCCTCAATCGTAAACGTATGTGTTCTCTTTAGGCTGAGCTGTATCGTGGCGATTCCACCGCTAACCATTTTACCTGCCACGGACGATGATCTCGACGACGAAATGCAGCCATCCCAGAAAAGGAAGCCGGCCCCGTGCTCAGCAAAACGGAATGGAAGAAGTTCCCTCTGAGGGAGAAGATTGTCATTTCCCATAACACCGCTGTGTGAGTTGCCTTCGGTTTGCTTTGCCACGGTATGGCGAATACATGTCTGCAACCTTTGACTGACCCCGCCCATGTTTAGGTACCGCTTTGCGCTCCCCACTGCGGAGTCTGTCTTGGGCCTTCCCACTGGTCAGGTACGCCGCTTGATCTCACTGGAGGGCGCTCGCAGCAATTGTCTGACTCTACTACCTCAACAGCACATCTCCGTCTGCGCAGACGTGAACGGAAAGGAAATCACCCGCAGCTACACCCCCACCAGCAACGATGACGAAAAGGGCCACTTCGATCTCCTCATCAAATCGTACCCCAACGGCAACCTCTCCAAACTTTTCAGCGAACTGAAGCTCGGCGACGAGTTGAAGGTCAAGGGGCCCAAGGGACAGTTCCAGTACACGCCCAACTGCGTTAAGGAAATTGGCATGGTCAGTAATCTTATCTCAGTAGTCACACCACAAGATCGATATCTCACCACTGTCCTTGGTTGTTTCCAGATCGCCGGCGGAACAGGAATCACACCCATGCTCCAGATCATCAAAGCGGTCCTCAAAAACCCGGACGACAAGACCAAACTCAGCTTGATCTTCGCTAACGTGAAGGTGGACGATATCCTCCTTCGCGACGAGCTAGAGGGGTTGGCGGAGAAGAACCCGGAGCGGTTGCGGATTTACCATGTTTTGAACGAGGTAAACTTTCACAATCCCTTCTGATTCAACCATGCGCTCCAATATCTCATACCCTCTCGATTGTTTTCAGCCCCCAGTAGCATGGACCCAAGGCGTCGGCTTCGTCACAAAAGACATGATCAAAACCCACCTTCCCGCGCCCGCAAAGGATATCAAGATCCTGCTCTGCGGCCCGCCGCCGATGGTCAAGGTGATGAGCACCTATGCGGAGGAGCTCGGGTATGATAAGCCCAATGCCATCTCGAGGATGCCGGATATGGTGTTCAAGTTCTAGGCGAGGACTTTGAGGAGTGCGCGAGTCGCATGGACGGCTATGGACGGACCACCAGCTTTACGTAGACATATCACAAACAGCATCATCCCCCCAATCCGCAAACCATATATAGAGCAGGAGCGGGGAAAGTCATAGTATGGACCCATATCAGCGGCGGGCCCTTGGTTTCATTTTCTTATTGCTAGGACGTATCCTACACCACGTGTTCTACGACTAGAACCATATCACATAATGAACGTGTGAAATAACACTGCAAACATCATGGAAACGCTCAAGAATTGGTTTCCCTACTAGGAGAAAAAACGGATTTGTTTGTGTACATATCTAACGTTTTGCTGTTAACCGGATGGGAGAAATGCAATGACCGGCTATTTAGTGATATATCACAAGGAATCAAGCATGTACGCAATCGCTGCTTCTACATTTCCACCCTACGTTCAACAAAAATCGATGTAAATGATATATCCTACACGAAACACATTTGCGAAGAAACACTTACTGCGGCCAGGAGTGCCCGGATGCATTTATCCTTTTCCTATTTGGTTGGAGTAAAATGAATCGAGTCAGATGCGGGGTTTCCGTAGCGCGAGGAAGAGGAGGGGATTCAGCCGCGGGGAGTTCGGTCGGTCCTTACCACAAAACCCATTTCCCGCAACGCCGTCTGATCGAAACACACGTTCGCGTTAGTCAAAGAGCAACGCACCCGGGACCCCATGAACCCAAAACTCCACCCACCAACTGCTCCTTAAACCGATCCTCATGCGCCTGCATCGTCTCCTGACTACTTGGTGTCGCTGCTGCTGCTGCTGCGGGTGTACCCACCGGTTGGACGGCTGGGGGAAGGAACGGCATCTGCAGGAAGGGGTTTTGGAAGAGCGGATTTTGTTGTTGTTGGCCACCGGCACCGCCGAGGAGGGAGAGGAAGTTGGTTGGGTCGAATGCGGGGAGCTGGGTGGGGTTGGTGGTTGGTTGGGATGTTTGTGGTGAGGGGGCGGGGAATTGGGGCTGACGAGATCACGGTGGTCAGAACAAACAGAATCCCAAGGGTGAAGTCACACAATGTGTCCAAACTCACCATCCCAAACGCAGCGAATGGATTGAAGCCCGGATTCGACATTCCAGGCCCGAGGCCTGTCAATGCCGCAAATGGATCCGCTGCAGCGGGCTGGGATGCTGTAGATGGTGATGGCGCCGCCCATGGGTTTGGAAGGGCAGCGTTGTTGGGACCTTGGCCGGTGGATGTTTGTTGTGCGCCGAGCATGGCTGCGTATCGTCGATTTGCTTCCTCTGTGACGTTTGTCGAGTGAGAAGCGAGCCAACAAGTTGAGAGTGATAATCCTTCCCAATGTACGCACCTGTGCTCGGATTATCGTCATGCGCCTGCGATAACGGCGCCTGAATGTCATGATACATGGAACTCAACGCGTTGAATCCACCCGGGATGTTCTCGATGTTCAACAGCTGTCTATCCACATTCCGCATCATTTCCTGGCTCTATCGATCGGCATTCGTGCGCGTCAGCCTCCAGCCGCTTCCCCACCGGTCCGCCAAAGGGCGCTCGCGTCTTACCAGCGCCGGATTCCGCATGGTCTCCATCATCTCTCTCAGGAATCGCGGATCATTCAGGGTTTGTCGGAGCTGGGGATTCGACTGTGCGAGAGGGTACCCGGTCGAGTGAGATTACGGTTAAGAGTAACCCACAGGATTCCCACGCGATCACTAACCTCTGCCAGTCGAGCGATACGCGGGTCGTTCTCCAACATCGTTTGCATGAATTCGGGACTCTCCAACAGTGATCTGACCATGGGGTTTTCCAGCAGTCCGCTCATATCTGTCGTATAGACGCCCAGTTCAGTTCTACCCTTCGTTCATCGGCCAGCAACACGGACAACACCAGTGATGTCGGCTCACCTCCCAACCCAAACGAGTTCCTCTGATTCGCCGCGGCGGCCTCCTGAAGCGTCCGAGGTCGTTCTTCCGCGGCCGGCCCGGCATCCTCACCCTCCCTCCTTGCAGCCACTCTCGAAACATGAATGACAGCATCGTCCGTGATGCCCAGAGATTTAACCGTCGCCTCGTCATCCCTATATATCCGCCCTACAACAATTGTTGTGAATACGGAAAGTCATCACCCAGCCAAACCAAGCCAGTCCAGTCCACTCCACACATACCAGCATGCACAAGCCGTATATCCTCCTTATTGATACTCAAGCGCTGGCCCAGCTGGTCCTTGAGATCGGCGACGGTGGCGGTAGTTGGGTCGGAGACTCGCAGCATGAGGTCGGTTTGGTTTGCGAGACCAGGGGCCATGCGGAAGCGGATTTGCACGGGAGTGGTGGGACCGGATTGTTCTTCTGGCTCGTCGGACATTGTTGTGGTTTTCTTTCTGTGGTATGTCAATGGCTGTGGTTGCGGTGAATGTCAAGTTGAGTTTGAAATGCTGCAAAAGGCCGATGGTGTCTTGGGCATGAATTCGCTCGGATAAATCACATAAGCCGCTTGATCAGCACAGTTGCATAACACGAACACCACGCCGTCACCCCTCCTGTTAAAATAGGTGCGCGTGGGAAGAGGAGGCAGCGGCAGTGAGGAAGCGCAAAAGGAAGCAGCACCCATCTATCATAGATGGGAGCTGGCCTCACATGTGTGACCATCGGGTGGCCCAGCTTACGGCGAGTCCGAATATGTACATAGTTCGCTAAACTGTGACGCCGTAAATCTTACCCAGCTGAGGGCACACGAGGGAATTTCGATGTTCAGGATGTGTATGCAGCTGTGTGGAGAGGCACATCGGGATCATCGGCGACGCAAGCGTGCATAAAGGCATATTCTACTGGTCGTCCTTCATTTTCAGTTTTGCTCGAGTTCATTTCGAGATGCAGCGTTTTTGGTGTGGGACGTCGCCCGGCTTCAATCGGCTGTATATATCCTTCGGTCGCAGTCTGTATGTACTCATTGTATTCAGGTGTATGTACATCCAAGCCGCGCTTTGTTCATGAGTACCCGGTATCGCCCGTGTCTCATCAGAACAGCTGTAAGAAGTAGCGATGAGTCTTACGGTATGCATCAGCCTGGAACCAGACGCTGCTTACCAGTTTATAAGGGTACCCTCCGTTCTTCAGCCGGAACAGCTTCAGCATGATGGAATAAATAACCACAAACACCCCCGCGAATGCGTACGCCGCTGTCCGCTGGGAGAAGGGCTGCGACATGGCGGGGACCTTTGTCACGAGGGCTACAAAAGCGATCGAACAGGCCGCGTCTGCGAAACAAGAGAGGTGTTAGATGCGTGACAAACACCTGCAAAATCTGTTCATGACAGCCACTTACAGAGCACGGCAACAAGCTGCGTCTCAAGCACAAACTGGTTCTGGAACCCAGGTGCGATGACTTCGGGACGGTTATCGCGCATTCCGGTGTATGGCGGCCCACGGATGGAGTTCCACATATGCCCTGAGCACATCGTCACGACCCATGCCTATTGCGGAAAAGGAACTCGATCAGCAGGAGAACTGTGACATGAAACATGATGAAGTTCTGCTGTACTCACAATCAACAGGGTAGACCAAATCTTGCGATTCTGCACAATCGCCGTGATGACGGGCCACAAGACTTTGATCAGCGTCAAAGCAAGCAAGATCGCTATTCCAACGATGCCGTATAGTGTGTAGTTCACGGGTCGCCTGATGGGGAACTATATGATGCGGAATGGGGAAAAATTGTTTAGAGTGGAGTTCATGTGGTAATGTATGTACTCCGGCATTGCTCACTCACCTCATGCTTCACCACATTAGAAGCATACTTCGCCAGCGGGTCTGCTTGTAGGCCCCTGAATCAGACCACAAATATCAGACCCAAGTTCACTTCGCTTGCACAGAAGCTCTATCGATAACCACCATTTGTTCAAGTCATAAGGCTCAGGCTCGCTTCCACCAGTCGCGAGCGGGCCCTCTGTCGGTGGGAAATGCAGGATCATGGGCACAGATTGCACTTGAAGCTGCAAAGATGGGTGTCAGCCCTAGGGAGCGCCGCGGAATGCACATTCCTACACCTCAGCGTACCTTTTGGAAGACTTCCCGACCAGCCGCAAAGTCCAGTTGTCCAAAGTACAGCGTGCGCGGAACCTTCGCCCGCTGCCATGACGATGCCACTAGGTCGAACTCCTTTTCGAATTCCCTGTGAAAACACCCACCAGATCAGATATCTCGCCTGCGGCGTTCAATCCCGTCCCCAACCTTCGAAAACCAACCTGCACGGCGCACATCCCATCTCCGGCGCCAAAGCGGTTAAGCACACAAACAACGAGTAGTTCCTTGGCGCCTCGGTGATTGCGAAGTAGTCGGAGCCGTCGAGCCTGATGGCGCCATTGCTGCTGAGTTTCGCCTCCAGGCGTCTGATCTTTGTGATGGAGGGGGAGGCGGAGGTTGGAGGTGTGAGTGTGAGAAGGAGCAGTGACGCTAGCAGCGCTGCTAGGGCTGGGGTTTTGGATGACGGGAGCCACATCTTGCAATGCTGTGAGGGACTGGATGGGTTCCTGCTTCCAGCGTCAGAAATGTTGCGGCGGTGAAGTCGAAACCTGAGTCGAAACGACGCGGCCGGCGAGTTTCTCCTCTGGGTTCGCTTAGAGGTTCGCTCCTTTTCAGCGATTCCAATCACATGAGCGGTGCAGCGCCTTACACGCCGCGAGTAGGACAAAACGATATCCAATAGCAGAGGTGCATCACCGCCAACCACTTGTCGCCCAGAACTCAAAAGCGCTTCAACTACCGTACCTTGCATTCCCACCTCACGATGTCCCATCACCCAACCCCCGACCTAGGCCATTTACGAGCATCCGATTACAATAACGTCTACGAGCCAGCCGAGGACACGTTTCTCTTTCTGGACGCACTGCAAAAGGATGTGGAGTTCATAAGGGCTCTGAGGCCGTCGATATGTTTGGAGATTGGGTGCGTGGCTCGGGCCGTTTGGCGGAGATCACCGACAGAGGCGTTACGGAAGGGCGGCGGCCCGGCGGGGCGGCGGAATTTGAACTAAGACTTTTCGGCGGCTCTCTCTGTTGTGTGGTTGCAACGGTAGATCTGGATCAGGATGCGTTACCACTTTCCTAGGAACGCTGCTGGGGGAGCAGAGCAAAGCGTGTAAGTATGACCGAAACGGGCGGCAACGCCGAATAGCGGGGTTTTCATCCCCTTTCACATTTGTGAGCGATCGCTCACTCCGTCCCTCGCAGTATACCTCACGACGGATATCAACCCACACGCCATATCCGCCACAGTCGCCACAGGCCTCCGCAACGGCGTCACTATAGATGCGCTCCAATCCGACCTCATCCCGCCCTTTACCAGGCCCCGCTCCATCGACGTCCTTCTATTCAACCCACCCTACGTCGTCACACCACCCGAGGAGGTCTGGCGAGGGTACGAGCCGCAACGCCCCAATACAAAGCCGCCATCTACCTTTTTAGGAAGCGAATTCGGCAACGGCTCAAACGGGATCGAGGCCTCCTGGGCCGGCGGGATCGACGGGCGCGAGGTGATAGACAGGCTCCTACCACAGATCCAGGACGCGTTATCGGCGCGAGGAGTGTTTTTCATGGTCGTGATTAACGAGAACAAGCCGGAGGAGATCAGGAGTTGGATGGGAAGTGAGGAGATGGGAATGTTTAGCAGCGAGGTGGTGCTGAGTCGGAAGGCGGGGAGGGAGGGGTTGAGTATTTTGAAGTTTTGGAGGACGTAGAATATGGATGTGGTAGATATAGACAAGGCGAACGGCAGCGAAGTACGGTAGCCCATCTTCCGCGAGGTGGGATGGTGTTAACCTATTGACATACTATTCCCGACGATCGCAGATTTCGCAAAACATGGGTTTCCAAAACAGAGAAAGGGGACTGTTATTTACAATGACCAGCCTGATGCTAGCCCTACTGCGGAGAACATTCAGTACATTCAATTGCCAGGCGGTACTTCTAACTCCGCCGTTAGCAGATTCGTCATCTTGGGAAACACGGCCTTCTCTTCCAATTGGTTCTGCGAGAGGTATGTGTAAGCGTGACATACGTCGGGCACCGAAAACTAAAAGAGGCAGGTAATTGAAACCTACTTGAGCCCAAACAAGCATTTTGAGTAAGGATGGCAGCTTTGGGTCTTTCTCCTGACATTGCGCGGTGAGGATTGCAGAGTTGAGCTCGCTCGCAGTTTTCTGGCGTTGCGCGTGATCGACAAGATATGCCAGTGGCGAGTTTGTGGCATCCTCGAACGCCAGCAGCGCCATGGTCTTTTCCAGTTCGTCCAGAAACTCAGGCTAATGCGAAAGATGGTCGCGTGAGTGTTGCCGCTCACGTCACACAGGTGCAAAGTGAAGGTGGGTCGGTTCCTCACATTGTCCTCTCCTCGTGGCGCCAGCTCCTCCTGAGCGAACTCTATCGCCTCCGCTATTCTACCTTTCCGGATGAATTCAATTAACTGTTGTTGCTGAAGATGGAAGTACAGCTTCGGATTTGTGTCGAGAATCTGTGGCACGCACGTAGATGACGAAGTTAGTCATGTCCGCCGTGTCCGACGCAATCCCGTCATGGACCCATTTGCGAACCTCAGGGTCTAAATCATTCACTCTCTCAATAGCATTTTCGATATCTCCAGACTGTATCGCGTTTCGGATGTTCATTCGGTCCTCGATTGATGTAAGATCGATTCCCGGAGGTAGTCCCGACTCTCGACTGAACTTTTCCGCTGCGTCTTTGTATCCTTCTATCACCAAGTAGTTCATGACCAGTTTGTTGAGATCACTGTAATAACCATCATATTCTGATAAGCCGCTGTCCATGTTCTCGAGGTACCGTCTGTGAGGAAGGCTTACTGTTTGCTGACGGCAACCTTCGCCAGTTTCCTTTCCCACTCGTCAAGCGGAATGGTCTAATTGTCAAGAACGGTGAACGGAAAGAGTAAACAAGTCAACCCTCTCATTCAACAGGGCGTAAGGCGTCAAACGTGCCGACCTTTTTCGACCCAGTCTTTGTATCGGACTAGATATAGAGACGTATTTCAAGATGACTGTCAGCCAAGATCACCTGGCGAACTTCCACGTTGACAGAGTTGTGCGCACTAACCATGATGACGAGGTTCCAGGGAGCGAAGAGGGAGAGAAGCAGGGAGTTATACAATTGAGAGGAGGCGAAGACTTCTTGAGCTGCTGAAGGGACAAGTGTCGATGTCAACGGAACACTTTTATCTGAGAGGAGTTGGAAAGCGAAACCACATCACCATCAGAAGCGCGTCCGCCGTCCGTCCCAGCGTCCGTCCAGCTTTGAGGTTTTCCGGAACTCGTTGCTCTTCTGGACTGAAACACACAAGAAGTAGAAGGCGGGGACAGCTAGTGCGACCCAGCTCACGACCAGCTCGGGCATACTACTCGTCTATCGCTCGCTCCAGGCTATTCGCCTCGGAAAATGCACGGCACATCCGAGTCGCTGAGCGGCGGTGGTGGAGCCGCACCATTAGGGGCGAGGAAACGAAACCAAACGACAACAGCCGATGGCCCTCCGTCCGAGTCCCTCGCCAAGAAGGCGGTGCACGCAGTGGAGGCGACGTATCTATCGTTTCAACGCCCGCTTCTTTCTCTTGTCCAGCAAAGTCTCCACCCACATTTCGAGTTGCCCGCCCACGTAGTGCATTTCGCAATTCGGCAGGAGTTCATTGCTCTCGCGGGACCGTCGGTTGTCTGGCTATACTCTTACAGCGCAGGCGCTGAGATCAGTATATTGCTCGTTACCACAGGTGGGGTGGCAAAGAAGAAAGCGAAGGAGGAAGCGGTGGCTTGTTCTGTGATTGCTCATTTTGGTGTGCTGGTATTTGCAGAAACGATTAACGGAGTGCTCAAGTGGGCTTTCCGCCAACCACGACCAGGATGGCTACGCGGCACGAACATGCTAAAGATGAGATCGCCAACATGGGAGGCCGACTACTCCACGCCCTCCAGCCACGCGCAGCTCGCAGCGACGGTCGCAACATGGGTCGTGTTGTTCACCAACTTCTCTGTAATACCGAGTATACTCGCCATTTTGTTTGCGGTACTGGTCGGAGTCGCTCGCGTCTATTCATGCGTGCACTGGCCGTCGGATGTGGTGTTCGGATGGGCATGCGGGGTTCTATGGACGGCGTTCGTGCTTCCCATTTTGCGGTCCTCGATGACCCCCTCGCACGAGGCCGGCTTTGCGACCGTCCTCGTCGCGGTGTTGAGCGCGCTACTCTATCTAGTTCGCACCGCCGCGAAAGAAGAGGAAGCACACGTCCGCGCAGAATGGAAGGCGGCAGCTCTCGCAGGCTACGATGTCGACAAGCATAGTAAAGCGGAGGTGCTCAAGGCCGTGCAGAAGTGGGGAAGAGGCCCGCGGTTGTTCTACACCTACGCAGGCCCGCTGAGCGCTACCTACGGGTCGTTGATAGGACGAGCGATCCTACACTTCTATTTCGAGATCCGTCGCCACGATGACGATGTCTCTGCTTCCGCTTCTGATGCTGCCAGCTTTGCGGATTTCGTAACACGGCAACACTCGGTCCCGGTTCGACTGCTTGTGGGCATTGCGGGTCTTGTGCCGTGCCTGGCGTTCGCGCATGGGTTGCCGGTGCTTTTGCGCGCACAGCCTAAGGGTCTCCTGGACGGCGCGTGTGTGTTTGCTGGGTTTGCTGCCGTCGGCATCTGGGTGTTGGCGGGATGTCAGATCGTGTTTGACCGCGGGATGACATGGTGAGAACACAAGCACTCAAGCAAGTCGTTACTGCGACCCCTTGAGCGGGGTATCTTCTCCACTCAGCCGACCAGGAAGCATGCATGCACATATTCTTAAGTGCACGTACCCACCTGCATGCATTCCTCCCCATTCCTTCAGGAATAGGAGCAAACGACAAAACCCAGGAGAGGGGGAAATACGGCGTCTAAGCCTAGACAACAGCCCTTAGCGACATATTTTAGACAGTTTAGACAGTTCAGAGATGGACGTAGTTTTTTGTGGCTGGACTCAATGGAAGAGGGACTCGGTGTATATATTTTCCTGAAGCATTAGGACATGCATCGGAAACACCGGACAGTCCATATAAAGAAAGACCTGTATATGTATGGTAAGGAACTGTGATTGCTGTAATAATGCTATATACAAATGAGGAAATGCGTATCGTGCGTTCGATGGGAACGCGGGCGCCGGCCCATTTCTAAGTATCGCATTGCTACATTAGAGATTGTCCATGTCATCCTAATCGCTGCTCCGGGGAATACTAAACAACTATCCAAAATCGGGCTCAGATGTTCTACCAAAGTTCAGTGTCTAAAACACTGCCTGCATGGGCGCCCGATACCCATGTCACTTCCGGGAGTTCTCTACCCGTTCTCCCATTCCCGCCCATTCAAGTCGACAATCTCGACGCGGCATTCGTCCCCGGTCTCAACCCCGCCGGCGTCCCTCCCTCCGCATGCACCGCTGACCGCGTCGCCTGCGCGCTCGTCGCAAACAGCCGATTGACAATATCCACGTTCGGGTCCGTTGCCGAGTCTGGCGTGCCGAGGCCGGGGATGGAGAGGTTGAGGGAGGTGCCGAGGGTGCCGGAGAGGGTTGCGTGGGGATTTGGTTGGTGAGGGATATGTGGCTATGGGAGAAGGGTGTGAGTGGGGGCTTCTGAAAAAGGGTGTGAGAAAATGGGTTGACGGGGAAGGGACTTACTGAGTCGAGAGCGCCTTGGTCACTATCTGATGCTTGATCGGAGAAGACGCCGCGGAGGCCTTCGGAGGAAAGATCCCTTAATGTTGTTTCTGGGACTTTGTAGGTGGGATCTGATATGTTGACAGTGAGCCCATGAGATTCAGATTCCTGGCATCCAATGCCTTTCCGCCAACACGTATTTCCCTATCCCCATACGCACAGACTGAAAGACCGTCAGACTACTCACCCCCCTTAACCAACTGCATCTTCACCGTAATCCTCAAAATACTATTAACCCTCGAATCCTGCAACAGATACCGCCGCGTCCGTTCCCGCTCAGCACCAAACTCAGCGAGGTTGACAACAACCCGCCCGACATCCTCGGACCCTTTGCCGGCGTTGACGCCCGTTTGGCGGATGTAGAGGATCAGCTCGCAGGGGAGAAGGACGCCGTCTTTGCCGATGATGAGGGTAGGTTGGAGCGGGATGGGCGTGTCGAATGTTACTGTGTGGTCTTTTACTGTGCACCTGCGAGGGAGGGGGGGGGGGGGGAAGGTTCAGAACGGTGTACGTAGAGGACGGGCAGACACTCTGGGCTCGTCGCATGCTTTCGCGCCGTCGACTAAGACTTTCGATGTACGGCGGCCTGAAACCCATCGCCTATGTGCGTTGCCGGCCGGGTTTCCGTGTGCTCGTCCAGGCATCCCCATCCACACAATCTTGGAGGAAGCCCATCCAAATTCTCCAAACACACAGTAGGCCACCCAATTCGAGCCCACCCGTATCCCCACCCAAATACTCACTTCTGCGACGACCCCTCCTTCATCTTTAGCTTCCATTTCACATAATACAGCCCACTGACATATGGCAAGTTTGTCAAATCGTGGACGACACACGTTGCTTCGAATTTCACTTTGCGCGCTTTGGAGACGAAGAGGGATGCCATTGTTGGTGGAATATTTCGGGATGGTGAGGGAGAAGGCGAGGAATGGGGAGGGTGGATTGCGGGGAGGGGTTCTTTTCCGGAATGTGCTGTGCGGCTTGTCGGAGAAAAAGCCTCAGAGCCCTCAAAGGGGTTGACAGCGGCGGACGCGTGAGATTTCTGACTCCGGGGAATAATAGGCGGTCCCGCCTGGGGACTGTTGCACGAAAGCGTGCCACGGGCGGACAGCTTCCATTCCTTCGAAGCTCGCAGATACTAACAACACCGTCTGCTGTCGTTCCAGCAGGCACAGTTGGTTCACCACTCGGAGAAATCAATGTATGCGTAGAACAGGCCCCATCACTAGCACGTCACTCAATCGAGATCGATGTGATATGACGCCGCGAATGAAGGTCGCGTATATATATATATAGAGATCGACCTGGGACACAGTTTCACACCGAAAACGACGGCAAAGGAGATGTGTATTCATTGGCGCAAGAACGCAAGATGTGCCGTAGTATATCTACATGTCAATGAAGGAATGAACAAGGATAATAAATCGGTGGATGGGGACTTCGGGGAAGCAGATGGCAGGAGCTATACGATTCTTGAGAGCAAGGGGATGGGTCCCTCTCCATTACTAGCCCGCACCGCAAATCACTGACCGGGTTGTCCTCTCCCGTCCAAATCATTCTACTGTATCTACTGCCGCTCAGAGTACGACGCTGTGAAGACATGCCAAGGCATTTGGCGCGATGTGTACCAGTCCCAGTCCTATGTTTTGTGAGAAAAGATCATCCTGTGAATCAAATGGCTTTGATGCGAGTGACAATCAGTGCGGCCTCTCACCTGAGGGCTGTCTGAGAGCGCTTTACTGTTTCTCATGCCGAGTTTCGTCATGGGCAACGGCCTCTCCTGCGTCAACGTGCATGCCAGGCGCAACCACGGTCGCATTCATATGTCGGCCGCAGAGTCACTTCTTCCTCCCAAAAAGTCCTCCAAACATTTTCTTCTTCGACGCATCGGCATCAAGCGTCGCCCCACTACTCCCCATATTCGTCACCTTTCCCCCATTTGCAGGTCCGCTCGACGCCACGGGCTTCCTTTTCCCTCTCTTCAGAGGCTTGAAGCCCTTTTTGGAATCGAGCAGCCACGCCAGCTGCTTCTTATTTAAGCACCCACGGCGCTTGCTTCGCACGAGCTCTACGGCCTCTATGGGGTCCATCCCGCCGTCAATCAGAGCGCAGGTCACCAGAACGGGAGCGCGGCCAACGCCGCTGACGCAGTGCAGGGCGAGGGCTGGGTGTGAGGATGACGAGGGATTTGAGATAAGCGAGTCGACGAGATTGCGGAATGAGGTTATAATCGTATCAGGGGGTATGGAACCTGTAAGACAGAAGGTAGCGAAGCCGCCCGATCAGTTTAACGTGACTCAAGCCCTCTACAGTGCTTTCTTTTCCGCCGCTCCTAACCATCCTCAAAGAACCAGTCCCAGACAGCGACGCCATTGCCCTTCAGGACCGCGGGATCGTATGCGTTGGGGTCACACAGCCGGACGAGATTGACGCAGTCGTGGGCGCGGAGAGTGGGCAAATAGTCGTTTTCGAGGGCGTCTTGGTCGGGACAGTCTGTGATCAGGAAGAGGACTGGACAGGCCTGCGGATGGGAAATGAGGGAGAGCCTCTGCGAGTAGGGCGAGTGGCTGGAGGGCTGGACCATGGGTGCGTCTATGACTCTGAGTAGGAGTGTTATTGGGCGAAATGCCGTCTCTGGCTGTGTTGCGAATGTCAAACCTCCTCGAATTCCCATGTTCCATGGCGACCGTCGAGTTGGCCGCAGAGTTGGCCGCCGTGAGTTACGTCAGCAAGTCCCAGTCCGCTGCAAGATCGCACCCCAGCGCTTACAAGGGAACTTCGAATTTCGGATAACGCTTGTTCTGGCTTCGCCTGGGACAACGCTTATGCAACGGAGGCTCTACGAGGCGGCAGCTTTGTGGGAATTTGGAACCATTCGCGCTTGGGCATATTTGGCAAATGGCCTTGGCCCTGGCCTTGACTTTCAAGCGCGACTTGAACGCACACGTCTTGAGATTCAGAAAGAAACCTGAAGGCAATGACGGTCGGCGAAGAAACCGTTAATCCCAGTGAAGGACGACGAGCCCTCCTGCCAAAAAAGAAGGTCGCAGCCTCAAGGTAATAAGCCAGTATTTGACGTGGTCACCGGTCGGGATGTGGGAAGCGGAATTTGCGGAAGGGACACGCCAGTGATGAGATATCACTAGAGGATAAAAGCCGAGCGAAGCCGAAGGTCGAACTCCACGATGACATTCGATGTGATTTGTGTGCAGAGTTCCCTCTGAGCTTTGCAAATGCGGACTTTCACTAGGCCAGTCTGAGGAGTGTGTCGAGTTTGCGAAAGGCGAGGGCATTCGAGAGTCTCTACTTGTGCACACGCGCGCTGATGTACTGGGAACGTCCCACAGATGCGTCGACTGGGGCGTACAGAATCTTATCGCCGTTGTCTCGCCCGAACAGAGCGGAAGACTAGCGAGAAGGCGACGACGAGGGCAAGGTGAAATGTAGGTTGACGAGTCCGGTTCCGTGATAGCCCTCGCAAGCCCTCGCCTCACAAACGCTCTTTCGCCAGTGCTGAGAGACCACAAACGATATCCCTCATGCGCAATCTTGGAAATGGAAGGCGAAAAATCGTCTGTCAGATTCATGCGCACCCGCATCTGGGCAGTAAAGTCTCGACTGTCAAATGGGATCCTTCTGGACAGCTGCTCGCAAGCATTGATGAGAGTGGCCGGGTGGTCGTTTGGAGAATGCAGGTGGGCGCCTCTCGTGTCATGAACAGAGCATGGTCGGAGTGCTGATGGATGTCGCATTCATCAGGACTGCATCAACCGATGGGCTGTCTCTCACACCTGGGATTGCGGAGAACCTGTTGTAGCCCTGACATGGCTCAAACAGCATCGGCACGTGAGTTTCTCCGGATGCGACGAATTTAGCTCGAGTTGAGATTAGACTCTCACTCTGCGTACGGTAGTGGGTTGTTTCAACCAGTGACTCGAAGAAAGCGATTCCCGCCGAAAACCACCCCGTTGCAGATGGTTCCGTCACAGAAGGTGGGCCAACTGCTAAAAGCGAGAAAGCACCCTTTCAACGTACGAGATTTCGTGGACCTCGTGCGCCAACAACGGGCTGTGGACTAGCACTTCTCACCATCGGGGGAAAGGTATGTGTTACTCAGGTCCATCCCTTAGGTCCAACTCGGCAGGCCGCTGCTAACGTGTGTCTCACCGAAGCTGATTGTGCATCACCGAGATCTTTCGGAGACGCCCTACCACCTCGAGACCGAACTCGGGAGACTAGCGAACCCTGAGGTCCCCGAGTCTGATGCTATGGACGTGGCAGCGCCTCGTATGAATTTGCACGATGCCGACTTCGCGTTACTTGAAGATGATATTTTGGCAATCGTGGTGCATAGACCTTCTTCACCAACTCAACCGGTGGAGATATACCACCTCAAGGTGGAATTTTGGAGTAAAGGTGTGGCACTCACTTTTCCCTATGTGCCAAATTGGCAATGAGACTGACGAACTCTCTTCTCATTGTCATTCCTCAGAAATCAGTGTGACCTCAAGATCTTCTGCATCAGTCCCCATTGGATCGCAGGAATCATCATCAACCGACGGCACACAATCAATTTTGGACACGGTTCCCTCCGTCACGCATTTGAGATGGGTGGATTCGAGTAGAATCATGGTGGCTACCCGCGAGGAGCCTTTTGACAGAACAGCATCAACGCAAACGGGTCGAAGTAAATTATGCATATTAAAACGACAGGAGGGGAAACCTGAGGGCGAAAGAAGGGACGAGGTAAGAAGCTCTGTCAGTTCATTTGTATAGGCGATACAGTGTTCCTCACTTACGCTTCCGGTTTCTGCAGTGGGTAATTGGTGCAAATCAGCTGTGTAGAGCAGAATCTGCGGTCACTGCATTGGAAGTATGCACACCGCCCGAAAATGGTGGAAACGGCCGAAATGCGATTGTTCTTGTGGGCTATGGAGATGGGCATGTCGAGATCCGTGATCCGGCCACTCTGGCAACGGTCGATCTCTGGCAACATATGCGAAAACCGTACGAAACAGATTCGAACTCGAGTGGTAGTGGGGCGGTTCGTACGGAGACGGCTCCGGATGCGTCAGAAGCGGCGAGTGAGAGCAAAGAAGGCGGGGGTACGAAGAATACGGTGACCTCAGCGGACGGTGGGGCGGATCACAACGGTAACACCCAAACGGCGAACAGTGCAGCTATGGAGACCGATACCCCACAAGCATCGATAACAGAACCAGGAACATCCATCTTGACGAGCCGGAAACGCGACGCAATCGTCTCATTCGCTGTGTCACCAAACGCAGTGGAGCTGCTCGCCGCTAGCCGCGACGGCGGCGGTCAGATACTTTTGGATGGTGTCGGCCTGGAACGCAGTCTTGGCAAGGGTAACAGTCCTGTAGCCCAAAACGTGCCTCAGAAGGACCTACTTACGCTCGAAATGGTGCTGGCTACCAAGTTGTCACTCGCAATGATGAGTGGCAGGGAATACACGGATGTGATATCATTGTTGGGCCTCGACACTCGTCTGGCGAATAAAGTGATCCTGCGGGTCATTTCACAGCAAGATACAGCTGCGAGTCAGCGTTCAATAACCGGAGCAGGGGCCAAGTCTCCGCTAGCTACGGGCGATGCATCACTTGTGGCCGCGCGACTCTTGCACGTAACAAAGTACTGGTGGGAGCACTCCTTACTTGGCCTTCAGTTAGCCGTCCATCGAGGGGTGCCAGGAAGTGCGGGTCGTCAGTTGTACTTCAACACCGAGTCAGCGATTCAGATTCTTGAGGTCTTGCAGCAGTGTTACGCGTCATTTGAGTTCCCGCACCTGTCGCGAGGGCATATCGGTAAGGATACCCTTCGGTCTCATCGCTTCCAGCGGCGACGTGGGCTGATCAATCTTTTATCACTCAGAGAAAGCAGTCGAGTCGGGAATCATGACACCGGACATCACCAAGGTTCTCATGCGGAAAGGTATCCAATCGGTTTTGCACTACGCCCCTCTACCCAACGCAATATTAGGCAACGTATGCATGTCAGCTCACAAACATTCCTTTTCTACGCGTAGACTGTCTTCATCATCTGGTAGCGATTCAATTCTGGTTCGTGAGATATTGCAGTTTGCTATTACGACATTTGTTCTGCATCTTCAACATGGAGCGGAACATGGGAGGCGATGCAGGGAGCTATAATGGTGCGTATACCAGATTCGACCCGATGAATAGTTTGCCCAGGAAAATCTAATGTTATATTATGGTTGGTAGAAGCATCAAAGCTGCGATCACTCCTCACTCTCCCTACAATCCTGCCCCTCCTCTTAAACACCACTATCCGCGAAGCCCTCCTCGCCATCTGCGTCACCCTCAACGTCTCCGCCCAAAGTATCAAATTCTGCATGACCAGGGTGGATAGGTATACAATCAACAAGGGATCCGCCTCCGCTGTCAAGCAGCTCAACCCCCTCTACAGCCCGGCGTTGTACTCGTACTACAGTGGGTTGTTCAAGGCGTGCACGGAGGCCAGTCCGTTGAGGCTGTCGGCTTTGGCGCGATTCTTGCACAGCCTTGGCACGGATATTGCGAAAATCAACAAACCGGACCCCGCGCCAGAGGCAGGGGCCAAACCGGATCCCGCCCACCGACTGAAGGTCCACCGCATTGAGCGCGAGATGCTTCTCACCGGCGAGATCCCGGAACAATATCTCCCCGCCATCCAGGCGTGCAAGGCAGCATTGGAAGGGTACCTATGCGACATGTTTGAAAACAAGCAGCCGCCATCGACCATGGAGCTCGACCTGATGCGCGCGGTCGCCGCCGCCCAGCCCGACGAACTGACTGACGTGCGGATGGCGCCATCCGTGAGACTCATGTTTGCGTTCGACACGACCGACGGGCTGGAGATTGGACGCAAGACGGGGTTGGAGGGAATCTACCAGTCGCCGCCGATGTCCTTCGCGGACGCCACGCAGCAGAATCTGAAGCGGCCGTGGAGCCTTGATGGCGGGGGGTTGGATGGGGAGGCGTTCGCGGATGGGTTTGAGACGATGCATGCGGCGAAGAAGTTGCGGAGTCATGTTGATGTGGTTACGAAACGGTTGATTGGGGATGCGAAGGAGGTGAAGCAGTGTATACGGTGTGGGCATTATGCGAGGATGAATGTGGAGGCTGGTGAAGCGATTGAGAAGCCGTCGATCGGTGGGGACGGCGTTGGTTTGCCAGCTATCCAAGACAAGTCGCAACCCTCTCAGCCAGGAGCAGTCAGTCTCGGACTGCCGTCGCTGACGCTCCCGAATGAGCTGATGATCCAGCCATCTCCTCTACTCGGCGTGGGAGAAGTCACACCGCTTCCACCGGATCTGGAGCGTATACAACAGTCTTTGCGGTATTTCCAGCACCTCCTTGGTCGCGATAGGTGTATTTGCGGTGGAATGTGGATGGCGGTTGGGTGATACCATATTGCGTGTCATGCGACGTATACAATGGGCGCGTGGAGAACACTGAAAGGCGTGGAGGGGTGTCCTTCGCTTGTTGCCATTTGCATGGTGCACATATTCGTTTATAGCAGGGGATCGTTGTTGATATTGGCAAGCTGCACACAGTTTGGCGGCGTACATGTAAACAAAATATAATCGTCTTGCAGCACTCGATACCCGCTTCCCTTCGTGCATTGACAATAGGTCAATGGAGGTTCTCCCGGCCGTGGGCTACACCTCATTGAAATAGGTCCGCAAAGAACGCATCTATGCTGCTCGAATCGGTAGGACTTCGTTGCCCGTCAGGTGGTGCCGAGCCGTTCTTTGCCGCCCACAATTGTGCCACTTCCGCATCAGCAACGCTCTCATCCGGTTCGTCGTCTACTTCCTCCTGCTCTTCATCGTCTGTCCCTGCCGAGTCCTCGCCTTCCTCCTCCAAATGGGTATCCGTATTCTGCTCCGCTCCATCTCCAGCGACTGTTCCCTGGTCGTCCATCTTCAACCGTTTCGCCCGCCTCGCCCTCCGAACCTCCTTCCGTTTCCTCTTCTCCTCCTTCTCCTCCCTTCGCAACTCCTTGATCTTCTTGTAGTTGAGTTTATATGAGCACCGCGGACACAACCTCAGCTTCACCAGCGCGTTCTTCCGTTCCCTCGCCTCGACATACGCGAAATTAACTTCCCATGACCGTAGGTTGGGGTTTTCGTCGCATGATAAGTTCGCACATATGAACTGCCCTTTCCCTGCAACGACTTCCTTCTGGGTTCGCCAGCGCAGCGCAATCTGGGATGTTTTGTAGCGGGATAGGTTTGCGACGCAGTACTCTTTGAAAAGCTTGTCATAGTACTTTTTGGCGACGCGGGCTTCCCAGGTAGTCTCGGATGACTCGTCCTCGTCTTCTCGGAGAAACCTGTGCTGCTCCTTCAGGATGTCGACGTCGCTTTTCTCGACCTTCTGCGGCTGGTTGCTGACTTGTGATTGATAGTAAGCCACATAATCTGTCATCATCTTCTTGTGCCTCTGAAGAAAGTACTCAAATCGTTAAGGGGAGCTCTGGTCCAGTATCAGGCGTCCCATTTTCCACAGCCTAACCTGGAAGGCTGTAAGACCTGAGAACTCCTTGCGAAAGACCTGTGTCGTGACATTCCGTTGACCTTCCGCGACGACCTCTGCAGAAGTTCGTGGCTGCTTGAAGGTCACAGGGAGCGGAAAGTATGTTTGAGACATTCTCACACTGTTTGACGGGCTGATAAATGAGTTCGTGCTCTCCGTTTTCTGTCGTTCCGGGCGAAGCTTCTCCCAAGTCCCGACTTGAAACTGGTTTGCGCAGCAGCAACCCGAGTTCGGACACGCCCATCATTAGACTGATGTTGACAACCATATGATCAGGAATCATGCAGTTTTCTTAACCTGGAATCAACCGTACCGCAAATCGGCTTGATGTGTGTGGGGGGGCAGTTGTGATCGGACATGGCCGCCTTTCCCCTGCGCGCATTTGCCTCCTTTTCCCTCCTCATATCCGCTCCTTTTCAACGCGAGCTACTCCTCACTTGCAAAAAGTGACGGAAAACGACCCCATTTTCCCACGGACCTCTCGAGAACAAAAACCCCTCTCCCACGGGACACTGAGGTTCGAGGAGGCAACGGCAGTCGAGCAGTCAATCGGTTGTCGAAGAAGGACAGCTTTCGGACCCATCTTGCGTTGTCATCGCCCAAGGTTACAGCGTCGGAGGACCACCTAGTACAGACTACTCGCAGCGCCTTCGACCTCCGCCGTACTTTCTGCCGCTGGATGCGAAAGCTATAGAAAATCTATCAGTGGAACTCGAGTACTTTGTCCGAAGGAAAGCGTGTTATTGCCTGCGATCGTGAGGTCGGCTGCATTCAGAACGTCAACGTTTCGACGCAAGTAACGTGGAGAGACTCTCCGTTCGGCCTGTCTTGACGCGGAGAGAGAGGGGTTTTGAGAGGCAGCTTCCGGCTGACAACCCACTACGCGAGCCATGTACTCGCCAGCTGGCGCTCAGCGTGAGAATGCACGACCACCAGAGCTTCCGCCAAAAGCAGCCGCACCTACCGCGCCTTTGACACGAAATCCACCTCCGAGTAGCTTTCCCGAACCACCGCTGATTCTCTCCGACAGGAAAGGAGGTGCACAGTTTTCCAGAGGCGGCCTTCTGGGAGAGGTATGCGCGATTCGTCTTGCGCGATTTCGAGGCCCGAGCTAAAATCGAGCAATTGCTGCCATCCAGGGCGGATTTGCGCGTTGCTATGAGGCGATTGATCCAACAGGCGCTCGATTCGCCGTAAAGGTCATTTGCAAAGCGTCACTGAAGTCCTCGAAGCAGAAGCAAAAGGTTCGCAAAGCAACCACCCTTTCAGCCGTGGGAAGAAGCTTGCTAAGAAACCTTCGTAGCTGATTGCAGAGATTCGGATACATCAATTGATGTCACATCCACATATAGTGGGGTTCAAACAAGTTTTCGAAGATGATGACTTTGTCTACATGATTTTGGAGCTCTGCGAAAATAGGGTATGGCTGATCTCGATGTGGCGTGGGAAAGGATGGGAACCCCACAGCTGATCAATCGGCCTCCATCGCAGACATTCGTTGAGATGCTGAAGAAGAGACGAAGGTTGACCGAGCCTGAAGTACGGCATTACATGTGGCAGCTGCTGGACGCGGTCTCGGAAGTGCACCGTCGAGGAGTAATACACAGAGACTTGAAACTCGGCAACTTTTTTCTCACGCGAGATATGAAGCTGAAGCTGGGGGATTTTGGACTGGCGGCGATGATTAAGCACGATGGCGAGCGCAAAAAGTACGGATCCTCAGAAGGAGCGGCGGATCTGAGAAACCGAAATGAAGGGCATCCAACTGACGGCCTGCTTGTAGAACTATTTGCGGAACGCCGAATTACATAGCACCGGAAGTGCTCTTCGACACGCAGGCAGGGCACAGCTACGAGGTGGACATATGGTCACTCGGTGTAGTCATGTAAGCCACTTTCTGGGTCTTGAAATCTTGTATCAGGCGTTGAGATGAGGTTCTCCGCAGGTTCACATTCATTGTGGGGAGACCACCTTTCCAGACGAAGGATGTAAAGGCGATCTACAAGTGAGTCTGGGGTCTTATAACGTTCCACTATGGCCCACGAGGCTAACACCTCTCATAGGAAAATTCGCGAGAACCAGTACGAATTCCCTGCACAGCTTAAGATTTCCGATAGTGCCAGGTCAATGATCGAGTCTCTTTTGCAAACCAGGCCAGGTACGCGGCTTACTTGTATCGGAGGTTGATAGTTGAGAATGTGCACTGATACATGTTGCATGGTCCATACCAGAACTCCGTCCATCTGTCAGCGACATAATGGGACATGACTTCTTCAGCATGCAGCCCATCCTCCGGACAATGCCTGTATCCGCTCTGACATCAATACCAGAAGCCGCCCTCGTCGATACCACAAACCCCTCAGCGCGAACGTCACCGGATCCATTCCTCTCCGTGTCGGTTAGAACTCCTTTAAACGAGAACTTCTCCGCACCTGCCGACAACAGAAGTACCGTCCCCATGCCAATAGGTTTGCATCCGTGGGCTTTCTTAGCTGTTTCTTTACATCGACAAATCTGCTGACCCCGACATCGACATATTCATCCCACCTTTCAATAGGCAGAACCTCCCTTCGGTCGCCTGCATCGGCGCCAGGTATGGGTACAATGGACTGAACATTCGCGTTCTCCCGATGCTAATGATATATGGACCTGTAGGACCAAAGCCGTCCGACATGGTGATCCGCTCAAAGGGTAAGCAAGCCTTACGGATGCAACCATCATATTTCCTCGCTCTCGCTCACTTCAGTTCCTCTTCTGCAGCTTCACCTGCCAAGCCTCAAAGTCCTCCCATAAGCGACTTCGAACGATTACGGGTCGATGTAGCGGAAAACAGACCACCCACGGAAAACAGGCCTCCGATACCAAGTTCTTGGATGCGACGAACGCAGTCACATGATTCCGATCGGTGTGTTGAAACCACTTTTCGCATCGGCTTTGCTTTGAAAAGCGAACTCACCACGTATTATGCAGGAATGGTCAGCGATCGGATAGCATCCCCACGAAGCCCAAAGGTAAACTATGAGTTCTCATCTGATCCTGTTGAAGCCCGTACTGACCCGTCGGAAATCACAGTGGCTCACCTGCCAACCCCCGATCCTGAGACCGAGTTCGAAGATAGACGTGCACCGTTGCGCGCAGATTACAAGAATTCCTCTGCGGAGCGGAATGGCTCTAGCGAGGAACCAGAGATGCGTGCGCCACCATCGCCGTCAAGTGAACGGACGAATTCGAGACCTTCTACGCTGTCCGCTTCGTCATCGCGGAATCGTGGCTCAACGACGTTGTCGTCCACGCGGACGCAAGAAAGTAAGGAGAAACACTGATATCTTTAGTACCCCGTTTCATATGTACTGACTTTGGGAATCTGAATAGCGGGCCCACGGCGAAGCCTGAATATGGTGGCTGCCATGCACAAGAACCTGCAAGACGCCTTGAGCGATACTAGGGACGTGGATGGAAGATCGCTTGATGCTGAGGGTAAGCGATACCTGCTTCCGAAAAGATGTCAGCACCCGGCTAAATGAATAATCACGCCCAGATATGAAATCACCCTCCCTCTTCATCACGAAATGGATCGACTACTCGAACAAGTATGGTTTGGGCTACCAGCTGCGGGACGGCTCGGTAGGCGTGTACTTCAATGATGCAACTAGTATCATCCTTGCAGCGGACAACCAGTAAGTATTACGGAACAGCTGGCGCTGCTTTTCTCTCCCGTATGGGATCTGATCTGTTCGCATCATATCAGTCATTTCGAGTACCTGTACTATGACCGGGGATCCGATCGGCCATTCATGCACCGACGAGCGCATACCATGACCGAGTTCCCTAACGATTTGATGAAGAAGGTGACGCTATTGAAGCATTTCCGGAGCTACATGCAGGAAAACCTATATAAGGTAAGGAGGCGGAGGCTTTGAAACGGAAATCCGCTTCGTCGGCTGTTCGTCTCTTTTACTTATTGTTCCACTTAGGCATGCAAGGAGACCTTACCCACGCCGCCGCGGACGGAGAACCTGCATTTCCTGACAAAGTACCTGCGGACGAAACATGGTGTCATCTTCCGGCTGAGCAACCATGTTCTTCAGGTATGCATCCACACTGCGGGACCTCAAAAGTCAAACTTGCAGAAACTGACCTTCCTATCCCCAAAATCAGCTCAACCTCTTCGACCACTCGAAAGTCATTCTCTCCAATGACGGTCTAACCGTAACCTACATCGACCAGCGCCGCGAATCCTCCACCAACTCGTTAGGCTATTTCACGCGGACGGGCAACAAGGAGCTGTTGGAGAGGCTCAAGTACATGAAAGAGGTGCTGCATAGTATGCTCGTCAAGAAACAGCAGCGGAGTGAGGACGCCGCGGCGGCTGCGGCCAATGGAATGAATGGCAACCACCACCAACAACAAGTTACGTAGCCCTGAGTGTGCTCACGACTGCCATACCGTGCATCGCCGCTCGGACAAGGCACAGAGCGGATTCCGACTCGGAAGCTATTCCCCGAACTACGCGCTATTCCTGAGACTGCAGCTCGGCGCCAAGACAGTCCAAGAACGTTCGTCGCGATCGCTCAGCCCTCTTCGAACCCACCTTCCACCCCCATGCGCTTCGGTCTGTGAGACCGCAAAGGACGTAAACTTCCTCGTCAATTTCAAGACACTTTATCAAGATATCCTGTGCGCTTAGTGTATATTTCCCCTTTCGTTTTGCTTAATCTTTTTTCACATGTATGTACAAAGGAACGTAGGGATGGGAGAAGGACAATTTTGCTGGTGACTACGGCGAAGGACGCCGGTGTGTTGGTCGCCCAAACTGTGTATATTATACAGAGACGTAAGATAGCACACGCGCCGTTTGGGCTGTTGTGGAGGCGATCAGTTGCGCAGTCTGACTTTCGTTGAGGCACCTGTCAGGTTTCCCAGAATGTTATTCGGGAACCTCCGCTTCATGCGCTGGGAAGTTCAATTAAATCAAATGCCCCTGGCCCGCTCCGTGTGGCTCTCCTTCCACGGCACCCTCGTCGTCGTTCGCAGCACGGGACGCGATACCGGCCAAACGAAGTGGGTGCAAATTGGGTAACGCTACAAGAGAAAACCGGTTGAGCTGAATGAAAAGCGCTCCATCGAGGCGGAAAGATCAGAAGTTCACCTGGCTCCAGCGTCTCCTCAACGCCTTCGAATGTCACCTTGGTCCCATCCAAGTTGAGTGCCGAAAGGTTGACCATACCTGCGATATGTTTCCGCAAGATGAAGTTAGTGTGCGCGAGATCCTGGGAAGGGAAGCACCTCCCATCCCTTGTAATCACCTACCCGTCAGATAAGGCAGCCCTTTATCATCCACCAAAGTCCTCGCCAGGTTGAGTACGCGGATCATCCGCACGGATTCGGAATGACTGAGGTACTTCAATCCTGGAGACCTGACGTTGGTGGACGCGATGGAGAGGGTGTGGAGGTTTTCGAGTGCTGCGAAGAAACCGTCAGCCCAGGCTGTCCCGGGGGAAGACCAAAAATGTGGGAAGATAACAAGCGCCGTACATTTCAAGAATGAGATAGTCTCGTCCGTGATTCCGGTCCGGTCAAGGTGCAGGTGGGTGAGGCTGGCAAGCTGCGGGAGGCAGCCTCGTAGACTGGCGTCGGTGACTTTCGTGGCACTCAAATCAAGTTCCGTCAACCTATTCATCCAGGGGTTCATAGGGGGAATGCTAAACCATTAATACCCTGTAAAACGAAACGCTGAGGGCACGCGGTCGAGTACATACGTAGGGGCTAGCTTGTTCAATCCTTCTATTGTTTCGTCGGTCACATTGATCATGCCGCCCAGGTCCAGTCGGGTGAGTGGGGTGTCGTAGTACAATCCTATTACGGGCGTCAAATCGATTTGCCGGGAAGGGAATGTGATTTGTGACAAGTTCCTGAGCACTTTGTTGGAGGTGAACTTGGTAAGCGAACTATTCGCAACGTGAACTCAATCACATAGCTTGGACACTCACATTTCGCCGCTGCCCCTAAACCTGCAACTCCAATGCCGATACATCCTCGCAACCCAAGCACTTCCAGCATGCTCCACTTGTGAACGACGGCGATCAAATCCGCATCACTCAATCGGGTCGAACCCACTTCTAGAACGCGCAACCCAAAATCGCCATTCCGGGGCGCAACCGCTGGCGAGACCAGCGACACTCCCGTGATATCGACAACATCCAGTTGCTCGAAGTGCTCCAGAATGGGGAAGATCCGATTCGACGTTATCGAGCAGTGCGCGATGTTCAGGGACACCAGGGTTTTCGAGAGAGGGCTTGATGACAGTGACACAAGTCCGGTTGTAGTGATTTTGGTGCGGGAAAGGGCAAGAACCTGAAGCGATGCAATGTCTACAATGGGAAGAGAAAGTCTATCAGCCTCACGGCGTACTTCTCGCGTTGAAGGTCCTAAAAATACCTGCTAGGTCCGGTATGCCATGGTCCGTAATGCGACAACCTGTCAAGTCAAGCTCTTCCAGTTGACGAAGAGCTTATCGAAGAAGCAAGGAATTTGACGGTGAGCACATTCTTATGGAATACTCGGCTACGACGAAGCTTACCGGCCAGGCTCTGAAGGGCTTGATCTGTGAGGACCTCACAGCCTTTTAGATCCAGTTTGTTCAAACATCCAAACCATTTTGCGGAGATGAGGTCACACCAGGAATCAGACACTGGCGTATGGGCCAACACCATAGTCTGGAAACGCACAGGCCCCAACCTTGCTAGTGTGGTCTTATCAAGTTGCCGATTCCTGATCAATGCCTGGAGTAGCTCCTCACCCTGATGAGCAGCGACCCGACGAAGTGATGATAGATAGAGGACCGATGTTTTCGGATTTTTGAGCATGCCACATGCTTTCTCCAGTGTCAGCTTTTTGAGGGATGGAACCAATTGTCGGCGTTTCGCGGCGGCGACCTTTCGTTTTAGGGGAACGGCAGGTAATGGCTGTACCGTCGCTCCGTCAGTCAGTCGATTCCCTGCACCCCAGTGATGCCCGTGGCCCATGCCACCAAATCCGTGACCAGGAAATCCCATCCCGTGCCCAGGAACCCCATCTTCATCATCATCGTCCTCCTCTTCTTCCATCGACCCCTCGTCGCCGCTTTCATCGCCGTCAACTTCCATATCCACCGGGCCTCCATCACCGTTCTCTTCGCCGTCCACACCCATTTCTGAGGAATCGCCGTCATCCACGTCATCATCGTCCATTGCTGTACCTTGATCGAGGGCTCCTGAGAGGGGATGAGTTGGAGATGCAATACCTGCACCGCGGATCACGTTCAAAGAGGCGCTTGGGCAAAGACCTGGCAGGCGCAACCAGGCCATGCGATTGAGCAAAAGACGCGACGCTGGAAAGAGACAAAACTTTCTCTTACCAGCCTCTGAGAGGGACTGCTTATCATCGTCCAAGAAAACTCGCCTTGGGAAGGGCTGGAGAAGTGTAAATTTGGTGCTAACAACGGTCTCGTCCATGCTTGGGGCATTTTGACCGATGTGTGCAAAGAGAGAGTGGACGCTGCTGGAAGCGGGGAGCACACACTTTATGAGTGTGTTGGACGGAAATCGAGCCTGAGCAATGCAAAGTCGCAAGTTGTAAGCTATGGGTTCCGAATTTAGCGCGTCATTGTTTCCGGACGTACCTGGATCGTCGTAAAATCAGACTTTCGAGGAGACGGTGCGGGTGCGATCGATGTTTCCTGGGCGGGTGGCACTTCAGGGAGCGCAGCGCCTGATTGCAAGGACTGTTGTTCCGTGACCAACGTCTGCGGACCCTGCGAGGTATCTTGGTCCTGAAGGTTCTGACCAAGAGTTCGCGATCGCAGCTATAAATCGAAGAACATCAGATAAGCAACGTTCTGGCGTATCCCGTCATAATACAATGGTAGTACCTCCGCCGCAGCCCGCCTCTCGTTTCTGACTCTCTCTTGCTCGGCACTTTTGGGATCATCAGAGCCCAACGCTGGCGGCTGAGATGGGGAATTAGATGCGTTGGTTTGGGGCGCCTTCCTCCGCTCCTTCATTGTCTGTCTATCCTCCTCGATCTGTCGCAGGATCTGTGAACGGGCCTAGAATGACGCAGCGTCAGACCAGCATCGAAGGATAGATGGAGAGACAGCGCTTACATCGGCTTGAAAGCGCTTTGCCTTTTTCGCCGCCTCGAATTCTTTTGTAGCAGCCAGTCTTTCGCAATCTTTCCGATTTGTGATCACTCTCGACGCGACGAACTGGCCGGTATCCATACGATTGTCATTGCTGCTTGTCGCTGACGTATAGGGATGGAAAATTGGCTGGGCAGCTAGGGTCGAAGATCGATCTGGCGCTGAGGATGGCCCCGTTCCCAATTGCAGTCGCGGAGCGGCAACGTCACCGTCCAAAGTGTCGCTCGTAGTCTTCGACAATATCCTTCGTTCAAACGCGTAGCATCAGCGGGATGCCGTTTTCACTAGAAACACCATAACCAAAACGAGACGGTACTGGTTTCCCCCACCTCCGTTTCGCCGGTTGGCTCACCAAAAAACAGCGTCCTCAACCGTAGCATATGGGTTGAATTCGAGCGCCCTCCTCGAAATGAAAATATCAAAACCCATCTCGAGGAGTTGCCCCAATGTAGCGTCTTTCAAAGCATCAGCGTCCATTGTGTCTTGTCCTTGGTCGTTGCACTTCAATACAAGGGTGATTTGTGGGTAAGGGCACTGGGAGTGAGATGGAGATCGTCTGGTCTCAGCCCTTACAGTGACGTGAGCAGTAGTTGAAGGAGTACTGTACCACGTGACCGTCGATTTCTTCGCGCCCCCAAGCCACTTCCCAACGGAGCTATAAAAGGGAAAGAGTCGCCCGTCTTATTCCTGCTTTTCTCCCACAATCCAACCATTAGATTACACCGCGAGGATGAGTGGAAAGGCTCAAGTATGTCCTCACCGGTTGTCCTCGGGCGCCGGTTTGACGGATTGTGAGAGAAAAGTGCGCTGCCCAAATTACCTTGTATTTTGAAGCGCCTTCGCGACTCTGAGTGGGTAGCTTTGGTTGTGATTGTCGTTTTGGAGTCGCCGAGTTCCGGAAACGCAGATCGATATCGAATAAGGTAAGAGAGGGTGTGACAACTAGCACCTAGAATAGTAGCGCACAACTTGGTGAAGTGATGTCACCTTGAATCCGACCAAATTTGTGGGGATACTTCAAATTATATAGACTACAACGGTATCTGATCCGCCAACGAAATTGCGTTCGATTGTACTGAAAGAATCAAGAAGAGTGATCCGAGCATTATACTAATCTCCCCCTTCTCCATTTTTCTCATCATCAAAAAGGGTTCAGCTCTTCTATGCTCAATGGCAACACCTGCCAGTCGCTTCCGTATCACCTGGCGGCTGGGCCTCTTATACTTGATCTACAAGGCGAGCAAACTACTGCAACGACGTCTTTGTACATCCATATAGTAGGCCCGGCCAACAAGGATCACTTGCACCAACTCAAATCAAATGCCAATCGTGCATGGCCATACAGATCCAGGGGCATCATACGCCGCCGCCGTGATTCCCGCCGATATTTTTGTTGCCATATCGGTAAATGTTGTTTTGCATGTCAGGTCGATCCCCCCATCTTTGGATGGCGTCGTGCTGAAAGTGTGCCTGCTATTTGCGCTATCGCATTGAACATGGAAGTTTGGCTGAGCACTGGCTCCTAGGGATGACCACCCGAGTCCATGCGTGTGCGAGGGGCTTCCAATGAGGTGATGCCCAACGCTCGGATCAAAAGCCTGCCGGTGCATGTACTCGAACGCGGTCCTCGGGCATCGCTAGTCCAATCCTCGTCAGCTCCTCTCCCCCGTACATATACAGTACGTTGCGATAGCATCCTAGCACAAACAGGCATACAGTATGCCTGACGAAGTTGATGCCAACCTTCCCTCCGAGAAAGGGCGACCGCATAGCATTTTTCGATGTCTTTCGATGTCTTTCCGTGTTGAGCCGGTTTCTGACGCATTTTCCAATGTCCAAGTCGCCCCGTGCAAGTTGCAGCTTGTCCACGTCGCTCACGGAAATGAGGCTTGGAAGTTGATGAAGCGTGGCGTTTGTGAGGAGTGGACGCGCTATCTCTCCCTTTTCCCCTTGAACCCATCTCCGAGATGGGTCGCAACACTGTAATCGTCCCAACACCTTTGCCGTGTAGCCCTCTAGTCCGATAGACCCACCTTGACCAAAGAAGAATTGGAAGGAGAAGCTACTGTACTATCGTCAACCAGTTTTCAATCCAGCCCGTTGGAGTAGCGAAGGTCTGAGAGGAAGGTCTGAGAGGCTCAGAATTCAGTTCCCAGACCCCGTAGATCACAAAACATCATGGAACGGAAGGTGACGAAGGTTTACGGCAAGAAGAGGCGTCCTCCTGCCTGGCCCGAATCCCGCATCGGTAGCCCCGGCGACGCCCAGCTGTCCGTCAAAGCCTTCCTAGAGGCGACAGGATTGAGCACAGCATCGCCTGCACCAAAACCACCCACAGTCAAAGTGCCGAAGAGTATCAACCTGGGACGACGGCGTCCTCCTCGAAAGCAAGCTTCGCCGATCAAGCATAAGCGTGCTATGAAATACGACGACGATGACGACAACCTCGCGGTGCCGGAGCTCGACCGAAGCATCCAGTCTGAGAAAGGCACGTGTGACGAGGACCAAGCGAAGCGCTCAGCACTTGAAATCGACAAACCAGAGCGGCGTGTAACCCGTGATTATGCGGCTCGCAGTAGCTCAAGAAAGAAACCATCGCGAGATGTTTCCTCCAAGGTGCCGGAGGTGGATCAGAGCATTGAGTCTGAAACGCTACCATTCGATGAGATCCAAGGACAGCGCTCATCAGTACATGAAATCGCCGAAGAGGAGAAGCGCCCTACCCGCGCTCCAGCGGGCCGCACTAGTTCGCGAAGACGATCAACGGCGAAGGTATCCTCCGAGGTTCCGGAGGTTGATCGAAACATCGGGTTCGAAACGTTGACCATTGACGACAATCGAGGAAAAGGCACAGCGCGCGACATCGGAGAACAGGAGAAGCGCCCTAGCAATGCTCCAGTGATTCATACTAGTTCGCGAAGAAATCCATCGGCGAGAGTATCGCCCAAAGTTTCGGAGATTGTTCGAAGCATTCAGTCCGATGAAACAATAACTGTTGAGGAACAAGGGAAAGGCGACGAATCTGACAACGGACGACCGGAGGAACCTCTCACCCGTGCTCAAGCGGTCCACATTAGCTTGGCAGGAAGGAAACCACTAGGCAGAGTCTCCTCCCAGCTTCCGGATTGGGATCCCTTCGAACAAGCATCACCTGGTGAGGCGATTGCCAGGACGGATGTGCCGAATGAAGACTTTCTGATCACAGAAGATTTATTTGAGCGCCCACCGTCTTCCCCCGTACTGCACCCAACTAGTCTGGAGGAAAGTCCCACAATGGGGCGCAATGAAACTGACGAAGATACATCGTTGACAAAGGTGGCAAAAAAGCGACGCGTGACGATCGCTCAGCCCGTGGCGGAAGAGGAAGTTCTCACATCAGCCGTCAAGAGACGAGCGAAGAAGTCCATTAAGTTCTCTGCCTCGACCATCTTACGTTCCCTGGATCACGACGAAGAATCCCATGCACCCGAACGCTCACTGAGCAGGTCGCCGCATCGTATGGGCCGTATGAAGAGGAAGAATGGATATGAAGAACGCGAAGAGGTACGTGTGGACTTCCGCCACTAGGGACGCGTGCAGTTGCCTTACATTCCGATCTCTGTTTTGCCAACAGATGGATGAAGCCGAATCCATTGAAGAGAACGCGGAAACCCATAAACATCGGAAGAGGAGTCGCGATAGGCCCGCTGTTCCCACAGATGATGAAGAGCTCAGCAATGAAGATCCCATTTCCGAGCCGCCTAAGAAGCGCAGGCTTTTGCGTAAGAGGTATGACACCGGCGAGGTCGCAACCTTGGACAAAGCCTCTTCGATCGTATCGGACCCCTGGCACGACGAAGAGGAGAATGTCAACCAGATTCGAGAAACCCTAGGAGAGGCCCTATTACAATCGGCCGCTGCGGAACCCATCACCGCATCACAGTCGGACACTGCTGCGCCCATCGGTGATGATCAGGGCTGCGATTTCAGACTTGGTCGGCGGCCCCCGCGCGCCATGCGGAAGGGCAAGGCGAAGACCGTAGGAAAGGTAGGCCGAATTGAAGCCTCTTGTTGTGACTTGTTCCACCGCTCATACCATCACGTGCAGGCGATTCAGCGCAAGCGTAGGACAGGTCGCGTTGATTCCACTGTTGCATCGCGTGGCATCGCAGGGACAAATGGCGAGGACGTGGAAAACGAAGGTCCTGAAACGGGTCCTCAGCCTTCCGCTTCGCAAGGTGAAGAGAAGCCTAACACTCAAGCAGTGCAAACTACCCTCCTCGGGATCGCCGAGCGGAACAAAGCAAAGTGGGACCGTGCCATATCCGTGCAAGACAAGCGATATGTTCGTCGGGAACCAGTCAAAGGCAGGACGGGCGGACCGGCCGACTCGGATGACGATATCCCACCTTTGCCGCCCCCTCTTCCCTATCTGGACTCCGAGATTGAAGAAACCAACTCGGGCACTGTTGCGCATCCTCGACCGAAGCGCAAGCGAAGAAGGAAGGAGCGGAGGTTGCTTCCTGATTCGCAGGCGGCAGATGTACTACTCTCGGAGGACCCTGCGCAACAACATCTTGGTTTTCCGGACGATGGCTTCCCTGTTCTGAGGTATGACGATCGCGTATGCAGTGAATCGAAACCTCCATTTCATACCTTGCCCTCTTAGAACTCTGCATGGCACACTCACCAATCAGACTTTTGAAGACCTATTCTGTTGATTCCTACGTCATTGCTGTCATTTCATACTATAGACTGTGGCCTTCCTATGCATTCCTCCTGCCATTCATACCATTTTATCAGCACGTTTCACGTTTTTCGGACTTTCCCGTATGTCTAGCCCTGCTTCTCATATCATTTTCATGTTCATGTATTGTACATATGTTTCGCCGTTACTAAGACAATTGCTCTTCCTTTCCAAACCGTAATCTCGCTCTTGAAATCGACATTGCCATGTTTGCTGGTATATGAAACCCCCTCCTTCTCGCTCTCTAATATATGTGTATACTGTACACATGTGTACATTACGCCTACAGTCACTTGTACTATCGATGGAGCTGTGCTTTATGAGACACCGACTGATCAAAATGGGAAGACTCATGCCGCCCCTCGCCAGGAAGCGACACGTAAGGAGGTGGCACCCTGCCGGATCGATGAGAAGGTATCCGCGGCAACGGCGCTGCGTGAGAGTCGTGCGTGGTTCGGCGTGTAGGTAAGGCCGGCCTCCGTTCGCCAGGAAGCGACACGTTTGAGGGAATCCTGAACGGCGGTGGCAGCCTGCCGGATCGATGAGAAGGTATCCGCGGCAACGGCGCTGCGTAAGAGTCGTGCGTGGTTCGGCGTGTAGGCAAGGCCGGCCTCCCTTCGCCAGGAAGCGACACGTTTGAGGGAATTCTGAACGGCGGTGGCACCCTGCCGGATCGATGAGAAGGTATCCGCGACAATGGCGCTGTGGGACCGTTATGGGTGGTATGCCGTGTCGAAATCAATGCACCGGAATACGGAGCCGGTAGAGGCATCTCCATCAGTGGCGACCGTCCGCCTACCAACGTATCGTCTGAGCGCCCCGGACTTACGCCCTGCAATCGTATCATCTCCACCTCGTCCCCATATCCTGACCCCATGGCCCACGTCAGGGATGGCGGCCGGGGCTGTCGATGCTTTGGCACCACTTTATCCTGCCTCGTTAAAGCCAGCTTGAGGAGGAGGATGCAGCCCATGAACACCACGGTGGAAAGCATGAAGATGCTAGTTATCCCTGCCGGCGTTTTCACGAATGGAGGTTTATCAACCAAGATTGCGTTGGTGAATGGAGATGTGGAGGTGCTGGGGGTGGAAGTGGAGGTAGAAGTGACACTCGTTGCGGATGTCAAAGTGGAGCTGGAGGTCGGATCAACCAACACGACAGTTGCGACGGTGCGAATCGCGGAGGACGCTCCCCCGATATTGGTGACGGTTACGAAGATGGTGTGTTGGACCGCGGGACTTGGGGTTGATAGTGGACGAGATGAAGGGGTGTGCACCGTCGTCGGCATCGACGGTTCTGTACGGTGCGATGGTGGTTCTGAGGCTGCAGTAGGCTTCGGAGAATCATGCTCGGTCTTTAACGTTGCTACAGGAGGGTCGTCGTCTTCGGAGACGGTGGTGCGTCTCGAAATCGTCGATGTCGCCTTTCCGTCCATTGTCCAATCTCCCGAGTCCCAACCCGGGCACTCTTTCGCTGTCTCCCTAGAGACTTGGCTTCAACCCATGGCTTTACATACGTGCGGCAGGGCAGAGACTATTCCTTTACGGAGAACTCGCGGTTAGTATTCGTACCATCTTTTTGTGAAACCGCTGACCGTCGACGGTGACAGTAGGATGGCGTCTTGAGCACTGGCAACGGTGAGCACCTCCATCGTTATGCGCTTTGAAGCAGTTATGCCAGCCCGCCTGTTGTGGTGACATCGATGCTTTCAGTCACAGTATTCTGGTGGACTATGCTTTCCATGATGAAAGAGCCTCCGAGGCTGCAACGCGGCGCGGGAGAGCAACTGCGTTCGGTGTCAAAAAGCGGTCAATCGTCCACAACCATGTTCTCGGAAGCCCGCGTGAAATTGGAAATTTGACAATCTAATGCTGGTCACCAAAAAGCACCAAAAGAGGACACGGAGGCTAGGTGTGCATGATTCAAGATTGACAATTTGACGTGCAGGAGGCTGCCAGATATATACGTATCTGGTGACGACGCCCCAAGGACACATCATTCCGAGCATAGCCATCGGCTCAAGTTACCGACCCCATGCAAAAACCCAAGATGGCAGGACGGCAAGACGGCAGGACGGCAAGACGGCAAGACCGACCGCCGGCCGGTGACTTCTGGCAACAACCCGTCGTAACGAGATATCTGGCAGCCTACTGTACTGTTTGTACTGTATGGTCACCACTCATCGAGGCTTCTTTGAGCGTCGATACGAGGTAAGCATATCAGTTGAGAACTCAGGGAAATCACTCAAGATTGGGTGGGGCATATCAAGGACAACGAACTGTTGGTTGAGATGCTTCATCCCAATTCGGTATGTTGGGATTGAGACTGTGCCATCCTTCTCCTCATGACCATACCGGATGTTGTGGACAAGAAGACCTCATCCAAGTCGAGTAGGGAATTGAGCATCATGTGAAGGCTGCGAATGTTTTCTGAAGAATCTGCATGAATGATGGCACTGAGGTGAGGATCACGGCATTCACTGTTTTCAAGAACCAAGCACATTTTGCAGATCACAGAAATGATGATTGAGATCCGAAGTCCGCCGCAACTAACAAACAGGAACTTTGGCTACAGCAACCACCGATGATGTCCGCTTTTTCGTCTTGACCGTGGTGCTCTGCAGCTTTTTAGTCCCCCATTCTCGTCCAATGGCCACAGCATGCACACTTCTTCCAAAGCTCTTCGTTGGAACAGGTTTGAATATGCGCGCCCCTGAATCGTACTTGTAGTATGCGAGGACCTCGTTGGTATCTAACACGTCTGGTCCCTGTGTTCCTGGGTATATCTTGAGGGCCTGGTCAAGATGCGGATCGTATGAATAGAGACCGCGGAAGGTTTGAGTTGAGGGTGCATGGAAGAGGATAACAAAGTGGGATGCATCGGTTGTTGCAAGATCCTGGATGGGTTGAACGAGATGAGCGTTTCGCGAATGTGAAGATTTCGGCGCGCTCGAGGTCGGAGAAAGGTCCGATGCACCAGCCAAAATTGCCCAACCATACCTCCAGAACCTCAGCCTGGCATTTTTCATTCACACTGCCAGCCAGGCAGACATGAACCAATGCGTTCCTAATCAGCTGTCGATTGGATTGCTCTTTGGTGGGCGTCCGCCGAAGCACGGATCTCTTTGCTGCACATGTCGCGAGGGAGTCGTTGTCAGCCTGCACAGGGGTTGCTGATTCGGCTGCTGGAGCGATAGCGGCTCGTGATGGCGGAGTTTCAGCGCAGGATCGCTCTTGTCTTTCTCGTTCCGCTGCACGCTTCGATGCTAATTGCCGACTCCGCTCCTCCAGCTTCTGGGCTTGTAATTCCAAGCTTTGTCTGTTGTACAAGGCAGAATATGTGATCATTGGAGTGATTGGAGGACGAAACTTCGTGTACCAACGTTACCTCCGCAACGCCTCCCGTTTTTCTTTCTCTTCTTGTTTGCTCTGCGCTTTCTGATGAACCCCCGCCTCACGGGCTGCTTCCATGCGGCGGAGCGCGTTCAACTTCTTTGCCTACATACGGTACAACGCGATGAGATGGGGTGCGATCGCAGTTTTCTCAAGATGGCGTACCTTCTGCTCTTCGCGCCTGTCCATCGGCTTTTGCACCTTCGGTCCTGAATCTACCGGTTTCGTTCCTGTTGCTGTGACGGCGATGATGGAGTCGCCTTTCTGGCTTTCATCACCACCGGGCCTCGTCTGCTGGTTTTCAGCAAGTGGATCTGGATGTTCTGGCTCGAGACACGCCTCCCCATCAGAGCTCGAACTTGACTCCGACTCGTCCAGGGGATAGAACTGCAGGCCAGACACCGGTCGTGTCTGCCGCCCATGTACGATACCCTTCTTCTCCAACCCAAGGATATATCGCTCGGTGGGTCGCGAACTTGTCGGAAGCGCATGGCCCGCTGCTGGAGCGATTGGTGATGATTGCTTTGTTATCGTTTCGTTGTTCATCAACTCCAGGATCTCTGCTTTGCTACCTGTCGGGCTCACACATGATAGCCGGCGGCTCCTGCCCAATCGTGGCGTCGAACGCAGACTCTCCCTTGGTGAAGCGTGCAGCGAAGCTCGAGCCGAATCATCAACGCCTTCTTTCCGCTTCGCCCTCAGAGACGCCGCTGGGCGAGAGCGGGACGCGAAAGTTTTGGTATTTAAGGCACGATGTGAGCGGCGGTTCTGTAAGGAGGGAGTTGCTATTTCTTCTTCGGTGCTCCACCCCTCCTCTTCCTCTTCAGACACTTCCTGTGTTTCAGAAAGGCTCTCTTCATCAAGCCTTCTTGCTGTCTCACCAAAGTTCTCCTCCTCCGTAACCCACCCTTTATCGTCGGATGCACCGGGGTCTTCCTGAGACTGAAAACCTGCCTGCACTGGGACAGGGTTTCGTGCCGGCCAAAAAGGTGCAGCGCCTCGTGATGCAAATGATAGTTTATTGGAAGGTGTGACTTTCTGATCCTTGGGGCTACTTATGGGGGTTCCCGCAGGCTTCTTCAAACTCTCCAACGGCTGTCTGCGGCTGTTGGTTAATGTTCTGTTACTGGTCACGCCGTCGTTCGTTTTGGGGGATACTTCAGATGCTTTCCTGTTCACATTCTGAGGAATGGCAGCATCGCGCATCTCGTCTTCGATGGTTTTCGGTTGAGATTTTGGGGCATGGGACTTCATCAGATCTTTCAATACAGGTTTCTCACGTTGTGGCAGCAACGTTGCAGTTTCCTGAGCTCGTGATGGCGATGCTTGACTCTTCCTCCTTTGTGTTATCACAAATTTGGATGGTTCAACATGCGGCTTGAGCCATCGGCCCTGGCCTGCAGTTGCCGCCTCTGAACTGTCCTCTCTGGGCCGATTCGAGCTGGACGTCGCAAGATCCTGTCCTCTATCGAAAGGTTCATGGGACATTCGCTCAGTGGAGTCATCATACGTCTCGTCTATCGCAATCGTTACTGCCTTACTACACTCTGCCACCAGCGGCACCTCAGTGGAGGTAGAAAATAACACGTCGGTCTCTTCGATGATCATCGGCTGTGAAGAGCCGGGAAGGCGCGTAGGGGTGAAGATTGGCATGTCATCCAAACCGAAATCTGCATCCTCATCTACATCCTCGTCCTCATCTTCCCTGTCTGGTGTTTCGTAATGCGCTCCAACTTCAAATCGAGCTCCGTCCAGCCATTCTTCTGCGACCAACGCGCTCTGCTGCTTCATGATAACGCTTGCATCATCTTGATTGTCTGGATCAGATGTATACCTCATCGGAGTTCTGAAAACCTGGGCAGAGGGCCTGGCCTCGACACTGGTTTTGTGGGTTTCCAGCGTCGTAGAGGCGTGCTGTAGCCAGGCACCTGCGATGTCGCTCTTTGAGGGTGTGTGGGTAGATGCTGCGCTCTTGGTTAGGTCCGCTTTTGTATCACGCGCGATCGCTAAGTGCTGGGGACCGTCGGGTGGTTTGTCGATCGACAATTGGGGTGGCGGGTTTGCTCGCGACGACGGGCTCGAGGATAATGTATCTGAGTCCTGGTCTCGTGCCCGACTCACTACAGCCACCGCGGAATATTTCTGGGTTTCGGTAATGATGCTTTCCGATTCGTCATTTTGGGAATCGTCGTTGACAGCCGTATCCGCATTCGCATGGGAACGACCCTGCACATGGTCGATATGGGTTTCTCTCGATTCATTCGTTTGGGTGCCAGGTGCGATAGGTGAGTTCAATAGCTGGTTTGAGATGACTGCATCGCTCAACATGTCTTCCACCACTTCCTGTGATTCCGGCTCCATCCCGTGCGCATTCAGTTCATGGGCCCTAGAATGAGCGCTCCGAACAGTTGAGATGTTCGCAGCAGAACTGCGTCGAGAAGGATTCCCGTCAGCGTGCGGAACCGTCAGAAACGCTTTTGCGCTTGCTGCGATGTCGTTCGACTGAGACTCCAAGTTCTTCGGCGTGAGGCTCTTTCCGCTGGGAAGCACCGCTGCTGCGGGTTTTCGCGCACTGTTCGCCCGCGAATTGTTTTGTTGCGGTGAAATCTTCCCGATGGAATGTGCGGTCGGAGCGTCTGTAACTTTCGGGGCTTCCTTGTCTTTTCGGGTTGAAGATTTCTCAGCTGAATCTGTTTTTGCTGTTTTGCCCTTTTTCCGCGAACCATTTGCTTTTGCATCGGCTGCACGGTTAATATCATTCCCCTGGTGCTCTGCGAGCTTCGTCGCGGATGGTTTCGCGATACCGGCATCTGAGCAAACAGACGCAGGTGCATCTGCCTGAAGATTGGACGGTAATGCTGCCTTCAGGCTGTGGTCCGCGATGGCCGTCACTGCTTCCGAAAGCTCGTCCGCATGTGTGTCCTCTGCCACATACTCAGCAGCAGCTTCCACTTCACTCTCCGCTTTCGTTACAGGTTTTCTCCCCTGACATGCCCCAAAAAGCGCGACCACAATCGCCAGTAACACAAGCCTCAACGGACCTGTATCCGCCGAGGCCCTCGTTGCGTACTCCCACAACTCCGCCGCATTCCACGTGATGGTCATCTCTGGTATCCGCTCGCATAATGCCGTAAAGTATTCCCAGCTCCTTTCCTTTGATGGTTTGCCGGCTTTGTGGGAAGGAAAGTAGAGCTGAGCCGCTACGCACAGGACGTGGCCGGACATGAGCCCCGTTCCGAGGGTGTCTATTTCGCGTGGGATGGTCGGGTGCTGCTGAAGCTTGATTTTGCGGGCGGTGGAGAGACAGAGGTTGATCCACATTACGAGAGCGTCTTCGACGTCGTACGGATAGTTGGCGGCGAGGGGAAAGTGAGGGAAGTACTGCCTGAAGAAAGGTGTGGATGTCATTGATTATGATTGGGGAACATAGGGATCGGCGTATCTTACCGTATGTGGTTGACGACGTCCGGAATGCCAAGGTCCTTGCAGCTCGCAGCCAGCAGCGCCTCAATCAAGTTGCAATGTATAGACTGTAAAGGGAAAACGGTGAATATCAACACTCAATCATCTTCAACAGGCTATCTCCCCGTCCACAAACCTCATAAAACGGCGTATCATCAGCAATCATGTCACTGATCGAATTTCTCAAGCTGGCCTTGAACTTGAGGTACCCGTGGCGAGTCAACAGGTCCAGGTAGTTTGATGTCGAGTCGTCGAAGATGATACTTGCGGCGCGCTGGTAGAGGTCGCCGCCACGGAGGGCGCTGATGAGAGTGCCGCGAGGAAGGAGTGTGAGGTTGCCTTGCTGGCAGGTCAATGTTGTGGGAGGGTGAGGTTTTGCGAGGATGTGCGACGGACGAAGAATCATCCCTGACTTACTGGGTCATCTAGCTCGACTAAAAAGCCCTCGATAATTGCAGACGGGGCAGTTGTTTCCAATATGTGAGCATTGACATGTAGACATAGCCATCGAAGCGCTGGCTTGAATGAGAGCTGCAGATGCATGATTGAAGTTCAGGCAGGTTTATCAATCGTCCACTCATTGTTCTTCGGCGCGGGCAACGAGACATACTTCAGCAGCCTCATACCACTCATCACCACTCACGCCATCTCCATCTCCCATAAACTCGCCCAAGCCATGATCAACGCGCTCCTTCAGTCCCGACTCTGACCGAGCACCAGCAGATAGGTCAGGCGTAGGCGCCAAGCTGCTCTTCCGCGTCGCCTCCAAATCTGCGCGCATCCGTCTGAGTGCGCCGACAACCTCGCAGGACGCTTTAATGTCTCCATCTATAACACAATCAACTGTAGCTTCGGGGATCTGCTCATCGGAGAGACCAAGACACCTCAGGCCAGTAATCAAATCGGCCTTGATTTGTACTGATGTGTTGGAGCATTCCAGGGCTGCGGCGGATGAGTACCAGGAGAGATCTACGGCTTGCGGTGATAAGACGCTGATGATCTACGGGTTGTGGGTGAAAGGCCCGTTAAGCATTGATATCTTCGGATACAGTGAATGGATGGCAGTTGCAGACGCACCTGCAAGAAGACAAACCCGCCTTGTAAATCATCCCAGGTGATATCTTCCCAGCTCAGAACCTCTGCAACCCAGCCGAGTTCGGCCCCGTGTTCAGGAAAAGACATCTCTCTCTCTCGCTCGCTGATGTGGAGGCTGCCAAACGCTATCGGGACGTGGATTGATCTGGTTTTCGGACGGAAGTGGGGAAACGCGAGGACGCGTTCCTTGAATGCACAATCGACAGCGCGTTACCCGGCAATAGAAGACTCTCCATTGAGAAACTATAAAGTACGTGAAGTATCCTCGCAAAAAGCTGGCTCCCCCCCCAAAATCAAGTCAACGTCGCGGCGTCTGACTCGGACTGTACATGGTTCAGGGTCGTATATAGATGTCCGTGCAGGTGAAACCATAGCTTCGATGATGAGCCCAAGGGACTTCCTAATTCGCAAGGAGTCTTCGAAACTCGACTAGAGCTTACAAACTGGGAGGGAGCATACGATGCAGTGCAACAGATAGCCCAGCACCGCTCGCTTCTAGTTTGTCTCGCGACTGCCGGGCTGGATGCCGCCTTGCAGCGGTAGGCTTGCTTCGTTCATTATGATCAGAGAGGTATATGCAGTGGATGTTGCTTTGCCCGCAATGCCGTACTCATCATATGACACCCCTCTTCTGCGGTGTTGGTAGGCTTAGCTTAAGTAGATGCCCAGTAAGGTGGCCATTTTCCCAACTATTGTTTCTGCGAAAGCCAGCTTCTTGCCCATAAGCTCGCGGTACTGTCTGTATTTGGGATTGCAAAAAGTAGTCCGCTAGGATCTTTGGCAGCTGACTTACGAAAGGGCTAAAGGAATGAATCCTGCCAGACTTCAGACGCCCGGGTGAATGTGGAAGCGCTGATTGGGATGGTGACCAAGCGTTTCTCGGCGCCGTACTTAGCTGGAAGCTAGAAGGGCCATACTCCGACACAGGCCCTGAACTAGCGAAAACCCTGGTCCCCGAAGAGACGCTATACTCAAAAATGCAGTTGTTCCGCAAATGTTCAAGTCCTGTACAGCACTCGCGGGCAGACCGCTTTTGGACATGTCAATCCTTTAGCACGCCTAGTTCCCAAGGGCGACTTTTGTACCCAACGCAAGGCAGAGGTTCAAAAACTTTCTGCTCCGCCATTGAACATGGATTTTATGTAGATCTTGTACCTGGGATACACGTACTATACTTAGTTTCCTCAGAAATGACGTTCTGATGAGCAACAACAACGCCACACGGCCAGTCGGGTTTTGGGATCTCCTCTGTGCACACCGTCGTGGCGTCGCTAATAACACAAGTAATAAAGTTGACCGCCGTCGTTATTTGTACTCATACATACAATACTAGCTTCTTATGGCGGACGACGGGTTGACCCCTTTTGGTGGGGTCAGATGCCTGTTGAGGCTCAACAAAATCTTTCGCCAAATGCGCATGTTCTAATCAACTGTGTTAATCATTTGATTAAAATCTTGATCCTCAAGATGGGGCGGGGCGCCTCATGATGATTGGGAGCGGTATCGCATTTGCAAGTCTTTTGCAGCCAGCCACAAAGCTCCCTCTCACTCGCGCACGCCCAAACCCTCACACAAGCTCAGCTTAGGGAGCTCAGAAACATATTCACCCATTGGCCCGCCTGTCAGTCGCTTTCTCATCGCTCACTGGTTGTATAGTAAGCAAGCCGCAACAGAATATACAAGAGTTGTCCGTATAGAGGAGGGCATGCTCCAATACTAGTCCCTCTCACATAGCGGCTGCCCGGCAGAAGGAGGCTACCCCTTTACTGGCCTTGCGACGCTGTCAGGTACGGTATTTTCCTCCGAAGTCAGGCTGTCTAAGTTGCGGTGGCGGATTGACGTCGAGGAAGTCGTTCGTTCATACTCTCTCATATCAGAGTTTCTTATTATATAAACCCCGTCATAACGAGGCGGAAGGTTCGGCCAGCGACGTTCGTCTTCTCCGACTCGCCATTCCCTGCTTTAGACAGACTCCGATAGGGGAACCAATTTGGACATGAGTAGTCCTGTCCCATCCTCAGAGCTGTCAACTTTTTCCATCTCCGGCAAGCAGCTCGCGGACGCTGGCACACAGACTGACGGCGAATTCGCCGTTTGCGACGCAACAGCCACACCAACACTAAATATCACTTTACCGACTACGTCACAACTGTCTATCGTCCGCATCGAGGAAAGCAACCCACAGGGCAAAACGGAAAACAACCGCCGAATGTCTACCATCATAGTGTCGTCAAAGCCTGGCGGCGCTACTCTGGAAGGTGGTTCTGGCGACGACAGGTCGATCGTCTCTATCAACGTGCCAAAGCGGTTTTCTGTAAGTTCTGTGTCATCTATGAAATTTGCGGAAGACGCCGGTCGGCGTGACCACCGGGGCTCGAGAACGGGCAGTATCTTTATCACGCACGGGGACTCGGAGGAGATTTTGGCGATAGACGTTGTACCGACGGCGGGAGCACCTGATGTCAAGGATATGTCTACGGCTGCGAAAGACGCGCACGAATTCAAATACCCTGACCAACGTTCGGAGGAGAGCGTGCCTGCTCCTGCATACGAAGAAGTCGTCGGATCTCATTCAATATCAGAGCCACCTGTTGCTCAAGATACTCTGAACTCGGAACCCGCTGCTGTAAATCCGAAGGTTCCGGAAGAAACCAATGTTGAATCCAGTGTCGTGGAAGTAATCTCGGAAGGAATACAAACTGCGAGTGAGATTTCCCCTCAGGATATGACCTTGGACTCACCCAAAGCGAATGAGGGTTCGCTCAAAACAAATCTGTCATCTTTGCCAAAACTTCCACCTCTCGGGGTAAGCCTATACTTTCCGCACTATACGTATTATCTGACTTGTACTCATTGCGCTAATTTCCGCTCATGCCAGACGAGGGACTTTATCTCACAAGTTGAGATTGCCAAGGGCATCCAAAGGCAACTTGAGGACTGGCCTGTCCTAAAAGCTGGACTTTTGTTTCGGAAGCCGGTTCCTTCGTCGTCATCTTCAAGGAGTCTTCACAGCTCATCCACCTCGCTACAATTACGTGCTCCGGAAAGATCGTCCGCTCGCAGAATCTTAGGGAGGTCGCTGGGCTCGTTGCTGAAAGGCAAGAGGAAAACCCGCGAAGTCCCGAACTTCAAAGCGACATTCTTACCCGAGGAAGACGAATGGAGTCTCTACTACGCCGAGGTCCGGGGACGGTATCTGGTATTCTATGTTCTTCAGCCCATGATGGGTCAGCAGGAGAGGGGCGGTAGTGGCACGCTCGTCCGTCAGAGCTCAAGTTTATCCGTTGGCACGAGGGACTCCAGCTCCTCGACTAGGCCGTTTAGCAAATTTCTCAAATCATTCGCCAAAAAGTCCCAGGCGTCATTGAGTTCCCGGAAAGTGTCGAGAGACAGTCTGGAGCGTGTATCCTATGAATCCAGCCGTGCGTCATATGATCAACAACGAAGCTATCTTTCGCATTTGACACCGGAGGACCTTAAGAATGCACCGGTAAGTCCAGATTCTCCGAAGCAGTGACGTCAAATGAATGTTCTAGCACTAAACGTCCATTGTATCCAGCGAACCTTGGTGCATTACATTCCCCTGCACACTGCCACAGTGGACGCCGTGCACTCCTCTAAACCTGGATCGACGTCTGCCTATGCCAGCACCAGCTCGCTCACGGGAGGATCTATACTCGTTCTAAGCACTCTCCCAGTCGAACATCCAGAGGAGGATACAAGAGAATACCTCCTACTTGACGTCATCCTGCATGAGGATCTACTTGATGTCAACAACGAACTTACTGTATCGACGGTCAATTCCAACGTACGCGATGCACAATCTACATTGCGTCAAGTGGAACTCTCACATTGGATGGGTGCCATTCAAGAGGCATCTGATCTGTCTCCGCCAATGGATGAACCTACACCGGGCTCGGACAAGAACTCTAGCTCCAAATCCCTGCCGGACCTAATGCAGGAAAGGAAGATGTCAAGGGAGAGTCTGTCGCCGGTTGCCCGGACGCCAACGGACCAGACCTCTATTAGCGCCAAAAGCTTGCATGTCAGCCCGTCTCACGGGGGTCTTGCGAGTATTCAGGAATCGCCTAGCGCCTCGCAGTATGCAAAAGGCGTTTTTCGCAAACATTCTAGGACACCTACGGAAGGAAGCCTGCCATCGCTGCATCAGCTGTACTCTGACAGCCTGTCATTCCGTCAGACGGCGAGAAGTGAGGTGCTTAGCTCCTCTGCGTCAGTTTCAGAGCACCCGATTTCCGGATCAAGGGAGCTTCAACCACCCGCGCTACCGAAATCCTTCGCAAAGCTCTTCAGCAACAAATGGCGCAACACCTTCGATAAGGATGCACCTCGTGCACGACCCGTCATCTCCGGTCCGACGAACTTCACAAAAGTCGAGGTCACACCGGCAACACTTCTGGGTCAGGCCGCCGCTACTGGTCCGTCCTCGCCAACGAGCCCGGTGTCAAACGTCCAGACGGCGGAAGGCTCAGACGCACCTCCGAGCGCTGAGGCGGTCGTGAAGGAAGAACAGAAGAGGTCTGGATGGAGAGGGCTACACCGGAAACCTGTTGAGCGAGAAGAGATCAGAGACCGTTCCGGAAAGAACAAGGAGAAGGAAGGCAAACGTGAACCTGGGAAACGGAAAGACAGCAAAGCGGGACTTTCGCCGCTGGTCATCTCCAGTCCCATACCTCAGCCTACGAACTCCACACTCCCCTTGCAACAGCGGGACAATTCCCACCCGACAGACACCCTCCTCAGTCTCGCCCAGCTTCAGCAATCCAACGCAGGATTCTCCACCAAACCAACGCCTCAGCCGAGCGTAGCAACCTCGAAGCTCTTCTTTCCTTTCTTCCACAAGAATCTCTTTGCAGGCAAAGAGAAGGAAATACCGATAGTGATCTCACCTGCCGCCGAGCGTTTGCAGCGGTCGGGCACCGTGTCGTCGAGGGCGTCTACGATGAGGCGACGGGTTGGAAGGGCCCGTCCGGAATCGGCGGAAACTATGTCGAGCGATCGGGGGACGATTGGGAGTGCGTTCCGCCGTGCTGAGGGGGAGGTCCCACTTACGTTGAGGAAGTGCATTGAGTTGGTTGAGGAGATTGGTAAGAGGCCTGTCAGCATTTTCCTGATACAACGGACAGCTTCAAGTCTAACTATTCTTCCCGTGCGTAGGATTGACGACGGAAGGCCTCTACAGAATATCTGGTAGCGCAGCCACCGTCGAGCGACTTCGACGGCTTCTCGCCCTCGACCCCAAACGGGTGCACCTGCAGAACCAGCAAGTGTCGGGATCGCCAACCATCACTTCTCCCGTCCTCGACTTTGTCGCTGGAGCGGAGAAGCCTTTACATCGCGCGTCACAGCTGTCCTTCACCGAGACGGTGTCGAGCTCACGGTCCAGTTTAGAAATGAAACGCGCTTCTGGAGAGCATCGACAGCCCGCACGAAATCGCCGACTGTCCACCTCCAGCATACCCTCCGGTCTTGGCGGATTCTCGGGTTCCTCGCTCTATGACAATGACATTCATGTGGTGACGGGCGTGATCAAGGGTTTTTTGAGGCAGGGTCTGGGATCAAAAAAGATTCCATTGTGTACATTTGATTTGTACGAGGGGTTCATATCTGCTACCCGTAAGTCTTGCTTTTGCCCCACAACTGATCGACACAAGTATATTTAACCTATTGGTCTACAGAAATCCAAGATTGGCGCACTCGCATGATTGCTCTACAAGACATGGTTCACAACCTCCCACCGAACCATCTCGCCACTCTCAAATATCTATGCTATCATTTACGACGGGTCGCAGCAGAATCCGACAAGAATCGCATGACAGTCCGCAACCTGTCGATCATCTTTGGGCCGACGCTGTTACGTCCGCCACCAGCACTCGACAACATGGCGCGCATCATTGAAGACATGCCGTTCCAGTGTACCATGGTGGAGACCCTTATCGAGCAGGCTGACTGGGTTTTCGGACCCATTGAATATGAGGAGGTTGAGGAGGAGATCTTTGCTCCGGGAGTGGAGGCGTCGTTTTTGGAATGCGATGTGCAGACCTTGGACGAGGCGTCTGGTGGGGGGGTCGATGCGGGCATCGACGACTCTAGGGAAGGGGATGTTGCGGATGAAAAGGATCCGAGCGATGACGCGAAAGAAGGTGAGGAGGGTGATGGAGAGGCTGACGCCACGGCATCTGTGGATGGCTCAAATGTTGACTCGAACGTCGGCGTCGTCGGTGTCGATAACGACCACACACCGACGGAGCCAACATTTTCCGACTCCAACGAGACGTTGACGTATACCCCGACCACCGGCGGCCGGCTGAAACAGACACCGAGCAGGCTAGAACGCCGGCGAGGCAAGGTCCTCCCTGCAACCTTCCTCGATGGCCTGCAGATGGACCACGCTGCCACCACGTCAAGTCGGCACCCGCATGTCAGCAACCTCTTTGACGCGCACTGCATCACTCCAACGGATAAACCCCTTCCGTCCCTCGCAGCAGCAACAGCAGCAGCAGCAGAATCGCGGCCAGTCGATGATACAGACCCGCAATCACCGCCGCCGGTGCCTCCGAAAGAAGACATGCCTGCTAGCTGGACCCCCACAGAAGATCTCAAAAAGCGTGTCTCGCAGGCACCGCCCCTGTCGCCACCACTTGATTCGCCTGCCCTCACGATGGAAACGGAAAGCAGTGGGACCGCGACACCACCGCGGTTGAGCTTGAACTTGGAAGCGTCGCGGAAATCGTTTCTGAGCCAGCTTATTCAATGACGGCTTCTCCTCGAACGGCGTACCTCGATCCCTCCCCATCACATCCCTCTCAACTCCCTCTCGCAATCGGCGCGCAACCTACAATCTTTCCCCGCTCCTCACTGCCCTGACTCCTCCGTTCATTAATGACTACACCTTGACTAGTTTCACATAATTCCTAACCCCATTTGTATATTTCTTCTTCGCCCCTCCCATTCTCTCCCCCATCCACCCTCCACACATGCATGGATACCTGTGTTCCTTTCCTTCTGCTTTTCTTGTATAATCTACTGTGCCTGGCGTATACACATTTTGACTTACATTCTGTGGTGCAAAAGAAAACGTCCCGAAACTTCATATTCATTTCGCAGTCTCACCTTCACAAGAGTAACTCTTAAATCAAGATGAAGGAAGGCTGCGTCAATTATCTTCCGAGTGTGTCTCCCTTACTTATGCACGTCTGCAATGTAGGTGCATGATAGGCGTGCGACATAATAGCAGATGCAGGCGGGGATGAGACGGGGGTACCATGGATGGGCGCCAAAAATGATTGCTTGAAATTGTCGTATGTCATGATGGATGTGTCGTAGAGCGGCAACAGTAGTCCTGTACAGTACAGTACGTCTGTGTGGAAAAATGAACTCTGGTTGCCGACAGTGGGGTCCGTGACTTCTGCTGCGCCCTGTGCTACTCGTCATGCAATACGAAATAAGTCAGCGACTTATGCGCACGGGATATTTATTTTTCCACACCCAAAGGACATGTAAGCTTTACGTTCGAGACTTACACAGTCATGGTTGGCCCTTTCCCTCAGGCGTTGAGGTTTGAATCCGAGCCACCGAGGTGCAACTCAGTAACCCTCGCTCGAAGAACACTTAAACCGAAACACAGTACCAACCCAAGCCATGAATTAAGGTTTGCAGCACAGTAAATGGAGGGTCCCCGGAAAGTCCTCAGTGTGCAATGGAATGATTCGGTGCTAGACCGTCGTAAGCAAACGCGTCCAATCGAAGGCGGCGGCGCTCTACCTTGATCTATGGGACACGCGCGTTCTGAAACTGGGGCATCAAATTCTGGATCGGGAATCCACGCCCAAACCACCCAAAAACGCTCGACTGGGACGGATTAAGGTGATGTTTGCGCTCAGGATCACTCCTCCTCCCAAACAGAGCATAAGATGGTGCCCCGCACAATAGCCTCCGAAATATGCCCTTTGGAGAAAGATTCCTTCCGCTTCATATACATAGGGCGAACCACCGGAGGGCCTCCCTGAAAAACAGACCTTGCGTAATTTTTTTACTCCGAAAGTCCTTCTTGAGGAAAGGTTGCTACGAACACGGCCGTTGTACAAAGGCATATCCGGTGTTCTCGTCCGTACAGCGCACATATAGCGACGTATTTGTACAGTACCTTTCCAGTTCTCTTCACCATCGGCCTCACCGGAATGGGGAGCTCGAAGTCGATATCGGCGTACGGTTCCATCGTCAGTCTTCTTCTTACGACGGTCCTAGCACCGAATCATGTGTCGTCTCAAGCAGCTTGCGCGCCCAGCAACTATGTCGGCGTGTGCAGTCGAGTCGGGCTGCAGTCCGACGCCGGTTACCCAATATCACTTTCTCCCGCCGCCGCCGCCCAAGCCGACCAGAGCCTTACGCAATCGTCCGGCGGAACGTTCGCTTTGAAAGTGCTCTTGGTCAACTTCGAGTGCGGTGCAGCTCTGCAAGCTCTGATGTGCACGCAGAACCTCCCTCAATGCGTAAATGGAATACAAAAAGTGACGTGCAAAAGCAGCTGCAGGCAGGTGGTTGACCTGTGCGTACCAATCCTCAAAGCGAAAGGGATAACGTACCCCTTACCGGACTGTGATGCACCTGCCGATGCAAACTACGCTCGGACAACGCAGTTCTACGATGACGAGATAGGAAACGTGATCAAAGCCGACAGCAATTGCGTGAAACCGGAACTGCTCCTTGCGAAAGCGTCAGCAAATTTCACTTGCCCTGAACCGTGGGTCAAGAACCCATACTATCCCGGTGTAGCCCCGACGCCATCTTGTCATGGGCCCTGCTGCCTTCCTTGCCCGGTCGGCAGGGTCTTCCAGCCTCCGGGCGTGTTCGACCTCGAAGTAAAAATTCAGCAAACGTTCCACCTGACCACATTCTTCCTGGCGCTCTACGTGGCAGTTTCGTACCTCGTCTTGCCAGGACGTCGGGAACATCCCGGTGACATTGTCTTCCACTTCGCGACGGCGGCATGCATTTGGATGGCAGTAGCGTTGTGGACGACGCCGAACGTGAAGAAGATTCAGTGTGCCGCCGACGGGGTCACACCATCCACCGCTGCCAACAATACCCTCTGTGGGGTGCAAGCTGCCTGGGTGCTGGTCGGCGCCCATGCGTGTGTTTTGTGGGGAGCGTACATGATTTGGAACTTGTAAGTAGCTGGAGCGATTGTTGGATGCGAAGATGCGGGCTATGTTGCTGACATGCTATCGATATTTTCTCCCTACAGACACCTGACAATCGTCCACAAATCTAATCTCCTTGCCCGCTACAAACCGCTCGGCATTGTCGTCTGCTGGGGCACCCCACTGTTCCTCAGTCTGCTCACCGTTCTTAACAACAAGATCGACGCCTCCACCGGACCATTATGCTTCGTCACGTCCAATGCGGCTATCAAGTATGTCTTCGCCTTCCAAGGCGTCGTCGTCATTCCGACCGTCCTGGTCAACGCATGGACGTTCGTGCACATCGGGAGAATGGCACGCTTGACGAGCGGGGACAGCCGGAGTGGGCTTGGAAGTGACAACTCGGAGAGTGGGCTGACCGGGCGTAGGAAGCAGCAGTTCATGGCCCTGGTCAAGTTGAACTGGAGAGCCTTGTTGTTGGGCTGTGTGTTTTTGACCACATATGTCGCCTACTTCGTAAGTAATCCTTGCTCCCTGTTTGACCTTGACATCAGCATCCTTGAGAGGAGAAATACTCAAAACGTTCTCTTCCCTTCACAGACCGCCTTCTTCGTCCTGACCCAGTTGACATCCAGCGGCGATCCGCTCGCCCTCTCCTGGGTACCAGACTTCCTATTGTGCCTCCTCACGAACCCGCCATCAACATCTCAAGCCATTTGCACCACAAAATTCTCCCAGTTCTTGCCCTCGGGAGCAGTAGTGATCAGCACGCATATCACGACCAGTCTCGTGGGCGTGTGGGTTTTCGTTGTCTTTGGATGCCAGCCTGCGCTTCTCCGGGATTGGAGGAGGGTCTTTGCGGGCAGGAAAGGAGCTGCCGCGGACCACAAGATGTTTATGAGCAGGGCGTAAGGGACACATCCACCGACTGCTGATTGAAAGCATTAGTTTTGAGAACGAACGGCGTAATGCATTTTCTGACTCTTCATATTCCCAAGGTGCCTGAATTCTCCCTCCCAAGTTTTTGTACATAACAGTCTCCCCGCCTCATGTTTTACGCATAGCGTTCAATTTGTATATATTTCCTCAGAATCTACAGTACATGTGTCACTTGGAACTTTGTATCGTGGGATAGGGAACGTCGATGGATGTAACTTCGCTGAACGTTTAGGTAAGCAAACTCGACAGCGCGCCTTCCCGGTACTGTCAGCAATCTTGAACGTTTGCCAACAGAGGTAGGGTTGAGGCTAATACTCAGCCCCTCCGCTACGTCAAAAGGTGATAAGCAAGGATCTCGCTGCGGCAATCGTCTTCCAACCACTTGCACAAATTCAACGATGTAGAATGTCGACTCCGACCCCCGCACAACTTTCAGAGGTTAAGCGAATCCTTGCTCTGCCCGACGCTGACCGGCATCCGCCACAGGTCCTGCAGCTCACATACAATGTGTGTGCCTCCCGAGAAGCCGCCGATACTCGGAAGGTCACGACAACATTCCGTGTCAAATCCCTGCTGATTCATCCGGATCGATGTTCAGATCCTGGTGCCACGCAAGCTTTCAGCATCTTGCGGAAAGCGTACGAAGATGCGACGGCTGGAAACATCGGCCCAGAGGCTCGCGGAAAGCCATTCAGAGCTCAGAGTTACTCCTACTGCCCTCCAACGTTCAACAAATATGACTTTGATACCCACGGGAAGACGCAAGCTATGGACTCTCGGATCGCAAAAGCAGTAGCGAAAGCGCGCAGAGCCCAGGAAAAGGTGGATCATGCCGCGCGAAAAGCAGAGGCTGCAAGCCAGAAGCGTCAAGAGCAAAGCACACGAGATTTCGAAGAGCGAGCCCGGCGACACGCCAACCGTGACTTCCGCCACAACATGCGCAAGTATCATTCAACGGAAACCATACTAGATGACTTCATCGCCGAAGCGGGGCGCACACTGGACAAGGATGCATCCATGCACGAAAGCACCCGAAGCAAAAGTGAGGAGGATTTTTGGGCGCAGCGAGGCGCGCAGGAAGAGCGAGAGAAGCAGGAGCGCGCGGACAAGAGCACGAGAGCAGCAGCGTTCCGCGACAGCGAGGACTTCCTTACCTCGATGAATAAAGATCGATGGGAAGAGACGCTCGAATGGCGCAAGTCAATGTCTGATACAATCAACGGCGGAGGAAGATATCGAAGAGGCGGCTTCGGAGAAGATCGTGAGGAGAAGCGTCGGAAGGAGAAGAAAGCAAAACGCAAATTGGAAAAACAGAAAGAGAAGGAACAAGAGAAGGCTGCGAAAGCTGCGAAAGCCGAAGAAGCTGCGAAAGCCGACGAAGCTGCGAAAGCCGACGAAGCTGCGAAAGCCGAACAAGTCACGAAAGATGCAACCACGTCGGTAGAAAAGCTATCTCCCACATTCCTTTTGACGGTGGAGGAAACGTCTTCACCCGGAGTCGGGGCGCCCGCTTGTGAGTGACTGACATTCATCACCAACTATTTATATATTTCTGAGACTACACTTTTCTGCGAACCCTACTACACCTCATTCCAAAACGCTTGGTTATACTTAGTTTCATCGATGACAAGCGCAGAAGGCACTTCTTGATGATTCGTTCTGCATTGTGACGGACTCCTCCAAGGCGAAGGTTTCTTTCGATTACTTCTTCTGAGCAATTGCCAGGAGCTATGTAAAACTCTATCAGCCTCTTGGTCCTGACGCAGCGGCTTGAGCCAACTCTTAGTCTAGAAAGAACTCACATGGATAGCCGCCACCGCCGCTCCAACGGCAGGCATGTACTGGATGAGTTGAGGGCGATATTTGAGATACGCCTGCGGAAGCGAATCAGAAACATTAGAAAACATCATTTGCACCAGCCCTAGTTGCGCAGATTCCGAGAGCTCTGCATCGCTTTGTTCGCCTACCAGACCAGGAGCGATGACTCCAACGTGAACCCAGTTGATTAGAGTCGTGTCATTGGAGAAGACTCGAGCCAATCCGGTTTGAGATACTTGTTTCGTGGCTTCGCCGGCTCTCTTGACGGCCTCAGCACTATCGTTGACCATTTTGGCAGTTGTTCGATGTTTTGCACAAAACTTCTGGTGTGTTGGATTGGTTTCCGATGCCCCGAGCGATTTCAAGGTGGTAACGAAGTGTGTAGGGGTTTGGGCCGAATGCGGAGGATGTTCTGGCACATCTGGCTTTCATCGACGTCGGAATTTCAGTGCAAATTATAAGCGATAGGTCGCATTCTACTGACCTCCACATACGTATCATGATTGCGTCAGAACGATAGTTCCGCTGGCAGTCCCGATGTATTGGACAAACCAAATTCCCTTCCCTCCCACAATAATGACCTTCGCGTCAACGGGGGACATGAGATCTTTTATTCGACCTCCACGCACTCCTCCATCAATTATGAGTGCTGCCCAGCGGGTTGATGGAGGACCGAAGAACCTGCACGATAGCATATTCCTGAAACTTTTGCTCTATTTCGGCTGAGCTTCTTTTCCTTCCGGCAACCACTTTTTGCGAAGATCAACCATTCTCCTGAGCGTCACAGTAAAAGTGTCAGAAAGCTGTCAGTCTTTGGTTTCTCTGCGCTCCCCTTTCATGCCGCTCTGCTCTGAAGTCCTCCTCCTCAAGTCCTCCGGCCTGACAAAGATTCTCGGACCCGTCCAGTGCTAGCTTCTCGACTTACTATTTCGACGGCCCCGTTTGATAAGAAGCGTAAACTGACTAGCTTACCCTTCTGCAACCAGAACGCATACGTAAGTCTGTCGCCGAACGTTCTGTCAGAAACCTCATGTCGTCTCACTAACGTGAGACAAAAAGGGGCCACGTCTTTGGAAGGAACAGCACCATCCAAAAATACAAGCCTCAAGCCATGATCGAGTTCAACACCGCCGGCGAAGAGCTTTGGTGGGATCTGCCAATTCTCTGGATTATATTGGCAGGTTGTCTGTACGAGACTTTTAGGGTCGTTGACCACGTAAGTGGCGCGCGAAACCCTTTGGACCACATGGAAGATTTGAAGAGGTCTCAGCTGACCTATGCGCAATATCTCAGACACCTGATGATGAGCAGGAAGATCAACCTCAGCTGGCTATGATGCGGTTGGCAATCAACATGCAAGAGCAGACGATGAGCCACATCTTGGGTAAAAGCATGACGTCTGGGTTTGCGAAGGGCTCACATCTAACGTTCCATCTGTCGTATGCAGATCTGCTGACGCATGTGACTTTATTGACGAACTCCTTCAAAAGGTTGGGCGACGAGTTCCACCGATACGCAGCTGCAAACTCGACGTTCAAGGAGGTTACGAAGGGTAAACAAAGCAAGGGCAAGTATCGATTGATGATCATCGCCCGCATCCCTCGAGACCGGCGCTCATGTACTAGCGCTGCGATGTCCAGAAATTGAACGCCTGAAGGATAATCTCGCAAAGACGCAAGCTCAATTGGAAGCCTCGACTGAGTCTCTGCAGGAGGAGCGTCGCATGCGCGAGCAGAATGAAGAATTCCTCAAAACGCAGACGAAAGAGTACTCGATCCTGCAGTCGCTAGTCGGCAGCTTGGAGAATGAAGTCAGGATTCAGAGTGAGGCAATTGAGACGTTGTCGCAGCATCACAAGGTTCGTGCGAGTTTCCAAGCGAATATTGCTTCTCGTGACTGACCTGCTCGCATGTTCACTAGGACGGTCAAGACCGAGAAACTCATACACTTACCAATATCTTGGGCGTGCTTCGAGAGCAGGCGCAACGCGAGCATAAAGTCTCTTACCATCATCAGGAGGAGGTTCCGTTCAAAAGCTGCGATATGAAAGGTTAGATCACCATTGGAATGACGAGTTGAGTGGCCCCTTCTCATCACTAGGCAATGCAGAAATCCAAGCTTTCAAAAATGAGCTGGCCAACACTCGGAAGCAGCTCAAGGAAGTCGAGGTGTCGCTGAAAGAAGAACGGCGTTTACAGGAGCAGATTGACGAGATGTTGAGGATAACCGAAGAACGAATGCAAGCCCAATTTGAATTGGTGCAGAAGATGATCATGATGCAGAATCAAGATGACGGGACCGTACGGTTGGGGAACCAACGTTCGGAGGAGGAAGAGTACACGGAATTGCAATCAGGGTCGAAGGAGCAACAGTTTGCGGAGTTGCAGTCAGACTCGGAGGGCCTACAGTTTGCGGAGCCAAAATTGGAAGAAGAAGAACCGCTTTTGGAGGAAATGGAATACGAAGAGCCACAAGACGACGACGCCCAATACGAGGGTCAACAAGATGAGGACCGTCAATACGAGGAACTCCTAAACGGGGAACCTCAGTACGAGGAATCCCAGTACGAGGAACTCCAGAACGAGGAACTTCGATACGAGGAAGTCCAATACGAGGAACCGCAGTTAGAGGCACAGGAAATACAGCTGGAAGAACCGCAGCCAGCGGAAGAACAGCCAGATGAGCCTCAGTATGCGCACGAACAGTCAGATGAGCCTCAGTGTGGAAAAGAACAGTGGAATGAAGCAGAGCCGGAGGAGGGTCAGGCTGAGGAGCAGTTTGCGGCTTACCGTGACGAGGTAGACTTGGCGTAGTTTGTTGAACATAGTCTCTGATAGATGCGTCACCTATTCAATGTTGCAACTCGTAGGAGGAAACTGAGGAACATGTGGCCGGGCGGGTTCGAGAGAGCATGCAAAACGTGGCAGGTGGGAGCCGTACCTGTGAGCGTTCATTGCCTTTTACATGGCACGTCTCCAACCTTCCGGCTCCCGTAAACAGATATGATGGCAGAAGAAGAACCAGCAAAGGCAGCTGCAAGGCACTACGCAACTCCCGGCCTAATTCCCAGCGCGTCGTGGAAGAGCCTTCAGAAGGGGGTGGCTCCAGAAGTCGACGATGAAAACGATAACAACGAGGAAGAGGAGGTTGAGTACACGCCGACGACGGAATATACTTGAACGGCAACTCACGATGCTTCCAGTGTCAAAATATGCTTTTATGGATGGTTCGAGTGAATTCTTTCTGGTGAGAATGTCGTCGGGCTGGGGAAGTCACATCAAAAAGTCGCGACACTATGTAGGAACATGGGTGATTCCCATCGACCGCGGCGTTAAATTTTCGAGCTGGGAGTTGTTCAGGGCTTGAGCCCTGCCACACTTCCATCATGCTTCCTCATGGCTAGTGATAGTCGCGAGATATGTATATATGTCCCTTATCCTGCTCCCCTAAAATTAAAACACTATTGCAAAGTTGGTCTAGGACTCTTGGAACCTGGAAGGTCGAGTTGTCTCGGAGAAGTCTTACAATCGGAGTTCATGTCGAAACACTGTCAAATGAAGAATTTTGTCCGACAACTTCGGACACGCGCCAACGTCCTGGTCGAAATCCAAAAATTGCCCTCAAAGCGCCTAGGCACCCCTATAGTGCTCCCTACTAGGACCCGAACGCCCAATTGAGAACGAGAACCTTCTCAAGTTGGGTACACATCTACACTGCGTTGGAAGAAGGGAAGGCGCCGGCGACCGAAAGCGCCCTGAGCGATCTACCCGAAATTTGCGCAATGTTACCACAAAGACGAAGCGCTCGGTTAGGGGCGAATGTAACGACAACGACGACGATAGTGAGCGTCAAGGAGGAGATTAGTACAGTGACGGTCGCAAAACAAGAACTAGAGGGTTCCAAAAAGTCTGCAAAGAAATCCGTATCGGTGAGCATAAAGGAGGAAGAGGACATACAAGAAGACAGGGAGAATATCGAACCGATACCACTGGTAGCAAACATCGACCCGACGTATCTAGCTCATATTCCCCCAGGACCATGTACCTTATCGTGGACTCACCATTCAGCATCCCCGGAGCGATGCGGAGAAAGCATGAAAGTCTGTTTGGGTGTCGATGAGGCAGGACGCGGGCCTGTTCTGGGTCCGATGGTGTATGCGGTGGCGTACATGCCTGTGGACATGAAGGACGATCTGGCGAATGTCGGGTTTGCTGGTGCGGAGAGAGGGATGCATGTTGCTCGCGTCGAGCTTGTGCTGACGCTGGAAACTATCGACATCAGATTCCAAGTTATTAAAGGAAGAACAACGGGACAAGTTGTTCGGGACGTTACAAGACCATAACGATTGGATTGGCTGGGCCGTCCGCGTGTGCAGCCCGCAGGACATCTCGGAAGCCATGTTGAGGAGGTATACGAGCAGAGCCTAATTGCTGGTGTACAAAGCATGGTTGTCGCTGAACAATGGTCACCTCTAGATGTAAGCATAATCTCAATGAGTTAGCGCACGAAACAACGATGGATCTCATCGCCGAGACATTACAGCGAGGCATCAATGTTGCGGAGGTAAGGAGGGACCTGCCTATTCATTGCACTTGGTGAAACGGCTAACAGCGGCATCTATCTCTCTCCCCCCATTCGGCTACCAGGTTTACGTCGACACCGTCGGTCCACCGGATTCCTACAAACGGAAGCTGCAGGCACGCTTCCCACAACTCCGATTCACAGTCGCAAAGAAGGCCGACTCGTTATACCCCTGCGTGAGCGCTGCAAGTATATGTGCCAAGGTGCGTGTCCTACCCACTTTATCTTGCTCGTCGTGGGCTTGCTGGCCGCATGACACATAACCCTGATGTAAACACTCCACAGGTCACCCGCGACGCGGTCCTGAAGCAATGGCAATATGTCGAAAACAACATTGAGACACTGTTTTCGAACCCTTTCGGCTCCGGATATCCATCGGATCCAAATACTGTCAACTGGATGAATCATCATATCGACCCTGTGTTCGGCTACCCACGCATCGTGCGCTTCAGCTGGGCGACGTCGGTAAACCTGCTGAAAGATAGAGCATGTGCTGTGAAGTGGTATGTCACAGCGAGGCGATTTTTTACTCGACTCGATTGCTGAAGGCCCTCCTCGTTCCGTGCAGGCCTGAAGAGGAGGAAGCAGCGGAAGGGGCAGACATTCGAGGATATTTTGGATCGAAGCCCACCGGCGGATCCAGTGGGGATAGCGGGACAACGTTGGCCAAAGCATTTCCCCCAAGAGACACCTTGCTTGCCTCACTGAAGCACGTAGCTCAGTTTCCATAAGATCGGCTGAAGACGCAACCATTGATCAAAGTTACCCGCGAATTGGCCGTATGGCACGCCACTTTGAGTCTGGGTTTCATTTGACAGTCACACCACTTGGACAGAATGGAGCCTTCACACTCCAGTTGTACATACTGTAATCATACAGGAACGTAGCCTTGGCGGGTGGGAGAGCGTGTGCGCGGAAGACCAAAAATGGCGGCGAGAGATGATCGCATTATGTACACGTGCAGGTCGATTTGCTTTCAGCGAATAGGTATGTAAGCGAAGACGCTTAATGGGATATGTACAAAGGTAGTTCCGAAACCCATGCCCTGGTAAGCGTCGGTTCGCCGGTCACACTTCCTGAAGTTAGAGTGCGTGATCATAAATATGCTCGATCCACACGGAAAGCGCCGTTCGTCGACCCAGCTTTGCTCTGCGTATAGGACTCCACTTCGCTCTGGAAAGATATCAATTTGTCTGAGACCCCAATGCTGCATGCGCTCAAATTGAACGGAAAAGGCCGAGAACATCAAGGGTTCGGTCTGCAGACCCACCTCGAACTTCCTCTTGATTTGTGATATTTGCTTGATAACTCCATTTATATCTTCCTGCATCACTTGCAACGGTGATGTTTCTGGCGTCGTTTGCACCTTCAGATCAATAGAGTGATCCAATGGATGGGGCATCCTATATCCAGCGAACAGCACTTTCCGGTTGTTCAACAATTCCCTGGTTTTCAATCAGTGAGTGAGCTCTTCAGCCACAGTATCCCACGCATTCGACCTCCAGAACCCTTCCTAGCTTCCCCGCTACTCACATGCGTAGTAAGTTCCCTAGAGTGTGGTCCTCCTTCTCGATATGGAATGTAGCAGCGTTCGGGATTTTGGTGTCTTTGATCTCTATGGCTCTATGGGTCGGAGTTAGGGTCACATGACACCAAAACTCCTCCTTGAGTTTTGTACTTACTTTGGGACGCCCTCAGGCATCAAGTACAGCTCCTGTGGTGCTGGTGCGTTGGACATATTGCAGTTCTGAGTGTGTTCTGTGGTTTGGGGATAAGTTGGGCGGAATGAACGGGGCGTGAAAAAGGGTTGGCTTGTTCTCTTCCGAATACCTCAGACTTGTTGCTGGACTCGTCAATGTGGACCTCGTTCGATGTGCAGAATTGGTCAGTTTGCTGGGATGGCGACGAACTTGGGTTGAAGTCGAGGGGAATTGCCAGCGCCAGCACACATTTTGCCAAAGCCCTCAATAGACCTTAAAATAAGGGGCTAAGGTCACATAATGTGGATAAATAAAGACGAGTCTACCAGATAACTATCCCCAAAACACAGATGTAACCGGCATGCTCTGCGCTCGGTTATTTCTTGGTGTTATTAACACTAATCGTAACGCAATTCCTAACCCTAACCCTACCTTAGAGCTCAACATAATTATATGATAAGTCGCGCGAAATGTGGTGGGGTTAAACTGTGGTGGCTTTAGCACTTCGCGAATTTGGGGGCTTCGATATTTGGCGGAAGTTCAAAACCCCTTCAGTGAGGCGGGTGCGGGCGGTAGCTCATCAAAGGCCTGCCCGTTACGCTGGTTTGCGGCAGTATTCTCGATGTTCTTCTGTGCTCAATTGTATACCTTAACTATTCATTGCGCAGTATGCGTTGCAGACATCACTCTGTAGTCTGTACGCTGGTTCTATCTACGGAGACGCCCATGGTCGCGATGCTACATATGGAAAGTATCAAAGCCTGCTCTGCGACACCAGCATCCCCCCCAACCTCTTCGTGATGATCTGCTCCGCATCCGACCCAATCTTCTCGCATAGGTCCTTGCAAGGTGGCAGTCATCCATCAACCCAACAACCTGTCCCGCCGTCCACGCGCGGTACTCAGTATCGCCTTTAGTGAGTACCTGTCTGCCCCTTTGTCCCGACACAAGGTGCTGGATGTAAGAGAACTACGCGCCTCCCGGCCGCCGCTCGATAGAGAGGACTTCGGAAGACACAGCGTTCTTGTGGACGCGGGCTGTGTTGCATGGGGCGCAACATGAGGTTGGTGTCCTTCTCGTTCGCATTTATGATGGCATCCTTCACAGATTGGTGTATTGGGGCTTCCTGCGTGCACATGAAGCGCGTACCTGTTCAAAAGCAAAAGGAGCAATCAGCAAAGCTTGAGCTTCTGCTTTCGTAGGCACGTACCAATGCGTGTCTTATACTGGTGCATTTGTGAATAACGGTGATGCGAGCCTCTTTAAAACGCTTTACGTGAGCACCAGGGTTGCTACCAGCCGTTTGTGGATAAGGTGGGTTAAGCAGATGCAGCATTAATACAGCGAAGCGAGTTACATTGCGCTAGGGCGTAAAGATTTCCTCAAAGCGGTTCCTAGCGAGCAGTGGCGAACGTTATTTTTGCGAGCGAAGCGAGCTCCATTGCGTGAAAGGCTCCCCTCACTAGCGAGCCCCGGCGTAGCGTTGAGACCCACACACCCCAACCTCCTTGTAACGACCAGAGCGGGCAGATTATCATTCAACCCACCAATCGTCGCTTGGCTCATCCACAAACCACCAACCATCAGCCGTCGCCCCCCACTTCGCTTCGGACTTCGGCGGCTGACGTTTTTTCTTCTTTTCGCCACCTTCCCCTATCCCCAGGCGTTGAGGTTCGAATCGTCCATCCTAAGTATTGTCGAACGCGTCGTCCACCACTAACTGCCTCACCTCATCAACCTACTTCAACCACTTTGAAGGCCTCCTGTAATATTGCGGTAACTGCAAAAGCCAAAAAACAGTCAGGGTTCACGAGGAGCTCTGTTTGACAAGCAAAAAAGTATTGAATCATATTCCTCTATGGAGGCGGGTTCACGGACGGCAGAAACGTGATGTTGACCCGGAAAGGTTTCGTAGTCGTCGTTCGGCACCTGGCTACTTCTTTCCGCAAGGCGTCCGGCGTTGGCTGAGTGGCGGTAAGCATACCCAACCCTCCAGCGTTACTGACGGCGCTGGCCATCTCAGCCGTGCCGACCCATCGCATGCCACCCTGGACTATTGGATGCAATATGCCCAACGCCTTCGTCAATTGTGACTGTAATGGCATTTTATGATGACTTCTTAGGGACCTATAAAGCGGTGGAATATCTTTGTTGAACGTGAGAGTCAGGTTTCGAGTCTGTATCAACGAAGGGGCTCGTTCGAGTGCGCCGTCGACGCTGGCAAGTTTGCTGGAACCCGAAAGAATGCGACGTGTGTCCAGATTAGGGGGTCGTCCCGCAGTGGGATATCCCGCGTCCCGTCCCGTCCCATCCTGCACGGGACGGGATGCAGGACCGCCGCAAAAGTCCTGCGGGAATCCCGCGGGACTACCTTGACAGCATTTCAACAGCATTTCGACATGGTGGAAGCAGCAAGCCCCCCTAACCTAACCCTACCCTAACCCTATGGGCAGTTGACCCTGTTGAGGTTGGCACTCCACAGGCATCTAGAAGAGTACCTATCTGGGGCGTGCAGACGGTCTTAGAGTCTAATTCCTGCTGGCTAGTCTCGTTTTCATGTTACCAGTTACTAAAGACTCGTGTTTGGGTGTGCTGTGAGCGGGACCGGGATATCCTGCGGGACGGGACGCGGGACCAGCAAATCCCGTCCCATCCCGCGCAGGACGACCCCCTAGTCCAGATTGCCAGACATACACATGCTGGGAGCTGGGCAGGCTGGGCACAGGGGCACGCGCGTTTGACGCAGTTTGAGGCTCCGGCGGAAGTACTGTACACGCCTTTCACGCGGCAAAGCTCCGTCCAATGTCGAAGACTCTCAACGGCAAAGGGAAACCGATCTGTTTCCATATAGTCACTCGTACCGCCGTTCAGCATTGATAAGGTGAGAGCTGCCCTTCCACTTGTTAAACTGCAGCCCAATTTGCGTGGTAGAACTTGAACTCGTCGGAGTTGAGCAGGTCGTTAGCTAAGGTCACTCCATGTGATAGTTTGCTCAACGCCACGGCTTCTACTTCGATCAGGACTTCTGAACTCAGAAACGCAACTCAGAAACGATGAATCCCAGGACGATGCCCAGAATCTTCCTCCGCCCACCACAAACGTTGCTGTTAACTCGAGCCTATTCGACATCCAAACCATTTGAGCAGCCCGGACCCCTTCCTCTAGGCGACAAAGCAGACCAGAAAGAGTTTGAGGAACTTGTCAAGCAAAAGCTAAAGCAACAGGAATCGGGCTCGAATACGGCACTGCACCCCGATGCACCCAAAAAGCTTCAGGAAGCTGAGTGGGAGGGCGATAAGAATCCCGTCACAGGGGAGATTGGAGGGCCCAAGGGCAAGGAGCCAACTCGTTATGGAGATTGGGAGCGTAAAGGGAGGGTGTACGATTTCTAGAGTCGCACACATTTTTGGGGGATAATGATGGCGTACCGAGATTTCTAGGCTTGTTGGGGAAGGGTCTATCATTCAAAATGGACCTCCTAGGCTAGCAGGCTCCTATAATGCAACGCTATTTGTGAAGGGTACACGAGGCATACGAATTCGAATGTGGCAGATTGGTTGAAAACGACGGTTGAACAGGAGCCACCATTATTTGCGCATCACGTCAATGAAATTTGGCGAGCAGAAAGGAGTGGCCACTCCACGCCAACCCACTATGCACATGCATGACAGCGGCGGAGTCTCCAAACTCCAAGAGGCATCTCCCCTCCCTTCGATCCTACCCTACGGTAAATGCTCCCATCGCGATCAAGATGTTCGATCTAGTAAACCGCAAGCTATATATGGGCGTCTGCTTCGTCGGGTACGTGCTCACTAGCGACTGCGGCGGCCGTTGAATGATATTCCCCTGCGCATTCCTCTTCACTCCTCCAATCTCTTTCGTGTCAGCCTTCTTGACGTCCCATATCCGCACGGTGTTGTCTGCGCCCCCCGACGCCAGTATTGCACCATCTTGACTAAATTCGAGAGAGTAGATCATGTCGGTGTGCCCGATCATTTTTTTGATGCGCTTCCCAGAGGAAAGGTCCCACAGCATGATGGCTCGGTCATCGCCCGCGGTTGCAATGGTCCGTCCATCAGGTGCGAACGCGACGGTCTGGACAGATCCATGGTGGCCTCTGAATGATCGCACGCAATTTCCCGACTGCACATTCCATAATCGGGCGGTGCGGTCCGACGAACCGGTGAGAATGTATGCGCCGTTGGGATGAAAGCGCACCGTGTCGACGTCCGCCAGGTGCCCCACAAATATCCGCAAAGGGTAAATATGATCACAGCTCCACAGCCTAGCCGTTTTGTCATGGGATGCGGTTGCAAAGTACCACCCCTGTTGACTGAATGACGCATCCCAGACCGGATAGTTGTGCCCTTTATACACAACAACGTTCGACATCGTGTCAAGGCTCCATAGTCGGGCGGTCTGGTCTTCCGAGCTTGATACCAGATATCTTTGATCAGCACTGAAGCTCGTCGCGTAAACAGGGCCAGTGTGGCCGATAAGGCGGCGGATTGCTGGAGATTCCTTCGGTGCTTTGTCAACTTGCGAGCGCGGGCCAGGATTCATCCCGTGCCTCTCGTGAGCATCGAGATGCCACATTCGAATGAAGGAGTCTCTGAACCCCGCGGCCACTTTCGATGCGTCTGGCGAAATCGTGAGTGTTTGAAGATCGCCATATGTGTTGTGAAAGGTGTATGCGCATATTGATACTGGTGTCTGTGCTGTGATGTGGACGCGATTTCGGACCTCGCGGAGCTCATTGATGGCGGCAGGGATGTCAAGAAGTTTTCGCGGCGGGTATAGGATTGACGGTGCGTCTACTCTTGGCTCCTGCTTTACTTTCTCGATTTCGTTCAGCAGCTCAGCTGCGTCTGGAGGCTGCTCTAGTTTGATTTGACGCTCCATCTCAGCGTAAAAGGGTTGATCTGGTGGAAGTTTCCCTAGCTGCAGTTTCGTTATTGTTTGAAACTCGATCTGGGAATCAGTGGATTTGTCGCCAGACCCGTCTCCCTCCGCTGCGATGTCTCCTTCATTGTCAGAGGCATCAGCTTCCAACGCATCTATGCGTATGCTGACATGCTCGTTGACTATTCTCAGAATGAGCATAAACTTGTTGTCCTGCAGGAAGGACAACAGCAGTTCAAAGCAGTACTGGCTCATCCGCAAATGAAACGAGCTCGACTTGTAATTCTGCGCGACTTCGTTCTCTGCGACGTGTTGCGGCTCAGTGACGGCGCTCAACCGTAAAACATCCTGGTTATGCAGCTCAACATGATCCGCCTTGAAAGCCTCCATGAAGTTCTTCGCATGCTCTCGGAGCCCCCTCTCGACAAGATCTAGGTACGCGTGAACGAATATCGGGAACAGCACTCTCCTCAGTTCGAGCTTGTATCTGTCAATCGAATTGTCTATCCATTTTCGAAGCCGCCCATAGCTCTGCTGGTATCCACTCGGGTTATTGGCCTCGTTCTCGTTGTGGAAGAGGATATAGTCGGGTATCGACACTTTAGCTCCATTTCGAGGTGCCCATGCGTTCGAGGAGGACGAGCCTGCCTGTCCTGCTGCAGTTCCGGGCGCCTCCTTTCGCAGAGCGGCTTCAGTCTGCTGATATCCTCTGTTCTTTAGGTAGTTGGCTACTATCCGATCGGCCTGGTGATCTTGCGCCATGGCGAATTTTGGAAAGTGGCCTGGAATTGAAATGCCTCCCAAACTCTAAAAAGGGCTCAGCCGGGAGCAGACAATTCTAGTCGGAAATGCTTTCGAGGGGCCGGGTAGATTTGGGGGCTTGCTAGGCCGCTGGAGCGATAGGGCGGAAGTTGCTGTTGTCGAGCTTCGAATGCTGGGTGGATGGCAGAGGTCTCTTGGCGAGAGTTGTTGGACTGGTCGTTTCTGGCTTCCTGCCAGTTCCTGCGCGCGCGTTCTCAACGATGTTCAAATTTTTGGGGAGGGATATCCTTGCCATGTTTTTTCTGTGAGGCAGGACGAAGGCGCATAAACGATAGCTCACGGCACAAGGTATGATATATGATTCCTTTGAAGCTCTCCCCGAACCATCTATGTCACAGAAAGCCGACCCAGTATGTGCGCCAGAAGGAACTGGGAAGCAGAACCGTGACCAGCGATGCGCTGAATGGATACAATAGGAGGGGAAAGGATAAGGGGTATCTAAATATGAGCGCACCCGGTCCGCCCAACGAAATGAGGCAGAGAACAGTATATATGAGGTGAGGGCCCAAATCGATGACCTTCCCAGCACGTCGCCACCCGCGGCGCTCCCCAGACCCGACATATTACGCCTGCAGATAGACAACTTCCAGCGTCGGGTACTCCTTGCACCACCTGTCCCATCGGTGACTGTTCCAGCTTGCGCGATGACCGCTCAAGATACTCGCACAAGTTGCGGGACTTGGGCGATGTAGAAAGCACTTGTCGAGTCTGTTGTTGCTCCCCGAGACGAAGGTCGGAGTACGGTGCAGTGAAACTCTAGGGATTTGACAGCTTGGCGTTTGTACGTATTAGCTATTGTTTGGCGCCAAGGTTATGCTGCCGGCGAGTTTCAGGGGGCGTGGTGAGACCGTCTCAGGCGTGTCGAATCACTTGGCTACGAATCCCTGTTGGGCATGTTGGATGACCCCGAACTCTGCGATGGTCGCGCGGGTTTGCCGTAGAGTACGTTCTTCAGCGCACGGCTTGCGAACACAGTCAACCCTCTGTTTGACAGACATACGATTAAGTTAGTTGCTGCGACAATAAAGATCATTCGGCGCACCAGCTGCGACTTACAAGCTAGCCCAGTCTTCGTCGTGCAGCTCCCTCAGATCGCCTACTGTCATCACATCCTGGTCTTTGAGTTTCGCCAACCATTCGTATGCTTTATCCGTTCCCCGATTCGTTGCCAGCGCAGTATCCATGACCAGTTCCTCGATGGGTCGATCGTCAGTATACTCTGTGAAGGTAGTGGGTCACCTTAAGTTACCAGATCGTAGACTAACTTTCAGCTGTTGCTCAGACCCACCTTTTTGTGGTAAGTCAGCGAACTCATCATTGCTCCGGGAGTCCATTAGCGATATTTTCCGTGCCAATATGGAGCCTGCTTCGCTATTCGAACTGATGGAGTCCTCGCCAGGATTTTGTGTTTGCGGTGATTGATGTGTGTGGTGGAACAGAATACTCTGCTGGGAATGGGAGAGCTGCGGCGGTGGTGGATGCCTTAACGACTGTTGTTGTGACAAAGACTGCTGCTGTTGTGATGATTGCTGCTGCGATCCGTCCGACGATAAAGGCGGGGGTTGTGACTGCGATGGTGTGTTGTTTTGCACGCTATTACTTCGTGTCGCCCAGCCTTGTTGACGAGATTCCTCTCGGTTTTTGTCTTCTTCCGGGGCTGGTTTGTTCATCTCTCGCAGTATGCGATTAATCTCCCCTGTGATGAGATGCTGATATCGAGCTGGTAGAACTTGTTCCTGAATCTGTTGAGGATTTACCGTCTCGTCAATAGGAAAAATGAAAAATCGCCATCGCATCAAGAGGACGCACCATTTCATTGACGACTTCCTCGGCCGTGTCGGTATCAACTAGATTGCAGAGTAAATTCTATGAGAGAGCTTCTCAAGGACATAAGGCTCGCCCAGACACGTACCGTTGAACTCGAACTTCACGGATAACCGGTCCATTCCCTTGAAGACGACCTGCATTGTCAAATGGGTTTTGTCCTCGGTTGCGATGAGCACTACCTCGGGCTCTAGGGCCAAGAATGGGTGCTCTATTATATCTTGCGCGCTCAAACGGTCATGTTCGTTGCCGATGCAGTTATTTATGAGATCGAGGACCTCCGGATCACTGACTCGTGTAAGGCATTCGGGTTTTATTCCCTGATGGCATCCGTCAGCCATCCATTGTTTGATCGGGGCTTTCCGAGACAATATTTTACGTACCTGGCTGACTTTCTTGTAGATCTGCGCCGCATTTTTGCACTCATTATATGGGTATTCTCCGGTAACCTGTCGAGTACAGGTGCTTCAGCGGCCTCGTGATTTCAGAGCATGTCATAAAGAAACGTACCATCTCCAAAAGTGCCATCCCAAAAGCGTAAATATCAACTTTCTCGCTATAACCCTTCTCCTCGTACATTTCCTAGACGAGTGAACGCCATCTCAGTCACTTGTTTCCAGCGTTCCGTTACTCACACGGGCGGTCGTACCGGTGCCATGAACTCGGGTGTTCCTATCACTGTATACTTTTTCCCAAGTTTCATTTTGGCAGTGCCCATGTCACCGATTTTCACTTCCCCGTGCGCCCCATTGATGAAGATGTTATCGCACTGGTAGAGATGGCATTCCATCAGTGATGCCGAAATGGAAATGACATTGAGAGACGGAACGAACCTTGATATCCCGGTGAATGATTGGCGGATCGTGAGAATGAAGGTACGACAGGCCCTTTAATATTTGCCGGGCCCAACGCTTCACAATCTTCATATTTGGAATTTGCAGTTTCCGAATATACCTACGACAAACGTCAACACCTGAATTCTGATTAGACATCCGGTCCCACCAACACTCACTCTCGCAGCGTTCCAGACGTCATCAGCTCCGTAATGAAAACGAATTCCGTATTGTTGTACCAGCAATCGTGGAATTGAATGATGTTGGGATGGCGCACTCTTTTCAGAATCTCAATCTCTTCGCTCAACTCCATGAACTCCGCTTTTGTGGTCTATGTTGCGTAACGATCAGATCCTCAACTCCTGATTCCCTCACGTCAGATCCTTCTACATAGCATCCCCTCATACCTGACAAGTGTTCCATGCAACCTCGTAGCCTTCCTCCCTGTCGATAGCCTTGTATACGACCTTGTATGCGCCTTTTCCCAGTACTTGATTGAGCTGCGAAAAGTGGAGCGTTATTCCCGCGTAGCTGACTATCATCAAAACGCAATCAGTATCCACCTTCGCATATCTTGCGTTGGGGCTAGTCTCCATGACTCTCTCAGGATCACTCCGATTGTTGTCCGACTGCGAGAGGGACATCGGTGGGATCGATTCGTTGCTTCCAGGATATGAGGCACCATATAACTCCGGCGACCTCATGCTTGTACTACTCATCGAGTGCTCCATCCCCTGCGCCGAATTCTGTCGCACGTGAACCGGCTGTTGAGACATTGCCAGTTGGCGTAGCCTCGAAGGTTCCGGTCGTGTGGAGTACCGAGAACGTGTGAAGCACGAAAGTAGGCTGAAAGCGCTCGTCACAAACTCCCGTTCTCCGCCAACGTACACCGATTGACTAGCTTGATGACCCGCTGATAATATCGACTTCGGACTTGCTGTGAAAGAGCGGCTCCGGCAAAACCTTCCGCACGCGACGTTACTGCCGATTGGTGTTCAAGCTAGGGTGGACTACTTATGGCTCAGCCGAAATACTACAACCAATCTTGACCGCTACCGAGATTCCCACGCCCCAATGTGGACTCCAAAAGCCAAGGACTGAGAAACGTGCGACGAACGAGAGAGGCTGACGGGCCAGGCGTACAGGGCGATCTGGTGCGTGGGAACTTCTACTGTATATGCGGCCGATAAATGCTACGGAGGAGGTCTGTGGTGGCGGAAGACTTTAATTCTGGGAAAAAACTTGCAGCCTTGGAAGCGCGCCTGGTTTCTCAAGGCTGCGGCCGGCCGTTTCAACCTGGTTTCAACATTCCACATTTCCAAGGACAAGACAAACCCAATGGCTTATAAAATCATCAGCCAGAAGGACGAGGTAAAGAGAGAGCAGTGGGTGCTACTTCAAGCTCTCGGTTCCTAACACTTATTTTCGCGACAGGATATCCTAAATGTTATTTTCAACCCAGGCAAGTCTACGATCGCACTCGGCACACGTGATGCCTGAAGACTCGTGCCGGAACACACGGAGCTGATGCTACGACTCTCCCGTCGCTTCGCATCTGGAAACACCCTCCAGAAGGCGCCAACCCTCTCTCAGATGGAAACGAAACGCAGCAAGGACAACCCGCCCCACGGTCTTTTTCGCCAACACTATTGACGCAGTTGAAGAAACTCGAAGCGGAGGCTGTGCAGCTCGCGGAGGAGAAGGACGTCAAGGGTGCGATTCAGAAGCTGGATGAGTGCATACGACTGGAGCCGGGATATGCTAGTGCCTACAATAACAGGTGGGGTATTGAGCCGCGATATGGAGGTGCTGCTTTGATGCGTGCAAGCGGCAGATGGATTGACCGACGTTCTGTTGTGCGACCGCAGGGCACAAGCGTACCGGTTAGAAGGAGACGTTGACAAAGCGTTGGCGGATTTGGCAAAGGCGATCGAGCTGGGAGAAGGGGATCCGGTCGTTCTCAAGCAGGTTGGTTTGCTGATGGCCCCTTACTTCAGGGGAGAAATCGCGTACCGAGTCGACACCGCCTTACATACTCTCATATTTCTTTCAGGCATACACACAGCGAGCAGTCATTCGAAAAGATAAGGGCGACGTAAATGGGTCCGACAGCGACTTTGCCCAGGGGGCGCGGTATGGGAATGAGGTGGCGAAGGCCGCTGTCAAGAACAACCCATATGCCAAGATGTGAGTCTGTGGTCGTGCATAACGCTCATCCTCGAGTGTGCTGAACGTGGGATCCTTTGAAGGTGCAATCAAGTTGTTATGGAGGCTATGAGCAAGCTGAACCAGAAAGCATAGGACGGTTTTGATTCCTCCTGTCGCCTAACTCTTTGAGTTTCCGATCGACTTCGCCTTTCTTGACGGCCCGTAGGAAGCCGTGCATCGGAATGTAGCATATAGATTGGTTCACCGTAGGGGTTTCTGAGATCTAGCATACATAGACATTCAGCATGGATATGCCATATCAGGCAGCCGGACGGGGAACTATTGTTCGGTGTGTGTCTTGGTGTTGGGAAAAATTTACCAAATCAACATTGTTCAGTTGCACTCACCAGTCTGCCATGGATGTCATGCGTGTCGTTACGCTTTACACTCTGTGAAGCTTCAAGGCCTTCGCATGGACTAGAGCTTGTCCGTCCACTTTCGACCAGCGTTCCCAATCACACCTGTCCAGACAAGCAGGCGGACCTCATAAATGTACTTCGTAACATGTGAAGGCCGCGGCGGTGGAAATGCCATTCTGTGAAGACCGTCAGATTGCCGACAACAGCGACCCTCTGCCCGACTTGGATACAGCCCAGCTGTACTGTACAACTGCGTTCTGGGAAACGAGGAGGCGGGATGTGTGAACGAGATGTACTCGTCCGGGTACAAGTCGACGGTCGTACGCTGTGCACGACTGCATCCGTGAACATGAGTTCAGGTACAGTGTGCTTATAAATTAATGAGAGGACTCCTGCGGATACCGAGACGTTGAATAGCGATGCATACGTCGTACGTACATGATAAAGTCGCTCCACTGTAGAGTCCCGTGCATGTGTCGAAAACAATGGTTCCGTAGTCCTGATCCGGAGTCCGTATAGCGGGGCGTTTCCGGTATATGCGAAAGCGATGTGCCCTCACATAGCCCGTCAGTCCTTCATTGGCTTTTCCGTTGGCGGCATCTTCGCAGGAGCCTGATGAGTATCCGAATATCCCTCTTTATCCCGGTCTGTGTGGTTTCCATGTCTCCATGTAGTCTGTCCGGTTGTGCAACGATCTCCTACCCGACGACGGGCCGACGTGCATCAGCGATCAGCCTCCTCTGTCCATATACGAAGACACGTGCCTCAAATTTACGCGACGTCCGTGTCCCGATTCCCGAAGGTAACAATCTATTGCGCGCACTCGGAATCCGGGAAAAAGTCACACTCATCATCATTCACTGGGCAGACTTTCTGTCCTTGGATGCTGGACCGTCTGGACTCGTGCCCGGGTTCATGGTTTACGGTCGCTATTAATAGTTCAACACTCGAAATCGACAGCGACGAAACCGTTGACGGGTGGAAACGGTGAAGGTCGAGGCCGAGGAGGCGAAGGTCGAACACAATCCGAAGTCGAAGAGGTGCAGGTCCGACATAATCCGAAGTCGAGCAAGTTTAAGTTTTGCATGATCGGGAATTGCGGATGTGCAGGTCGAATTATGATTGCGAGTCGGGAATGTGTAGGCCGAACCACGAGGTGAATGTCGAGGAGGTGCATGTCGAGTATAATCGAAGCCATAATTGCGCAGGTCGAGCAAGGATCAGAGTCTAGCTAAAAACTGTTGTTTCTAGCTGGTTCCGTACAGGGTTGGATCCATGGGGAAGAATGCGTTCGGTATATGATTCCACTGGACTTCAATGGTATTGCTGTTTGCGTTTTTCTCTTTTCCCCGGTTTTATCTAGCGATTCGCCGCTTATTTCGTGTAAGGTTATTGCAGTTCGAATCTGCCTGCAGTAGCTGCTCGCTTTCCCATTTTTCGTTTTTCCTAGGGAATCCGACTTATTTTATGGATGCTTCCCGCTCCTGCGCAGGCATGCATACTACAGTATATTCATCCAGAAAAACAAAAGAAGGAAGGTCAACGATACGATGCTCCGGATCAAGACTCATGTCGCAGCTCAACAGCCACCTTTTCTCTGGGGCTGACAGTCCGTTTACCTGACCAAGCTTTGTGGAGAGCGTGTATGTTGGACCAGGGGTGCGCTCACAGAATACACTTTCGCAATTTCCTTGGTGGACATCCTATTCATTCGAATATTTTGGTAGCGGTGCGGGGTCAGGGAGTTAGTCGATTGAGCTGAGCACTAGTAAATCTACATACGAAGGGGTCGCGGCGGCTTGCTGAACTGAACGTCAAGCACTGTTCTTAGCTCAGACAAAGATGACACTCGCCATTCCTGCTGAACTCAGCAGAGGGAAAAGGAAACGCTACTATTGGAAGCTGCAATCCAATTCTACCTTCGTTTTTTGTTAAGACCGATGTTCACATAGAAGGCAGCCTCCCTCATCCGAGCGGCTCCGCTCTCCCGCTCTGGCTCGCGGTGGACAACGACCAGTTGTCGCCCAGTGAGAACGATCAGATATCCAAAGATCTTGGACAAGACCGCATATTGGAAATAAGCTCCTCGTCGGATTTTTGTTACGTAGAGCCAAAGCTACCGGTAATATTACGTTTGTACCGACCCAAATGCCCGCTCAATGCGTGAAGGTGTGGGATGCGAGGAGACGCTGGATCGAAGCCGTGAGTCAGAGATACTGTATACGTTCACAAGACCGTTGATGGCACTGCCTTCCGGAGTACATTTATGGATTCAACAAAACGAAAGCGTTTCAATTTTCAAGGTCACATTGCCATTTCGCCTCCGGGCAGCAGAGCAACCAAATGCGATATGCGCATAGTTCTGGGCGCCTTGCACGACGCTGGTCGCACGTCAAAGCAATTTCAGCATAAACGACTGGATGGAGCAAGGTTTTTTTTGCATCCATATAACCACCTGGACACATCATGAACCAGGGACAACGAGCGGGACTATGTGGTGGCGGAATATGGGATCCCCAGAACAGTCGGGTAGCTAGGTGTCTCGAAGGTAGGCAGGCTGTGCACGAGAACAATGACGACAACTCGATGACGGCGATACCAAACAACGAAACAATATGACAAAACCCTCCTTTGCGCCAAAGCTTCCGGACGAGATTGATATGGCGGAGCATCTTCATCGCAATGCAGAGTTTGCTACCCACGGCAGATCATGGTGCTACCTCTTGGAGTTCCTCTCGCAATGCTTCATTAGAGGCCCTCGTACCTATTCGGCGAAAGGAGGGCGATCACAATTCCTTTGCATTAACGCGGGCATGGGAGGCGAAGCTTGTCGGTATGGATTGATTTATGGTCGCGGAATCATCCGTTGATCTCCTATGTTGTAGGCTTTCCTGCGCAAATCAAGTCAACCCAGACATGACGCACGAGACAATGGGCAGACATCTGCCGACAGACGACTTACGCTCCCGGATTTTCTGGGGCTTCCTCAAAATGCGGGCTTTCATTGGGACGGACTGACGGAGTAGGCCGCACCGCGGTGGACCCTCGGCATGGGTCGCTTTTTCGGGATGTTACAAAATGTTTTGGGGAGGCATAGTGAATGTCCTCTAATGATTGATTCCCAGCATTCTTGATGGTTGCATTGTTCTCGTATAACAAAATAAAATGGGACGCATGAGACGGATTTGCGACCTCTCCGACATGACAAACGCGTTGCACTCGCCTCCCTCGTCAGCTCGTTATCCTTCCTCTCTTCCCATCCTGCTTCCCATCTCACCACAACCGGCTTCTAGATCTACTCAAACATACCGACGATAAGGTTGCCTCAAGCTATCGAGGAACGGTTTCAATTGCCCCGAGGATAGGCATTCTTTTCTTGAATTGCAAACTGGATGCGTTCGCCCACAAAGTAGCTCCTGAAGATCACTCCGCATCCACAAGACCTGTGACGGCCTGGTCGCTCTCCCTCTTCCGTGCAGTACCCGAGCGGGTCTCGCCCCGTCAAGCAATGGAGTCCCTGCAAAGCATCGTGACCGACTTTGAGAAAGTCTACCAAAAACAGGTGGACTCAACACTCGAAATCGACAATGCCCTGCAGTCATTGATAGACTCTTTCGTCGACGTGCGCAATTCGATAGCGTCTAACCCGCGTGCTCTTGTGCCTTCCATGGCCATCCTAAAGCAAAAGGCACTGACCTCATCGAGACAAATATCGTCACAGCAGGAAGAGGTCCGACGATATGCTACGCGGCATGACAAAACCCTGCGCGGAGCCTACAAGACCGACCTGAACAATATCTGGGATCCTGGAGCGTTTGACGATCGCGAGGACGTGCTTGCCAAAACGATCGCGTTGCACTTCATCAGAGAGGGGCAGTTCAATATTGCCGACACGTTCATCAACGAGGCTGGCTTGGACGTGCCTGAAGATTTGAAGGACCGGTTTCCGGAAATGTATAGGATTTTGGAGGCGATTAAGGAGGATAATCTGGAGCCGGCGATTCAGTGGGCGTCGGCTCATAGGGAGCATTTGGATAAGAGGGGCTCGCGGTTGGAGTTTGCGCTGCATCGGGCGCAGTTTGTGCAGCTGTTGACTTCGATGCGGATTAAGGAGGCGTTGCAGTATTCGAAGGCGAACTTTGGGCATTTCGCTGGGACTCACATGAAAGGTAGAGCCTGGCAACTAGGATTATGGCGGGCTTCGCGGTGAATCTAAGCTGATCTCCATCTTGATGCTGCAGAGATACAACGCCTGATGGGCTCCTTCATTTACACAAAGAACCTCAGCAACTCCCCGTACGCAGATCTTCTCGATCCCAACCAGCGCGCCGACATCCAACACAGCTTCACCCGCGATTTCTGCCAATACCTGGGTCTCTCCTCCGACTCCCCACTCTACATCTCCGTCCTTGTCGGCACACTCGCTCTCCCAACTATCATTAAAATGTCCTCAATCATGAAAGACAAATCCGGTCTCGAATGGTCGCAAGCCGGCGAGCTCCCCGTCGAGATTCCGCTGTCGAACAACCAATGCTTCCATTCCGTCTTTGCCTGTCCGGTCAGTAAGGAGCAGAGCACGGAGGAGAACCCGCCCATGTTGATGTTTTGTGGGCATGTGATTTGCAAGTTTTGTTTGGATCGGTTGAGCAAGGGGAATCAGAACACTAGGTTCAAGTGTCCTTATTGCCCGACGGAGAGTACGGCGGGGCAGTCTCATCGGATCCATCTGTAGTCAGTTGCACAGTGTCGATTGCCGCTGCTTTTTTGTATACATTTTGTACAGGAATCCAATGTGTGGTTTGTCCTTTACTTTCGTCTACGCGCTTCCGCCCAGTGCTGTGATGTTGAATAGGCCAAGCGGTGAAGGTTCCATACAAGCATGCAGCAATAAGTGTTGACCATGCCAACGTAGAGACTTGTTCGGACGAGTCATGATGTATGTATGTAAAGTACAAAAGGTATCGAAATTAGCTATTTAGTGATTAGTGTTAAGTTAAATGTGCAACCAGTGGTGATGCTTCGAGGGGGCGGAAAGTGTACAGAGAATGACAAGGCCTACATGGACCTATATAGGATACGTCGAAACACGTTGTTGCAAGCGGGTACGCCGTGCGGATACAACACGGGAGTGAAGGGTACGCCAGCGGCTTCTCGTAGAAACCGGAGCATACAAAGCCGGATGATGGGCCGCTCGCGCTCAGCAGTCCGCTTGGAGAGAAGCCATAAACGGGTTGTCGGGAGCAGATGCTAGGGATGACGCGGCACGGGCACTCTCAGCTCCTCATTCCAGCCCCTCACGTCACCTCCACATCCTCACTGCGAAGGGCCTGACGAAGCCGGCGGCGGCGGAAGAGCATATTGTTGCAAAACGTACGACTGTTGCTGCTGCTGATTTTGCTGCCTTGCCTGCTCCTGCTGTTGTTGGTGCTGTTGTTGCTGCGCCATCATGTACGTGCCCGGAATGGCTTGTCCCGAGCTTTGCGCACCTGTACTGTACGACGCATTCCCGATGATGGTATGATGGTTCGCCTGGCCCATGGGTGATTGCTGTGGTTGACGCAGACTACCGTGGGTTTGGTGGGGTGAACCGCGCGAGTCTACTCGTTGTCGACCGTAGAGATGCTGCGGAACAGGAAACGACTGCGATGACAGCCGGTGATCACTGCTGTTACCACTCTGGTTCGGTGTCGCATTGGGAGCAACACTCATGCCGGTTGCGGAGTTCGGACTGCGGGATGGCATGTTTGGTGAGCCTTCTGCTTTGATGACCGCGGCCTGCTGTTGTTGCGCAACAAATAGCTGTTGATGGTATAATTTGTGGAACACAGGCGGTGGTCCTCCGGCTGAGCCTGTCCCTTCCTCTTGACCGAACTGTGTGGCAGGCGAGGAAGGCGGTTTGCCACGTTCTGACTGTTCGTCTTGTCCTCTCGACGGTGAGGGATCAACGACTGGCCACATTCGTGGGGTTGCGACCGGAGAAGCGACCATGGTTGTTGCCACCAAGCTCTCATGCTTCTCTGCGGCCAAGGCGATGGTGGGGAAGGACTGCGGCCGGGCAAGGTCTTGTTGGTTGAAGCTGGTATTTATGGACGGCGGTTCCCTTGGCGAATCAATCTCGCCTGATGAGCCCGATTGGTTCGGAGGAGTCGGTCTCGCGCTGAGTGGTGAGCTGGAGGATCGGAAGTCTGTGGCGGAGTTCAGGGAGGTCGTTCTAATATGGGTTGGAAGTACTTGTTGGGTTTGTTGCTGCAGATGCTGCTGCTGCTGCTGCTGTTGTTGTTGTTGTTGTTGTTGGTAATGCAATGACTGTTGGTGGAAAGGGTGCATGTGCGATTGCTGTTGGTCGATTGCAGTTGCCTGCGGGTATATCAATCCCACATGTTGCCCATAAGAAGGGCCATGTGCCATAATGTGTTGCTGTTGCGCCTGCTGTATGTGCGGTTGCTGTTGCCCTAAATGCTGCTGCAATGACATCACATGTGCCTTCAATTCCGCATTCTGCTTTTGCAGTCTTGCGATCAGTGGGTCGGCTTCCCGATCAATCACCGGATATGGTTTAGCGCCCATTCCGAATCCACCTATTAGCGGATGACCGGGTCCGGCTGCACCGCCGTGCAAACGTTCGCGCTCGGCCTCCAGTTGACAGATGCGGGCTTTCAGCTGGTCGATGTATTGCTTTGCTGCTTCCATAATCACCACTGTGCTCGGCTTGTCTCTCGAGGACAAAGATGGGATCGAGTCGCGCAATTCCTCCAGCTTCCCACGCTGATACAGCCGACGTTTGCGCTCCAATTCATTGTGATTGCTGCGTTTGGGTCGCCTAGAGTCATCACCATTTGTGTTAGTTTATTGGCAGGTCTGAGCAAAAAAAAAAAGAGAAATGGAGTGCCGTCATTGACTTACATTCTGCAGTTGCTCGAGCCAGGTTCTGGCGAAGAAGAGAGCTTTTCAGAGTCGCTTTGTCCAGTGATATGCGGGGATTCCATCGCAAAACGGAGCCAGACACAGCAGGTAGAGGTGATTGATCTTTTGCGACCAAGACTTGTGGGCTAAATGGGTTCGCCTGATAGTTGACGAGCTCCTGGCAATGGAAACCTGACAGCGTATGTTTTCGAGGCGTGCGAGTTCGAGACAAAACACTTCCGGATGATGCAAAGTGACTGCGCGGGGGGCGAAAGAGTTTGTCACTTTTTGGAATGCAGGAGCTGGACTTTATCAAAGGAGAGCGAGCGCCGCGTAAAACGTAAGAGAAAAGCGGGGGACGAAATACAAGATATGACGATGTCGAGGAGCCCTCGGCAAGCAAGGATGCAACATGGAAGACACAAGGACGCCGGAGCGAATGGTTGTGCTACGCGAATTCTCTTTTTGTGTGTACGCCTGGCGCCGCGGGACGGCCGGCTGGCGTCAGCTGTTGTTGCTGTGCGGGGGCTTCAGCCTTTTTTCGCCCGAACCTTCCATACCTCATAGGACAGCAGCTCTGGGGTTTACGCAGGTTGTCAAAACAAAGAGAAAACAAAGAGCAAGACACAGCAAGTCTCCGACGCGTCCCGGCAGCCAAAATCAACGCAAAAAATCTTCCTCTCCTCGTGCATGCCGGATTGGCATTGAGCGACGGCTCGGAAACTGATGAGGCTCTCGCTCGCCTGCCACCGCCCACCAGTGACTCGGGGTCCGGGAATCCCGATAAGAAGACGCTCGCCCGAGTCGCCACGCATTTTCCTCGTACGCGAGCAGATGCCCAATGACATCGAACATGGATTTTGGGGCACCCACTGGCAGCCATGTACTGTATTATGCTCCATTGTTCAAACATGCTTCGGAAGTCTTTCTTCCCTCCTCGTCAACGATGTTATTTTTTTCTCCAGAGCCACTGGCGAGCCGCTCTCTTTTGGCTGGCAAAGATTTCTTCGCAATTTGACGATATTACCAACGACGCCAAATTCAGCGCATGTCTTCACGCGCAAAAAGGTCCTGAGCCGTTACCAAGATCCCGGAATTGATCTAATTACTCCGCCCCATGACGTATCTTTGCACATGTCTACCCCACAAACTCGCTGAGCCTCCGAGGCAACCACACTCCCGAATTCCCAATGGCGACGAGTGTCTATACGCCTTCTTGTTTGCATCGGCTCCCTCCAAACTACATGTACATAAATCTCAAACCAGCTGTATTTGGATTTGGCTTAGTGTGCATGGTTGGGTCTGGTAAATGTGGTGCGGACGGTGGTAAAAACCGGTTATCGGCTAACTTCAGGAAAAAGGTCAGAAATGGCTCAACCATCAAGAGAATCATATCCCTCCGCTTTTCGCAGTGGCAGATGAATCACTAATATTTCCAGATATCATATACAAATGTCTTTCGAATATGCTGTGTGCATTGAGCACTTGTGTGGTCTATCCCTTCAAAACAAAACCAACGTTAAAGTAGCAAAATTGAATCTCGGGATCACTGCACATATGAGATCAGAATCCGGAGGAAAGCTTGTTCGAACCTATCGTAATGTCTTTTGTTAATATGGAAGCAAACGGGAGAATGTGAACACGACATAAAAACCTCAGATAACGTACTTGGTGCTTTCAAAGATGATGGTCGGGTTATCGCTCGGACACCTCAGGAAGTTCGGAGCAAACACCATGGCCAAGTTGCTAATCGTCATTTTCGTATGCGGTTGGTTCTTCGGGTCTGCGACCACTCGAAGGAACCGCATCATGTAGTGAATGACCTTCTGATTGGCCTCTGTTTGCGAGGAGTGGTTTCGGGGATCAGTCGGATTTGAGCCAAAGCTGGCTTGCAAGGGAAGCCTTACCTGGCATTTGGGCTATTATCGCCAAAGCTGCAGGTCCAGACTGAGACAGCGGCACTCGGGACTCGTCTTGCCCGACTTTCACGCACGCGTCGTAAAACTCGGAGGGTATAAGGGGGTCAGCCAAGTCTCGAAGCCACAGTTTGAGCAGCGAACTGGGAACATTGGGATCTACGATTGCAGAGCCGCAGTTAGGTCTCAAGCGAAAACAGAAAATCACAAGCATGACCTACGCACCTCGTAGCCCCTGCAGGTCGTAGGTGCCCTTTTCAATCCGCATTCGCAGTTCTACAGATAAAGCGAGAACGTGGGTTACATATTATGTCGGACGACCAGAACCGCTACTTATGCATATACATACCCGTCACTGCATCCGCATCACCCGGAACGCGGAAAATGCCCTCCGTTTTACACCCGTTCAGATCGATAATGGCATCTGCCAGGAATGGCAGGATCTGCGGGACTTCGGCGTTGGGATGCTTTTCGAGCTCTGCCTTCATGATGTCCTCGAGATACTCCCCAAACAGAGCTGGGGTAAACGGCGCCTCCTATGATTCGATGTCAGTGAATCTTGCGTGAGATGACGCCAGTGGCTGAGTGATGATTTGCCCAAGAACGTACCTGGGCACGCTGAATTTCCGCAACCGTCGGCGTCTTCCCACGCGGTCCCGTTCTGCATATTCTTGTAAGCTTCTTCCAGCAATGGCGCGCTAGTTTATCTATGTTTGGTACTCTGCTCTCTAGGTGCTCCTGCACAAAGTTCTTCATGTACTCCTCGAAATTCTTCGACGGTGGGAAGGCGATGGTGATGACGCAAAGGAGGATCCAGCCTCGATACACGCTATCTCTAAAAACGGCAAAGAAAGCGCAGTCAGCAGCGGGACCTACTACAAAACAATTTGACAATGACATACTGGTCGGGGTTGCCTTTCAATTGCTGTTTGGAAGGGAGTGCAACTTTCGTAAGAATCAGCGCAAGGAGCAGAGACATTCACCTCCCACGTACTTTGCACATCTGCACATAGATCTCATCCCGAAGCCCTCCATGCATGATGCCCTTTTCCAGAAGGGTTTGAGTGTCTGACGCTGCACTGGATGGGTCCGTTTTCATGATCTTCTGTATCAGCTTAAAACATTTCAACGCGTCTTTCTGAAGGTTCTTGTTGAGAACCATGAGCGGCGTTTTTAGAGCATCCTGTGAGAAAATTTATCAAGATAAATTCGTAAATCTCCGTCACAATGAATATGCCATTGCTACCTTTTGATACACCAATAACTTCTCTAGCGGCACCGTCTTCTTGAATATGAGTCCCCGCTTATGCTCGGCGAAATACTTCGATGCAAAGCCTTCTATCCGGAACTGACTTAATTGCGATTTCAGATCCACGGGTAATACTTTACTTTGCCTACAAGTGCAAGAAGCGTAAGGGCAGGCCAGTTGTAACCAAAGATCAAGAGCAAAGCATGCATACCTATCTTTGGCACTGTTGAGAATCGGCGTGGAGTGAAGGTTTTTGTGTAACGGACTCATAGCTTCCGCTGCTTCTATTCGAAGCAAACCGATTTCCGAAGTTCAGTATGGGCCCCGATCGTGCTCGGACCTTGCGCGAGAATTGACAGTATCGTACCCGGATTCAAGACTGGAGTGCTGACCCCATACTGCCTTGCTCTCCCTGCCGCGCTACGAATGTCATTGACCGCCGGTGATGACGTGCTCAGAGATTTGCGATGAAAGTTGCCCAGAGAGCCTGCTGCTGGGCTGGTAGCTTTGTTGGGGGTTGCACCTTTATATTCATTTTCCGACTGCGCGGTGGCAAGTTGCAGCGTACTAATGTCCGGCTCTGAACCTGACCTCGTGCTTCGAGGCGGTTGGATTGACTCCTACATTTGACGGAAGCGTCAATGCTTCCGTCAATGCATGAAAAGGATCCCGCGCCTGCCATTGTCGCTCCTCGTACCTCCTCTTTCCCGTATTCCTCCCGCATGTTCGTCCCTCGCCCAAATACACCAACCGGCCCAAGGCTCCTTCCCAGCATGCCTTGCGGCTGATAACTAGCCGCAGCTTGTTGTTGAACTAAGATAGAAACGCGTTTGCCGATATTTGAGTCGTGCTACTCGATGGAAGCTGCGTTACGAAAAAAATTCCTTCAACAAAGAGATCGGCGATATCCAAATCTAACCTGTATTGCGTGAAGCTATTGCACGCGAACACCAATGATCAGTCGCAATGTACGTATGAGTGTTGACATGCAAGTATTTTGAAATACCGGTATTATGAGACCTGTGGTGGGCCGCATCCATTCTGTCTCTCCCGTTTTCGTGTTGTAGTAATATGGCTGCAAAGAATTCGAAGCGGTTCAACATCGTAAAAAACGTCCAGATACTCCGACAGATACCCACCAGCTTGTGGTTCTCATCAAAAAGTTCCCACCACTCGAGGCTGTTTCCATCTTTTTGCTTACTACGAGATATTAGTACGGTCTCAAGGTCTAACTAACCATGCCGAAGCCCTATCCGGCCTACATTCTATCCTTTGGCGGTCGGTCCCACGTGCATTCCCCCGTGACAAGATTGGCGTAGAAGAGGTTCCCTGTTTGCGGGTCAGCAAGCTCCACAAATATATTTTCTTTTGCCTGCGGGAATACGGAAGACTGCCTGGAAGGGGTAGTAAAATAGTGGCGACAGCGATGAGTTTAAGTCTGTAGGATCGCACATGTGCCTTGACTCCTGAACCCGTAACTCCAATTCTCACCTAGTGGCTGCCATAATTGTTATGAGACGCGAATATCTTTTGAGCCTGAAGACCTGTTTTTCAAGAGTGTTTTCCGGATATGGGTGCAAGCGAAACTGTGATGCACCCGTGGGAAAGCTGCACCAGTTCAAAGATGGTTCAGGAAGTGTCCTTGCGACCTTGGCAATAATTAACCTCAGCGCGTGTGGCCGCTCTCTCACGCCGCGGCCATCATTGATATTAGGTCAGCAGGCGTCCGCTGACAAGCCTCGTTTGGGTTGGATCAACTTGGCCTAACTTGGCTGCCCACATGTCTCGTATCAGCTCTCAGGGACGCAGTTGACAGCTCCTATCATAATCCAAGACATCTTTCACATGACAAAGACTCTCAAAACGAGGACAAACGTCTCTAGGAGTCCGCGTTTGACAAGTACACTCCAGGATGGTCCCTTGTGCGTCCCTTCGAGAATCAAGTTCTTCTCCTTCAATATCATTGATCCATCAGGCTTGGGTATGGACAGAGATATAGACAGAGGCACATTTACCTCCAAAGGCTTGACAGTATTCCCGTCTCCCGAGAATACTTGCATGGGGTGGCTGTCCGACGGTTCGACAGGGCTTCCAGAAGGAGAACGCGTTCGTTGCTTACGTACTGTACAAGTCATGACACACCACCGCTGTGTCCGCCAAGCTTCCCCTGCCCACATTCTAGAAGCCTCCGTTCCTTCCACCGTGCAGTGTCTGCCAGTACAGTAACAGACCGTACAGTGTCTGCACTGCCCGCGAGATATATTGAGGCAGCTGAAACTTCGAGAGCACATCTAGAAGAGAAATACCGAGGCCAGACGCACCTCTTTCTAAGTTCACGCTGCCGAAAAGTCCGAGAAAAGTCCGAGCGACGGCACAGCACAAGTCGGCACAATACAAAAAGACCATCCACTCCTGGCCGCCTGCTTCCTCAGTATGAACCATGACGCCCGCTGGTAGCAAACGAAGTGACCCTACAACTGCGACAAATCAGGCCGCCTTTGTGTCCAAGCTTTATTCGTGAGTCTCGCAAACGGAACACTTCTCCCCATGCGGCGTTCAGGACCGCTTAAGTGCTTACGATTGTTCTGATCTTCCTAGCATGCTAGAAGATACGAATATAGAACGCCTCATCTTCTGGGATATTGCAGGGACAAACTTCATCGTTGGCGACCTCACAGAGTTCTCGAAGACCGTCCTGCCGCAGTACTTCAAACACAGCAATGTATGGCGGGCTGCCTTCGTGACTGTAGATGACATCCCAGCTAAAACCTCATTCCATTCACAGTTTGCAAGTTTCGTCCGGCAACTCAACATGTATGGCTTCCATAAAATAAACGACATGTACCATGGCCACTCGACGGAAGTCTGGGAGTTTGCCGTACGTATAGCGCCGTGCGTTCCAGATCAGATCGAGGATGCCATCTCACGAGACTGTTCATCAGCATCCAGAGTTCCGTCGAGGTTGTCAGGAATCATTGGGGAACATCAAGCGCCGCTCCTCCAAACTAAATCAACTGCAGAAAGCTGCGCAGGCAGCCGCGTTCGGGACTGCATCATCGTCCTCTTCGTCGGGGTCGAATGGGCCTAAGGAAGATCGAGTAGATGTGTTGACGAAGAAGGTTATGGAGCTGGAGGGTAAATTGTAAGAAAAGCCTACCGAGAGAATCCCTGGGACCGTATGCTGACCGGCGTGAACTGCAGAGCGAAACTCCATGAATCATATAACCTGCTGTGGTCGGAATCAGTGGCGGGACGGGATCTCCAGAGTAAACATCACCAAGTTATCACCAACATTACGTCTTTTCTTGCCAACACGCATTCTGACGACCCACGTGCGACAAGGAAACGGAGGCTGGATGGTATGTTCGATATCCATTCTTCCGTGTCGTTTCTTCCATGTGAGAATTGCAACCAACTGGATCTATTACACAGCGGATCTTCTGCAATCCGAAGTAGCCCGCATCCACCCCAAATCGTCCACCACGAACGTCACATCCACCGGATTAGAAGTACCTACCTCCCACTCCGACATTGCAAACGAGTCGGAAGATGACGGGAGTGGGTTCTCAGAGTCCGACGATGATGCTACAGAACACATCAACAGCGCATCAACGGCCGACCATCCACAACAGGATGGCGCAAAAAGTCTAGGGGCCGACGATGGGGAAGAGGACGGTGACGCAGAGCCGTCGGAGGAGTCACGGTCTGAATGGGAGAGTGAGGTCGAGGTGGAAACGGTGGTTTTAAAGACCGAGGCCACTGCGCCGCCGCGGCCAACGAAACCAGCGAAGCGGGCGAGAAGGGAAGAACGCATCTAAACGATTCTTCCTCACCCCATTGCACCATCGCCTTGGACTGAGGAGCCGATCTATTCTGGGCCTTTTTTTGGAAGTCACGTAGTATTGCAGCGAGCGCCACCACCACTTGCACGATATCTCGCATCGCTAAGCGTACAGATGTGTGCATGTATATACCCAATGAGCTCTTTGTACGCAATACCCAACATCTTGAGATCCCGCCGATATTGAGTGGGAATGGCTCTGTCGCCCATCCTATATGGGATTGAACCTATGTACATCGCCTAGCCTATCCCCAACTTAGATCCCAGGACCACCCTGAGTTACCCCACCAACGTCTGCTACGCCTTTGTAGTATCCCCGTCCATCAAAAATCTTTCCGCTAGCTCCTTTTGCCTCCTCTGTACCAGCCACGCCTCGACTTCCTTTTGTGAAGGTACAGGTACGTGCAGTAATGGATCGTCTACTGATTTGCTTGGTGACGGTTCGTTTCCATCGCGCACTGAAATCGGTCGTCTTGTTAGCCATCGCCAACATTCAACAGAAAAAAGTACATAAGGGTTGGCTCACTTACGTTTCCGTTCTACTTCCGCTTCATACTGCAGGAGCAGCCCATCCTCTTCATCCCGATACCCATAGTAATCTGCATCTACCCTCTTATTTAAATCCGATCGTGTAGACTTCACCACCGTCGGAACTAGCCAGAAAAACAAGAAAGCATCGGTAAGGGCTGGGAAACCGAGTCGGCAGTAATCTCTGATCCTGCAGTACCTTCTTCCGCAAACAGCTCCCGTACACCTGGCAGGTCCTTCGCACGTCCAAAATATCTGCAGAAATGAGAAGTTTCAGAGACCTGCGGCATTTTGGCAATCCAAACGCCACTTACTTGTATCCCCTCGCGCCCGGCACTTCTTTCCCCTCATTATCTAATAATCGCGGTCCTACTTTGCGGTAATCGGGCCCACCCAACTCCCTTATCCTGTTTTCCCAATGCCGCTTCTCGCGAAGTAGTTTGTTGATTTCATCGTTCAGGTCGCGAACTTGATAGTCGGTCAATCCTGCTATTTGGCAAAAGTTTCCAAAGTGATGAACATCAACCTTCACCGGTCTGCTGTCCCCTCCCAAGAACAACGGCCGCGTCCACCCCACTCACAATCCTGAATCTTCGACACCTTCTGCGAGATCTCTCGTATTATTTGGTGCCGCCACTTTTCCGCCTCCTTCAGATTCGACACTTCCGAAGCTAGATAAGGTCGTTTCTCTGTCTTTTTGAACCCGAGTTCCGCTGCTTGCGCTTCGCGGAACCGGTACAGCATCGACTGGGCTTTCTCTTCATTTCGGGCCTTGAAGAGAGTGGGAACTTGTCAGCCGCTGTGGGACCTACCCCACAGGCACACAAGAGTAACAGGCGTAGCAGGTGTGACCTCTTTACTCACCATTCTGAAAGATTCAACGGTGGTTGGTTGTTGAGTTTAACGGAATTGGGATACCCTTCGCGCACGTATATTCAGGCAAACCCTAGATGCTCCGGACATAATACAGCCCACGTGATTTTGCGGGCATTTAAATGTTATGCGCAAGCTTGATGTTCCAACTCTGTGCGGCCACGTGTGCGGCCAGTCCTCCGATGACCCCTTCCAAGTCAGCCAGCTTCCAAGTCTTTCCAAACTCCACGTTACAACTTCAACCTTTGACATCTCTCCATATCAACCTCCTCGGTGTGAAATTCAACATATACTCGGCACTCCCCAACACCTCTACTTTCGCAACCGGGGTGGCCGGCCTTCTGTTTTGAAGCGCTTTACGCACAGGCGAGACATTCTGGACTCGACGCACAACTCCGCCAATACAAATCGCAGCAAAGTTTGGTGCACCATGGATTACGGGGAGGCCTTCTTGAATAACCTTCCGTTGGCCTCGGAGGTCACAGAATATCCTGATATAGGGCTGCTAGGGGAAGATGACATTTTCAAGTCCTTCCTCAACGAGGATTTTGCAAAGTTAATGGATAGCGGCCAGTTTCCGCTTCAAGATCCGCTGTGTTCGCTGGTGGGCATGGACATGCCTCTACTGGACAGTAGTGGTCCTGGAGGTGTACCCGTACCTGTACCTTTCGGAGAGTCTTTCGGACAGTCGTCGGAACGCACAGGTTCATTGAGCCCGCATAGCGTCGCATCCAATCCTCATTCGTTCTCCTACTCGTCTCCGTCTTCGGCGGCGTCCGGTGGTTTGTCACCCGGAATGGAGTGGCTGCTCGATTTCGATGATGTAAGTACGGATTTGATAGGCGAAGGCGAGGGGTCTTCTTCAATTAGCGACCTGTCACAACCTGTCGAACCGAGATGCGTCGAAGGCGCATCAAGTATGCGAGGGATCGTAAGAAATAGAGAACAGTTTCTGGATCGGCCGAGCGTAGTGGCCCGAGTCGCTATGCGAGGGATAGTGAGCATTTATGCTACTTCAGGGCCATGTCGCTGACGCTACTCGTTTTTACACAAACAGAACCTTGCAGCACTTCAGAACAGTCTCGTATCCTCCGGCCCTCCACCGGCTGAGCCACTACTTAGCACAGCACCTATCGCAGCTCCGACGACTCTGGTATCCTGCGACGCCGACCTCCCCTTACCCGCTCTGGAGACACGTCTAGAGCCATTATTACCCATCAAAGTGGAACCTTCGGCGTCGTTGCCACTGCCGAAGAAAATCGAACCCATACCACTTCTGCCGGTGCCGACGCTACCAGCAAAGGCAGCAAAGCAACCGTTAGCCCCTAAAACCTCTCATCCGATTCATGTAAATATTCAGCCTAAACCAACGCCTGACGTAGCCAAACCTGGCCCAGCGGCACTGACCGCAGCCGAAAGGCGAGCAGAACGGTTGATCAAGAACCGCGCCGCTGCCTTGGAGTCGAGGAAGCGAAAGCGGGAACAACAGCAAAAGCTGGAGAAGGCCAGCGAACAGCTTTACGAAGATAACGAGAACCTGAGAGCCAGAGTGGCCGATTTAGAGGAGAAGAACCGACAGCTGACAGAGGAGAATGGGCGATTGAGGCATCGATTGTACAACTTGGATAAACGCGCTGCGGATGTTTCGGGGATCGACCCGATGAACTCATTTGCAGACCTCAGCACTGTCCTCTTTGAGGCGCCCAACAAGAAGGCAGTGGGAACTGCTCTCATGGCATTCTTCTTCTCGTTTGCCTTGATCTTCCTGCCCGGTTTCATGTCATCATCTCCCCATATCGGCGGCCATCTTGCCGGCAGAGCCTACTCCGACGAGAGCTCCGCCTACTCTGGGCTGAAGCTCCTCGACCCACCGCCGAAAATTCTCTACCTCCCAGCCTCGTCACCACTCCCTACCGAATCTGGCCTTGTTCCCTTGTCCATGACGCCAGCATCCATGCAAATCAGGAGCAGTATGGGCATACCACTTCATCGAGCGGTCTTCAACGATGTTCTTGAGAAATTGGTTGAAAGCTGCCCGAAATCGGAAGCTACCCGCGAACACCGAGCGCATCTCGCAACCCTCTCGAGTCTCTTCCATGATCAGACTCAGCGTGACAATGTCCTCGTACCCGCAGGTGCGCGCCGGAAAGTTTCCATTGACCGGTCTGGGAAGTCGTTCGAGCAGGCTGCCTCAAAGTACATCAAGTCGGATGACAGCAGTAAAGCCGGCTTTGTACATATCCCACCCGACTGTGGCGTACAATACGAGGCTGACGGAACCGGCGCGAAAGCAATCCCACACCTTACCCTCTCGGACTCCATCCACCTCCTTCCCTACCGATCGCTGTCGGATTCCGGCTCGAGATCTGCCCGATCAGATAAAGACGGATGGCCCGCGGACACGTTGGACGCTCCAAGATTCTCTCTTGTGGCGAAGTTACCGTCCTCGGAAGTGGAGGGTGATTCTTCTCGATCTAACGCGGGAGGGTTCCTGCACCTGGATTTAGAGGTCATTGACGCTCGTCTGGTGAAATGGAACGAGAGCGAGCCTTGAATGGAGAGGCTCTCGTGACCGTCGAGGTGTATCGACGAATGGGCTGTACAGAGCATCCCCATGTATGATATCAAATGTATGGATTGCGGTTTTTTTGGGCTCGGCTGAGATACTTGAGGAGGCGAGACAGCTTAGTTTTCAGCCTATGTATTCCATCAGTGAGTAGTTGTATGGCTTCTACATGAATATCATCTATTGCCTGCATGCATTGCACCGCTAGTATTCGGATATCTGCCCGGAAGGAAAAAGCTTCCGAGGTAGATTTGGCTTTCGATCTTCGAAGTTCGCGTCAGTTTCGCGTCGATAATTTTGGCTGAAGTTCGTGGCTGTGCCACATCGAGCACGCCCCTTCGAACGAACTCTGAACCCTCGAACTGGGCCCATTTAGCTTTAGCCAACGGCTCCAGCAGACAATCGAGCCCAAAACCATCACCTTCGAGGATGACGTCGGCAGACATTCTGGTGCAGACAGCAGGCTACGGCTACCACCCTCACGCCGATGAAGACGATTACGACGAGCAAGAAGACGAGCAAGAAGACGACGAACATGACGATATTGAGGCCGAATTCGACGAGCTCCTCGAAGCGCAAGTGCGGAATGACATAATCCAGGAAGACGAGGAAGAAGACGACGATGACGACGAAGAGGAGGAGTACAGAGTGGGAAGGCATCACGATCATGGACAGCCAGCTACCTTCGTCCCCCAGTTTCGGCCGGGAATGCCGCTTCCCATGACGGCGTCGGTCGATAGCGAAATTTTCCATGTCAAGAGCAAAATTGCCCACATTATGGGGTTGCTGAATCAGGAAGGGAATTTAACGGGGGAGGAGGCGGCGGCGGTTGAAAGGTTGAGAGAGGTGAGGAAGGAAGGAAGGAATCAAGTCTGGCCCGGCTTTTTCAGCGTTTCCCCACTGACTTGGTGTTTGTTCAACAGCTTGCAGAAAGCGCAACGCAGAATATCGTCGCATTACCGGCTCCTGTCGCATTACTGGATCCGCAAACGAGTGTCCCACCAGCGGTCAGCTTCCCGACCTATCCTGAACCGGACGCCTTTCCGATGCTAGTAGCCGCCGCGTTAGCCGCCCAACCTGGCCCTCACAAAAATCTCATCCCGGAACCAGAAGTAGAGTCCGGCGAGACGGACGGCATCGTGAGACGCAGGCGGAAACCCAAGGAACGCTATCGGTGTCCAAATGTCGACTGCGATAAGACATTCACGAGAAAGTTCAACCTCCAGGTGCACATGAAAACCCATGATCCTGAGCGCCCACGACCGTTTCTTTGTCCTGTATGCCAGCAGGGGTTTTCACGGCAGGTTGATTGTATACGGCATACCGAAAGTGAGTAAAAGCTGGTCATTCCTTCTCACACACACATAGCTAACAACCGTCATGTCTTCCTTCCTTCCCAGCCCATGTCCAAAAGAAGCATACGTGCGTAGAGTGTAACAAGGTCTTCAGCCGCAAAGATGCTTTGAAAAGACACATCACAACTGGGCGCTGCATGCAGACGGCACTCCTGCCAAGCTTGAGCGACTTTGCCTCACCAACATCAATAGAGGATCTTCACTTGGCTGCATCTCTGGCCGCACAAGAACAAGTACAGCGGCTACAACAGCAACGTCAGCAGCACCCTGCCCCAAGCGCTTTAGATGCCCTCGCGGCCTTCGCAGAGGTTGAGCGGAATGCACTCAGTCAGGCTTCGTCTGGCGGATTGTCACACGGCGGAGATGACGAGATGCGAGACACTACAGCATTGCACACTGCGTCATCTCTAGTTGGTTTGTCCGCCCCGCTGGCGCACACCAACCTTGCTCTACCGCCTCAACCCGGAAGTCTGGAAGAGGCTGTTACGGCGGCCATAGCGGCAGCGGACGTTACGACGGCAGAAGGGGTACGGACGCAACCCAGGGCATCTTTTGCGCAGTATAACCGTTTGCTTGAGCAAACACCACGGACGGCAGTTTCAGGGCAATATTCATAAGCAGCGCGCAGTGTCTTTTCGCCCTTCCTAGATATATACCACCGGATTGCATCAACTACCGTCATCATGCATACATGTAGAGGACCTGTACAAAACTCCGAGTTGAGTTATCAAAATCTAGTTCAGAGATACATACATTATGGCGCCAAAACCGTAATACGCCGCGCAACAGTAAACTAAGCTGGAATCCTAAAATATTGAGACACTAAAGATATACAAGAACAGACAAGGAAAAAAAGACTATCTACAGATGGTGAAAAAGCGGACCAGTGACTGAATCCGGAAGGGTAAGTTACAGCCGGAGATCCGGGGTACTTTGCGATTTGGGTATTTGCAGAAGTCTGGCTGCCATCCCGCGGCGGCTAATGATAGCCGCCGCATGTAAGGGATCCAGGGCATTGATCCAGGCGTCGAGTTCATCGAGCGACGGTGTCTGGAAGAGGATCGAGGACGAGCGGACTTGCATGGCAAAGATGTTTGGTTTCTGAAGGAGCGGGAAAGTAAGGGTTCTGTGAGATGATCCTCATTTGAATTTCAGTGCGGAAGTGTTTAGCATACCTTGGTAATCTCGGACAGACGCGGGGAATGTGTCAAATAGATACCCTCCAAGCCAACCACCGCACATAGCTTCGTCTCGCTCTGGTCGGCATACACATAGAGGAAGGGCCGCCTGATGACGAACCATTCTTTGCTCCAAACATCGTCCCCATTCTCAACCCAGCTCATCGCACCCCGTTTCACGACTGGCCCTCTTTCAACGTGTCTCACGTCGGCTTTGTACGCCATATACCGATCCTTGCCGAATGTCGTTGAGGCGCTGTTACCGAGTACGAGGCTGTGAAGGCTCGGGTCGCGCGGGTCTCTCCGTCGCCATATTTCGAGCGACTTTCGGAGAAGAGCGTTTCCTCGCGTGCTATCCGTTCGATTGCGAGACGGAACATTTTGGCAGATCTCTGGAAATCCTTGACGGAGACGGTCCGCTTCCAGTTTGTTGGCCAATCGTCGCCTGGTTGCCTCCCACTGAACGATCAGTTCGGGCCCATGCGGCTTCCAGCCGGCTAAGCCCTCTTCGCCGCGGATGTAAGTCCCACCTTGGGAAGCGTCGTGCGATGTGTACGTCAGCGCTCTGCTTGTGGCAGACGACGACCGCATGATGATGTTGAAGACGAAGGAGCTGTACGGCAAATAACGAGATCCACCAATGGGCCCAAACGAAGAAAGGCCAAGCAGGCCGGCAAGGTACCGTGGTGAAGTTCGAACGTTGTAGTCGCGATCCACTATCATAACGGCGATGTCCGTTTCAAAGTGCAATTCCTCAGGTAGCCTGGCCGCAGACGATGGCGGGTGCTCCATCTCGGCGGTGAAGTGCAAACGCAACAGAACCTTCTCGCCCTTCCTAGTCATACTGTTCAGCCATGCGCATTCATGTGCGCCGCTATCCCAGCTGCAGACGATATTCAAGCTCCGTCCGTTCTCATGTGCTTCCTGCCTGCGTGGCACGCGCAATCGGACCATGTCGCTTTCCATTTCCACACTCGGCTGCTCATTCGCGATGATGCCATCTTTCGTTGAGAGCCTGACCTTTCCGATGTCGACGCGCGTAATCCGTTTCCACCGGATTTGTGGTCCATGGGAATGGGTCAAGCGAAGCCCGACACGACGCTGCAGGCCGTGGCGTAAGAGGAAGGAACCCGCGTCAGTGTCTTTGGTAGCCTCAGTCAAGGTTGGTTTGTAAGAACCCAAGGACCGCGATGCCTCTGCAATCTCGATTTGGCACAGAACTGGGTAACGAAGCTCGGACGTAGACGTCCCATTCTTCGATGGCAGCGTCTGCTGCTTGCCAGGGAATGGAGGCACTTGCGGCGAAGATGGGGAGGCACAAGAATCGTCTGGAGCATCTGATTGGCAGTCTGCGGGAACCAACTGACTCTCACGATTGTGGAATGTTTCCTCGATCATCTCTGAGACTGGCTTCTGCCGCCTCCCGAAAACATCGAAGCGCATCATGCCATTCAGCAACGTGTCTCGCACCGCCGCCCCGATTTTCACGCGAACCGTTTGGCTAAAGTCGAACACCACGACGTCCGTACCGAAATCGGTCGCCGGGTCCGTCGCGAAAACCCGGTTTGCATCAAAGTCCTCAGCGTGCCCGCCCGCAGAACGCTCCTGTCCAAATGACTCTCCGGAGAATTGCACGTGTAGCTGCGTGAACTCTTCTTCGAGGATGCCGCCCAATGACAGAATGGAGACCTCAAATAGAAGGGTCTCTCCATCTTCAAGCTCATCCCTTCCAGAAGCAGTCTGCCCCTCAATGGCGCCAGTTCTCTCACTTCCGATGACGCTCACGACAACTTTGATACATCCCTTCACATGCCCTGTCTCGGTAACAACGTCGCAGTTGACCTCTTGCGTCATCCCCCATATCGTGTTGCGCACGCACACCCACGCGGATCCGATGCGATCAAACCATGGACAGTCCCCTGCATTGTAGAAGCAGCTGGTATCCGGTGTATATCCGCCCGACGAGTGATCTGACAGGTAGTATAACTCCCGCATCAGAGGTAACCTCTCTCGCAGGGTATCCGATGTCCACATATAGACGGAATCGTTGCAGCCGTCAAGGACCTTGATTCGGAATATCGGACGCTGGCGCTGGAGACGGGCGAAACTGCCCACAACCGGGCACTGGTGATATGCAGTCCCGTACGGCATTTGTTGGCAATCAGTGACCTCCCAGAAAGAGGTATTCGTATCACTGCACAGGGCTATCTGATACAGCACGTTCCTGTCGAGCTCTTTCGCTATGACATTAGCTTCCTTCAAAATCGCGGCCGCGTCCACAATCTCTCTGGCGATTTGAACGTATTTTCGCGATCGCCATCTGCTTGCGAACTCCCGCACCAAGTCATCCCGGAAGGACCTCCCCCTCCTCGATCGTGTTGACGGCTCAGGCAATGTCCCCACTGCAGATGACCCGTCCCGAATCGGGTCTGTGAGTGACGTCCCAGCCGATGGAGACATATCGCCAGCGTCCCAGGACATGGAAGCACGAGGATGGGAAGTATCTTGTATACGAACTCGCGACCCACGTTTCCAGGATGTCATGGATTTCGGCGGCGCCTCAGAACCAGTTTCATATGCCTCGTCTGTGAAGCCTCGCCCTTCACTCGCGGGTAGACGTCGGCCTTGACGGTAAAGCATGGCTATCGACTGCTCCGAAGTTGTCGGACTAGGTGAATCGAAGTATGATGCAGTCCCGTCATCTGCTATTGATGGTATGCTAGGATTAAGCATAGAGGTGGGCCTCGCAATAGGACCGCCTCTTCGCTGCTTTGGTGGGGCGTTCGGGTCATTGAACCTGAAAATGTGGCGATCCCCCAAAATAATGCAATCCCCGGCGGAAAGTATCTGACCTGAGAGCGTTAGTCAGAGTACTAGAACACGAAAACCCCGTGACTGCTAGGTTTCTCACCTCCGGCTCGTTGATCGGACGTCCGTTCACCATGGTGGGCGCATCATGTTCAGGCCGAACAGTAACCTTGTGTGTATGATCTGCGCTCATGACACAATGGGATGGGAGTATGTTCGGACCCACCAACCGAATGTCTGCGCAGTCGTGAGAGCCAACCCGGTATAGACCCGGCGGTAATGGGTATAGTAAGCTTTCGGAGAAATGGGGGTATTCGCTAAGATTCAGAAGGTGCGGTATGCGTGGGGCTTGGAAATTCATCGAGCTTGTAACGGATTGTTCCGAGGGCGAAGTAGGACTTCGGTCCCCATTCGCATTCCCACGTTCGACCTGCAAATCCTGAGTTCTCCGCTGCAGAAAGTGAGAGGAGCGCTGTTGCAGTAGCCACATTCCCGAGTTCACTTACCAGCTTGTCTTCGAAGCTTTCGGTGATTTGAGCTATGAGCTTCTCGCTGGCTTTCAGAGCATCTTTGAGCGCTCCAACGTCTTCCGTTCCAAGGAGCTCGTCCGCTCCGGATGCTCCCGACAGTTGACTTGGTGCATCGGAAGCTGGGCTTTCCCTTGAGGGTACATGCGCCGAAGGTGACAGCTCCAATGATTCGTACCGGAGCAATTTCGACTTCAGAGTGGAGATTTCTTGTTGCAGCTCGCGCAACATTCTGGCATTCGAATCTTCGTTGACGATAGCTTTGTTGACGATACGCTTTGCTCTGTCTGCGTAACGAAGGGTGGACAGGGTTTCATCGTAATTGACATCGGCCGGACTGATCGCAGCGATCATGACGGTTTTCGAATTGCCGCCGAGGCAATCCTTCAGCAGCCAGGTAAGCGCAGAATCCCGATAAGGTATGTGCACTTTCCTTTGCTTCGCGGAAGATAGACCGTGGACGTCAGATAAGTTGGTCTTGCTTCTGGCGACCTCTTTCCCGGTAGCAGTTGACAGGTCAGCCAGCGCGGATATAACTTTCCCCAGAGTGGTCAGGGACTTGTTGATATTGGCACCTTCCTTCAGGCGCAGGCCAGTGTTGCCCGTTGCATCTGCACGCTCGCTGCCAGCAAGATCCACGAGACAGATGCGGGACACCTTCTCGGCCGTTATACCCAAGTCCGGTTCACGAGAACGCTGGGTAAGTATGATCGTGAAGACCGCATGACTTCGGCTCGACGTAGCATTCATGTTCGTTTCTGCTGTGGTCCGTGCTTTGTTACCCTCATCCATCAAAGTTGCAATCTCTTCGTACGATCTCACAACAAGCTTGCTGAGGTCTTCCACATATGGACCCAGCGAGGGGTGTTCCCGAACTCTCAGATTGTTTTTCACAACCGGATTGAGCAGATCCCTAACTCGCTCGTTGTAGATTTCGATGTAGCTCACTTCGACGTTAAAGGTGGTATTGGCGTCGACGTTTGCATCGATCTTCGAGAAAAGTTCTTCGCATGCTCGCGGAATGACACCCTTCTCTTGGCCGTAACCCATCATAGAATAACTCTTTCCCGCACCTGTCTGTCCATATCTGTAGCCGTTTTACATCGGTTAGGCGACACAGATCATTGTTCTGTTGAGAAAGGACGAACTTACGCGAACACACATGTGTTGTATCCTTCGAAAGCATGCTCCAATATGTCCTTTCCAACGGCATTGTACACCGTCTCTTGCGACGCAAAGTGATCGTCACTCTCGGCAAATGACCAGAAGCAGTTGTCAAACGTAAACGCTCGTTGAGTTTCCTCAGCAATCGATGCCGTCAAGCGACTTTCGGAGCCTCCCGTCCCTCCTGGCTTCGTTAATTGCACAGCCTTGCCATTGACGCTCACAATCTTACGTGCGCCCTTAAAAATCTCACGCTCATTGAAGGGCCTCACTCGAATGACCACCTGGAAGTGTAAGTATATGAGTATGGAAGTCACAAAAAGTCAGACGGGCGTGAAATTCACCTTTACAGACGACATGGCGCTTAGACTGTACACTCTCCGCACAGTGCTTCAGTCTGTTAGGGAAGCTGCAGACGATTACGACCGGAAACGTCTCACGCACGTCTCACGTGTGCGTGAAAGAATGGGCAGCCGGGCTCAAAGTGTCACGGCGGGCGGAAATTTCGACACGGGCGGGTCGGAAATGCCAAGCGTTCGACGAGTTTCAGCTCACTCCGCTCAGTCTGTAAGCGGGCGCAAGACAAATACAAGGTGCTAGTTCAGACAAGCTTCACAACCTGCGTTCCAGGCGGAGAGCGCTCAGCGACTTGGCGAGGGAACTTCGGTCAGCCCGTACCCGCTAGACTTCACACCGGTCTACGACTTAGGCCTCCGCTTCTAGATAGATATCTGGCGAACCCCCCTGCCAAGAGCGGCCTGCCGGTACGCAGCAAATGTTAAGTGTTGGTCTGACAGCCTCTGACTTCCAAACGTGGGCGAGTCGGAGAAGGAGGGATTTGAGGCAACCACTTTGTCCTTCCCACACGTCATGCATGCTCAGTCGCGCTGTCACAGGAGACGATCTCTGTCGAAAGGTGGAGCACAAAACTCCTGCCTGACTCCGGGCCAGCTGCCCCAGTGGCACGCAGAGTGGGGCCGACGTTCGCACAACGACAAAAGCCAAAACTTCGAAAGCTTCGGAGCCCACCACCCATCCCTCCCCTACCTTCATCATGAGAGTGGGTAAGTCAATACACAGTGGTGCCAGCGCTGACCGTCGACCTCAACCAGCATTCCCAGGCTGCCTGCAGTTTGCTCCAAGGCTCAAGGATGTCGAATGGAACAGAAGGCGTTGCTCACAGCTCATAGAGGCAGAGGCGGTTGAACGTGGATCACTGAGTCTACTGATCCTGCCCGAAATGTGTTTCACTGGTTGGGCTAGACAAGGGTTGCGGTCGAGGTGTCGAAGCCATCGCTGACGTTAACCCTTAGGCTACACTTTCAAAGACAAAGAAGACATAATGCCACTGGCTGAAGACGAACAGGGAGAAACGATAAAATGGGCCGTCCACTGGGGTACGGGTGAGGGACCCGTTTTGCGGACGTGTGCTGAATACTCACGAAGGGTAACACCTCGGTTAGCCAAACGCCTGCGAACTTTCATCCAACTGGGATACCCACGGAAGCATACTGCGCGGGACGGTTCGATAACGCTCTATAACTCCGTTTCTCTCGTCTCCCGGAGCGGGGAAGTGATCTACACCTACGATAAACATTTTCTATATGAGCTCGATGAGCGCTGGGCTGCAGAAGGGACTGGATTTCTATCAATTGACGTCCCACCTTTTGGCAAGGTGCGTATCACCCGAAAAGCATATTAGACGTCGCCATGGTGCCGAACTCAATCTTTGCAAGGTCGGACCGGGCATATGCATGGACGTGAACCCCTATCGATTCGAAGCGCCCTTCGAGGCGTTTGAGTTTGCCACCTTCCACAAAGCTCAAGGGACGGAGATGGTGATCTGCTCTAATGCTTGGCTGATGTCCGAAGGTGTTGACGAACGCTCGCAAGACGTATGCCTTCCTACCATCAGATACTGGGCTACGCGAATGTCGCCGCTCATAGATTGCGAAAAAGCGCTTGTCTTCGTAGTGGCCAATCGCACGGGGGCTGAGGGAGGTGAGCACCTTTGTCATGCTTAGCGGGCAATCACGCCTTGCTTACCCGGCGGCGTGCGTTTGTAGCCTCGACATTCTGTGGCACCAGCTGTGTCCTGAAATTCGAAGATGGTGGCATAGACCTCTTAGGAGCGTTGTCTGCAAGCGAAGAGGGACTATTGCTCGTGGACATGTAACCGGTGGCACTTCTGCACTTTTGAGGAGTTGGGTTGGCAGTTAATTACGGAACGCCAGAGAACCTGAGCGAGGTGGTGGCATCGCGGAAAAGCCCGCTCAGATATGGCGGAGATGACACATCCCTTCGGAGTCCAGACAAGCAAGCGCTTTCGACCTCGGCACATATCGCGGCTTCAGGTGTTAGGTGTTGAACCAATCCCCTGTAGTTTTGAGTGGATGAGATTTGCGACGTTCGCTTGCTTGCGGAGATCGTTACGAGTGTAGGAAGAATGGAGCGCAGGCTTCAAGTTGAACCGGAACGGGCCATCGGTTTTGCCCAGAGCGCGCGGGACTTTGGAACATCGGTAGCCTCTGAAGCTGCGAGACCTCTGTGGGTTTGCTGATTTGCTTGAATGGATGAGCACAAATAGCCGATGTGGCAATGCTGAAGGATATACTTTTCAAGGAGAGCAACTTGTCGCAGCAGAACGCTGGGTGTGGTTCATGAGTCTTGCATTGACCATTTATGCAACATAGGAATGTTTGATGTGGTATCCGCATTTGAAGCTGAGTCCGTGATTACGAAGCGCCGGGAACTTCGTGTTCAGGAGTTCAGCTTCGACTGTTCGACAACGCGTCTGACGTTGCAACGGTTTGTTGATTGCCGCGAAAAAAAGGCTCCAAGTTGCAGACGAGGCATTTACTGTTTCGGGTGTCTGCCAACTGTGAAGCAGCACGCAGCGAGTCTTGTACGCCGAATTCACCATAACAAAGAAGCCAAACTCATCACGCTGCTAGAGAGGATTTTGTCCGTATGAACAACCAACAGTGCGTTCGCCGCCAACCACTGAATACTAGCCACCACAATTGACCCGGCTTCAGCTCGTTGTCCAGCCGCCATGCACTTATACCGTTCGGCTAACGCTCTTCTCGCCAAAACCGTCACCTGATCACGCGCATTGATTGCGCATACTTCACACCGGAAGGGGGACAAACAAGAGAATGGCACCGATATCCAGGGAGCTGCCGATATGGGAACGTAGAGTCAGTAGTTGCTCGGGAGCGATGGCATAGAACTTGGACGGGTGCTTGTATTGCATATCCACAGCTGCAACAAGATGGACCGTCCACAGGAGTGCCTCCAGGCATTGGAGCCGCAGTGGGTTCTTCCTGCCACTGACCGACCAAAAGAAGGGCAGCAAGAAGACGTCTGCAATACCGCAGGCGTACGCGGAGAATGGCATATGAGGATGCAGTAACAACAATTTGCAGACACCCAGAACCAAAGGCGTGGGGCTGAGATGGCAATGCTACATGCTTTTGAAGGTGTCACTGCAGCAGGTAGCTAGAAACACATCAAGGCCCCGTTGATGGGGAACTGATCCATCCTGCAGTGTGCACTACTGAGGAGTCCGCTCAGGTTTGGCCAATATTGCCAATGGATGCACACGCGTTCTGCTTACGGAACGGACGTGCTGTCACCTGTCACCTGTCATTACGTCAGCAGTCCTGTCATCACGTCAGCAGTCAACAACTCCGCTTGGCCAAGAATGGGAGTCATGGTAGCCAGTTCCTCGGGCGTGGCTACGTAGGAATGCATAACTCGCGCTAAAAGTGCATAGCTCGGGTTAGGTTAGACTAGTTAGACAGTTGCCGGTAGACCCTGATTGTAGGAGGCCGGGTAAGGCCGACTCACCGACGGCAAAGGGGTCAGGTTTGTTAATCAAATGGTTCATTTTCGGCTGTGAGAATGTCTTATTCTGGAGGTGAGCTATGCACTTTTAGCGCGAGTTATGCATTCCTAGTCATCCCCCAGTTTCTCTGGCGGATTGATAAGAGCCAGCGTAGAGAATAAAGCAGCCAATTGTATTCCTCTAAAAGGTCAGAAGATGCAACAAAGCGGGCAACGGGACCTAGGCTGCTAAACTCTAGTATCTACGACTGGTATCTAACCCAAAAATCCCTTGGGCACGGTGCAGCGAACGACACCGTGCGTTTCAAACACCCCAGAAACGAGGGCGACATTCTGCTTGCTGTCCACCTCGAAGACGGTGGACCCAGACACAAGGTTGCCATCGTCCGACCAAATACGCTTGGTGGTGCCATCGGGGCGGATGACATCTACCCACGAGGGAGCGATGGACTTCTTCCCAGCAGCGTAGTCTTGGAAGGTAAAGGCATTGGGGTGGCCAGCTGGGGTGAGGTTCTTTGTGTCGGGATCATAGGAGAGATTGTCCGGGATGTAGTCCAGATTGTATCGCTTGTGGACCGACAAAGTGTGATCAGCGTTCTGCTCGAAAGCAACAACGTCCCCCCCAGTGGCTTCGTTCGCGTAGATAATCTTGCCATCTGTGTTCATTCCATTTGCGCCGCGCATGCCCTCAAAGGCTTTGATGCACTTGACGGTGCCGGTGGAGAAATCGCAGTAGGAGATCCACGAAAGAGGCAACTGGCCGTACTCCTCCAGACTACGGGCGGCACCGGCGCGGTTGCCGTGGTCGTTGGACACGTAAAAGGACGTGGCGGAGGTAGGCGCCACGTTGTTGGGCGTGAAGATCAAGGGATCTTCTATGGTCTTGATGTGCTTGAGGGTCGTGGTGGACACCTTCGGATCGTATTCCAAAACCTCGACGACCGAGTAAAGGCTGTCGGGGTTGTAAGGGGTCTGAGCCCGATGGTTCACGACGAACAAACGAATGGCGGTGCTGTCGACCTTGGGGAGGATTTTCATGCCGTGGGGGTGGAACGACGGAAGAGGCGGGGTGATGGTGAGCTTCGTCAAGCCTTGCTCGCCGGTCCCGGCGGTATCCTTGGCGTAGAGGTACGTGAAGATCGCTCCGTTCCCTTGCTTGCCGTACTCCGCATCCAGGAACGCCATCCCTGGCATCCACCCGGCCGTTTTGTTTGGTCGAATGCGATAGGGATCTGATCCCAGGAAGGCCGTCTTGGTGGGGCGATGCATTACAATGTCCTCAACCATGACTGGCTTCGATCCATCTTCACCGACCGGACCGCTTGCCCAACGTTTGCAATTCTCCTGGCCGACTTTCGCGACCATCAGACGACCAATGCCGGTGTCGACAAGAAGTTCGGGAATCCAGGCATTGAAAGGAGTTGGCCCCAAGAGAGTATTGGAAACGGGTCCGAGGACCGTGTCGATTTGTGCCTCGGTACGGCCGCTCAGGGCGACAATGGTCGCCGAAACGAGGAGGAGAGGCTTGCAAAGCATGATGGTAGTATGAAGAGTAGTAGTGTGTCGCTACTGGGTATGCGAAAGGATCGGAGAGACTGTAGAATCAAGGGGATGAGCCCGCACGTGGCTTTCTTAAATACTTTTTTGGACTGGACGCCTCCTAGCTCGAAAAGCTGGCGGTTCGCGACCTCACCGCCTCCCACCATCGGTGCTCGAGCGAGAATAGGAGCAGAATCAGCCACGATCCGAACATAGACATTGTTGTCTTTGGGGGTCTCCCGTTGATCTCTAAACATTGGGTTCAGCCGAGTGAGGCTAAAAGAAGATGGGTTCGGCATGTTTATTTGCAGCATATCCGGATGTTTCCTTTTGGGGCGCGTTTTGTCAAGAAGTTTAGAAAGGTGGGGGATCTTTTAAAAGCCGCCGAGGCCCGCCAAACGTTGTAAAGTAGGGACAGACATATGGACGGATCCCCACTCATTTCGGCGGAGCCGTCTGCCAGACGAAGAGGAGGATCTGGGCCGTTTCGCGGCAGTGCCTCTTTCGTTGTTGATGCCCTTCGTGGCCCGCATACAGCTGAAGACAAGCCTAGAAGGGAGGACCCATCGCAAGGCAATCAGAGGTTCCCCAGATAACAGAGTGCCTGGCAAAATGTAAAGTTGTCATACTCGAATCATAGTGATTTGTACGGAATTTATTGTCACTAATTCACTCTAGGGTATGTACAGGAGGTACGGACATTCAGGGTATTCTCGAAGAGGGCTATTATATGTACGTATGAGGGCCTATGTAGGATTCCGTGGCGGACCGAAGTGTGGTATGTACAACGCGGGAAGCGAGTTCGCGGTGGTGATTGATGCGTTACTTGGTCGGCAAGAAGGGGTGCTATATACATGCGGTGAGCTTGTCCGCGCAGGCGAACGAGATTTATGAGGTCGGCAACTCGGGATCGAGCTATGTTAAGGCATATTTGGGCGGTTGCGTGCTTGTTCGGATGGCGTGCTTGTATTTTGGTGGGGCATTTTTCTTTTCCTCCTTCTTTACTTTCGCGAGTTTTCGGGCTTGCTTAGCTTCGGAGTGCCAGAGGTGCTGTTGAGCGAAGATGTCGGTCATGTTTCCGTGCATTCTGATGTTGTGGGTAGTGCGGTTCAAGGTGAAACTTTGTTGCGATGTGCGTGGTAGCTGCTGAAGGGGTGAAGCTTTGATGCTTTTTGCGATGTTCGACTGTTGATGCTGGGGTCTTTTATACACATTTGAGAACAGTGCACGGACATCCAAGCTGGCCCTGCCCTCGTGGGAAGGGCAAGTGAATCAACCAGCCTCACACTCCACAGGAGTACGTACTCCGACGGGCCATTAGAGTTGGTGGATCAGTAGCATATCGATAGATGTGCAGACGGTACGGTGACGGTGTAGGGCACCCTGGGGGGGAGGCAGGTTGGGTCGCTCCTTTCTCATGTGACATGGGAGTCTGCCGGACAAAAAAAAAACAGGGTGGAGCAGCCACCGTCGGCCCGGTGAAAGGACTCATGGAAAGGACTGAGGACTCCGCTGATATGCGTCATGTACTGTACATAGTAGGTACAGTATAACAATACCTTCGGACGTGGTTGGTGTTACAACTGTGGGGGAGGGGAGCCAGGGGGGAGCCTGAAGTCACGGAAACACGGAAGACACGGAGAAGGAGATGATGACACGACGGTGGACAAGGCCAAAACTTTTTTCAACTCGAGACCTCCCAAGTCCTGACGGACAAGCGTCTCAAGCGTGGGACAAGCACCTGCCCTCTTCTTCTGGCGCTCGTCTCAGAACGTCGGCCGGAAACGTGCGGCTAGGAAGGACCTTCTATGCGTAACGGTTGCCATAGAAGAGTCATTTCCACTACGAGAACGCCATGGCGTCGGTCAACCAACAACCCAAGATCATCGTAGTTGATGGAAGCTCAACAACGAATCGGTCCGATAATCCTCTCTACGACCTTTTAAAGAAAGTCCCTTTCCGGGTAGAGAATGCTGTCCCCTCAAAGGTTCTAGGTGCCGAGGAATTGGCGGACAAACCAGCCGTAGTTATCTTTGCCGATCTAGACGCCACAGCGGTAAGAACTCCCACGGAATGGCCGGACCGGTTGACCGAAGTCAGAAGGGCGCTCGGGAAGAGCGTTTTCGTGGTTTTGTGGAGTCAGCTGGCCTCTGATGATGTCGGACTGAGGATCAAGTGGCGGAGGTATGGCTGCGGTGTCCGGGGACGTCTTTGCATTCTATCTGTCCGCTCGTCGCAAGACCCATCGTACTGAAACTGTGCGCGTAGCCCTAGGAAGGACGTAAATATGATCACTGCGTCGGTCGACCACTTGCGCCTAGCCCTTGACAAGATCTCCGATCTCAAATTGCCTCCTTCCACATGGCCTCCCGCGACATCAGCGCAACCCCTCCTCGGATGCCCATATTGTCCCGAAGCGCTTCCATTGGACCTACTCTATGACCACGTCCCTCTGTACCATACCCAAGAACCAAACAACAACGACCCCCTTCCTTGCCCCGCTTGTTCGTACCCACACTGTCGCCTGTCGGTGCATTTCCACGAAGATCATTCGCCGAGTTGGGATACTCGGACTGACAAGATATCGCGCAAGGATCGGATTCCCATCTACGGGCTCACTGTATGCAGGAATCCGAAAGACGGCCGATATCTGTTGATTGAGGAGCCGGGACAGAATGGGTGGTGGTGCCCCGGTGGCGGTGTGGATCCTGGGGAAGACTTGGCGGAAGGTGCCAAGAGAGAAGTCTTGGAGGAAGCAGGCGTAGAAGTCGAGATGAAAGGGATCTTGAGGGTGGAGTTTCAACCCGCCCATCCGCGAGGCCGGCGCTATCCGAGGCTACGGGTTGTGTTCTATGCTGAGGTGAGCTTCTCAGAATCATAAATGGGGACATCACTCTTTCATCAGTCATATGTTTAAATTCATGCTGGTCCCGCACTGCTAACCACTGCACGAAAATGATTCAGCCCGTACCTTCAACGCCCGAGAAACCAAATCTTCCAAAAACTCTCCCGGACTACGAATCCGTCAGCGCTTGCTACGTATCTGTGGAAGACATCGAGAAGCTACCACTGCGCGGGGCGGAACCCCTAATCTGGGGCAAGTACATCAGTGATGGTGGTATGATCTGGCCGATGGAGGTCCTGGGCCGGGGAGGCGATGCTCCTCCTGCCGGCGGCCCAACTCCGCTGGTTATGTCACAACTGAACCCCTAGTAAACACGGAGAGGAACGAGATTGGCACATAGAATTTCAGTAGACATACAAATGAGACCACCATCAAATAGGAAAGTGACGGGATAATAGAACGGGTGTGACCACCCCTGCTAGCACCGGTATGATGCAAGAATATAGGAAGCCTTTCAATACGCCTTATGTGACGCCCACGCCGAAATACGTCAACTCAAAAGGAAACGCAGGGGAGCTACCATTAGACACCCTCCTTTGATACGACCGAAACCGAATCCACTTCGGCCCCTGTTGTCACAAACTCGATGCGTTCGACTCATCGCTCAATCGCGCTTTACTGTCTCCACCAAACGTCTGCGTCGACGGAACCCTGCTCCTCGGGGCTCTGAACGTGGTATAGGCCGTATCCTTAGCGCGAGGCGGAGGTGAAAGCGACGAAGACTGATCTTTGTGATTGGAAATCGAGCGCTGATGCGAAATGGGTGTCGGACTTTGGACAGTAGAGTGTCCGGTGAGCGTTCCAGGTTCAGTAGGGCTTTGTTGGCTTTGAGGACTGTTAGGCGTAACTTCGTCTTCTGGGTTGGGACTGTCCTGGAACTTTAATAGTAAATGACATTATTCACATCCTCTTCCACCGCTGACGGTCTTGGTGCCGTGGATTAGGGGGTTACCTACATGATGCTCAACCACCGCTGTAGGATCGGTGAATCTTGGGACGGAGGATCTCGCTTCGACGTTTCGTTCACGGAGGGCCTCCCAGGTCGTCAAATCCGAGCCTCCGCGGGATCCAGGTGATCCGGGGATGTCGAATGGTACCTTGCCGGTGCTCTGCGCTTCGGCGATGGAGGAACGCCTCTGACTTCCTCGTCGGCCGAGCGCTCCAGGCTGGATAGCAGGCTGGAACAAAAATTTAGCCTCAAGTGGAGATCAACGACGTGCGTCCACAGAGTCGACAACAAACTGACCTCCTGTAACATCCCCGCCAACGTTGCCGCGATCCCTTTGCACTCGTCGATATACTTTCCTTCCTCCTTCTGCCAGCCCTCCATCCGCTCCACAATCCGCTCAACTCGTTCCCGCATCTGCATCAGTTTCCCGACCCACTGCTGTTCGACTTCACTCCTGATAGTAACTTTCTCTGCGTACAGGTTGGCCATGGTGCTGTTGAGGTAGGCTATGATGTTGTTACGGTCCGCCAGCGTCATGCGGTAAAATTCTATGTCGCTTTGGAGCGACTGGTTCTGCTTTGCGCTCTGCAAGTAACGAATAGGGGAAGTCCATTGTGCGATACATCCATCGATGGTTAGAAACATAGACTGACCTCATTAAGCTGTTCCTTGAGAACTGTCAAAGCATGTCGAAGCTGCTGCTCGGAAAGTTCCGACGCACGCTCGGCTCGGTTGCGCATCGCTTGCGTTTGTTGAAGCTCGGCAGCGATGCTGTCACGGTTGCTTCGTAGTGCCTCCATTTCCACAGTTGCTGCGCTGATCTTGTTCTCTCGATCTCGAAGCTCTTTCTCCAATCTGAATGGAAGATGCCTTGAGCAACCGCATTGGGTGTAAATGTGAGGGCTGTCAGATGATGCTCACCTGTTGATCTCAAGACCCAGGACACTACACCTCTTCTGAATCTCAGTCATTTCGCGTTGAAAAACATTGATTTTGTCCTCGAGATATTTGTTTTGTTTCGTCATTTCCTCGTTACGCTTTTGAAGATCTCCGAGATGCTGGCTTTCCACGGATGCCTTGCTCCTCGAGGATCTATTCGTCTCGCCAGCTTTTCGGTTCCATTCTTGCTGTCGTTGCTTCAATTCTGTTTCGAGCGCATCTCGCTGTTCACGAGCCTTCCACAATTGAGTGCGAAGAGCATTTATATCCTGCTCTTTTGGAGACTGTGCAGGCCTACTCGAGAAGGGGGCGGTATTCATCCTCTGCATTTCGTCATCTGATTACGTCCGCACATCGAGACTTACCTCTCCACACCGTTGGTAGATTTATTTCGAGCGTCAGCTGCACCGTCGGCCCTACCGACCGGCCCTATGTTTGAATCTAGCAAGAACCAAAATCATAGAGTACTTTAGCATTGATCTGCCTAATGCCATGCAGACGGGCTGCGTGTTTTACCTTTGTTCTGATTTTCTCCGTCATCACTATCCATCAATTCCTTATCCAGGGTTCTGTTCGTCGTCGAAGTCGAAGGAAGAGCTGCCTCAGATAGATCCTCATCATGAAGTTCTTCCAAAGCTCTCAAATTCCGCTCATCACCGGAAGCCGATATTGGCTCATTTCCCCGCACATCGGACCCGAAGCTGACATTTTGCGGGTGTCTCAAATTGATTTTATCCGCCAGGGGGCTCCCACGGCGATGATCGATCGTAGAGGCGCTGCGCGTGAGATTGGTGGACGACCCAGAGGTCAGTTCTGAGCTGAGAGCATCCGCGTCGGCTTGGGAGAGAGGCCGAGGAGTGAGAGAGCTGCCCTTTCGGCTGGGCTTTCGAATGTGAAATCTGCGCAACAGATCGGTTGCCATGTTTCCGTTTGACAAGCTGAGTTGGGGGACGAAGGAAAGTGTTCGAGAATTGCTGGGACTGAGTGCAAAGGTGTGAACCGGGGACGAGGCCATCTCAACAACCACGGAGGTGAGACATACCTGGCGTAGATGACACAGGAGCCACAGAGCCGGGGATTCAAAGTTCGGACACGAGCACCGACGCCATATGCTATGAGGAAGCCTAGTGATAGTCAGACGACGCCACTGCAATATGTGTTTTGCACAAGTGGGAAAACTCGATCTTCACAAAACGTCGGAAAAGCTGTCGCGTGTGAGACGCAAGCCTCGTTTGCCCATGTCCTTCATGAATTCAGGGAAAAAACGCGTCTTTACGTATTATGCGAAGCGAAGCTTCTGGCGTCATTCTCCTCAGGATTCAAGCCTGGAAACACTCCACTTGCCAAGATGCCAAGGCTTCATCCCCCCCATTGTCGAGGGTCACTGGCAGGCCAAGCATGGCAACAAGCAATGGTGAAACGGCGATAATTTGACTTCTTCTACGAGCCGGTGAGCTTGAATTTGAACGTGGGCGAATGTCGGAAAACTTAGAAGTTGCACAGTTGTGCGACAGGGAAATTTGTAAGTGGGCCCTTTCAGCTCATCGATAGCCTCGGACAAATGTGCCCAATAACCCTGTGTAGGATTGATTGTATGGGGCAACTATCACTCGGTTCCTCTTGAAGCAACGGGTGCATAGGGGAACAAATTTATGAAGTGCTGATGAGGATTACACGGACACTGAGTTAGGGTAGTGTCTGTTCCACCCGTGTGCGGGATTATTCAGTGCACGTAAAAAGTACCCACAGCATTATTTCCGTTAACCCCCCACATTGCCAAAGGGGAATGGGTTGGACCAACCTAGAAACTACATCTGTCTGGCGGCTATCAGCTCGTCTGCAGCGATCAAGACCGTGTCCCCAGGGGGATGTGCGTCGAAGCAAATACGTCTGAAACAGAGGCAGCGGAGTTGTAACGCTGGATGTAACGCGTCTCCGAGTCGTGCGCGAGTCGGTCCCACATCGACTGTGTTCTTCGGTTTTGGTCTCGGACATTCCAACCCCAATAGACACTCAGCAACCAAGATTGCCCTGTTACAACGGAAAGGAACCCGGAGTTTCAAGAACTCGTCAAAACACTCGCTAAGTATCACAGTCAACAACCGAGAATAGAAATGGCCAACTTTCGGACGATCGTTCGACCATTCCGCGTCCTTGGCGCATTTATCGTGCTCTCGCTCTTGTGGGCTAGCCTCATTTCCGCGCACGGCACAGCTGTGTCCGCCGACCGGGTATCGGAATGCCCTATCGCTGAAAAGGTGAGGGATAGGTGTTTCTCGGCTCTGGCGTCTTTCCTTTCTCTCGAGTTTAGTGCTGAGTTTGCTTGTCTTTCTCACTCTATTTCTGCGTTCTGCCCTGTGTTTGTCACGAACGTTGACAGTGCCCTTACTATGAGGTATGGTCAGATGCAGAATTATCTACATGTTTCTTATCAGCGCTAACACATTATAATGCTTCAGCGTATCAAAGTTCAACGCCAGGCACGCCAGAGTGCCAGCGGAGACGACGCTGAAGCGCACCACGGCTGCCCGCTGAAGAGCGGAGGATGCCCTTACTATGAGCAGCACAAGAACGACCATAATGCTGAAGATGCGCTTGTGGAGCCCGGAGATGCCTGCCCGTTGGCGTCAAAGTGCAAGTAAGTGGAATATGTGCATTGTTTTGTCAATCAACCCATCATTTAATGCGCATCCAACGATGTAGGTGGTACCAGGATATCAAAGATGGCAAGGCGAACTCCGTTGATTTCAACAAAAGCGACTGCCCATTGAAGGACAAGGTATCACGTTTCAGTATGGTGAGCGTTCCGATGGTCAATAGATCTAACGCAACCCTTTTTTCTCTCAGTGTCCCTACTACGCTGAAATCAAACAAGCCCGACCCAACACAGACAGAGTCGACGCCGCCGGCAAAAAGGCATCGGACTGCCCCGTCCTGCACGCCTGCCCGCACTTTTCAAAGGAAGACATCAAATCTCAGCCCCATCCCCACGGGCATGCGCACGAACACGGGCACCAAGCGGCGAAATGTCCTCATTTGCAGAAGGTTAAGCAGCAGGAGGAGGCGGAGAAAGCGGCTGCTGCTGCTGGTGGACGTGATGAGTTGTGAGAAGTGTGACAACATTGCGCACTTACGCCAGTTTTTGCTATCCTCAAACCGGGATGGTACAGTCGGCTTAAAGCCTTGGGAGCACGTAAATTGCGGAATGGGGCGTTACGACTTGGATCGGAATGCAAAGATGCTCCATGGAAATGTGTATTGAAGATACAGTTGTTGCGAAGCGAAACTCCATTGTGTCCAACCAGAATCCGAAAGAACAGTTGTCCCATGAAGTGACTAAGAGAACCCCGCAAACAAGTGAGAAGGATGGGTCGGAGTCGCATACAGGAGGGACAATCGACAGGCTCCACTTGCGGTGGGTTCAAGTGAAAGGGGGGGACGAGGTGATGAGCTGTCGCTTGGGCGAGGCTACCGGATCCCATTGCCTTCATTAGCAAACACGACCAAGGAGCCGCTTGACATTTCTCGACAAAAATCCGCGTGCTGGGGGTGGGTTGGCCGCGACCTCCGGACACCAGCTGTGCTTGTCCCTGCGGTAGCAGCTCCCTGCAGAACAAAAACCTGCCTGTCTGTCGCCAACACGTCGATGCAAAGGTCATACTCTGGTGAAAACAGACGACGCAAAACCCCAGGAGCAAAAACCGGACCTGCTCTAGGAATTGCTGCAGAACAAGGTCAAGTGACGTGGAAAACTGCAGAATATGAGGAGTTTTCGACAGCGACGACGGAGAAGCACGTTTTCCCTGTTTTCCTCACTATGCGCGAGAAAAACGCGTTGTCCGGAGGTTGTCTGCGGTCTGGATTGCGGTGTTTACTCGGCATTTCCTGCGCTGGTTCTTGGTATAAATTCCTCTTTGTAAGACGCCGGATTTTGCGTGCTTCTCATCCGTGGCGAAGAAGGTTTACCATGGTCTGCGGCTGGGAAAGGGAACTGGTTTTGTCAGGGATACCGTCGGCATCCCTGGGACCGTCAGGGTACTGTCAAGGATCCTCGATCCAGCCCGGGAGGCCGGAGGTTGAAGGGCAAAAAGCCTTTGTCTTTTGCGCGCCGACCCCGTATCGGCCCTGTTTGGTACACCAGGACAACAGCACTCTGGGACGAAAGATATCCGTGACGTTTTCCGCGGGATTCACTACTGGCTCCCCTCGCCTTTTAGACCGGTGCTTGAAGGAGAGTTCGAGGCGCAACCCCGGGGCATGTTCGTTCTGGAGATTTGAAGCTGGTGGAGCTCTGAAGGTTTTTTGCAGCGAGGCTCGTGCTGCCACAAGAAGAGCAAGAAGGACCCGAACTCGACCTGAACAACAAACGCAACCGAAAAAACCGAACAACTTGAGGGCAGACAGCGAAGCACTTGGAATGGAGCAGCGAACCGAGGCCAGTTCCTCCAACAGGTACTCGCTCCGGGTCTGGTCCTCCGTCTCTCGGACGCTCTCAAGCTTCAAGACCACCGCTGCAGCATGGGCACCCACCGTTGGCGTACATGCTCAACCGAACCGAGGCGAGGTCGCGATCGCAAAAGTCGACAGCGAGGATAGCGGCGGATCCTCGCCCACCATCTCCTCTCGCAGTCGCCGGAAAACAAACTCGTTCACGGTGGAGCGGAAGCGGAGTATGGAGAACCCTATATGGCCTGTGAAGGAGACTACCAGGCGGCCGAGGAGTACGTGGTGGTCGGGGGTCTGGACACTGCCGGCGAGCTTGTTGGGCGCTAGCCCGGCGGTTACGCCGTCGAGCACGGTTTCCAGACGAGACGAAACGGCTTCGTGTCCATCGACGAACCGGACGTCGGTGGACTTTGCGTCGCTAAAGTACACACGAGAAAGCTTTGTCGACATGTTGTTTGATACCCATCTCTATGAGAAGTTTGTGGCCTTTGCCAAGGTACGTGGGTTTGCTTGCGAAGGGGAGTCTGGCTTCATAGCATTTACTTATTTACTTTCGTCCATTGTCCAGGCAACGCTATGCACCGAAAATGTCATGTTCTATGAAGCCTTTGTGCACCTAGAAGTTCTATTAGCGAAATACGTACCTGTCGAAATACAAATGGAAGCGGGCATGACTCGCTGCCTCACCCGGTTCCTGCTCGAGCAGTCCTCTCGCTCGTCATCCCCAGCCTCCACGAAAGGCAACTCCGTCCCCCGGTCCTCCCTCCCCATCGAAGTTCAACAAGCCATCACGCAGTTCTACCGGACGTTCATCATGGCCGGCTCCCCATTCGAGGTGAATATCAGCCACGCGATCCGCCAAAACGTGGTAGATAGCCTTCCGGAGATGTTTGCCACTCAGAACATGAGCGAGAAGGGGATATCATTGTCGGAAAACAACGTTGATTGCGACATACCCGTCACCATTTTTGACGAGGCCGCCGACGAAATTTTGGATTTGCTTTTTCGGAATACGTTTCACCTATTCGTCACGCAACAATACGAGCCATCTGGCCTCGGGCTATGACGCGAGGCTCTGCATGTGCAGGAAGCCTCCACGATCGACCACGCTCTGGCATCCTTCTCGTACCTCCCCGACTACCACCAGCATCCCTTCAAGTGCCATAAAAAGTAATGGGCAACCTACCTTCTTTGCGACAGCCCAGGCGTAGAACATCCCTGTAATTCTGGACATGGGGTCCTTGCGTATCAGATATCAATAATCCCTTCCCTCCACTATCTATTTTACCACCCACAATTTTTTAGGACTAGACATATCCCTCCGATTCTTAGAGTAATTTATTACCCCGGCCCTAAAGATAGACCGTACATGTATTGCTCAAATCCATTTCGTCTCCTTCGTGACCCGCTGCAGGGTCTCATATACTGCATATATCATTATAAGCTCGGAGAAACGGCAGTGGAATGAGGGTTCTTCCAAAACCATGGTGCGGAGGAGATGATGCACTGCGCAAGAGACTCGTCAGCCAAGCAACGCGTGCAAAACGTCACTCGCGCGTGAGTGCGAACATGCATCGATTGATTCCTCTTTCCCTTGGACTCCCCGGCCACTGGACGGAGGCACAGGCACAGAGGGAGCAGACACCGACAAGGCATAAAAGAGACGAGCCCCGCACGACCATACTGTGGCTGCATGTGCATTCCATTCTGGCCCTCAGTTTCCACCCGATCTCCACTTTCAGCGCCTTTCTCCGTGAAGCACCTCCGTCTCTTCAGCAAGCGCACAATGCCCAGCACAAGAGCCTCCTCCGCCGCCGGCTCAAGGAAGGTTGCGCCTGCAGACCCCTTCCCAGGCAGATGCAGTGGCGTCCTTCTTCACGTCACCTCGCTCCCTTCAAACCACGGGATCGGTGATGTCGGACCCACTGCAATTCGCTTTGTCGACTGGCTGAGCGCGGCTGGACAGTCCATATGGCAGTTCTTGCCTCTGAACCCTCATGGGTATGCTGGAAGTCCCTATGGGACACCGAGTGCAATGGCTGCCAACCCCGCGATTGTTTCCTTGGAGGTGGGTGCCGAGCGACAGCGAGGAGAATGCGAGCGATAGCGAGGCTTACTGGGCCGTAAGGACCAGGATATGCTTGAGGTTTCTCCCGACGGCGAAAAGACTGCTTAAGGATGATTCGCGCAAGGGAGCCGCTCGGGGACCTGCAGCGAATGCGGACTGCGACGATCGAAGTGGGGCGATCGCCGAGCGAAGCCAGGCGCAGGGATGCTTGAGGCAGGCGAGCTACGAGGCAAGCGGCTTCGCGAGCGAAGCGAAGCGCGAGCGGAGCGACCCATATTGCGCCAAAGGCGCAATACTCTCTTAACTACGGCTCTTAGGGAGCCTCAGCGAGCGTCAGATCTTTTGCGAGCGAAGCGAGAACCAGATTGCGCCAAGGCGCAAGATTCCCCTCACTCACGCATCGTTATAACCATCGAACCATCCAGCCATCGTGAAGATGGTTGATGGTTGATGGGCCTGTGGGTTGATTGGTCGGCGTTTTTTTCGAACACGTCATTGACCATCTTGCATTCCACGATCTTACAGCCTTTGATAGAAGAAGGTCTTTTGACTGCCGTGGATGTCAAGGAACTGGAAACCCTTCCGAGAGGCAAAGTAGACTATGACCGCGTCACACCGCTCAAGCGCCAAGCCCTCCGTCTCGCCCGGGACCGGTTCCGATCCACCACGAGCCCGTTTCCCAAACACCACGAATGGCTAGGGAAGCTGGAACAGTTCATCGCCAACGAAGGCGCGGCCTGGCTCAACGACTATGCCCTCTTTGCAGCCCTCCACGAGAAACACAACGCGTGCTGGATCGATTGGCCTGCCGAACTTCGCGATCGTAAGCCTGCCGCCCTAGCAAAGGCGCAGGAAGAGCTTTACGACGAGATCGATGAGCATATCTTCACTCAGTTCCTCTTCGACATGCAGTGGGCGCAAGTGCGCCGTCATGCGAAAGAGAAGGGCGTCCGCTTGGTCGGCGACATCCCGATATTTGTCGCGTATGACTCTGCCGACGTCTGGTCCCATCGCAAACTCTTCAAGCTTGATGCGCAGGGCAAGCAGACCGTTCAAGCTGGGGTGCCGCCGGACTATTTCAGCGAGACGGGGCAGTTGTGGGGAAATCCCGTATATGACTGGGCTGCGATTGCGACCGAGGGCTACAAATGGTGGACGCTGCGATTCTCTCGCACACTGGCTTTAGCGGACATCATCCGTATCGACCACTTTCGTGGATTTGAAGCTGCCTGGGAGGTTCCCGCGTCCCATAAAACAGCTATGAACGGAACATGGGTCAAAGGCCCCGGCGCTAAGGTGTTCCGTGCGGTTGACAAAGCACTCGGATACCGCACACCCGTTATTGCAGAAGACTTGGGTCTCATTACGCAATCCGTCCACGACTTGCGCGATGAGTTGGGATACCCCGGCATGAAGGTGCTGCAGTTTGCGTGGGGTGGGGATAGCTATGACGCGACCAACGACCATTTACCGCACAACCTCAAGACGTCCCGGTGCGTCTACTACACGGGCACGCACGATAACGATACCGTCCGTGGATGGGCCGATTCAGCTACCGATGCACAGCGCGCGGCTGTCCTGAGATACCTCGGCAGAGATGCTTCGAAAAGCGCCGTCGCTGATGGAAAACGAAAACGTGAAGAGGACGGCGACGCAGCTTCCGCTATTCCCGCCGCCAAAAAACCCGACAACACGACCGCCAACGGCCCATCGTCTCTTACCGAAAAGGCCGTTACGAATGCCATCCCCACTGTCTCATGGGATTTCATCCACCTCGCACTCGCCTCCGTCGCCGACATCGCGATCGTTCAACTGCAAGATGTACTGGATCTTGGCACCGAGGCGCGCATGAATACGCCTGCGACGGCGGATGGGAATTGGTCGTGGCGTGTGGACGAGGCTGCTGTAACGAAAGAAATTGGGGAGAAGCTGAGGGGTGTTACGGAGGTGTTTGGACGGGTTAGGGAGGTCTGAACGGGTTAGGCTTGGTTCTGTATAAACATGAGATGTATGGTGGAATAGCGCTTGAAGAAGTGAGGCATACGCAATACGCATATAAGAGATTCATGCAAATGCGGTCTATCTACTAAGGGCGCTACAGTATACATATTCACTACATACGAATATACAGGGTCACTCTACGCAGCCTCGACAGGCCTAGTAGCAATCACCAACAACTCATCCAGCGCCGTGCGCAGAACATCATACGGGCCTGACTCGAGCTCCTCCACAGAGAACCCCGTCGCCACAACCGCCTTCTGGCCACTCCTGTTTTGAATCGTCAAGGATTCCTTCGGACACGCAAAAAACGCCTTAAGCACCTCCGTGACGACATGGAAGGTTCTCACGGCCTGTTTCTCGGATTTGGACAGGTGCCGTTTAAGCTGGTCGCGGTGCGGGTCGGAGGGTTTGATTCGGGTTTTGGGTTGGGTTTGAACGAAGGCGGATGGGGTGGGGAGCGGTGGGGCGGCGGAGATGTTGGTGGTGGATTTTTGGGGTTTGCGGAAGGCCGTCATTCCGCGTTTGGGTGCGCCTGGTTCTGAGGCTGGAGTTCCGTCTGATGATGTTGAAGTGTCGTCTGTAGCCTGGGCAAGTGAGCTTCCGCGTGGGGCAAAGACAGGACGGCCCCCTGGTTGTGTTACCGGTGCCGGCGCCGGCGCCGGTGCGGGTGCCGGTGCCGGAGGTGGCACCTCAGGGGCTGGAGCAGCGTTAGCTTTCTCCGCCACCAGTCCTTTTCCCTCAACCGTGCCGTAAGCCGAGATAATTGCATGGATCAACGTGACGAGCTCATGCCAGAGCACTTTATTGAGCGTAGTGGGATGCGCCAGCAACTCTGCCTCCTCTTCGACGTCTTCATCCTCCTCGCTATCGGACCCTTCCGCGTGATTATCAGACCGGCGTGGGCTCGATTTGGCCATGGTCCGTACTTCCTCCTCCCGTCTCGCCGATCGTGTCTGCTTCCTGCGAACGGCACTGTCGTGACCACCTTTTGGCTTTTGCCCATTCGACGATGATGTGCTCTTCCATTTAGTTTGCTCTGGTTTGCTTATACCGTTGAACGAGGCTAACAAAGCGGAGGAGGAGCCGGCGGACGCCGACGCTGACAGGGCCGGGAAGCGGGCAACTAGGAAGTGCTCGCTCAAGTGTCGGTCGACCGTCTCGTTGAAAAGACCGCAGGTGTCATCCAAATACTCGAGGAAAGGTTGAAGAGACTTGAGAACAGCGGGCACCGTGGGAATAGCGTCAGAGGCGCCTGCGGAGGCTTTATTTCCGCTGGAAGATAGATATAGGGGTATTCCGAAGAGAGATTTTACGGTGCTCGTGGTATTGGAAGACAGAATGGTGCCAAACGTCGACCTGGCTACCCTAATCATCTGTGTGGCAGGAGGGGTAAGTATAATGGCCACGGGGGATGCGAGCCATGCCGCAATGTACGCACCTGTTCAGCGCAAACACGGATAATATCTTCCAGCACATACTTAACACCTTCCTCAGCCTTCCGCACCCACCACTCAATATCATCAATCTCACCATGCCGCAACACCCTCACGTTTAAAGTCCCATGCGGCTTCAACTGCAGTTCCAAGTCGTGACTCAAAAAGTCCTCAAACTTCGAATCACGCAGGAAGATGCTGACCGGCTCCGTGCAAACATCATCTTTCCCAATAACATCATGATCGTAGACGGTGATATCCAAAAAGGACTCATTGTCACGCAGCGAGTTGGGAACGAAGAGCTCGAAGGTCTGGTTCCAGGCGGGGTTGAGCGTTTTGGGAATCACACGCGTCCGATGCAGTTCGGTGCCTGCGTGCTCTAGTACGGCATATGGATCGGATGTGGCTGCTGGCCAGTCGCACGCGGGCAGGTTGGAGGCGCGGCTGATGGTTACGGAGAAAACCGATTTGTCCCCATCCGGTTCGAACCTTTCAGCGGTCCGGCTGATGTTTTTCCGATTTATGTTCCGTCGTCGACCGACTGGAGGGGATGAGATATATACCGATCGAGGGTTGTCCCCTGAGGGCAGCCGCGCCAGAATGTCATCGAGCTTGCACAACGCGGCCACGACGTTGTTGAGCTTTATGCACGACTGCGGTGTGAACTGAAACGGTTTATCGGAGTTTTCATTGTCGATCTTGTGGAAATCGGTCCACATCATCAGTGCGTACTCCTGTAACGATTTGCTCATCATCTTCACGAAATCTTTGACCAGGCGATCCTTTTTCGTGGACTCTTTCCAGTCGAGCTTGTCGATGAAGTCCAATCCCCCATAGAAACACGTAAACAGATCCATCACAGACGTCGAGTGCATCGACAGCGGCGGCATGTACGGCTCGTACTTTTCCATATCCACTGCAGACTTCGCCCATTCCAGCCACTTCTGGTCCGTCAGCGCCAGCCATTGACTGATGAACGGAGCGAACCACGATTCTACATCGAAGTTTCGCACGAGAGGTAACTCGGATTCCTCGGACACGTCTTTCAGGAGTTTCACGGCCTGGTACAGATCTAGCATCTCCCCGATGGCAAAGTCATCCTTCAGGGAGAATCGCATATTCTCCATTTCGAGCAGGAAATACTTCAAACATGTTTCTGCAGCGATCAAGACGATGTTGAGTTCGAAGATGGGGTCGCGGAAGTATAAGCGGTAGTTGGTGATGTCGCTGTTGACGGCTTTCACTGATATGGTGAGCCGAATGATCTCGCGCGGTAAGCTGGCGACCCGTTCACTGCATGCGCGGTATCGGGCATTTATAGCTTCCTAAAACGAATTGCCACCGTTCTTCAGAAACTAGTAATCTGAAAGGAGACGGGTAACCAGTTCCAACTTACGAGAAGCTCCTCTCTGACCAACTCCTCCAACCTTCCAGGTGTACCCCATTCAGGATGCTCGCTCAACCAAGCTTTATCCTCGCGCAGCGTTGACAGAATAAGAGCAATCAGCTGCATAGTGCTGTTGCAGCTTTCCGGGGTCTTTTCCTTCCACCCCAGCATACTTGCAAAGTTGCGTAACTTCTCATGCAACCCGTCACTCAGTCTACTCAGGATCGAGATGTAGTACATTTTGTCTTCCACTCTCCAGGCCCGTACGTTGTTGGCGGCTTTCGATATTTGCTTGAATTTGGGAAACAGATCATCTTCGATAATTTGTCCAGTACGGTAAAACGACAGCATCAGGTCGAACAAAGCGACATCGCGGTATTCCTTCGACAAGCGCCACCGGAAGGCGCATTCCGACAGCAGCGCGATGGATGATTTGGATAGGCCAATGGACCCATCGTCCCGCGCCGTATTCTGCATGTCATGCCTGAGACAGGTTTCCAGCAATACACTGTAGCACAGCCGTGGATTCGCCGGATCTACGCCGCCACCTACCCTCGATCCGCCGGCGGTGGAGAGCTTGGCAGCGTTCGGGAATCTTTGCATGAACGTCTGCAAAATCACTTGTAGCAATTGTGTCTCTCTGTGCTTCCACGCCTCGTATGCTTCCCTGTACTGGAAATCTGAAGGTCGCGAACCCGGACACTCGTTCTTTATGATTGAGTCCAGGTGAGCTTTGAGACTGGCAAAGGTGGATCTTTCGTTGCATGTTCGTCGGACGTCAGCAATGACTCGCTGATGCTCATCCTTCGTGACTTCAAACACCACACGAGCCCAGTCTGCGAGATTCGATTCCAAGCTGTTTCCGCTGATGGGCGTATGTTTAATGAACGACTTGAGCACCACCCGAAGCTGCGCCTGATCTTTCAGTATCGGACAATTCATAACGGTCGACCGAGGTTCAGCTTTCTGAATAGCTTCCCGCAACACGGCCAGAAACAACTCGGACGTTAGCAAGAGATAATTGTCGTGATCCTCAGGCGACAGGCCCGCATCCAGTTCCTTGTGGATGTAGGCCCCCAAGACCAGAATCAGATCCCTCACATCTGCGAAAAGGGCAAGATTGCTCGAATCGTGCATTCGCTCCCTCAACATCCGACTCCCCGCTTTTGCAAACGTCCGTGTGCGAGGATCTTTCATAGCCGACAGAAAGATTTCAACCCGAGCTTGCAGAAGTTTTCGGAATGTCTTGAGGGTTGCTGCTCCCAATTGGATGGTGTCTCCCTTCTCGACGCTTCCGGCTTGGGTCACAGCGTTGGCCGGGAGATATCCGGTGGCTAGAAGTACCGCATTGAAATGGCTCGAAGGCTTCGACCCGCTTTCTACGGCTCCGCTTCCGGTCCCAGGACTGCCCGCAGTGTTCGGCGATTTCGCAGCACCCTTATCCACACCGGCGTCAAGCACCGGCATCAGACAGCATCGTAGTGTCTCGATGTAGACGAATCTGTCGGGGTGTGTCGCATCGCTTGGGGCGCTCTGAGCTGGTTGCTTCGCATACTCCGGAGTAGACCCACGTGATGCTCCTTGAGAAAGCTGTTTGTGTCGTAGTAGTGGGCTCTCGTTGGAAACGCTATCTGACTGCGACCCTTGCTTCGGACGGCGCCTGATCGTCCGTTGCTGGACAGGCAGACCGCGGGACATTCACTTTGTTTTTGGTGTCCAGCTGATATGTAAAGAAGGAGTAATATCCTGAGAAGTAGGAGAGAGCTTTGGCGGACTGCCGATAGTAGGTTCGATGGAGGATGGGTTATATTTGGCTGTCTGCCTGTCTGTCCGCAATTTGCAGTTTGTCCTTCAACGGACCGAGAATTATTCATGAAAATGAAGACGGCCGCAGACCGCTCACATCACGCGTGCGCGGTTCAGCGGTTCCCACAAACGTCAAAGCTTCCAAGTGCACTCAAAGCTTCACAGTGCTCTCAACTCTTGCATAGATCGAATCTCGCAACTCAACACTAATGATGATAATCTATATATGCAATGGAAAGTACGGTCACAATGCCTTCTCTACCCAAAAAGCTTCGACAGGACTGCGGCCTTCTTGCGAGAGGGCGCGGCTCCTTGACTCTTGGCGTCAGAATCCACCACCTTTCGCTGCTTGAACTGCCGGCGAACAGCCTTTGTTGCGTCCTGCGACAGACCCGCTGACGCTGCCCCCGTCTCTGGCCCATCTCCCGCTTCAGCCTCCGCCTTCCGCTTCTTGTCACGCTTCCTCTCCTCAATCGCCTCCACCATCTTCGCCCTTTCGACATTCTTCACATATTCCTTCGTCTCCTTCTTCGCCTGCGCCATCTCCGTCTTCAATCGCTGCTCCCGAACCTTGAGCTCATATGCAATCTGCTCGGTCAAGTGGTTCCACTTGAACTTTGGCAGGTACTTCATGTTCCACAGATCATCGTAGTAGAAGCTCCGCTTCTTCCCACCGATCTGCTTCCCGTTCAGATGCTCCGCCACCCGCCTCCCAACCTTTTTGTCCAGAAACTCCACCCATCCCTCCGTATAGTTCTGTCGCTTGTTCTTCCTGTACTTCTTCCGTCGGGCGGTAATCTTCGGGTCCTCCGGTGCAAGGTAGATGCGACCAAGCGCGCCGTACCTTGCCAGGAGCTGCCGTAACTTCACAGGTCGCATGAAGGGAGGTATTCGGGACAGGTACACCACACCTGTGGCTTGTTGCTTCTCCTGGAACTTGGCCAACGCCTTCGCTGTCAGAGGTTTGGCATTTGCTAACGGCTTGGATATCAGCGCGTGGGGATCGGAAATATCGTTGTCGTTGGGTGACCCTCCCAGCGGCGAGTCCTCCTCTTCGTCGCTGTCGCTTTCGTTCTCGCTATGTTGGTCGTCGTCTGCTTCGGGTTGTGACGATTTCGGGCCAGCCGTCGCTGTGCCTTTCTTCCTCAGGTACGCGCCTTCAGCTTCGTCCTCGTCTTCATATTCGCCTATCGGTAGTTCATCGTCCGAATCCTCTGAATCGACTTCTACCCATTCGTTATCGGCGGGCTGCTTCGAGATGTCTGCTGTCTCCTGTTCGGCTGCTTCGTCCTCGGAAAGAGGAGCGAATGTGGGCTTCACAACTTTTTCCTCCCCCGTCACTTCGGTGGTCTTATTCGTTCGGAGTCGGGAGTTGGACGCCTTTCCATTCCCTACTCCTTTTCCGGTTTGCTTCTTCACCATGGTGGACTTCACAGTAGTGCTTACTGTGGGCGAAAATGGCTTTGAAGTGACTGTCCAAATGTCAAAATGGGAGTGTGTAGGGAAAGCTACCGTGCACGTGACCCAGCGGGTAGCCCTCGCGACACTTTGTGAAGCTTCGGCATTTGACGATTTGACATCCCAGGCCCATCACCCTCTCAGAGAGCCACGTCGGTATCACTCGCCAGCTTTCCAGCTTGCTACCCAGCTCCTCAGTGTCTCTCAGTACCAGCATGTTTCCCAAAAAAGTCTGCCTGTCGCTATTTATCTGCCTGCTAGCACTGACGCCGTCGATATTCGCGTTCAACTTCTTCGACTTCTTCAACGATGGAGGGCAGCAGCAACAAAACCAAGGACAACAAAATGAGAGTGCGGAGGGGCAGCGGGCAGCTACTGAGCGAGGTAGGGAAGCTGCAACAGTCAAACTGTGGGTATACTTCCCCTTTTACTCACCCAGGCGACGTTTTCCAGGTTGTCCAGGATACATCTGCCCACAAACCGCGCACTGCGTCTCAACCCCATTAGCATGCCCGTGCCCCAACCCGACAGAGAAGAAGTGTGTAGTGGGTAGCTGGTATGTCTGCGTGAGAGGCGACCAGACATGTGGGACGATCACCAAACTAGCGACGGGGTTGAATGAGGGCCACTCGGAGCTCTGAAACGCATCGAATGCGGCGCATCGCACTGAAACTAGATTATGCACCATGGCATTGTATCATAGGACATGTTGCTTGCAGGAATAGATTTTTTGGAAGGTAGACTGCATTCATGTTGGCGACCATGATCGGCATCGGCGACCTCAGCATAGGTACTATCAACATGACACATGGGGAAAGGGTCTATGTATATACGCCGCTAGAGAGATGGGTGAGCGAAGCGTCGGTTGGTTGGTTGAGCGGACGGTTGGGCGGACGGTTGAGCGGACGGTTGAACGCTACCCTGCTCGCTCCCTCGCTACAAGGAGGCTGGGCTGCGGTGGGCGGAGCGTAGCTCGCTTCGCTCGCAAAAGATCCAACGTTCGGCGAGGCTCGCTAACGGCCGTGGTTAGAGGGACTGCGCTTTTGGCGCAAGGGACTTGCTTCGCTCGCCGCTTCGCTTGCCCTCGGGCTCCCAGACCGAACCAAGGCCGCGCGAGTGATGGAGCGCAAGGAACTCACTCTGCTCGCGCTCGCGATCGCTTGCTTATGGCGACTTTGAAGGTTGTGGTTCCCGCACCATAACCGGAACCGAAACGGCGTCATTGACCACAGCTTGTCCAACGACTCTGAATCCAAACTTCTCGTAAATAGGTTGGGCCATAGGCGAGGCCTCCAGATACGCCGGCAGCCCCTGCTCATCAGCCTGCTTCAGACCCCAGCGAATGATCGGCGAAGCTGCCCCAAGACCCTGATGTTTGGGATGAGTGCAGATCAACTTGAGATACCAATGGGGCCGATCACCAACAAATTGCTGTTGCGTCGTCCCTAGCGCTTTCTCGAAGGCAGCCAGAAACTCTTCATCGCAGTCGTCTGCCGGCTCGTTAGGGTCCTTCTGCGGCGCGTGATACTCCTTTTCCTTGGGTTCCTTTGCTTCCTTCTTCGGAACACCCCAAATCCCGTAGGCTGCGATTTCCCCGGTATCCTGACGCACAACCTTGAAGAACTTCAAGCCGCGTTTTTCAGAGTCAGCAAGCATCTGCCCGTGGCGGTATTTGACGTTGGCGAGACGGGCTTGGGTGGTGGTGCCTCTTGGGTTTATGTGGACCGCTACGATATCGGTCTCAAAGGCAGCAACATCGAGGTCTGCCACGGTGGGAATGTCGGATGAGTGTACAGGCTCGAGGGACAGCTGCGGCCTGACCGTCATCGTATTGGTGAACCGCAAGTAGATGTGTTGGGAGGAGGTGTTTCTGGTGGTACTGTGGCGAGCCCGAGGGTTGACTTCCCAAAGCCCGAGGGTTTGTGGGCAAGCGTCAGAGCAGCGACGTCTGCGACGTCTTAGGTCTGGCTGCGTCTGGCTCGTCCGAGTCGTCTGGCGCGTGATGTCGCCTTCTTTCCTGGTTTAATACTCGGACTCGATTCACTGCAACTCCCCTCCTCCGACTCCTTCCCGTTCCCCGCTACCTCATCCCTGCTTCACCCCCTGTTGCTCGCCCGCATTCTCTATCCGGCCCTGCCCGCTATCCACGAACACTGCTCTCTCGTCATAGCCCAGGTCTGCTCATTGCAACCCCAGCTGCAGGCAAGTTCCGTCGTCAGCGGCACAGATAGCTGAGTATATATAGAGTATACCTTCACCTTTTGGACTCGAAAAGTTCCGTAACGAAATAGCACTGCAAAACCGCTACGAAGCCCACAAAAGCAATCTCACCCGCACCGTCACATCCAAACACAACCGACTCCCACGCCATGTCCCAACAGTCTGCCCTCCGCCGCATCTTCTCCCTCCGCTCTCCCTACCCCTACCTCGCCGCCGCCACCGCCGGCCTCAGCTGGTGGACCTCAGTCGTCCTCTCCGGCGTAAACGTTCAAAAGGCGCATTCCGGCATCTTCAAAGCCGTCATGTTCCATCTCCGCCACGACCCAACCGCCAAGCAACTCCTTGGCACGGACATCACCTACGATGCCAAGCGGGATCATAGCGTGGAAGGAGACGTGAATATGCAGAAGGGGCGGGCGGATTTTAGGTTTGGGGTGCAGGGGAGTGAGGGGAGGGCGGAGGTGAGGTTTAGGGGCAGTGGGAAGGGGGATAATTGGACGAGTGAGGTGTTTACGGTGGTTACGCCGGAGGGGAAGACAGTTGAGTATTAAGGGGATGAGGATCGAGGAGAGGGAGATGGAACGTGTTGTCGTAAAAGCTCTGCAGAGCATATGAGGAAAAGCGGAAACCCTTGAGAATAGTGTATGGCATATTTAAGATTAAGAGCTGGGATTTCTTCAATGCGTTTGGAGGATATGTGGAAGGACGATGGCAACCGGCTCATGTGTCAGCTGGATAATGCCAATGAACCCATCTGTCCACGAGAACCCTCTATGTATGTGTATCGAAGATCCCCTTGGCGGCTGGTTTGCGTTCGGGCACTCGCCAAGAGAGAGGATGTCGTCTCGTCGCGACAGGTGCCTTTTGACGCGACTGCCTTGCGGGAGCGCCTTCCCCACTCCCTTTCCTTTCCTTCGCAGACGATCTCCACCGAATATCCTTACTTCAGTCGTTACCCAAAAACCCATCTCACACGCTCACATATCCCACCCGTAGGCCTCCCTTCACCGCTCTCATGAAGAAGCAGATTGGCTCTGCAAAACATTCATATTGAGACACAATGGCCGCACAAGCAAACGACACCGCGCCCACTGCGGCTCCGGGCAAAGGAGAGCCGGCGGCTGACACCACGGAGGAACTCCTGAACTGGGACGATCCGGAGAACTATGGGCTTGCAGAGGAGGACTGGTATGGAGGCGAATTCGGCGAGGATGCAGGGATCGAAGGGACTGCTGAGGGTGGGGACCTTCAGGGTTCCGCCGTCGCCGAGATGTCTGCAGCAGCGAGCAGCGAAACTGTATTCGACACGCTGCTGGAGGACGGCGTGAAAATTGGAGCTGTGGTTGCAGAGAACGGAAGTTCAGCAGGAAAGGCGGAACGCATACCTTCGCAATCACAACCATCGGCGCAGCCCAGTTCCGATGCACCCAGCGCGAAAGTTACCGAGTCTCATAATGGCCTCCCACCGACCCCGCAGAGCCGTCCGCAGCAATATCCACCACGACGGCAGTACAACCAGCCGCAAAATGGTATCGGACGGCCTGTGCAGACGGGTTATCGAATGCATGGAGGCGAGCAGCGTCCACTGAGCATGCAGGGCGGTCGACCGGGGGCCTATGGCCATCCTGCTTCGGGCACAACTCTTCCGCCAAGACCGGGATTCCAGCCGCAATACAATGCATATGGTGGTGGTGCTGGGTATGTGTATAGTTCGAACTGTTGTTGGAAGCGGTGATGGACGAAAGGCCTAATATCTCGACCTTCCCAAACGACAATCGTTCAACTTGCAGACCGGCAGTTCCCACCGGCCACAAGATCCATGTGAACCCAAAATTCGCAGCGATGCAAGCTGCGCGCTTCCACCCCTATGGCGCCGGAAGTCCGACTGGACCAACGAATCAGAGAGGGAACCAATACATGGGCGGACAGCAAGTGATGCGGCCCATGGGGTATAACTCTGGGCCGATGGGCAACATGAACGTGGAAAGGAGGGTTATGGGAGCCGGGGTGGGACCTGGTATAAACGTGGGTGCGGGTGTGGGAGGTGGAATGGGCAGGGGAGTCAGAATGGGCATGAGCATGGGCGTTGGCACGGGGATGGGAAGCCCTGGCAATATGGGAATGGCGGCGCGTGGCCTGGGCAGGCCGAACCAGGTTAGTCTCATAATGCATCATCAAAGTAGAAACAACATAGTGACCCGTATGGCATTTGCAGGGTCCTCCAAGTCAGAATTCCTCATTTGTTCCAGGCCGGCCAGACCGACGTCTATCGAACGCGTCAAATGGCCATGCACCACTCAGCGGAAACGCACCGCAACAATTCCGTCACGATGCGCAACAGTCACCTGCTGGACAGGCGCCGCAGCCATCCGCCCAGCAATTGAACGCCGCGACGTCAGTGGCAACCATCAACGATCTCAGTGCGTCCACAACTGCAGAGACCCTAACGACCCTGGCTGCATCCAAAGGACTCCGTGTGGTGGTATGAACGATTGCACGACTGCTCATCGGAACTCGTCCCTTATCCACTGACTAAGCCTACCTCCTAAACCTAGAGCGTGGACAAAAAACCCGGTGAAACCGTGGCAAAGGTCTCTTTCGGAGCACCCGATGGTGCAAGAGTGTTCCGGAGGATGTTTCACAAGTAAGTGTCGTCTCTTGGTGGCAAGCTCGTGCCTTGGAGTAGGTTCTTCCCGACCAACTCATCCCTTCTCCTGCTTAGAACGGATATCGAGGGTAGTCGGGTGCAAATCACCTTAACGTAATTACCCGAAGCCGTCTCGATCTGTCGCATCTTGCCTCCCCAGGACCGACCATTATGTCTCAGCGCCGACGAACACTACTGCCGCAAGCCTCTTCCCACCCCATCCGAGACAAAAAAAAAGGCGTAATTGTAGTGAGCACCGAACTCTACCTGCAACTCTCGATCTATTAGCTTCGCCCCGTTTACTATCATACACATTGGGGTCGAACAGGAAAGACCGAATTGGCGGGGGAATATGTACATTGTGGTGTGGCAGACTGTCGCTGTGGGCGAGGAGACACTACACTGCCGGGATCATGCGAGACCGCACGCCCCTCACATACTGACATCATGCAATGCGGTGCATACGACGGCTTTCTGGTGGCCGCTGTAGTGGCGGATGGTTTCACCGGTCGCTAGGTCCCATAGTCTCGCGGAGTGATCTGAGGAACCTGTGATGTTGGGAAGGAATGAAAATGATGATGGTCATTATCGTCAGAACACTGCCTGTATGATCGTCCAGTTGGTTGCTCTGTTGCGTAATCGTAAACGTACCAGTCACGAGATACGCCGAGTCGGCCGAAAACGCGCAGTCCCACACCCACCGCTGATGGCCCGTCAGCGTCTTCTCCAGCGTGAACTGTCGGTCCGCCGTGTTCCAGATCTTCACCGTGTGATCAGCCGAGCAAGTGGCCAGCACCCTGTAAAGTTCATCCGTTAGCAGTCCATTGCAGCAGATCGAGGGACGGGATTGTTCGTACTTTGTATTTGGACTCAACATGCACTTGGTGATGAATTTGCTGTGTCCTGCGACCTTCGTGAGGGCTTCCAGCTGTGTCAGGTCGCCTGTGGTTTTGGTTTTCCACACATAATAGTTTCCCTGATGAGGATATGGCCGTGTCGATCAGCAGACGTGCACGAGACGCGAGGGACTGCCCATCGCGAGTGTACGTACCTTGTTATTCGCGGCTACCAGAATAGATCCATCCGACGCCATCGTCACCGATCGTGCGGGTGTGTCCTCCTCCGGGAGCTACACACAGAGAATCTGCAGTCAGGCCAACATTCCGTCTCCCTTTTCCCGACCAACTCTGCAGTTCCGCCCCGCTCTCGTACCAATTCATGCGTGCAAGCGTTCTCCCCCAAATCCCACACTTTCACCGACCCATTCTGATCGCACGATATCAGTTCTCCCTGATTTGGGTGTATTATGACGTCGTTTACTGGCGATTTGAGTTCATAGTCTCGTTGTATTCCCGGTGCCCTAACATTGAACAGATTTCAGACATCTGCACATCACAGCCGTAACGCGCGTGGGAGGGGACCAACCTCACGTCCCAGATCTTAATCGTCCCATCCTCGCTGCCTGTGACGATCCACCTCCCTGACGACTGAAACCCGATCGCTGTTACGTTGCCCGTGTGTCCGTCAAACGAGGTAATCTACCATTCAGACGCGTCAGCCCCCAACGTCCAACACAACCCCAAGTCGGTCATTCGTTCTGCTTACAGGATTGGGGTTACTGGACTGGACTTCATACATCCGCACGTGAGGGTTCCCCGCTGCTGCTAGGTACCGCTTATCCGGGGATATCGCCAGTCTGTTTACTTGCTAGTGCGAAAACAAGGGAAGGCGTCAGCCCCGTCTCCATCCTCCACCATACCCTGCTTATTCCAGTACTCACAGAATCGGCATGTTGTATCGTCCGCAGACATATTCCACTTAAAGCTTCCCAGAACCGGATGGTGTGGTCATATCCCGCGGTTGCGAGGACGACCTCGGTGACGTTTTGCGTGACGGGTGCTTGCTGTTGGTGCGGCGCTGGGTGAGGAGCCGCATGCGGTGCCGGTGCCGGGGCGCCACGATAGGCTGCGTGCTTTGGTGGTGCGGCGGGCGACATTGCGGTAGGCGACAAGGTCGCAAACGATCTTCGGTTGTGGTGCTTTCGAGATGGCGTTGACTTCCGCTTTAGAGAATTAATTTAGCAGTGAGTTGAGCAGCTGTCAGCTTGGACCGCCGATCCTAAAACAATGTAGGTCGTCCAGAAGTTCAGGGAGGGCCACTCCAAGTTGTCAGTGATCTGGAAACTGTGAGTTGCTTATGAAGTCTTGCGTTGGCACAGATATGAATTTGAACATGTCATGATGAGGTTGGCGCGTCCTTCGGCTCGCAAATACGACGCTTCGCACAGTGCATTTATGGGCTTCCGCTCTAATTACGCCAGAAACATCTACTGTTAACTATCGCTGCAATTGCCCAATCTACAAACATAAATTAGACTCCCTAAAACAAGAAAGATTGCTCAGAATCGACCACGAGCAGCGACCAACAGAGGTCACGAGTATCATTCGGATCGCTTTTGCTTTTTCTTCTTGACACTCCCGTCATCATCGCCATGGGCCTTCTTCTTTGATAGCTTTTCCGTTGACGCGGGTTTCGCAATGAAATCAGAGGCGTCCCCTGTTTTGGCCGATTCCGATTTGCGTTTCTTTTCAGCGGCCTGAACGGGATCATTTTGGTGAGCAGGTGAATGAGTGTTTCCCAAACGTGCGTATGGAAGACGCACCTGATCCATGAACTTCTTCTTGAGGTCCTCGATTGACCTCCCAGATGACTCGTCCTCGCCTTCACGTGCCCGCTTTTTCGATTTCTCCACCTTTTCAGGAGGCGCAACGAACGCCTGCTGCCTTTCTGCTTGTCGTTTTGCGCTGTTCTCTGCCTGAACCTCTTTCTTCTTTGCAAGCTTGGCGGCGTCCCGTTGTGTCTTTGACAAGAAGTATTCTCCAGATTCGATGGCCAGATCTTCTTTTCGCGGCACGGGCAAAGGCGGGAACAAGGTCTTCTCCTTCTTGACCGGCTTGGGGCCTGTCTTCTTCGGTTTCGGGGCTTTGTTTGCAGATCCAGTCTTTCGGAAGTGCGGCAGGAAGCGATCCCACGATTCAGTTGCTAATTTCGGGTCCTTTGCGAGTTCGCGCTTAATCATCAATTCCTATCGACAAAAGTGAGTTGCACTGTTGCAGAAGCGGGATGCCCATCGAGATCTGGTTACCTTGATGTGGTAGATGGGATGAACGTTCTTCATGCAGTCAATCACAATCCTCCTGACATCCTTTAGTCCCTTATGGGGTCCCATGCAACTAACGGTGTTACCCTGAACCATAACGTAGCAGTTCGTCAAAAGTTCGATCGCTTTTAATGTGTTTCCGTTCGGGCCAATAAGTCGTTGACGACGCTTTACGAATCGATCCTTATTCCGCAACAAGTTGCCGATTTTGATAATATCGCTTGCTACGTTGTCTTGCAAGATTTTGATAGCTTGTTGGTAGGGTACAGATCGAGCCAGGAGTTTGATCAAGTCACGGGCTTTCAGGATAATGTACGGGTCGTACGTCTTCCGCGTTGTTTTGACGGTCATGGAACCTTCAATGAGGTCCAGAGTACATGCTACACCCTGAAATATGAGATCTATTAGAAACCAGGTCAACAATAATCGTGATACCAGGAGCCTCGCACGTACCACCGCATCCAGGGCGCTTGTGACCATAGGCCATGCTTCCCGAAGGTAGGTCTCCCTGTACTTGGGAAACAGAGTCGCAAACGACGATTCCTCCAAGAAGGGGCCACTGACATCGGACGGCTTGATCTCCACAATCTTCCAGTGGTCAATGTCGTCGGTATCCCAGGCTATGGAAACACACCTGCGGGTTAGCCACATTCCATTCTTTCACCGTTTTGCAACAACGAGTGACCTAGTCGGCCTACTTACGTTTGTCCCTGCGGTACTTCCCCTTCTTTCCAGGACGCTGTGCAGGAGCCGCTGCCTCCTCACCCTGAGGGGGAACCTGAGTTTCTGTGTCCGCCATGCTTGCTATTGCTGCCGAACGGAATTCGCTGGTCAAACGTCCAACTTAGTCCATTCAGATTTCGAGCAAGTTCGACGTCCCAAGAGTGGCTTACGTTGAGGTAGTTTAATTCGGTTGCACGTGATTCAGAAACGCGTCGGGTGACTCATTCCAATGTAATGCGAGAATGGGCCACACCTGCCGTTCGTCGCTTCCTCTCAGGCCGCTGGCTCCTCCGTTTCCCACGAGACGCTCCCAATCCGACCAGAACACGAAAGCAGCCATTCCCATTCGGAAAACGATAGATCGGTAGCAGTCAAGCGCGATGGCCTCGGGTGGAAAGTCTGCGGAAGGCTCCGTTAGGAGCCACATGTTGGTGCGTAGGTCGCTGGGAGTGGGTGCAAGTGGAGCCTGGGTCGGCAAGGGTGGCGAACCTTCAGGTTGCAGTCAAACCTCACAATCGTCCGACTGGCTGGGAAACGTTCTCAGTTGGGTGGACTGCGTATTGACAAACTTTCAATTCTCGTAGGCCACGAATATCCGCCGGAAAAACACTAAAAAGGGATTGGCGTTCACGGTCATGGTTGTCGGTATGTGGCGGGAGTCAGGAGAAAGGAGATCTTTGGAGCAATGCCTCTCGTTCGATATCTTCCAGCAATCGACGATATTACAAAGGCTGTTCTGACGAGGTTGGCCACCCTGCAGGATCCTCCGGTCTGGGAAAGAGCACTTTCATCAACACCCTATGCGAATCGCCAATAATCGCAAAGAGGGATTTCGGAAACCCAGAAAAAGCCGCCATAGAGAAATCCGTCGCTATAACACCCGTAACAGTTGGTTAGTGATCAAACCGGAGTCTCATGGGTCTCAACCCCTCACAGGACTAACTGAGTCGATCTTTAGATATCGAAGAGGATGGTAAGATCTCCGGTTGAAGAAACGAACGCAGAGAACGGGGATTAATGAAGATATTCAGGCATCAAGCTGGCGCTGACTATTGTTGACACCCCCGGGTTTGGTGACAACATCAACAACGAGGGAACGTGAGTGACTTTGTGCGGATCATGAGATCTTTCGAAAAATATGATCGCTGAACGCGATTTCAGGTTTTTGGATATTCTTTCCTACATTGAGAAGCAATACGACAACATTGTAGCTCAAGAGTCTCGTATCAAGCGTAATCCCAAGTTCCAAGGTGAGTTGCGTTAGTTTCCACGTTTCTCGACATTCTTACATCTGGCTAACTCAGGATCCCAGACAACCGCGTTCACGCACTTCTGTACTTCATCCCACCAACCGGCCACTCGTGAGTAGAACGGATCCAGCGCTGGAAGTCCTCGACGAAGTCGCTGAACTGTATTCCTCATCAGCTTACGCGAACTGGACATCGAGTTCATGCGGAAACTCGGAGCTCGTGTCAACGTCATTCCCGTCATCGCAAAATCTGATAGCATGAGCCCACCAGAACTGGCATCATTCAAGAAGCGTGTGATGGAGGACATTGCCCACTACCAGATTCCGATCTACAACTTCCCCTATGACGATGAAGAGGACGATGAGGAGACGATAGAAGAGAACAACGAGCTCAGGGTTGGTATCGTTTGACGTTTGCAAACCAAGTGGAAGAATGTGTCTGACATTCCCGCGAATCTATTTTCGGACTTCAGGCCCTGTTGCCTTTCTCTGTCATCGGTAGCGAAGAAGAGGTTGCTATCAACGGGAGGCGGATGAGATGTCGCCAGTACCCGTGGGGGATTGTAGAAGGTTAGTAGCTGAAAAGGCGCGACCTCCTGGAACGGGATCACAATCTAATTTCCTTGTAATGCAGTTGACAACGCAAGACACTGCGACTTCTCCAAACTGCGGTACATGCTCCTCAGCTCGCATCTGCAGGACCTGAAGGAGATCACACATGACTTCCTGTACGAGCAATACCGTACCGAGAAGCTCAGTGGGGAGGGAGGCGCCGATGGGGCTGATGTTGATGAGGAGGACGCGGAATAGACTGGGTTGGTTTCTTTGCGCAGTGCGTTTGAGAAGCGAAGGGCGAGAACAAGATTATTCGAGCAATGATGAGCGCGATATGTATAGACGAATTTTACTTCGGATGAACTTTGATCCACCTTCTCCCGGTTTTACGCATGACCCGTCCGAGAGAGATAGGGGTCTGGAGAGGTGTGAGATCTGTTTCGAACATGGTTGGATGGCTGCTTTACCAAATCCTACATACATCTTTGTTATTCGACCCCTCGTCTCGTGGCCTAATGTTGTCAAACAGCATCTCGCAGAGTGTCCTTGGTCTAGGCCTTTTTCGACGGGTCTTTGCGCTCTGACCCGCTCACATGCTACTCTATTTGATACGCACCATACGTTTATCGATCTACCTTGTAAATACACAATATCTAATCTAAACAACGAGCTCGGACAGCTCGACTTTCCGGAACTCAACTGTCAAGCCATTGGATGAAGTGCTGGCATCTTCCACCGACTTGTTGCGGAACTGCAATTCCAGTGTATCTGCGGATGACCCTGGTGCAGTGGTTGCCACGGTTATGCGGCTGTTGAGAATGGAAAATGCGTTAATACATTGGTCGGATGAACTACGACCGCAATAGAGCGCTCGCTTCATACCTGTTGGTGTCAAAGAAGCGCAGGAAGTAAGTATGCAAGACGCGTTTCAGCGCCGTCTTGTCCACTTTATACAACTCTTTATGGAAGACTTCTTCTTCTTCCAAAGTCTTGAAGCCCTAGGAATCCCACAAAGCGTCCATCAGTACTTGTGTGCTATGGTGTACTCGGGTGACAATCGCGCTCCCAAACTTACCCTCAACACACTCCTCAACGCGCCCACAATCAACCCTCCACTCGTAGACTTCGCGCTCGCAGCCTTGTAAGCCACCGACGCTCTCGCCGTCTCGATATGGAAATCGCTGCAGAGCTCCTCAAACCCGGCATCCGTCTGCAATTTATTGAGGATGCCGTAGAACTCGAGGAGGGCGCGATGCGGCTCGGAGGACTCGTACAGCTCGAACGAGAGTTGACCGGTCCAGAGTGAGATGTGGATGGACGCGTCGTATGCGTAGCCTTGACCGCGGATGGCGAGGTAGAGCGGTCCCTCGGCCCGAGTGAGGATTTCGGCGAGGAGAGTCACTGCATAGTAATCCGGGTGCGGATGGGGTCGGAGCACATCGCATGGAACGATCTGTGCCAAGAAGGTGGTCGTTACTCCTGGGATGGGGATCAGGACTGCATTTCCGAACGTTAGGTCGGCGGACGAGGCGTCGTATGGTTGACGTGGGTACGGGAACGGCGATTGTTGAGCAGCGCGGGTCACTGCTGTTGAACCTGAGCTTCCGTGCGTTTTGTTGTACAGTGCGACTTCTTCGTCCCAGATCTTGACCACCTCCTCAACCAGATGACTTGGAGACCCGTCCTGCACGGCAATCTGGGCAAACCCAGGGCCGCCAGTGGGTTGTGACGGGTTGATCAGACACGATTTAATCTGCTCCAGGGCTTCCACAACCTGCTGTACTCCTCCTGCCTTGATCTTCTCAATGACCCCCCTCAGGAACCCTTCCTGCCTGAACAGTGTGAGATACAGGTCGTTCCTGTTCCCTTCAACCGCTTTGTGCTGCTTGTCGAACGGAAGAGTCACACGAGTGCAGACGGCAGACAGCATATCCGGCCCATCCCGCTTCAGTTCGGTGATTTCGCTGAGTAGATTCTTCGCGATTGTGACAAGTCGCTCCTCCGTGAATGTAGTACACATCAGCACCTGAGCCAGGAAGCGAACCATCTTCGTCCAATCCTTCCGTTCCGCACTGGCTGAGAGCATGAATACTTCGCTCAACCAGCTGGCGTTCCAAATCTCGTTGCCGAAACCAACGGCGGCTTCGTATGAGACAAAGAGGTCTGCGGATTGCCGGACAACTTCCCGGTAGTCCACGACGGTCGTACCCGTCGGTGTTTGCAGGGTCAGGGACGATTGGAACAGCAATTCCTGGAACAGGACGAGGTACGGCCGCAATGCTTCAGGGATGGCGTGTGTGTGCATGCCCAAACGTAAGTGGGAAAAGACGGTGTTGGTCTGCACGACCTGGAAGGTATCGAACGGCCTGCCTGTATCTCCCAGCGTCATGACTTCCATGACCGACTCCAATTTGTCACATCTTGTCACATCCGCGACCGGTGGCATCTTCGCGACCGCGTCCGGAGTTAATATCACCCGGTTCTTCTCAACAGCGTCGTCCAGCACTGCTTTCAGGTGGGCAAGGCCCTTTGCCCCGAGAGCTTTTGCGCGCTCTTTCTGCTCGTCTTGTTCTTTCTTCGCTAGCTTCTCGGCCAGATGACGGTCTGGGATCATGTGAACCTCGATTTTGGGGACATCGACTAGCCACCGGGTGACTAGATCCGACCAAAACTTCATGGGCTTGTCAGCCAGCTCTTCAAGGGTCTTCAAAATGGTTGCCCGAGTTCCGATAACGGGGCGACCATTTTGCGCTCGGGTATCCTTCAATGTCGAACTCGACGCCAGAGAGTGCCGGATGACATCAGGAAGGATATAGGATGCGCACGCCTCCAGCGGTTCTTCCTCTAACGCCTCCAGAATCTTTCGGCGATGTCGGGAGAGCGCGCCTCGAATGGCGCTCTGTTTGCTTTCGCTCTCGGCAAGAAAATCGAGCAGTACCTTCATCATCATGTCGTGATAAACTCCGGGTTCGAAGAGTCTGAGGTCCTCCGCAGGACCTGTAGAACCCGCGTCCGATCCGCTCTCTGAGCCGTTTTCCTCATCGCTGTATTCAGATTCGGAGCCTTCCTCGTCTCCATCAATCTCCATCGAGTCCGAAGCATCATCCTGATCAGCGTTGGACAAGGGTACTCCACTAAACACAAGCTCAATCGCGGTCTCGACATAGCCGCGCACTTCGAAGTCCACCTGAGAGGCAAAAGGCGTTTCCCGCTCTACAAAGGCTTGCGAAAATGGGGACGCTGATGTTTCGTGAAGATAGCGGAACAGGACATCGAGCGCTACGATCGTCGTTATGTCCTCAGAAGGTGGCCCTCGCCAGGCGTAGGCGATAGACCCCAGCTCTTCATCCGAGCACGGAAAGGGCACGGTCTCCTTGATCACATGCCCTGGACCTCCAGGCATCTTTGGAACAACGATGGACGGAATCTTTGCGGGTACCTCCGACGCTGGTTTCGCTTCCAAGAGTCCATCCACCTCCGCCAGCTTCTTGAACACTTCGGAAGGAGGTACCTGCCCGCAGATGATTGTCGTGAGATTGTCCAGATGGTAGAACTTCTTGTGATATCTCACGATCTCTTCATTCTTCAACTTTGCAATTTCATGCGTCAGTCCACCACATTCCCGAGAGTATGTCGTCTCGTTCTGGAACAGCAATCGTCGCAAGGTCAAGTCCAGAACATCTGCTTCCGTGTTTTCCCTCCCCGCCATCTCGCAGTACACAACCCCTTGGTGCTTTGCGTCCCCATCCAGATGATGCACCTCGGTCACAAACTGCTCCTCGCTGAGTGTTGGGAACAACACGTGCTCCAAAAAGACCGGCAAGATCTCCAACATGCCCTCCGAACCTGCTGTTGTGATGGTGTACGCCGTATGATCTTCCGTAGTATAAGCGTTGGTTCCGGTGCTCAGACAACGGTTAGCGAGGGAGTCCAAGAAGCCTCGAGTATAACCGTTCAGAGTCGACCCACAGAACACCAGGTGTTCCAGGGTGTGAGCGAGACCTTCATCCCCTTCCGCCAGAGTAGGCACAACAATAGACGCAGAGCATAGCGGACCGGGCACTGGGCAAAAGACCAGACGGAAGTTCGAGTCGTCGTGCTTGTAGGTTTTGATCTCTGTAGTCGTCGCAGGCAGAGCGAAAGGCACGGAACTCTCGAGGGAAAAGGTGCGCTTGGAGGCGACCATGGTGCTGAAACGGCGGGTTCTCGTAGGCGGCGACGGGATTGCTCTAGCAAACAGACGCCTTAGCATACGCTCAGCACCGTCTTCAGTTGCTTTCCAGGGGGAGAGGAACGAACTTATGCGACCTGCAATTGAGAAAAGCCCCTTTGGACTCTGCAGGGGACGAGGCGAACTTACGCGTGGCTTTCCCTCTGAGTCTCCGCTTCCCCGAAATTCAGAACAGGTGGGCGTGGGAAACACCAAGACTACCAAGATCATTCAGAAGACGCAGCACAGAAGACATATATAGGTGCCGTTCAAGGACCTCCATACGACCCATATCGTTCCCGCTTCGCAACTCTGGGCGTGAATAGCGCATCCAACGCACATAAGTCAGAATGTCGGTGACAATATCGCACCCGACCATCGTGGCCAAGACAGTGACGCTGAAGACGACGCCATCCACACCGCTCAAGCAGCTGGTGGTGGACGCCGTCACAAAGTGGAACCTAGGGAATCCTGATGGCTTTGGGCTCAAGTAAGTCAATCCATACAAGCGATGGCGACGGAGCTTCAGCTCGCGTGGTGGCCACTCTGACTGACGCTGCTGGCCTTCTTCACTAGGCATGGAAAGAACATCCTGGACCTTACGTTGAACATCCGGTTTTCCAACCTTGCTCAGGGTGCAAAGCTTGCTCTGATACCAACGCGAGCTGCCGCAAGTGGACCGGTCACGGTTGCCTTGCAGACGCCAGAGGGCGGGAGACTTGTAGACAAGTTCCCGGTGGCCACGACATTATGGACCATTCTGACGACCTGGGAAGAGCGCGATGCGTATGTATACGGATACCTTGCTGCACACTTTGGGATGAGCGCCGGCATTAAATGCTTTCTACTCGGCGGGCTCTGCAGAAATCTGAACATCACGCGAAAGACATCCGTCGAGGAACGCGGGATGAAGAAAGTGAAGAAGGAGGTGTACCAAATGCCGGTCTGCATTTTCATGAACAAGGAGGTCCGTATTGTCAGTTACAGAATACCAAAGTGCAAGAAAAAATTCATCTTAATTTGGCATCCGCCGTTCACAGTACAGTACCATCCAAGCGCTCCAATCCACAACATTACAAAATGCTGGGCTCACAACTGGAAATGGAGTCATCCGAGTCTTGTTGAAACCGACGGATATGACGATCGAGGAAGCTCTTCAAACGAACGCTCCCTCCCCTCCGGCGATACCGTCTTCGACCGTGGACGACAAGAATGCGGCTCCGTCCGCTGTTCAACCGCCGGCTGTTCCGACAAGTGCGCAAGCTGCACCTCCAACACCCCCTTCCCCAAAAACAACCATAGCTAATGCTGAACACCCTACACCGATGGATATCTCTGATGCGGCTCCTTCATCGATGCCTCCCTCCATCCCTATGGAAATCGATGGAACTCCGGACATCAAAGCAAATGGGAGTTCTCAACAAGAACAACCGACAACAATAGCCGTCGTTGAGACCCCAGCCGCGGCATCAGAACCCATGGATATCAGCGACACTACCGAGTCCCACACCTCGCAAGCCGATGCCGCGCAAGTTGGGACTGATCACGGGCGGAATCACCCTGCGCCAGGACCCGCAAATCAAAATGATACGCCCGTCACGCAGAGTTCAGCCGCAGAGCCGTCGAAAGGCTTCGACAGGGGTGTCCAGGTGTTTGCGCCTCCACCTGTCGATGCTCCATATCATCAAGGTGGGGGTTTTAACGCAATGGGTTTGAAACATCGCATCGGGGGTAGCCCCACCACTTTCTAATATTGATATGTCTCCATCACGTCAACAGTTGAACTCCCAGACTCATTCTACGACCTCACGTCGACGGAGCTGAAGCTACTTCTTGCGAGTACCTCTAGCTCTCTCCTCGCCAACGGCAGCTCCTCGTCCAGAGATGCGCCTCTAATGACCCGGGCGATGCGTGAGCGGGAAGCCGCGTTGAAGCTGAAGAAGCACCCGAAGACATTGATCAGGGTCAAGTTTCCGGACCGGGTCATGGTGCAATTGAGCTTTCTGAGCAGCGAAGCAGGTAAACTTCTTGGTCTGTAGTCCTGTTTCTGCAACCGGGAGACGAATTCTGATAAACCCCATTCATCTACGGCGTGTCTCTGTAGTGCAAACGCTGTATACGTGCCTCACACCAATGCTACGGACGCCCACGCCACGCTTCACACTGTACATTACACCTCCATACCAGGAACTGGATCCACGGCAGACATTCTGGGAGGCAAAACTAGCCCCAAACTCCATGGTTCATTTCAAATGGGCCGAGGAAGCAGCAAACGAACACAACGCCGATGGCTCCGCGGAATATCTAAACGAGGAGTGGAAGGGCAAACTGTCGCCGTTACCTGTACCAGAAACTGCGGCCTCTGCAGGCGTCCTGGGCGGAATCGGGGTCGCAGCCGCAGTATCAGCCGCCGGACTCACTGGCGGCAGTAACGCACGCAACGGACCGACCACCTCTTCATCGTCCACATCCCCGACTTCAAAACGGCCCAAATGGCTGCCCAAGGCGTTCGGCAACACTCTGAGCGGCAGTAAGAAATCGCCGTCGTCGTCTTCTGAATCTCTGCAGCAGCAGCAGGGGTCGTCGTCTTCGTTGTCGGAGCAGGATCAGCAGCAGCATGGGTTGTATGGAGACGAACGCGACGGACATGGCTCGTCGTCGGCGCAGAGGAGCCCGCCGCCGACTGGACGACCGAAATGGTTCAAGATGGGTAAATAGGGAGATAGTTGTAATGAGCGTATTGGGTGTAAATATGTAGATATGGAGCAATCTGGAAAATGATCTTCTCAGGAGGATATTGGGGTGTCTGATGCGTTCTGGTGTGTCGGCGGAGAGGGGCCCAGAAACCTTCCTGAATGGCTCTGGTAGCCCACCAGCAACCTCATGTATGTGTAGTAGACGTGAATGTATGCTGCCAACTCGTATATATACACCAGTTTCCCCGAGTCCCAAAAAGTACATAAATGATGCAATGCAGTTCTATCGTGGCAGACAATATCTAATTTGGCTTCGAGGGAATCTCCCTCCTGACTCGCACGTCGTTGCAAAAAATCGCAGCTACTCCTCCACCCGTCCATTCAACACCCTCCTCTCCACCTTCGTCCTCCCCACCTCCACCCGCTTCTCCACAACAATGTCCTCACCCTTCCCCCCATTCCGTTCCTCCCACCCCTCCGGTAACGGAATCGTCCCCTTATGCAGCTGCCACCCGCGGCGAGCGATCTTAACGACGCCGTAGAGAAGGATGGCGGATCCGAGGATGTAGGAGAAGTAGTAGGTGGGTTGGAAGGGGTTAGTGTAGTTGAGGAGGTCGATGAGGGGGAGCGGCGGGAGGGAGGAGGTGGGGAAGGGGGGGGAGGGTTTGCGGAGTTTTGACATCTGGTTGTCGCGAGCAGATTGGTTAGGATTGGTAGAGGGTAAGGTAGGAGAGAGCACGTAGGTATACCTTTCTGCTTTCCTCGGCGAGCTCTGGGGCGGGTGTTTGGTCCAGACCCTGCTTTTCGTGTAAGTCTCGGAAGCGGTCAAGTGCTTCCACGCTCTCTGAGAGTCTGTGGAGTGTGTTGAAGAGAGCGACCACTTCTCCGCGGGTAAGGCGGTAAAGCTCGGGCCTGATCGTCGGAAGGATATGTTTAGCCGCAAGATCTGGTGCGAGAGACTCATAAAAATGGATACTTACTTATCCCCATACGAGAAAAGAACCTTCAAAGCGGTCCCCAGCCCCGAAATCTGCAACTTCCCCCAAAGCCGACACTTCTCACACCCCACACAATCCATGATCAATGAAATATTCCGAAAATGGGTCTTGAACTGCTCCTTCAAGATCTGGCTATCCGGGCCCACAAACATCGACGTCTCATCAAACGTCGGGCCGCATTTCGCGCTCAAATCGCCGACCTGTGTCACGAGGTCTTCGATCTTTTGCGTGTCAGCGCCGTTGCCCGTGCAGAAATGGTGCACTTCGTGGTCCCGGAGGAAGGGGGAGAGTTTTTCGATGGCGCGGAGGAGGATGGTGTAGGTGAAGTACATGTTTTGGATCCGGTCGGGGTGGTTGCCGACACGGTCGGCGAAGCAGGTTAGGTTGCGCATCCAGACGCCGGTGTTGCGGTCTAGGTATTGGTCGCAGATGTGGGTGGAGATGGAGGAGTGCAGGCCTGGTGGAAGAATGAGGTGAGATGGCGGGTCGTTAGTCTCTCACAAACCTTCAAAGTCTTCACATACCAGAAATCAGCCGATAAAACACCCTCCTCTCAATACAAGTATTCTCCGCATCCTGATCCGCCGGCTCCAAAAGCGGCGAAATACTGCCCTGATTCGGGTACCCAAAACAATTCTCCTGATAAATCGCCCTCCAGATCCTCTCGGGCGACTCCCCCGAGTAGCCCGTAAACCGCTCCGGATTCTTAATCAAATCTACATAACTCCCATCCGTCGACCATTCATCCTCCACGACACAGAAATCCGACTCCTCAAACTCGCAGCTCTTCTCCATGAAATTGAACGGCGACCCCAGCGGGGACCGATCCACAACGGATAAGCTAGCGGTTTTCCAATGCTCCGGTATCTCCGAGTCCTCGGCTTCGATGACGGAACAGTCGCGGAGCACGCAGAGCGGGTTTTCTTGCCAGAAGGGGCAGTCTTTGTGAAGGGCGGTTTTCCAGTAGCGGAAGAAGGAGGTTTGGACGAGGGATGTGAGGATGGGGGAGAGTTCGCGGTTGACTTTTTCGATGGTTTGGTATTCGCACCGGGCGTCGGCTATTGGGCCTAGTGGCTGTTTGCGTAAAAGTCAGTATCCTGCCAGGGATTTGGATGCATCATATAGGCCCGCATGGAACTCACCGAGCAGTAGGCCTCTTTCGCGGGCGAAGAAGAGTCAGCGTCTTTCGCATATGCCGTTTGCACGAGCAGTAACACCAGTGCTAGTATGGCGACCGTTTGAGCCAGCAGTGGTAATCGCCGTGTCCATGACCGGCGGCGTTGGATGACCATGACGGTGATCGACAAGTAGAAACTGGACGCGAATGAGCTTGTTTTGCGGGTAGCTTTGTTTTCGAGGCTGGGTTAAATGTTCCACTGTGGCAAGGGGATAGATAGAGTCTACTGTCTATTGTCTACCTGATGTCGGGGTTTGTACATGAAGCGAAGCTCATAGAATGAGCAGAATGGCGGAGTGGGCTTACAGTCGCGAGGTCCAGCCACGTTGAGACGTTGCAGCCTCGTGCCGCGTCATGAGTCAGGACGCGTATACACTACGGGCCAAAGTAACAATGCATATTCGTAAATAATCCGAAATGAATTAAAAAACCAAATGATGATAATGCGCGTCGCATACTTGCGTGAATATGCATGAATAAACGATGATAATGCATTGATTAAACGAAAGTAATGGACCGTCCCAACCCACGTCCCACACCCACTAATCAGGGACATCTGACAAATATTCATCGTTAATCATGCATAATTATGCATTGGAAGCGAAGTTTATTCTAGCATAATCCATAATAATGTATGGTGCATAAACGAAGATTGAAGAAAACGGCAACAGAAAAAAGGCAATACGCATACCCCAAGCAGCCACGTTCAATCCAGATCCATGTCCATGTCCGTGATCAGACGACAACGCTGCTATCCACGAGGAAGCAATGCACATGCGATCAGGGCGGGTAGTCCAGAAATGTAGGGCTGACAAGTATGACAAAAAGCTTGTGCAAAGAGAAAGCGGCCATACAGATGAATTGAGGAGTGAAAGTGAATTGAATTTGAAGGTTGTTGTGATGCTGGGAAATGGTCTGCGCTCGCCTGTTTCACAAATCGTTGAATTTGTACGTTATATATATATGGGAGGAAAAGAAATGGTCCGTTTGTGCATCCACTTACCAATCCACACAACCTCATCGACATTCAAAGTCCTCGTCTGGCCATAGATCAACCGTTGTCCTAGGCTCGACGGTGAACGGTTCCCATATGCGCTTCATTTCCCCGCCAACGTTACCACCTGGGAAGGGAAACAGAGACTCGAGATCCCCCAAGATACGATGGCGACAGCCGATCGCAGCATCCTTTCCAACCATAGCTGCCACCTAGTAAGGTGCTGCCACGTGTGTGGCGTAGATGTACCCCTCCAACGTGTCGACGTTTTTGAGAAGCGTCTGCAATCGCCGCTTGTTGTATTTACGAGACTTGTCCTGCAGACTCTGCGTCAATGACAACTTGATTTCCTCAGGCGGACGAGGCTGGAAGACTGCAGCGGTTATCATGTACTGAATCATGCTGTTCGAAGGGGACATCTTCGCGCATGCCAAACAGTTAGGGCAGGTGTCAGGAGTTGTCAGAATCACATACTTGAGTTGCCTAACCTTTGCATCCTGCCCGATATAGTTGACACTGTAGGCCGCTTCAAGTAGGTCCCTGGGGATACTTTCCATCCACGATGGTTCTGCGTTCTCCAACCACTCCATGGTTGGTGCGTTGTCCCAACCCTGTCCAGTAGGTGACAAAAGATTGGCGCCACCGGCCAGTAGGATGAAACGCACGGCCAGACCGTATAGGTCCCAGAGAATGTTGTCGCAGTCCTTAGCGTTTACCCAAATGTGCCGTAGACAGCAAACAGTACGACCCTCAGGCTTGCTTGGGTTCAAAGGCCCCTCCAATCCTAAGTAACCAAGAAAACTCGATTGGGTTAGATCACCCCGCATGTACTCAAACTGACCACGATCGACCTTACCGGGCATGTTCCTGGTTTTCATCGCCTCAAAAAATGCCAATGCTACGGCTGAGTCTCTTTCCTCCGCAAGTACAGCCTGCGCAATCAACGCCACGGCGCCTCGGATGGTTGTAATAGTACCAGCATTCTTGTCTCGGGTGTGTGCGACAAACACCGAGTCCTTCAACCCAGAGCATACATGAAAGAATGCCATTGTGGTAACCGGGAACGCTGCATGGCGCCAATTGGAGCTGGGGTGTCGCTTGTATGTGATACCTCCGTTCTCTTCGTCTCTGAATTCCATGCCAATGAGCTTGACAGCGGCAGCAACTGCAATCGGCCATTGCGATGGCTTGCTAGCGTGTGTAACGGCGTATTAAACAACGGATTCCCTCTCGTCATACTTCGGGATCAGGGTTTTGTCGAGGGTAAGACGGGCTGCCTTCATGACATCATCTGAAAGGTCCATGTCAGGCACCGATGTTACCCTGACACTTGAAGGACAGCTCCCTTTCTTCCGTACGTTGTCTTTCAGTTTCTTCGCTTGTACTTTCTCCTGGCTGACGTGGTCCATCATCTGACGCAGAAGAACCGACGTGGGGCTTTCATCCTCCTTGCAGTCTACCGGGGCAGACTGGCGGTGGTTTCCCGTTTCGACAGATTGTTCCTGAGCGTCGTAGGCCTGCCCGGATTCGAGCAAGTCGTAGTTACTGAATGGTATGTCCAGCGTAATCTGCGGGTGGAAATGGGGAGGGCTTGTATCAGATTGGTGCGATGTATGCGCAATCGCACCATTTGGATGCATTCTGTCCAGCTGAGGAGACATATCAGGTGATACGACCGGGGTGTCAGGCAGAGCCGACATCGCAACGTCGAAGAGATCACAGGGCGGCATGTCATTGTACGTCCGATTATCGTGGTAGTCCTGCATGCCATTCTCAGTTACGATGGCGTTGGTGGCCATCGTAGGTGAACGTACGGCAGGTGAAGGACGATGCAGGTCCATCCCCAAGTCCGCCCAGTCAGAGGGCCGTGTGCGTTTCTGACCTGCAACAGGGGTAGAAGACAGGGATCGGCTTTCGACCTGTTTGTGCCGGGTGTTCGTAATCCTGTTCTTCGTCACAGTGAGCGTCATTGAGATCGTCTCCCTCACATCGAAGGCAAGAACCTCTTTGTTGTCCTGTGACTAAGCCGCAAGAGCCGCTCCACCTTCTTGAACCAACCCTCGGTACCAGTTGGGTCTACGAGAAACCCAAGTAGTTTTCTAGCACCTGCTGGGCCTGCGTGGTATTCTTCGAACGTTGCAGGCAAGATGCTATAGAGCTCAGGAATGCTGTATTTCAAAAATTCTGTGACTAAAAGTCGAAGCTTTTTTTCTCGAGAATCGCCGAATGGGGTCTTTGGAGCCAAAACGACCGCAGGGGCGTTCATATTTTCTGCATACCCCGGTCCCGGATGGTTCGCATGTCTGTTTGAGAACTCTTCCTGGACAAGTGACAGGATTTTTCCCACGGTGCGCTCTTCGCTATCGCGTAATAGCCCGTCCACTTCGTGCAATAGACGAGTCTGCTGGGCGTCGAGAAGGCTACCAATGTCGTTCGTCGTGAGCTGCGGTCCTTGGCCACCGCTCCATCCGTTACCAGGTGAGCCCCTTGGAGCGCCTTGGCTACCCGGACTTCCTGCACCGTAACCAGCCGAAACTCTACTGCCAGTGCCGCTGCTTGAAGGTGACGTACCCAATGCACCGAAGGCTGGGCGAGGCTGTGAGGAGAGCTGATTGCTGAATGGAGGAACGAACGGTCGCATGGCTGAATTTCTCATCCGAGTGGGTATCGACGACAGGGAAAAAGTTTGCTGGACAACAGGAGGGAAGTTGCTGAGCGTGGGAAAACGAGATCTGCTGAGCGGGGGGCAATTGAGGGCACCTGTTGCTTACGTAAAGCACTAATTACGCGTCAAACTCCGCAAATTCGTCATGAATGAGAGCATTGAACCGGCCTTTGTACCTGATCAGTTTTACTCGGCTTTCTACGTAATGACGTTCAAGTAAGTTGCAATTGCGCATTGATCAGACCTATGAATGGTACGGGGTAAAACAATCGACAATATGTGTACGTGAAGCGCAAGGCACTCCTAGTGTCGCCCTACTAAGTTACCACCCTTAACAATCTCCCATGCAGGTGTTACGTCGAGGGGACTGTGGGAGCAGTGACGAAGGAATGGAGACGATCGTCGTTGTCGTACTCCGAGACTGCCAGAATCGTGCCTGTTCCCAGCGTCGACGCCTGTAACCATGTGAGGAACTTCGCATCGGGGAAGAACACTGAGTAACAGTGACTGAGGTTTGCCTCAGCGCTAAGCTGCTCGTACAGGCGTGGATGTCGTTCGAAAGCCAGCAATCACACCCCTCGCACGTTCACCACCAGCAATCGTTCGCTGTCGTCGAAGCGCGACAGCTCTGCCCTACCCACCAGTTCGCCAAATGCAACGCGCTCCAGATCCAGGTTCGCGGCGTTGGGATCATCCATTGCCAGGATCGGCAAAAGCGTAACGGCATCTTGCACGACCGGAGGGAGCTTTTGAACAATGAACATGGTGCGATCACGGAGCTTTTTTCCAAGCCGTGGATACCCCTGCAAGGCGAGATGCAAGACTCCAAATTCCAAGTTTGCGTAGTGTAAGTCCACATGGTCCGTATTGATTGGCAAGAACACAACACAGTCTCCTTTGACGTAATCAACAAAGTTATGACGGAACGCCTTCAATACATCGGCTGGTAAGTCCTCTCCTTCCCAATCATTTTCGGGGGCCCACTGCGCGCATATTTCTCTGTATTCCGTGAACTTGGCAGCTGACATCCCTTGCTTCTTAGACCAATCGCTGCGTGTGGGCAGGCCGGCGCTGTGGTCCGTGAGGACCTCAGCAAGTCGCTCCATCTAGAAGCTGCGGAGAGCAGATACTCCAAGTGATTTATGATTGGTGTTTATGGTACGGCCCATGGCGAAGCGTGATATCAGCGATTCGAAGCCGAACGTGCTAAACTCTTGGGCGCATCCAAATCTGGCGATCTGTTCCTGAAAGTGATTTACGTAATGTGTGTTGATGGAATGGTATTCATCGCCGTAGAGACTTAACGCCAGCTTGTTACTCTCGAGGAAGATACCTCTCATTGTACGCATTAACCCGACAGGTATCGCATGCCGCCACGACAGTTCAATCCGCGCCCGGTGTGCGAGCCGGATACCCAGTGGGGCAACAATTCGGCGTCGCGTTGCACAAACTCGCGCAAAACACCGAAGCTGCGCAAGACAAACGCTAGCTTGTTTTTGTGGGTCTGTCCGAACATCCAATGATTCATTGTTTTGATTTGGGGCTGCTTTATGCCATTGCGTTCACAAAACGCCCGATATTTCCTGTTGAGCGTGCTCCAGAACGTCGGACCATGAGATTCCATCAGCACCGCAGCGAATTGCTTCCACTCCTTTTCCACTTCTCCTTCGCCCTCGGAGTGTTGCATGTCAATGGCCGCTAGACATGTTGGTTTTAGTCCTGGCCACAACCAACAATAACTAGGGAACGTTATGCCATACTGCTCAGCGTTTTGCAAGGCGGGATGGTCGCCGTGACCCACGTCCATCCACGCAGCACAAAGCTCCTCCACCACATTGACGGTCGTAGCAGTGTTGCTCCGGGATTGTGCGCACTGACATCTCTCCGCGTGTAGTTGATGGTCGTTAATGGCCATGATTAAGTGGTCACGCATGATCATACATACATGGCACGGCCGCCGCGTGAGATCACTGGACTGTTTGAATCCTAAGAACGATGTCCGACCGGGACCGTCCCCTACAACGGCAAATGGTACGACAATGCAGGGTTTGGTCTCATTTGTGAAAGCATTGAAGACCCAGATCCCTTTCGTGAGGTGGTGTAGTTCATTGGCCAGTATACGTGCACAAAAATCAGTTCCAAGCGAATCTTTCTGACCCATATCCATAAGCGACAGAGGCGCCATTGCATGGCTTGTCTTCACGTTCCGGAATCCGTGTTGAAGTTCTGCACATGGTACCGCAAGGATGGTCAGATTGTTTATGCGATTTCGGTACAGTTTAAACGCGTCGACGAACACAACCAAGTGAACGAAACGCACGCGCCGATGGCGATTCTGCTGGTAGAATGCACCCCAGCTGTTGGCAGTGGCTTTCATACTGGTTGCCCATTGGAACCCTGTCCACGCGCCTCCTTTGTGCGTTATCCCGAGCTCGTCGTTGTACCTATCAATGATATCCTGTGTTGATAGGTTCAGAAATCACTCTCTGTTGGAGGTATCATCCTCCCGAGTCCCCAGTTAGGGTTCCCGTAGTTTATTTCCTCACGTGACTCCCCTCTTGCTTACGCCACGCTTCCGCGTACGGGACTTCACTCTTTTCTTCCCCTTCGGACCTCGCGTCCTCTTCACACGTTAGACTTCAATACATACTTCACAGTACAGCATTGCTTACTACATAGAGTTTGCTCAGTCATCTGCTTCCTCTGCCAACTACTGCTAAGTGGTTATGAGTCCTGGCTTCGCCCGCAACTAGCGGACGTTCCAGGATAAAGAACTCACAGTCTCCAGTCACCGCTCTCTTAGAAAGCACCATGCCACCTAAGGATTCAACAACCCAACCTCAGAAGGGCTACGCAGCTGCAGTGACAGCCGGCAAGCCCTCCGCTCACCACACGCGGTCCCAAGGAGGAGCTCTCCTGGGTCCCCTGCCTGCGGCTACTAGAGGAGGAGGAAAGAAAGTTCAACAACCCCCTGTTAAGAGTTCTGAATCTATTAATCAGCGCTCTGGCATTGACTCACGTACTCCGCTTAATCAAGGCGTAGCCTGTCATGCCGACTTACGCAGTGAACCAACACCTACCCCGCCTTACAAAATGCCTGGTGGACTTGTGGATGAGAAGAAGAGGAAAGAGGAGCTTTCTGCTACTATTGCAGAATGGAAAGACGTAACCACGCCATATGTGGATGCGCCTGAATCACGCGGACATACCGGAACCGACCCCTTCCTGATGGATTCCATTCAGGAAGAACCTATGCCTGTTAAGCAGGAAGAGGAGATGCTTCAAATGAAGGATCAAATAGCCACTCTGACTGGATTGGTTACCTGGTTCTTGAATTCGGGCCGAGCGCCACAACAAGGCGGACCTACCGTCCCCTCCGTGAACCCGCTCGCTCAGTCGCCTGTGAATAGCACTCGCTCTCAGTACTCAACTAGCCCTATCCAGGGGAACGTGCCATACATGACCTCTGTGGCGCCGGCACCCCATGCGCCCCCTCAGCGCGCTATGGCCTACTCCGTCCCATACGCTTATAAAGCCCCGGAACGGCATCCTTACTTTCAACCTCGTTCTCAAAGACCTCCTTTCGCTCAAATTCCACACGAAAGTGCATCTGTGAGATCTGTTACTCCCGTAACACCCCCTACGGCCGGCAAATCAGCTTCCAAAGTCTTCATCAACACTACCCTTAGTAAACTCGGCACCTACAACGGCGACCCCAATGTTACCAAGCTTCAAGGGTTCCTTGATCACATCGAGGTGATTATGAAGTACGAGATGATTTCGCCTTCCGAATGCGTAGACTTCGTTGTCAACGCGCTCACTGGACCAGCTCTCCAGTGGTGGAAAAGCCTTCCTGAAAACGAGCGCTTCTCCATAATTTCCTGGCACGATATTCAAGACGTCTATGGACTGCCCCCGCCACTCGGATTACGCTCCGCGATGTTGAGGCGCTTCATTCCCCGGACTCATCTGCCGCAAATTCTTCACAGACTGCGCGCTCTGAAGCCCAAGTCAATTAACCATCAAGGTTTAACCAAATTCGTCGCCCAGTTCAACCTTTTGGTTGGACAACTCCCCGGGCTCCCGGAATACGTGCTCTGTGCCGATTTTCTTCAAGCGCTTCCTAAGAATCTTAGTACCCTGATCACTGCTCAGGCTCAGTACGACGATAGACTTAGTCCTTCTCAAGAAGCCGCGATTCGTATAGCCGCCCAGCTCAACGAGAAGACCCCAAGTACGCCTCAGTCGGGCGCATCCGCTGCCCACGTTACTTCCACTCTTCCTCAGAAGAAGAAGAACAAATCCAAGACTGGCGGCTCCAGAGGCTCCTCCTCTACCCAATCCTCGTCTTCTGACGCAACCAAGAAACCTCCCCAGTGCAAATACTGCCAGAGGGACGGCCACAAGTCGGAAAACTGCTTTACTTACAAAGCTGTCAAGGATATCATGGACAAGAACATGAAAACCAAGCAGGACGCACCCGCTGCAGCCTCCATGGCTTATGCCATGCACGTTCAAGTCTAACCAGCCAACCACGACGTCCGCCCCTTCAAGGCAAACGTGGATTCCGGTTGCACGGATCATATGACCCCCTATATCGAGGATCTAGATCCATCTTCTCTCCAAGACTACCACCGCCTTATTGGACTCGCGGATTCGACTACCATTACCTCTCAAAAGAAGGGTACCGTACTTATCCAACCTATGTCCGGCGGCGAAGTTCTCGCTCTTCGCGACGTTCTATTGGTTCCCAGTCTTGCCCAGCCGCTTATATCTGTTGCTAAATGCACTGACAACGGCGTCACCGTCTCCTTTCACCCCACCGACGTCGTTACGTTCAACACCGACCGACATTTACTCGCGATGGGAATGCGCAAAGGCAACGCGTACTATTTAGAAGGACGGGTTACTACCTACAAGCCCAATGCCCAGGCACTGGTCGCTTCCATAACCCCCCAACTTCTGCATCAACGTCTTGGACACCCTGGAAACCACATTCTCCCGGTTATGCCTAAGATAGTAGAAGATTGGCCTTCAGTGGGGGCTACGCCGGACTCCGGCGCACGCTGCGATCCATGCGCTTTCGGCAAAGCTACCCGCCTTACCTTCCCTAAATTGACATCCCCGCCCCACAAACCCGGCGAGCTGATACACAGCGATTTACAAGGTCCATTTCAGATCCACGGCATTGACGGAGAGCGCTACAGTCTCGCGTTCCTCGACGACGGCTCCGATTTCGCCTGTACCTACTCCATCAAGGACAAGGAGGCATCCACTATTACCGCAAGGTTTATGATCTTTCATAAGTGGCTCAAGAATCAAACTGGCGTCTCCCTCAAGATCCTACGTACGGATAGGGGGCGAGAATACACTGGCGCGCTCACGTCGTACCTACACGACAATGGGATTACCCATGAGTCTACTGTCACGTATTCTAGTCAACAAAGCGGAAAAGCAGAGCGCCTCAATCGGACGTTGCTGGACCGCATACGCGTCATCTTTGCGGACACTCACCTTCCCCGCAAGCTCTGGCCATACATCCTGGAGGCTGTCTCTTACCTGCACAACCTCTACCCGCATTCAGTTGCATCCCCGGACGCCAAATCGCGCTCCAAATTCCTTACCGGTCGCCGCCCGAGCATCGCGCATCTGCGCAAGCTCGGCTGTCTCACGTATACTGTTGTTCCACCCAAGGGCCGGGACTAGATGGCAAATTGTGCTACCATGACGTACCTAGTGGGCTATGCTCACCAACAAGGCACCAAAGGTTACTATGTCTGGGATCCAGTTCGCGACACTGTCGCCGTCTCACGTGACGTTCGTTTCGACAAATCTACTGGACTCCCTGAGCACCTTCGTCAAGATCCTGCTCTCCTAGATCTTCTAGAAGATGCTCCTACCTCGCAAGAGGAGTTCCCTATCGAACACATCCTTTCTGAACGTCAGCGCCGCGGCAAGAACGTCCAAAAGGAATACCTCGTCAAGTGGGTTGGTTTTACTACCCCTACCTGGCAACCACGCTCTGATCTCATTGAGACCGAAGCGTTGGATATCTGGGAGTCTCATCCAGACGCTTTCAACGCCCGAACCATTGAAGCCCTCTTGAACGCCTTCAACACGCGTACCGAAGACACGCCTCAATCCGTCACTATGACCTGGCGACAAGCAATGGCCTCCCCTCAATCAGCTGACTTCAAGCTCGCAGCTGATAAAGAGTTCCAAGCCCTCGTTGATAATGGGACTTGGGAGCTCGTACCCCGTCCGCGAAATCAGCGCATACTTGGTAGTACTTGGGTACTTCGTCAAATCTTCAATCCAGACGGTACTTTCAAGAAATTCAAGGGCCGTGGTGTAGTTCAAGGTTTTCCTCAATCCAAGGGTATTGATTATAACGACACCTACGCTCCCACCCTACCCATGTCAGTTCTTCGCCTTTTCCTCTCCATTGCCGTCTCTCTTGGTATGGAAATCCATCAACTCGACATCCCCAACGCGTTCTTACGCAGCGATATCGACGGACCCGTCTATGTTGAACAATTTCAAGTCTACGAAGATCTGCACAAGCCGCGCGCAGACTGGGTATACCTCTTACGCAAGGCTCTATACGGTCTGAAGCAGTCTCCGCTTCTCTGGTACCGTACTCTTTGCGAAACCCTCAGTTCTCGCGGCTTTACTCCGTTAAAGAACTGCCCATGCGTCTTCTATTGCTATGCGACAACGACGCGCACTCTGGACGCCCTCCAGATGCTCCTTATCTATGTGGACGATTTCATCGCCTGCTGCTTTCCCGTACACGTCAAACAAGTGAAAGGTGAACTATGTTCCCATTTCAACTGTACGGATCTCAGTCCCATCAAGAACTGCCTGGGTCTGGTATTCGATTACCAGCTCTCGCCGTCAGGGACCCAACTCAAAATCAGCAATGTTACCTATATCGACGGTTTACTTGAACGATTTGGACAACAAAACGCTACCCTGGTCTCTACGCCGTGCGCCGTCTCTGCGCGTACCCGACCAGCCTCCGCAAGCCCCCCTTTTCATAGCAAGCTTCTCTACCAGGAAGCAGTGGGGGCCCTCACGTGGGCATCCATTACCTGGCGCTGAAATATTTCAACTGCCGTCGGCTTCGTCGCATGTCAGGTCTCAGCTCCTACCCAAGCCGACTGGAATGATGTACTTCGCATCATGCGCTACCTGAAAGGTACCCGCACCTTCGACCTTACCTTTAAGTCGGTCATTCAGATCAAGCTGGACTTCGCGTCTGTACAGACGCATCCTACGCAGACGATGCCAACGACCGCAAATCTACCGCGGGCATCGCCAGCTTTTTCAAAGGTCAGCTTATCTACTGGAAAAGCACCAAGCAGAAGTGCGTAGCTCTCAGCTCCACAGAAGCTGAGTATATCGCCGCATCCCTCGGTTACAACGAGGTCATCTGGCTCCGCTCGATTCTCGCGGAGGTCTTCGGCGACAAATAGGGCAACATCAAAGACCCCACGCCACTCCACATCGACAATCAGAGCGCACGCGAGATTGCCAACGCCACGGCTATTACTCAACGCTCCAAACACATTGACGTACGCTACCAGAAGCTACGCGACGGCATGGCGGAGAAAGTTGTCGTACTCCTCGACACCGCGACGCAGGAACAACTGGCTGATTACTTCACAAAGCCTTTTCCTCCCGAGACACATACGAAATTTATTCAAGCAATTCAAGAAGGACGTGTCGCTAGCAATAGACAGCCGGCGACGACTACGTCCGAATGAGACATACGGAACACCCATACCAGGACGGCTTCTGGGCACTATATACGACTTTGGCACCTTAACCCACCACCGTGATAGCTGCCGCTGCCCCCGCACCGGGGGCTCCACCGGCTCCGGCTCCGCCTCCACCAGGCGGACCCCAGGACTACCTCCCCCGCCGTTTCCGTCACCATCTCCAACCTCACTCGAAGACAAATCATCCATGTGCTTTCGCAAGTACTGGAGTCGCTTCATCATCTTGTCTCGCTCCCGTCTCTCGACCGCATCACTGCGGCGCTTTGCCTCTTTCATCTTTTCTTTCGATATGCTGCCTTTTGCCTTATATCGTGACTTCGAGACTGCATTACATCCAAGGTAGTCTGCCTCCTCCATCAATGCCTCGAATGACCCCTTCTTTCGCTTCGATCGATCCAGTTTCGCCTTCGTAAACGCCAGGTGCTTCGCGGGGTTCTCATGGTTATCCTTGCGGTACCTCAACGTCGATACCTCCGTTGCCAATCGAAGAGCTTCTCTAACTCGGGCTTTCAACATCAAAGAGTCGCTTGCGGACGCTGCGGACGATGCGCGCGTAGAGCGCGTAGTCGGTCGTGAGGGTCCTGGCGGAGGTGCAGCTGGAGGGGCTGCTGGTCTCACCGTCTTACGGGCCGTTTGCTTCTTCTTGCCGTCGCCGCTCTTCTTGCCACTCCCGCCGTTCTTGCCTCCGTTCGCCATTGTTTCGCGTATCGTGTGGTAGTCTGGGATACGGTAGTTGAGTATGGGGAACGTTGGTCTTACCTCTCTGGGGGTGACTGACAGCTGTCTCTTGTTTTAAACTCGCGGCGTTTCCCCTTCTTTCATTTTTACTCTTTCATTTCTTTCATTTTTTAGTCATAGCTATTCATCCCCCCGACCGCCCGCTTTTCGCGTACGGCCGCACCGCTGTACTCATTGTTTGTTTTTCATCTTTCACTTAGATAGACTCGTGAGTTTGAGTGGGGGTGTTGGAGGTATCATCCTCCCGAGTCCCCGGTTAGGGTTCCCGTAGTTTATTCCCTCACGTGACACCCCTCCTGCTTACGCCACGGTTCCGCGTACGGGACTTCACTCTTTTCTTCCCCTTCAGACCTCGCGTCCTCTTCACACTTTAGACTTCAATACATACTTCACAGTACAGCATTGCACACTACATAGAGTTCGCTCAGTCATCTGCTTCCTCTGCCGACTACTGCTAAGTCTCTCGACCATGGGTATGGTAATCTTCTCGTTCGTACGGCTGATCTTCTATGCAACGGTGGCTTGCTGGAACCAGAAGCGGACGACGTGCGACAGCAGCATGTATGGCATTTTGTTTGTCGACCCCTGGACACTGGACGTCCGCATCTCCATCAACGGCTTTACTGCACGCCAGGCTTTTCTGTGGGCGGTCGGCCTAGTCCGCGGTATCTCCACTCCCGGTTCGGTGCTGAATATGTTCATGTCAAAGAAGCTGGCATACGATTGTAGTGTCCATTTGGCCCGGATAGCGAAAAGAATGAATTTGAGCAATGTCAACTTCTCCGGGCTGAGGAAGTACTGGCGCGCAGGAGGTAGCGGGAACATAGGTGGATCGCCAGCGGGGTATCCTCCTCCTACTGGAATTGCATCATCGTATGGTTGATCCTCCTCCTCGTACAGGTCGTCGTTGTCCAAGACGAGCCCTTCAAAATGCTAATCCTCATCATCTTCAAACCCATCGGCAGCGTCGAGTGCTATGTTGAGGTCAAGGTGCTGTGTATAATCGTCCTCCCCGTAGTCCAAAAAGTTGGCCTCGTCATCATTTTGTTCCATGTCATCCTCTATTCCATAGTGCAAGTCCGGCTGTGCAAGTTCGTCGGGAACAACAACCCTGGCCTGTCCATCCGCTGGTGGGGCGCCTTCTATATCTACCCGGTCTGGCTGATTCTCAGCAAAGTGGATACAGAGATGGATCTTCGCAAAGTCCTCATAGCTGTCGAAAGTACCGCTAAATCCGCACTCCCTGCACACAATCTGCGGACGAGGCTCACGATGCCTAGATTCCTTTCGCAACTCCGTACGTGGCGATAAATGTGGTGCAGGAACCTGGTGGGAAGATCCTTTTGACAAGCTGGTACGGGGCATCGGAGCACGGACATCGTAGTGGGTCTAGGTATAAATGGTTATTTGATACGATGGTGGCACAGCCTATCCGGAAAGGGATGAAGAGCACATTGGATAAGATGACAGGTTCTTGTTCCGCCTTTTTTCTTGATCAACCAGAGTCGCCATGTGCAATGACGATTCTCAGTTTGTCAGAAGGATATCGGAAAAGCAAGAGTGATATGCCAATGGTTTACTGGTGATAATCTGGGTGATAATGCAGCATTATGAATGATAAAGCCCTCGCGCATGGAACAATACGTTATTTTCCGATAATGATTAATGCATACTTATGAATCACGTGATTATGCATAAGTATGCATGACATATGATTTCATGGGTGGCCGGCGGCAACATTCGACCAATAGCTTTAATTCATGAATTATTTAACATATTCATTTGATAATTAAAACATATGGCGTGTTTCGATTATGCATTTGATTATTCGTCGCGTGGACCTGCATTATCATAAGTATGCATCGGCTGAACCTTAATAAATCATGGATAATTAAAATTATCCATGGCGCGTTTGACCCGTAGTGTATAGAGTATAGAGGAGGGGACTTGCCCATTGACGAATTTCAAGTTCCATGGTGTCCAAAGAACATACTTTACATACTGTACATATAACAATCTACGCAGAACAGAATGAGGAAACTACAAATTACACTGAAGAGACCGAGGCCTGCGCCCAATCCTTCGTTGAAATCAGCATTCATCTAAACGGACGCAGCACCCAACTTCTCAAAAGCACCCAACAAATCCCCCTTCAACAACTCCCATTTCTCCACACCCACACTAACCCTAAGCAAATTCTGCTCGATCTGCTTATCACTCAGCGCGCGCCACTCAATCAAGCTCTCTACGCCGCCAAGACTCGTGGCATGCTTGAAGAGTGTAAGGTGACTCGGCAGGTGTCGAGCGAGGTCTGGCGTCTTTAGTGAGAGTCCGAAGACTGGGGAGTAGCCGTTGGGCATCTGGGCTGGGAGCCATTTGGTTGTGGAAGGGTCGAGAACGCCTTGGAGGGAGGAGTGGTGAACGGTTTTGACGACACGGCGGACAATATCGATTTCGCGTTGGGTGGGCTTGTTAGCGGTAGGGGCAGTCCCGGATGCCGTTGGCAGCTTGTTGTCGTCCGACAAGCACGTATACAGCCAGCGTACGAGCTTTTCCGCGCTCTCACTCTGTCGGGCTACTCTGAGCTCCAGCGTCTTCAAGCTGCGTAAGCACAGCCATTGCTCCATACTGCCCATGATGCTCCCCAAGATAGTCCGCTCCGTCAGCAGCTCCTTGGCCCACTTGCGTCCCCTCTCGTCATCCTTCAATGTGATGACACCCGCCAGCATGTCGCTGTGCCCGCCAAGATACTTGGTGCCCGAATGCATGACGATGTCCGCTCCTTGATCGAACGGGTTCTGCAGGCCAGGAGGCGCGAAAGTGGAGTCGACAAGCAGATATGCCCCTGCTGAGTGGGCGATCTGAGCATAGTGAGCGATGGAGAGGGATTCGCCGGTTGGGTTGACGGGGGTTTCGAGGTGGATGATATCGCCTGGTTGGAGTGAGGAGCTAGGCGTAGATAGCGGTACAATGCTGAGGGAAGTGAGCTTTTGATGAAGTTGAAGCACTCCGAGAGACCCGTGGTAGCCGGGGCTGAGGGCAACGTTGCGGGGTTTGAAGTAGGTCTGATTAAGAGAAGAGAGGACGGAATTGAGTGGACATTGAGAAAGCAGGGAAATCGGTTTTCTCCTACGGCCAAACTGGCGCAACGTACGTAAACGGCAAATAGCGCGGCCAATCCGTTAGCGTATGTGATGGCCTTGCCGTGTGTCAAGACTGACAGCTCATCCTCAAGACGCGTAAGATTGGGTGCAGACTCGCGAGAGTAGACAAATGGCTGGACGGGCTGGCCCTGGAAATATCAACGTAAATGAATGATAAGAAGTAGTGAATTCAGCTCCCGACAAGCTGGAGATGTGATCAGCGGGGGTATTCTGGCGCTACGGCGCATTGGCGGTCGCCGTCGCTCGCGCGAGTCTCAAGCATTATTCCGCCTCTAGCTTCCCGTCGATGAGAAGCTAACTACAGCCAACTTCCGCTCGCTTGTAGGTCCTGGGTTCGCTTCCCGCCAGCCTCATGCCTTCCCTATCGCTCCCCGTCCCAACCCCAACGCCCAGATACTTACCTGACGGTCAATAGCGGGAATAAGCAGGTCCGGGTCCTGAGCATACTCAAATGTCGTGGTGAGGTGAATAGGCGGGGCGACTTCTCTCGTGTTGGTGATAGACTGATCTCGGGTGGCGGGGTGTTGCTGGTCGGTGTTGACGCCGAACGTGACGGCGGTCGTGGGAGCCGGTGAGTCCCCGCTTGGAGGCATGTTGCTGGTGGTGTGGCAGACGGCTGGTAAAGAGGTGGGGGGGGGGGGGGGGGGGCGGCTGGATGTGGTCAGTGCGCTGAGTTTTTATGGGCGGCCGGAAATAGGCATATCAGTTTGAGACTCCATCTCGAGGGGGAGGGAGGGGGAGGCCCTTGTGCGACTGGCGCGTTCTGGGTGACTGTGGTGACAAATCCTGCCCAACGCGTTGGCGGAACCCCATGCAACGGCTCGAAGTGAGTACGCCTGGCACTCGCTAATCCCAGTATCTGATGTTACCCGCTGGGTACTCCAATTGTCTTCAAGACTTCGGCTGCTCGAGTTGAAACTGAAAGGGTTCGGCATCCCGTTGGGGGCCACCACAAGCGATCGGTCTTTCAAGCTAGGACTCGGACAACTGTGACAATATGGCTTCCTCCACCTCTGGCAGATAACGCGTGATGGAGCGCGGCTGCTCGTCGTCCCGAGAAGTGGTGAGCTCACGACGCCGCTGTGCTGAGGTGCCCAATTAATGGGTCTTCGGGGCAACATGTGGGGAGCCCGCCATTCCGAGGTATCGCTGCCGGCCATGACGCCCTCTCCCAAGGAACGCACACCAAAAAGCGACGCTAAGGCATCGGTGTCCGATTTGCCCTGTTGCTGCCACAAATAGAGAGCGCCAGATCTGTTTAATGTTGAGAGTGGGTGGTAGTGGTATCGGGGGATTCTCTTTCGGACACCGCTCGCTCAGCTTCTCACGCGTTTGTTCCTCCGTGTCACTCCGCAAGGCACAAGAAGCACAGCGGGGAGAAGAGGCCATCTGATCTACAGGCAGGGAGGCGGCGCTTGGAGCTCGCTCGTCTACTGACGGCCTTCCAACAGTGAAAGAAGGGTTGGATATATAGATAGAAGGCCTCATATCTTTTCGAGTTGCTTCACAGGTGTGCCATAGGTCAATGAGCGATCCTTCAGTGGCCGACCCATGGGCCGAAGGCCCACTCCCCACATTCAATCCCGACGATATTCACACCCAAGCCGAGGTTCATACCAGCGCTGTTACGATTGATGTGCCTGTTATATACCCTCCCAGGCCTTCAGAGGTTCTTCATAGCGGTCACTTTGAGCCTGTCGAAGATGAGCTTGACAACGAGTCCCTCATCTTGCCGCCGCGGGATGTTCCATCAGCCTCGTTGACCAGAGGCAGTCGACGTGGGAGCTTTGCAACAATCGGTGCAGCAAACGAAATGTCGTCGCTACTAGCTATCGACTCGGCCGACGACCTGATCCGAAGTGTTAGCGAGCTGTCCTCCAATGCAAGTGAAAACGATGAGCTAGAGGGGAGCGGGGAGGAACGTCCGCCGGCGCCTACCCTCGTCTCTTCGACTCTCAACGTACTGAACACAATTTTAGGGACGCAGATGCTGAGGTATGGTCCGGTGCGGTCGTTTGAGGGCTTCATGCATTGGTATCTGCTGAGCGTGCGAACTTTGCGGTATCTGTCAATTCCTCTGGACTGAGCCACAAAATCGTCCCTCCGTAACAGTATGGCTTACGCATTTGCTAAAATCGGTCCAGTTACGGGCACCATCATCCTCATCATTTTCGCCCTGGCCACTCGTAGCAGTCTCCGTTTCTTGGTCCAATCAGCTCAGCAAGTGAGCTATCACGACACACGGCTGGCTGTTCTTACAACGGCGAACACGCCATCATACGCCACTTTGTGCCGTGCCGCGTTTGGCTCCTCTCGCTCAACAAACAAAGCAGGATCGGAGCGTTCGGTTACGCTCATTGTCATGCTGGTGGACGTCATGATGGTGTTTGCGTGCCTTGGGTTCGCCGTTAGCTACTTGCAGATGATTGCTGATGGCGTTCCGAGGATTGTTTGGGAACTTGTGCCCGGGTGGGATGGCAGCGGAGAGTGGATTGTCGGATGGATCTCGAATGGCCAATTCTGGCTCTTTGGTCAGTTGAATCTAAAAGTTCCTAGCTGGTCGTGTTCGCCGTCTATTAACCCCAATCCGTCTGAACTTCAGCTTTTCTCATTCTACTGATACCACTATCGCTCTCACGCGACGTCGATGACTTCAAATGGTTCTCAGGGACGGCGTTTGCGTGCGCGGTGTATATGGCGTTGGTCGTCGTCATCTGTTATTTCACGCATTCCGCTGTCCCAGCGGAGGTCACAGAACCCGGCAACGGCCCCGCCGCACCAACGCCTCCGGGGGATGGAAATCAATCCAATCGCCCTTGGTATCTCCTAAATGATGACATTGTCGGCACCTTACCTATTTTTCTATTTTTATTCACTTGCCATCAGAATGTGAGTGTCTTCTGTGCACCTGTGAGCTACCGTCGCTGTAACTAATATCCGATGCTTCCAGATATTTTCTATCTACAACGAGCTTAATACATCACCAAACAGCGCGGAGAACACAGCTGGCACTGCGTCTCCCAAAACCGACGCATCGATAATGCACATCATTGATCTAGCGATTTTCCTATGCGTCGTTATATACCTTGCTGTCGGGTGGGCGGGGTATTTGACATTTGGAGCAAAGGCAGAGGAAAGTCTTTTGAACAACTGTGAGTAGAACTTTGCTGGTCTTAATCTGCATCCCAGTCTGACCACTGACCATCCCGCAGACAACGCTATCGTAATAACAAACAGTGGCACGGATATCCTTTGTGCTGCTGTCCGCATTTTCATACCCGATCCAACTACACCCCTGTCGCGCAGCACTGGACTCGATCCTAGCATATTTTTGGTCCCCATCTCCATCCTCATTTCGCCCATTCGGCGGACCTGCAGGACGCTACTCCCGCCTCGAAGCGCCGCAAAGAAGCCAGTCCGGTCATCGAGTGCATCGCCGCTCCCTCGCCGGTCTCTCCCGCTCCGCTTCCGCATCGATGGCGACACCTATACCACACTGGCTAAGCAGCGCCAGTCCATCCTCATTCTCCCTCTCATCTCCACTAAGCATGTCGCCTTCCCAATCCTCAATATCCCTCGGGGCAAGCCCAGACCCTGCATACCCCCCACCGCACCACCACCGCCGCCGATCCTCCCGCCGATCCCGCGCCCGCGGCTGCTGCGGGAAAATCTGGCAATGGTGGTGGCGCCGCTTTCGACAACTCCTAAACGGAATGGGGATAGAGACGGGCGACGAGAGCAGCGGCGTTATATCGCCCGAAACACGGACGAGACATCAATTGACTCTCTTGCTCCTATTCTTGACGTACCTGTGCGCGGCCTGCCTGCCCGACCGCATCCTAGACAAGGCGCAAGTTTTCATTGGCGCGACGTGCGGGGTAGGGATATGTTACGTATTACCTGGGATGATGTTCCGCCGCATCGTGTTGGCAGACGCCACACGGACAAGCGATGATCGGGTTAGACATAACGTCGACCGGGGGTCGATGTTTGAGAGGGGACTGTCTGTTTCGGATTTTGAGTCGGAGGGGCAGTGGAAGTTGATGGGCGTATCTCATGGGACGCTTTTGACTTGTCTGAGGCAGAAGGTTGTGATGGACGACCTTTCTTGGGCAACAGTGGGCGCTTATTCTGTAGAGGTGCTGGGCTTATTCTGTGCATGCTTAGGTGTTGTATATTGTTTCATGGCATAGATACAGTGTGGATATCATAAAGGATGCTATGGAGTTGTTTGCACACCGGCTGTGAGCCTTTCTTGGGTCATGCGTTGAACCCCGGAGGAGGCGAGCGAATCCTTCCGCCAGCACTCTATCGGCATTATGAAACCATATGTCCTAATCAAAGCGGATTGACCAGCGACTGTTTGGCCTGATCGCCAGGTGCCTCGAAAAAAGAGACTACAGAAACCTACGTGCGATGGATCTCGATGACTTATTCGCTGTCTACCTAATCCAGCACGTCAATCTATGACTGAGCCCGCAAACCCACTGAGCATCCGCTCACGCGAGCTCTCGTTGATGACTCGGGCCCGTCGTCGCGCTGTAAGGTGTCCCTCCTTTATCCGTGCTATCCCAGCTTCTGATGTCGGATCGGACCTTTCTGAACCCTTGGGAGGCTTTATTCGTCAAGTCGTGTGGTGGCAAAGGCACCTTTCGAGTACCACTCGGCAATGACAGCGAATCGATCATCGGCGGTTTCCAACTATAAAAAACGTAACACGATGAGACCATAGTACAAGGGGAATATCAAGGGGTTTCCAACCGCGCCAAACCTTATGCATGAAGACATCGTGTCTTGTGGCATTTGCCTCCTGGCTTAATACAAGATCTTGAATCAAGCGATGCTCCGGCGCGCATCGTGGACATTCTTGATCGGCATCGCCCAAACATCTGAATAGGGGAGTCATCAGCATCCACGCCGATCCGGTGATTATCTGGTATTTCCAGCAATCCGAAAAACTCATCGTTACCTCTGGTGATACGAGTGCTTGCAAAGAAAATGTATCGTCGGCAGCTCCAATGGTTGACGGCAGATTTCGCATTTCGTGACCTGGAAGACGACGGGTCTTTGAGAGACATGATACGTGAGGAGTGCGATTTAGAAGACGCGCAGGTTATTATGTGCTTACTTGGTCCGTATCTCGTCAATCTGCTCTTTCATTTGCCGCGTTTCTTCCCGATAACTCGTTATCAGATTCTGAGACTAGCGCGCGTATAAACGGCGATTAAGAGCCATCCTCTCTCGCTTGGTATGCGGTTGGTTAACACGTACCTCTTCGATAGCTTTCCGCTCGGACTCGACCCTCCGAATGATATAGTCTTTCACCATCCCAATGGTTACAGACGGGTTGCGCGCCAGCACTTGTATGACCTGCAATGGCGGAAGCAGACTCTTTCGATCGATGGTGTCCAGAACCTCCAGAAGCTCTGCTTGCGGATTGGGCCCGCCCAATCCAGTCCCTTGTTCGGCGAAAAATGCGAGTGCTTGGGTCCAGAGCCCGATATCTGCGTCTCTGTTGGCATGTGTGTGTCAGCAGTCACTTGGTGGTACAAGGTGTCGATAGCCGCGAAGCTCACCCGTATTCTTTACACGTCGCAATCACACTTGCGTAATCGCCTGCGTCCATATGCTGTTGCAGGATGTCCTTGTGTCTAAAACCCTTTGGATCAACAAACCGCAGATGGCCGATTTCGCCGAACGAGAGACTTACAACGACATTTTTTGATACAGATATAGCGTCCCAGCCTCAAATTTGTGTGTCCTGCACAGGATCAATGCATGATTCAGGTCGTACGTAGCCTGCCATCGGGTAGGAAACATCGTCAGCTGAAGTATATGTACTCGACGTTCCCAATAGACTTAGGATCTTACATTTGGATTCCGAAGGAGCTCGTCTGCGTTCATTCGCCACCGGGCTAGGGTTGGCGCATCAACGATCGCGATAGGCGATGCCGGAGGCTATTGGGAAGTACACTCAGTAAGCCCAACATCCGCCCGTCATTTCTACGCTGACTTCCAATCTTACTTCATCATTTGAGACGTCATCGACAGGTACATGACCTCCGCCCAAATAGAGCTCCAGCAAAGTGTTGCAAACTACTTTCTTGCTGGCGTTATCTTGTTCGACACTCTCCGCTTGTGCTGGGCTACTTTCCGCTTTCGCGCCGTCCTTCACCTGCTTTGCTGGCTGCTTCCCTTTCCCTCCGATCGAGAGCTGCCATTTGCTTTCCAGAATCCTTTCTAGGAACGTGATGCACCACTCCCCCTGATTGACATAGAGATGTATGAAGTCCTCTGGTTTGGCGCTGGGACTGTCAGAGTCCGTTGGTCGTGGCGAGCAAAGTCTGAGTAGTAATTGTGTCATCTCCGCTGGCATCTCCGTGACGAGAGTGTAACCGTATTTCGCAAGCGATCTTTTGCTTTCGGAAAGTTCCATAGCTTCAACGTATTTAACAGCTTGGGCGTAATCCTTCAGGTCCTCGACCTGGATTCGTAGGTACCACTCGTTTTCTCCAAACTTCTTCGCAAGATATAGCGCATGGCTGTAATATCTTCCCTGGCGGCACACTCGGATGGCGGTTTCTACGTCGAATTTGAGCTCTTTGCCGGTCTTGATGAACTCGTCTAACCGTCGCACATCTTTGAGTTTGGTATAACAATTGAGTAACAGCGTTGTATGGTCTGCATTGGCGAGGCCTTTCTCGTGTAGCGCTTGCAGGTACGACGTCAAATTGTGGATGCGCTGAGCATCCAAGAACTTTCGTATCACATACGACGGCTCCAGATGCCCGATAGTCTGAATGTACTGCTCCATGGCAGAGTCGTACTCGCTTTTCGAGTAAAGCCAATCGGCGTACTTCTTATAGATTTCCACCAATGTTCCATAGTCGTAATCCCCGCCGATCGGCATGGTTGGCGATGACACTGGGGCGTCTGCGCTAGGCGGCGCATGCGGCGCGTTGCAGACTACGTTGATAGCCAAGGAGTACATGTTCTTCTTGAACAGGATATCGAGTTTGGTATCCATGTCTTTCTCCATGAGTTTGTAAAGCTGTTTCGACGCGTCGGTTAGCAGCAGCCCATGTCATCTTAAATGAGACGTTTCTACCCACTCTGTGATCTTCCGTTAGGACATATAGCTCACCCCACTCACTTAGCACAGACTTTATCGCCTGCGCCCTAGAACCCACCCCGCCGAACGTGCCGGTGTAGGCGATGAACTTGTTCTTTAGGTCATATAAAGTCAAGATAGTTCCGGGCATCGTTTCCGATGGGGCTGTATCCAGAACGGATCTGCTTTCGGCGTCGATGAAGTCCGATAATGCAGATTGGCGACTTGGTGCAGGAGGTGCCTCGCGCGAAACGACCACCAGGTAGTTTCGCACCCATGTTAAGGACGCTTTATGGCCTAGTAGAGTATCGATGTTTATTACGGCAAAACATGACTTGAACGCGGTTGCTCTCGTTTGTGCGCACCCTCAATGACAAAGCATGGTCCTCTCCCATCCAATCCATAGAAGTATACTGCCTGTGCGTCATCACCTTAAGATTGCATGAACTGCATTCCACTGCTAACGTGGCCACGTACCTCTTTCCTGCCCACCACAATCTCCTGATTCGTCTCTTGCGGTGTCAGAATGACCGTATCTAGGTCCCCCCCTTCTTCGTCCAGTGTTTGCTGAAGTGCCAAGGGCTCTTCTCAGCAACAACCCCTACCCAGGCCCCGGTCGCCCAAGATACCACCCACCTTCACATCCTTGCCTGAGGTATCGCAGGTCAATATTCGTGCCAGGGTTACTATATACAGGATGGTCCTTTTGCCGTCCTCGTAAAAGCCAAGCCCTGTGAGTCTTCTCGTAAGTTCCCATGAATGGCGCGTAATTGCAGTTGCTCAGGCTAACCGGTAATCATCTCGCTGCCCTCATGAATGATCTTCGACTTGGTGAATCTGTCCCGCGAAATGTCTCCTCGGATCACGATAACGACTCCATTCTCCAGCCCGATCGCCACCTGCGTCATATTTTCCAAAACGGCTATTGCCGTGACCTGTGCGGTGCCTTGGGTAAATTCAACGCAATGTAGGGCAATCTTCATGAATGTCCAAGCCTACCGGAAAAACCTTCTGGCCATATTGAATCTTGCTCGTCCGTTGAAGACCAGGTGTTTTCGCGTTCCTGTCCAACTTGTCTAAGTTCCACACCTTTACAATCGGTATTCCGTGCTCATCCTCCTGTGAAGCCAAACTGCTTTAGCTCGAGTCCACGACTATCTCAAGCTGTACTAACTGCACTCACCCCGACGGACACAAGCTGGTTCTTGAATTTCATATGTCTCAAGTGAGTGACGCGCCCCTCGTGAGCTTGGAAGCTGAACACGACGCTCATCGAGTGGTTCAATATGATGACTACGCCGGAGGCATGTGGAAGGGACAAATGGAGTAAGACATGGTTCAGGAACATAAGGAGGTGAACTGATACGATACTCATCTCCATAGAAAAGGTGACCTCTGCCATGGGAACTTGCGGTCACTTCCAGGTCCTGAACATAAAGGAACGAAGGTTACTTCCTCACGTCATCTAGATAGGGCTGTGGGAGGAACGACCGCTACCTTGAGCCACTGAGGTGCCTCCCCCGGCTCCGAGGAGCTGGCGACCAGCTCTTGGTCGAAAAAGGTGAACTGCCGCCACTGAATTACAGTCATTTTACGTGGTGATCTAGCGTATGCCAACCTTGGGAGAGACTAAGGACAAAGGATATGGGCCACCGCTGGCTCTTCCAAAGATGTGACGTTTGCAAATCGATCTCGACAGCGCGTGTACAGTAGCGCGTCAAACCGACAGTGTCAAAACATCGACTTTTTCCTTTTGAGATCGGAAATCTCGGCTGTGGTTTGGCATAGTATCGACTACCTCCTCGTACTACAGATCTTTACCCTGTTTTGATCTGGAAATCACATCAAGATTGGGAAGAAATGACAGAGAAGGCTTGCTCTCAGAGTGAAAGTCTAACCATTCAAGCCCACAAAGTGGATGGGATCCAGATCACAGCCAATGTGCGCAAACCGAAACGGCAGATATCTGTCTCTTTCAAAACCAAGGTAGTGTGGCTGCGAATCACAATCTGAAACACTTTCTGATGGTAAGGCTCATATAGACACTCCTATAGGCACGCCGTAGCCCTTTACCACATGAGGAGAGAAACTCAGCGGTCAGACAGGAGAAGCAGCCGATATCGAGAGCTTCCAGCCGGATATCAAAGAGACCCGCATGGAATACAGGTGGTGGATCAGCTACGGAGAGAATCGCAAAGAAGCCGATCTCGGGCGCCAAACCTTTCATGCAACCTATCGAAGCGCCACATCTCGCAAGGAAGACAGAGGTATCTCCAATCGAAGACCTGCGGCAAAGTCCTATCCCTACGCTGAATCTTACGGACGAATCACATATATCGATCACAACGGGCTCGACGTCACCCAACATAGCCCAGCCATCACTACCATCGGAAATATCACGATCAAACGGCGACCCAGAGCCATGTCCTGGATTACTGGAACTGGCCCCGGCCGCCGAGAGTTTAGATGCGGAAACTCAGAGTGTCCCAATTGCGTCAGATACCGCTCATATGCCGTCGCCGCCATTCCCAGACGGTCCCAGATCTGTCATCGGTGCATCGTCTGTCGAGGAGATGTTTTCCGGGCTATCGAGCTTGGAAAGGGAGTACCTATCAGAAGGCAGCCCACAAAAGTCGCGGCATACGGTAACAATGGCCCCAGATGGAGACTTCAACGCAACCGTGTTAGATTTCCGGAGATCCACTCGATCTGAGCCTGGTCCGTTGCCGACATGCTCGGAGGTTTCCGAGAGCAGTGGAAGCGCGGAAGGACACCCAGCACAAGATGTCCCGGGGTCATGGGCCTCTGCAAACCTCCCCATTCCATCATTGCCCACCAACCCGGCATCAGTGCTCGCCATTCGGCATGAGCATTTGAGAGCTGATCCTCCACTACCCCAAAGACACTATGCCCGACCTGCTTCTCGTGCCGAGACGTCCGCGACACATTCCGCTGACTACCGGCACTCCATTGATCGACGAGACCGCATCAGACCCAGTACAGCCACCTCGGTTGTATCAACGGATGACAGAAGTGAATACAGCTTCAAGGATGATCCCACGTCACGGCGGGTGGACAGGATTCTAGACTTTCTGAAAGGCGTTGAGGAGGATGATTCCAAGAGCGCCGCGGAGCTACACGCAAAGCAAAGTGATTTTGAGAGCATCTTGGGCGGAAGTAACAGGTAAGCTTAGAGAAGGGGTGGATATGCCGGCAGATTGTACTTCATCTGATCGCTTATCTTCGTAGCACATCAGGATTGAAAAGTCAAATGGGGAACTCAGGTTGGCAACAGTTGCGTTGGACCGATTACGTCCGTACTGAACGAGCTCTGACGCATTCTTTAGCCGCAGTGTTCGACGGGGTCAAGGCCAAGATAATCGGCCAGCAGATGGAATTGGACGAGAAGACGAGAACACTCAGCATGCTGAAGAAAGAGTTGAAGAAGCTGAAGGACAATATGCGTGAGCAGACACTAGAATCGTATGTGAATCGTCTTGACGGGGGCACTCCTATCTGGTATAATGATGATTAACAGAACCTGACGGACGATGCAGACGGAAGGAGTTGAAGTCTAAGCTGGCAATGCAGCGCAAGGAGTACGAGACGATCATCAAACGGCATCTAACGTTTATTGACAAGCTGCTCGCCGAGAAAGAGGAACTCACAAAGAAGTGTGAGGGTCTCACCGGGGAGGTGAAGGGATTGGAGAAACAGTTCCGAGACAGGGTACTTCATGAATGAAGTACACAAGGCTTCCAATTGCATTCCGTCTCATCATCGTTTTGTTATCGTAGTCTAGGGTGCTGGAAGAGCAGCATGAAAAGGATCTGAAACAACAGAAAGAGCTTTGGCATTCAGCCGAGAAGCTCAAGCGGGATAAATGGATACAAGAGAAAACAAAAGCTATTAAAGACCAGACCATCAAAGGACTGGAACCTGAGATCCAGAGAATGCTCGCTGTAAGCACCTCACCACACGTTCTCGAGAGTGACAGAGCAGTATGCTGATCCAAAGCTCGGGTGACATATCTAGCAACACAAGCAGCAGATCCGCCAGCTGGAGGAGAAGTACCGGGAAGAAGTTGTGAAAGAGAAAAGCATCCTTGTCGAGCAGCAGCAGCGGCAAATGGTAAGTTCGATGAGACATATCTCTCTTCCACTTGAACCCGAACTCACGAATGCGGTCTTCTCGTACAGGAAGGCATGCGAGACCGAATCGTCGCAGAGCGACAAAGAGCTTGCGAAGAGGAGAGGGAGTTCTCAAGGCAGCGGTATCAAAAGCAGCTGGAACGAGATGAGCTGGAGTTCCAACAGCAAAAGCGCAAGCTTCTGGCGGAATTTGACGAGCAAAAGCATGCCATATCCGAATCTGCCAAGCAAGAAAGGCAAAACGAAGAGCTGGTCCACCGGAAACAACTGGAGGAGATACGCCGACAGCTTGACGCGGAACGTGAGGCCAAGGCGCACGCGTTGGAGGACCTGCGTAGGAGGCAGAATGCAGAGGTGGGTTGTTTGGAAACGGAGCCACAGCTTCGGGTTCATCTACCAACTACAAATTTGAACGCAGTCGACGACTTTGCGGGAGAAACTGGCCATCGAGAGAGAAGAGTGGCAGGCTCAATACATGGCAAAGCAAGAGGCCGAGATGCGCACGCGTGAGGTACCAACCCTCTGCCTGACAACACCGGGAACAGTTCATAGGAGGGAGTCAAGCTAATTTCTCTTGCAGAAACAATTCAAGGAAAAGCTCATACGCGAACGCGATAGCGAAATCGAGATGGTTGTGCAGCGCTTGGAATCCGAAACGAGCTCTAATTCAAGCGAAGGAGTGCGAAGACATCGGTTGGAGATTGAGCGCATCCGGTCAGAGGTTGCTGACGAGATCAAGCAGGTGAGACGAGCGTACCGACTTTGGAGTTTGTTGCGTCCTTACTGATTTGGCATGATAGCTGCGGGATCAGCATAGTCTCGCTTTAGACAAGGTCGTGAGCGCCCAGAACGAAAAACGACTGGCGGAAGAAACATTGAAAGGCTTCGAGAAGAAGCTGCTTCAGTTGCAATACGAATCCACGGCGAAGGACAATCTGATCCGGGATCAGAAGACCGAGTTGACGAGGCTGAAAGTCGACGAGCAGACTCTTATGGAAGCGATTCGTAAGTTCATAAAACATTCATCGGTAATCCGAACGGCATCTGAACATGGTTCTCATCCAACCAGGGAAGGACTTCGTTGACCAAATCGATGCCAAGGAAGAAGCGTTGACGCACTGCAAAGATCAACTAGCACAACATGATCAGGAAATGGAAGCAACGCGACACTTGCATAATCAACGACTCGAGGAGTTGAGACAAGAGAAGGTGGGCCTTTTGTTTGATTGTGTAGAGGATCATGCGAAAAGCCGTTAACCAGCCCAAGCAGGAGCACACAATACAAATGATAGAAGAGCAGGTTCGAAAGGCAATGGGCGCTAAGGATCAAGTCATCGGTAGCCTTAAAGCTGAAGCACAAGACCTGGGCATCAAGAACAAGTATCTAGAGCAGATCATAGAAAAGCAGCGACAGGTACGTTCCCTTTTCGCATCTCATCATCGAAGCTGTGAAGAGCGATTTCCCAACCTTGATGATCCCTCATAGGAACTCCTTACATAAAACACATCAAGTCAAACGAATGTACATAGCTCTGAGGACTACCAGCCTCTTTCACATCTCCCAATCTCCCGTAAGGATGCATTTACAGACGTATGTATCCTTTAAGGGTCCTCTACGGAAAAACGCGTGTCCCGTAGTGTACAGGATTAGACCAGAATTGTCAATCCTTCTCCCTGTCTGGACCGGGGCGAGTTGTCTGGACGATCCCCTCACGGCTTAGCTGGACGATATACCATCTGCGCTTATATACAGTATCTTCCCGTCATATTATGGCACCTCACAAAGGGTGTGGTGGTATGGTGACCCAGCAGCAACGACGCAAACGAGAAGCTCCTCATGCCATTGTTCACAGCATGGCTATCGAAATTCAGCATACCCACACCAGTGACACCACCGTGCCAAGCCAGAGCTACGAGCAACTTACGATAGAGGAGTTTTCTGCGGTGGCCACTGTCAGCTCACAGATCATTGCTCAAGCCAATTCCCACTTTGCTGCATTGACATACATCTGCGAACGGTTGAAGAGAACCTATCCCCTTCTCACATCAGGAGAATGCGGGTCTGTAACGCCCCTGATAGCCTCTCTACTTCACGAGTCGAACATTGCGCAAACCGCTTCCAGCAACATTCGCAACGGGGATATTGGAGGCAACGCCGCGCTGAGGGGCTGGGAACCTCTAGTCCTGCTGCTGCAGACACAACCATCGGCGCCAACTTCAGACCGCGCGACGCCCGTCTTCAGGAAGATCATGGAGATCCACGCACTTGGGTTCTGCGATGTGATCAGTGATAGCATTCTTATAGGGGCACTCTGGAAGCGAAACCAGGTCCCGGGAACTCTGGAGCCGACGCATGTAGAAACATCAAAAGCCATCCAACACCTTCTTTCCACCAAGCGTCGAATCTACGCACTCTCCCTACGCCGCCGCAAGTTTGGTGTCCTACGTTTCGACAACGCCAATGATGAGAACACAACCTGGACGGCAATGTGTGAGCAGCTAGCAGAACTGCCCACCAAACGGAGCATCCGATCCACATCAATTATACCTATCTTTTCAAATGCAAAGCGAAACCTCTACCGCATGCACATTGATTGGTGCCCAACAGACGACGTTTTCCCTCTTTCGGTGGCCTTTCTATCGCAAACTCCTCAATTCCATCGCCTATCGCAAACTTCTCGTGCACTTGTGTGCACAACGGTAGAATCTGTTGCATGCACGCTCAACCCGGGGCTTCCACATATGACTCGCAGGGCTGGGACTGAGTCAACCTCTGATGGCGCATCCAACCAAACCAGATCACATCAACGGCATCGCAGTCTTAGAGTAGGATTCTACGCCAATTTGCTAGGGGATGTGGTGGAGAAGATGGATCTGGACGACGATGAGCGGGCTTCAATGGTGATCGACCTCGCCATCACACCCCAATCCCTCCCCTGGGAGGAGCAACCAGTCAGCGTAGCTTCCGTGCGCCTAGTCTTGGATCAACCGGGTGACAGGCTCATAGAGGCTTTGTCCGTCAAACAAAGAGAATCAAAAGAATCAGAGAAGGAGACAGAGGGAGCAGGCACGCCAGTAAAGTTCCGGAAGTTTACCATTGAGCAAGGCGATGATGGGAAACTCCGGTTGTATGCCGAGAAGCGTGTGCGAATGCGACCCGCACCCAGAGAACAGGGTCGATAGTCGATAGATAGTCACGACCCAGAGCACCCAGAGAACAGGGTCGACAGTCGATAGATAGTCGCATTGTACACGCTCTCACGGAAATTGTAGTGGTTCAATAATTTTAATATACATTACACATTTGAGAACATCTACGCCCTCACCAATCATCGGAGGGAAGGGCGTGAATGCACTAGACTACTAAGAAGAAGGAGATACGCCGTGCAAATATAATCTACGGTCTATCCAAGGGAATGGCATCTGGCTCAGTGACTGCCTCTACGCCCTTCGGATTCCACTCTGATATTGCCTTGGCCATGACAAGGTTCAAATTGCTACGCGGTGCATTCTCGTCACGGTCCATTTTATTCCCGCAGTTGATGTCTGAACAGAGGAATCTCCGACCTCGTAGCTTCCCCGAAAGGCGCTTACACTTGAAACAGGCCTGTGTGCTCCACGCTTCACTTGGATGGACTGTTTGTCCACATCCACGAACAGTCTGCCGATGCCCCAACGTCTCTCTGAGTGTCGCATGCTGGAGCGTCATGAGAATTCGCTTGTTGAGCCGACTGAGCTGACCAACTCTCCTTTTCACTAGTTTTGGCACATCAAATGTGGGTAGAAGCACAATGTCGAACTTCTCGAGGAAGCTGGCCGTATGAATATGCAAGTGGTCGATCTTGTTACCAAGGCTGGCACGGAGTTTTTCGATTTCTTCAACGTGTTCCTCGCATACCCTCTCTCTCAGTTCCTGTTTTTGTTTGGGGATCACATCACGTAGCTGACAAGCGTGGGAAAGAAGGCCATCTCCAATGGTATCCTGAAAGTCCCTCTTGAAGATATCGCCGTCTAACAACGATTCGAGTGCTATGGCGTGAGCTCTCCATTTCTTCATCCGAGCATCGACCTCTTCTCTCAACTTCTCAATGTCAGGAACCCTCTCCAACATTTGACCAATGTGAGATTCGATCTTGTCCATCTTGCGGAGGGCCGGTGTGATGTATTCTGCGGATGGTCTACCAAATAGGATTGTGTCTCCATATGAAGTATACCCGACCATAAACTTCTTGATGCCGGGATCGATGGAGATCATGGTCGGTAGACCAGGTATGGTGCTCCACGGCGTCTGCGTGTTCTGCTTTCGACGCTTGACCCAAACATTCCATGTTCGCTTGACCCCTCTGAATGCTTCCGGGTCTAGGTCAGGGTCAAACTCCCATGGAATATAGTGTGTCTTTTGGCTGATAGCAGCCAGCCTTTTCAGGTAGAGTGCCTTGTACCGTGCACGCCTCGGGGATGTTGATGGGTATCTTTTTCCTGCTTCCAGAATCCGTTGGTCTCCGTCTTCAATTGCCGGTGCAAGTGGAAGTTCGATCGCCGGTATGGGCAGCCTCTGCAGGGAGAGAGTGGCTTTCCACTGCCCCTTGTCATCCCGCGCATTCCGTGTCAGGTACAATGTCCTCCATTCGTAGTCGATATCTTTTCCTTGATAGCCACCCATCACGGATCTCTCACACGGGAATGGCAGCACATATCCACGTTCTCCGAATTTGATAATGTAGTCACTTGACCTCATCTCGTAGATGGTCAGCCTGCGGATGGTTGTTCTGTGCCGCCCGGGTATGGCATTATCTCGCATGCTTTGCCCACGCCCCAAAGTCGTCCTCAAGCCCTCACTGGTCTTCACAACCAGATCCAATTTTGCTCTAAAATCGACGGTGAGCCTCGCCTTGTTCCAGGCCTGACTCCCAAAGTGAAGGGCCGTCGAGTTGGCAACAAAGAAGTGCTTGGCGTACAATCTCGTCATAATGGACTCAAGATCTGTCAGCCGTTTTGTGGTTTCTAGGAAGTTGCTGGCGTGGGTCGCAAGTCTGGTTGTCATCGCGCCCAGGTCGGGGCCTCTGACTGTGGTGCCAATGATTTTCAGACCATGGTGCTTCGACAGTGCAACCTGCAACTCCACAATCGATTTCACGCATTCAATGCGTAATTTTTGCACCAGGCTCATGTCCAGTGTCGCTCTCAAATCCACCGTCTCTTTTTTATCCACGATGTCTTGATTTCGTTTACTGGCTCGGCCTGGATGTAGAGTCCAGACAACAGATTGTGCAAGGAATGCGATTGCGTTCTCCATTTTGACGAGTTCCTTTCGACGATTTGCAGAGGGATCAACTGACTCTTCCGCTTCGGGTGTTGCCTCGACCGCTTCGTTGTATGGGTATGGCAGTGACCCGTGTGTCAGGGCGTCCAACACAAGAATGAATGTTTTATAGGCTGCCGCGCCTGGATTCCTCTGCCCGTAACAGGTTCCCTTGACCATTGCCCGATTCTTAACCGTCTTGCGGGAAAGAAGGAATTTCAGAGCAATCTTCTGCTCTGCCGTCACTTCCATTGTGACCGAGTGTTTTTTAAGAACTGCGGTGGCTTGCTTGATCGTCAGAGACAGTGTGATGGAAGAGGTTTGGGTGGTGGTGGTGAGATCCAGTAAGTCGTCCGCCGCCCGCTTCCATTCGTCGCCCGTGTGCGGGAGCTCCACGTCTACCGTAGGATGGTTCTTTGAGGATAATTCTTCTACCGTCACAACTTTGTTCGGTGTGGTGGCACAGATCCGAAAACATTGCGCCTTCCGTTCCCACAGAGCCTTGAAGTTCTTCTTGCCGCCTGTGCCATCAGGTTCCCCATAAATACGATCCAGCTCAGCGGTATCCTCTGCACCGACAATCTCCATTGCCTTGGCTTTGTTGTCTGTATCATCCCAATTCAAAAGGTCGATAAGGTGGTGGAATATGTGCTCGCATAGTAGGGCCTTGTCGTTCCCCTTTGCCCACTGTAACGATCGTGAAGGTGCAATCATCCAGCACTCTGCGGGCTCCTCCGAATCGCGTTCAGCCACCACTAAGAATGCGGGGGATCTCTCTCTTCTTCCCGTCAGATCCTTGATCTTGTCTACCAGATCCTCCACATTCAGCTCCCCGGCCGTCCGCACTTCCAGCCAGCCATTACGCTCATAAGGGTCGGCCCATTCCCTCCCGCGCTGTGCAAGTAACAACACGAGGCGGAATAATGCTGTTTCCGCAGCGGCAGGTGGCTTCTTTGAGAGGTGCTCTGCCCACGACCGCAGGAATATGAAGCGGTCTGGATCATCCACTCCATCTGCAAGATCCCACTGTTGTAGTGCCGTAAGAGCCAGCTGATGTGAGGCAGATGGACGCCCGAATGCAGTGAATATGCCGTTCACGGTTGCGTCCTTTGCCGAATAAATTGTGTGATTGGCGTTGACGGCATGCAGTATATCCTGCAAGCTGGCTATTGATGATGATGCAGAGGTATTATTCGGCGAACATCGAATGGTGCCGTCCTGAGCTACAGTGACGGTAGGTGCAGTCTGGTGTGCATTGAGAAATGCCATGGCACTGGTGAGTCCCGAGAACAGGCGCAGTGTGACCGCATGTAGGAATGCCATAATGCGATTGAGTTTCGCCACGTCCCTCAATCGCTCCAATGCAATCTGTTCTGTGAAGCCGCCTTCGTCTTCCCTCAATGCCTTTGCTTCCTTACTTCCAGATCCCATGCCGAGCCCTTCCATTCTACGCGCCCTCACAGTCACAGGAGCACTGATGGATCGAGCGATGAAGCCCGCATCCGCAAATCTGCTGCCAATCTCCCCGGCGGCACCTATGCGTGCCACCCCATGCTTTAGCCGAGTAACTTCCTCTGGGGTAATAGTGATCTCCTCCTGAAACGGCATGGTCTGAAATGCTTTACGACATAGCGACATATCAGATGAGCCCATCAACTCCTTCGCCTTCTTTCGATCTAAGAACTGATTCCCCCCGAGCCTAGCCTTCCAGAACTTCTTGATGTCCGGAAGATACGGCACCATCTGAAAAGGAAGCATCGTGTCGGCGTCCGCGACCAGCTGTTCCCATGCCTTCCACATGCGCAGGATGCGGAACTTTGGTCGGAGGTGTTGGTAAAGGCTTTCATGGAGATCCGCGGCTCCCCACTGCGGTATGAAGCCCAGGACCCGTGCTTGCAACTCCGTAAATGTGCGAACAATCAAGGCCATGATTCTCCGTAACGTCGCGTCGTCTGCAAACTTTGTGCTCTTCCCCTTTCTCTGACGCGGCTTGTAGTTGTGGAGGATACCATCGATATGGAGCACATCCCCCATGTGGCGAGCAAGAAGCGCGGGGTGGAAAAGGGGGATGATGGTGACGGGTCCCGTTGACGGGTCAAATATGTGCTCGGGCAATGCGGAGTTTTCGCTTTGAATGTAGTATCTCTCTCCAAAGTTGTATGCTACTGATCGCCCATATGTCACAACAATCTTGACATCCAAGCCGGCGATTTTGCAAAGAAGGAGGGCCGTGCTGTTCAGCCCTTTCATAACTAATGGGTCGATTCCGGGTGCGGGTGGTGTCGGCTCTGATGAGGCCGGAACGGCAAACGTGACATGACGTTTTTGAGCCCCGGTATACTGCGATGAAGTGTCGGGTCCAGTTGGCTCGCATCCCGGGGGAGTCTCTGATGGCGGGGCATTGGATCCGGTAGTTGAGGAAGGTGGGCCACCCCCGCGTACGCTGTTTCTGGATTCGGCGGGCTGAGTGGGCTCGCATCCCGACGAAGTGGATGATGGCGGGACATCTGATCCGGTAGTTGAAGAAGGTGGGCCACCCCCGCGTACACCACTCCGAGATTCCCACCTAGGTTCCGTCGGCTCGCATCCCGACGAAGTGGATGATGGCGGGACATCTGATCCGGTAGTTGAAGAAGGTGGGCCACCCCCGCGTACGCCACTCCTAGATCTGAGCCTGCCCCCGCCTACGCCACTCCTAGATTCCCACCTTGGTTCCGTCGGCTCGCATCCCGACGAAGTGGATGATGGTGGGACATCTGATCCGGTAGTCGAGGAAGGTGGGCCACCTCCCGCCGGTCCAATGCGGTGCGACGGCATCCTCCCGATGGACGACATCCTAGTTGATGTAGTGGCAACTGTATTGTTTGGCGTGGAGGGGCTCCCGCTGTCCTCACATTCTCGTTCTTGTATCTCCTCATCTATCGTTCCTGGTTTGGGTTCCGGTAGAACATCTTTACCGCGAGGGTTATTACCGGGATGGCGTTTGAGGGCACTGCAGTACCAGGACTGCTCGAGTAACAGATGAACGACGTGATTCCCAGGCTTGCACAAACCAATATGCTTTGGAGCATCCGTAAACTTCTTCAGAAAGCGTCCAGTAAACGTACGCTTGTTGATGCCATATTTAGCTTTGACTGGGCAGAACAGCATCTCGATGACAGTCGGTAGCATCGGTTGGGCGGGAATGTCCATTCTCAGGGCATTGACAGTCTGCAAAGTCCGTGCAAACGGAAATGGAAACCCGAGATGCCTGTCGATGAGGGCGCATGCTTCTTCGATCTGCCCCTCTTCAAGTTTCCTCAGCTCCAATTGCAACTCGTGTAGCATATGGATGGCGTCCGGGTGCTTGACAAACGTCCAAAAGAGTGGTGCATATCGCTGACATTCCATGGGGGACGGGACAAGACCCTCACCATCCAGGCATTGCAGCGTCCCGCCCATTGTGGTGAAGTCTGCCAGGTTTTGTGATTTAAGGTTGTATATGTGGGAGCCCTACGACGGGCGTTTGGTCAGTATTGTGGGAACACGCGTCAGGTATATGAGATATGAGACTAACCTCTGGCTCGGTGTCGGATGGCACTTTAGTACTTTCAAGCCGTGCCCGCTTGGCAGCTGCATGCCTCTCACGGTCCCGTTGGTTCCGCTGAAGGCGCTTTTGCTTCTGGTCCTGCAGGGGTCCGTAATTGCACATTAAATTACTTGCAGAACGCCCCCCTCCGACCATTCAACCAACCTGTGGCTCCTCGTCAGATGTATTAGCGGAATCCGTACCCTGCATCTCCTCAATGGCACTGGTGCTGAACCCCGCCTCTGCGTCAGGGTTCGTACTCTCAATCCATCCCCGTTTACCCAGCGCACGCGCACGCTGGTCCCGTTGGCGCGTGTTTCTTTGAAGACGCTTCTGTCTCTTGTCCTAAATATGTTCGGCATATCAGCAAAACATGTCAATGGAACATAACACAACCACAATCAGGCAACTAACCAGTGGTTCATCATCCGAGGTCAAACCGGTACCGGGCATATCCTCATTGGCAGGAACGTTGATATCAGTGAAATCCATCCTGTCGTCGTCGCTTCCTCCAACGTCGGATTCGGATTCGGATTGAATTGCGTCGGAATCAGACAATACCATTGCAAAGTCTGAACCAGGCTCAGGTGAAATGGACCGGGTTTGTATTTCATCGGGTTCTTTGCCGTTGCCCATGTCAAAAAGATGCCGTAGCTTGGTGTCTGCGGCACGGCGCTTAGCTCTACAGGCGTTTTCAGGTTCTGTGTCGGAACTTACGCGGCGCTTCTTCGATGCTTTCGTTGCGCGATACCCGCGCACTGTTTCCCACCCATCGTCCACATTGTCCAAGGCTTGAATGGGGTCCCCAGTGCTTTTTTTGACCAGCACATCGTAGTGATTCCCATCAAAGGTAAGGAAGTATGTGCTGGCCGCAGGTCCCATTTCCGGCGTGACTTTATGGAAGTAGTAGCCTCCACCTCCATCCGTTGGGGCAATGAACACACCGAAGTTGACGAGGTAAAGGTTGGCCAGTGCACCCAGCGTAAGGTCTCGTCCCCACACGCCACCCCTCCCCATGTCCTCAAGAAAATGCTCAAAGCTCAGCGGTTGACCGTCCCCTTGATACCCTTGATCTTCTTGTTGAGTGGCAAGTAAGGTCCTGTCAAACGCATTCCGATAATTAAGCCGTCCATCAGCCTCCGCCTCCATATGTTCAATGAGCGCTCTTCTGACGTCGCCGTGTTGCTGTTGGTTGCTCCACAGGCAGAATGCAGCCGCGCGAAACTGGCAGTTCCCATCCCCGATAATCCCTAGAGGGCCGCTTCCCCGCGGTAGCGGAAGCCGCACGGCACCGGGATTGTGGCTTGACATGTCGGTGAGGGCGTATTATCGGAGTTCGACGGCGGTTGGGTGAGGGAGGTGAGGGAGAGAGGTGAGGGAGAGAGCTAGCGTCAAAATTCGACAGCCTCTGACGGAGGAAAGTCTCACGCGCATGCTTACCTCACAAACAAACATACAGTATCTAACAGTGGAATTACACCCTTCTGGTACTGGATTTGCATTCTGATAACACTGGCGCTTGGCACAGTTGAATCTTGCTTTCCCTGCAGACGTGCAGGTCGCGAGTTCAATTCCCACTCCCAGACAACTTCTTTGTTCAGATTATGACCCCTGTCGCACTCGGTGCGGCGTGGTAACTACTGTCGCGCTCGGCGCTTCGTGGGTGTTAACTGAACAGCACAACTACAATAAGTACCGCAACAGAAAGAGCTACCTTGTCCAATCCTCAAGTCCTTATCCAAGTTATTGACGGGATGCCTTTTTAGATGTATATGAACATGAACATGTACATAGCGCTTGTGGGTCTTTACAATGTTTTGTTTGCTCATGCATACGTATGCATATGGGAACGTTTATGCATCAATATATGCGTAAATATACGTAAGTTCGTTCTAAGTACGCAGTTTGCATTATGCATGCATAAACGCATGCATAAATTGGAACGCGTGGCCCGTAGTGTCTAGATCCGTGGGCTGTTGTTGGCTTTGCGCACGTTGACTCGCGCGGAAGGTTGTTATTGGCTGTTACTCACTCATGTACTGTACAGATAACGCTGCGAGGATAACAGGTGAGGCTCACGCTCGCAGGGCTGTGGTTTCGGGAGCGGTCATCGATTTCACGGAAGTCGTTGCAACTCTCAACGTCCTCCCCTGCGGTACGTACATACGTAAATACTTAAACATCCTTCCCTACATCCTCCCCAGTGCCTGTGCACACACAACCGATGTATCATCGCCTCCTCCTCACCGATACGGCATAAAGCAAACCCGCTACCTTACAAGCACAACACCGCGACGGCTCCTTCTCTTTTCTGAATTCAATTCTTAACAACAGGTGGGCGAGGCGACTGACAGCACCGCGCTCGCAGTTGCCGTTGACCAGCATCTGACCTGACCTTCCCGTCTCATAACAGGCATATTCCCAGCATTATGAGCGACTTTGACGATTATGACCTGGACTTTCAGTCAGAACCGGAACTGGAATTCGATGTGGAAGACAAAGAGGCTGGCTGGGAATGGGAGGATAAGGCGGAAGACAAGGAGGAGGAAGAAATGATTGGAAAGGCACTGGAAGCGGCTAAAGCTCTCAGAGAAGAGCACGCAGAACAGAGGCGGATTGAAAAGCTGTGCTGCGAGAACCCGGGCGACGCCGAGCTAGACACCCTGCGGCCAATCCAGACCGATGCGGATCTCCAAAGGGAGTACACACGGTTTAACGAGTTCCTCTTTGAGTACAACCAGCTCACCACCAAGGTTGACGTCACGTGGTGGAAGAACATGACGTACCAGCCGGGAAGTTGTGGAGAGCACAGGAACGGGAGTGGGCACTATATCCATCTCAGCGAGCCAATCATGAAGAAGAAGCCCCGGGTGGAGATTGTGGGGGTCTTGCTGCACTGGCTCCTACACCTCTGGATCCAACTGCACATGAAGAGACCGCCCATGGATGACAAAAAGAAGAGGCATAAACACCAATTCCACTCGGCGGTGGAGTGGGTGGAGGCGAGGGTCGATATTGAGATCCCAATCTCCCACAACATCTATGCTAAGGACGCTGCGGAGTTGCGTGTTCACAAGTGGCGTTGTACAAGGTGTGGAAGGACCTACTCCTCGGCACGGAATATGGCGCCGAGCAAGTTGAAGGATGAGGGCAAAGGGTGTAGCCCTTATGCGGCGTGGCACAAAAAGAAGTGCGGCAAAGCAGATGCCTTTGTGAAGACCGCGGATAAGACAGGACCTCTTCCACTCCCCCCAGGAACCAAGTGGGTATTTGGCATAGTAAAAAGCATACGTTTGCCCAGCGTCTAACCAATCGGTTATCCCAACAGATTCCCAGCCACCGATGCGGAAAAGGAGAGGGCCAGGGAGAAGGGGAAAGGAAAGCGGACCGCGGAGGAGGAGAAGACAAGCGGAAAGGACAAGAAGCAGAAGGCCACGGCAACGACTGGCCCTTCACAGGCTGTGACCGACGGAGTATATCATGAACGGCAGCGGAAACTGCTTTGCGGATTGCATGCGGTCAACAATGTCCTCCAAGGTCCAATATATACTCAAGCAACCATGAACAACATCGGCCGCGCACTGGACATTGAGCGTGGAACAACACCCGCACCCGGAGCCCGAAGCACGTACTGGAGCCCGGATGGCAATTACGATGTGGGCGTCCTGGTACGAGCCTTTTCGAATCAAGGCTTGCAAATGGCACAACTGGCGATCAACAACACCTCCACCCCCGCGGACACTGAGAATGCCTTCATAGTGTACCACAACCACCATTGGGTGGCATACCGTCGTGTTCGTGGCGTGTGGTATAACCTCGACTCCCTTGCACCTACCCACCAGCGGATGGGCACACAAGAGTTGGTAAGTGCTATTTTGAGGGCACCTTTCTATGATTGAGAGGTTCTTTCAACCATACCTGATGCTGATTGTGATTTCACAGAATCACTTGCTTCGCAGGTTGGCCACACGTGGGTTTTATGTTTTCGCGATTCGCGGCGCCCTGCCTACGGCCGCTGCCACTGGTGCTGCCGCCGGTCCTTCCGCTGCCGCCGGTCCTTCCGCTGCCGCCGGTCCTTCTGCTGCCGCCGGTCCTTCCGCTGCCGCCGGTCCTTCTGGTGCTCAGTAGGAAGAGTTGGGTGCAAGTTAGTGGAACACGAGGGAAGAGGGTATTGCAGAAGTATCTCCATTATCACGGCAGTATTGTGCAGTATTGTGCAGTAGAAGAAATCGGCAGTATCATGGCAGTATCACAGAAGCAGCAGTATAGCTTTATAGATCTGACACTGCCTCCGGCTTGCTATCGTACTCTTCATCCTCCCAGTTGATTATCATGTTGTTTGGCGGTAAGGGTGCAGTTTAGTGGGTTTTCCGCGCGTAGCCCACCGGATCCCAGAACCCACCAAACTACACTCAAAAAAAAACCCGCCAAACTACACACAACCACTTCCTAGTCCTAAGCGGGCCTCTATCTCCTGTTCTTCCGAAATATCCACGTTCTCCCGCTCAATTGCTTCAGTGAATGCCTGGTCGTAGTCTTCTTCTGCCATTTCCAATTGAAATTCCTCGCGATCTTGGGGACCAAGGGTACTCCTCTGCAGCGCGTAGGGTGGGGCTGGAGAACTGCTCCATGCTGGGCGTGATTTTGGGTTTGGAATTGCACCGGCTAGGGTGATTTTGGGTTTGTAAATGCGAGATGGTGGGTCAAACGCGCGCGCAAGCAGTGTACAGTACTGTAGTTTGGTGGGCTGTGGACGCGCAGTAGAAGCAGTGTACAGTACAACGCGCGGAATTCAAAACTTGTTTCAGACGTTGCGAGGATATGTTTTTCCCCGTGACTTCACATTGTATAACCGTGGAAGAGGATATCACACATGAATTTACGCACCTGATCTCGTTTGACGTGATTTTCTTAACTGTTTCAAGCTTGAGAGGATGCAGATATTATGACGTGAGACAGCTGTGAGGAGCACCATCAGAGCTGTTAGAAACAGATGTGGTATGGACATCAGGGGCCAAAACTCGCTCACGACGTGTTGGACCAGTTGGGGTTGTACGTAGTTTGGTGGGTTCTGGATCGGGTGGGTTACGGGGGCAAAACCCACTAAACTGCACCCTACGTAGCCGAAGTGCGCGGTATATATAATAGCCCTAACTGTAAGCTATTCGCGCATCTGTAACCCTAACCCTAACCCCTTAAATGCGTTGCCTGGCGTCATTGACTAGTCTCAGTCTGGTCTTATGTCCCTAACCCTAACCCTAACCCTAACCCTAACCCTTATAAGCCGTTACTCTAGGGTTAGGGCGTAACCCTAACCCTAACCCCTGTAGATCTAAGTTATGTTGTGATGATAAAGGACGAATGGGGCGGGGCTTCTTCTGCTTCAGGTGCGTGTGATTGAATAGATTGGCGGGGGGACGTATAATTGACATTGTTGACATTGTTCGATGGTCCATTGACAAAGGCGTCAATGTCATGAACCAGGAACGTGGAGTAGAGTAGAAGGGACAATTCCCCAGTGGCCGAATACACCTCTCAGGGGTACACCTGATACATTTGCGGCGGCTGGAAAAACGGAAAAAGGAACCTCATGGAAGGCCAGTTATCGATCAACTTGGCAAGGAAGGCGGCGAATGACTTCCAAGGCTTTGAAGCCAAGCATAAAAGGAAGCGGCCGTTGGCATCCCCCCCCTTGTTTCTTCGGGGGAGAGCTCCCCATTGCATATACAACACAACCAACGGAGACCGCCAGGTATATACCCGCCCTATTCTTCATGAGCGTCGAGAGAGAGAACCGCAAGTCTAACCCATTCCTCTGTTAATACAGTATCAACCCACAGACCTCGCCTCATAGCGAGAAATGTGCACCGAATACGTGGCGTAAGGACCTCAGTTGTGGGTATGTATGACATTTGAGTGCCGCAGAGTGGTTGTCTTGAAACAATGGCTAATGGACGCTACTCTGAACTGGGAATAGGGATGTTCGCACTCGGTCTCGGTTGCCAGTCAAGGTCAATTGGTCAAGACAGAGAGTGAGCCAGAATTATGTCGTAGAGATAGTTCTGTGCGTTGGCTGTGGAAAACCCCCCCGTGCACAGCATCCTGCACGTATACCCATAGGATAGCATAGTTAACCCCATACAGTGCCGAAGGGCATGGGTTTAGTCAGTCTTGTACTGTACACCGGTGATGACGTTATAATCGCACTGCTGACGTGATGGACGCGTTTTGCTTCCGACGTCGAATTTCGACGGATGCCTGCGATAAGGGAACTCTTGATTTGCATCGCCCGTTCACAGGAGCTGTTGGAGGCATAGATTCTTTGCGTCAATCGCTAATTCAGTCCAATGTCCTTTCTCAATCTCGAGGACATCTCGTATCTGTCGCTGGCCGGGTTCACGCTGAATGTTGAGGAAAGGTCAGCACTTCGGTCGTCCCTCCAAGTGAAGAAGGACCAGGAAAAGCTGGATGAAATATGGCTGTGGGGAAAGGTTTTGGGGGTGCAGAGGGATTATTTAATTGCGCAGGCCGTGGGCGATAATCCGTTTGCCAGGAAGTTCTTCTACAGGTATGGATGATGTAGGCTGCAGAACGCTGAAATGTCTCGGAAGCTGATGAAGCATCTATCCTCTCCAGTATTGATCTAGTCAACTGGTTGTTGCTTCCGGAGGTGGCGCCCGCGGATGTTGATAAGGTCAATCAGATTGAAGGACGATTTTCTGGCGACCCGGCTTTCGAGTATGCTATTGGTGTGTCTCACTACTCCTCATTTGGAAGTTTTACGACGAGCCCCGTACTCACGCCGAAACATGATGGTCATAGCGGACAAAAGTCTACCGGATGGGGAGCAGGAGGCAACTGTGAATGAAGAGAAGCGTTTAGCGGCTACGGTGGCCTTGATTAACTACGAGACCGAGGTGGTGCCGCGTGGAAGTTACTACCGTGACAACCTGCACAAACTACGAAAGAACCCCGCTTTCGATGGTAACTTTAGCTGCTTTCGCAGATGCCGACATCGCACATCCGTTTATTGAACCTCATTGTAATCGATCAGGCATTCCAAGATCTGAGCTCGGGCAGCTTACCAACTACCTTCACTTTCGGGAGGGGTTCAACATCAACAGAAAGACACTACTCGAGCGAGCGGGCGCTTTTGACGAGAGCATTGATATCTTCGAGAGTATTTCCGGGGACAGTCCGAAAGGTGCGTGCCATCGCCACGCAAATGGCAAGCGCGCTTTGTACTGACGAAAGTCAATGGTGATCTCTCCAGGTGTCTGGTCATGCCAAACCGAGCGAATGGGGTCCGTTGTTATCCTGCGGAATCTGCTGTGGCCGGGCTATACATTCTTTCATAGCTCCAGTCCGTCTCGCTGGGGATCAATGTACTTTGGAACGGGGCAAAAGAACTTGAACGTTGGGTTCATGTTGTAAAGCGCAATAGATCATTCACATTCATTCAGTCACAATACATGGATTCAACGTGATTGTATCGGCACCTTTCTATTTGCTACATACTTGCTCTCAACTAGCGACTACAACTCCAAAAGCAAAGTCCTTCAATGGTCTTCCAGATTCCATACGTACGACCTATTCATCATGAACGTATCCTTCCAAAACCCCTTTTACCACACGGTCAAGAATCTCGCATACAAGGTGCTGGTTGAGTTCCCGATGTTGCAGCATATTGAACAAGCGTGTCATCCCGGTGACAGCATTGTACTTGCCGACAACCCGGGACACATTATCCAGACCCACCGTCGAGTGTATGAATAGATTCTTCGCCTCCCTTTTGATGTCTGCAGCGGTGGGTACTGGGGTATGCGCGGTAGTTGAAGTAGCGGACGATGTCGCACTCGTGGCAACCTTGTTCGCCTCTCCCGCCGTGGGTGAGCTCGTAGTTGCCTTGCTCGCCGGAGTTGCCGAGTCCGCTTTGTCGGCATCTACGCCGTTCGGCCGAGGTGAGGAATACCAGATCCCTTCGGGCCAGAACATGGTGTCCACCTGCGTGATGTACGCCGCAATGGTTTCCTCAGAGGTTGCAGCTGCAAGTTTCTGCTGCAAGGCAGCGGAAATGGTTGCCCCATATGTTCGTCGCAGGATCGTTTTGGCGAGATGCAAGCCCTTCTGCCGCATCCACTGCGCCGGGTCCGACAGTGCAAATACTTCTTCGACTGTTCCGAAGATGCATTCCAGTATGGTCTCAACCTCTCCCGGGGTCAGGATGGGTTTCGCCGCGGTATTAGACGCTTTAGGGTTCAGCGGCCGGCCAGGACTAATATTGGGCGTGCCTGAGTTGGTGGGCGGTCGAACAGGCGAAGAGGATCTGTTTGTCGGCATGGACAAGACGGTAGAGGTGGCCGTTGTCTCCGAGTACTGGGTCGCTGTGCCATCGAGCGACGTGCGACCTTCTTCTCGCGATGGTCCTAGCTTTTCTTGCGTTTCGCCCACTATCTCCGAGAGAGGAGCTAAAGTCGCCAAATCTTTGAGGGACGAAGCCCGCTCCGGGATGCGTGCATGTTTGTCTTGAGGAGTCGCCAGCTGGTCGAGGGATGTAATGGAATTCCGTGCTCTAGGTAAAGTGCTGACAGCGCTATCAGCGGCCTTCATGACCCCTTGTGCGACACCAGTAACCGCGGCGTTAACCTCGCCGGCCACAAATGTCGCCGCACGCAAGGGGGTAGCCACCGCCACCTTTCGTAAAAGACTGCCAGCTGACTTGAAAGTCCCGAATACTTTCGATGCCGCCTGCGCCCTGGCGGTGCTTTCCTCTCGCTGCACATTCTCAGGCTTCAGGAATTCTTGCAGCGTCCCCGACTCGCAGATAGCAGCGTCCGGAATCACCATTCCCGCCCAACGCTCCAAGTCTCGGGCGACTTCATCCCGATTCTGCTGACTTCTAATTCGATTGCGCTTCGGAAAGGCAGCCTTTCGGATTTTCGGAAAGAGGGGGAGGAGTTCATCGTTCAGAGACACGAAGTCTGAATATGACTTAGTTACCATCCACCCTCCACCGTTCAATCGCTCGATCTGAACGATGAATTGGATGCTTTTGGGATCCATTCCTCCTCCAAAGGGAAATATATTCTTTTCACCCGTATCCAGTTCCGGATTCGTGTTATCGAAAATGTTAATTTTGATATCGCGGAGATCAACGGCTAGCAGAGTCTGCTGTTCCGCTTGGGTCACGAGATCCGCCAGTTCTTCCACTTGCGTCTGCAGTTGCAGTTTCGTACTTGCAAGATCAGCTAGTTGGTCCGGGTCAGTGGACCTTCGCATAAGAGCATCGACGTGCGACACTTGTTCGCGGAGATTATCGATAACGCTTTCAACAACGCTGATATCCCCAGTGTTTTCGTTTTCGAGCTTTTCCAGAGCCATAGCGGCAGCATGGATTGACTTTGCTACTGTGTCCTCTGCGTCGGACTCGACGGGCTTACCTCCGGCCAGGCCTTCAGCGTCGCCTACGGCTTCAAGCACGCTCAGGGTTGGCACTCTGTCATTGAACGTTTCCAGTCCATTCACCTTGCTCCCCACACTGGAGGAGGTACTAGTTTCCGAAGCCTCCGATGCCCGCGATCGAGAGCTCGCCGAATGGTCCATTTCGATTCCATCGTTTGCGGTGTACGGCTTAGTAGCAGCGTCCGTTCCCCGGGCAGGGGAGGAGGCTGCCACAGACCCCGGATTTGATGCCTTCCCCGGCTGCGCATCCAACTGCTCAGGAACCTGTTTTGGCTCAATGTCGAGTTGCGCAAGGTATCCCTTGAATTGTTCACTCTCTTTGAAACCTTCTAGGTATCTGTTCCTGATAATATGCAAGATTTGCGTTTGCACAGGCTTCAGAACATCCGCGTCCGGCTTCTCCGCAACTGCTCGCGTAACTTTTGCAACCATCTCCGGAGCTTGCAGATCGACGTAGTCCGGAGATTTCTTGTCCAAGAACCGTTCCAGAACGGATTGAGCATCCGCTCTGAGACTTTCGCAAACCGAGGCCTCAGAGTGGGCCGGCTGACCAGTCAGCTCCAACTGCGCGAAGCGGTTGTAGGAGTCAATCATAATAAACAGCTGGACATATTTGAATGCCTTGATGGTGTTCATGTATTCCATGAATTCCACCAGTGCATGGTTTTTGATCAGGATATCGTCGGGGCTCAGGTCGCTCTTTGTGATTGGGGTGGATGCTCCGGTGAGACTGTCGATGTCCACCACCTCTGGGGCCGACAGTGTTACTTCCAACGCTAGCTCGGCGTTGGTAACGCCGGCGAACCGCGTTTCCGATGTGTCCACCTGTCGCCAGCCTTTCAATGGCTGGGTGGCCGAAAGAGCGTTGAACGGGATGTATACGCTTCCAATTATATCATCTGCGACTTCCAGTCAGTCCTCTGCGATGTGCAATGCTTTGTGCCACGGCTTCTCAACCTACCCTTGATCATCCGACTTTCCACAATGTCAATAACAATCCCGTCGACACCGCTAGTCTCTCCGCCTTTCCTATGACTGCTCTCCTCGTAAGCCACCACCGTGAGTAATGCAACTAACACACGTTCCCACACTCACAATTGGAACTCCTCCATCCAGATTGGACTTGATTCCGCGCTGATTCGGCGAGTTTTCTGCACTTCTGTTCCACACAACACCGAGCAATATAGCTCGTTCATCCCAGCTATCGGCAGTCGTCTTGCCTCAAGAACTGCTCACCCTTAGCCCCAATCGGTGACATTGAAGTAGCATGCGGTACGCACCTTTCACGCACACCTCGGTTCCCGCAGATTGGCTTGTCTTTACGTCGCTCGTGCGTTTTCGTTCCGCCTGCTTCCTCTCAGCCTTCTCCTGCGACTTCTTCAGGTAGTATACGATCTGCGCGTTGATCCAGTCCGGATTGCTACATAGATCCACGACGGGCAGAAGTACCGAAGTTGCGACTATTTCATGCGCGAATTCGAAAACGATCGGGGAACGGTCCGAGCGCCGCAGGAGCTTTACGCAAAGCAACATTGACAAGCCGCGTAAATGCTCTATCACCTTCCGTCTGGTAAAGTGGCGATTGAAAGGAGACGATGTGTTCCTAGTCAGGTACTTTTCGATATCCAGGGAGCTCGCTTCGAATTCGCGGTATTCTCTCTATAGAAAAAGTAACGCATGTGAGCAATCTACCTCCGCTCAGAACTGCACCATTGTGTTGAGTTTTCACCATATGTAATACGGCACTACGGCACATTGGCACAATGAACTGCGACGTCAGGTTCACGTTGCCGAGAGCCGTTCCAAATTCAATACAAGCGTGATTCAGGCTTGTCTGAACGGCTTGGGGGAAGGCGGGACTTCCAGAGTGATTGATGAGGGAAAACCAGTTCTCAATGAAGTCCCGGGCAACATGTCCAATGAGTGTATGGAGCGCAGAGCTAACGGATGGGGGTAGATTCCGCTTTCCCTCGTCAAAGCTAGAACTCTTGTCCGCCACAGATCATTAATGAAGGCCGACTCAAAGCGCAACCAAGACGGGATCGATACCTTATGCTCGAAAGGATGGGGTATCTCTGGCTGACTCCGCGACGAGCGGCGTAGAAGGGAATGATGAAAGACCCCTCTGGAAGACTCTGCCCAAACCATGCCCAAGAATACGGGTACGCCAAAGCCCACTGCAATAACAAAAAGCCGAGGAGACAACACAAATGCCAGCGCCAGGAGCGACAAGTTGTCTCCAATAGCGGGCGGTAGAGCGTCCCGCAGCTGTTGTCCTTTCTCTTGAGCGAGTTGCAGCGTGGTTTTCCTCCCAGTGAGCGGTTCCTCAAGTGGCTGCAAGCTTTGGACCATGTCAGGATGTGCTAGTCCGCTGTCCATGGGAGAAATTAGAGTCGTGATTGCTTTTCCAACGGAAAAAGTGAGTTCCTGACGCCGATAGGGATTTCGTATGTGTTCCGATCGACTTTCCCTGTCCAAGGGTGGGAATCTTTCAAGAGGGTGACGGCTACTATGCCGCTCAACGCGTGACGCTTGTGATTGCTTTTCGCAACGGAAAAAGTGAGTTCCTGACGCCGATAGGGATTTCGTATGTGTTCCGATCGACTTTCCCTGTCCAAGGGTGGGATGATAGAAAAAGTAACGCATGTGAGCAATCTATCTCCGCTCAGAACTGCACCATTGTGTTGAGTTTTCACCATGTGTAATACGGCACTACGGCATATTGGCACAATGAACTGCGACGTCAGGTTCACGTTGCCGAGAGTCTATGCTATGGGTGGTGGCTGGGGAAAACAAGTCTCGCTTGCAGTAAGCACTACTAGTGCCACCTGAGGAAAGGCATTTGGTTGATATTCGTATTCCACCGAGTACAACAATCCTACCGGGTTGGAATCCTACGCTCGAAGGACAAGATTCGAGCTGTCGATCGAAGCGAAATCGAACTCTACAGGAGAGGGCAGGAAGATATCGCCCGTATCGTACGCCAAAACAGACAAAGCGCTTTACTGGGTCAGAGCGCCGTCAACCCTGACTATCGCCACTTAAACTTTTTCAAGGTGGTGCAGAACGTAATTTCCAGGCTACAAAAATGTCGGGGCTTTGAGGCCAACTATGCTTCGCTACCTATTCTAATGAATGTCAAACGTAGGAGGAGGATAACCGATGCACCTATGGGTCCCTCTCCAAGTGCTACTCGGTGGAATACGAATATCAACCAAATGCCTTTCCTCAGGTGGCACTAGTAGTGCTTACTGCAAGCGAGACTTGTTTTCCCCAGCCACCACCCATAGCATAGAGTGTGGCTACCCGGCCCGAGGCGGTCACTGTTGTGGTCGCAGCTGTGTTGGTCATTGTAACAACGCGAGTGGTCGGCTGGGCAGTGGCTGTAGTGGTAACGGTCGCCGTCGAAAGTGTCTGCGTGATCGTAGCAAGCGATAGTGTTTCAGTCACCGTGGAAAGAGTCTGAGTGACCGTCGAGAGGGTCTCGGTCACCGTGGAAAGCGTGTGGGTGACTGTAGCTACGGCCAGTGTCTCAGTCACCGCGGCAGTAGACAGAGTCGACGTCTGAGTGACCGTAACTGGGGACGGTGTGAAAGTAGTTGTCTGAACTTCCGTGGACGTCACTGTAATCGTGCTGACCGGTACGGTCGAGGTGACCGTATCAGTTTCGTGGACAGTCGTCGTGGCGCTCGATGTCTCGGTTTTTGTGGTAGAATCCGTGATGGCCTCCGTCTCGGTATCTGTGACGGTATCCGTGGCGGTTGTCGTCGTGGTCGACTCGGATGTAACGGTAACCTGAGCCGCCGTAGTCGAAAACGTAGTCGTCTCGGTCTGAGTAACATCGTGAGTCGAAACACTCGTTTTCGTGGTCGTGATAGATTCGATGCTTGTCTCGGTAGTTGTCGCTGTTGCGGTCGTGGTTGATTCGGATGTGACTGTGATCGCCGCCGCTGTAGTGGAAAAAGTAGTTGTCTCGGTCTGAGTAACGTCGCGGGTTGAGACAGTAGTTTTCGTGGTCGTGTCAGATTCGGTGCTGGTCTCGGTTGACTTTTCGGTAGTGGTCATGGTCGCCGTCGTGGTCGATTCAGATGTGACAGTGATTGCCGCCGCTGTAGTGGAAAAAGTAGTTGTCTCTGTCTGAGTAACGTCGCGGGTTGAGACAGTAGTTTCCGTGGTCGTGTCAGATTCGGTGCGGGTCTCGGTTGACGTTTCGGTAGTTGTCGCGGTTGCCGTCGTGGTCGATTCGGATGTGACTGTGATCGCCGCCGCTGTAGTGGAAAAAGTGGTTGTCTCCGTCTGGGTGACGTCGCGGGTCTTGGTGTCCGTGGTGGTCTCAGTGGCAGTGGCTGTTGCGGTAGTTATCTCGGTTTCTGTGTTGGTATCTGTAGTGGATGCGGTAGTCGTCTCGGTGTCCGTGGTGGTCTCAGTGGCTGTGGCGGTAGTGGTAGCAACACTGATCGACAAGCTGACGGTGGTTTGAGTGGCAGTGGTAGATTCAGTGACGGTAGCCGTTTCCGTCTCCGTGTCGGTAATCGTGGTGGATTTGGTGCTCGTGTCGGTAACGGTACTAGCGGGCGCCGTAGTTGTGGTAGTCGATTGGCTGACTTCTACGATTGTAATAGCTCCCGCGGTGGTGGTGCTCGTAACCGTGGTTGGCTCCACGCTGACGCTAATCGAAGTGACGGTGGAGTAGCTCGTGTAGTAAACGTTATCCACTTCAGTTGATATCAGGGTCTCGGTGCTGGTCAAGTATTCAGTATCAATGTCAGTTTCAGTCGACACCGAAAGAGTTGTTGTCACCGATGTCACCGTTGCAGTCGACGCTTCCTGCGTCGTGGTCGTTGTCGCGGTTTCAGTAGTAGTGGCGGTGGACGTTGCGGTACTAGTAGCCGTGGCCGTGGAGACGCTCAGCGAAACCGAGGTCGAGATTGTCGTGGTCGTCGACGTGACTGTCGACGCCGGGGCCGTAGTGGTTGTAGTGGATGTCACCGAAACGAGGCTTGTAGTAGGGACCGTAACCGTCGATGCGGGAGCAGTTGTGGTGCTGGTAGCCGTGGAAGTGGAGACCGAAAGCGAAACCGAGGTTGAGACTGTTGTGGTCGTCGAAGTGACTGTCGAGGCAGGAGCGGTAGTGGTTGTTGTGGATGTGACTGAAACGAGGCTTGTCGTAGGGACCGTAACCGTCGATGCAGGAGCGGTGGTGGTGCTGGTAGCCGTGGAAGTGGAGACCGAAAGCGAAACCGAGGTTGAGACTGTTGTGGTCGTCGAAGTGACTGTCGAGGCAGGAGCGGTAGTGGTTGTTGTGGATGTGACTGAAACGAGGCTTGTCGTAGGGACCGTAACCGTCGATGCAGGAGCGGTGGTGGTGCTGGTAGCCGTGGAAGTGGAGACCGAAAGCGAAACCGAGGTTGAGACTGTTGTGGTCGTCGAAGTGACTGTCGAGGCAGGAGCGGTAGTGGTTGTTGTGGATGTGACTGAAACGAGGCTTGTCGTAGGGACCGTAACCGTCGATGCAGGAGCGGTGGTGGTCGTGGTACTAGTGGAGGCGGTGGTGGTGACCGAGATCACTGTGCGTGTGGAAGCCGAAGCAGTTGTCACCGAGATCACCGTGCTAGTTGATGCCGGTGCCGTTGTAGTAGTCGTCGTGGTGGAAGTCGTGGAAGTTGTCGTCACCGGGAAGATATTCGGGGGGCAGGCCTGGATCATGTCTATCGTGGCATTGTAGAACAGCTTGGTCTTGGTAGCGGCATTCCCGGTCGAATCAAAAATGTCTGTAATCGGGAAGACACGCATCCAGTTGTTCCGCAAAAGCATCTTTGCTTGTAAGCTGTTTCCCAACGACGCCTGCTTGAGTGCCAAGTAGGTAGTGGAGGCTTCGAAGCCTGTGTAGTCAGTGTTCATGTAATTGAGATCGGGGTGACCGTACTGGTACACGGCGGTATTGGTGTTATATTGATCCGCCGAGGCGCTCGCTGAATTGGCAAACATGGCATTGTACCGGTTCCACGACGTTTGCGGGAGGGCCCAGCTAGCTTTGATCTGCATCGAAGGAACTAGCATGGAAAGCCTGACGTTGTTCGCATACAACAGCTCGGTGGTGTTTGTGATTTCGTCAATAAACGCCTGGTCCATCGACAAAGCGGAAGCAGAGTTACGATAGTACTGGTAAGTCGGAGGATCACCGTAGGTGGCTGAAGTTGTATTCCAGAACGTCTTGGGGCTGAAGTTAGGTTCCCAATTGGCTTGCTGGTTATCCCAAGAGCCGGTGTAGATGTCGGTGGAGTTTCCGTTGGTACCACAGTTTGCTGTGACGGCACTATAGGTTCCGGTGCGATTGGTATATGGAACGCTACAGAGACCACCAGTGCTTTGCACCATTCCCGGCTGCAGGTAGGACGACAAGGTCGGATAATCGGAGTCTTCGTCCGTAAACATGACAATGGTCTTTTGCGCGCCAACTGTTTCAAAAAGGGCGTCAGAAATCTACCAATGCTGGTCGCAGGCGTCCACATCGCAACGCCAAAACGAGAACAACTCACCTCGCCAGCGCAAGTAGCAATTCGCAGAGGTAGTAACAGTGTTATAAGACAAACAATCGTTTGTGAAATCAGCACCCTCGTTGCTGTTCAAGGCAACACGGATCGCTTCCAATCCGGCTTCCTGTCCATTACGACTGCATCCAATAGCACCGATTGACGCCGCAGTCACTGTAGCGTCGGTACTGAAAGGTTGGACCAGAGAAGGCCGTCCTCCGAACGCAGCGACTGCGAAGCGAACATCCGTCATATTTTTCGAATTGAGCACACTGGTGAAGGACGATACTTGTGCAGATAGAGCGTTTGTGTAATCACACTAGTTATGCGGACACATTTCATTAACAAAATCCCAGAACACATCGACTCCAACAGCCTCGACTGATCGACGACAACGAGACTCACCATACTGCTCGATCCGTCAACCAGGAACAATACATCCAACGGTACACCATTGCTCCCACCATAACAGGTCTGAGCGTTGACAACGGTTGCTGCAAGTCCAAGTCCCACAAAGGGCGCGGCCCATTTCATCCAAGTGTCTCTCATCTATCCTATGCGATCTATGAAGATGAATATGTGTTCCGGGTAGGTATGCTCTACTCTACAAGGTATGACCTATGCAGGATGTACGTCCTCTGTAGCTCACCGTTGGCGAGGTGGTATAAACTGGTATCTTTCGCCGAACGAGAAGCTAAGGAACGTACCGACGTGAGCCAGAACATGCGGCGTTCAGGCAAAGCTAGTATATGAGCCTGCCGACTCAGCCTTCAGTTTGCTGCTCATAGATTTGCAATCCTAGCCCTGCCAAACTTAGCAACGTGCAGGCTCTATTTCAGGCTCGCAAGGTTAAGCGATTGGTTTACATCGCTTTTGTTGCAACGGACAAAGCGTAAACAAGGCCCATTTCCGATGCCTCTCAGCGGAATACGACAGCGCGAGCTGCTCATGAATACGTGATTCAAGCTAACCCTAACTCGTACCCTAAACAGTCGCATTCATGCAGTCATTCTCCGGCCCATCTTTGATCTCTCTCGAATCTCCACGGCCGATCCCCAGACACCCTCCGCGACAGCTATCCTTTCGTGGTTTTTGAAGTCGCAATCGAGTGCTCTGCTTAGAAACTGTGCGTCTGTGTGCTTACAACCGCTGCGGGCTCCTTTGTTGATGCAAAGAAAATGGTTACAACTCTCGGTGACAATGCCAAGGGGGAGTTTTTGGAGACCGCCATCATATTGCAATTCGAGATTGGTATGTGCAACTTGTGCAACGTACAACAGTCGTCGAAGTCGTGCATACCCTCGTTGTTATGCACCCTGTGGAACTGGGAAGCAAAGCCGGTGGAAGATTGAGACTTCAAATACAAGGCTCTTGAAACGAGGAGACGACCGGAATGTCCCGCAAGGGGGAAGTTGGAGGAGGGGGTTTGGCGGCCACTGTCCTAACTAACCGGATGCTCCGGGCCTGCTACTTCGGCCATTAGGTAGAGAATTCGTGGACAACGTGCAGCCTGTGGCATCGATAGACTTCCACGCTTCGGGGGAACTATGCATTACGTCGTCTGGAGACGACTCGCTAAGGCTGTATGACGCAGTCAATGCCACGTAGGTGTTACCCCTCGGTGGTAAAAATACTCCAAAAGAGTCTTGGTGAAAGTCGATAATGCTTACCGGTCTCTCGATTCGCAAACTTTCTCAGGGCGAAAACGCATCTCTACAGCAAAAAATATGGTTGCAACCTAGCACGCTTCACTCACAGCCGGTCCAGTATCATCTACTCGTCAACGAAAGTCGACCATACCATTCGATACCACTCTCTGCATGACAACAGATATTTGCGATATTTCGAAGGGCACGAGGCACTGGTGGTAGATTTAGAAATGAGTCCGAATAACGACACGTTTCTGTCATCGTCAATCGATGGGGAAGTTAGGCTTTGGGACTTGAGAACGCCAAATTGCATGGTGAGGAAACTCCCGTCTCAGCGGGCCTTACCGCTGGTCGTCATGTCTCACCGCTTCGTCGTGCGTCGGCAGGGTCTAGCAAAATCGATACAAAGCGGACGCACCTCGGTTGCATTTGATCAGTCGGCAAAGGTTTTTGCGACTGTGGTGGGGAATAAGTTGAGATTATATGATGTGGCGCAATATGATGTGGTGGGTACCGTTCGCCGTTGCGAGGTATGTTGCATGAGTTCTCAGCTTTTCCGATTCAATAGGGTCCGTTTGGCACATTCGAGATTCCACTCGACTCAAGAAGCATTGTAACTGGCGTAGAGTTTGCGAATGATGGAAAAGACATCCTCGTTTCAACGTCGAGCGATACACTGTATCTCATCAATTCGTTTGCGAAAGCAAACGAAAACCCAGTGAAGTTCAAATTAAAGGGGCATTCAAACAAAAAGGGTGCACTTATTCGAGGAACTTTAAGCCCAGACGCAAAGTTTGCCTCTTGTGGTGCGTCACAAACCTAGTGCAGAGTCGCATATGAAACGTATGTCTTACATACTCCTTTGCATTCAGGATCCGATGATGGCACAGTACATTTTTGGGAAACTGAAACGGGAAAACATATTGCTGCCCTCAAAGGAACGGAAAGGGCCGACGGGATGAAATGGAATCCCAAGTATATGATGTTCGCGACCGCGAGTGAACAATTGGTAAGTCTACCCACGGCCAGCGGGTTTTTCCCAGCGACTATCCCGATTTCTGTCACCCGAGTTCTGCATGAGCGTTTGCGGACTTTTGTGCAGACCTCCAAGTGGAGGAAGTCGAATATCAACTCCATTCGGGGCTCGTCACTCGAGACGGCGGCGTGCTTCCGTGTTGCCTGTATCAATGTTCAAGTCGATACAGGCGATTTAGGAAGAACTTTTATCCGATGCCGCGGTTCTTGATATACGATGCTGTACATGTCATTTGATAGCACCGGAGCGCCGCGAGGATCCCCAGCTCCCCATCTCATGTATTCCTTGTTCTCCTCATTTTCCCGCATCAGGCTTTTTGGTGTCTCCCAGCGGACAGGAACGCATGAGGCGTGCGATCGATAGATTCGATACTGCATTGACGGTATCGCGAGATTTGGTTTGCTATCTCGCACAAGCTGCGGCGTAGCTCTATTTTGAATCTTCAGGAATGATGCAGTCTACGAAAAGCCCAACTATGTACAAATGAATGTTCCCGCAATACATCAGGCTGCCTTCCTGACAGACCCGGCGAGACGGTAGAAATGTGAAAAAGTCACGTTGGCTGGACTTTTGCCTTCGTTTTGCCGGTTCTCCGGCTACACCATCGCCAGCAACCTGGGCTAGAGCGCTTGATTTTGGGACGGTCGTCTTGTGGCCGAATACCGGGGACGGAAGTCGCGGTATTCACTGGTGGTATAATCTCTTCTTCGAGCAAGCGGTACACGCCGTACACCGGCTTATGGTCGCTGTCAAAAATGCTAGGGCAATCCGTGTATGCTTCGACTTCCACTGCACGGTTTTTGCCGGCGCCGAGGGGGGCCGGCAGATTGGTATCCAGCGACGACGGCTCGGCCCCGAGCAGCGATGCCGTCCGCAGCGGGTCGGGTGGGCGATGTTCAGTCGTTGCTCGTATGCTTCGTTTGGTGGTCAAAATACGAGTGGAAAAGAGGACTCGGTCTGTATAACTAGGCATCCGTTGTTTGCTTGAACTGTCATACCCAGGTGTGGGGCCGGATGCATCTGGTTCTGTAGTTGTCAAAGAAGAGGTCTCATCGGTTGTTGCCGTCGTCACGGGAGCCAGTACCGGCGTCACCGGAGTTCGTGGTGTTGAAGAAAGCGGCGTCGATGGCTGGGATGCCAAACTGAGCGGCACGTTGTATTTGAAAGTTGGCTTAAACGTGATCTCCGCTTCGGAGTACCCGGGGAAAATGATTCCAGATGTTTGAGCCTTTCTAAGCTCATCATGGATGAGGAATGGCTGACAAAATGGGTGTGAAGAGAGAGAAACATAATAAGTGGACTGTCATCGACAATGCCGTTGCAATGGGGAAGAGAGATGGACATCCTGGCGCTTACCCTGATGTCCGCCGGTTCCTCAGAAAGCAAGGCCCTCGCCCAAGCAGTTGCCCCTGGCCCGAAGTCCGCACGATAGTTAAGGTCTCCCATCCAGAAGATATAATCGAACCGTTGAGCGAGACTGAGTGGTTGGCCTGCTGGCACAAGATAGTCGATACGTCGACCGTCAGCTACCAGGTATCTTTTCAAGTCACATGTTTCCCGACCATTGCGCACCTTTTTCTAGGTTTTGATCGCCTGAGAGCAACGTCTCGTTTATCTTGTTCCAGTCGGCGTTACGCCGATCATATGCTGGACGCCCCTCATGCGCTGCAAAGAGATTACCGCAATTGAAGCCGTGTAAGGAGAGCGACCTGGTTGAGAAAATGAGCATTGAAAGACGACGTAAAACACACCCATAAGATGCGCATTTACAAATGCGACAGAACGACCCAGAAATCGAAACGACGCCCCGACCGCGCCTTTTGCGCCGTTCATGTAAACCTTCAGTTCGCTTGTTTGGATCGCTTGTATCTGGTCGATGTACGCCCTCTTCACGAATATTGCAAGATGTAGTCCCACTAGCGTCTTCGTCACCGCCAAAGCGTAATCCTCCTCCCTTATGTATCTTCGCATTGCTTTGATCCATTTCAATCGTTCTTTAGGTTGCCGAATCCCGGCGATCTCTAAGCGTTCCTCGCACTCCTGCGTTCCGATCGCTATGAGGTGGCAATCTTTTTGGGGGCCGATGGCCAAGAATGATGATAGATCGACTGTCCGGGACGGAACCCGCGCGTTCATATTCCATGTCCCTACAAAAAGACGAGGAGTCTCCCCACGTGGCTCAGGCGGCGACCGGGGCGTGTTGTAATGGAAATGTGCTTGTAACGTTGTGAGTGCACTGTGAGATTTCGCCCGGAGGGTGTGGGATAGCTTCCCTATGCTGCGGTGAATGTTTGAGGCGGAACGGAAGTGGCCCTGCGTGGGGTTTAAAGCTGCGTCTGGTCTTAAGTATGCTGCAGATGGCTGCAGATGCTTGTTGTCCTCATGCGTCTCTTCTGGAGGTGGGTCATTAGGAAGTGCCTTGCTATCTTTGGTCTGGTCTCCCGCATCACGTAGCTCCTGCATATCTGTAGTTGTAATAACCATTGGCGGGCGTCGCGGGTTGTGCGTTCGTGGTCCAATAGGAGGGAGTGGTAGGAGAGGTTGCCGGGGGACCGAGAGACCTGTTAATAATATTCAGAACAGAGTAAGTTCAGCAAGAACTTCCGTCGTCTGCTGTTGTTGCACGCAACCTTCTGTGTTGGCTGTGCTCGCCTCATCAGTGGTCCGATCCCCGGAATGTAGCCATTCATTGGGGATGGATGAAGGTTGACTTTTGGTTATTTGACGCTTGACTTGAACCGCCGCGTACGCCGGCAATGCTGCTCTACCCGCATGAGGCTCTGGCTGATGCGTTGCTTGTGGGCCGGTCTCCTCTGCATGCTGTATATCTTCTTCTATCGGGATAGCGGCTGTCCGGTGGACCTCCGTTGGCACCACTTCGTTGGACGCTGGTGCTGTTCTCTCGTTCAGTGATCATTCCTACAACTGTACTGGCACGGTGCTAACCCTCCCACCTTTCATTGACCACCCCTCTGATTTTCGAAATAAGTTCCATATAGATGAGTAGAATGATTTGAAACGACTGGTTGGCGGCATTTGAAGCTTGGCGATGGACTCTACTCTCGAAGGAGTAGGTGGCCGTATCGAATGTAGTAGAGTGCTCTGTGAACTGAAGTTATTGAGATATTCGGCCATTTTGCCAAGGAGAGTAGTACAAGGTGGAAGAATTGATTGGAGAGGGTGAAGATGTGCGGGCCGTACCTTTTGAAGCCTGCAGCCAAACCGGGCTTTTCCTAGACAGATCGTCGATTCGCATGTAGAAGGTTTCCAAGAAACAACGAAGCTGATGTAACTCGCAGCCGAAATATATCCTACCGGTGTAAATGTCCGGACGCGAATGAAGCTTGTTTCACGTCATTCCAGGATTCTTTTTCGGGTCCGAACATACAGTACCTTCTCGAATCTCCGCTCACGCGCTGTCAAATTCCTGTCATTTCAAGGCCGTTAACGCCTGAGTTCCAAATGGCATGTATTGTAGCTGAGGACTGGGTATGCTATGACGAGAAGATCAGAAATCAGAAAAGGAAGAAAATGGGGGAGGAGGAAAAGGTCTATTACACCAATAATCTAGGGGAGAAACCAGATGGTAGACGAAAAAAAAGAATCGCAGTGTGAAAGTGGGATGAATTCAACAAATCTGGGCCTAGGCGGATGTTGAATAATGAAACGTAAGAGATCCGCGGAGGGAAAGTGGTGATGGGATGTGAACAGGGGAGGCAAGAAATAAACTGACAGGGAATAGGTGCTACATGACTAAATACAATGGGGACTGGGGTAGGGGACAGGGTGAAAGGGATGTACTATGCACTGGTCAATTCGATTCCGTTCCCTTTCGTGAGTCACGGCATTTGAGCTCAGATCAGGCAGTCTCAGACCAACATGGCTTTGATCGCGTGGCCGACGGCGACCGATGAGATTTCCGTGCGGTTCCATAAGCGCTAGCCGACGACGACCGTGTTGCACCGGGGCGCGTGATCATTGAATTTGACGACGGACGGCATCGCGAGCCCATTTGGCGGTTCTCCTCGTGTCGAGGTCGAGAGATTGGTCGGTCTTGACGCTGCGGAGGAAGCTTTGGATCCATTCGGCGGCGAACATGGGACGGAATGGTCCCGGAGGGAAAGTGTCCGCGAGATCGCTGAAAAGGAAATGAAAATTGAGCTGAGGTTTATTCTGGAGCCGCAGTCGATAGGACCATACCCAATGAGCCCAACGAGCCCGCTGGTGACCTCGACGGTTCTCTCGGATTCGGCAACAGCCTGTGCGAAGGCGAAGATGTGGGGCGCAGCTCGGGCATCTGCCAGGAGTTGGGCTGTATATCCAGCGGGGAATTCGTCAGGATTCAGCCTTCGAGTGCATTCTGGAAAACCAGCAACGCGAACTTACGTTTGCCCGCGGTTTTCAATCCCTGTGTGATCCCCACGTACGCTTCGATGATGCTTTCCCGCAATTTGCTTCCATAGTCCAAGTCGTATTTCTGGAAAAGGAATGTGGGTTAAGATTCTATAGCGCGGCCAATGTTGCCACGATCTTCTGATCGACATACAATCGCGGTATCTGCCATAGCTCCCGCCTGCTGTAGGATGGCCATTGTCAGATAAAGGTACGCCTCAAAGTGGGCGCCAATAGCAAGAGCAATATCTCCGAATGTGGAGAGGATTGAGGGCTTGACGCTCTTGTCCAGGTTGGCATTCTGGAGAACGACGAAAGAATTAGTGAATTGGCCTCCCAGAACGGGATTTACTGACATCAAGCATACCTGCAGGCCCGCCATCAAGAGGTTCATGATGGGCTCGCAGTAAGGTAGGAACTGCTCGCCCAACGCACGGGTGAGATCCCCCACGACGCCTACAGCGATCGAACACATCTATAGAAAACATGAAACAGTGAGTGGGTGGATTTCGAAGGAAGGTACCGCGGCGTACACCTACCTGGGGTTCCTCAACATTCTGCAGGGCGGCGAACAGTTGCGGGGCAAATGCGTCCATGTACCGTAGGAAGTGACTTTCCAAAGCTATCATGCGGTTAGTGATCAGTGTACAAGTACGAAGGGTAGTTTGGTGACGCCAGAACGTACCACCAGTCAAGCTGCTGATCGCGAGGAATGTGTCCTCCATCACGGTCGACGACCTAGAAGCGGATGTCATCACAACGAGAAGGGCTTGCATGGCTTGGTCGGCCAGGGGTATGACTCCGGCTCCAAGACGGCGAATGCATGCTCCGAGGATACCGCATAGATTCGATTGCAACTCATAATGGTTTTGCCGGTCATCCTGGGTCAAAAGCTGGTTTTGCATCTGGATGGTTTGTTGCAGGCGATCCAGAATCAATTCCGATAGAGTTTTCACTGTTGGTAAGCAGTCCTGAGCACAGTTGCGGACCAGGGAGGATTGGGCCTCGTAACAGCTCGCTTTGAAGTTGGGATCGGTAGAGCTGTCTGCGGCACTGCTTGTCGCCTCGATGATAGTCGGGAAGAAGGAAGACAAGACATACGTAGGTTCACCGTTCCCGCGAATGCTCTCGCCAAAGTTCATGAGAGACCATGCACAGTTCGAAGCGATCCGCGGCTTCTCCCTCAGCCCTTCCAACAAGACCGAAATCACCGGTTGAATGAATTCGGGGCCGATGGCCTCAGGGTGAAGCTCGCAGATACGTCCAAGGGTCCACGCCGTCGAGTCTTTTACTTGGTCCTTTTCATCCTTCATCAACGGGATGAGGACCCGAAGAGCTTGCGCTACAACGCTGGTCAGGCCCTCTGGGCTAGGCCCCTCCAGGACGGATCCGAAAGCGGTCACTGCCGCTTCTCTGTGCCGCCAATCAGCGCCGGTAATGTGCTGCTGAATGTACTTCAGAATTGGTTCAATCACCGCATCATGGGTCGCTTGCGCGAGGAGCGACAAGCATGTCGCGGCGGCCATGGAAACGTTCCAGTCGTCCTCATCATCGTCCTCCTCCTTCTTGGTCATGAGGAACCATAGCGCATCTACCAACTCCTTGACGAATACCGTAGCAAAGCGGAAATTTGGTCGCTCCGTGTCGTCGTCCTCATACGCGTTCTCTTCCTCGATATCGATCTCCACCTCGCAGACTGTCGACCAGAACTCAACGGCCTGCAGAGCGATTTCCTCCGTTTCGCTGGTCATTCCCCAAAGGGTCAGCTGGCTGAGTGCTTGTTGCATGTACTGCTCCATGTGTTCGTAGTAGAGGGACATGATCTTCACCAGGCACTCAAACCCAGCAACTTGCACTTCTTCCGGCTCTGTCTTACACGCTTCACAAACGACTTGCATGATGAAATTCCGCTCGCCGGCGTGTTCGAAATTACTCTTCACGAATTCCAAGGCGTTCAGCAATGCGTTCAAAGCAGTTTCACGGAGTGCAGGGTCGGCTTGGGGAGTGGCTCCCGAGCAGACCGCCGTCAATATAGGGTTGGCGTATTGCGTAAGGACGTTGGGATCGACAGCCTCACAGACAAGACCGATTGCCTTCAGTGTGGCCTTTTTCAGGTCCGTGTTGGCCGCCTTAGCGGGGTTTGTGACGTTATCCAGCATGATGGGCATAAGGTCTGGCCATTGATTTTGTGGAAGCTCGACTTCAGCGATGGCTTGGATAACCTATACGGGGAGTAGCGCATTGAGCTGAGAACTCGAACAACTCAGTTTGCTTTCAGACATACCTGGGTGGCACCATTTGATGCGGACTTGGCGGGACTGTTCAACACATTCAAAGCCTGTTGTGAATCGGACTACAGGTGAGAAGCTGAACTGGCCCTGGCCGATTCTTCCAACACGAGACTTACAGCTCCCTTAACGGCCGTCCGCATCCCAGGGTCCGAGGCAAGCCAGCGGCTCGCAAGCTGCTCCTTTTTGAGAGGATCCTAATCCCATTGGTGTGATGTTAGTTACAGATCCACAAAGTCAGCGCGCTATAGACCTTCGATGAGTACCTTTGCAGAGATGGCATTCTTGATCAGAAGTGCCGCTGCAAGACGAACGTGCTCCTTGGTCTGCTCATTGGCGAATTCTGTGCACATCAGGGACAGGAACCTGGGCTGTACAGTCACAAGATACGGTAAGCAAAGAATCATTTCAGAAACCAAAGGCAACCGTCTGCACGTACAAAGTCCTGGTCCGCAAGGCCATTGAGATGGGCCTCCGCCTTCTCGCGTTCCGCCCCCACTGGAGAAATACCATCGGTTAATAAGTGCCCTGCGCCAAAAAAAAAGGCGCAAGATCACCGCAATATTACCATTGAGAGTGGCTTCCAGAATCTCAGTCAAACTCATAGCTGCTTCTGTTGTTGCTTTCCGTGTGTTGTTTTGAGAGAATGAAACCTGTGAGCCCAAACTATCAGGATTTTACACCGACAGGGATTGGGTGAGGAACTTAGCATAAGGTTTCCGGTGATCTCGGACATGGGAAAACGACGGAAGGCCGGTAATTGCTTTTCCGGAAGCCGAATCGACCCATACCTGAGACTCTCAAGCCGAAGCGACGGTTCTTTCCTTTTGCTGGACTGGTGAATAGGAGCCCTGCCAAATGCGATGTCGACAGCTATGTGTGTTTGGTGGGAAGAAAGATGTGCGGGGGTCAGGGATAGCAAAGGCTTGATCAATCGACCGAGTCCGGCTATCCAGACTTCAATTAGATGCACGTGCAGTCACGGGACGAGGGCTCTTGTGGGGTTCCGCTGCAACCCTGGCTGCAACCCGATTGCTTGCTCCTTCGTGACGTCCACAGCTCGAACAACCACCGAAACAAACTCAGCACAACAACACACCACAATGTTCGCCAAAGCTGCTTTGCGCTCTCAAGCTGCCCGTCTTGTGCGTGGCGACGGTCCCGCCGGACCATGGGGTCCTATGAGCTTCGCGTAAGTTTCGGTAAAGCAGAGCGGGAGCGCGGCATCAGTCGTGTTGGGAAATCCGGTCGCAGGGGATATCTGGGGTTCTCGACAAATTGTTGTGTGGGGAAGTGGATATCCGGTTTGGATTGGGGGTTCTGTGGAACAGTTCGCTGCGACGAAAATTAGCTACGTTTTCTGCTTTGGAAACGTTATCATCGCGGAAAGGGCTCAACTCGGAAAGGATTACGTCTTCTGCTTTCATTCACGGCGGCTAAAACTGGTGCTCTTTTTTATTCGAAACTCCGTTTAGTGGAAACAACTGGCGCAAGTACGGTGTAAGTATCAATACGGGCTCTTACTTTCGCTCGTCCGTTTTCCTATGCCATTCTACGAAAAGCAGCCTGTACCGCAGAGTTTCTCATTCTGAGTGTCTTTCCCACCTTCCGTTTAGGCCCTTCCGTTCTCCGTCAGCAAGCGCGGAAAGTTCCTTTTCTACTTCTGGACCGCAGCGATTATCGGATTTGGATTGCCATTCGCAAGTATGTGCCAGTCGTGGAATTTGGATAATCGATCGTTGGGAACTCATAGATTTCACTTTTCAGACACGGAATGGAAGCTGGCTCCTTTGCGCGAGGCTAAGCGCAAGGAACTCGCGGCCGCAAAGGAATAAGAGACCCTTGCGAGATCACTTCCTGTGCTCATAATACCTTGAAATATATTCCGAAACATCCACGTTATTCAGTGCTTGGCCACCAGAGGAACAGTTGGCGAAACATTTTGCTGCACATCACATCAGACGGGACAAAATTGGATCGCATTGGAAGGGTGCCAACAATTCAGTATTTACAGGGGATGCCTTCAATAGGCAGAGGAGAAGAGATGATACAAGAAAAGGGAACGGCAAAGGGAAAGGCGCCGGGAGGAGAATGACGAGACGAGGAGGAGTGGGAAAGCAGGCTTAGCAGGCAAGGGAAACCCCGGCAAAATGGCGAGGTGCACCATTTGGGGATAACGCCTCGGTTTTTGCTTTTCCCCGCTGTTGCGAGACACGTGCTCAATCGGGGGTATTCGCGGGATTTGGGTGAGCAGCAAAAGGGTACGAACGTAACCAAGAAGGCGATCGAAGATCGGAGTACAAGTGGCGGTGGTGGGAGCACGACAGACTTCCAGATGGGAGTGATGTTGGGAACCTGCTTGGAGGTGATCATACTGGCATCTTGCGAACACGGGCGAGGAGATTGCGTTGGAATGGTGCAGCTGGTCGGATGGTGTATGGAAACGAGGCGGAAAATTTTGGTTGGGTATGTGCGACGAGTCCGTCCGTCTGTTCAGACATTATCCGCAGAGCCAGGCAATAGTGGAGTGGTCTCGTCTGCGGAATCGGTGGTGGGACAGGTGTCGTGTTTACATATTGGGCATGTCCGCTTTCGTTGCGTCAGCCATCTGAGAGCAAGGAAAGCCGGTCAGCCTCTTTGCAAGATCTCGCATATACCAACAAGGTCCAACTCACTTGTCTATGCACTCCTTGTGATACTCATGTTTACAAAGCAGTATTCTCAGCTCATCGCCGTCCTGGAAGTCGTCCAAACAGATTGCACAATCAGTGGGGTCATTTTCCTTGCTAACTTCGGTACTATAGATTTTGACTGGCAGATTGAGCACAACGGCGAGTGGAGCCAGCTCCTGTTGCCGTCTGACGTATTGCCGATAGCTCCAAATCAGATAGAGAGCTATCATGACTGCTGCTGGGCTGAGTACCTGCGGTCGCCACAAGTTAGAAAACTGAACCTCCTCCAACACGCAAAGTTTCACACGTACTGTAACAACAAGAATCTCCAACAATGGCACGTCCGTTTGTCCTGGTAAGATCACAATCTCCACGCCTCTTTGGCCCCCGATGTCAGCCTCCTCCAGCAGTGAGTGATAATCCGTGAAAGTAATAAACACCGACGGAATAGTTATGTCGGAAACATTCTCGCTGGCGAACATGGTGATCAAGGGAGAATGTGGTACGTTGTCGCCTACGACCACCGCTTTGGCTCCACTGCTTTGCATTGCGCGTACTTTTTGTACGAACGAGCAATCTCTGTTGAAAATGGTGCCAGCAAGATGAGAATAATAGCCTAAGTTTGAGACAGTGTGCTGATATAGATGACGAACTACTTACCCTCTTTGCACTATTGCGATCCAATTCGGCAGAGTTACCCCTGGGACCTCAACGCAACCTGAATTCTGCTCATGTCGTCCAGTGAAAGCCACCAATGTAGGCCCCTGTACCCGCTCATCGCCTTTTGCCCGTCCAAGGTGACTCCAGTTCGACAGAGGGAGCACCACACCGAATATGCCTTCCTCAGGAACTTGTGGGCCGAACGCCGCTTGGCGGTCTGGGCAGGTGTTGTTATTCCGCAAAACAATGATTTTCCCTTCTGCGAAGATGCTGGCGCCTCCTAACCCGCTGCCGTAGGTAGGGACTGGTGGGTTGAAGAAACCCGGGGAAGACGGAATATTGTGCGCTAATACGGCAAGTATTTGTAGACAGAGGAGTGTTTGAAGGAACCATCCTGGGTGGAGAATCCTCGGCGCAAAATTTGACGGCATGGCGAGAACGTGAAATGGGGTTGGGTTTGGGTTTTTGTTGAACCTCCTTGGAAAGGAGAAGTGGTAGTTTGGCAGTGGGGTAGCTCAACCTTCGATAAGGATGAGACCGAAACAGGAGAACGAACTTGGATGCCCTTTTGTCCAAAAGGCTGCGTGCTCACACGAACCTCGAGAATCCTGTTGAGACATCGAAAAGAGTCAGTGCGGATCTCCTGCCACATGTGGCATCGCTCAGCATTGCGACCCCGGACTCTCACCAGAGGCTCGTTTATGAGACAATCGAGGCTGACCTCCAAAACACCGATTCAATACAGTAAGAGGTGAGCAGTCTATCTACGACACCAAGGAGCTTTTTCGCCGCTGCTACCTATATACGAGTGCCAGTCCTATGATACAGTCTACTTACGTTGTGCCGATCGCCCGTGAGTCTGTTTTGCAAAATGTTCAAGGGGAGAGGAGATGCAAGTCACAAATCACGTCCGATATTGGGATTCGGCTGATTGGGGCCGTCGTCATCGCGTGCCGTGACTAATTTCCAGAACCATAACACCCCATACAGTACGGCTGGCTTCCGACTTTCTCGGCCGACGATGGGCTGCAGCCTGCAGAGCATCGAGCAGATCCTACGAGACATGCGGGTCGCTTGCTCCGCTAGAGATGGATAATGGTCCAAAACCGAGACAGACGTTTTTGGTCGGAGACATCCCAGAAACCTCTCTATATCTTGGAAGAGTCGTAGTACCGGAGCAGTCTTACTACACCCCCAGTCTTCAACCCGTATACGCTCCTATAAATTGAGGGAATTGTCAACGCTACCCCAAATTGCTAACGGCGCTACCGTCCACTTTACACTATAATAAGCGACGTAAACTTGATGACTTTTTGGGTAACCAACCTAGTACAGTACACTGTACCATAACAACACGCTCCGACGGCCTTCGAGCCGGTTAGGGCTGGGTGTTACTAACCTTAATCCTAACCCTAACTGGGGCACTTGACAGTTAGAGTATGTGAACTTGAGTACGGTATGTGCCTACCGAGGGATTAATCCAGATCCAGACCCACGGTTCGCATTGTCCACCAAATGAGGTCAAACGCGTCGGCCCGCCTTGTGACGAACCCGCGTGAGGACGCGCCGCATACTACATGCACAGAGGAGAGGAGAGGCCACTTTCAACCGAAACTTCCCTCTGTGTCCACGAACGAAAATGTCGATCGAGATAAAGAAAACCTCTAACGGGGTGCTCCCCGATGAGATCCTGCAGGAGCTGCTGTCAACAGGTATGTTTCCAGGCTGAAGTTCACTCAGCGATATTCTGTTGGTGCCATGCGAGAGAATTGCCTAACTCACGTTTCACTGTGCGAATTGAACAGGTCGCTTGTCAACGGAGCTCGAGAAGGAGCTGTTTAGGCTTGCGACAGAAGGTGTAGTATCGCTTCCTTTGCGATTTGTGCACCTTCGGTTTGATACTCGACTCGTGCACCTCCCAACTCTAAAATTCCCGCTTCTCACTTTTGCAGCGAAAAACTGCTCGTACAGCCCATACAGCAAGTTCCGTGTCGGTGCCGCTGTGATCGCCAAGTCCGGAAATGTCTACCTCGGTAGGTACCTCCTTCTGTGGTCAGTTCACGTTGTCCGATTCTCATCATCTTCCTTCTGTCATTTTCTCCCCAGGTGGGAACGTGGAGAGTGCGTCCTACGGAGCGACCCGATGCGCAGAGCAAACAGCATTCCAGAAGGCCGTGGTATGTGGGATATCAGGCTCAAAATCTGCAGTCCTCCAGCAACACGGACAAAGGATGCCAAAAAGGAATGGGCAAGTGAGGCAGGGCAGATTATCTCACACGAAGATTCCAACCCACAGAGCGAAGGAGAAAGACGGTTCTTGGTCGTCGGAGTCGCCACGTAAGTTAGCGCTAAGGCACGAGTCGCCACATCACTTCTAGAATCACCATGAGTTGACCTTCTATTCCAGTGATACCGACGCTTTCATATCACCTTGCGGCATCTGTCGCCAGTTCATGGTGGAATGGGGAAAGAGTCTGATGGTGAGTGTAAAGCAAGGGAGAATGTCAAGGGAAGGATGGATCAGTATAGGCCATTATAGGAGCGGCCGGAACAGCACAGCGCAACCGTATCTGGCGTTGAAACCAATGAATATCAACTCAAATCTTTGTGTACCTCATCCACCAGGTTTACAACTTCAAACCAGACGGAACCTTCCGCAAGTACAAGCTTAGTGAATTACTACCCGATAGCTTCGGACCGGACGATCTGGAAAGGCCGCGGGGCGAATAGATGAGGGAGTCCCTTTCCTAGCTTTCTCGTCTAGAGTCTACCATAGACGATGGCTTACCCAAACTTGCTGCCTCACTCACGCCCTGGCACTCTGTGTGAGTCCATCGATGGCTTTAGTGAAGAAGACATGGATTATTCCTAGACATCATCAAAGGCAGACATTCACTAGATGTAGAGAATAGAGCATTTACCCCGATTCTCGCCAGCTTGTTCGACGGTTCCCCCATCGTAGTCTTCACTCTATGACGGTTCAACAGATGCAGGAGTTTATTGAAATTGAAAAAAGTGGCAAAAACGGATGGACTACTAAATAAACAAAAATATACGATGTATGGATTCCGCCCCACGTACACACCGACAACAAATATAGCCCTATCACCCGGCGAGCTTGTGCTCTCACAGGAAAATTATCGTTGAGGCTTTTCCATCAAAAAGCAGGCGCCACGTCTCTCGCTGGTCGAGGACGTTCTGAGTAAGACGACGCAACACTCCCCATCCGAGAATGCCCTCTCGACTCGGGCAGTTTCTGCTCGTAAGCGGAAAGCTGCTGCTTTGGGATGGTACTCGAGGATGCATCGATTTCAGCTTCATAGACACCCAAAGGTTCCACCTCATCGTCGGTGGGAAAGTCCTCGAGCACTATGTCCGCCGATGCATCAACATTGGCTTCGTCGACTTTCACGGATGCCGCACCATCGTCCTCATCGTCGGTTGGGAAGTCTTCGAGCACAATGTCCGCTGATGCCGAAAGGCTTTCGGGCATCCGTTCATCACCCTTCACCGCCTTGTTGTTGGCATCTCCAGGATTCGGCGATCGCGAAGGGCTCCGCGCACCGGACCCCACCGACACATTCCTGGACGGCACTTTGAGCGAAGCGTTCTCCGATGTCCGAGATACATTCCGCGATGCGATGGAATCGAGCCTTGGCGGGGGCATTGGTTCCCTCACTCCAATATCCTCATCACTCGGCAACCCTTGCCCATTCGACCACCGGCTCGCATCCCCCAAATCCCCATTTGACTGCGGTGCATCCACCTCCGTGTCCAGCGCGGCCCCGACGTTCTGCAGCCAGTCCGACACGCTCCCGAGGTTCAAGCCGGTGCCCAGTGACAACCGTAACAAATACTTGCTCTGTTCCGGGCTCTGCACCGCTGATCCGGCCAACTCTTCAGACGAGTTGAAGGCCCCGCTGGACTTCAGCGACGCCATGTAGTCTTCGTAGATGGTGATGACGCGGAAGAGGCGGCCGTAGACGCCCTGGAGGTCCTCCTGCTCGCCTTCGTCGACTAGCTGCTCTTCGTCGGCGGCGCGCATGAGGACTAGATTCTGCGCGTGGAGTTGTTGGAGGGCTGTGCGGACTTCTTTGAGGGATTGGATGGAAAGATGAAGTTGTTCGTAGTGGTCGATTACTGCTGTGACTTCTTGGATACGTTCGTCGAACATTTCTCTATTTTCGGAACGGCCTGTCAGTACAGGAAGTGTCTTACTGAATCGATTAGTGGTTGAGCAATCGTACCTGCGCTGCTCATCTGAAAGGAAGCCCAAAGCGACAACCTCTCCGCCACCAACTTTCTGGAAATGCCGCCATTTGGTCTTCATCCACTTGGAGAAGTCCTGCTTCCGTTTCTAGTTTTTACCCGATGGTGAGACAATTGGGAACCACGCAAAACACTTTCCACTCGACAATCACCAAGCTCACCAGGTTATTCGCTAATCGCGCCCTTTGCACCAGATCATTCGTCATATGGCGCATCATCCTATGATCCTCGGGTGTGATGAGCGGCTGCACGGCTCGAATCGGCTGCAAAAGTCTCGGATCCAGTTGCATTGGCATCGTCTGATTCGTGAAAGAGTGATCTGGAAGAAAGAGACTCAGCTCAGGACGTTTGCACAGGTACACTGAACGCGATCGCCGAGTTTTACCTCCATTCTCAAGTCCCTTTGGCTCGAGACAGGCCACGGTGGATTTCACTTCGTAAGCGCTTTCACGTAAGAAGGGTGTCGACTCTTTCCCGATCCGTAGCTTTGATCGATTCTTCTTCTCTTTGATGCACTCGTCGAAGAAGAGAACCTCGTAATCGCTCTCGGGCCGTTCGACGCGGTCCAAGATGAATTGGGCGAATGCTTGTGTTTCCGAGAATTGGATCATAAATGGCTGCATGTGATGGACGTCATGAGCTTCGGAGTACGTTGACCAAGCAAACGAGAGGCACATACCCGGGTCTCCTTATCAGTGGCCGCCATGAAATCCTCCTTCTTGAACCATTCCTGACCCAGCTCATCCACATCCAATTGTTCAAATTCCCCCGGCTCCAGATCATCTCCGTGACCTCGGGTAATCACCCGAAGCTGCTCGGCGGTCGCGACGTGTTGACGGTAATGGCGTAGGAGGGAGGTGAAGAGCTTGAGGAAGGCGAGCTGGATTTTGTGTTCGTCGAAGTGCGCGGGACATGGGTGTGCTTCGGATAGTGGCAAACAGGCGGGATGGATTCGGGATTGACACACTGGAAAGTGATGTTAGATTCTCGTCCTCAACCGGGAAGGCAGACTCGTCAGATCTCACTCACCGTCGCATTGCATAATCGTAGAGTTTTCGCCGTCTCCCAACTCTTCCTTGCAGAGCGAGCAGGTCGCGCCAACCTCCAAGCTAATGACAGGACTAGCAGCAGTAGATACTGTAGAGTGTCTTCTCCGGCCGAAAGTGCCTCCTTCGGCGCTCGCATCCGGCGTCCTTGACGGACTGGCTGTATCGCCAACCGGCCCATCAAACCTTCGTGCGCGATTCACTCCCTTCTTCAGCGAGAACACCCGAGGAAGTCTGCGAATTTCCGCCGCATTCCTCGAGGCTGTGGACACCCTAACGACAGGCACATCTCCACCCGCCTGGCCCTCAAACCGGTCATCATCCCCGCCATGCTCCATCCCCAACCGAGACTGCGAACTATCCGCGCTTCTTCTCCCTCCACTCGTTTCCGACCGCATATCCTCGCCGCTACCCGGGCTCCACGGACTCCGCACTGACAGCGTGTAAAACGCATGTCCTTCTTTTCTCCGCAATGGGACGCCCTGCATCCCGCTGCCTTCTTCTGGCAGACCGTACATGTTGCCGCCGTATTGGGAGTAGTTGCTGAAGGCGGTGGAGGTGGTGATGGAGGATGATGTGGTGGATGCGCCTGATATGGAGTTGCGATGGTTGGAGTTTGTGATGTTGAGATTGGAAGGTCGAGCACCGTGGGAGTTGGAAAGTGTGCTGAACTTTGAGGAGAGACTTGTGGTGGAACCGGAAGGCCTCATGGACTGCGAAATTGTATTAAAAACTTAGGGAATGCCATAGAAAAGAAAAATATCCAAAGCATTGCAGACCTTTTCCTCCAGCTTACTCGACGCTCGACTCGACTTGAACACGTTCCGTAACCGAGGAGTGAACCCCGGCTCGGACGAACTTGACCCTCCTGGCTTCTCCAAGCTCCCATACGATCCAGGGGCACCCTGTTTCTGATCCGAATGAATCCAGCATTTAGGTTCCATATCACAACCTGTCCCTGCAAACAACGCTTGACCCACCTCACTTGCGCCCGAGCGATTAGTGCTTGTCAAACTTCCCTCCTCGTCAATCGACTGTCGCCTGTTATCTTTCCCAAGTCCCCACCACGTACTCTGCGTCGTTGTCTCTGTAGTCGCAGTAGAGGAACCGCTTGATACGCTCGCGTTCTCGGCCGCACCTGAGGCTGGGGTGACCTGATTGGTCGAAAACGTCTTGTTCAGTCGATCCAACCATGCCGAGCCCATCCCGGACGGACTCGTCGGCAACGACCGTCTCTTTGCTGACGCTGATTCAGGCGTCTCGAGATGCGTGTTGTGCTGTCTTGCAAAACGGCTTCGGGGTGTTTTCAGCGGCGCCGTCGCACGTGTGGACTCGCAGGATCTTGGGGGATGTTTGTTGAGTGGCAGAGCGTACTGCGAGGTCATGGGGACGCCTTTGTCGAGGCGGCTGTTTACACGGTCTGGAGTTGGCAGACCTGGCCCTGGTCGACCAGGACTGGGAAATGGGATGTACCGTCCGGTGGCTTTCTCTAACCGCGTGACGAGCTTCTTTCGTTCTTTGGTGGGAAGGGTGAATGGAGGCGCACCTATCTCTATCGTATCGTTATCCAAGTCAACGACGTTAACCTGTCGACAGAAAGGGGGGTGAGAAGAAAGCCACGGATTCAAAGCGGGAAAATGTCTTACATCTGGCGGCTTCCATTCATCCTGCATATCCGAAGTAAAGTACTCTCTCTGCACTCCGATGATATACGGCATAGGCGCCTGCAGGTAGCTCATAAGCCGCGCCGGCAGCACGGGAATCAGGATATGTTGCCACGAAAGAGGAAAGAAGAAGAGGCAGAGCGACTCGGACGCCAATGTGAGCATGGACAGGTGGGAGGAGAGGAAGATAATCTTTTGCTCGGAAAGCGCGATCTCGAAGAGGGTCACAATATTTGCAATGGAAAGGGTGCGGAAAAGCGGATATAGCGAAAACTGGAATGGTCTCATGTTTAGCAATCCGAAAATTGAACGGCATGACGCTGGCATAGAACGCCCTTACATTTTTGAGAAGAGATATGGTATTCACAGGTGGTCTCGAACAATATAGAGTCAGCTGACCGACATGAAGGCTGATTTCCAGTTTCCCTGGCGGCGGGAGCGGTATTTCGTGGATAAGATTGATCACAAACCTGAGACCGAGGTGTTAGCATCCAGCTAATGGATCCAATGAGCAAGGATTTGACCTACCTCTCGAGCGGCGCGATCACCTTGTTCTGTGGACACTCGTCATAATCTCCGCGCATAACACGTACAACCTCACACAGCCAATCCTTTAGAAAGTCATGCCATGGCCAATGACTCAATACTCCAATGCTCCTCGGGACGTAGACGTTCTCCACATCGACCAGGAGACTGGTGAGCGGCGCCAGCAAGTCCCTGTAGAGCTTGACCTTCTCTTCCACGTCTTGCAAGGTGTTGGCAGTGGCGAGGGCTGGGGATCCGCTGGTGATGGAGGATTTGCGTGATTCAGCCTCACGAATACCTAAGCTGTGAGGGTCGGAGATACCCATTCGGGCGTGGAGGAGAGCTTCCTGCTTTGCGGCTAGTTGGGAACGAATGTGCTGGATGTACTCGAGATCGGTTGATCCCTGTTTTCAGCCGCATGAGCCATCTTTCGCAAACGACGACGCAGGAATGACCGGCCTACCAGAGCGCTGCTCCTCATGTCCTGAGCGATGCTCTCGATCTCGGCCGCATGATTCGAGTGGAGCCGCTCGTACGTGGTCACCGTCACGCCATACAGCTTTTGCCCGGTTTCCTCCGTGATAACCTGCATTGGAACGTCTCTTGAGCTGAAAAGTTCCAGTTGAAAGACCTCGGATGATGTCCGCGGAAAAGTCACATACGAATGAATGATACGTCTCTGGTGGGGCGCCGTTGTCATCATGACAAAGGTGTATGTTGTCCGGAAAACAAAACTGGAATGCACAGAGTGGATGAGAACGGTACAAAAGAGTCAAATAGGCGAAGAGGTACACAATCGTAAGAGCCTACCATGGACACGAACGCAGGGAATTTCTCCTTCTCCGAGTAGTCTGTACTCGGGTATCTGCAGAGCACTTCTGGTCCGAACCTCCAATCCAGTGGATGTGTCCGCTTGTTCAACTTTGCTGATGCAGAGAGAGCCTGTCAGCATTTCTGACTTTGTATAAAACGTGCTAAAACTATGGCGCTCGGCCAACTGACCTTCCGGCAAAAGCATCGGCGATGCCGCATCCGATAACGGTGAGGCGGTGCGCTCCTGGAATTCATCTGCGGATTGTCTATTCCTATCCCCAGCCATTGACCCATCTTCAAGAACTCGACGATCGACCAACTTTGTCGTAGGGTTGAGACCACACTGGAAAAAGAAGTCTGCAAACCGCACAGGTGTCTGAAGCTGCACAGGCATAGCAGCCGACGATGGCGATGCCATCGTGACTGTATTGTTTCTCTGGAAAGTCTATATGATGGAAGACTGGAAAAAACTTGGCAGACCAGCCATTTTCCTCTTAGGTGTTTTCATATAGCACGGATCGAGAGTGTATTTCTAGCCTAAATTTGAAGACGGAATTTGCAATATAAAGTGCACCGACAACCTTACGCGCGCGCGTGGTGACACATCACTTTGACCATCACTTTGATCAACTGCGCCACTTCAAACCATGTCACCGAGGAATGTGGCGGAGGGAATATGGGTGGATAGTACAGTATCGCCATTGAGGAAAGATATGCCACTTGGACGTCTCCAGTAAAAAAGACCGAACCCGGCAGCAAACACGGAGATTAGGACATCAGCGAAGCTGTTAGAGACCGAATCCTGCGTGTGCTCTTAGCGCCTCGATTTTTTGGATGCATCTCAGCGTCGGTGGATTGTGGTCCCACAGATTCACTGCTTTTGAGGGGTCTCAAGCCCAACGACAACACGGCAGGGGTATATCTATTTACCGTCGATTTACGGCAGTACATACATTGGTTACTCCGTCCGCCTCGTTGCCACTCGATGCTTGACGCAGCATATGTGCAGCCTATCGGAATGTATACAGCAAGATGCGGGCTTATAAGGCCATCGAAACCGACAGTGTATTGGAGTGTTGGGTTGTAGCAGTTGCTGGAGACCGTTGTTGCGACACTGGCCCGTGCCTATACGAAAGAAGACATGGATGGGACTATGGCCTCCGTGGGATTTAGAGAAATGGATAGATGACGAGGTGAGATTATTTCACATGACCATCTTTTCTCATTGAGCTAACGCAGATATCTCACCACTCTCGCGGAGGGCTTTGATTGAGAACTGCTATCCACTTGGAAACGCTGTACTCGTGCCCTCGACACTGTATATGTAATGCTTGAATCTTTAGTTGAATCTACGTGTCCCGCATTTTACCTGAGCGCGGAGTTTGAGGCACGGGCATTGGTCTTATAGTCGTCCAGGCGTCCGCAGCCGTTTCTATAAATGCTAAGACATCGACAGACCACAAACTGGACGGACCCGATCGCATTTACAAGCTGCTTTGCGAGCGCGATGCATCTAGCAAACGTCCGACTTTGGGCCTTGACTTCCTGAACGGGAGTTCGCCAGTGCGGACGAAGGTTCGTTGGTTGCAGCACATCAGATATGCGATCCTCTTTGCATCCGCAGGGTGGATTTGCAGATATGAACCCGACCTGTCGCATATCCTGGACGGAAAACCAACATATGGAGTAGCGAGGCTGAGGAGTTGACGCGTAATAATGAGTCAGTGACGGCCTGTGTAACCTGACCGCTTTGGCTTGGCTTAACTCTGCGCAGCAACTTTTGCAGATCATCGACCTCCGTCAAAAGCCTCCTTCTTGGCGACGGGCGCACACTTGGCCCCCGATATCTTGTCTCGCAGGTCGGCGACTCTGCGGCGTCGCTCAATTGTTGGTGCGTATGTAGTATGGCGCAGAACAGGGGGAGGAGGGTATAAAAGCTGAAAGCTAGGAAATAAATCCCATGCGCACTCGCTTGCGATATCTTATTTCATCAGCCTCCCATTTTTCGTCTGCGCGAGGAGTAGATTGGATTTGCGGAGAGTTCATCGTCCTTCTCCTGTGCTTTCCTTCCATCAGCGAGGGCACATATCCGTCTCCTTTGCGGCTCTCAACTCAAAACGGGTAAAGCCAACGGTAAGGCGAGGATTGCAGGCTGCATGTGCAGCGGGTACCAGAGCGGGTACCGCGTGTGCGGCTTCCCAAATCATTGACACAACTGAAACTGCGTATAAAGAGCCTCCACCCGATCCTAATTTCCCAACCCCACTCACAGCACCTTTATCGGCATCGAACGACTCCACTCCCTAAGTGCAGGTCCAAGTCTGCTGCCGTGGGTCTCAACCCTCGCATACACCGCTTGTACATACCACCACCTTCCGTGATCGAGCAGCGATGCCCGGCAGCTCCTCGTCCACGATGTGGCGAAACGCCCTCCTGCTATGTACCCTCCTCGCAGTCTCGCTATCCTTCGTTCCAACCGCAGCAAGCTTCGCCGTCTCACTCAACTCGCCTCGTGTCTCCAGCCGGTTTGCGCCGTCCATCGAAGACGTGCGTCACCGCCTCGCCAGGCGCGCAGACGATTTGAACTGCATACCATGTGCGAGGCCGACGGCGGGGCCACCGGTGTGCATTCCTCTGCCTCCAGGCATGGGTCCCGGTATTCCGCCACCGAACCCGCGTCCGATCCCTACGGGAAGTGCGCCACCACCGTCGTCTTCGCCCGGCCCGACGACTGCGAAATCCATTAAGGCTGCTGCTGCTGCTGACGTGAATGGTACTGATATTCCGGATTCGGTTCTTGCCTTCAACAGTGAGTATCTGGCGTTACTATTTTTCACCTACCGTGGCTAATGATTGACGTCTTTCGCTTGCAGGCAAACTCCGAACCGTTAACGTTTACAACGCCATCGGGGCCATCATCTTAATCATTACCGGATTACTGTTCATCTTCAGCGGTCATAAGCTATTCAAGCTGATCCTCTTCATCGCCGGTTTCTACACGGGATCCGTCCTCGCATTCATCATTCTCTCCCAAATCGAAGCCAAAGGCCACTCCTTCGGCGACAGCCGCTCAATCATCTTCCTCGTAGTTGGCGTCGTCCTCGGTCTCATCGTCGGCTCGCTGTTCCAATGCGTGTGGAAGCTAGGCTTGATCGCCATCGGCGCCATCCTCGGCTTCACATTGGCCATGTTCGTCCTCTCACTGGCAAAGAACGGTCTCATCAGCCAAGGCACCGGCCGCACGATCTTCATCATCGCCCTGACGATCATCGGCGGCGTGTTGGTACTGTTCTTCGAGAAGCCTATCCTTGTCCTCGGCACAAGCGTCGGCGGAGCGTTCGCCGTCATGTTTGGTGTAGACATCTTCACGAAAGTCGGGCTCGTCGAAGCTTCCCAGCAGTTCCTAGCCGGCAACGCGCTATATGAGCCTGATAAGTGGGTGTATGTCGAGCTCGCCGCTTGGGCCATCCTGGCTGTTGTCGGGATCATCGCTCAGTGGAATGGTCTGCGAGGAGGAAAGTCTCACCACAACAACCACAAGGATGGCTTCGGCGGAGCGCGCAGCGTGGGTCCCGCAAAGCCCGTAAAGGCGAAAGGCACACCAGAGGAGAAGACTGGTCTTAGGGCTGAGTTTGAGAAGATCGTCGTAAAAGTGAGGAAGTGAAACCAATGTCATAAATGCTGTAAATGCCCTCGTCAGCGTTGCGTAGGCCCTTCGCCATTTTGTATCTAGCCTTGTTTATGCATGGGTCATAGCCTTTTTCCCCCCAATCCTCCACATATACCGCTTCCCGGAAGCTTTTTTTCATCTGCCCTGGCATTTGTTAGCCGCAATAAGATGAAAATTTCATTGATAGTCCGTGCTCAAATGTTCCGATTATGTGGAAGGTGCAATCCGTATATTATTGTGTACCGTCAGAAGAAACAAGCCAGAATCACGAGAAAAAGAAACACCAAGATCCTACGTCGGGCATGTATCCCATCCATGTTCCTCCCCTAGTACGCCGTCGGATTCTTGGGCCATTCAACACCAAACCGCCGGGTTGGCAATGCCTCCAAAAAATCAATCAATGCTTTCTTGCTCTCTGGCACGAAGTAGAAACTGGCGCCGCCCTCCGCCTCATATTGAGGTTGCGAGCCGGTGCGAAAGCTGGCGCCGCCTCCCAAGGCACCCTCAACCACCTTTTGCCATCTGAAGGCCCCATTCATCATTGTGGGGGGCGTGCTGACGGCCACCCTGACATTATCAGGGTCGTAGCATCTTGTCATAGATTTTACTCCGCTCAGAAATTCAAGGGCAGCAACTGGACCCCCGCTTCGCAGGGCTTCAATGCTGTGGACCCGGACCACACCTGTTCTCGGGTACGCAGAAAGGCGCAAATGGCTGATGACGGCGAGGCCTGCTTCGACGGTGATGTTGGGCCCTGGCCGGTCACCAGAGGAGTTAGGAGTGTCGTCGAAGGTGTCTGTGCAACCCTCAACGAGGAGGGCACCGTCGAGCGTGGCTCGCTTGTTGAGGTCGACACGGGGGGAAACCGGCACGTCGATGCGTTTGTGGGGACTCGCCGAGCGAGGTCTTCCGGCGGGTCGTTCGGCAGGTCGTGCGGGCAGGTCGAGCTCCCGGGGGCGAGGAGGGGAGACGATGCGTTCGCGTGTGACTTTGACGGGTGAGGTACGCGACATCGGGGTGCTAGTGCGTTCGCGTTTGACCGGGGAGATGCCTCCAAGTTCCATTTTAACAGGTGAGAGTCTCTTAATCGGGATGCCGCCGAGGCCTGCGAAGGCGCTCAAGGCCAGGCGGCTTATCTGAGGTTTACCGACAGCTAAAGCGACCGAGCGGGGTGCCTCTTGCAGGCGGGCTGGAGCCAAAGGCGGCCCGTAGGTCTTGTCGACAGGTTCAGCAGCTGGCGAAAGGCCCCTAGGAGGCGAAGCTTCTCTCAGCCTGTCGCGTTTAGACGACCTTGGGACAGCCTGAGTTACGGTGTACCTCGGCCCTGGGTCGTTGACGGGCCTGTAGCTGTCGACTTCGTGCCTGCCTGGTGGGTATCGATCGGATCCTCGGCGGCGGCGACTAGGTGAGCGGCTTGGCCGCCGATCGCTGCCACTACTCTTGGGTCTGTAACTATCCTCACGACGCATAGGGGGCACCCACTGCGGCGCGTGGAAGGGATGGGGGCGTCGTTGTCGTAACTGTTCAGAGTATGGATCGAAACGAGCCGGCGTCGCAGAGCTTGGCCAGGCTTCTGAGCGAGAACTAAGGTGCCGAGGAAGGGTAACCAAAGTGAAGGTCGCTTCCTGCAGTTTTCCTGGCAAACAGCGAGGAAGTTTCACCTGTTCCTGTTCAAGTTCCCGCGGGGGTCCCTGTCAGCAAAAGTTGGGCAGAAGGGAATCCAAGCTTGCCTGTCCCAGCAATAATAGTGGGTTTCCGTTTCGTACACAAGCCTACGCTCGTTTGCCATGACCTTTGCTGCGGGAAGCTTTGCGTTCAGAGAGTCAAAGCGGGTCTGAAGACACCGGCGCACAGCCTTTTGCAAACGGGGGCCAGTTTGGATGGAGGGGATTGACGGGGACAAGTGACAGGCGATCCCTTCGTTATCCCCACAACTGTCACATCAATGGGAAAACAAGCTATCCATATAAACTATGTAAGTCTCACGTGCCGTATTATTTTTGATTCGGATCTTCTCCCATTTCCGTGTTGGGAAACCTGGGGCAAAACCTGTAATCCCGCAAACAACCCACGGCAACAACAGTGCAAAAAAATCATTGGAAAGGCAGAGAGAGATAGCACGATGCCACATCCATTACTACGTAAGTGTCCGTCCTTCGGAAGGAATGAGCCCCGTCTGGAGGTTTACGTGGATGATTCGAGTCGAATTGCTCGTCCGTCGCCCATGTGCACCCGCTGGACAATCCCTTGCCTCATCACCCACTCACGAATGATGCTTCTCCAGCGGGCCAAAAGCTCTTCTTCCCAAATGTCGTCTTCCGCCTCCTCCGCTCCAACCTCCCCCCTCAGCAAGCCGTCTTCAGGTGTCCACCACATCTCAACAAAATCGATATCAAAAACATCCTCACAGACCTCTACGACCTGCGCATCACCGACGTGCGCACAATGAACTACCTCGGCAGGCTGCACAAGAACCGGAGGCGGGAGCAGGTCAGGGCCGCCGCTTATAAGAAGATTATCGTGACCATGGAGGACGATTTCGTGTTTCCGCCACCGCCAGAGACAAAGGCGGGGCCAAACACACCGGGATCTCAAGCTGCTGAGATGCCGAAGCCGTCTGGGTTTGGGAGGAATTCGGCGAATACCAACAGGCATAAGATAGAAAAGGGGCGGCCGAAGGGTGTTGGGCCAAATGTGCAAGCATGGAAGGAGGAGCAGCAGCAGAAGAAGGAACAGGAGAAGGACGCATAATGGGTCCGGAATGGATGGTGTGGTGTGCTTGCAATCACCATTCGCTCATATCTAGCGGGGCATCTGCTAGATCATCGAGAAATGCGTTGCCTTTGTTTTGGGAACGATCGCGTGAAATGTATGTATTTACTGCATTGGTCCATAGATGGGCTGTACATGTATCTTATTGGGAATCACCCCGGGCGAGAAGAGGAGTGTCTAGAAATCTATTACCGAACGGTTTCGGTGAAGTTGCTGGGGAACAAGCCTTTCCTCCGTTTGCCGTTTTCTGAGCCGAGGCCTTCCCACCATCTGCGGAACAAGGGACGTTAAGAACGATTGGACACGCAAAGACAGTTGAACGGTGGTCTTACCCGTCATCGTGTGTTGCAATGACAGGAATCAGCTGTCCTTTGCCGATGCTCAGTTCTTCAGCAGCTTGCGCTTGGTAGTCATATAGCACACGCACTGCAGGGGCAAGATTGCGTAAGTCAGGGTGTCGCATTTGCCCCCGTGATCAAAAGGAGAATTCCAAAAATACCAGAGAACAGAACAGGCATGCTCTCAGGCACAAGATACGGGTCATATTGGAACGTCGAGTCTCCCAGAGCTGGTTCCGCCGACGCGGGGCTCTTTGGGTCGTGACTAGCCGGTGATAGCTGCCCGTTGGATTGGGATTGCTTCGAGGAGGAGCTGTCCCGCCTCAAATCGGTGTTCGCGTACATTCCGCTGTACGGTGCGGGTGCCAGATCTATGCTGCCGGATGCTGTGTCGGGACCGCGGGCTTCGCTGTTTCTTCGGCTGCTGTCTGAGGCGCCGGTGTAGAAGTTGATATATTGGAGAGGCTCTACATGGAAAACAGGGTATGAGTTACCGCGCTTATGTCAACTGAATGTACCAAAGCTTGGGCTTACGGGGAATGACGGAACCTGTGCTGCTCCTATCCAGGAACTGCATCAGATCCTTCTCGAAGTCACATGCTTCCAGCGATACTCGTACTCGCTCGCACGCCTGCACGGAAGATGTGTAAGTCATCAGTCAGGAATCTGACGAGCGAAAGTAAGAGTGCACACACACACCTCATCATCCGCCACGCAGACCCCTGATAAGAAGTTAGCGTAGTTCCAGACATTTCCGCGCAAAAAGTGGAACCGGTCTTCTTCCAATTTTTGGCATTCCTATGAAGCGAGCTAAAGAGTTGAGCTAATTCCATTCAACCCCGAGCCAACAGCCGGCCTTACTCACCGTGCAAGCAGTCCGGAAATCATCCACCCATTTGCGATGAATCTCGGTCAGCTTGTCAACACCGGCTAGGTAGTCAGCATCGGCTTGCTTGGCCTGAGCCTGAGTTTTCTGGAGTCTAGCTTTCGTCTGAGAGGTACCAGTATGAGCCAACGTTCGTTCACACTAATATCCAGGGAAAGAAGAGCACATCGTACCTTCTCCGCATCTTTCGACGCAGGATCCGGCCTCATTTGCGACAGCTGGGCTGCCTCGGTGCATTTACTCTCATATCGTTCCTTGCATTTCATGACAGTGGCGACCTGCGCCGCTTTGGCTTTTTGGTGTTTCTCGACAATGGCGTTGTGCTGCATCGAGGAACGAGAGTATCAGGTATCCGCTCCATTCACTAGCTGTATTCAACCCTGATTGCAAAAGGCGCCGACGTCGGGCGCTTACGTTCTTCCTGATAGCGCTCTGCGTCAACACGAAATCCGACAACGGCTTCTCCAACTTGACGCGAATCTCTTGCGCAAGCTCGATATGGGCCTTGGCCGATTTGTCAATCTCATTCTTCACCACATCCAGCGCTTCACGCAGCGTCCTACAAAAAGATAACGAATCCTTCCATCAGCAAAGCCATTTCCGGAGATCCCGTCAACCAGTCCACTTCCCAACGCGTCGTCCAGCCCCGTCAACGCACCCTATCTCCTCCTTCGGGTTGAACTTCGCAGCAAGTTTCGCCATCCGCTTGCCATAATCCTCCTCAATCGCAGCCCGTTCCTTCAGCATGAGGTGCAGCTCTTCACACACGTGCTTGCCCTGCTTCATACGGCCCATCAGGACCTCTAGGCCTTTATCATTCTCGCCCTGAATCGATGTCAAAAAGCGGTTAGGCCGTGCGAGCCAGGGCTTGGCAGCCATAGAAGACTGAGCAGCGTACCCAGAAACTCGTATAAAATGCAGGTTTCTCCATTTTGGCTGACGTTCTCTGTTGAATGTAATTATTGTTTCGCGCGAGCTTTTCGTTTCGTCAGAGATCAGCGTGTTGTAGGGCCCGGCGCGAGTGGGAGAAGTGCGCTATGTGCAAACAAGACGCCAAGTAGAACCGACTGCCAATGTGCCAGCCTATTATAGATATATCGACGAAAAGGACAAGAGAGCGGCAATGGATGGAAGCGAATGTTTTAAAAGTGCATTCAGGGCGCCTTTTGGTCCCGGTTCCTTGGCTTTTGGCAGTGACACTGGGGGTCGCACGGAATGGATTGCGGACGCGAGACGAGACTTGCGGCCGCTCAATATCTCCCTTTCCTTATGAGGATCTTTACGTCAACACATCGACTCTACCCTCATATACAATACAGGCTGATGCCGAGCTATTAATATATTTGTATTCACCACAGTCGGCATCCTCGTCTCCGTGAGAGGAAGACGGTCAAATCGCGCCTCACGCGTCCTCATATGGAGCTGGAGTTGCTAGTTCCGTCAGGCCTCGCAGTTCGTATCAAAATGGCACAGGAAGAGCTTGTTGCGAACGATGCGAATGAATTCAAAATATAGGTCAGATATCCAGTGTCGAGATGGTCTTCGAGATACAAATGGAAGGCCACTAGCTCCCGTCACTTCTTCTTAAATACACGAAGTCTCTAAAAGGATTATGTCTTCCACTTCTCCGAGCTCTCTCTTGCTCTTTCTTTCTCTTAAGTTTTTGTCAATGTGTCGATAAAAGATGTTCACATGTGGATGTGGCCCGAGATAGCCTCGGCATGAGCCACCCTGCCCATCAACGCAACGTGGTCCGCCACGTTCTTCAATGATAACCGGGCGTTCTCGCTTGCTTGCGCGAAGTGGTGCGTGACGTACTTGATACCCGTCTCCGCCGAGAACTCCTTGACGTACGGAATGCACTTTCGTAGGTTGTGCCTTGGGACGCGAGGGAAGAGATGGTGGATGGCTTGGTATTGAAGCCCCCCGTGGAACCAGTCCAAGTACCACGGGCACTCGACATCCATTGTTGTGCGCAACATCTTCGCAGGGAAGGTTTCGTCCTTGCCGAGGTCCTCGAAGGACATCGAAAAGTGAGACATGTTGATCTGGATGTGGAGGAATACGGTACTCATGTGCGAAATGAGGATCCACATGAGTTTGTAGCGGATACCGGGTATCTGGTATACAACGGTGCCGAGCCAGGTGAAGTAGGAAGCCATCAAAATCATCTCGGTGGACCGCTTCTTGTAGTTGGGCTCGGTGAAGAGGAACTGCCACGAGAGGAAGTAAAGGAGGAAGCGTCCAAAGAGCAGCACGATGTAGTAGTAAAGATGTTGGAAGGGGATCAGCAACTTTGCAACGTCGTCGAAGACAATCGTCCTGTTGTAGTAGGACGAGTAAACGTCGTTAAGGAAGCGCTTCGAGAGGGCGAAGAACGGAAGTTGCTGGATATCCGGATCGTGCTCGGGGTGGTTGGTGGCGATATGGTGCACATAATGACTCTTCTTCCACCAACCAATCGATAGACCACCACAGAAATCGCCAAGGAAAACACCGATCCTCGCGTCGGTCTCACGATCGTGCGTAATGCCGTTGTGACCAGCGTCGTGGGCGGTGAAGGCAGTCTGATGCCAGAAAGAGCCCATGAACAAGGCACTTAGGGCGTAGTGCCACCACTGGCTGCCGTAGACGATCAGTAACACTGATGAAGTCCAGCATGTGGCATACTGGATAGCATGCGCAACATAGTACCACATGTTCGTCTCGAACAAGCCGGCAGCTTTGATCTTGTGTTCCAGTTTCTTGTAAGCTACGCGGATGCGTTCCTTCTCCTTCAGCACAACCTTTTCTTCGTCGGTCGGTGGTTCGGTAACGAGCTCCCCAACAAAGTACCGGGGGAGACGTTCATCAATCACCCATCGAGGGTGCAGGCCGTTGATTTCATCCGTGGCGTCGCAGCCGGCCATGTGCTTCACAACGAGTTCGCCTCCCGGGTGGAACTTCAGGAATGGTGTAGCATTGTAGACTTTGCCTTCGTAAATAACAAGGGTTTCACCGTTGGCTACACGCTCGTCGACGGCACGCTTAGTGATGACCTTTGGTGGTGGAGATACACTTCGGGAGCGGTCACTGCCCGAGTCGGCGAGGTGGAGCTTCGAGTCATGACGCTTGATAAGACGGGGCTCTTCCATACTGGGCAAAGATCGAGAAGACTTCGAGGGTATCGATACGCTGATAGTAAGCACGGCAATTGAAACGAGGAGGCTGGTAAGCAAGAGGACATTCACCCTCGCGGTAGGTCGCAAGCCGAGACACCGCAATTACTGACCTCGAGAGCGCTGTGAAACCAATGACGAGTGGATATGTTGAAGCACGTTCAAGCGTTACGCACGAGACGCCCGACGCGAGAAGATACCCAAGCTGAAACTTGCGACCGAACAAATGGACCCGGGAGTGTCTCGAAGTCGAGTGCTGTGCCAATGCCTATGCAAGAAAGGGGCCCTGCTGAACGAGCCGAGACTTCAAAAAGTGCGGCCGCTTATATACAGGGTGCGTAGTATTACCCCAATCCGCTTTCGTCCATATGGTTTGTTTGGTAGTCGCACACGGGCCTGAGCTGGATCTGGAAGGCGCGTTGGGCCGCCAAGCAAGCGGCCCAAGCAATATGTCGCATCCCCATCAGCTCACACATTCAACTAACTTTAGCACGCACAACGCGAGAACGGGCCATGGGAAGGGCCGCTACCGGAGCCTCGTAGCTATGCCCCCACGGGCCTACCAACCCTGCGGCCCCAGGGCACCCTCCGAGGGCACTGCCTCACGAGCTGAGAAAATGATCCCATACCATCACCCTGAGTCGGGCCAGTTTTTGCTGGGCCCCGGTATACGAGATCACGTTTTCGTCTACCGCTTCCGCGGATCAGTCTCGATCGGCGATTAACATACATACGGAAACATCGAGGCGCCGAAGGTCCGAAAACATCGCCCGCAACCGCTGACGATACATAGTGCTTTCTCGAAGAACATATAAACGTACTCGGTCTTCCGCCTGACAACCGATGCTCAATAGTGCGACCACCAGCTTATCTTGGTGATTTACATGCGGGTGGAAGAAGGGAGGTTTTCGGGGTGCTGTCGAGTGATGATTGAGGATGCTTCGTCTTCGCGATGCACCGAAGGAATCATGAGCTTGGACCCTTTTCCAGTATTCGGCAGCGTCGATGCCATCTCAAGTTTCTCCACGTATCCAGAGCGCTCATAAGTGGCTGCGTTCATGGCAGAGGCAAAACCTTTGCATTTGCAGCAGGTGCGGAAATCAAAGACGACTGAACTGCACGAATACGACAGATTTATGTCGGTAAACCGTCGTTCTCATTTGGAAGAAGGGCCTCACGACATCGCGAGGAAGCTGCACCCGCTAGAGTGCAGTTTAGCCGAGTTTAAGGTTACGCGTGAACTTAAATAGACTCAAGGTTAGGTTATGGTTATGGTAAGTCACCGGCCCCCTGGTTAGGATTAGGGTTATACGGTTAGGATAGGGTTAGGGTGGGTGGGGGCTTGCTTAAGGAAGGGGTCAGTAATTTATTGAAAATAAATATATTATTTAAATGGTGACCCTTAACCGGGTACCTTAAATCCGAAAACCCACTACAGTAAACTGCACCCTTACCGCTGCACCCCTGTGATGAGGGCACGATGCTCGCGGGAGTGCTGATATGTGGACAGTGTGCGATGCGCCTTTCATGTGCACTCAGCGCTTCAGAGCTTCTGGACCAGGATCTCTAAGAAATTCGTGCATATAACGATCCTCGGAATGCAGTTTGGCTGCAGGCCAATAGCCTTCCTTATTAAGAGTGTTGATTTACGATGGCATAATGAACCTTTTTGGGCTGATCCAAAGCATCCGATCTATCTGCATCCCAAGAGGCGGGACTTGGATACGTCTGGCGCAATGTCTAAGGGGTTCCTTCGAACAGAAACGCTCGCACAGTTGAAGGACTTCGTCAGACTTTTGAAGCACGCGTCGATATCCTGCCCTACACGTGGGAGAATGTGAGAATTTAGGAGAATTTACCCACATGGAACCATAGAACGATGACTGGCCAGGCCAGTGTCAGTGTCCCTCGCACTACGCACTTCCTGGGGGATCCTCAGCGGAGATATGTCTTATGGCATGCAACAGGTATTGCCGTTGTATTCCGATGGAATGCCGAGTACTTTGCCGCCATCGTTGACTATTCTTCTCGAACACGCTAGTATTTGCGCAGATATATGCCTGGACAGTGTTATCTCGGCTATACAAGCTGTTCAAGTTTTTTGCTCGCTTCATAACCGGAAAGTCTGAGTTGGTGGGTTCGCAGTGGGAGATCATGAGTATTTGTGTAGCCATCGCTGACTTTGCCGTGGAAGGATAGAGGCGCCTCTGCGAGCCGGCAGCGCAAGCTCGGGGATCAAGGAGCGATTCTATCCCTCTTGTAGATCTCCCGCCGCAAAGTCGACCGTCTTCAAGTAAAGACGCCACGAACGAGTCCTTCTTAGCAGCCCCGAGAAACGAACATGTCAGCGGATACCTAGTGTATCGCGTAGGTGTGGAAACCAAACCGAGCAAATTGCCGGATGGCGCATGATGAACGCAGGTCTGACTGGGAGCGGCTATGTCCTGTATTAGAATGCTCGCTGGCCGCGTCAACGCAGCTGATTGGGGAGTGGCGGGACATGCAGCGGTTCGATGACGATGGTGAACAGGCGATCGAGTCAGTTATGCGGAAGAAGGGGTTTTCTACACATGGGGGTGCTTTCACGTAAGATAAGGATTACTTGGGCGACCGTGACCTACTCGGCGGGTCATCTGTTGAACCGATTTGCCTTAGGTCCCCGGCATCTTCGAACTTCCGCCACTGTGTCCGTGAGATTCGAGCAAGCTACGCTGTGGTGGATATATTGCAAAAACGGGCTGCTACAACGTTCGATAGCGGTGATGCACAGCATGAGAAGATGTTGCTTGAGGTAGGATCCTCCGTCATCAAGAAGGTGGATTATATGGACAAATCTCACCATACGCTATGAACCACTGAACATACAGTTCTGGAGGTTGGCGAAGCCAAACGAAACCTTGAGGAACCGCATCTCGGACCAGTGGCAGACGATAGGGTTCCAAGGGAAGGATCCTGCGACAGACTTCCGCGGCATGGGCCTTCTGGTGAGGGTCCGGAATTGTACCCTGTGACGAAATTCTCTACTAACATTTCGCTACCGCAGGGTTTGGACAATCTGATATACTACGCGCGACATCATCCCAAGTCGTTCCAGCGAGTCTTGGAGATCTCGCATCACCCTACTGCATGGTAACGCACACAGACTGGAATCTGGAACCTCGCGAAGGTGAACTCATCCGCTTTTCCTTACATCGACTCCCAGGTTCTCGATGTCCATCGTGGGAATCAACATCACAGGCTTTGTGTTGGAACTCGCACGAAAGGGAAAACTCCAGCTCTTCTTCTATACGTTCGGTTCTTCGGAAAATACGTTTGGAGAGGTCTACTCTTACATCTTCGACGGGTTTGCACAATTCTGGGATGCGCAACATGGGATCACCGTAATGGACTTTAGTCGGATGTTCAAAATGTTCCAGGGAGTAGTGAAGTTAGACATCGCGACAATGAGGCGGCCAACCTTACTTGGCTACACGGAAGAGGAAGATGGCGGGGAGGAAAAGAAAAGACTTTGAAGCTATCAACGGTCGCTTCAGTGAACGAGCTGATCCAAAAAGAGGTATTGCATTCTTTGTAAGAGATACTGTAGATCAACAGAGACAGACGTAGGTCGCGGCCATCGTTTCCTGTAATCTGTCAAAATTGCCGTTCTGTGCAATGCGCGCCGGGCCATTCGAGTAAATCACTTCGCCGCCTAAAGGATTTTCACCTCGAATGCGCCGCCTCTTCAGCCAGATAGTACGAGTGGTAGACTGCAAAGTGGTCGGGATGGTGCGGCTGTCGTTGATCATATGACTTGTCGTGCTGTAGAGCCGATCGACGAACCGTCGTGGCTTGAGCGATCTCCGCTGCGACCCTGTTGTTTTCCCTCCGATACGACGTTTGATGTGCGGCTGCCACTGCCTCCGCTGGTGATAGGTGTGTTTTATTTCCCGCTATTGCGTTCGTTTGTTGCGTTTGTTGTATGTTATGCAACGTAACCATATGTGCTTCGAGACTAAGACGGGTGACCAGGTGTGAGTCTTGGTAGAAATGTGAGGGGAGGTGCACTACAAACCGTCGTACCTTTGTTGTGACCGGAAAGAACGCATGCAGGACGGGCATTCCAGCTGGATCTGGACCCCCGTGTCGGGCGAAGTTGAAGGATCCAGGTCGGGATGCGCCGACTCCATGTGCCCGAGATACCCTTGCGGGGTTTTGTATTGCTTCCGGCATGCTATTGGCCAGATACGGGCGTTAGCAGACCGGATCAACTGATCACCAGTCGACAGGTGATGAGCTCTCACCAGTGCATTTGTATATTCTGACGCCCGTGGCGAAGTCCTGATCATGTGATGTTTCGTCGATGATGTGGGCGGCCCATGCCTGGGGATTCGCGTAGATTTGATGACATCCCGAAACTAATTTCATGCGTTAACACGGTTTCCCATAAGACGCTGGCAAGCTCTGCACCCTGCGGTGGCCTTACCAGCACACTTGTATGCTTTCAAGCCTGTAGCCGAGTCGGTATCGACATAGTGACCGGCCATAGGTTCCATATCGGTATGCGACGTCTCAATGATGTGTCCCGCCCATCCCTGAGGAGTCCTAGAATTGAGGAGCCGGCCGGAAGTCAGTTTCTGTGCTGGAAATGGCTGACTGGCTTGCGGGCATCTCGAAACCGAAAGAATAGGGCCGCCACATTCTTCGTAACCTACCTGTAACTCCGACGGCATCCGGAAACTGGTTGATGCATCGTCGTTAGCATGATTACGAAAAGACAGGGAACTTCCAGCTCACATCGTAGTACCAGCGCATTTGTAAGGCTTGAGCAAGGTGGGTGAAGATGCTTTCACAGTTTGTGCAGATATCGGCTCCATATCCGCATGCGCCGTCTCGATATGCCCACTTAGCCCTTGAGGTGACTTGAAAGAAGATGAACATACTGGTATAGCAAGCTATTAGTTACATTCGCCTGCTGCGGTCCGAAATTTGAAAACACACTTCCTTACCAGCACACTTGTATGCTTTGACTCCTGTGCCTGTGTTTCCTTCGACGTTATGACCAGTTGCCTTTCCTTTCGACAAATGATATGCTGCAAGAAGGAAAAACATGTCAGAGAGCGTCACCCAGCTCTAGAACAAAGATGACCTGGCCATACCCAATCCATTCGCGTTCTTATATGCCTTGTCGCAGCCCTGTACATGACGCCAGAGAGGAAGGTAAGGATGCGTGCCCCGAATGGGATAGGGATACTTTTCTATCTAACCTTGTAGGGACAAGTGAAGGGCTTCTCGACTTCAATATCTGGTTGTTTCTTCGGCGTTACTGGTGTGGGTGGCCTACAAGCGTCGTGGTTCTTCTCGATGTGATAGGCTGGAAGCAAATCGTTCTAAGTATAATCTCCTAAGGCAACGGCAGCTGGCCAGTCGAGCGGCCAATACCTAGCCCATTCGAGTTCTTGTAACTTCTATCGCAGCCCTTTATGATGCACTTATAAGGTCTGGGATCGTCCAAATCCATCGGCTGCGTCGAATGCGACACTTGACTATGGTATAGAAGCCCGTTGAGCTTTTTGTATTTCTTCTCACAACCATCGACGATGCAATGGTAAGGCTTCCCATTCTCGTCGTCCTCTACTATTCCGTCCATGAGGGGTATGTGCTCTCTCGGCGCGGCTGCCTTCTCCGGTGTGGTCCCAGGTGTTCGACTTTGTTCCCCATGAACCAACGTTGCGACTCGAATTTGCCAAGGAGATGGCGTGTAGCCGAACTGACCGACTGGCCCTTGACCAGGGGACAGCTGAGGGCCTGCGGTACGTTCATGAGGGGTCCCCTGTGCTGCGTTGACGGTGCGTGGTCTCCGTGCTTCATCAAGCAAATGCGTCAAAGCATTCTGTTCCCGTACGTCGTGTGTCACTTTCGCCCGCTTGGCATTGTTCTCAGACTCCTCCCCGCTCGGCCTCTTTCGGGAACTTGTTGAAATAAAGTGTCCCTCCTCGACGGGCGTCATTCTTCAAGAGTCCTGCAGGTCGCGGTGTTGTGGGGAATTGTGGGGACGTCCGCAGGTCACACGGAGGACTTCCTCCCTTTCTCAGATAGAATGCTACGACCAAGCCTGACAAGCAGGAATTCAAGGCCAAAGTATGCACAGTGATATGTGATCAGGGAGGGGTCTTGTCGAGTGCGACGATGCGAGGGAAAGAAAAAAAAAATTCGACTCGGAGACGCGACCCGACGTGCCCGGCTTCACAGGGTGACAAACATATGCGACTGCCCTACTAGCGACCACATAAGGGTCGGCGCGTGGAAAGAGTGTGGATTACGCTGAGGAACAATCGGCAAAAAGCAACGACACTTTTTTTTTCAGAATGCATTTTTGTCTAATGTCACGTGAATAGAAGAGTTAATATCAAAGCCAGCTTTACTCGCCGCTGCAAAATGGCACTCCGCTTCAACATCTTTCGAAGCGCAATCGCAATTTGACCTTGAAAACAGGAACATACGTTTTCAAAAGAGAAGGCCGTCGGACACTTCAGCAACCTCAACGAACTTTCCGCCTTCTGAAACCCCAATCTAACGTCAAACCCCCACGCAATGTCCGCCCCAGTCCACGACCCCACCATCGCCATCACCTCCGTCCCCCGCTTCTCCCCCGTCGCCCTCCGCTCCAACATCTCCACCCTCCAATACGCCCGCTCCTCCCTCGCCTTCCTCTCCGGCGCCGCAGCAGGCATCCTCGGTCTGCAGGGCTGGCTGCACGGCTTTCTCTTCTACGCCGCCTGCTCGCTGATCATGTCGATCTCGCTGTGGGTGAAATCGGGGTTCGCGCCAACGAAATTCTTCCCGACGGCGGAGGCGGTGTGGACGAGCGAGGTGGCGGGGAACGCGTTTAGTTATTTGCTGTTTTGGACGTTGGCTTATGGGCTTGTGCATGTCTATGATTGAGTTTGGGACGAAAATGTGGACGACGAATGCTACAAGGCTGGGCGATCGAAATGCACTTAACGGATTTTATGCTTACACTCGGCACACGGACGATCGGCACATCTGATACAACCCACGAACGACCGCGATTCACCAAAGACCGCATTGTGAGCTATTTGGCTGCGAGATAGAACGAGAAAATGGCCAAAGTCGAGCTTCCTGACGTCGGCTGTTTGCTATCCTGCGCGCACATCATACCCAGCGGCGCACCTTTTGTAAATAGATCTTTTGACGAGACGCTTGACGCATCTTCGAATATACCGGGGCTCTATGGCTTGGTACAATTAGCCACTGAGTTTATGTCAATTCCTGACGAGACATCTGATTGGCGGACGAGCAAACGTCGATTCCCCACACGAGGGAGCCAGAAAAGCGCATACACACATCAACGCAAGGAGCAGACTATCACCGAAACGGAAGAGTTTCCCGCGTGTTTCTCATACTTACACAAAATTAGAAACACAATCGCTGTCTGCGCCAAGCGCACGACCAATAGTTACACCTCTCACACCGGAGACCTCCATAGAGGGGCTCCCAACGCCGCCGCTACATAGATGTGGACATCTGCCATCCCCCGTGTGGCACTCTAGTACATCCTTGATGGGTAAGGCTGGATACTGCTGATGGGCAAGGCGGACTCGATCGCAGCAATGTCGAGGCCGTTCTGTTTCGCAACTGGACCTGTTGATGGAGGGGGTCAGAGTCTCAAATCAGGTACTGAGCAATACAATCCAAGCTTACAATCACGATGGGCGAGTAGCAACGTCTTAAGGTTGAGGATCTCTTCTCGCAACTGTGTGGCTTGACTTTGCAGCGCTCCGTTGTTATCGGTGAGATGATCGACCTTAGCTTGCAAACTTTGCAACCACTGTTTCTTCTTTTGACGACATTTGAGAGCCGCTGCAAAATGATCCATAGCTTATTAGCACGCAGTCAAGCGTCATATGCACATCGTAGTATGAACTACATACCCTGACGATTTCGTTCCAAGAACGTCTTCCGCTTCTCTTCCGGGTCCATATCATCATCAGATTTCTCTCCCTCCTCACCGTCGCCCTTGCTCGACGAGCCAGATGTCTTCGACGGTTCCGAGTCCGCCTTTTTCTTTGTGCCACCATTGTTATGCCGTTTGCTGCTGCTAGACTTTGAAGGCCTCCCTGGCGTTTCCACTGTCTCCGCGGCAGGCATCTCATGACCTCGCCCACGTTTCTTAGATGTCTTCGTGTCGCTCTTCCTTGCTGCAGACTGTTTGTTCGGGAGCAGTTCCTCTGCAAGCCACTGAGTAGCTGTCGGAGTGGGAGGAACCGGTTTTCTCGACCTATCGGTATCGTTCCGCATATCTAGCAACGCAGCGGCAGCTACTTGCGGCGATGTCGGTTCGTACGCAGCGCGGGATTGGTCGGGCCTCATCGTTTCGTGAGGCGCTTCAGAAAGATACGGTGGTCTGTGTTGGTCTGGCGGCATGTACATCATCGCTTGTGGATGCTGGTGTGGTGCGGACATTGAGTACTGTTGCGTCGGATCCGGCATAATGTTCTGCGGGAGGCCGGGATGCACAGCAACCATAGGGACCGTTTGCTGATGTGGTATTTGATCTTGGTAATTGTATGCAGGAGGGACCATTCCTCGAGGTATGTCGGACGCGACATGAGCCACTGGACCGCGCGGAGCCGGATGCACAAATTCCATTGGCCGGTGAGGTTGCATATCGTGTGATGGTAACGGATGCTGGTGGTGATGCTGCTGCTGCTGATGATGCTGGTGCTGGTGATGGGGATCGTGGAGACTAATGTGCTGTGATGGATTCGGATGCAGTGGTAGGCCCAGAGACGCTAGCGTGGCACTCAAAGGTGTGAGCATTCCCATTCCTCCTGGCCCTGGGGTGAAACCAGTCCTGAAGCCATAGTTGTCCGGAGCTCTCGACGTGGGTATCAGTGGGGGAAGAATAGGGTTGGGACTGGACGCGAAGCCGGACCCGCTTGGCGGCTCAGCGCGCTTGCCCTGCTGTTGAGCGGAGAAGCTGAATTCGAAAGGATTTGGTTCTGCCTCCAGATTCGACGACGGTGTCAGGCCTGTCACAAACCGATTTGGCGTGGTAGCTATCGTCACTAATGGAGATGGTGAGATGCCGGGAGGGAAGTCCAACAGAGATTGCCGTGCCGAAGGAAGGGGGAGAGTGAAAGAACCAGGCGTCCCACGCGATTCTGCCATGGTTTTCGCTGGTGGAGATAGCCTGGGCAGCGGTGAGACTATTTTCGGAGTATTCACGCTCTTCGCAGCAGGCGCAGGTGAAGGATTCCTCCCCGGAGACCCATCCCGTCGGTACTCAGAGCCTGAACGAGCGACAGCAGCCATCGCGCTAAGGTCTTGCTGAACAGTGACAACTTTCCACAATCTGCAAGCGTCTAATGAGCGAGATGAAGGTTGAGGGTCGGCTTTTCGAAGCTTCGTTTTAACTGTGTTTCCGGGAACACGCGAACAGTCAAGTGCGAACGTTCTCTGGGGAATCAAACGGTAAGTAGGTGGAACGGCCAGAGCCAAAACGTTCACGTCCCATTTCCCCAAAAAGAGTGCCATACTGGGTAGATTGCACCAAACGGTGTTGATAGACACAGTCTTGCTAACCCGTCGCTCCTGGACAGGCGTGGAGTAGCTTAATATATGGTGACCGCTGTTCGAATGCCGGTAGCCGTCCTTCGCTGACAAATGCACGTCGTCGGCGCTGCGTAGCGATGCATTCAAATAGGATGGGGAGTGTGTTGTGAGGGCCACCGCTGTTGTCGGTCCAAAAAACGAGAAGATATTGCTCAATGCAGATTGGAGTTTGCTTGTGGGAGTATGGTGGTCTGGACAAAGAAGAATGGGAAAGAGTCCTGTGAGAAAACCTGAAGGGACCGCGTTTGGCAGTGACGAATGACGACAGCGTCCCCAGCACCAGCACAGGGCAGTCGTGCCGTCTGCCACTGGTTGTCGTCTTGCATATGGCAACGGCCAGGGATGGACAACTTCACAAACGCAATGCACAACTCGACCAAGGTGACTGCATCTGCACAGGACCACCATTTCGCGGGCTCTTTCAAAGGTGGGTGCGCTTACCGTCGACTACCGACTGCGGCGCTTGAAGGAGCGGGAAACTCCGTTACGGACGCACGGTCCCTATGATGTGTGATACTACTGGAGAGCGGAGAAGTGGAGACGGAGGTCGAGTAAGGGGCGGGGAGACCTTTCTTGGTTGTTTGGCACGGTATCTATTCCAGACCGAGAGGCTAAAGCGACCTATTCCAGTCTTGCGTCGAGGAAAAAGGAGAACGATGACTGTCTCCCTTTGTTTGTCGCTGATGTGCGCCGAGACCGGGGAAGACAGAAAACCAGGACAGTTAGATATCTGACCGGTACAAGAATTCCCGAGCCGATATACAGTACGCAGACGCTCGTCATGTACAGTACTGTACTGTCCAGTATAGTATGTATTTTCTTCCGGAAAATGCCTCCTGTCACGGATATTGTCGTATCGCCACGTTCCTTCAAACTTCCACTTGTCCTTGTCAAAAGGGGCATGACGCAATATCGGCATGGTGTTTCGGGCATGATCGCCACGGGCGCCTAATTAGGAGGCGCCATCCAAGTTCCCGGCTTTAGGTTCCAACTTTCCCATTTTAATGACAGCCATCCGAAATCCCGCGGCCGCTGTCAGTCTCGACTCGATTGTCAGACTGGACTTGATCATTCAGGATTATTATAATCCAGAAAGCCATATCGGCCAGACTGGCATCGGTGTTGGAAAGGTTCCGGCGGCAGTGTGGTAGATCGTTCTCACGGTATCAGGCAAATCATTCTGAAGGGTTTGAATCAATGGGGGGAGGTCGGCATTGGCCGCGGCGCCAACTGTGACGGCATGCCAAATCCAAAGAGTGGGTTTGCATTGAAAGGCCATGACTTTTTGTTGATTCTCTTGAGACGTGAGGGAGACAATAATGGGCTTTTAGCGAAGGGATAAGCAGGTCCAAGCTATTAGATCCTCTATATACTGTATATATAGAGTGTGAACCCGTCCATACAGCGCGATGGCCTCAAGAGGACGGGATGACACATTGCTTTCAAGATCGAGTTGAGTCGAGGATGATTATACTCCGACGCCGAGATGCACATCATCCACTTATCTGAGGATGCGGGACAAGGCCAAGGTATGGCGGCAACGAAGGCTGGTGCGGATAGAGGAGTGTATCGAGGCTTTGAAATGCAGGAACCACATCACAGGAGACGGCATTTGGGGAATCGAGACTGGAGGGACGGTCGGCAGGGACGCCAAGCGCATCAAATGCGAAAAGCATTACTACAAGCTTCCACTGGAACCGCTAGTTGCACGTTCCCGCTGCGTTCGCTTACTGCCGTCGCCGCTGCTCGACGTCGATCCGACTGAGAGAGGATTCGGCTCTCACTGTACACGTTTGAAAACGATCGTTCGGATGCAGAGATACGAACCTTTCCCATTTGGGGAGCGATGTTCGAGATCTGGTGGAGAGAAGGTTGGCTTGTATCTGCTTGAACCCGTTGCACATGTTTGCAGTGGGTTCATTGGCCCTACACCGATTCATTAGCACTCGAATCAATGCATCGCCAAACAATTTTGTACTAATAGATCTCAAATGGCAAATGGGAAACGTTCTTATTGCGGAAGGAAACACCAAACGAGATTACGAACTACCAACTTATAAGAAGAGTGCGGAAGGAAACACCAAACGAAATTACGAACTACCAACTTATAAGAAGAGAACGCAATCAGCGTGGTAAGAGTAGCAGACTACATGCTACAATAAAAGTCAACGAGCTCCTTGAGCTATAACTATGACTGAAGGGAAATGACAATGATCCTACACCGTCGTCGATACCCGGGGTTGGTACAGAGGGTTCTCGTGGGCCTGGTGAGGCTGCTGGTAGAGCGGGTTGCTCTGAGCATTGCTGAACGCGTTCTGGGCCATGGTAGCGTTCCCGAACCGGCCAGCGAAGGTGCCCGACTTGTAGAAGAACATACCGGCACCGCCGATAGCAGCGATACCAGCAGCGCTAGCCGCAGCGACACCCACGTAGGTTCCGGTGCTGCCGCCTCCGGTGGGACCGGTGCTCTCAGTGGCAGTAGGAGCTGCAGAGCTGCTTGAGCTGCCCGGGACGTCAGAGGTTGGGGTGGGTTCAGCGGAGGTGGTAGGAGTAGCGATCGGGGTGGGAGTTGGCTGAGCAGCGGCCTCGGTGCTGCTAACGGACACCGTGGTGCTCTCACTGGTCGAGGTCGAGGTCGAACCTGCGGTTGTGGAGGTCTCACTGGTCGAAGTGAGGATTTCACTACTGGTCGAGGTAGAGGTAACTTCCTCGGTGGAGGTCGATGTCTCCGTCGAAGACACACTGGTAGACGTGGAAGTAGGCTCCTCAGAGGTAGACGATTGAGTGGAGCTCGTGGTCGGCTCAACGGAAGAGGAGGTGGTTGTAGGTTCAGCCGAGCTCGTGGACGATTCCGCAGTCGAGCTAGTGGTCGGCTCTTCAATGGACGAGGTCGTTGTCTCGGTCGAAGACACACTGGTAGACGTGGAAATAGGCTCCTCAGAGGTAGACGATTGAATGGAGCTCGTGGTCGGCTCAACGGAAGAGGAGGTGGTTGTAGGTTCAGCCGAGCTCGTGGACGATTCCGTAGTCGAGCTGGTGGTCGGCTCTTCAATGGACGAGGTCGATGTCTCGGTCGAAGACACACTGGTAGACGTGGAAATAGGCTCCTCAGAGGTAGACGATTGAATGGAGCTCGTGGTCGGCTCAACGGAAGAGGAGGTGGTTGTAGGTTCAGGCGAGCTCGTGGACGATTCCGCAGTCGAGCTGGTGGTCGGCTCTTCAATGGACGAGGTAGAGGACTCGGTCGAGCTGGTAGACGGCTCCTCCGTCGAACTGGTAGATGCCGCTTCAATCGAGCTTGTAGACGGCTCCTCGGTTGAACTGGGGGTGGGCTCCTGGTACTCAGGTTCCTCGGTGGAGCTCGTGGCCGCCTCCTCGGTCGAGCTGGTGGTAGGCTCCGCGGTCGAGCTGGTGGTAAGCTCCTCGGTCGAGCTGATGGTAGGCTCCTCGGTCGAGCTGGTAGACGGCTCCTCCGTCGAGCTGGTGGACGCCTCCTCAGTGGAGCTGGAGATTGGCTCCTCGGTCGAGCTGGTGGTAGGCTCCGCGGTCGAGCTGATGGTAGGCTCCTCGGTCGAGCTGATGGTAGGCTCCTCGGTCGAGCTGGTGGACGCCTCCTCAGTGGAGCTGGAGATTGGCTCTTCAGAAGAGGTAGACGTCGGCTCTTCAATGGAGGTTGGTTCCTCAGTCGAGCTAACGGTAGACTCCTCGGTCGAGGTAGAGCTTGGCTCCTCAGTGGAGCTGACAACCGGCTCGACAGTGGAGGTGCTAGTTGGCTCCTCGGTGGAAGTGGAGGTCGATTCTTCGGTGGAGGTGCTAGTTGGCTCCTCGGTGGATGCGAACTCTTCAATGGAAGTAGAAGATGGCTCCTCCGTGGAGGTTAACTCTTCCGTGGAAGTCGAGGTTGGCTGTTCGGTGGAAGTCAACTCTTCGGTAGAGGTTGGCTCTTCCGAGGAGGTGGCGGTGGACTCCGCAATGGAAGTGGAAGTCGGCTCCTCACTGGACGTGGACTCCGTCGAGGTCGGCTCAGCGCTAGATGTGGACTCCTCCGTAGAAGTAGGCTCGGCGCTAGACGTGGACTCTTCGGTGGAGATAGGCTCCTCAGATGTCGAGCTAGTGGAAACTTCAATCAAGCTTGGAGTCGGTTCCTCAGAGGTCGAGGTAGATGTGGGCTCGTCGGAAGTGGTCTCGACAGAAGTGGAGGAGGTGGTTGGCTCCTCAATAGACGAGGTAGAGCTGGTTGTGGGCTCCTCCGAGGAAGACGCAGTGGGCTCCTCCGACGTGGTCTCGACGGAAGTGGAGGAGGTGGTTGGCTCCTCAATAGACGAGGTAGAGCTGGTTGTGGGCTCCTCCGAGGAAGACGTAGTGGGCTCCTCCGACGTGGTCTCGACGGAAGTGGAGGACGGCTCCTCAATAGACGAGGTAGAGCTGGTTGTGGGCTCCTCCGAGGAAGCCGAGGTAGAAGACGTAGTGGGCTCCTCCGACGTGGTCTCGACGGAAGTGGAGGACGTGGTTGGCTCCTCAATAGACGAGGTAGAGCTCGTTGTGGGCTCCTCCGAGGACGTGGAGGTAGACGAGGTAGTGGGCTCCTCAGTGGAGGACGTCGACGGTGTTGCGGGCTCCTCCGATGAGGTAGAGGTGGACGACGGCTCCTCCGATGAGGTGAACGTGGAAGACGTTATGGGCTCTTCAGTTGAGGACGTCGAAGTGGTAGTAGACTCCTCAGAAGACGAGGTAGAGCTTGTGGTGGGCTCAGCGGACGACGTCGTGCTTGTAGAGCTTGTAGTGGGCTCGGCGGACGACGTCGTGCTTGTAGAGCTTGTAGTGGGCTCGGCGGACGACGTCGTGCTTGTAGAGCTTGTAGTGGGCTCGGCGGACGACGTCGTGCTTGTAGAGCTTGTAGTGGGCTCGGCGGACGACGTCGTGCTTGTAGAGCTGGTCGTGGGCTCGGCGGACGATGTGGTGCTTGTAGAGCTGGTCGTGGGCTCGGCGGACGATGTGGTGCTTGTAGAGCTTGTAGTGGGCTCGGCGGACGACGTGGTGCTTGTAGAGCTGGTCGTGGGCTGGGCGGACGATGTGGTGCTTGTAGAGCTGGTCGTGGGCTGGGCGGACGATGTGGTGCTTGTAGAGCTTGTAGTGGGCTCGGCGGACGACGTGGTGCTTGTAGAGCTGGTCGTGGGCTGGGCGGACGATGTGGTGCTTGTAGAGCTGGTCGTGGGCTGGGCGGACAATGTGGTGCTTGTAGAGCTGGTCGTGGGCTGGGCGGACGATGTGGTGCTTGTAGAGCTGGTCGTGGGCTGGGCGGACGATGTGGTGCTTGTAGAGCTGGTCGTGGGCTGGGCGGACGATGTGGTGCTTGTAGAGCTGGTCGTGGGCTGGGCGGACGATGTGGTGCTTGTAGAGCTGGTCGTGGGCATGGCGGATGATGTGGTGCTTGTAGAGGTTGTAGTGGGCGCGGCGGACGACGTCGTGCTTGTAGAGCTTGTACGGGCGGCGGACGAAGTAGTGCTTGTAGATGTAGAAGTGCTCGTGGACTTAGACGTAGAGGTTGACGATGTAGACGACGTCGTGCTGGTTGTGCTCGTGCGGGTCGATACACTAGTGGAGGACGACGTAGTACTGGTGCTGGTCGAGGTCGAGGTCGAGGTTGACGAAGTAGAGGACGTAGACGTAGATGTGCTCGTCTTGATCGGGGTGGGACTAGGAGTAGGAGTCGGGATGACCGACACAACCGGGGGGCAGTATTCAACCATGTCAACGGTGGCTTGGAAGAAACTGTCAATGGCCTGAAGACCTCTGACCGGGTCGATCAAGTCCTGAATCGGGTATAATCGCATCATTCCGTTGCCCGCCAAGACTTGAGCTTGCAGAGAGTATCGGAACCCGTTGTTGACCAGGTTGTTATACGTCTTCTGCTGATCGAAGTTGCTGTAGTTGGCGCTCTGGCTAGCGGACTCTGGGCTTCCGAACTGCAGGATGGACGTGTGCGAGTTCGTGTTGTCGATGTCAGAGTAGGTTGCGGCAGTCTTGTGTGTGGCATTCCAGTACAGCGAAGCTCGATTGTACGAGGAGATCGGGTTAGCGGCGTTCGCATTGATGTCGGAGCGCATCAACATGTTTAGTTGAATGCCGCCTTTGATGATGAGACCGGCGACGAGATCAACCTCAGCTTGGTATGCGGCATCCAGAACAACTCGGTCCTTGGTCGCACGAACGTACTGAGCGTAATCGCCGGTAATACCACCAGATACGGGGTATGAGGTCCAGAACATCCTATTGTCAAATGTGGGCTCAATCGTCAAAGATGAGCAGGCGTAAGAAGTCTGACCGGTGGAGGAGACCAGCTTGTAGTAGTAACTCGCGCAGAGGGCATTTGCCGTGGTCTGGCCAGACAAGCGATAGCTAGCTTGAGTGGGAAGGTCGGAGTCTTCATCGGTGGCCAAGATGATTGAGCGAGTTGCATTGGCGCGCCACAATAACGAGCATTGAGCGCTGGTATAACCGGTTCCGCAAGCCTTGCCGAGCAGCGGGTCATTGACTAAGGACATCCGAAGAGTCTCGAATGCAGCCTCTTGACCACCCTTGGTGCAGCCAGTAGCGTCGAGAACATTTTGAGTGGCAGCCGAATCGGACTACGATTGGAAGAATGGTACATCAGTGATTTGTGACTCGATAACCTTTCTACGAGGCTAACTTACCGTGAAAGGCTGCACAATAACGGGGTTTCCGCCGTATAGAACGATACCAAAGCGAGCGTCCGTGGTGTTGGCGGCCTTCAACCGCGCAACGAAGGTCGCCATACGCTTGGTAATGACATCGATGTAAGGGCACATAGAACCACTAGCATCAATGACAAACAGGAAATCGGTCGCCCCGTAGCGCGAAACGGGACGGGTGGTGCAGTTCTGACCAGTTGTTGTTGCAGCCTGAGAGGCGGGGACCGTCAAGCAGGCTGCTGCGACCAAGGCTGCTTTCGTCCAGCCCATTGCGAATGGAGAACGCATGTTTTTGAAGGGTATAGATGGTATCTGTTGGTGAAGGTGCGGGTTGTGGTGATTGAGCCGATTTGTAGAGAGGGGGTATAAGTCCTCGCTACTCTTCGGTAGGCAAGCTTGTCACAGTAGCGTATGAACGTAAAGGAACTAGAGAGGAAGGCCAACAGCACGAGGGCGGCAGGGAACAAGGCTTATATATTGTGGACTATCCTCACGACGCCCTTTTTTTCGGTAAACAATGCCTCCATTAACAAACCTATATCGAGGTCATTAGCCACAGGCGATAAGGTAAACCTTGGACGAACGCTCAAAAACTTGCCCATTTTAGGTTGATGGCCTATTTTTGGACTCTTTCTGGCTTGCGACGGGGTTATTTATGTCAGCATTCCGACAGCGCGTAAATGACACTTCGACAGCTTTCAACAAGTAACCCCGTGCCATCAGAGATTCCGATCCCTCGTGACCTGGTTCCAATGCTCACCATCCAGGAATCCGGCAAGGTCGCCTGCCTGGCAGTAGGTCAAAATTGTTCGCTATACATTGTTGCGAATGCGTGTACAGGCCTTAAACGGCCTAGCTTTCTAGATAGAACTGCCCATGATTGAAGATATTGAAAGCATCGGAGGCACGCTTTTCCATCATTCACACACGACGGGAGCGCGAACATAATTTCGAGGATGATGTGTTATAATATATAAATGATGTAAAAGAATGATGTGAAATTGATGGCGCGGGGGAAACTTCCTATGTACGCCAGATACTCCGAGCGAATACGCCAATGATAAAGTGAGAGAGTGATTCGCAATTATGGGAGATCGTCAGTTGGGGCGATTCGGGAGTTCAGCTCCGTTCAAGCGCCGAATTTGTCGAATCGCTGGAATCTTGTGTTATAGAACGACTGGCCGGCTACCGTCCCATCTGGCAGTCGGATAACGCCCGATAACACGTACCAGGTGCCCGATTCATCACCATTTGACTAAGGAGGAAAATGACGAGGGAAAGGTTGTTAACGTGGACAGCCTGATACGCACAAACAGCGGAGAAAAAACTCACGTCTGATGGCCTGTTTCCCAACCAGCTTCCGACCTTGGCGCCGGTCTTGTCAAACACAATCAGGCGATTTTCTTGGCCGGGGGCGTAAACATAATCTCCAACCACTTGAAACTGGCCAAAGCCGACGTCGGCAGGGACCGGAATCTCAACGCCATCTAAAAGCTGCAGGGTGGCGAGGTTGATTTGCTTGAGTTTCCGAGCACCCCCAATTGTCGTCAGGACCCAGTTAGCACCTTTGTCGTCTTTCGTGAGGTATGCTGGGGAGCCGGTGACATTCACGAAGCCGAGGTATTTGCCGGTAAGAATGTCGAACTTGAAGATTCGTCCGGCTTGACAACTATTGCCTAGGAGCAACTGCTTGGCCTCTACGTGCATTAAACTGGCAAACGAGCACCAATTGCTGATGTCGGGGATGTCGTTCACGTTCACCTTTCCTTGGTTGCCAAACATGGTGATCGGCTCGTTGTAGTAAGTGCGTTGTTCGAGATCGCCGTTCGAGAACAACGTGGTCACCACTCCATCATGGACAGTAAATCCGCTGATGCCGATGTATTTGCTTTGCACATATCCATCGAAGATTTGCTCTGGTTCTGCCGCGCCGTAGGATGCGTATCGGGCCACCGTCTTTTCGTACGCCACGTAGACTTTTCCATCTTGCGCGACTAGACTGGAATCCGAGAAATCCTGGTCTACGGTGTTGACTGGCTTCCACATGTCGACGAACTTGAGGGTGTTGTTAACAGTGAACTGCTGCGTTGCGATCTGGGCCGAGTCCCCGAATTCGGCACGAATCGTCACGGTATGGACGCCATTGCTCAGCTTGCCGGTGTTGATGGCAAACGCGGATGTGAATGCGACCGGCGCTTGAGAGTCCACAAAGCCGACGAGGGACTGGGGGTCAGAGGAGAGAACCGGTTGGAATTCAATGACTCCCTCGACGTTCGTGGTGGGCTGGTCTGGTGTAAGAGCGAGAGCGAAGGTTTGGCCCGAGCTGGTGGGAGAGCAAAAGCAGGATTAGGCGAGCTAGACAGAAAAGAAAACATCGACCATGCAATAGGGTGTGCTTACCCAGGGGTACTCGTCTGGGCCGGGGCAGTGCTCGTCGATGAAGGGGTGGGGGGTGCAGTGGCGGTGGGTGCGAGGACAGGGTAATCCACAGGGACGACATAGTTCTGCCAGGTGGTGAGCGAACTAGCCTTTCATCTTCCTTCCGCTTTCCCTTCTTCTTCCTACCTTTCCGTTGTTGTTATCCCAGAACGTTCCCTTACTTGAGTCGTACCGAACGGCGTACACGACGTTTGTGGGATGTAGACCGTCGGGAAGGACGACGGTCCATGCGAATTCCTTGGTGTCCTTGGCGAACCTTGCGTCTACATCAGCAACCGTCTTCCAGTTGTCGACGCTGAAGTGCACCTTCACTTTCCCATCCTGGATATCTGCCGCAGCATCAAAGGTGTACACCCGCGCCTTGCCGGTGAAGTCGATTTGCTTGTTCGGATAATTGTCGATTGCCACGGCTGCTGGCGCGACGACTATGACGGGCTGAAGAGGAGTTGGATCGACGACGTCCCCGGGTTGGATGTTAGCGGTCGGAAGGGCGGAGATGAGCGTGGCGCACGCCGCAAGGCCAAAGGCGAGGAGGTTGGCGACCATGTCGAGGGATGTAGAGCGGACTCGGCGGACTGGTTCGGGGCGAAAGGAACCGGATGGACATCCGGTCGCTTTTTATAGCCCGGCGCTCACAGCCTGAGCGGCACCCTGCCCAGCAACTCGCAATCGATGTCGCAATCGATGAACCGCCTCGGCGATGCCACAACGTTCACCTGCGAATTCCTTGCGGCGGAGGGGTATTGAAGATGGCAAGATTGATCTTTCCTCGGATACAGAGACATCCCGGTCTTTTTTCTCATAAATCCTCCTTTGGAATCTTGCATGCTGGCATATTGTTGCTAGTGTTGATGCCCCATCCGTTGGTTGGCCAAAAACAACAACGGTAACGAGCCCGCTAGCGGCTGCAGCCGATGGTTATCTGCATCTCATACAACTCTTCAACTTTCTGATGTTTTCGGGAACCACCACCATGACCGTAGGACAAAATTATGTACATGCTGTGTGGATATCGATGGTGTACATACTGTACGAGGCCAAGTCCAGGCATCAGCGTCGGAGTGCATACAGCAATTTTTTTTTGGTTTCCTCGCCGGTCTACGAAACCGGAGTCTGAGAGCCGCATGTCCCACAGTCCCAGTGCCGTCGGCGGTGCAGTTGTGTAACCTTGTAATTAACATTGGCTCCCAGGGTGTATGGAAATGGAGGCCGGAACTTTTGTACCACGCGAACCGTTGAACGAGGCTTGGTGTGAAAGGACGGTGGAATCTGGATAATCCTGCACACGGGTGGACAGACTTCTCTTGGATCCATTTTCGCAGAGACTGCACCGATATCATGGCCAGGCGTAATCGTTCAATTCAGACTCGGTCTTGACTTTGAACACCCTATTTGTGATGTAAAGATAGGAGAAGTCCGTCAGCATTCTTCGACGTCTTCCAAATAATGCTGATAATGTGCACCTGCCCATGTGTCGTTCCACTCGTCATTCCTTCAAACCTGTTGACTGACGACTTGAAGACGTCGGAACTATTTGGTCGACTAACAGTCAGATCGCTAACGATAAACCACCACACCACATCACAGTAAACTTCAAACGCACAACACAGCGGGATAGTTACCTTAACGCTGCTCGATGCCGTGTTGGATATACGAAAGGACACTCGTTAAGACAGAGTACAAGCTCGCACTGATGTAAGTAGAAGCGATGTTCCCGACTGAGGGGGGGCCGACGGGGGTCGCCTTGTATACTCGCGGGCCTGCGCTCCTCCGGTGCACGGATTTCCATTGCGAATCGCGAGTGTCGTCCATGCCGCCGTTAGTGATGAAAATAAAGTTAGGAGCTTTGTGGCTCAATCAAGGCTTGATTAATGAATTCACCTTGAAAGCTTGAAATTGAGCTGCTGCACGCTGCATGCATGCAGGCGGGATGGGCTGATCGGTCATTTTGGCGTCATTTATTCCATCCGCCCGCATCATTGCAATCGATCGCACCTCTCACCCACTCCCCCCGGGGCTTTGAGTCCGTGACATACGGAACCTTGAGGCTTAAGGCTCATGCATAGTAGGTACTATGCGTAGGAGGTGTGATGACAGACGGGCTCGGTGTGAGTGAACCACTAGTGGGGCAGCGACACCTGCAGTTGTTGAATGTGAGAGGAATGATGTAGGCCAAGCGTCTCTTGATTCCCAGGGAAGAAACATGTTCCCAGGCAAGCGACACGTCTCTACATTTGACATTGCAAGAATAGCCCTGTTACTGACGCAGCATGCATCTGAGAAGGGTTCTACATACATATCTATCGTGAAAGAGATTGCTAGAGTACTTGACGCCGTGGTTCTCGTCAAACAGGGGTACGCTTAATTCCTGGCGTGGGTCCAAGACATGAGCATCTCGTACACCGCCATCACTGTGTATTTGCGATTCTCCGCTTCTTGGAAGACAATGGATCGGTTTGGGTTGTAAAACACCTGGTTTTGGACAAGTGGAGGTCAGCCACGGCACTGTGTTGCAATATGCACCACCACGCAGGATGCGAACGCTCACCTCGTCATCCACCTCCTCAATCTTGCGCGGCAAGCAATGCATAAACTTCCAATCCGGCTTACCGCCCCCATCTTTCACCATCTTCTCAGTAATCCTAAACCCATCAAAATCCTTTATCCGCTTCGCCTTTTCGCTCTCTTGTCCCATTGACACCCACGTATCCGTGATGACAAAGTCGGCGTTGCGCACGGCCTCCCGCGGGTCCTTTGTGAAGTGAACGGTGCCCTTCTCCGCCCCGCCCGTGGCTTCGCCAATGGCAAAGTTTACGACATCTGCGTCGCAGTTGTAACCTTTCGGTGTAGCAACGGTGAGCTCGATGGGACCTAAACGCGGTAGCGAGACGAGAAGGGAGTGTATGATGTTGTTGGCGTCACCGATCCATGCTACCTTCAACGGCGGAAGGAGCGGTAAAGGTAGATCGGAGGAGGTGGGTTGAGTGAGGGCATTTGGCAGGCTAGACTCGTAGAGCGTCATGATGTCGGCGAGGGCTTGAAGCGGGTGATATTTGGCGGTGAGCGCATTGATGACTGGGACGGAGGAATTCGCTGCGAGGATCTGTTTGATGTGAGAAGCTGCACTATAAGCCGGAGACAACATACATCAAGGAAGAGCATACCTCGATTTCCTCATGCCCTCCCATCCGGGCCAAAATCACGTCCACCATGCTGCTGACAACAATCGCCGTGTCTTTCAAGGGTTCCCCACCTCCGATCTGGATGTCTTCCTTCCCCAGAAACATCGAATGCCCTCCATAATAAGCCCAGCCGGTCTCTGCTGACACTCGCGTCCGCGTGCTGCGTTTCGTAAAGATCATCCCCATTGTGCGACCAGCCAGCGCCTGTTCCCTCGACCGCGCCTCGGACGGATGGCTGCGAATGAGTTGTTTCAGTTCCAGGGAGCGACGGATCAGCTGCAGGATTTGCGGCGTTGTAAAGTCTCGAAGCGTCAGAAAGTGTTTGGTGTTCGCGAAACTAGGGGACGCATGGGGCTCGTCGTAGTAGTTTAGGGAGGCTGCTGCTTGGGATAAAGGACGAAAGCGGACTGCTGTGCATGTCGCCTTCAAACATTCCACCGACTTTCGTGTTGCCACTCGGCCTATCATATTGCTGGTGCTCCTTCTGGGATATTGGGTTGCGATGTCGTCTGCGAAAGTTCCCACGGTAGAAGAGGACCCAATGACGTGAGCACGTTGAAATGGGATAGCTCCCCATATACTATCGACACTGAGTCCACATACCTGTAAGACCTTTGCTATATATTACAGTATCTGGACGATGGCGGGTCGTCCGTCCGCAGCTCTGTCTTTATCAATGACGAGCTCTCAGTATACCGATGTCTCGGCCGTGCGTGGGGTCTTTTGAAGCGAATTTTGGGCGACGTTCCAAAGCGCGCGTCCCAATGACTCGATGATTATGGGGAGATGTGATTCATCGCATATTCGTCGGTCCTCATATCCATTTGCTTGAGTTGCTGTTGCAAAAGGTTGCGAGGATGGATTCCCCACACATTATTGCATGTAAGCGGTCACCCTGATGAGGGTGGGGAGTGGGGGCGACGAGGAAGGATGATGTTCCAAGTCCAAGATCATCCTTCCCTTCCGAAAGCAAACCGTCGACTTTGAATGACAGGAAATGTTCAATGTTCTTTGATTAGTTCCATCTCCTACCCCTGAGAGTGAGACTCTCGGGCATCATATTGACTATGCTACAGTATGTCGCTGTTGCATTAGGCATCTGTGCCTTTCCTGTGGAGCCTACCCATGGTGGTGGCAATGGATGATGGTCTGGGCAAGTTGCCAACGCCTTTTCGACAGCGGAGGAGCCACAGCGGCCACTCGCGCGCGTGCCCGTGCCTCATTTGGTGGCCTGCTGCTCTGCTGCTGATTTGCTCTCCACCGGGATCCCGCCCCCAAAACTGGTTTCGGTACGTATTTGGCCGCAGGTTTCGCCTCGTGGACGACAGAATCAACGCAATTGCGGAGGCTAAAGAGACCAAGTCAAACGAGTTTCTTCTTCACCGTGCGAGTACCATGTTGGTACGGCCCTGAACTCTGAGAACCAGCGAAGTCGGACTTATCGGAGCGCAGCTCAAAGGCTTGGCATAATTCACCCGCGAACCTACTAACTCGGCGACACACCGACAACAGAGTTCAGAGGATAGCGAAAGGAAACGACGCTCTATGAGACTCCGCACATTTAGCGGGCCCTCACGGGTCCTGCAGGTTATTGCGCTGCTTTTCGGTAAGGACTCAAAGCTGAGGCCCATTCTCGCCGGTCGTCCCGAAGGTGCTAACATCTTTCCCCGTTTTCTCAGCACTGGGTCTGCAAGTTCCCACAATCCTCGCCGGCAACCTGACACTATCCTGCCACCCCCACATCTGTCCTGCCTCCATCCGCTACAACGACACCGTCACGATAACGGCCGCCTGGACGCCAACCACCCCCAACACCGTCCTCCAAAGCGTCGCCCTCTCCTACAGTCTCTACTACGTCCTCCCCAACACCACCAAAGGCACAACCCCACATACCATCTCATATACCGGCCCGTTCCAACTGAAAGTCGAAGGATCAAACAACCTCACCTTGTCTGTCTCACCCCGTACGCAGCTGAATATGACGCAGCCGCTGCCTGTCCCGGCGGTGATGAAGGTGACTGTGCAACTGAGGGAGAACAACGAACATGATGGGACATTTGCAGGGGGTGGGTTGCTTGACGGACCGATCATGGTGGTGCGGAGCGCAAATGGGTCGGTGTTTGCGCCCCCGACGCCGAAAACGATTACCGAGACGTCGACGGTATCTGCGGCCGCCCAGGCTACACAACCAGTCACCGCTGCTGGACCGGCGCCTACGCCGAAGACGGTGGTGGTGGTGAAGAACAGCGGTGGGGTAGAGAGAGCCTGGGCGCCGGTCGCTTTCATGGTCCTTCCCGTCACTACGTTGTTTGCACTGGCGCTGTGATTTCTGTGATTCTTGTTCTGTGCTCTTTTTGGAGGACTTTCTATGACTTTGATTTTTCGAGGGACTTTCTCGATTCCTTTGAGGAATTTGGCGTATATACCGACGTTTTGTTGCTTCATAGACCCTAGACACTTTCACCATCTGTAGAAACTTTCTCTCCGTAGCATTGTGATGTGTATTTACAGTGCAAAATTTATCGAAAATCGCTCGATGCCACAGATACGCCGCATGGGATATGATATGGGGTTGGTATCTGAAGAGACGGCCGTTATGCTACGAAGTAGATCTAGAAACGGACCTAAAAAGCAAGCCTCATTCTGCCGCATGGGAAACCCCCTAATCCAGCTCCAGATTGCCCAAAAGCTGGCCAACATCTCCAGTCTCCACCGGTCGATCTTTCAACAACTCCGGCTTGACCATCTTCGAATACCCTACCGTATGCCCAATCACCAGAACAGCCGGTCCACTGACCCTCCTCCTCTCCACCTCCTTATGAATCGTCTCCAACGTCGCATCCAGCCTCCTCTCCCCGCCGCCTGCGTTGCCCCAGCAGCCTTTTTCCACGACCGCTGCAGGGACGTCTTTGGGGTACCCCGCGGCCAAGAGTAGCTCGACGACCGTGGTTAAGTTCCCGACGGCGTTGAGCACCACGGTGGTTCGCTTGTCGTAGTAATGTGGTACATGGGAGAGTTTGGTATTCTCTGCGCCTCCAGAGAGCACAACGATTTGGTCCGCCAGTCCGCGATGCGTGAGGGGTATGAACGCGTTGGCCGTGACTGCCGTCGCAGCAGTCAACCCCGGCACGATGGTCGGCTCGTACCCATTGTCACGGAACGCCTTAACCTCCTCTGCGCCCCTCGCAAACACAAACGGATCGCCGACATACAACCTCACAACCTCCTTCCCCCTCGCCAGCGCCTTCAGACACGTATCGAGCGCCTCTTCCTGAAACTTGGCCTTGGTCTTCGGGTGGTACGAGAACGGCGGGATGTGCAACTTTTTGTGCGGAACCAGCGCAAGCACCTGGGAATGGACGTCGGGGTCTGCGATGACGAGGTCGGCTTTGCGGAGATGTTCGAGGGCGCGGAGGGTGAGGAGGTCGGCGGGGCCGGGGCCGGCGCCGATGAGGGTGATGAAGCCGCGGGGTTGGAGGGCGATGTAGATGGGGAGGGGGAAGAGGTGGAGGCTTTTGCGAGTGAGGTGGGATAGGGGGTCGGGGAGGATGCGGAGACCACTTTCGATGACTAGAGACGAACGTTGTTCAGGTCAAGGAGATCTTGTCATCCTCCAGCGCTGATAACAGTACATACCGTCCTCCATACGCTCCTTTGCGTGATGCACATACGCTGAACCCCTGTCCTTCACCGCACGCACATACGTCGATGTGATGTCCAGCGTCTGATCCTTGATGCTCGATGCCGTGTGTACAGTTCCAACAACCGTCGACGTCGTCATGTTATACGCGCTTCCAGACGCCGACGCAACAAGATCCAATACGCCTCCGACAAGCGGGAGTGAATGCGCCATCGACACTATGCTCCTTTCCGGTCGTTGAGATTTCATCACTTCATGCGCATTCTTACTGCTCTTGTTTGGCAAATCGAATTTGTTCAGGTGCACGGCTTTGCTTCCCTGAAATTTCTGCCCACCGCCATCCGACAAGCCCAAAATCTGCTTATCATCCGCCTTCAGTATCTCCTCACACAAAGACTTCCCCCACTGTTTCGCCAATGTCTCCAGTTTCCGATCCACAGCCTCGGGATCCGTCTCCGTCTCCAGCAGCTTTTCCCTCAGCGCGCTAAACCTAGCCAGCATCGCGTCCTCGCAGTTGGGTATTTCGCGTCCTACAGCCAGTCTCAGCTCGTCGCCTTTGCGCGCCGGACTTGTAGGCACCTCGCCCGCGACGCCATCCGCCGCTTCGACGGATAAGTCATGCCGTTGGTCAGCTATGTGGAAATCCGATAGGTCCGGATGGGCTAAGCAATCGACCGGGATCTGTTTCGTTTTACTCAGCTTGATGATCTTGCCCGCCTCAACGCGATCATCCAAACAGCACAAAACAAAATCCACCCCTCGTAAATCCCCAGCCTTCAAAGAGCCTGGAATAAACGTCACCTCTTCCCCGGATATCGGCTCAAGAACGGCATCTGGTTCGAGTATGCGTGCGAGGTAGAGCAGTGTGGACGGTGGGTGCGGGCCTGTGAGCGCGCGAACGACTTCTTCTCGCGCCTTGGAGCCGGAGCCGACGACCAGCGCGGTTTTGTTTGAGGCAAGGCGGGTGCGGACTAGACGGCAGGGCTCTTTTGCTGCTGCCATACTTTCTGAGGAAAAGATGAGGGCTCGACACAGATGCTTTTGGTTTCAGAGGTCTTCCGTCCTGGGCAATCTTCGAGTCTCAAAGGAAGGTGCTGATCACATCTGTTGTGTCACTACATGGCTACATAATGGGCAGGTCACGTGACTCGACCAAGCCAGCGGGCGTTGCAGCTAGGAAATCGGCGCAAGATGACAGAGTTCTGTTGCGGATCGTCCGGCATCAGGCGTGCGAGGTGATAGAGACAGTGCGGCGGGTTAGTACTGTTAGGCCTGCTTTGAAAGAGATCGGTTGCTTAAACAGGAGGGACCGTCTCACGCAAAAGCTCCATATGTGTCACGGAAATGAGTCTCAATGGTGTTTTTCGGAACAGATGCGTAGCCTGTCATCGGGCAGGACGTACATACCAAATAAGGACCAGTCCCCCTTAAGTAGATGGGCATATGTGCCTTTTGTGAGGAAGTGAGGCTTGAAGTTGAAAGCGAGACGGCGACGGCGGACGTCTCGACGCGTTGCTGCTCGCTTGCACTTGTTTTGGCTCCCCTCAGAAACGGCCACACATCACCGAGTGATCGTCCCGAAGACCGTCCCAGGACCAACGTATAATGCGTTCCTCATCCTCACTATTCTCGTTAGCGTTGTGCCTGGCACTGTGTTCCTCATATGTCCAGGCTCTGTACTTTTACCTAGAGGGCTCCAAGGAACGATGTTTTTATGAGGAGCTGCCAGCCGAGACGACTGTTGTCGGTGAGTATTTTGGCTGGGATGGAGGGTTGGAGGAGGCACATGGTGCGGGTTTGGCAAGCGATAAGCCGTCGGATTTGCCACAAGCACAGGCAGTGTAGCTTCGTCGGGCTGTATTAGGTGAGAACATCTGACAACAACCAGACTGAATGCCCGACCATTCAATAGGCAACTACAAGTCCGAAGAAGCGAACCCCACAAACGGCCAATTCGTCGTCAACCCCGAACGCGGGATCCAAATCAACGTAGAGGTGAGTTTTCCTTATACCCAGCTACGGAACCAATCAAAGCTTGTTCTCACCGACGACTTTCCCTGGCGATCAAATAGCAAACGGATAGACGCCACAATGTCATCAACGTCCGCGGAGACCATGCAGGGAAATTCGTGTTTTCGAGTGCTGATGCGGGAGAGTATTCGATATGCTTGTAAGTCTGGACTCCGGATGAGGTGGGAGCGATGCAGAGGAACAGCGGGAGGATGTACACCGGGACTTGAGGGTTGCTGATGAGGACCTGAGGGTGACTACACGGGATGAGCTGGCAGGCTGGACAAGGGAGATTATCATGCACCTGATTTGTCCGTCCGTCGAAATGTTTGGCGATGTACGGATGAGAGATAAATGAGAGCCACGGGAGAGGGTTGTTGGATATCCGCATTCTGAGCCGAATTGGGGTTGAAGACACATGAGTCGATGGGCTTGGCCGACATGTTTACGCTTCCCATGGAGTGGTTTCCAAGCCTTTGGCCGGACCCGGAAGGCAGTGGTGGCGACAGCATCTGGACCTGACCATTAAACTTCATTCCTAAACTCACAGACACGCCGTCTCATCCGGATGGTTTTCCTCCGCCTCCCGAACGGTCAGTTCTCTGCCCTTTGATGGTACCACCGCAAGGGATGCATCGAGCAATATTCTGCTGACCGTTTCTTCCTTCACAGAGATTGCACATCGACCTGATGTTCGGTGAAGCCACGCACGAAGACCAGCCAGAGCTCAAAAAGGAGTCGCTAAGCGGTGAGTGCTCCCACCTTCCCTTCTCCTTTTCAACCGCAAGTCAATCTTAATCATGCAACCCCATTCCATGACACTCCAGACCTAGCCCTCCGCCTCCGCGACCTTAACCAAAAAGTCGCCAACGTGCGCCGCGAGCAGCAGTACCAGAAGGAGCGGGAAGCCGAGTTCCGCAACACCAGCGAAGCTGCCAACTCGCATGTCCGGACCTGGACAATCGCGCAGGTCGTTGTCATGGGAATCACATGTGCGTGGCAGATTCAGCATTTGAGGAGGTTCTTTGTGGCTAAGAAGCTGGGTATGTCATTTCGGGGTTTGACGCAGTTGGAGGTGGTTTGAGGTGCTTGTTCAAGGCTTCATGGGCTAACGAAGTTGTTTGGCTGCAGTATGAAAGCGACGGCGTCCACCTCACCATGCCTCATCCGACAAGCCCAGGGACTCCTACGTTTGCACAACTTTTGTTGGGGGATCGCCGATATGGGACATCGCTTCATTCTGACCACTCAATCCATCCTACGTATCGACCACACTTTGGAAGGACCGGAAAGATAATATATTCTCCAATCCATGAAAATGAAAGGACAAAGACGGAAGAAAAGAAAGGAGTGAAGTTCGGCGGCCAGAGCCCCGTATCTATATACATAGTTCGTTGCGTTGGTTGACCACCGGCCCAAAATTAAAAGGGGGGCCCCGACCGGTGAGGCAAAGGAACAGCTTGTGTACATGACAGAGACAGGTTGGGATTTTTTTGGAGTTCGCGGCACGAACAGGGAACATGAGGTAAAACAACGGTGGTTTGGGTGGTGGGAATTTGTCCTGGTAAAACTTTTGCTATTGGGTCGCGGCGGGGGTAGCACCGTCCTCAGCCGAATGGAAGTCGAGTACCTCCTGAATTGTGAAGATGCGTAAGTCAGTCAACCGTCGGTAACGAAAGCATCCGGAGCGTTCCCAGTCGTCCCACTCGTACCTGGTAGATTCGAGATTTCCACTCATCCGTCTGCAGATCCGCTTCAGTAAACGACCAGTCAAACACCGATTCTGCCACGGGCTCGTCCGTGGGGTCGTGGTACGGAGCCAAGTATGGGTGCGCAAGGGCTTGGCTAGCGTTGATGCGCTTCTGGGGGTCGAAGACCAGCATCTTCTCCAAGATATCGACAGCTGTGGGATTCCCATTTCGATTTGAGCACCGCTTTCCAGAGTTTTGACCCTCATACAGACTTCACCCACCTTCTGGGTCAGCGTCCGGGAACCTTTTCGAGAAGGGAATCTTCTCCCTTTTGGGTAGTGATTGAACGAACCGCAAGGTCTGAAAATATGAAACCCGGTGTCAGTCACAACACCCCAATAGCGTTATCGCCAGGCTTGTGATACCACGGTCCTTGCTGTGCCAGGGGTCTACTCACGTTCTCGCTGCAGATGGTCTGAATCACATCATCCGGAGGAGTACCAAGGAGCTCGGTGATGATGGAAAATTGATGCACATCTATGTCGAGTACGTATGTTGAGTGAAAAGCAGAGGAAACATCAACTCGGGCATACAATGACTTACGGTCTTTCCCTGGGAACAAAGGCTTTCCTTCCAGCATTTCTATCGAGTCCATCGGAGTGAGAATACGTCCTATGGCACGTTCCTCGTGATACCGCCGCGCAAGTCCTACCTGCGAAGATACATCCAACACTCCAGATGTCCACAGCCTCGTCGTACTTTTGCCACGTCAACATGATCTCGGGTGCTCGATAGTACCGAGTAGACACGTATCCCGTCATCTGGGATTCCGTCACACGTGCAAGACCGAAATCGCAGATCTTGAGGTCACAGTTCTCGTTCACCAAAATGTTGCTGGGTTTCAAGTCTCGATGAACGACTCCAGCGGAGTGCACGTATTTCAGCCCTCGCTAATGAATTCGGAATTCAATGTCAGTAGGCAACTAATTCGCGGATATCCGACACTCCGCACGTACCAGAATCTGGTACAAGAAGTACTGGATAAACTGCTTGTCCAAGGGTCTAGAGGTCAAGAGGCGGTGGAGATCGGTGCCTAACAGCTCGGTGACGAAGTAACTAAAGTCGAGAACAGGCTTTGATAAGCGCCGGATGTGGAATCATCGTTTGATTTTCAGTTCCGCACTCACATATCCTCTAGAGGTGAGATGAAGATGTCACTGAGACTGATAACATTGTCGTGATTCAAGTGCTTCAGCAGCTTGAGCTCTCTGTAGGTCCGCTTGGCGAGCACGGACGTGCTGAACGGCTTCATAATCTTCTTGATAGCGACATTCATCCCCGTCAATTGATCCCGCGCAGAGCTATTAATGCGTTATCTCCCGAATTAGCGAGGCCCCCAGTCCAAACCGGTCCACAAGTACACTCTCACCAGACTAGTCCAAACGCGCCCATTCCCACAGGTTGCAGATCAGTGTAGCTAAGCAAGTTAAGGTACAAATGTCAGCCAAGCTGAACTGTCGCCTTCTCATATTCACTGAGGCACATACCGTTGCGTGACCTCGAATATCGTCCCAAAGACGGAATAGCGCTGGAACTCGGCAGCCATTTTGAAAGATGTTGGGCGCGTTCAGGCTATGGACTGGGAAAAGGATTGTTGCTTTGAGTTACTTTGACAGCTGATGCGAATGGCCGCTAAACGGTAGGGTACGCTTCCTCGTACGCACTGTTGTCTGAGTTTGATGTGGAGGTGGACGAGAATATCGAATTCGTGCGGAAAAAAGAGAGTTCCCACCACGTATAGGTAATCGGCGGCGACCGGGACACGAAAACGAGGAGTCCAGGGAGGAGATCGAACTTCTGCAGCAGAATGCCAACTGCTTTCGGTGTGGGAGTGGGCTGGGAGTTGTTGAACGTCTGGTTGGAACTGTGAGCTGCGGAGGGAAATGCTGCCGTGGTTCCTCTTTGGCCTTGTCTGTTAGCCTCTTCTGGAAGCCCCTCAACTCGAGCGAAGCATCGGAGGGAGGCATTTGCATCAGGGCTGTGCCTTTGTCGTCGGGGGAAGGAACTTGTTTAGGAGTTGGTCTTGCAAAAATACGCATGGCAAATCATTTTTCTTAAGCGGGGACCCATTTTCTCTCCTTCCGATCCTTAATCGAAACGGTGTTTGAGTTTGTTGGCTCTTCGCATCGATACCAAATATTCGGAACATGAGCCTGACGTAACCCTCTGAAGATCCCCAAAAGCGAACCTGTCGAATGCATCATGCAATGGCATGTGGACCCTCTGATGAAGCGGCATTTCAGAGAAGAGCCGTAAACTTGAACAGTCACTAAAATAAAGTCGGAAACCCGAGTTCCGTGCAAAGTGGGTTCAAACTTCAACCCCACCATTAAATGCCCATTTTGTTTATGCACGTGGTGGGGAAGCATTTGTCCCGATATGGTAAGTAGACGAAGCTGAAGTTGACTGCTTCGGCAGAACGTCAACGGGCCGAGGACAGAAAAATGGAGGTAAGGCTATATCCTTCCAGTGTTCACCTTGGTTGATAAATACTAGCCTGGACTCGCACATTCCCTAGCCTCCACCAGCGCGGCCTGCCCTGGCAAGGTCCGTGCGGTTATTCCATAAGAAAAGAGTGCGACAGCAGCTGTAAAGCGAAAGCCCACGCGATGCTCTCAAGCGTTCCAAGCGTTCCCCTGGAGATGTCCATCTATCCCCATCGTCCATGGACGACAACTGTCTATTGCCGCGGACTGTCCGAGCTTGGAATTGTAATGGGACTTGCGCTACTTATGCTGTTCGTACTGTACATCCGGTATTTGGCTGGAGTAATTGCTCAAGCCACGCACGAAACCGGAAATTGGAACTTTCATGCCCCAACATATTACTTCTCGGTTTGCCGGTATATTTAGGACGTGTCCCATGATCCAGACTCTAAAAGCTGATGACCACCCGCCGGGACCCAAAGATGAGGCTTTCGTCAAAACCAGTACTTGTTTCTAACTGGTCCTACTGTTGTGAATCGTGTTGTTTATGTTCTTTTGATGTGGCCAGAACGAGGTGTCGTACAGCACAGTACTGTACGTCTAATAATACCATTACCGGTCACCAAACGCCCATCCTGGTTCCGCATGAGGGCTCTCAGAGGTCAGAGCTCCCTGGCTTTCGCTTTCATTATGTGTTGTCTGGCGGGTGTTTGAAGTGTGTGTATGATGACGGTGACCAATTGTGACCAGCCCTATTCACGGTCTACTCTTGATTGATGAGATCCCTCGCTTCCTTCCCTCCGCTCCGCGAACACGAAGCCTTTTTGCCCAGAAAGCCTTTTTTTTTTATCTTCGCACCCAAATATTGCACGCACGCTGCATCCTCAACGCAGAGCCATCCGAATAGTAACGGTCCTGTCTTGCATTGACCCAAACCTCACCTACTCACCCACAGCCAAAACGGCCAGCGCGCCGCCACCTGGTTAACCGAACTCGGCGTGGCGCCAATAACGGAAACGCACACCTTCAGAAACAACCGTTTTTGGCTGTGGAACAAACCTAACGGCAGCAATTTTTCCAGAGGACAGGTTCTTTGAGCACAGGATAGAAATTGAGTTTCTAGAATACGGCTGGAGAACGTCCGAGAAATAAAGGGCGTCGGCATACCATCGAAACGTGTCTCGCCGCAATTCCGTCCTTTCGAACAGCAGCATCTTGTGGCGAAGGACCCCTTACGCCTCGCCGCCCTCTTACGCTCAACTCGGGCGGGCCGTATTAGGGCCACTGTTACCATTCACAACACTCGACTCTCAAATATCTATTGCGCTGTCGAACTCGTTACCAGACGCACTGCAGTCTGAGGTGAGTAGATAGGACTATCAAAAGGTCCATTGACCGGGCTCCACCAGCGTTGGCTGCGGAATGACGCCGAATTTGAGCGGTGTTTCGAAGGGTTTTGAAGGTCCAGTCTGACTCGTGTTTTTTTTTTTTGATTTTGTGCTTGTAGCGAACATCGGCATTTTTCGATCTTGTGATTACACTCTACGCCCCACCACTCATCTTCCGCCACTTGACTCGGCGAGTCCCGGAAAATGGGGATCTGTACGAGTAAAGAGGAGGAGGTGCCAACAGAAGCATCGATGGCTATCGACCGGGGAATTGAGGAGCATTCGAAACGGTTGAAGAAGGAATGCAAGATTTTGCTGCTCGGTCAGTACCGTATTTCGTGGAAAGGTGCATTTAAGGGACAGCATCCTGATGTTTCGACTAGGTGGTGGTGAATCCGGGAAGTCAACAATCGTCAAGCAAATGAAGATCATCCATCAGGATGGGTATACGCGGGACGAACTGATGACCTTCCAAGGGCCAATCTTCAAAAATGTGCTCGATAGCATACAGGCCCTGGTTGCCGCAATATCCACGTTCGAACTGAAGTACGAGTCGCCCGAAGTACAGGTATGTGGTTTTTCTTACGAAAATTTTGTAAGTGGTTTTACTGTGGACTAAACAGGTATTTTCCCAGGCGATGGCAGATAAAGTCGCTGCCCTTGGAAGTGACTACAAACTGGATTCGGAAATTGCGGATGCAATCTTCGCGATAGCCAGAGATCCTGCAGCAGTAACGGCACTGGAAAGGTCGAACGAATTTTACATCATAGATTCCGCATCGTAGTAAGTAATCCCAGCGCCAGCAAGCTTCTACCGGCGGGACAGTGAATGACAAAATTCTGTTTTGCAGCTTCTTTGCGGAAGTGAAGCGAATAGGGGCAGAGGACTACTGCCCAACGGAACAGGATGTTCTTCGAGCCCGTGTCAAGACCACAGGTATTACGGAGACACGCTTCAACATGGGGCAGTTATCAATACAGTGAGTAGTCCCCAGCTCAGTCGCTTCGTAGTTTGCGTTTGCTTACCGCTTCCTTACATTTCCTTTTAGCATGTTCGATGTGGGCGGGCAGCGATCAGAGAGACGGAAGTGGATTCACTGCTTCGAGGCCGTGACATCGATCATCTTTTGTGTCGCGCTGTCAGAGTATGATCAAGTGCTGCTTGAAGAATCACAGCAGGTAGGATGAATATTGCCGCAAACAAATGATTCTCTGGGCGGTCGACTTACATTGTTCTCCGACAGAATCGAATGGCGGAGAGCTTGATCCTCTTCGAATCCGTAATAAATAGTCGATGGTTCTTAAGAACATCTATCATCTTGTTCTTGAACAAGATCGACTTGTTCAAGATCAAACTCGCCAGAAATCCATTAGAGAAGTACTTTCCTGAGTACAAAGGTTTGTATCCTCGGGTTAGATGGTCTGTGTATTTCTTATAGGAGGCTTATCCTTTCGATATTCCTTTTAGGCGGCCCGGATGTGAACAAGGCGGCCAAATTTATTTTATGGAGGTTCACTCAAACAAATCGGGCAAGGCTGAATATTTATCCTCAGTAAGTCGCGAACAGGCAGATTCAGATACTTAATCTCAATCTCATTCTGCGCTCTGCTCTCTCCAGTCTGACGCAAGCCACTGACACTTCCAACATCCGGCTCGTTTTCGCGGCCGTGAAAGTGACGATATTACAAAATGCGCTGAAGGATTCGGTATGTTCTGCTTGTTCAACTATGATTAGAGCTTCCATGGCGAACGACGAACTAAACTTCTTTTCCATCACAATTCAGGGCATCATGTGAGCGAGCCCCGTCTGCGTCAACACTCGGAAGAGAGCATTTTGGCAGCCGGAAACTTCGAGGGGAATACCTTGTCGCGGAAAACCCGGAACCAGCTTTGCGGGAAATCCCCGAAGCAGCATTTTGGCAATCAAAGGATTTTGACACCCCCTCGCATACACTCCATCGTGCATTCGCCACCGAAGAACCAACCCATAGAATTGAAAGAACGCCCTGCGACCTCTCAGGAGACCCCCAAAAAGGCGCCACTGACACTACCCCATTTCCATTTGACTTTTGGACGAAAAAAAAAGAAAAAAGCCCCAAACGCCTGCACATCGTCAACACCTCTCTTTTTGGATGTACATAGAGACATTTTGCCTCCCAGTCTGTCAAACCCCCGTCGCTTCCGACCTTCCTTCTCGCCTTCTTTCTCTCGCTTTCCTCATTCCCTCTCTTCCCTTTCGATTATATATAGATTTTAATCCTTAATGGTGACGAGTGTTTGTTTGTTCGACTGGTACGACTTCGGCGAGGGTGATTCGAACATGGTTTGACATGGGCATTTTCATTGGGGTGCTCTCTTCGGAACACGCCGTTGGTCTCATATCGAGAAACTCTACAGATCATCATATCGTTTTCCGGGCCCTTTCCAGCCAAATCTTCGGCGCTCCTGACAGGAGCCCGACGCTGAGGCCATTTATGCTTCTATCCTGCTAATGCCTCTTCACTCTCCAGTAGCTATGGCAGAGACTAATGAATAGTGTATGGCTCCTGGGTCGCTCCATAGCATCGTCAAAGACTCCACTCATATAAAACAATCCCGTCAGTAACAGCGATGCCTCCATTTGCCAGGAGGTTGCCCGCACCACGCAGTTCAACGTCGTTTGCATCTCCGCGTGCTCATGTCGTCTAGTATAAGTCGAAACGACAACGTCCCCGTCGAAAATCGGCTCATCAACCCTTCTACGCCACTTTTCTCGCCGAGGCAGCTCGAGATGCCTCTAATTTCTCCAGTTCCTGCTCCTCCAACTCCCATTGGATATCGACCTTCGATTTCGCGCCTGGGTGCTCAATAGTGTCTGCCCGTTTCTCGACCGGGTACCATTCTTCCAGCTTGTCTGTTGCGTAGACGCCGCATATCGAGAAGGCTAGCATTCCTACAAGACGTCACGACATGTGAATTTCCAAATTGTCTCCCTCTCGCGCGATTTGAACCAGGGCATACCTAGACTGATGTAAAGCCGTTGCCGCGGTGTGATCCGGCGAAAGGATTCGAGGATCTCTTTAGCATTTGGCGCTCCTGGTTCCCGAGCTGGGTGCTGAGCTGCTGCCGTTGCTTGCGCTGTTGCTGTTGCTGGTGCTGGTGCTGGTGCTGTTGCTGTTGCTGTTGCGTGTGCTCCTGGTGCTGGGGTCGGCGTTGGTGCAGATCGGGGCGGTTGTGTTCGAGGTCGGGGTTGTGGTATTGGTGGTCGCTGATTCTTTGGTGGCGGGACTGCCCGGAGAAGCGGAAGTGTTCTAAAGACCATGGCTGTTCTGCTTGCGCTCTGAGATGGAACTGTGCCGGCGAGTTGTCCTGCTCAATGTCCGTTGCAATTGTGCGGCAGAAAAAGCCACGACGGTGACGAAATATCTCACGCGCTTTTCCAGCTTTTCCAAGTGTGACGTTTTCCTTTTGCGGACCTTCACCGCGGATATTACTGGAACACATTATAAAGGTCGAACAACCGCAAAGCCCACCTTGCGCCCGCCTCGAGTTCTCTTCACTTTGTTCACTTGCACTCGTCGCAAGCCGTCCGACCCCACCGAATTACCAAACGACCGCGCAAGAACATACTATCGCCCAAGATGGCAATGCGCATCAGCAACAAAATTCTGGAGGGCCTCATCAAGCAGGTAAGCAAGGAAGCCTCAACTTGTCGTAATGCACTGGCATGGCTCTGCGACTTTTCCGCTCGATTGCGCACGCCGCATGTCCTCAATGCCCACCTTTCATCCCTTAGGCGAATAGGGAACTTAGCGCCAGCGCGGACTATCTATCAATGTCTTTATGGTTCGCTGATGTAAGGCACCCCATTGATCTGCAATCTCACTTCAATACACTGTCCAATAATGCGTATTATAAAACAGCGCGAACTGCCGGGTTCTGCGGCATGGTGCCGTGCTCACAGCGAGGAAGAACGTAATCATGGTCTCAAGATTTTTGACCACATCACGAAGCGGAGAGCAAAGGGAGCCCTCGTCCAGCCGATTGACCACGCTGCAAAGTTTAACTTTGGTCAACCTGTGGATGTCTGGTAAGGTTCCTGTCGGCATCGGCATGACGTCCACAAATGTCGCGCATTACGTTGGTCAATCGCTGATATTCATCAACAGGAAATTTGCCCTTGCCAACGAGCAAACCAACAGCTCGGCTATTCTTAGCCTTGTCAAACAGGCGCGAGACGAAAATGACTTTGTCACCGAGAACTTCATGCAGTGGTATGTCCAAGAGCAATTGGAAGAAGAGACGGCGGTAATGGAAATCCTTGAGAACGTAAGTAAACGCTTTGTCTGGGGAGCAATGACGATGTGACTCTTTCTTAACTCCTTCATTTTGTTCATCCACTTTAGGCCAAACGTGTCGCTGAGACAAACGGCTTGTACGTAGCGTACGACACGCAGATTGTGACGAAGCCTCATTAGATGGGCGAGGCAATTGCTCCTATCAACGTCCTGCATCTGTTGCACGCGATCACTGAGGCCCCAGGACGCCTGAATGTGCGTACGGGGACGAAAGGAACACACTACGATCGGCCTTGGGATAAATTCATCGTATGGGCGATAGAAGATCGGAGAAGAGAACAGATCGATGTCATGAACGGAAGAACTTGCGGTCGGGGACAGTCTATCCGATAATGGTTGTATGGGGCATTTTTGGAATAGGGAAGACTCGGATGCCATGAATGGATGGACGGAGGGTATGGGCAGGTCACGTCGAATGGAGAACGCACACCTTACGGAGTCCTGCTGCGAGAAACTTCCAGAAAGATATATAGCGTCCATGAACATAGAGATCACAGTCTAGCATATCAGATTCATTCGACCAGATTTGAATATCTCAAAAGGAATGACATGAACCCTTCGGGATTGTGGAAGGTGTCCTTTCGTCAGAGTTGTTGAAGGGGCTGTAGTGAGGGAAGAGGCAGCCATGTCAGAGCCATGTCCTAACATCAGCGTGCACGGTGACGAAGCGCGCGCTGACATTTCGACTGAGCTTTTCGCAGTTCGGGTCGTTTCACGTCTCACCGTCTCAGCAGCTCTCGACACTTCCATCCTAACCGACCGAACCGTTCCCCTTCGCTCCTCCTTTGATATAACCGCTGCGTTACAACTGCGTCTCAAAGTTTGCAAAGATGGCCGACCACGAAGGATTGATCGCCCAATTGGCTGACATCACAGGTTGCTCCGCCGACCAAGGTAAGCCATTCCTTCCCACTCTGAAACCCCGACGGACTGCACATGCTGACTTCCGTATCTCGCAGCCAAATTCTTTCTCGAAGCGAGTAACTGGAACGTCGAGGTATGTTTACGATTGGGCAGGCGTGGGGAAACACTCACGCGGTTGGACGCGTGATCTAAGCAGGCACTCCATTCGTATCAGGACGCCGCCAGCAGCTACTACGAAAGTTCTGAGCGTGGCAGCGCACCAGAGTCGGCCCCACCGGCTACCAGCTCGTCTAGCGGTCCGTTTGAGAGCACAGGGCCTTTCCAGGGAGGAGGCTCGCAGGGAAGCTCTTCCAAGGCAAAGGCGAAGAACACCAGCAGGTATGTTTTGTGAAGGGTTTCAGGATGTGCCAACTCTCAGATCTCATTCACCGGTCGATCTAGTTCCCGCGTGAAGACGTTCTCGGAACTTTTGTCAGGCGAACCTAGCGATAGCGAAGATGCCTCGGATGATGAACAGAACTTCTATGCTGGTGGAGAGAAGTCGTAAGTGGCATCCTTCGCGACACCGCTTTGCTTTGGTTGGCTATTTGATGCCCATACTGCACAGAGGCCTTATGATGCAAGGAGGACCTAAAAGCTCGAAGAACCCAAATGATCTGGTGAAGGATATCCTGGAGAAGGCGTCAAAGTGAGTCGGTCTCGCACGGGCCATCGAAAGAGGTCGATGCGTTAACCTAGGGCACTCCAATCACAGAGCAGGACCTGGACCTGAAGAACCTGTCATCAAGCCTCAAAGATTCACTGGATCAGGTAGGATATACCTACTTGAGCAACGGCCTGGTTGGACTGCTGACTGTGTGTATTCTAGGGTACCGTCTTGGAAATGAGGATGAGCCTGCCACCTCTGGACCGTCTGTTCCCGTAGTTCGAGGAGAGGCCCCTGTAAGGCCAGTGGAACCGGTGAGACCAGAAACGAATGACGTCCTGGCAATCGGTAAATACTAAACGTGTCTTTCACAGATCTCTCGATACCTTACTTTCTGGCGTAATGGATTTAGCATCGACGATGGAGAGTTGCGTGCGTATGATGCCCCTGAGAATCAAGAGTTCCTGAGAGCCATCAACAGCGGGTACGCGTTGAATATCTCATTGGTGGGCGTATGGGGATACATATTCACGCGAATTGTGTCGATCCAGACGTGCTCCAACATCTCTCCTGAACGTGGCGTACGACCAACCCGTCGAAGTCAAAGTAACAAAGAACCTGGAGCAAGATTACGTCCCGCCGGCAAAGAAGCCCATGGCTGCTTTCAGCGGTACAGGAAACCGGCTGGGCGGAATCGTGTCGGGAGGGGACAACATCGAAGCGTCTATACCCGGAGCATTCCCAGGCGCGTCGTCAGCGTCTAGCGGTGGTGTTAGTCGTCCGGCAGCGCCCGTGTCGACGTTTAAGGTGGATGATAGTCAGCCGGTCACTTCGCTGCAGATCAGATTGGCGGACGGAACTAGGTGCGTTGTGATGACCGGTGGACTTGGTAATTGGTCGGGTGGCTGATCAAGAGACTCCTTTAGACTCGTCACGAAAGCCAACCATACTCACACAATTGGTGATATTCGCGGTTTTGTCAATTCGTGAGTACTCAGCTTCTGGCCCGTCCTTTGACATTAGTCTCTCATATATACTACTCTCTACCCGAATATGAACAGATCTCGCCCCGAAAACGCGACCCGCCGGTTCGTGCTCCAGACCGCATACCCCGTCAAAGAGCTATCAGACGACAAGGTCACGCTGAAAGACGCTGGTTTAATCAACGCAGTTATAGTACAGCGCTTCGTGTAGAGTTAAGAGCGTACGGTCCAACGACGAGAAACTGTGGTAGGCGTTTGGAAAAGTAGCATCTCAAAGGGTATAGATGCTCTTAGTCTATTGCAAATAGTACGCATAGTATGGTGGAATCAACAACATTTCCGTGCTTCTGCTTTCCGATTGCCTGTGCTTCGACGGAAGGCTGGTACTCCTCACATTGGGATTCCGGTTCCAGTCCCACCTCCGCCATCGATATGGCCTGGAATTCATTCCTACGCCGAGTCCCATGACATCCCAGATAAATACAGCCCCAGAACTTTTCATACCCGTCACCCATCTAACGTTCACGCGATCCAAACTTCTTTCCCCATCCTGCCCGTCTGTAAACCCTCTCAGGCCATCCTACTTCTGCTTCTGCTTATGCTTCGGGTTCTCCCTACATTCGACCCTCAGCTTCCCCCTCCGCTTGCAAAAGAAGCAGTTCTCGCACCGCAGCTTCAGCGCCGTTCGCGTGCGGTAGCCTCGTGTGAAGAGAAGCGCTGGCGACGTCGTTTGGGTTGGTATTGTTAGGGATGTTGAGGTCGTTGCGAGGGGGATAGAGGGTGAGGCGGAGGTTCGCAGGCGGAGTGGGGGAAGGATGTGCCGGAGGAGGGCGAACATGCTGAGGAGGTTGGTGGGTGCCGTTGGTGTTAATTCGGAAAGTGGCTATGTCCGGTTTTCGGGGGCAGATTCGTTATCTATGCGATGCCCTGCGTCGTCGTGCGTCTTCCGAGAGGATATATGGGAGGTAAGTCTGGCGGAATTCTGGGTGGAATTCTGGGCGGAATTGGCGAAAAAGGGAAGGTTTGGGCGAGACGCGAAGAAAGACCACACTGTGCTCCTTCCGTTTGCTTCAAAAGAGTCAGGGTGGCGGCTATAAACACAAGAACGGAACTTCACAGTGTTCGAGCGGGTGGTCTCCAGGGTGGTCTCGGAGAGCGAAGACGAGAGAGCGCTGCAACGGCAGACGAGCAGTGGAGCTCAGACGCAACCCATTTCGAGGCAGTCTGACCAACGACGGAGCGAAATCTGAATCGGCAGTCGAACTTACTCGAGATCCGGCTCAGTCCGGGTCCGTACGGTTACGAGCAGAGGCGCCGAGTTGCATATATGGTCTAGGGTCAAAAGGCGGAACAGTCCCAGAACGACGAAATCAGGATGACCACCGCCGCTGTCGACGAGGCGGCACAGGCCGAAAACGACTTACCGCTGGAAGTCCTGGCCCGCATCGATGCATCCCTGGGCCAGTTGAACTCCATCATCACCGTCTGCAGTGAATTGCTCACGGATCTTCAAAATCCTAAACCTCCGCAAATGGGTCAAACGGCGTTGCAAAGCCTGCGGTTCCCTGGATACTTGAAACGCGCTCTGTCAGTACATGACATGCTCGAGCTCTTGAAGGAGGACTGTGGATATGTCGACGATGCGGCCAAAGGCGTCAATGAGGTGATTTGAGGCCGCTTGCGGGACAGTTACTGGAGATGGCGGGGGAGGGCTCACTAAGCGTGTTCTGTCCCAGGCGATCGCCAACACAATCCTGGACACTGCGGATCTCGATGCAATGAAGAGAGAATGCGAGGCATTGGAAGTGGTAAGCTCAGTTCTAGGATACCGGCACAGCGACTCAGCGATGGCTGATGACAGGGTCGCTTCTGATGTGCAGAGATCGAAACATGCGTCAAAGATACTGCGACAGTGTTTGAAAAGATGCTATCGAGCTCAAGATGTGTTAGCAGAGGTCATGCAAATGGACACGGACGAAGACGTAACGGCTTCGTATCCACCAAAGCCTTATTCGGCGCCAGCGGTGTTGGGAGCCGCCAATGGTGGGCGAAAAGGGAAAAGCGCAGTGGGCAGCGATGCAATGGACGTATCGTGAACGCCCTTCTTCAAACAACGGTCGTTAACAGCATATACAATGGCGTCTATAGACACCGCCACAGATCTGTGCATGAAATCTACTTGTTATATTGCATTAATACACATTATACAGACAGGCCTATTGAGAATTACATGTCACCTCATGGCGACAACCAAAATTACAACTTTACACAGGACACCTGTCCCCACTCTATGTCCCCATTCTCGTCAGATCGCTGTATCAGTTCCTCCGACTGTCCTGCGCTCCATCAGGCGCCTTAGATATATCAACGACGCTCCAAAGACTTTCGCGGATGTCATTCGGAGGCGATCGTCTTGGTGGAACCGGCATAACTACATCGGCTGGTGGAAGCTTATCCTCATCTTTCATGGCTATCGTTCGTTGTGAATCGGAACTCGAAAGACTTCGTTTGTCACCGTTGATCCCCTTGACCGGGCGGGAAGGGCTGTAGTCGGTCATGATCGAAAGATTGACAGATGAGTTTGCCGAATCGGCGCCTCCAGTACCGGGCGGAGGACTCATCCACGGTTTGTGAAGGTCCTGTTGATTCGACGGCTGTCTAACTAACGCTTCTCGTGTGTGTGCAGGTGGAGGTGGTGGCAGAGCCGTAAAAGGCGGCATGCCATTTTTCCTGTAATCCAAACTGCTCCGCCCACTGCCGCGAGGAATGGTAGGTTGTCGCCGCAGATCGGAGCTCGTAGGTCTTTCAATTCGCGACGGCAATGGCGGGGGTGGGATGTTTTCGCCATCTCCTTCCTCCATCGCCACGATCGTCGTCACATGGCTGCTTTCACCCTCTGTCGCGTTGAAGTCACTATCATCGTACGGGGACCTGCCCCATCCCGCTGCCGGATGCATCCATTTCGGGCGGTAAATGTCAATCTCTTCTCCCTGCCCCTTGCCATCTTCTGCACCATCTCGCGTCCCCCAATCCGTAACGTGCAGCGTAAAGAGGCAATACACCTTCATGACTGCAAAGTAGATGTTGAATAAAACCCAAATCGGCACGACGAACACGTCCTGCGGACGACGTACGAAGTGCGGCATGTACTTGATAACGCGCGTGATAAGAAGCCATGAGAGGTAGCTGATAAGGATGACCCATGTCGCCGGTTGGTCATCGACATGGTCCCTCTCGGACCGGATGAGGAGATACACCACCGTGACGGGTCCGGCGAGCAACGTGATAGGATTGAAGAACTTGTCGAGCATCGTAAACGCAACAAACGGATGGCGAGTCCACACAAATCTTTCGGTGAACAGACTCCTCGTATCGCTCCTCCACGTATTTCTCGTCCACCGCAGCAACTGTTTCAGAAACCGCCAGTTGTCCTTGAAGGTCGATTCCAGCTCGGCTTCGGGACAGGCTTGGATGTAGGTCTTCCAGTTGTGGGAGTGTACCCAGCGCGTTAGGAACTTGTCGTCGCCGCTATGCTGGTGGTATTTGCCCCGCCAGAACTCGTGTGTGAAGGACCATTGGAAGTCGGGGTCGCGGAGCATGCAGGTTCGGTAGGCGGCTGTGCGGCCGGAAAGACAGCAGACGCCGCCGTCAATGTAGGTAGTAGCCGTGATCTCTATATTTCGCAGCTGTTCATGTGGACAAGATTATATGTTAGGAAAGTGCGTCGCAAGAGTGAAGTGACCCAGCCAGGCTAGCATGCGTTGATACATACCGAGATTCGGAAAGCAGCCAAAATCTCCCAGATTGTCATGTATTTGTGTTGAGGCAAGACTCTTTGCGAGGTACCTGATTGAAGGATGTGTAAGCCATCAGCTATTCGTAACCCGGGAAGACACAGTGGTGATCTTACCAACGCCGCCCATCATCCTATCCTCAAACGGCGCCAGCATCCATGTCAGCATCGTCTCAGGCCAAATCACATCATCATCGCAAAACACCGTAATCGGAGTCCTCACGCGGTTGACTCCCGCCACCATCTGATTTCGCTTGTTCGGCTTCTGCACACATATCACATGCACGCATCGCCCGTCCGGATCGACCTCCCGCGCGAGCCTCTCGAGCGCTGGCTGAGCTGAGGGAATTGTGATGAAGATGATCTCGAATGGATCGTTGGCGAGCCATGTGCGGATGGCGATCCGGATCTCGTCGCCAGAGTCGATCGTGGGGACGATGATGGTCACGTCTCGCGATGCGGTGTAGCGTGGATGGCGACGGGGTTTTCGTGGCTTGTAAAGGACATAGGCCAGGATCTGGGAACGTTCGGAAAAAGTCGAAATATTTAGGTTAGTGTTGAAATTCAGACTTGGTCGTGAGTAAGGTTAAGCGTACCTTGACGAAGAACCAAAACCATCGGTAAATGCCGATAAACCCCAAAGGCAGGTAGATCGGCAGAGTTTCTTTCGTTAAATAAAACATTCTTCGCTACTCGTCTTGGCGGCCAGCGAATGGCTTCTCAATCGCTCTCTCAAAGTTGAACTGGCTGTGGTGTGGTCAATGTACACGTGCACGGAATTCAAGTCGGTCACTATATTATATATGGGCTGCCGGCGGGATATTACTTGCACTTTCCGGAACGATGGACGGCCTAACAAGACCGACGTTTTCGAGGCTACGGCCTTGAAAGAGTCTATATAGTGAGTCTTCCGAGCGGATATCTATCTACAGATTTTTACACTTTCGATGTGCAATGAAAGCAAAACTGTACAACTCCGCAAGCGGCAAATATCGAAAGGAAGTCGACACACAACCACCGGTCAGCGCCGCTGGATGTCTGCCAAGAACTTGCTTGGCCGGCTGGGCGGCAACTGTGTATTCTGAACGGTATACTACGGGGAAACTCCATCTCGTCAAACGCGCTGTCGAACTGACTAAGCGATGCTTACCCAAGCACGCGTTCTGTGGATCTTCTTTCGAACCCCACTCTTGGACTTGCACATGATAGAAGCTTTTCCCCTCTCCGCCCCCAGCTAAGGAATAAGTTCGGGGCTTCAAGACTGTAAGCTTGACACCCTGCTTTTCCTCTAGCCTCATTGAAGATCGTTTCATACCAATAATTGTCGCTACCGCTTGTCCGCAGGACGTCACGAGTTTGAGGAGATCAAAACTGCTGCAGCTTTTTCCCAAACTGTTCATGTGCACAAGACTTTTTGATCACCTCGAACTATCCCGGTCCGCCACTATCATCCAGCGCTGCAATTTGCCTATCCATCTGGAAATATGGGGACGTTGAGGCTATGTGAGCCCATCTTCTGCTTTCGACCACACCAAGCTTATCTGAACATGACCTGTTAGTACGAGGCCGGCCGGCATGTGTTTTCAACACCAGTTATTTTCCCTTACCAGAAGTTCGGCGGCGAAGCAGTGAAGGATGGTGTTGATACAACGACTTCTTCGAACGATGCTTCTCGTGAGCTGCGGGTCAAGTTCGGACTTTAATGTGCAGAATTCGAATGAGAACGCTGCTCAGGAGCTACAGCTAGGATGTCCCACGACCCAACCGGGATGCACGGATGCACTTGCCAGACGAGGCAATCTCGATGACCACAATAAAAGCTTTGCCAGACGAGCCGATTTCAACGACCACAATGAAGCTTTGCAAGACAATCTAACTTTCCTCGCGTTTCCTTATACGAAGCAACCGACATTACGATCGCCCACCTGTCGATAAGCGCTCCAGGTGTGCGGCCAAGGCAGCTTGCTTGTTGGGTTCTCGACGTATTGGGCCTTGTGAATAGGACTGCTTGCAACCGGAATGGGCCGGATGCGGATCCAGATACCGACAAGAATATGGATACGAATTTAAGCTATGATTTCTGGACCAATACTCAGGCTGAAGCAAAGCATCGGGATAATTTGGAGTATCCAATCTTTTCGGTATATTACAAGCCATCAAGGCGTTCTTCGTCCGTACAAACTATTTAATACAGAAGGGGTGTCAAAAAAAAGGATTGTCCCAAAATAGTGGGGTCTAGTGCAAAATTCTATGAGCTGAGCTGCCTTCGAGGCAATGAACATGCTGCAAACAAGCCAACGGATTTCCTCCGTCGGGAAGGCCTGGTCATTTCTTTGATATCAACGTCCAAGAAGAAACGATGCTGCCTTAATGGGCGGCGACGAGGCAGCCGGAGGCGGGGGGGAGCTGGGCGCTCTTGTAGAAGCACCAGGGAGTGCCGGAGTTGGGGGCAGCGGCCTTCCAGCAGCATCCCTTGGCAGCGCAACCGTTCTGGTCAATGCCGGCGTAACCGCAGTCGATCTTGGCGGAGTCAGCAACAACGCAGGTGTCGACGTTGGTGGGGGTGGCGGAGGGGATGGACTTCACAGTGGAGGTGGGGGCGACAGTCGGGGCGACGGTGGCGCTGGGGAAAGTGCCGGCGACCTTGTTGAAGCACCAGGGGGTGGCGGAGTTGGGAGCGGCGGCCTTCCAGCAGCATCCCTTGGCCTCGCAACCGGATTGGTTGATACCGGCGAAACCGCAGTCGGTCTTCTTGGCGTCGTCAACGGGACAGACGAGAGCGGGGAGACCGGTAGCGGCGGCGGTGCTGGTAGCGCGGGTGGAGGTAGCGGGAGCGGTGGGGGTAGGGGTGGCAGTGGGGACGACAATGGGGACACCGCCGGCGACCTTGATGGCCTGGTCACGAGCGATCGAGGCGGAGATGAAGGACGCGTAAGACCAGGCGAGATCGTTGGTTCCCTGCTGGGCACCGGTAGCGAACTGGAACTGCTCGGACGCATAACCTTCCTTGGTGACGTACTTGCTGGTACGACGGATGAAACGATCACCGTGATCGAGGAGAAGACCCAGGGTCTGCGCGAAGAGAGGGCTGGACTTGGGGATGGTCTGCTTGGTGTTGACACCGATGAAGCTCCAGAATCCGGCGTTGACGTCGTTGATAACGATGCTTCCGGTGCGGCTGTACTGGTCAACAGCTTTGTACAGGGTCTCGGCGAGAGCGTTGGTGGCGAGGAACCAGAAACCGGCACCTTTGCTATCCTTGTACGTGTAGCCAAAGGGGTAACCGTCATAGATGTCCTCGGGGTAGCGTCCGACGGCAGGGTTCATGGGGAGACCGTTGAAAGTGGTCTCTTTCTGGTTCAACGACCAGTCGGACAGGCTCCGGGGGGGCTTGTACAATCCCTGAGTGAAAGCCTGGACGATCTGGTAGAAAGTAGCTTGGACCTGCTCGTTAGTGGCGGGGAACACCTTGTCGTCGGAACCGTGGATGACGGCCAGTATGGAGGAGATGTCCAAGAAGTGACCCGCGTTAACCTTTGCGCCGGCACCTTCGTTGTCGCCACCGTTGCGGGCGCCGTTGAGGGTAGCGTGGATGTGGTTACCGTCCCAGTACTTGCCGAGAGAGTTCAGGATGCTGGCGGCGGTGTTGCGGTAAATAGTGGCATCAGCAGCTCCACCGAGTTTCTCGACAACGGCGGCACCATCAGTCAGTGCACGATACTGGGCAACGTTCTGGAAGAAGTGCTGTCCAATGACCTCCTCCCAAGGCTCGTAACCGTCAGCCAAGCTCCAGCTGCGGACGACGGAGTCCAGGTCGGTCTTGAGAACGGAGTTAGGGTCGTTGGGGCTGTAGTACTTGGCGAAGCTGTTGGTGGCAGCGGCGAACTTCATGAAAGCGATCGCACGAAGGGCGGGACCGTCGTACTGGGGGCTCATCCATTGCGCGTATGGAACACCGTCGAGATCGTACTTTGTCCATGCTTGTTTCTCGGTGAACCAGCCAGGAGTGCTGGTGCGAGCGTTCTTCTGGGTGAGTTGAGTCCACTTGAAGAAGAGGTCGAAGTTGGAGGCGATCTCGGCGTCCGTTTTGCCAGTGGCGGCGTACAGATCCGCGAGAGCGGCCATGCTGAGACCTGAGGGATGAGAGATATGTGAGTAAATGACGCATGGACGGAAACGACGGAAACCAGGCAAATTAGGGAACACATACCTCCATCACGGACCCAGTAGTATTGGTACTCGTCTCTGGGAAGTGGGGCAGCAGCACCAGCGACGAGGGCACCGGTGGTCTGGTTGATGTGAGCGATGATGCGCTCCTTTCCGAAGGGGACCTGAGTCTTGAGGAACTGAGTGATGTCGGAGCTCTCGGCACGGCGGACGGGGACGGAGCGAGCGTCGACAGCAACGCTGAAAGCGAAGGCCGTGAGGATGGAGAAGGTGGTGGAGAACTTCATGTTGAAGGTTGGTTGGGGAGAGGCCTTGAGAAGGTTGCTGGGATGCAAACGAGGAAGCAGCTTTTATACATTTCGGGCGCGCATGAAGTTTTGTTGTCAGCCTTTGTCTCTTTCCTCCACATACGGTCAGTGGGGAAACGTATAAGATACCTTGGATGACCACATCGGGTGCTAAGGTGGCATCCGAGAACGTCAGAACTTTGGGCCTCGGGGTAGGAGGGAAGAGGTCACCCACTCCGAAAGGTAAAGTACGGTACTTTCCTAAAGGAGCCTCCACCATGTGCATCGTGCAGCTAAAGTTTTTTTTGGCACATCCAGCACATACAGTAGGCGGTGAAGCATCCACCGATCAACACGTCGACGTTTGCCATCCCGTGATGACCTTGCTTTGCGCGTCCTTGGCTGGATACGCGGCTACAAGAATACAAGAAAAAAGTCCGCGTGAGGACGAGGCTGCAGAAGCCTGCCTGTGCAGGGATGATGCATGCACATGGATGCCTTTCCTGTACGCTCGTCATGGTGAATACATATCGTGTCTCCCAAAAACAATCAACGTCCACAACCAAAAGGCGTCCACAACCAAAGGTCCCAACGACATTTACCAGGAATGGCTCAGGGACCAACCGGCGAAGCCGGTCGCCGGAGCGGATTCTTCCACACTTCCACCCTGTAATGCCACTGGCGATGGAGATACCCACACATCGCCACGGAAAGGAAATCTCCCTCTTTGAAAAGTAAGGTCCTCCCTCGGATTGATGTATGGAGCTAGGCGATGTGCGGGTTTACATTTCATGGATAGGGAACCTGCGTACTGTATCCGTATACGAACTGTGTACATATATTGGCCAATTTGGCCTGACAAGCATCCGTTACTGTATGCCATCAACCTAACTCCGCCATTATGGGCTTTTCACAAATCAAAAATATCCACGGGGCCGTTGACAGCTCCGACCCACGCCGCCGGGTCAGCGCATTACCGGGGGGATCCAAATGTGGATTCCTTGATTTCCGGTTTGTCCAATCATGAAAAGGTCATGAGTTCTGCAGATCACTGGGTCACAAGACAAATAAAAACATTCGGGCATGACCTCGCGCAAACATTCATTTGCGTGCGCTTCAAGGTCCGCGTGTTCAATGTTGTACCTCGATACATGACGTCAGAGTGAGTCAAGCCAAATGACAGTAGACCCTGTCAATCTTGGCCGTCCAACGAAGGGAAAAACTCAATGTCCGACATAACTCATATGAACATGCAAAGAAGCGAGCGGACTGTGAGATGGTGCAACGTGAAGTCCTCCTCGCCCTATCTAACCTCTTTCAGGATGATCCATACCGACGACTCCATCACAGCAATGTTTCGCATGCCTAACAATTGAGCTTCCTCGCACGGAGGGGCGATGCGAGGGCAACCGATTGAATCTCTGCGTGGACAGGCAAGAGCACAAAGTGGAAGCATCCGATGCATGCATTTGAACACCCGTGGATGGCGACATCCGAAATGCAAGGTAAATTTGGCACGGTGTGTCGGAGAAGATAGGGAAGTTCCCTGGCATGCACGTATGTATGCGGGCTTGGCATCGGACATCGTTTCCCTTCTCGAGTGAACACCTTGTCGTGACGGAGGGAAAGGCCGCTTGCCCCACCCAAATTTCGGAAAAATCAGCAGTCAGCGACTGTTCTGGGAGTGTGAGGTATTCTTGTTGATTTTATGTACAAAATGTTTCATTCCCGCAGTGAAGGCTCATATGAAGGTCCACCTCTCAGCAGCTGTTGACATCTCAGACCTTGACCGCGAGATCAAGCGCTGACCTTAACTCCCTACAAGAGGCAGAGAAGATGTATGAACGTTGATGAGATGGCCTCGATAGAGAACGATGCCGAAAGAATCGCGTCCGCCTTCCCAACCTCCCTCCAAGCTCACCTTCCAAAAAGCGATGTAACCCTCGATGTTCTTAGCAGCGGGCTTGGGGCTCGGATAGAACCAAGCGGCATCCTTGTTGTCCTTGCCATCGACGCTCACCGTGTAATAGCTCGCCTCTGATGGTTGTCGGAAAGAGGTCAGTCATGGAAACGCCAATGAACCTTTATGCTAGTATGAGACACGCGGAGAATGAACATGCAGTACACTCACCGCCTTTCCAACCGCATGTGCTGTGAGTCGACGAAGGCTTGAAGTAGTCCTTCTTGATAGAGTCGGGCGGGAACTGTTTGCGTAGGGCGTTGTGTGCAGAAGCGGTGTCAGCTCACTTCCGTGTAGCAGAAAGCAGCGGAACACTATGGGTCCGAGTATGCGCAACGTAGGACTACTCACGTAAACGTTGTTCTCTACCGTCTCGAACTTGTCGCTCTCGGCGATAACTGATATTGATTGGCAATCGGTTAGGCCCACCGGTGATGGCAAGTGACACCTGACATTCCGCCATCTCTCACTTACCAACTCCATTCCATTCTGCTTTCGGCATCTTGACACTCGTTCTCGTTTGAAACCTTCTGATAGACTGTAGTGCGCTGGCCTTCGAAGAATATGACCGTGCGAGAAATGTATTTAGGTTGAACGATGATCTTGCGTGCATCTGAACGTCAATCGGGAGGCGGAAGAAAGCTCAACTTCTCGATCGCCGATCGGCCGTTCGGCAAACGCGCAGGCAAACGCGTGACAGTGCCCGTGTGGCTGTGCAATCCATTGCGGCGAACTTCAGCGGAAGCTCGATATGCTGTATGGAATCTGCAAGGAATATGTGCATACGGTCGGCCGAACGGAGAACGACTGTTTTTTGTCAAGGAAGCTTTGGTCTTGTGCAGCAGCGCCGCACCCCGCAAGTCGCCTTGTTGGATATCACCGTACGCTGCCAGCTCGTACGATGTCGAGATGGCTGGGAATTCCACGGCTCTCAGCGCGTGACTTGCCCGTCGTGGAAGAGCTTTCCGCGGGTGGAATGAAGCAAAAATGGGTGGGGAATCCTCGCCGTATAAACATTGGGGCAAACATCTCCGGTACTTATAGGCTTCAACGAAACAGAGGCTCACCGTAGTAAGCTGTGTAAGCGCATTCACCGAAACGTAAGGAAACGCAACTCGTGAAAATGTCCTTTTCCCCAAGACTCGCAATTGCAACACATTGCGTCAAGCCACGTCTTGCGCGCTGCAGGCTATCCCCACAACCGTTGCGAACCTTCTCCACAACAACCCCACAGCTCAGTTCACACCCCTCACCAACTGCGAGCGCCACTCCATCATCCCGCAAGAAAGTAACAATTGGAACGCTCAACAAGCTATGGCGGCAAGGGACACCTATCACTATGTTGACGGCGTACGATTACCCGTCGGCGTTACTGGCCGACCGCGCGGGAATGGAGACGGTGTTGGTGGGGGATAGTTTGGCGATGGTGGCGTTGGGGTATGAGAATACGAACCGGATTACGCTGGACGTAAGTGTTTTTGGCGTGGGCGGCTCGAACTTCCCAATTATTTTTCTGACAAACTCAAACCCCACAGGAAATGCTCCACCACTGCCGCGCCGTCTCCCGCGGCTCCCGCCACGCCTTCCTCATCGGCGACCTCCCCTTCGGCACCTACGAAACCTCCCCCTCCCAAGCCATCACCTCCGCCACCCGCATGATCCGCGAAGGCCGCATGGAAGCCGTGAAGCTCGAAGGCGGCACCGAGATGCAAGATACCATCTCCAGCCTCACCCGCGTCGGTATTTCCGTTCTCGGTCACGTTGGGTTGACACCCCAACGTGCGACGTCGTTGGGTGGGTTTCGCGTGCAGGGGAAGACGGCCGCCGGAGCTGTGAGGTTGTTGAAGGATGCGTTGGCTGTACAGGAAGCGGGCGCGTTTGCGGTCGTGATCGAGGCCGTACCCGAGCTCGTCGCGACGGAACTCACGAAGCGGTTGAAGATACCGACCATCGGTATCGGGGCAGGGAGCGGGTGCTCGGGGCAGGTGTTGGTTGGTATGGACATGTTGGGCGTGTACGATAAGCTGCAGCCAAAGTTCTGCAAGACGTATGCGGAGGTTGGGAAGATTACGGTCGATGCGTACAGGGCTTTTGGGGAGGAAGTGAAGCATAGGACGTTTCCGGTTTCGGAGGTGCATACCTACCCGATGGGGAAGGAGGAGGAAGCCAAGTTTTTGGAGGCTATTAAGAACTTGTGATGGGTGAGGCTGGTATAGCACGGATAGGCAGATTTACCCATAGCCGCACGTAGGATACATAGTGTATAGATCTTTCGAAGACATGCAGAACACGAACTACGTGATGTTCGTCAATAGAATTTCTCAATTTCCAAGTTTTCTGGTAAGGGATATAGGTTAAAGGAATGAGGTCTAGAATCTGAAGGGTAGCGTCCCATGAGGAAGCCAATGAAATTAGAACTATATAGAAAACGATCGTACGCCGATGACCCGAGCGCTATGGTGATAAACTCATGTCTCCGAGCCTCCTAGTCCAACAGCTCGAAAATGTTCCGATACTCCACACTAAGCTTCGGCCTGTTGACAACCAACTGTCCCTGTATCCCCGTAATCTTGGCAATCAAGTACAGGTACCAAATCACACAAAGCGCAACGACAAACTCGACTGCGTTGTTGACATGTTCCGGCGCATACAGCTTGACCACCGACACCGCCAACCCGGCCAACGAGCGCGCCGACCCCTGCGAATCCACATGTGGGGAGATCCACCGCGGGTTGGGTGGGTCCTGTCCCGTCTTCCCGCTCGGCGGGGCCGGTCCCGTCCCATTGATGGTGGGCCGACGACCGAGAATGTTGAACTGGACGTAGTCGTTAGTGGTTTGGAGTAGTGGCTCGACGTTGTTGACGACCATGGTCGGGAGGAGACGGCCGAGGATGCCTTGTCCTTTTGCGATGAAGGGTTGGCGCACGCGCTGGGCGCGCTTGAGGCCTTCTGTGTCGATTAGTTTTTCGATTTGAGTGGGGACGGCTTTGCCGGTGATGAGGTCGTAGGCGTCTTGGCGGCGGCCGTCGACGAACTTGGGGAGGAACAAAGAATCAGTGAAATATACAATCAGCAATGAATGGCGCAAGAAAACCGTGAGATTGGCATTAGGAGAGGTCTACTCACGTTGTTGAGGTAGAACCGGGTCAAGGAGTTGATACCATCATTCAAGCTTCCTTTCAGCGTCTTCCTTCCCGTCCGGGTGACATCAGCTTTCAGAGCCCCAGTTCCCGCATAAAGCAGACTGATCGCGTCACCAGAGTCCGCCCACATGTTCGTCAAGATCTGCCTAGAGGGCTCCAATGCTTGACGGGCCACAGCCACAGGATCGACTAGATCACTCGCAATCACACCGTCCTGGCCCACCGGCAATGGCGGAAGATCGGGCGAAATGGTTTGCAGCTGGTAGGCCAACATGTACCGAGCGAAGATACTGCACGTCAGGTTTGTGCGATCGAGAGAATCCAGGCACGACACGCGAGCCAATCCCGTTTGCAGTTTCGACACCTCCAACGAGCCTTTGGTCGCCAGCGTCGGGACCGCGCCATCGGCAATGAACCATCCGCTGCTCACTAGACGGTGACGAACCCGGTCTAACAAGATGTCCATATTCTCGTACTTCGCGCCTTTGCACCATTTATTGACGGGGAATGCCTCGTAGACGACCTTCTCGTCCATAAATCGCTTCACGGAGTCTTCATAGACCTTCGTCAACCTTCCCTCGAAGCCCGTCACGTCCAGTAGATTGACGCACACCACCTTCCCGACATCCGACCCTCCTTGAATGAATGTGTCTTCGCCGATGTATTGTCGTTTCAGATCGTCGTAGTGCTTTTTGCAGGAGTTCCAAACCACAGTCTTGTCGATGGACGCAATCAAGAGCTCCGGCTTATAATCCAGATTTAAATCCTGACCCCAGACTGAGGGCACAGACCCGCGGATCTGCACAAAAGTGCTGATCTTTTTTCGGTTGATGTAATCTTCGTGAAAAAGAATCTGTTCCATTTCGACATTGTTTGCCGTATTGCCTTCAAAGTCGAGCCCACGTCGCACGTATCGCGTACCCATCCTGCGACCATTTAGGCGAGACAGCAAAGTGAGCTTGTAAATGGCCGGTATATCGGATTCCGGGAGCTTGACCTTCAGGTCGATCGTTCCAGCAAAGCCGCTAATCGCACGGATGACCCAAGGTTCGGCATCCTTCCCAACATCAAGTAAAGGCTTAGCGAGGGCCCGAGTGAAGAAGTATCGGTCGTCGACAACTGTGCGAGAAGCTTGTCCGGCAGCTTTCAGCTGGTTGTGTTGTATCGAGTGGGTAAGATCGTAGGTGGTTGAGAAGTAGAGGTGCCCCGAGTTGACAATTTCATTCACAGACTGAAGTAGTTCGTGATCCAGCGTATACTGCAATCAAAGACCGTACTGAGCCATCGCCCTGGAAAACCTCGACACTCCCGATTGAAGTTACCTTGGCAAGCGTTTTCTCATCCACATTGCGAGGGGAGAGCTGCCCATGGACAGCACCCGCACCGAGTGGTAACAGGTTTGCAGCCGTTATCCTCCAGATTTTGTGCGATTGGACAGTAGCGGCAAGTGTGCGGGCTGTGGCGACTACGACGTACTTGCCTATGCGCGTATGACCCAAGACGTGAGTAAGATGGTCACTTCAACATTGGGCGCTTAAAGGAATAATGACACGTACCTAGGACAAGCTCAATCACACCAACGACGGCGCAGATCTCGAAGGGGTCGGTTCCCTGAAGCGCCAGCGACCTTGCGTTGACCCCTGTTTTGACTGAAGCTCCGGATGGGGTGAGCACTAGAACGGAACTCGCGTTTCCAGCCTCCGCAACGTAGGAATCTTCGACAACATATCCCGAGCTATCGGCGGTGCGGTAGACGTTGAAGTGATCCCTTCGAACGGCGTTTCCTTTCATATCTGTCACGCTGAGGGTTGGGGGTGCCTTCGAGAGATGAGTTCTATTGAGGTTAAGGGTGCTGTGGGTGCTGTGCGGTGAGTGCTGGATGGTGCTTGGAATTTGACGGTTCCTTCCGCGCTTTGTCGACGACGAGATGCTGCATTCCGGGCAGCCGCTGACACGAGGCAAAGTGGAAATCAAAGTTGGAATTGAATACAGTCAGGCATGCACGTGCCGCACAGATTAAAAGTTTGCTTACGTTATGGGAATCGACTGTTGCAACTTCGCAGAATTCGACGTTTTTGAGGTCGCAGTTTGCCCCTCCATTCACTTTCGCACTTGTTTGTTCAAACTGCTGTGGGCGTTGGTTGAGAATAGGCCTTATATCGGACGGGCCCAGGGACAGCAGCCGTCGTGAGCGTACTTGTGTACTGGCCGTGCAAGGACCCCGACGCTCCAACATGTCGCCTCCAGCGGAACACTTGTCGCACGCTAACCTTGTGACTGCCTTGAACTCTGACAATGTCGAGACTTTACTCTCGGGTACCAATCAAAAAAAGTTCTCTGGGATGCTGCCAACGAGACACTGAGCCTCTTGTGTATTTTCAGGGTTAACGGCTTTCGACCGGTCGCTTGCCAGATTAGTTTACGAAGAGGTGGACAGTGAAGTCTCGAATGATGCAGAGTTGCTCAAGGCGTACTTGAAGCAGTCGCCTGAAGCTACCGAGCTTTTCCGAATATGGTCATTTCAGCAGGAGGTACGTTTCCTGGGATGCAGCCTACTACTCGAGGCGAGAGGACTCATCGATTTTCGTGACTGTAGAACGCGTTAGACCGGATAGGCAGTGTGATAGTCGATGTGATCGCTCGCATAATCGAGGGATCGAAACTGGTGGAGCTGTACCCATCCGGGCTCTTCATTGCTCGTCGCGTTGTGCGTGAATATATGAAGCAGCTATACCGAGGGTTGTCCTCAGGAAAGAACAGCATGATGCAGTCGACGCTGAGGTTGTTCGTGGCCGTTGCGCGCTTCAATCCTTCCACGTCGAAGGAACTAGTGGAGAACTTCAATTTCACAATGAATGCCATTCCGAAACTGCTTTCCACACGGCAAAAGTCCCAAAGCAGCAAAAGTCACCGGGCTGAAGATGTTCGTAGCCTCTACGTAAAATATCTGCTGGCATTATTGGAGCATGGGGACGGAACGACGAAGAAGTTCTTGATGGAAACGAAGAACTTGTTGAGCAGCATATTCAAAGGGCTACCGGAGGACGACATCGAACTTGTGCGAACAGTAACTGAGACCTTACGCCGGACTGTTGTGGACGATGCTACTGTACCACGCACAGTCAAGATCGCATTCTTCAATAACTATGTACTCGAGCAGTTGAGCAGATTGTACGGTCGCACAGACGTGGACGAGTCATCTTCTACTTGCATCGCGGATGTTGGGCACGCCTTTCTATTGCACCTCTGCTCGAATCCGGGTGTCGGCGTGTGCTTTCAGGACGCTGGATGGTACCCAGCAAAGTCCAACACAGGCGCAAAGAGCATTCGCGTGTACAACAAAGTGCTGCTCAAATTCTTGGTAGCTCTGAGACCAACCGAGGACGTTCGACAACAGGATCTCGTCCTAGCTGTACTGAAAAGCTGTCCGGAACTGGTGCACCCGTACTGGAACGAGCTAGCATCTCTGTCTATGGACCCTCGCCCGTCAACGAAATGGTTAGCCAATATGGCGCTGGCTGCAAAAGTGATTAGCCTCCCCGTACCACCGATCTTCGGCGCCAATGAAGTCGGATCACTCCCTCCGCCTGTGGACACCGTGGCACAGAACATTCTACCTTCACAGCTGGATCGATCCGTCAACAGCCGCGCCCTTCAGCACCCCAATTCGATGATAAAGCACACCGTCGCCGTTGTTTTGGGGCTTGCGTTCGCAAAGTTGGCTGCCGTGCAGTCCATGGTTGGAGACATTGTCCGCACTATCACGTCGTCGTCAACACAAGTATCATTTGCGTTTGGAAACGTTGACGAATTGCTGAGTGCGTGGGCGAAATTCAGCTCGGATCTTATCGAGGATGTACGAAGGCGGGCACCGGATTTGCAGATTGTGCTGGCCATGCAACACCAGCAGCTGAAGCAAGGAGGGGATACGACCACGGCACCACAACCCAGTCCAACGAATGCAGAGATAGATGGGACGGAAGATGTTCTGGAAGAGATATCAACGGAGGTGCTGCACTGCGCCGCATTACGCCTGATCCAACAGTACCAGCGGCAGTTCCCGGACGCGATTATCGAAGCTCGCGTCAATTACGGAAAGTTCCTGCCGGCAGACCTGACTACCTGTTCGCCGGATTTACAGCTGCATTTACTCAGACTGATAGGAGAGGTACCCGAATTCAACTGGAAGGAACGGGCACCGAACGCCTCGGGATCACATCTGTACACCATTCTCCGTCTTTTCCTCGTCACGGACGTTCCTGAAGTCAGAGACGCGGCAACCAACGTAATCACCCGGATCCTCTCAGACTCGCTCCTATTCCAACACCACGTCGACGAGATCCCCATTTGGCTCGACACTTTGCAATCAAACCCCCCAGAACGTCGAGACGCAATCCTATCCTGGATCGACGAGGCCTTCTGCACGGGATCTCGCACGCCTTACCGCCTCGTAGACCGTATGTCGCAACTCATTCAATCCGCCGATAGCCAGATGGACGAAACCGAGAAGCGGGTGGCGGATCATATCCTGGCTACACGGAAGCGGACGTTCAATGCACCGTATGATGATCTTCAATTGCCGTATTTCCCGTTCAGCCCCGCTTTGATGTGTGTTACGGATGGGCTGCAGGCGTTGTTGAGAAGGAATGTGGAGAACGAGTCGGCGCAGGCGGAGGCTTCGATGAAGTTTTTCACTGCGCTTGTTGTGGACGTTGTACATGGGACGCAGGGGACGTCGCGATACGCTTTGTCGCTTGTCGGCACGATTGAGGGCAAGAAAGTCCCACTTGAGGTGCTAGCTTCGTATTTGGAAGGATTTCTCTCGGGAAAGCGGGGCGAGAGTGCGCAAACCCTCCTTACATCCGAGGGTCGGTCTTCCCCACGTCTCACGGACCTCTTCAGTTTCTCCGGGACGCACACGGAACAGGCGACGGAACGGTATGTGGAGGCGCTGAAAATCTACGGTGATACGCGGAAGTGGTTGGAATGGACACGACATACTTTCCTCGAAGTGGGCCGAGTGGTCAGGCTGAAGGATGAGGCGAAGATATCCCTTTGCTTCAGGGTACTAGAGGCCATTGTTTCGACGGCTCGCCCGGGCAATGTGGGTCCCACGAGCGCGGTGTTAACGGCACCGATTACGGGAAAGCTGGCTGCTAGCGAGGAGTATGCTCGAATCCGTGATGTCATTTTTGGACATCCCTATTTGACAGACAATTACGTGGGAACGTCGCCACAAGCAAAATTCCTAAGCCCAGCGGTAGTCGATCTCGTCCATCGTTCAATGACCGCAGAATCCGAAGCAAACTTCAACGCGAACTCGACGTCACCTGTCTGGACAAGCTACTGCGACACAATCCGCGACCTCCTCCTATCCGAGCTCAGCACAACCACTATCTCCCAAACCTCCGTCACCCTCTTCAAATCCTTCCGCCAATTCATGCCCCCGCAAAGCCTTAACACAATCCTCCAACACCTCCTCACCAACCCCACCTCACCCGACGATCTCCTCTACCTAGCCCTAACAGCCCGCTCCGGAACCGCCGAACAGATCATCACCCCCGATTTCTTCCGAAAACTCATCGCAATGATCCCCACCGCATCCAACGCGGAGGTGGAACGTGTGGTTTTGAAGATCATCTACGATGGCGTGCTTCCGTTGCCGCTTGCGATGGAGCGGAGGACGGGGGAGGTTTCGTGGGCGCTGTTCAAAGTCCGGGGGGAGCGGGAGGGGGCGGGTGCGGATGTTACGGCTTTGTTTGATGGAGAGAGTGTCCGGTTTTTGTTGAAAGGTTTGAGTGGGGAGAGTGGTGATACGCGGGCGGAGATCTTGCAGGTGTTGGTTGCGTATAATCCCAGCTGGCGGGATTGGGTTGCGACGCAGTTTGCGAAGAAGGATGTGGTTGACAGGTTGTCGGAGGTTGCCGTTTTGAGGCTTTATGCGGGCTTAATGTCGGGTTTCACGGTGAGATCGCGGTCCAACGCTAGAGATGCGTTGGACACCGTGGACTGGATTTCGTCAATGGCGAAGAAGCACAAAATGACTGTTCAAGCCTTGCACGCGCGTGCGGCACCTTTGATTCGCGAGTGCTTATTGGAAGGATCACTTGGCGGTTGCCATCGTCTGAACATTCTGGATACCGACATCCTGTTCAGAAGCGCGTCACTGTTTGGGAAGGGCGATGGCGAAACTCCCCTTCTGGATGAACTTCTGTCTCAAGCGATTGCACAAACGCAGCCGAAGGACCAGGCGCGTGCGACGACGTGGCTTGCTGAGCATTTGAACGTCCTGCTAGCGTTCGAGAACGCACACAAACAAGGAAGCATTGTCGGTACGCTACTCCTCTGTTTTTGGAACACCCGATGCTTCATTGGGAGGAAGAAGAAACAGATCGATCTTGACGCGGATGACGAACGAGCGCTCGGCGCTCTTTTGAGATTGATGAGGGACCGTGTTTCGGGAGCGCTGGATGGACTGAAAGTGGATCAGAGGGCTTGGATGACGCTGGTTGAACATAAGGCGCTTGTGAAGCATTTTGTTGTTTCGGCGCTGAAGTTTCGGATGGGAGATTGTCGGGTTTTGGAGATCCTGGCGTTGCTTGTGGGGGTGTTGTATGCTGGCCATGTGAGTTTGAAGTCTGTTGACGAGGAATATGCGGAAGATGCAATATCTGACATCACGACCTCTTGTTTATTAATAGGCCGGATCGGAGGTCTCATCATTCTCTACTGAGGAGCTATGCGACATGATCACATCCCACTCGCAATACACCATGATCCTGCATCTACCGGTGGAGTCGGACACCGCTGCAACGGGAATTCAAAAGACGCGTCCATTCTCCATTCCCAACCCCGCCAAGGCAACTCTGCTGGACTTACTCTTCACGATAATGTCCCAAGACCCCAGTCGCTGCTGCAAGCCCGAATACCTCCCCGCCCTCGCCCAAGCATACGGAGGTAGCACTGCACCGGCCGATCGCAACGTCTTGAAAATCTGGAAGCTTTATGAAGTTGATGCTGGGTTGAGCATTGATCCGTACGCCTTCCACTGGGGTCAAGCTGTTACGAACTCCCTCAGCGGCCTGAGCGCCGCGGAAAGTATAACGAGGATCGACCCGGTGTGGATGGCACATACTTGCCAATGGTTTGTAGCCGATGAGAATGTGGAAGTTTCGCGCAGCGACGGCTCAAGTGGCGACAGAGTGTTTTCGTCGAGACATTCGCCGTCGTACGACTGGAAGTTCTTCCTGCCTCTTGTGGCGGCCATCTTGGCGCAACATCATACCTCGGTCGATCCTCGACAGTTGGTGGAGTCGAATGTGATCGGGTTGGCTGTCATGGCATTGTCGAGCCTGAATGATAGCACGCGTCGTGCGGGCTACTTCATCCTCGATTACGCCTACGAGGTGCTTTTCAATGCTGAGATCAAGGAACGGAACCAGGTCATCCTGGTCCTGGACGGTCTGAGGAATGCGATCATCAACAGGGCAGATCTGCTCAACGAAGCAAAGCCCGGCGAGACGCAGAGGATTCCGGGGATCGTCACGTTGTTTGTCGCGCAGGGTCTGATGGTGCTGCTGAAGCCGGAGAATGAGATGTTCCCTCTTATCAACCGGTTCTTCTTGCAACGGCCGATCATGGATTTGGAAGACGTGCCCATGTTTTATGATCTGTTCTATTCGTCGACTACGAATTGTCGGAAGGAGAGGGTGTGGATGTTGCGGCTTTTGTGTTGCGGTCTGGAGAGTGCTGCGGTGAGTTTCGACACTCGAATAGTCACTGTTGCTTTGATGACGAAACTCATTTTCCCATCTCTCAGGACTACCGATGCTACAAACGGCGTCACGTCCTCGACATCCTCATGAGCTTCTTCACCTCCTCAATGGCCGACACCATGCTCCGCAAGCTCGTCCTCGAATTCATCTTCCGAGCCACGGCCATCCCCTCCGTCATCTCCGACATGATCACCCAAAGCGGGTTGCTGACATTCCTGCAAAACGCCGTAGGCGGATGGGACTTCCACAACGTCTCCAACGATATCGCGCTGGGTTTCCCACGGCTGCTGCGCGCTATCCTGCAAGGGTTCTTGAGATCTGACCCGGAGTGGCATGGAGGGCGGAGGAGCTTGTGGCTGGAAGGTATCGCTACGGTTACCGTCGCGCTGATACAGTGCGTCACGAGAGCTGCGAAGGGGAATGTCGATGCAAAGACGGCACCCATTTACGGCGAGTTGCTGTTGAGCATCGGGTGTCTAGTTAATGACCTCGCGCGCGCGTTTGTAGAAGAGGCAGCCCGGTTCCCAGGGAGGGTGATCGTATCGCCCATAAGCGCAGGGCACGTTGTGACGCTGATTGGAGTGTTCGAGGAAAGCATCTGTTTCGTTCCTACGGCTACTAGCAAGAAATCGACGGTGGGCGACGAAGATGACAGTTTATTGACAGAGCTGTCGCTCGATCTTGACAAATTGTATGCGACCACCAGTGGAACTGTCCACCGCGTATTTGCTCGCGTACGGCTGGAGCTCTTCGCCGCCGCATGTGCCACGCCCGTTCCATTCGAATCCCAAACCACGCTGGAATCTTTGCTCGGATTCTGTTTGTCGACCGTCGATCGTGAACCACAAATTTGGGACATCGGGAACAAAGTCTCCTCCAAGACGCCTAGAGTGGATGACTTCCTCAAGTTCCTCTTGCGCCTCTACCGCGGGTCGCAAAAACAATCGACAGAAGCGATCTCTTCGCTGAACGAAGCCTTGCGTTCCGGGCTGGAGCGATTTGTTACGTTAGCAGGACTAAGCGGCAACACTGACGTCTCCGCCTCCCGCCGTGTGCTCTGCAACGCAGGTCTGGCTCTGTCACGGAAACAAGAACGAATTTTATTGGGGAAGCGGAAACGCGACGACGATGCGCCTCCGACCGATAGGGCACCTACTCCACGGAAGTCAAAGAAGAATGGCAAAGCATCCGTACCGACGACATCAACGATCAAGCAGCGGTTGGACTCCGTTCTGGAGAAGTACCTGCCACAGGCTCCTTCTCCGAAGGATTTGGCAAACAATGCAGGTGTCACTGCCACGATCGATGCGAAGCGTGACGAAGTAATCGGTCTGGCGCTACGATGTGATAGGATGGGTGGAGGGATCTCCGAGGAAGTATTGGCCGGCTTAGAGTAGTCCGTGGCTTCTTCGTATACAAGCGTAGATACCCGCAGCGTGTGGGTCTTTTTTTGTTTTTATTTGATAGAAAATAGATGCAATGCACTGTAGCTCCGAGTACAACAGAAATCGTCCAAGATTTTCAGTATACAGATGTCAAAAATACTGATGTGATTAAGCGATATACAACTGGCATGTACAAGAAGGGGAACAAAAAATCACGCGCAGTGCGAAATCAAAGCTGCGAGCCACGAGGTATTCAACTTTGGGGTAAAAGGCTAACGACCTGCGCTGCAGAGTAAGACAAAAATCTGTACAAGAAAGGAAGGTATAGAGAGGTTTCTCTACGACCAGAGCTGTGTCAAAATAACAAGGCGAAAGGGCGCACGGCGACGGATATCGAGTATTTTGGACTGTCGGGTGGGGCCAGATAGGCGGATATTCCTCCATGTCGAGGTCGACACCGAAAGTTTAGGAGATGCTTCCGTCCCCTGGAGCCGATTGTCCTTCAAGGGACTTGATTCTTTGCTCGTCTTGAAAGTGACGCGTTTCATGTTGGACGCGTTCAGTCTCTAGACTCGCGACGCGCAGAATGAGTCGGTGGTTTTCTGCCTCCAGCTCTTTGATGCGTGCTTCAAGCTGATCGATGTGGGCAAGACGCCGAAGGCGCGAACGACGGGCTGAAAACGAAAGGGAACAGAGACGTTCGGTTAATCACCCGTTTGGAAGCAAGAAAAGCGAGAAGATACCTCCTCATTGATTCAGCCCTACCTGCTTCTGTATTGCGCAATCGCTTCAATTGCAATGCATCCTCTTTGCTTCCATCTCCTCCCGTAGACACATCGCTATACGATCTCGGGCGAGACTGCGGCGCCGTTGCCGAAGAAGCATCGGATGGGCGACGCCCGCGCGTGGGACCCGCAGTAGAAGTAGGGTATGGGATTCCATTTTGCGACGGGACTGTCATGATGGGTCGCTGCAAAGACATATTGTCCCATGTCGTCGGGTTCGGTAACGATGCTCGTCGGTATTGTGGAGATGAACCCGACACGGCTAGAAGCTGATGTGGTGCTATCATCCCGTTCGGGCCAGCGTAACCCATTGGTATAACGGCTGAAATGGGAAGTAGAGTCGGCTCCGCAGCTATTGGGAGCAGCGGACCGGCCGGCTGCTGCATGTGCTGGGGTTGGCCCTCTTCCTGCATGGGCGACATTGACGAATCGTGTCGTTGTTCTGGGGAACTGGTGTCCATTTTTTGTGTTTGTTGCGGTTGTTGCGGTTCTTGTTGTTGTTGTTGTTGTTGCTGGTGTTGTATTGGTTGCGAATGCTGCTGTAATTGTTGTAGGTGGGGTGACCGATCTCCCGTTGGGGGAGGCTGCTGCATGTGTGGGTTGGCTGGGAAAACCATGAGCGTCAGCACATTCAGGACCGAGCGCGACGAGATCACCCCGCGAACAAGTCTTTACACATACCGACAAAGATAGGATGCTGGGGATGTAGTTGCTGATGCTGTGCAGCGAAGTGCTGCTGATGTTGTTGTAATTGGTCCGGATGTACTGGCGCGTAGTAGTACGCCCCTGGGTGAACTGGGAAGCCGACCGGTACCTCAAACTTTGTCGCTTGCAATCGTGCGTGCTCATGCGCCTGCTGCTGCTGCTGCTGCTGCTGCTGCTGGTGCTGCTGGTGCTGTTGCTGCGTGACACTCTGCTGTGGCGATGGCTGTTGCTGGTGCTCGTCGTAGAAGCCGGCGGTGGTGGATGGGGGTTGCTGTGCCATGTTGTCCTCTGCTCGTCGCTTTTTTGGGCTTTCGTCTCGTTGTTTTTGGGATAAGGGGCGCGTGGAAGCAAGCGAGCGACTTTCGCGGTCGGGCGTTCACACAACACAAGTTTTACAGCCCGGTGGGGGAATGGTTGCGTCGCTCAGCAGTCCCCTCTCTTGTGTGGCAATCGACCTTGTCCTCCGGTGGTCCTCACTCGCCCCTGAGAGAGAGAGATACGGGCGTCGTCCAAAACGTCCAAGTTCCTCGTCCCAGCTGAACCTGAAGGGTCCCAAAGTGGGTCGCAACTTGTCAACTTGCAACCGGAGCGAGGGGAGGGACGTCTGTATCGTGGAAGAGGATGCGGGAAGGTTGATGAGCTCGTGGGATTCGGTGGGAAGCTTTTCGGTGCTCCAGCATTCGGATACCCAAAACCCAGATCTCCAGCGTTTCAACGCTCAAGCCCTTCCAAAGGTTTGGCGGGATGCCCTGAACGTGCCACGGTTCCTTCTCACAGCGCACAAATCGACTCAACACGCGGTACGTACCCGGTCCTAAACTGACGCCTCTGTATATGAGAGATGTGCGCGACGGTATACGACGAGCTCCTCAAGCGACCTCTTCGTAAGATCTCCGTTTCGGCGTAGCAGAAGATGACAGGAAGATTGGCTCGGAAGTGGGAAATCTACACTACGGTGAAAGGGGAAGACCTTCGACGACGCGGCAAGACCTGTTATACGCCTTTTTCTTTCCCAAGAGCAAGTCGCACGCTCCGATTTTATGCATCATCGCCATTTATCACGTATCAGCAGTGTCAGTGTGCAGTCTGTGCTTTGTGAACCCTGTCACCGTTGATCTGGAAGCGATTGGGAGGTTGGAGTTGAAGTTCATGTTTAAAAGCCGGTAGGTACGGTACCCCACGCCTCTCCACGCCCACGGGCTGGCACCGCATGGCGGCATCGACCGAAAACGACAACCGCCCCAACGGTCTGACCAGTGAGTGGGGCCGAAGCCGCCGAACCACAATCGTCACATTTGCACAAGTTACAACTGTCCAAGGCAATTCCAAACGACATTCTCATCAGTCCCCGTCCTTCGCACGGGATACCAAGTTACCAAAGTACTGTACCTGCACTTGCAACCTGAAATGGGAGTGTGCTCTGCAATAACGTATACAGAGCCGGAGGCATTCCAGGTGTCGAGTTTCAACGGTCGTCGGTATCAATCTTCGTGCCAACCGGGGTCGTCGCACGGGGAGATCAGTGTAATGATTGGCACCGTAGCGCAATTTGGCGTGAGTAGCCTGAGGAACGTTCAGCACAAACCCATACTGTACATAAACCTACATATGAACTCCAAATGGACGTCGCCGTCCTTCAGCATATTGGAGGTCCTTACTATGAAAGTTTTGAAAATCCGTGGGGATGAGCATCGCCACATCGCCACTCCTAAATTGAATGTCAAAGTTTTTGTATTTAGTTTAACATTAGGGTGGCTCCTTGTTCCAAATCGATTGAGAGACGGAGATTTTAACAATCACAGCAATTTCCCAATCAGTTTGGGCGTTACGGCCACTACAGTCGATTCTCGACACACCAGCCGCCCATCAAGCGGCTCCCATTCCGCAAGCTGATGTTCGCCGAATATTTTTTTGGATGGCCGCAGGCAGGGCTCCAGTCGTTGGGGGAGGCTTGCTGGGAGGGCTGCTAGCCTTGCTGCCGTCATTTTCGTGGAAAATCCACACCGTCGAAAAAAGAAAAAGCCGTACTCTTCCCGCGTTGATAGAGGCTTGTCTTTTGCACAGCGGGCTGCGAGACTGATGGAGACCGCAGAGCTCACAGTCTACAGACGTGGATTTCGCCAAACCTCAGCTTGGGTTTTGCTTTTCAAAGTGCGCAGGATAGTGGCTCTCCTTGCCTCCGAGATCACTGCAAGCATACGGCAGTTGTCTCCCACTGAGGGCCTCATGTCGAAAGGTAGGTGCACACACAAAATCGGGCTCCGGGCCTTTGGAGCGATCTGGGCCTTCAAAATATAGTATTTTATTCATCCGGAGCGGCTTGATGTCCAACGGTGGGGCATCCGCTGCACAGGTGCTATGGTGTCGTCTCGTCCACCGCACCAGATTTGGCCGGATTCTGGTTGTTCGGCTGTCCCTAGTTTATTCTGAACCTCGAAGCCATTGTAAGTGGCGACAAAGCCGCCATCGCCGGATCAAAATCAGGCCAGTTATCGTCTCTACTCCCATACATCAAATCGCAACCTGCTCGGACATCGGTATCTCTGCCTGTGCCAGATAGCAACAATGAGCGTGGCATCCAATATGAAAAGCCTTTGACACGGTCGGAAAACCAGTGATGCTGGTCTTCAAGTCCGCTGCCCTTACGCACGGTGATCAAGAGAGTTGTCGGAAACTTTCTGAAGTATGGAGCCCCACTGCCGCAGCATCAACCAGATGGTCTGCTCTTGACCTCAGAATTACATTATAGATTTGATTGGATCGCTCGTTTCCATAAAAAACATAATCAGACAGCAGGTGAGAACTGTAACGCGGGAAAGAGCAGAGTAGCGATGCGAATGACATTAAAATGACAGCGTCTCAGAATGACAGGAAACCTTGCTTGAAAAGCGAACTGGGGCGAAGATTGATGTGCCAGGTATGGTCCTTTCTGATAATCATATGCAGTGCATAAATACACCATCTTCTCAGACGCCGGAACTTATATACACTACATCACCATAAAACCCATGTCCCACTTCCATCGCTCAGTCCCTACGTCTTTCATCTACAAATACGAACTGCTCCATCCCACAATCGCTCTGGTCAAAATTCGTCCTCGTCCTCATCTTCCTCCTCTGATGACATTACAATGGGTCTCCGTCGACTTCCAGACATACGAGAGGGACGGGAAACGGGAAATCGAGAGGTCAGTGAATTTCGTTGAAAACATATCCAAATTTGAACCTCAGACTCACCTAGCCCCCTGACGTGCGCGACTCGCGGCCTTATCCGGAACAACCGTCTCATAATCTCCCTCAGCATCACTGTCCGCCTCCTCATCCGTAGCCGTCTCCGACTCAGACACCAAACCATCTGACGCCTCGTCGTCTTCCTCTTCTTCTTCGCTGTCTTCAGCAACGGCCGCCCGGCCCCCACGTTTGCGAGATTGCTGTGACGTGTATTGCACTGTCCGCTTGGATTGCGGAGCAGCGGCTCGCCGTGTGGGGAAGTCCTCCTCCTCCTCTTCTTCATCTTCGTCGTCTTCAATGTCCACTTCCTGGTCTGCTTCCTCATCATCGTCATCATCTTCGCTCTCTTCAACAGCTTGCACCCGCTTGCGAGAAACTATGCTCGTTGCTGGCTTCCCACGACGTGGTTTCGTTGGTGCTACAATCTCATCGTCGTCCTCTTCTTCCTCATTCTGCATTTCAGCTTCATCCTCCGCATGCTCCTGTTCCTCTGCCTGCTTTCCAGTGCGCTGCGAACCGTCACCATATGCCCGTTAGCCCACAACCCATTATCTCCAGGTGTCCCACACCATGAAGATCCTCGCACTCACCAACGACATCTGCCCAATCCCGGCCAAAATATCATCCACCGTATCCGCACCGCCAGCAGCAAGATGCGGCTTCCCGCCCGCACGCACTTTCGCCTTTTCCCGCGTAGCGTTAGCGACCGCTTGCTCGTTCTCGACGCACTTTTCTCGCATCTCTACTAGCTTGACCTCAAAGTCTTCCATCAGGGTCTTGGTTTCGCCTTTTGCTGCCTTCTTGGCCTGCCATGATGAATAAATGGCTGTTCAGTACACGCGTTTTGAACAGGGTCATTCATGCGACATCATCCCCTCCATGCCTTAGCGGTAATCTCCAAGAAATGCTTAAACAGCGTCGGTTCATGCAGTTTATCCTGGTACTGCGGCAAATGCTCGACAAACTTTCGGATACTCTTTTCCGAGCTGAAGGATAACAGCGACAGGCAGAAGGAGATGTCGCGCCATTGTCGCGGTGTGTCGGCGTTGCGGAAACGGAGGCAGAGCTTTTCGACGATGTTTTCGGTTTGTTTGTCCTGCGTAAGACATAGAGACATGTTTCTGTTAGAAGTCTGACACCGGCAGAAAAAAGCTAGCATCCCCCATGTCCCTCACCTTCTTGATAAAATCCAACAAAAACTTCATAATATTCGCAAACGCCACCTCACTAACCCCCGTCTCCCCATTCGACAAATTACTGATGATATCCGGCAAATTGTTATACACCGCATTATCCTTGCTCGCTAACTCCGTAAAGAACAGTTTCGCCAGATCACTGATCCGCTGATCCTCATCCTCCAGACATTTCGCCATCTCGCTCGTCTGCCCTTTGACTTTAACCATCCCATTCAGAATCAAAAAGGTGAGGACCATAAGCGTGTTTTTCTTGACGGTGGGATCGTTATCCTTGAGACGGTTGTAGAGGTAGGAGATGTTCTGGTCGATGAGGGAGTTGAAGCAGACGGTCATGTCGCCGAGGCCGATGATGGCGTTGGAGCGGATGATGGCGTCTTCGGATTTTTCGAGGATGGTGAAGAGAAGTTGGAGGTGGGCGTCGCAAAAGTCGGGGCTGATGCACATGAATTTGCAGAGAGCTAGGACGGCCATTATTTGGAGGATCGGATTCTGCGAGGAAGGTCAAGAAGATGTCAACAACGCTCCGCGTACGAAGGAAACAAGATCAGACCCGTTCCTCACGTTGAAACTCCGGTTATTAGCGCAAATGAACGCAATCAGCGGCCCAAACGAGCCCAACAACGTATTGTTCCCAAACAACAATTCCCGTTCCCTGATATGCGCAATGGCTTCCGAAAACTCATCCTCCGCAGTCCCCGTCACCTGGTCCAGCTCGTCCGCGGCTCCCTGTTTTCGCGGGGTCTTGGCGAGGTCCTCTACAGTTGCCCAATTTATTTCGGGTCAATAATCGCCCGCCATAACAACGTTGGAAGAGAATATGACATACCAGCATGCTTCCGCCTCTTCCACTCCGACTCAACAGCCTCCAAATGCACAATCTCCTTGATCGCCACATGCCCCACAATAAAGCACAACCCAGCCAATTCCAGCGGGTCACACGACGCCAACGTCGCCGTCTCACTTTGCCCCTCCTCCCCAATCATCAAATTCCGCTCCATCTGCGTCGACAACAGCTCCACAGTCGGGTCATCACCATCCTGCACCGGGGGTGGCTTGGAGAACCCCAGCACACGCGCGGCGATATGCTTGACAATCTCCCCACAGGTCTCATCCGGCTGCTCACTCAACAAATAAATCGTGTTGACAGCTTGCTCCGCGAAGCCAAACCACTCCATCGCCGAGGAGGGTTCCAACAACAACGTCTTCAAACAGGTCACAACCGGGTGCGAGACCGGAAACCGCATCTGTCCCGCCGCAACCGACCCTTTCGTGCGTTTCGCAGCGCCGAGTTGTTGCAGCGCGATACATGTATATCGAGCCAACACCAAATCGTGTTTTGCAGACTCGCCCAACCCGATTTTAAGGAGTGTTTCCCAGTTGTCGGCGATGATCTCCTTTTTGGCTTTGCCGACCATGCCGATGATCATGATGGCGCCGCGGCGGCGACGGGGGGGCTGCTTTTTGGAGGCGAAGACGGTCCAGAGGAGTTGGAGAGTGGGGGTTTTGAAGGCGTTGGCTGTTACAAGCATGGAGATGAGCTGTTCTAGGGAGGTCAGTTCCGCTAGCGTCATTGTGAATGTAAGTCTGCGGAGACAATGGTCAGGAACACATGAATAAAAACGACAAAGTCTCTTCCAAACGCCCAACCTGATCAAGTTATCAGCAATCTCTTCCTCAGGCAACCTCTCCGAAGCCCCATTCTCAAAGTAAACAGCGATATAGCTCCTCATCAAATGATCCCTCACACTCATCCGCTCCGTCTCCCCAGCGTCTTTGTCCCACACCTTGTGGACCATTTGCCGGACTCCAACCTACAAATGAAATCCGCTTTCATCAACACATGCTGTTCCCACCTCATTACTCATGCATCAATGCGAAAAAACCTACATTAGCACACTCCATCTGATATTGATGCGCAACCACGAAAAAATTCATAGCCTCAACGACCTCCCCCTTGACGTTCGACGCGAGCAGCTGGCACATCGTCGGGACCAGGTCTTCAATCTGCTTGACGAAGCGGATGCCGTCTTTGTAGTACTTCATGAACCCGCGGAGTGTTCGTAATTCTTCTTCACCAGCTACCAGAGTTGCGCCGGGTGTCTCCGTGGCAGAACCGGTAGCAGCTGGCTGCGCGTTGTCATCAAACGGGTTTGTCATTTCACCGGCCACACTGCTTTCCGCGGCTGGTGCGACATCCCCCTCCTGCGTCCGCTCGCCCTCCTCTTCCAACCCCGGTAAGTCCTCCTTCGGGAACTTCTGCTTCAACACCTCCTCCAGACTGCGATGTTTCTGTTCAAAGTACAGGCGGGACAACCTGCCCTCGTCTTGCGGGAAGGCGATGAACGGGGTCGTTTGGATGAACTTTGTGAGCAGTTTGATGGCGTTCTTGCGGACGTTGCTGGCTTTGTCGTGCAGTCGGCCGGATGTTAGGGATATCAGAGCTGGGCGGATGGCGAGGGGGATGTCGGTGACGGCTGAGTCGTCTCGTCGTCTGCATAACGATGGAGGATAAGGATCATGCTCGGACAGGGGGAACTCATCGTAATAGCGCACTTACTCGGTCAATCTCAACAGCACTTGCAGAACCTTGACCCTCACATAAGAGCTCACATCCCTGAACCGCTCTTGCAGCACATCATAGTATGAGGTCAGCGACGCAGCAGCGCTCTCCGAGCTGTCCATCGCGAGATGATTGTGAATGATGTGACCGATAACCTCAAGCATGCCCATCCTGAGTGTGTACGACTTTCGAATCGAAACCAAGCGGCGTTAAGCACACCCGTCTATTGCAGACAGAAAGGTACTGAGATCGAACTAACCTCAGAGTCAAGGAATACTTGGATGTGAACCATCTGTTTCAACACCTCTTTCGGCAGGATCTCGGAGATGCGAGTCAAGAATTTCGCAAAGGCTTTCGCCAGCTTGAGGTCCTTGTCGTTGAAGTCCTTGCTGGCGCAATGCCTAAATATGAATGCCGGCGGTCAGTAAACCCGTACGAGCATCTCAAAACAAAGTCATACAAAGCGCACCTCAACACATTCTCAACAAGCCTCGTATTCTCATATTTCACGACCAGCGTGTGCATAAGATCCGCAATAAACTCCGAAAGATGCTCTTCGCGGAGGTATTGTTCCACTATCCTCGTCTGCAAGCCTACGCGACAAGTTCAGGGCTGCTCACATAGCTTGCACAGACTAGCGTGTCCTTACCATGACTGACTGTCCCATCATATGACGTAACGCAGATGCAGAAGATGTTGGTGATATGGGATTTGAGGTCCTCATCTTTCATTGTTGCAGGATCCTCCAACACCACCGACAGCGACTTTGTGATCATTCTGTGGAAATCGGGTCAGTCCTGCCAGAGTCGAAAGAGCCAAAAAAGGAACGGCAGATCCTCACCCAAAAAGCGTGTCGCGGTCAGAGGAGGCGATGATAATCCTGCTCAGGTCCAATGCCACGAGGTTCTCCGCCGCTTTCATAGCATCCTGTTTCTGCGTCAACCAATCCCACTCTATGGATGTATCCCGTTTTCCTTTCGCTCTCGTTGTCTGAGATGTGCGTGGATGAGTTTTCAAGGCCATGCACCTCAAATACGAAGGTTGCGCATACTTTCGCTTTCGCCGTAACCCCAGCCTTCTCCTTCTCCTTCATTATGGATTTCCAGCGGTTCTCGGCAACCTCCATCATCCAATGCCAACAGAACGCGTATATCTGCAGCGCTATCCGGTCCTGTTCAAAGTTATGTTGCGCGTTTTCGGCGAGATCGACATGGGTGGCTTTTATCTGTCCCGCAAATGCTGTGAGGATGCAAAAACGATGAATAAAGCGAAGCTCGCCGCGGAACCCCTTGCTGTCGCTCGCACATACCAGAGACAAACAAATCGACGAATTTGTGGGCCAGTGGTGAGGGCAGGCCATCAAAGTGCCTGAAACGTATTGCAAGTCAGAAAGTTGACCAGTAGCTACATCATCAAAATCACAAACTTCAAATTCAATTCCTCTCACTTGATAAAACTGCGTATGCGGTCCAATATCTGCTGATTGACAATCTGGCCAGGCTCTCCAACACTCTCAATCAGCTCTGCAACGCAGGACGTCTATCAGTATCCTGGTCCCGTTATGTTGCCCTGTCGTGACAAGGCCACTGTTATCTAACCATCCAGTATGGCAACCGTCTCATCCTCGTGGAGGTCCAAGATATGCAACTCCTCCTCAAACTGCACATCGTTCTCCTGCAGACTGACGAGCTCCTCGTGTAGACTGAAGCCGTTCATCTTCGTGTGATTTCTAGGCTGCTGACGCGCTAGTCTTTCCAACCGTTGTGAGTCTTTCGGAGGGGCCAAGCGAGCGGACGTCTGTGGCAGCAGTTGACGAGCGGGACGAGTGACGAAGCTGAAGGTGGCTGGCTGGCTTGGCTGTCTGCGCAACGTACTGTATGTAGGTCAAAGAGTACGGTGGTATTTTTTGCAGGGCTCGTGCGAGTCCGTTTGGCGGGGGGGAGGCATGTCCGGACGCAACGGACACGCCACGCCACAGACTCAGACAGACTCCCACGGGCGCGGGGTTTCTCCACTTCCGACGCTGCTCGGCATCGCTTCCCAGAATGACAGGAGGTAGGCAGAGGCAGAGGATCCGCACCCGCAGGAGACTTGCAAACAGACTGGCCGCCAGTCAGCGTCCGTCTGCACCCCAGGCGACACGGATTCCGGTGCCCTCAAATGACGCTGCTACCCGGACCGCTCGCCAGGTAAGTGCTATCGACCTGTCGAGAGAATAGTGCAGACTGCGGCGAGCGACATCCCTGAGGTGCGAGCCACAGCGAGGAGAAGGCGAGCGACGGCGAGTCCCATTTGGCCAGAGTCGGAGCGAGGCGCAAGAATGCTTGAGGTTCCCACCGGAGCGAGGATTTTTGCGAGCGAGAGCGAGTCCCATTGCGCCGAAGTCGGAGCGAGGCGAGGCGCAAGAATGCTTGAGGATGCATTCTTGAGGATGCGGAGCGTCAGTGAGCCGAGGTTTCTTGCTTCGTTCATCTCTCGCTTAACATCCTTGTCGCGAGCGGAGCGAGCAGGGTGCTGTTTGTTGATGAGTGGTTGGCGGTTAAGGGCGGATACTATCCGACCAGCGAACCAACCTTCGCTTCGCTCCGGAGACATGTCGAAAGTGTTAACTTCCATTTAACCATCACAGGGCGCTTCCTTGGCCCCGATTGTCGCCCGGCCTCGCCCACCACCTCCTCTCGCACGAATTCCCCGACCACCGCCACAACGGCCTCACCCACCACCACTCGCACGACCAGCCTCTCCACCTCGGCAACAACCATCTCAACCTCCGCAACAGCCATCTCAACCTCGAATTGTGGTCAATGTAGAGGAGGACGACAAGGATGAGATCCCCGGAGGGGTGATGGTTCCCGAAGGTCCGCTCCCAAGGACGGTAATCACGGCTCCTTCTCAGCAGCTTCCAACGAATAAGGCAAACGAACTCCGACGAAAAGTAAGCGGTATGACGCTCGCCGACCTACAGACCCCTCAAACGGAACCAGATATCATCCCAGGATTCACCGCCTACCATCAAAACGTCGGGCTGTCCCACAATTTCGCATTCATTTCCAAGCTGAACCCATCACAAAGTCTGCAGGCGATTGCTTGGGGCGCCCCGGCTCGCGTTACCCTCAAGAAGGCGGCGGACCAAAAGCTTTTCGTGGGTAGGTTCTGATACCCTTGGTTTCCTATGGGAGCCTTGGGGTAGTGAGTGCGGTTGTCGAACGCTCACGCCAGCGAAGCGAATCCCGCGTCAAGGTCGCAAGTCCCCAACGGGCTTGTGGGTTAGACTCTGCTCCAACGGTTTGTGGGTTACCGATGTGGACTGATGAGATTCTGCTTTCGTTTAGGGGAGTGGATCCCTGAGCCTCGTCTAGGGGTCGTCATCACCAAACTGCGTACGAGAGTGCACGACCCGCTCTTCTTGCAAAATAATAAGGAAATAGAGTCAGGGGCACCCTTTGCGTTTAATTCCAGAGTAAGTCCCATCCCGGAAGTACAGTTCCCAAACTGGAACTAATAAATTGACCATTATGTCATCAGTATCTCGTAAAGAAAGGCAACAACAGATGCCGCGAAGGGCCTGTCCGGAGTATCAAGTACGTCGCTCTGGATAGAAAGCATCTCATTTGGTCCATCTTTCTCATGGCGAATACTTGGTTTCCTGTTCAGATGTGTCGGAAAGGAGAACGTGACCATAACCTCCTCCGAGACGGATTCCTTGGTGATGTGGGATTTTATACACAGTTCTGACGGTCAGGTTGTCTCAAGGTAGGATATGAAAGTGCTGATCAGATGTGAAGCTGTTGATCTTTCCGTCCCTCGGGAAACCGTCGAAACAGTTCAGTTGTCGCTAATACCTCTTACCAATTCTTCCACCTCATCTCTCACAGGCTGAAAACCAATGGCCCGAACCTGTCCGGCTCAATCGATGTCAGGACCGGCACAGTCGCAAGCGGAGCCGAAGACAGAAAGCTCTACATCTGGACCCTCACCGGCCAAAAAGTCCCCACCCTCAACCCCCTATCCTCATTCCCCATCCACGAAGGCGCCACCGGCGACATCACATGCACAAGCATCCACGCCAAACAACCTGACCTCATCGTAGCGGCCACCCAGGACGGAAAACTAGCCTTCTTCGACTCCCGAGTCCCCGGTGGGGGTGGTCGACCGCCGATGGACGCACATACCGATATGATCTCCAGCGTACATTACCATCCTACCGTGGCCCACTGGGTCATCTCGGGCTCGGACGACTGTACTACCCGAATCTGGGATACCCGCGGGAAAGGCCTCCCTGTCCATTATTATCGCCACAAGGATAAAGTCACGGCCGTGGAATGGTGCCCGCACATGGAGAAAGTGTACCTGAGCGCGAGCTTGGATGAGACTGTGGAGATTCGACGGTTGGGTGTGGGGAATAATAATGAGAAGGTGCAGACTCATATTCTTCATGAGTAAGTACTTGGATGGATGTGTTCGTCGAATGCGTGTGTCTGAGGTGTGCTCACTATGTGTTACCCGGCAAACAGCGGACCGGTCGTGACTGCGGCCTGGAACCCTGACAAGGCTTTTGAGGGAGTCATTGCGAGCACTTCTCTGGGCAAGGACGGTCATCCTGGATACTTGCAGGGTAAAGATTCCATTATCTGCTCTCAATGCCATGATCCACTCTACCACGGTATCTAACACACCCCCCACACTCCAGTCTGGCGAGGAAACGGTTATCTCCGTGAAGCTGGGCGTCTCTCAACAGTCGGACGTTGAGAGCTTTTGCCTCCATCAGTCAATAACATCCGCGCTCCGTCAAAAAGTTCTTATTCGCTCGTTGGTCGCACATTCTTGTAGGTCAACACTCCCCCAGTCTTCTTCTATGCTTCGCATGTCCGTCGTCGCTCATAGACACGCATGCGTGCACCGTTGTTCCCTTTACTTGTGCTACGCATATCCCTCGTGGAGTGTCGACAGGGCTTGCAGGCATTATTATACCCATGGCGTATACCCACAAAACGCCTCTCAAATGTATATAGGTTTGATCTAGAGGGGGCTCAGAAGCCTGTACAAATGTATGCGTGAGATATTATATATGTACATTGGTGCGCAAGGATGGAGTGGGCTGCCAGGCGTCGTATGACTTTGGAATAACGCCTATTGCTGACAGGTCCCCATCATGTCTCAAAAGCAGCGACATGGCTCCAAGGTTTCGAGATGGCTCGGAATTTGGGCGGTTCCCCAGCGTCGTCGACTAGTCCCCCTTTCGGTGACGTGCGCGCGCCGGATGGGGTCCGCTATTGGGCGCCCGCAGTCACGACGGGGTAACAACGACGTCCTCGACGCACTTGCACGACGGTAACTCCGCCTCCTGAGCCTATCGCCTACCCCACCATCTGCTCCACCATCCCCTCCTCAACATCCTCCACATCCTCCTCCCCCACCACCCGATCCGGGACCACCACCACCACCGGATCCACGTCCATCTCATCTCCTGCCCCAACGGCGCCATCGGCGCCAGGAGTAGCAGCAGGGTCATCGGCGGCAGCGGCGGGTGCGAGAACGGGATCGATGCAGTAGAGCAAGCATTGGTTGGAGGATGTGCCGTCCCAGCCGCGGGTGCCGGAGGCGGTTAGCATGTAGCGTTTTGAGGGGTCGATTACTGGTTGGGTGTGGAAGGAGGTGGAGGTGGAAGATAGGTTAGTAACTCGGACGACTACCCCACGGCATGTTCCCAAGAGATCGAAGAGGCGGAAAGTGGTGGAAACAAGAACGCTACTCACTCAGCGCAGAAACAACACCCCCATTATGACCCGGCAAAATTGTAAACGGCACCAAAGGCGGTGTCTCCAGCTCATCCTCCTTCGCACTCAACAACGACGCTGTCCGACCCAAATTCGCTGTCGTGGCCGTCCGAGTACTCCCAGCAGTGATCACAACACCCCCCGCACCTCCCGCAGAAGCCGGGTCAAGCAATTTTCCATCGCCCGCGGGGGAAGGCTGCCCGCCAACCGGCGACGGGGGGAGACTGCCTGCATTCCCCATATCTGGACTCGCCGGATCAGCGACGTTTGATCCAGCCGGAGCAGAGACGTTGATCGTGATATCCATAGCGTCCCCGTCAACCCCAGGCCCCGCACCACCGCTCTCAACCCCACCACTATCCTCCTCATCCGACCCATCTAAACTCCCCGGCTCCAAACTTAGCTCCTGACCCAGTAACGAGTCCGATGACATATTCATCGATTCGTCAAGAAACAGCCCGAGTCCCGCGGTAGGTAGTTTGGGCGTGTTGTTGGCGCTTGAACCCAGCGCGTCTGTTTTGTCGACGGAGGGCCACTGTGATGACCGTCGAGAGGCGGATGTTGTAAATGAGGAGCGTGGACGGGGTCGGGAGGTGCGGTGAGGGGGTGCGGTTGGGGTGGTGGAGGAGAGAGAGGTTGATGGAAGGGTTGGGCGGCGTGGTGGGTCGGTTGAGGTTGACGGTGCAGGTTCGTCTTTGGTGTCTGTAGACGGCTTTTGGTCTACTGGGATTTGGGGGTTGGTAACGGGCGTTCCGGGCGTGCTGTTTGGGCCGGAGTCGTTGGATTGGGATGTTGGGTGTGCAACGATTGGTGATGGGGAGGGTGCGGGAGGGGCGTCGGAGCTTGGGGTTGCGACATCGAGGTCCCACAGACGGAGAATGTCCTGTGAGGCGCTAGGTGACAATAAATGGATTGCGTAAGATAGGTGCCACACTTTGTGGTGACCATATTCATTTACCGAAACATACCACATCAGGTGACGGTTGTTTGGCATACAGGAAACAGCCCATACGTGTCCTGAGCCGTTCGGAAATTTGAGGTTGCGAACGTAACGGTTTTCTGCGACGTCATACACGTCCACTGGAGATAGACACCATGTCAGAACTCCTCTACGTCACAAGCCAGCGATGGTGGATGCTCAGACGCACGTACCCGTATTATTTCTCCGCCCACAATATATCTTCCGACCATCTGCACTCCACGTCGCCTATCGTATCAAAGAAAATCATAAGTAAATGCCATGATTGACGACATAACATACAAACCAAACATCGCGCCATGAGAGGAAAACACAACCGCATTCACCTACATTGTAAGCCCAAGGACTCGACCCACTCGTCCTCGGCAAAAACTTTCTCGTCACATTATTAGGATCTCTCTGATCATACAACAGGATCGTCCCATCGTACGTTGTCACCATCATCAAAGAGTCTTCTGCAGTCGGATGAACGTTTGTGGTTCTCGTATCCCCAATCGCTGGATCGATGGTATAAGAGGACGCGGAAGTCGGACTGAAGCTTGCTGATGTGACCAGGGAGGTCACGCCTTGGAAGTAGCGGACGATGTTGCCAGTTTCGAGGTCCCATCTCTGAGAGATAAGCAATTCGTCAATCCCTTGTGTACAAGATTATGTTTAACAGACTGCAGCGGCAGATCGAAAAACATACAAGGAGAGTCTTGTCCCAGGATCCACTGATGACACCCCTTTCGCCAGGTGTCAGCTTGAGCACGGATACAGCGCTCGTGTGGCCTCTGAATACATGTCGGCACTGGAGAATTGAATCGTGATGAGATACGCAGCCATAGAGGTGCAAACCTGTCTGTTCACTTACGGCGCCTTCGTCATGTCTGACTGACCAGAGGTTAATGTTGCCGCTCTGCATTGACGAAAGCACACCCCATCAGTTATCGTTCTTTACGGGAGCAGAGTTATCAGAAGGGGGGGCACGAACCCTACAGCCGCTCAGACACCACACCCCTTCTGATTCAACTTCGATGCTATAGACTGGAGACCATTCCTCGACGGCGATGTCCGACAGAGACTGTTGGCTCCTGAATGGATCGACTGCATTGCGCGCAATAGGAGCATCATAAGTATACGGTGTTGGATGCTCTAATGTGGTCTACACGGAATACTCACAACTTGCAGGAAACTCTTGATTCTCCCATGCGGACGTCAGAACACCAGCCTATGTGAACGATCATCATACTGTGTTGATATAAAAAGTTGATGCGAAATCGATCGCCAATGTCTCCGGTCATCAAAGTGTGCGACTTATGCGCAAGCAGAAACACATACCTTCTCAATGGAATCCACCAAGCCATGTTTCTGTGTCTGCGTCAGAATCTGACCCCCGAACAAAGTCGCCGCAAAGTCGAACTTCCGGATATACCCATCGTCACCGCCCGTAAAGATCCACCTCATATTGCGGGTCGTAGCCACACAGTTGATGCCGGTGGGATGCACACATGATGCGAACGGTGTAACATCATACCCGACGCAGTTCTCAACGTTCGGTGCTAGCTCGACGTGCTCGAAGCTGTAGTCTATATCTATCGGGGTGGACATGGCCGGCTGCTGCCCTGCCGCTGCAGCGCTCCTTTCCCGAGTCCGATTTTCCAAATGGCCTGGGCGAGGGCCTCGCAAATGGTCCGGGCGAGGGCCTCCATTCTGCAGTCTGGGTGAGTTTGTCGCAAACCCGTTCAGCCGTGCGATCTCGTCCTCGGCGCCATCGTCCTCCTCATCCTCCGATTCGGCATCCTGCTCGCTGTATTCATAGGACCCGTTCTGTAGGGGCTGCCCATCGGCGTCCACTTGCATCGCGTCGTCCCTCTTCCCATCGTGCTCGTAGTCCTCCTCCTCATACTCCTCCTCCTCCTCGCCAACGGCGTCTGAATCACCCTCCGCGTCCTGATCTTCGTCATAGTCCTCTTCTGCCTCAGCTTCAGCGTCTTCGTCTTCTCCGACTCCGTCTTCGTCCAGCTCGCCGTCTTCGTCGTCAAAGTCTTCAGACTCCCCGGCCATGCCTTGACTGTCTTGATCGATGTTATTGCTGTTCGAGTTTGATATGGAACCATTCTCTTCACCACCTCCGCCGTCATTTGCTATTCCGTCATCCTCCTCGTCCTCTTCCTCTTCTGCAGAACCTTCCGCATCGTCGGAGCCCACTGCATCGGCGTCGCTGAAGGGGAAAGCCGCCCCATTCGGTGCTTCGGGACTTTGGTCCTCTTGCCACATTCCACCTATTATTATCCTTTTACAGTCTGCGTGGGAATGTGACGAGCGCTTGTGTTCTTTGAAGGGTTGCGACCACTTCACCGGACGAGATCAAGACTGAATCTGCCTTCTCCGAGGCCTATTTCTGATATCACGCAGGGGTTCTGTACAGACGTTGCGACGATCCTTTTCTATGTATCTATACGGGAATGTATGGCTGGGGTAAGCCGTATGCGTTTTGCGTCTTCCATGTCGAAAACTGCGACGAGAGTCAAAAATCTCATGAGCCCGAAGCAGAGCCCGAAGCCCCACGGACGCGATCTGGTGACATCGGAAATATCGACAGTTCGGCAAGAGCACAGGCTTGGAGAGGTTGTGTGGGAGGACACGCACACATATGTATACAGTACAAGAGTACATGATTCTACAGTAGGAGCGTTCCACCGGATATGCGTTCATGCGCAGGCATCGGGGAGGCATCCCCCCAGTTTATACCCAGTGGACCTGCGTTTTCCCATATCTGTAGTACATGCGGTCAATGTCGGCTATAATCAAGTCCAACAACAGAAAGGGGATGCTCCTCCGCTACATAGCAATCTGGTTCTTTCCTTTGAACACTCTTCCCTTCATGCTCAATCCAATATGTCCTGTATCGCAATGAGCCGTCTTAATTGAAAGAGGTACCATCTGCAAGGAGAGTGACGGGGTACCCCGACCAGGACTGATGCTGGCCCCCAGCTATTTTCAGGTGGAATGCAGCACCAAGGCAAACTCAAGGGCATTGCATACAAATTCGCTGCTTGAAAGCGTTGCTTCACGTTTTTGCTGGTAAGCAGTGCAAAATGCGCATTTTGTGGTGCATCCAGACTTACGATCCCCGTACTGGCCGCGCGAACTTCCGGACTGACAATATCTCGAAGTTCATCCAAGTCCCAAGCAAACAAAACAGCTGCGGAGAAAAGCTGGGGTCGTCGACCCCAAAGCTCCTGTCGAATGTGAGCGTCGAAATCTACGCAAAGTGCTTTCACAGCCTCCTTACCGGCTCACGTAACCATTTCCCACGCGTTGCGTCGCGTTGGCCCAAACCCCTCGAAAAATGACCCAAAATCACCTGCAGTTTATGGGTTTTGGGATTAACTGCTATATTATGCGCATTAAGTGTGGGCAAACTGTGGGAGTTTCCCAGCCCATAATGACCCGGAGCGAAGAGAGGTTGGTGAGCCGTTCTTCGCTGTTGCCTTCAAGGAGACCGACTATACATATTATCGTCCCAACCATGCTCGACAGCTGCTCGGCAGGCGCGTATTGGCAAGTGTAGTATTGTGATGAAAGAAGTACCAAGGTCCGTGGGAGTAAGAGTAGCACAAGCTGGACAGGGAGACCTCAAAGCAACGAAGCTGGAGGCTACTTGCCAACTCTTCACATATTCATGTATCATCCATGCGGGACGCACCATATGCGCCGGCGTTTTCGATCAACCTAGGAGGCGTCAGGGCCGATTTTCATGGTGGACTGCTCCTTTGGCGAAGTAGAAGGCGGAACAGAGAAACGGAGTGGAGCTCTATAAGACCGAAATCTCGAAGAGAACGAATCGACGATATGAACTTGAACAAAGAACTGCGACATCTGGCGTGGATGGACATCGAAGGCCCGATGAATACAGCGTGGGATGGACTCTATTGTAGCGGACCTTGGATCGTCGTTCACCATGGTTTATCGGGAAGGGAAATACATGCTCTATGCAGCCATATTGAAGGTGCGATGACTTCAGGCGAAAGGCAGCAGCGGAACCTGGAGCTCTCATCACGAAATTTTGGAGATCGGTCATGACTAGCGAAGCCAATCCACAAATTCAAACTGAGCATTCCTGATATTCGTCAGAACCACAATCAGGACGCTCAAGGAATGGCTACTGTAGTATCGAGTGGTGAGCGAACCGGCTTGTGGGGAGCGAGCCATCCACACATGGTCGGATCATGCAGGCGAGGGAGAGCCAGCTCACTCGCACACTGTGGGCGAGTTGACGACTCCAGGTAATTACTAGTTACAATCTTTGCTCAGCACCTGCAATCATGTAATGTACTGTACTGTACAGCTGTTTGGGTAGTAGCACATGAAGTCATTTCGAGAGAGTTTTGTTTTTGTGATTGACAGCTCGAATTTCCGTTGACCGATAGCGAGCCGGATAGACGGGTGGACTTTATCGAAATCCACGTAGCGCAGGTGGACCACATTATCGAGTTCTTTGGGCGCGATGGTAGGGCAGCCTCGGGCCAAGGAGAGATCGCGTTTGACTTGGGCGAGGTTCTTGAGGTGGATAACGCGGCGACGTAGGGCGTCAGCGTACTCAGGGGTGTCGCCACCTGTTTCGGGTGCGAGCCCAACGCCGACCTGAGTAATCCCGTAAAACTTGGTAACCGATTGTTCATACTCAGAAGGTGGTAAAGTTGCTTCTTCGCGCTCGGCGGCCGCGGACAATGATGCATCCTTAACCGCGCTAGCAAGGAATTGATGGATTGTATCCTGGATGGAAGGTGTGTCGTTTCTCTCACGGGGAGCCAGACGCTTTGGGGCGGGCTCCACACCCTCCTCTCGGCGACGCTTGTAACCTTCCAATCGGGCGAGTTTAGCACGGGTCGCAGCGAGGGCTGCTTCGATATCTTGTTCGTTGGCAAGGTCTTGGGAATGAAGCTCAGCATCTTGAGGGTTGGAGGCCGGCTGAGTCCCGCCGCCGCCGTCGGGGCCTTCGTCCAACCGTTCACCGTCACCACCAGTATCCGCGCCGGCGGTTTCGGTGGTTTCCTCTTCGTGAGGTTCAACAAACCCGTCATCTTCGGTACCAGACATTCCCACGCCAAATACGACTGCACCACGGCGTAACCTTCGAAGGTCTCGTTCACGACGTTCTTCGGACGTAACTTAGCGGTACCGGGTGAGGAGGGCAAAGCTGGATGTATCTTGACGAAGGAGCGTACTTGATTGCTTCACTAACTACTATAGCACCACACTTCTCGAATCGCAGGGAAGGTTATACAGTGTGTGTGGTGATGAGAAAAAGAGGAAAGAGAGGAAGGAAAGAGCTTATATGATGTGTGCTGTGCGCACCCATCCCGATATAAACTAGTCCCGCGCGTTTCTCTGGGTTTCATCCACACATGCACCTTCGGTGAATATCCTTCAGAGGTTCATAGCCCAGCTGATGATCAAGCCCGAAATCAAGCTAAAAATTGCAGCCATTCAAGTCGTTCAACGATAAACTGGAGTGAGAGTCAGCCGAGAATGAAGGCAGTCGCTTCTACCTTAGCGAAAGCTCGCGGACACAACACCAGTCCGCCGCATAGTCGCTGCAACTTTCTCACGGACGACGGGCTCCTAATTGCCGGCGCCGGGCCCGTAGAGTTTACACTGGACAGCATCCTCGAATGGCAACCCAGCCTCATTGTCAGCCTCGAGAAGACGGATGATGCGCTCTGGTATCAGCCGAAATTGCCCAAGCAAACAAAAGTTCTTCATTTACCCACCGCACCCGGCCGACCACCACCTCTGGCAGCGACTCGCAGCGCCGTCAGCGAGATCATTGACACGTATCGCAGCGGCAAGAAAGTGTATTTACATTGTAACGGCGGCCACGGGCGTGCGGGTACGCTTGCGGCCGTAGTGCTGGGCAAGCTGAACAGCTGGGACGCTGTGACGGCCATCGCGGAGGTGGAACGAAGGAGGGACACGCGGCTTGATACGAGCCGGAATTTTGTTCCGACGCCCGAAACGAAGTCGCAGGTCGCTTTCGTCGCTAAGATATTGGGGGTGGGAGAAGGAAGAACGCTGCCCGATAGGACGGATCGATCCTGGCTGAAACGTATGGTAGCGGAGAGAACCAAGGGGACTTGTTCGAAACACATGAAAACTGAGACGGATGTGGGCGATACATCCTTAGAAATACTGCGAACCGACAAACCCTCTGGAACGAGCATGGCCTCCGAGGATCTTACTCCGATTCTATTCTACACCGATAGCGCCCAATTTGGCGAATTCTCCAACTACTACAAGCCAGCCTCACCTATTACTTGGGAAGGTGCAAAGTACCCGACATCGGAGCACGCATTCCAAGCCGCGAAATTCAAATACCCCGGAGCAGATAAACATTCACTCGCATATGCGGAAGAGATTCGAAAAGCGTCAACTCCCAACAAGGCCCGAGTGTTGGCGTTGCAGAAAACGGGAGGTGGTTACGCTTGGCGTACCCAGCTAAACCCTGTGATACAGGAGTATCTCGACAAGGGCGTGCGTTTCCGGCCGTCGTGGGAGACGGTACGAGATGATGTGATGCGAGATATTTTGGGTTGCAAGTTTACTCAGGATGCGCATTGTCGTGCGCTGCTGGTCGGTACCGGCCAGCGTCCCATCGTTGAACACACCAAACGAGATAGCTACTGGGGAGATGGTGGGGATGGGACCGGCCAGAACAAATTGGGAAAGATGTTGATGGAGGTTCGGGACGCTTTGAAGTCATGAAGCTGGGATACCTGTCTTGCACTGCACGAGACCAATTGGGTTAAGTCAATTACACACTCTTATCCTTTGAAGAGACCGTTATATGCCTAGGATCATTGTGTGCGACTAAAAATCATATACATACCGGCGCATACTATTCATCATGGACACCGTAGCTTATGTGTGAATGGGAGAGGATTCCGGCAGTGACCTATACCATGTCATCCCATCCGACTGATCAAGTCCGCATAACAACGATCTCAGCGGCGAGGAGCAATCCGTTGCATAGGGCAACAGAGCAAAACACTCAGTTTCCTGAGATGCTTTCGACTAGCGGGTTCTATGATCACGATGAATGAGTCAACGATAACGTTTCTAAATAGATTTTGACTATAATTCTATGACCAAGCTGAAGGAGCCAGCGAGATCGTGTCCTTGGGTATTAGACTTGAGTATTTTGCACTGAATTCTTCGACTTCGCATGTCAGCGAGGGCTTTGCTCATGGTGTCTGGCCTGTTTTTATCATGCGCCAAACTGAACGAGTCAGCGAGACGCAGGTATTTCGACTTGAGGGACGAAGCTGAACGGGTCGCCAAGATCGTTCCGTCTCAGATTTCGGCTTGCGATGACCATGCACAAGGAGTTCAGCAAGTTCGTCGACTAATGTACTTGACTTGTGTTGGTATGACCAAGCGAAGTTTGTCAGCGAGATCGTTTCCTATGATATTCGACTTGTCCAAAGATTTCCGGCTTGTGACTCGCGAGACCACGCAGCAAGATCTTATCGTGTTTCGACTTGTGTCTGTATGACTAGGCTGAACGGGCAGCAAGATCGTTTCCTATGGGACTTCGACTTTTATCAAGATTTATCGGCTTGTCATCTTGAAACCACGCGGAACCAGCAGCGAGATCGGTTCCCATGGTATTTTGATTTGTATGGTATTGCGCTTTGCGTGTGTATGACCAGATTGAACGTGTCAACGAGATCGACTTCTGTGATTTGGCTTGTTTAGGTTCTTCGACTTGTATTATATGATCAAGCTGAAGAGACAGCGAGATCTTTTCCTGAGGTTAGTCGCCTTGCGTTTGGTACGATCACGCTGGACCGGCCAGCGATTTCGTTTCCTGAGGCGACTTGATGTTCATTTACTGATGGCCGACGATTTCGCCGTAAACCTTGTCCAATTCATCCAAGATTCTAGGAGGAAGGAAAGGACATCGTGTGATCCATTCCGGCACTTTTTCTTCAAAGAGGCGTCGTACACCGACGCATATTTCCTGGCATGCGGGTGCGCATGGGCAACCGAAGTTTTGTAGACACAGTTTTACATCCCCGTGGAGAGGTAACTCGCTGGTCCCAAAATTCTCATCATCGCGCTGGGTTAAGGCCAAAATAATTTCTCCTTTGGCAGCGTCCCAACCGTAGCTCATCGCCATAGGCTCCTCGCTGCTTTGCTTCCTGCAGAGGTGCCAAATCTGCACAACAAGCCCCCGTTTGAGGATGTCTCTGTAGTGTAACTCGGTATTCGGTACTTTCGGATTCTCAAAGTGGTCCTCCGGATCCTCAGAGTCGTCCCCGGGCCACGTGGTGTCAACGAAGGCAGCAGGGTCGGTGCTGAATAATAATCGTCGAGCCGGGGGATCTTTCGCTTGCAGGTGTATAGGGGGTTCGTCAAGCGATCTATGTACAGCTGTTTGGGTAGTAGCACATGAAGTCATTTCGAGAGACTTTTGTTTTTGTGATTGTTTCTTAATTTTACATATTTTTTGTGGGGGTTTTTCGCTTTCGTCTTCTCTTTCGCTTGTGAGGGAGCGGACTTTTGCCTCGGGAACGCGCTCCGTAAGCACCCTGGATTGGGCAGTGAGTCATCTTAGTCAGAGCCCTTTGCGCGGTGGAGGCGACCATCTCCTGCTGGAAAGCCTCGTCTCGCGCATATCCATACTGGACGCAGGACAGAGATCCTACCCACAAACACTGCTTTGTTCCACACATAGAGAGACGGGCTGCATCTCTCCTACTGTACTCTGCAACCCCGCAGAGACTACACTGCACCCTCTTTGAGCTCCTCCCCCTTGACTTGCACGCTTCCGGTGAGAATTCTCGACGAGGAACTCCCATTCTCTCACTTCAGCTACCACAGCAAACAACAAGGATGGGTGCTTCAGAGCTGGCTCCCATCTCCATCCCAGGGACGTCTACGACAAAAGTCTCGATTTTGGGCAAGGAGACCATCGTCGTCGGCATCGACCTCGTAGATCACATTGCCCGGGACGTCACAACCAACATCCCCGCAAGCGTTTACATCATAGTCACTGATACGAACATTGAACGACTGCACTTGAAGACGCTAGTATCGGCTCTGCAGAATGCATTAGATCAGAATCAAACCACCACGGATGCAAAGGCCCGCATCCTTTCGTATGTGATGCCCCCAGGAGAGTCGTCAAAGACGAGGCGGACGAAAGCAGCGATAGAAGACTGGGCACTGCAAAACAAATGCACGAGAGACTCATGTTTCATCGCATTGGGTGGAGGTGTCATTGGAGATCTGGTAGGGTTCGTCGCTGCAACCTTCATGCGCGGCGTGCCCGTCGTGCAAATCCCTACAACCTTGCTCGCCATGGTCGATTCCTCTGTAGGAGGCAAAACCGCCATCGACACCCCGCATGGAAAGAACCTGATCGGATCATTCCACCAACCGCACCGCATTTTCATCGACTTGAGGTTCCTGCAGACCCTCCCCATGCGCGAATTCGTGAACGGACTGGGCGAGATCATCAAGACGGCCGCGATCTGGGTGGAAGAGGATTTCGATCTGTTGGAGAATCACCCGGAACAGATTCTCGCCCTTAGCCAAGGCGCCGTGGACGATCCGTCCTCAGCAGAGGTCCAGCTCCTTATGCGAGTGATTCTCGGATCTGTGAGAGTCAAAGCTCATGTGGTGACCGTTGACGAGAAGGAAGGAGGGCTTCGTGGACTCCTCAATTTCGGGCATTCCATAGGCCATGCGATCGAAGCGATATTGTCCCCTAATCTGCTGCATGGGGAGTGCGTGGCGTTGGGCATGGTTCGCGAGGCGGAGATCGCACGCCATCTTGGTTATCTGAACGAGGTAGCTGTGGGACGGCTGGTGAGATGCCTACAGGCATACGGGCTGCCTGTCTCGCTCGAGGACAAAATCGTCAAGCAGCGCGCACCTGGAAAACACTGCCCTGTGGATAAGCTCCTGGACATCATGTGCATCGACAAGAAGAATCAGGGTTCCAAGAAGAAGATTGTCATGCTGTCTGGTATTGGCCGAACTTACGAACCGCGCGCCAGTGTCATTCCCGACGATGTCATCCGCAAGATCTTGTCCCCTTCCGTCGAGATCACCCCACCCAGCAAACCCATCAACGTGCAGCTGAAAGCTCCTGGATCGAAATCACTGTCGAATCGCGCTCTTGTCTTGGCTGCTTTGGGTGAGGGCAAGTGCCGCCTACACGGACTCTTGCACTCGGACGACGTACAGGTCATGTTGGATGCCCTGCAAAAGCTTGTGGGAATCGAGTACCAGTGGGAAAACGATGGAGACACCCTTGTTGTAACTGGAGGAGGCGGCCGATTGCGCGTGCCGTCCAAGGAAGTATACCTCGGCAACGCCGGAACGGCAGCTCGGTTTCTCACGACTGTGTGCGCACTTATCCCCAAAACAGGGGAGAAAGTTGCAAGTCCCGCATCGACCATCGTCACCGGCAACCCACGCATGAAGCAGCGTCCGATCGGTCCATTAGTCGATGCCCTAAGCGCCAATGGCGTCAGCGTGAAATACCTCGAGACCAAGGGGTGTCTACCACTCGAGATCACACCGAATGGGATCGGCCTTCCCGGCGGCCGCATCAACCTCTCCGCCTCTGTCAGTTCCCAGTACGTCTCCTCGATCCTCATCTCGGCCCCTTACGCGGCACAAGAAGTGACCTTGGACCTGAGCGGCGACGCAGTCATCTCGCAACTCTACATTGACATGACGATCGCGATGATGGCGTCTTTCGGGATCAACGTGGTCCGCCAGGAAGGGACGAACATGTATACCATCCCCAAAGGCGTCTACAAGAACCCGGCCGATTATTACGTCGAAGCTGATGCCTCCTCGGCGACCTACCCCCTCGCCTTCGCAGCCATCACAGGTTCGCGAGTAACCGTCACCAACATCGGCAGCGACTCACTCCAAGGCGACGCCCAATTCGCAGTCAAAGTGCTACGCGAAATGGGCTGCACAGTCGAACAAACAAAAACCAGCACAACCGTCTCCGGCCCCGCCGCCCTAAAACCCTTACCGACCATCGACATGGAACCCATGACAGACGCCTTTCTCACCGCCTCCGTCCTCGCCGCCGTCGCCCGCGGTGGTCCCAATAAAGACCACACCACCCGCATCACAGGCATCGCCAACCAGCGCGTTAAAGAGTGTAACCGGATCGCGGTCATGGTCGAACAACTCGCGAAATTCGGCGTCTCGGCTTCGGAACTACCTGATGGGATCCAGATTCATGGTATTGACCGCGCGGCACTGAGAACTCCTGAGGGCGGGGTGAAGTGTTATGATGATCATCGGGTGGCGATGAGTTTTAGTGTGTTGGCGTGTGCGATGCCCGGGGGGAAAAGGGCGGTGGTGAATGAGAAGCGGTGTGTGGAGAAGACGTGGCCGGCGTGGTGGGATGCGTTGTCGAATCGGTTGGGGGTTCTGATTTCGGGGGTGGATGTCGATGTCGATGGCGAGGAAGGGGATGGTCATGCTGTTTCTTCCACGAAGGCCACGAATGAGCTGCACCTCCGCAATCTAGACGAAACCACACCAACGGCGTTGTCCGACGCAACCATAGTCCTAATCGGCATGCGCGGCGCCGGAAAAACCCACGCAGGCCGCGCAGCCGCTAAATATTTCGGACGCGCATTTATCGACATGGATCACGCCTTCGAGTCCGATCTCAACACTACCATCCCCGATTTCATCAACACGAGAGGGTGGGAAGCCTTCCGCACCGAAGAAGTCCGGATCCTTTCCCAGACACTTGCTGCACACCCGACCGACACCGTCATTGCGTGTGGGGGCGGGATTGTTGAGACAGCTGACGGCCGGAAGGTGTTAACAGGATGGCAGGCCAAACATGGGTGTGTGGTACATATCAAACGGGATATCACCGCCATTGCGTCGCATCTCGATAAAGACACCACACGACCGATGTACGGCGAAGACATGCGGGGCGTGTGGGACCGTCGGAAAGGCTGGTATAGAGAGTGTTCGGGATATGAGTGTGTGACTGTGCATCAACCCGATGGGACCGAGGAGTGGGGGAGGGTTGAGAAGGATTTTACCAGGTTTTTGGCGTTTGTTACGCAGAGGAAGAGTACAAGGACGTTGCCGGGAGGTGTGCCGAACCCGCCGGCCCCTAGTTTCTTCATCTCGCTCACGGCACCCGATGTGACGCCTATCCTTCCCGACCTGACCGCCATCTGCGCCGGGGCTGACGCCATTGAACTGCGGGTTGATTTGCTGGCTTCTCACGAGGAGGAGTATGTTGGTAGGCAGCTTGCGCTGCTTCGTCGGTACTCGCCGTTACCGATCGTGTATACCGTCCGTACGCAGAGCCAGGGCGGGAAGTTTGCTGATGCGGACCATGATGCGCGGGTGGGGTTGTTGGAGTGTGGGGTTAGATGGGCCTGCGAGTATGTGGATGTCGAGGTTGGGTGCGGGGATGGGAGCGAGGTCGGGTTGACGCAAGCGCTTGTACAGCGGAAAGGACATTCCGCCGTGATTGCGTCGTTCCATGATGTCAAAGGCGTGGTAGCCTGGGACGACGCCAACGTCAACATGAATGTCCAGCGCACCTCAACACATACCGGTTCAACAACCTTCAAAGCCAAATACGACGACCTCGCCGCTGTCGGGGATATCGTCAAACTGATCGGCCGCGCACATTCCCTCGAGGACAATTTCGCCCTCCGCCGATTCGTCGCTTCTTTACCTGGAGACAAACCGGTGATTGCGCTCAACATGGGCCCGCTGGGGCAGATCTCGCGCGCACTCAACACGTTCTTGACTCCCGTTACACACCCGCTGCTCACCACCGCCGCCGCGCCCGGGCAGTTATCCGTTAAGGAGATCCATCAGTTCCGAACCCTGCTTGGAACACTGACACCGAAGGCGTTCTACCTGTTTGGTAAACCGATCCAGCAGTCCGTCAGCCCGCATTTGCATAACGCCGGGTTTGAGGAGTTGGGGTTGCCGCATCATTACCAGCTGTATGAGACGGATGATGTCAACGAGGTTGTGGAGGTAGTTCGCCGTGGAGTCGCGGAGGGGACATTTGGAGGCGCTAGCGTGACGATCCCGTTGAAGGAGGCTGTTATCAAGAGCGGGGTCGTGGGGATGTTGACGGATGCTGCGACGCGGATTGGGGCGGTGAATACGGTGGGGGTTGGGGAGGGTGGGGAGGTGTGGGGGGATAACACTGATTGGGTGGGGATTGTGAGGTGTGTGAGGCAGGCTGGGGTGGAGCTTGGGAAGCAGATTACGGCAAACATCACCGGGTCATCGACTTCGACAACGCCTGCATACGCACTCCAAACCAACCCCGACGTGAAAACGATCGGCGTAGTCATCGGCGCAGGCGGAACAGCCCGCGCGGCCCTCTACTCACTACAACACCTCCACGTCGACGAAATCAGAGTGTGGAACCGCACCCCCGAAAAAGCCGCGGCATTGGTCGAGCAATTCAACGGTGGTGTCGTCGTCGCTGACCTCACCGCTCTCCTCGCCACCACCCCCGAGTCGGGACACACGACCCGGTTTATCGTGGTGTCTACCATCCCTGCCGCTGCACAAGACGCCGCGGCGTTCACGGGCATGTTCCGATCCCTCGCCACATCACCATCCACAGTCAGCGAGGTCACGGGCGTAGTCATCGACATGGCCTACCGACCCCTGTACACCCCGCTCCTGCTTGCGGCGCAGGCCACGGAAGGGTTGAAGAAAAGCTGGACGGTCGTGCCGGGGTTGACTGTGCTGGTGGAGCAGGGGGTGGAGCAGTTTGGGAGGTGGACGGGACGGAGGCCGCCGGTGGAGGTCATGAGGGGGGCTGCAAGTAGGGGCTATGAGGGTGTGTGAGGTTGGCGTACCTTGTGGAGTTGGGGTAGATAGGTTGGATGGGATCTATTGTGTGTGCGGTATTTAGTGGCTTCTTTTTTCGCAGCGTTCGCTCGCATTGATTGTTTAGTTATAGCTCTGATGACCCTCCGGTGTACTGTACATACGTTCTGGTTGAGCATCAAAAAAGTCAAAAACTGGAGCGGGTGGGCACCTCAATAAACCACTTCTTCCCACATAGTTGCGCTCCTAGTTACGTTTTGGTCCGCAAGACTGAGCATCGACTTTCCAGGTAGGGCATGGTCACCATCTTCCCTCGCTTCAATCTACCCCTTCCCTCTGCCTCTTGTTCCCCACGACTCTATGTGAGCACTGAGCATCCACTTGGCATTATACGAAACCGAAACTCATCTTGGCCCCACTTCCCCTTCTTTCCATCCAAAACCAACCCGCCCCCGTCCCTGTTCCTAATGTACCTGTACATCTTCCACCGCACCCGCCGCCTCCTCCTTGAATTCCTCTACCCATCCTACCGCCCCGGTTCCGCCCGCCCACGCTGGCTATGCGCCGACTGCGCGCTGCACGGGACAAACGGGACAAGAGGGCAATGCAAGCGCTGCGGCGGCATATTGTCGCCCTCTTCACATAAACTGTGTCGCACTTGTGCGGCTGAGACGAGCTGTTGCCAGTGTTGTGCGAGACCGGCGGTGTTTGACGGTGAGGGGGGCTGTCCTGAACCACATTCCACTATCCCGATCATTTGACACACTGGACCAAACGACCAATGTACATCTATCACCGCGCCCGCCGCCTCCTCCTGCGATACTTCTACCCATCCTACCACCCCGGATCCGCCCGGCAGCACTGGTCATGCGCGAGATGCCGAGGGCTCGGCACGAACTGCGCGGTTGGGCGTTGCAACCGATGCGGTGACTCGACCTCGACGTCTGCCTTCAAGTTGTGTTCTGCTTGTGCGGCGGAGACGGGGTGTTGTGAGCATTGTGGGAAGCCGACGACGTTTGCGGATTGAGGTGGGGGAAAGACCATTGGGAAAATGGGAGTTCGAGCTGGGTATGGGGGTCGGCGTGGATGGAATTCGAGTAATACCCGGGTGGGGCGAACAACGTTGATTTGACCCGTTGAAGCGTTTGGAGCGACGTTTGATATGTGCTTGAGCAGATTGAAGTTGGGATCGTGGCACACCTTTTCGTCGGGTTCAATCAACGCTGCAACGCAAACGTTGGGCACGGCGAGACGTTAACAGGGACAGAAAATGTTTTCGTGCGTTCCGGATGCGTTGCATGACCGTATATTGACATTGTACGAGACGATATTGTACTACTGTGATTGAGAAAACCAAGAGGATAAGGTACGCCCAAGATACCCGTTCTTCCATTCTATTTGTCCACTGAGCGACTCAAAGACAGCGAAGGAAATCAAATGTGAAGGACATGCTCCAGGCCCTGAGTGGAATGACAGATGAACGCGTTATGCTGATATTGCTGCTCAGGCCTAGACCCCTAGCAGCACTCTGCATCCACCAGCTTCCTCAGCCGCAGAACCTGAACCAGAAGGACCAGCCGCAGAACCCGAAGACATTTCCCCGCCAACCGCATAGAGGCTAAATGCATTGAGTGGAACGTGGTGCATAAGCTGGGTCTGCGGACATCAATGATGTATCCAATCAGCATATCCCCATTCAGCATACAGGAGAAGAACGTTTACCATGTAGGCCGTTTCAACTGCCCCGGGGGCTCTTGCGGTGAAATCCAAAATGCACCATACCTCAGCAAAGCGCCAAAAGGTGACCGAATGATTGTCCTGGTGATAAATGTACTCTTCCATTTGAGTAAGCCAATGGGCTCCATCCACACTGTTGTTCACAAGCTGGGTCTACCCTGATTTGCTTGTATTGCAAAGCAAGCTCCAGTATGTTGTTTGTGAAATTGCCATCGTCAAACCATACATAATTTACCGGGAGGACGCGGCGCCAAATGCATTCATAGCAGCCTCATTGTTTTGTATGACACAGCAATAGGTTCTTCACAAGGTGCATGCCACACAAAAGCTTGTGTTGGTGCTCGTTGGACATTGTCACTTAGGCACCGTTGGCCATTGTGAAACTCATCTTTGCCTCTGGCATTGCCTCCTTTGGGAGAGTCATCTCCAGCCGGGCACTTGACCTTGTCCTTCCTCTTCTGCTTCTTCTTGCTTTTTTGGGCTTGCCCTTTCCTGTTCCGTTCTCCTTGCGCTTCCCCTTTCCTTCCTCCTTGCGCTTGCCCGTGGGCCCCTTTTACTGGGACTGGAAGGTTGCCAGTCTGATCAGCGATCGTTATAAAATCGTCCTTTGCGCGTTCGCACTCCTTCCGATGCCTGATAAGTCAAGGGCAGTAATTCTTCTTGAGCTGCTTGCGGCTGACCTTCGATGAGGGCGTATTTGGGTAGCTGTGTCGGGAGCCGCAGCGTTTGCATGCCCATCTATCATCCCAGTTTGCTTACGCAACCCCCTTGTGGGAGAGGGGGACTTTTTGATTCCGGTCATGCGTCTCACCTTCTGATTAGAGTTCCTGAATGTCGGAATTTCACACGCGTGGTATACGATGGTTTGTTCCAGCATACAACAAGCTATTGGTGTACGATGGACCTCAGATCGTGTCAACTTTGAAGACGAAATACGCCGTTAGGAAGTTCACCGCCAAAAAGCACACAGAGTTCTTTCTCAGCAATGTGGAGGGTCCTCCACTCGCGTCAGGGCTCGTCCGTTCGACTTAAGAGTTCACTCAAGTTCCAACGCCTACTACCAGCTCCAACCACCCACCGTTTGCGGGCTCTCGGAGGGATGGCTCGCCCTCTTTTGCTTACCAAAATGCGGCTCTTTTGCTTACTTATTGTAGCCAGGTGCGGAGGGCTTTTCTGAATTCTGTGTATATGAGAATCCTGCGTCCGAGCTTGGCCAGCCCCTTGCCCCAGCCGCCGCAGTTGCGCACGGACACTGACTCAATCACTGGTGTATCTAGGTTTATGTTCACATACTGTAATATTTGAGACAGCTTGGACCACGTGTCCACCGATTTGGATAAAATTCTGACGTGGCTCATGGCTTTCCCTATTCCACACTCCCACCCCGCAATGTCCGACGACAACGAGCAACTGTCCCCCGAAAGGCTGGATATCATAAAGAAACTGCAACTCACGAACGATGTTGCATGGCTACGACAAATCATCAGAGAACATCCGGACATCGCCTTGTGGCCCGAGTTCTACGTCGGCGGCGATCAGCGCAACTGCTGCATCATCAACATCATCCTTCAAATGAACAACGTCGAATGGTCAGATATGATGGGTGTATACATATCGGCTGTCAAAGATGACGACCATTACATCCTCAATTCGCTCCTTCGGCATAGGCCAGGGCAGCTGCACAAACTGCTCTTGACATTCGCCATAGAACGCTCTTCCGAGAAGACCCTGAACCTTCTTTGCCGATATTTTGATCCGAAACAGTATCTCGATGACTTGCGGGATGACATGCTCGATGCGACGTTACGTTTTTTGAAGGACGATTTCATAAAGCTGAGAAGCTCGACCTCGGCTATTTCGATACGATCCCCACTTGAGAAGTAGCCCGTCTTTATGCGGACGAGGAGGAGCATCCCGGCCCTCTCGGCTGTTCAAACTGCTTCATCCTGACTTGTTTTCTGAATTCACGTTGACCCCTCGTCTCCGACGACCTATATTACTAGAGACTTTGAATGAGCTTGGGTGTCCCGGCGTGGACGCTGTGAACCATGTATGCGCAACCTTGTAATACATTTTGAGGGCCAAGTTCAATAAATATCTAGAAGTAGAAGGAAACGAACAAACGAACAAACGGACTGCGACAAGATGCCACTGAGTCCTTCCGAACCATCGCCATTGTCTCCGTCATCGTCACACGGAAGTTGGACAAGTCTTTTCGCAGAACTATCACCGACCACACCTGTTTCAACATCTGCCTCAGCAACAACGCTGCCGCGCTAGAACTAGCATCTGTGGCAGAGTTAACCGTGACAGAGCCGGTAAACGTACTTGATCCCGGAACGGTGAGGGCTGTCCCTCCATCTGCTCTCCCCAAAGACAACGTATTGGTTGCCCGATACCAGCCAAGGATCCGTCCGTTTCCGGTGGAGTCCCAAATATGGAAGTCACCGGCGGCATCTGCTGGCACTGCGCCAGCGCAGAAGGTAGCGTGACATCAAGGCACTCGGCTCTTTCGGATAAACTCGCAAAGCTAGCAGCGCGCGCAAGAGCCTGGTGGTAGAAACCTTTTGATAAAGTACGTTGTCTGAAGGACTATGGCAAAGAAGTGGCGAACGTGGCTAGAGCGCTGAACACCTTCGCCTAGTTAGAGGACATCAGAGAAAGACGAGACGGTTTCAATTGAGTGTCGCGCTGTTATGCGGGATCATCACTTTCATCCTGCTCCTACTAACCTCCTCCCTCCTCGTATGGGCCGCTCGCGTCTGAAACAGATCCAGTTTTTTTTTCATCAATCAAAGGGATGGTCGATGAAGATGAGCTAGTTATCGGGAACGCTGCTCTGCAGCGCACAGAGCAGCGGATTTAGGAACTAATGTCCAGGGAAACCCGAACCCATAAATAGTCGTTGATCGAGCCGTGGAAGGCGAGATGTTGATGAATAAATAAATGGATGTAGACTGAGCGGCGAATGCGGCGTGAGGAGGAGGTGCTTAGTGCGGTGGGTTGTGAGTAAGCGCCGCTCAAAATCCGTCCGAATGCCGCATCCATCCGGACATCGCCAGACCCATATCTACCGGAGAGAAGGCAGTCTAGAGGTGGTGAAGAAACGTCCGAACTGGTCAACGAGGAGTGGCACCATACGTCCGCACATGGCATATAAAAGCACAGGGGTGTTCATCCTTGGCATGTTTTCTGAAAGTGGGTGCTCAACGTTCAAGTAGTGATGGACAGGATACCTCAACATAAGTCGGATCACACAGAAGGATATCGGATCTGAATCTAGCTTCAATCTCAATCCCCCATCCACCAGGCAAGAAAATCAAAGTTGTCCGACGGCCAAGGACCCCCAAGCAGGGTGTGAGATGGAGATGCGAAGGAACGGGGAACGGAACCTCGGACGCGATTTTGGGATATCAAACGCTACCCGGTCTTGGCGTTTCTATGAGCAACATCGAACGACCTCCGTCCAAAACTCTACGTCCCCTCTCCGGCAGATATGCCAAGCAAAATGAATCTGATTGGACTTTATCTCCATGTGCAATGCAAATGGTAGGAGGGTTCGATGTGATTCTGAAGGCTGTTCGCATCTGCAAAATGCGGGGTGTCCATATGCGAAAATCCATACATTGTTGTTGAATCGTACATTGTTCCTGACAAGCCAAGCCTGCGAAGGAGGGTGAGGAGATCCCCTCTCCTATACGTTCTAAAAGCAGGGAAAGTTAAGCGTAATCCACCAAGATCTAAGAAAATGAGCGTACCGTTGGTCACGGGCCCCCTTTTTGCAACCCCCCGTTTACAACCCCCCTTCATCCCTTAAATCCCTTCCGTCGTCATGGGCGGAGTAACCTATGACTCTGTGGACCCTGGACGTTGCAAGGGACCGACTGAATTACTTCGAGGACGTTCCACTGCGATACCTTTATGGCAAGCCACGCTTGGAGGACCCCTTTTTCCATTCTCTTGATTTGGCGAGTTATTCCGGGTTCAGCCAGATCATTAGCTACTCGAGTTTGGTCGTATAAGAAGCAGTGTTAGCTTCGCTTGATTTGATTCGCCGTTGAAGGAAGAGTCAACACTACCTGCACAGACCAAATCGAACAGACTTATCGACACAGCAACTCCAGCAGAAAGCAGTGCAAGTCCCATCATGGCTCTCCAAGGAGCCGTCCTACGCCTGATCCTGCTCACAGCAGCTCTGTTTGCATGTGTCGCTAATACTCACCCGACCCCCAACGGTAACTCGCTCGCGAACCAAGCCGACGCTGCTGTTGCGCAGCTACGCCTGTGGGTCGAGGGCATCAGGCACGCTGGGGAGGTCCAGTCCGACACCGCTAGCGACGGCGACACGGACGTAGAAACGGTGCAGAACGCGAATGTAGGCACCTTCGACGACATCATCATCTGCCAGCTCCTCGGCGGGTTCACGGGAACGAACTCCCCCAAGAAACCCTTCCACATCGCCCTCCCGCAAGATGCACCCGACCGCTCGCACCCGGGTCCCGGCAACGCGACGCTCGATGCCTACAGGGTGCTGCGCAGCGACCCGGCGTTTGCGAAACTCGCGGACTTGATTGACGAGCGTCCGGCGGTGGTCGAGGCGTTGAAGGTGGAGGGCGCGGATCTGACGGTGTTTGCGCCGGTCCAGGAGGCGTGGAGGTGGAATACGTGTCCGCCGGGACATGATGTGCCGCCGGACGAGATTGTTACCAAGGTGGGTATAGGTCTGCCGTGGATGTTTGACACGCAACGGTCTCGCAGACACGGCATCTGATTGGATAATTCAACTTCTCTCAACCCATATTCAGATCCTCCTCTACCACCTCGTCCCCGGCATCCGCCCCGCCAAAACCCTCCACGGCGGCGGCCTCCTCACCACCGGCCTCGAGCTCGCAACCCTCGGCGGGCGCGCGCAAAAAATCCGCGTGTTCTCCCCCAACTCTCACGGCAACCGGCCCCACCACGGCATCTCGCTCAACCTGCACTCGCACGTGGTCGCCGCGGACATCGAGTCCTCGAACGCGGTGATCCATGCGGTGGACAACGTGTTGATCCCGCCGCCGGATGCGTATTGGCTGTTGAAGCATGTTCCGCATGCGTTTGGCGTGTTTGGCGTCGCGATCAGGAAGGCCGGGTTGGAGGATGTGGTGAGGGAGACGCCGGGGATGACGCTTTTTGCGCCGAGTAATCGCGCGTTTAGGAAGGTGTGTGCATGCGTCTGCTTACTCCACGATGCGACTTTCTATCAAGGGGTAGACCTGTATCTGACATATTCCTGTTGTGGTTTGCAGCTCGGATGGAAGAATCTCAAGTTCCTCTTCAGCCCCAAGGGCGCCAAGATTCTTCGCAAGGTAAGAGACATGCTCCCCTCTATCTCACCATGCCCCGTCCTTCTCCTTGCATCATCTTTTGCTTCCGGACTTAACTCCTCCCTTCCCTTCATCAGATCGTCAACTACCACATCTCACCCTCGCTCAAATACGGCCCCGACATCCTGCACGAGCGCAAGGTCAAGCTGCCGACCCTGCTGGACGGCGCGAGCATCGATGTGCGCGTCAAGCGGCTCCGGAGCCCGCACAGGGGCGATCATGGGAAGAAGGGGGATGTGGTGAGTCCGGCGCCAGCCGTTTGCGTATCCGTTTCTGGGATATATTTGCATCGTACATGAAACGTCTGTGTTCCTCCTCGCTCACTCATCACAATCAATGCTACCGCCCCCTCCCCCCGAAAAGATCGTCCTCAACAAAAAAACCCACGTCACCATCGCCGACGGCCCCGCCATGAACGGCGTCGTGCACGCCATCGACAGAGTCCTCGTCCCGCCTCACAAGAAACACCACAAGAAACATCACAAGAAACATCACAAGAAACATCGGCACCACCACGACGCCGAGGATGATCTCGCCGAAGATGATCTCGTCGCCGTTCACGAAGGCGAGGATACCGACCCCCCGACCTCGCGGTGGTGGGTGCCGACCCACGACGCGAAGGCCGATGGTGAGGGTGAGGGTGGGATCGCGTACGAGGATGAGATGCTGGCCGTGGACGAGGACTGGCTTGTGGTTGAGGGGATGTTGGATGCGGTTGAGGACGGGGAGGATGAGTGGTTGTGAATTTTTCCCGCCTCGGTGCATACGAGGAGTGATGGAAGGGAGTGATAGGCTTGAGCGGTCATCGTGTGTATGAGGATCTGGAGAAGCTTTTTGGGCCGCCTGGTCTTCTTTTGTTCTGTATTTTGGTGCTTTTGGGGGGGAATACCCATTTTTGTTGTTTTTCATACCGACTTCCGTTCCGTTTCCTCTCCTTTCCTTTCTTACACATGTTTGAGGCGCCCAATGCGTACGACAACCAACAGGCACAGCATTCAATTGACAAACTGACAGAAAGAAAAAAAAGCACGCTAGATAAATACCCTATGTACATGTACGAAACGCTCCCGCCCCCCCCCCCCCCCTCCCCCAAAAAAAACCCTCCAGCGACGCTTAACAACAACACACCGACAAGCGGTCATCTCACCTCGCTATTTCGCCCCAGCAGTACTCCCCGCCCTACTCCCACTCCCCCTCCCGCCCCTCCCCCTCTCCTTCTCCGGCTGCGGAATCATCGCCGCAAACCCCGCCCAATCCATACACTTTGCCCCCGCCGGCCACGTCCCCTCATCCCCCCTCGCCACCAGCACATAATCCACCTCGCCCTCGCCACACGTCTCGACAATCCTCCCCTCCGCAATCTCCAGCAGCCGGGTGCAGTACTCCAGATGGTACTCCTTCCCCTTCCTGAACGACTCGGCGATAAAGAACCGCTTCCCCCTCAACGGCTCCTCGACGAACCTACACCCGTACTTCCGTTCCGGCATCCACGTCCCGTCCGCCTCCGAGTCCGCGATCCACGCGGGGTCGGTGATGATCCACGCGTGCGAGATCGCCGCCGCGAACGTCTTGAGCGTCCGGCTCGGCGCGGGGGAGATCAGGTGCGTGATGCCGCTCTCCCAGTCTTTGACGCCGCTGAGCAGCTTGGCCCCGCCGAGCTTCTCGACGGCGCGGACGATGCGTTTCTTGAGCGTGTTGTCGAACGGGGTGGATTCTTTGAAGCCGGAGAGGCAGATGACGATCGGGGGTTGGGTCTGCGATGGGGGGTTGGCGGTTGGGGTTGCGGCGGTAGATGTGGGGGCGGTTGTTGGGGCGTGCAGGCGTTTCGAGGTGGACTTGCTGGCTGAGGAGGGAAGAGCGGTCTTGCTGGGCGTGGTGGTGGTGGTGGTGCTCGTACTGGAAGGAGGTAATTTGGACCCAGCGGTTCCCATCGGGATGGCGGGTGTAGGCGTGATTGGGAACGGCGGCTTGGTGTCCATCAAACGGAGTGATTCGGTAGCACTCAACGTATCCTATCGGGGGGACAAAAAAGCATTAGTACATGCACGTGGCGGAAAATTCATCCCCGCAAAAAACCCCACAAACACACAAAGACATACCTTCCGCGCCCCAACACTCCCCGCAACCTTCTTCCCAACCCTCGCCTTCTTCCCCGACGACCCCGGCGGCGGCGGCGTCTCCTTCCCCACCCCTCCACTCCTCCCCTCCCCATCCCCCTCCTCTAACGCACGTTTCCCCGCCCGTGTCTTCGCCGGGGTCGTCATGACCGTCGCCTGCGTCGCGGGTGGTGGTGGTGGGGCATTCGGCGCAGGAACTAACCCCCCCATCTTCGCGCCCTCCTCACTTTTCCTCCGATTCTGCTGCTCAGCAGTCACCCTCTTCAACTCCTCACTCACAGCCTGCGCGCGTGCTTCCTGCACGATCCGTGCATCCACTTCCTTCTGCAGTCTCGCCCGCATCTCAGCCACCGTCGTCTCATGCCCGCCCCGCAACGCCTCGATCTCACGCATCAACTCAAACACCTGCTCCTCACTCCCCGTCTTCGCGATCTGCGTCGAGAGCAACCGAGCCTCGAGGGCTTCGCCCATCGCGCGGGATGCATCGAGCTGGGTCTGTAACGCGGATGTTTCGCGCGCGAGGGTTTCCAATTGGGTTTGGGTGTGGGCGTCTAGACGCGCGCGCGCTTGTTCCAGATCCGTTTGCAACGTCTCCATCTTCGCTTCGACGTCGGTAAGGTGGGTCTTCAGCGCTGCTTTCTCGTCTTCAAGAGACCGGACGGTATCCCCCATTTCGGTTTCCATGGCGAGTTTCTCGGCTTGGAGGGCCGTGAGACGTGTGTTGAGGCCCCGCGCATCATCTACCTCGTCTTGTAAAGCGCGTTTCGCACGCTCAAGGCCCTCCACCACCGCCTGCACGCGCGCAAGCTCCGCTTTCAATGCTCCCACCTCCTCCCGCAACCCCGCGTTCTCCTTGCTCTCCGTCTCCTTGGCACTCTCAGCCACCGCCAGCTGTCTCCGACCATCCTCCACCTCCGCATCCAACGCGCGTTTCTGCGCCTCAAGCACGCGGATCTCGGCCTGCCGCACGTCGAATTCCCTGCGCACGGCAGCGAGATCCTCCTCCCACGCTTTTTTCTCCGCGTCGTGTGCCTCACGTGCGTTTGCGAGATCTGCTTCCAATCCCGTTTTGGCGGCCGTGAGGCGGTCAAGCGTTGGTTGGAGGTCCGTGATCTGCAACTCGGCGGCCGCGAGTTGCGCCTCCACATCCTGTTGCTGCGCTTGCAGATCCGCAACTTCCCCCTCCAACACCCCCACGCGTTCCCTCGCACTGTCCCTCGCGATCCTCAACCCTCCCCGATCCAACTCCGCTTCCTCCAGCCGTCTCGCCACCTCATCCCGGTCGGCTTGCACGGCCGCAAGGGTATGTTGTGTATCCGTCAACGAGGTGTGTAATTCCTCCCGAGCGGAGTGGCCTTCTTTGAGCTGGGCGGTGAGCTCATCACGTTCGGCGCGGAGCTGGTCGCACGTCCCGGTCTTTTCGTCACATTGGCGGGTCAGGTGCTCCACCCGTTCCGTCAAGGCCGATGTCTCCGTTTTGGCGTTTTCGGCGTCGATGCCGGCTTTGCTTTTCAACGCGGCGAAGTCAGAGACGAGCGTCGCGTGTCGGTCATCCATCTCGACGACCCTCGCAGCAGCTTCGTCCCGCTCGGCCGTGGTTCGTTCCCGCAAACCCGTGAGAGCGGTCTGCATCTCCGTCCCGGTGCGGACATGCTCGTCCCGGGTGGCTTCCAACTGACTTTTCGTCTCGTGTAACTGGGTGCGTAGGTCACGGACAGTCTGCAGGGTCTGCGTGGTCATATTCTCCAGATCCGCGACCCGTGCCAACGCCTGCTGCGTCGCAATCGTCGCCTCTTCCCTGGTTTTCACAGCATCGGCTAGTGCGCTCTCAAGCTCCCCCACCCGCGCCTCCGCACCCTCAACCTTCCCCCTCAAATTCTCCCTCCCTTCCTCACTCTCCTTCCGCACCGTCTCCAACTCAGCCTCAAGCGCACACCGACGGTCATCCACCTCCATGAACCGGGCCAAGGATTGTTTGTGCGCGAGTTCAGCGTCGGTGGTGAGGCGGGCCAGTTCTTCTGTTTTAGCTTCTAGGTCGGGTTTGAGGGACGAGGTGGTGGTGAGGGATTGTTGGAGTTGGGCCGTGGTTTCGGTGAGTTGTTGGGTTTTGTGAAGGATCTGTTGCGAGAGTTCTGTGTTGGTTGTTTCCAGAGCTTCGACACACGCGGTCAACTCGCTCCGGGTTTGGTTAGATTCGGCTAACGCGGCCGTCGTCTCCTCCAACGACTTTTTCACATCCTCCACCTGTGCTTTTGCAGCCTCAAGCGACTCCTTAGCCTGCGCAGCCCCCTCAACAACCGCCTGTCGTGCCTCCACAACCTCCTTTTCCAACCTCTCCTTATGCCCTTCCATCTCCGCCACCTTCGCAGCCATCTCCCCCTGCACCCTCCGCACCTCCACAATCTCCACACCCTTCTCCCCCAACTGCTCCTCCAACCGCTTCAACTCCTTCCGCGATGCGTCAAGGGCATTACGGAACTCCGTGGTGCCGTCTGAGGCGTCCTGGTGTGCTGTAGCGAGCTCGACGGTTAATGCCAGCCTCGTCTTTTCGAGGCCTGCACAGCGTTCCATGAGCTCGGTGTGGGCCTTTTCGGCTTCCTGGGCGGCTGAGGCAGCCCGGGATGCTTGTTGCTCCAACTCCAGCTTCAAAGCCGTGATCTGAGCCTCAGATTCTGCGGCGGCTTGGGCGGATTGTTCGGTTGTCAGACGGAGTGAGGTTTCGAGTTGGGTGATGGTGTCGCGAGCTGTGGTTTGGAGGTGTGCTGATTCGGCTGTTAGACGCTCAACGTCCGCGGCTGCTTGTTGGCGCACCTGGGCGAGTTGGGCGGACAACATGGCGTTCTCCAACTCGGTTTGTTCGAGGTTCACGGTGAGCTGCACGGTTTCGGCGGCGGCCCGCGCCATTGCGGTCGCGAGCACGTCTTGCTGTGCGGATAGTTCTGCGATGGTCTGCGTCTTTTCCGCGATGACCTGTGCGTCTGCCGCATGGAGTTCCTCCAGCCGGGTGACTTTCGACGCATACTGAGCTTTCATCGCCAGCACTTCAGCGGACCACTGACCCTCAATCTCATTTCGCAATCTGATCTGTTCATCGGCGGCTTCTCGGCGAGCGTCCATGAGCGCCTGCACTTTCATTTGAGCCAAGTGCTGCAGCTGCTGGTCCTGAGCAGCGAATCCGATCTGCAAATCAACAATCTCTTGTTGGAGGCGGATGACGCGCTCATGTTCCTCTTTGGAGGTTTGTCGGACGTCAGAGTGGCCTGCGTATATCCGATGATAGGCGCTGTCGACTATGGCCAGCAGCTTTGACAGTTCTGTGGGGGGTATCATGTTGTTTGTGCTGTTGTAGTGGTCGATGCTTGAAGTTGCGACCGAGTCCTGGCTGCTGCTGGTTTGGCGAGACAGTTTGAGGGACAGTTCCGACCTCTGCGTTTCGAGTGCCTGGGCGGCGGCTGCAGTTGTTCGCAGTTGTTTCCATTTGTCTTGCAGGCCGCTGGTGGTGGTGGTGGTTCTGCCGAGTGTTGGTGAGTGTGGTGGTGGTAAGGAGGCCTTTCTCTTCCTTGGCGAAGTGATATGGTTGTGGAGGTTGACAGGCTGACTGCTGCTGCGAGCCGAAGAGGTCTGTTGCGACGACATGGCTCCAGTGAGTGCTTTTGCGAATGCGAAAGGAGGCCGCCGAAGTAAGTCCGCCAGACCCAGAGTCTCTAGAGTAGAGCAGATGTAGTCTTTCTTTTGAGTGAGTGCGTGGAGAACAAGAAAGGGGGGGGGGGACGCAAGGGAAGCGTTCGGACATTCGCATTGATGAAGTTGCACAGCCACCCACTCCCCTCAGTCAGTGGTCGCACAGCCACCCGCCCGCATATATGTACAGTATCAGAGAGTCGCACGGCGTCGCACACGCAACCCGCACCCTCATCAAGCGTGCTTATCCCACATCCCAAAGGGGCCAAGGCAAGAGAGGCAAGAAAGAAGCGGACAGCAATGCGGTGCTTGTCATGCGGGAGGAAAGACGTGGCTGCTGCCGAAAGAACACCCACCCGCAAAAGCCAAGCCAAAAGCCCCCCCCCAAAGCGGTCACTCACTCAACCCCCTTTCTTGCACACACACCCTTCCGCTTTCTGTACATACATATCTTACACTCACTCAACCCCCACTCTCCCGCACATAGGTTCCTGTACATAGTGTTCCTTCGTCTGTACTGTATATTTCTCCCCGTTCTCGCTCCCCCGTTCTAGTCCTAGTGTATTCTACATTTCACTCCTCTGTACAAAACCACGAAATATGTACACTCCAGTCACTCCAGTCTTCCAACCCCGTGTGCTCCGTCCCAGCACCACTCACAACACTCCCAGTCGGACGATACCTGAACGGCCATCCTCGCCTTCAGTCCCACAATTCGAGTCAGAAACCTCAATGTACGACAGAGGCATCGCCATGCCAGCCCCGCAGAAGCCATTTCTCCTACGAACTCTCCAACACAACATGCTGGTGCCTCGATTGGACACCTACTCGCCGTCTTTGGAGAAGAGTTATTCCGGCGGTGGTGGTGGGGCAGGAGGGGAGGGAATACAACAAAATAGCAGTGTCGTGCCACGACAGCAGCAGAAACGTGGCCCCGCAGCCAGGGTCTCGATCAGGCGCTACAATTCCCCGCTCTCCCCGTTGAAGGAGAACACAGAGACGGACGATTTCTACAGTGGCGAGGACGCCGCCGTGGCAGAGTTGATGGAAATCATGGGCATGCAGCCTCTGCGACGGAACATTGTGGAGGACGATGATGAGCAGGAGGAGAACGAGGAAGACGAAAATAACCCACCACCTCCCACAAAACGCCGCCCCGGCGGTCACACCCGCAAATCCTCCGTCCCCGCCCTCTTCCAACCCCACGACACCGACCCAACCCCTACAACCACACTCACCCCGCAGCACCCCTCCCTCGCAATCCTCCAACCCCCCCGCCTCGCTTCCACCCCCTTCCGCCCCGTCCCAACAACCCCTCCACCCGCCGACCGCTCCCCCGTCTCCCGCTCCAAAAACCCGCTTCCCTTCAACGCACCCTTCTTGAACAGGTACCGCGCACCCTCACCTTTGGTATCCTCCCCCCAACAACAGTTGGATTTCACCTTTGCGACTGGAGCGGAGTTGGGGCTGTTGTCGCCTTCGCCTGATCATACCAGGGTCGTGGGGAATGGGAATGGGAATGGGAATGGGAATGCAACCGGGGTCGGGCCCTATCAGCAGCAACAACGACCCATGAACCCCATGGTCAACCGCATGGTCGATATCGTCTGCGCCAACGTCGGCGGGAGCGTCCGCCCGAGATCGAAATCGGTGACGGATCTGGATGGTGGGATCCGGCTCGCCTTTGCTTGTTAACGGGGTGGTGTTATCCTACCCCTGGATGATCGGGGCAGGGGGTTCTTCAACCCCCCCCCCCTCTTTGTATAGCTTTTGTTTTTTTCTTTGTTTCTTGCTTTTCGTGCTTTCGCGCGACGGACAATCTGGGTCACGGCGTTTTTCTAGCCCGCATTTGTACACATTTCCACTAGCCACATATCACTGCATGCATAATTGATCCCCCGCCCTCTGTATCTAGCTTCCCCCTTCTCCTCGTACATTCCAACCCACATATACGTTTTCCCCACACGCTCATTGTACACTCTGCACGTTTCTCGGTTGGTTACATAGCCCCCCCCTTTTTGAGGTGCCTTCCATTTGCAAATAGATCGTTTCTTTTCATCATCAGAGAGTGAGGTGAGAATGCATCGTGCGTAAGCGATACGTGTCGATGACTAGCGAAGGGAGGAGAGCCCGGCGCCCTCACTCTGTTGCGGGGGAATGTTCCCACTCCTTAAATAAACTTAAGATCAGTCGCGTGCCTCCACGTGACTCGAGGAGTCTTTCGCTTAGGAGGTTTCGGGGCCTCGAAACGACGACGACAAACTTGGTCCACAAGGAATCAGCGCAGGACATCCAGACGACGGGAACGAGCAGGAGAGGATCGCAACGCCATTCTGACTCCGTCTCATTGCCACTGCAGCGCTCTCCTCCGCCTGTTGCTTGAAAGTAGAAGCGATCAATAACACCATTCCAACACCGGAGCGGGAATCACCACCGGCAATTCGAGCATACGAGTCATAATAGCATAGCATAGTTTGAAATGCCAGCACCAAAGAACATAGATTGCGGCGCTCTCCTCTTCTCCGAGGGCCGCCGCGCACTCTCCCGGCACGTCAAACAGGCGCAACCATGCACCCGTCGATCTGCGTCCACAGCAACAGCAACCCGGCCCCGGAATGCGCACATCACCGAGAACCGGCCCCGCGTCGCCCGCATCCGCCACCCAAACCCTCTACCAGCAGGCTTTGACCCGTTCCCGTTCGATAACCCGGATGCCGACGCGACGCTGTTGTTGGCGAATGCGGTTGCGTTGAAGAATTCGGAGGCGGCTGTGAAGAGTTTGGAGCTGCTGCGGAAGAAGAGTGAGGCGGGTGTGGAGGATGCCGGGAAGACGGGGCTGGAGAGTGAAGGAAAGAAGGCGGAGCCGAGGGGGTTGGGATCGGTGCTTGGGCCGGAGTACATTGTCGGCGTGCTGAACATGGTTGCCGACAACGCAGGCGCGACGCAGGCGGAGCTGACGACGGTTGCCAAAGCTGTGCATGGGGATGTGGAGGACGGTGCGGTCGACCTGAAGGTTGCGGAGGCGTTGATCGGCGTGTGGGGCAGGGTCGGTGATGTCTCCAAGGCGGTCAGGACCGCTTTCGTGGCTTTGTCGGCTGGCCCGTCCTGGGCGGACGAAGCTAAGATCGGCAATGCGTTGATTGGCGTTTTGGCGAAGGGTGGATACAGCGAGGCTGCTAGGCAGATTTTAAGCGGGCTGGCTGCTAGAGGTCTCGCGCCGACTGCTGATGCGTATGCGGCTGTTATCAAGGCCTTTGGCGAGGCCGGAGACGTGGAGGCTGCGGAAGAGATTTTCAACTCAATGCGCGAAGCAGGGGTCGCTCCCACATCCGCTGTCGTTTCCGCTCTCATCCACGGCCATGCATCCCAGGGCCGGATCACCTCCGCCCACAAGTACTTCAACGACCTGCTGAAACTGCGTCTAGCTCAGACGCCCGACGCATGGACAGGCATGATCCGCGCACACGCCGTGCGCGGCAACGTCGGGGATGCTACAGACTTCTACCGGCGCATGCGTTCCGCCGGCCTCGAAGCCCCCTCCGACGCGTACGCCTACCTCATCAAAGCGCACGCCAAGAACAAAGACGTAACAGGGGCCAACAAATTCCTCTACAAAAAGGAGCTGGTGCGTGGCTTCACCCCATCCCCGGCCATGTACGCCGCCATGGTCGACGCCTACGTCGCAGTCGGGGAGATCAACCTCGCATGGCGTGTGGTCGCAAAAGCGTTCGGCGTAGAAGGTAAAGAGATCCCCGCCATCGTCGTCGCCCCGCTCGCCCGCGACGCAGCAAACAAGGACTTAGGGTACCTCGCCTACCTCCTCCGCGCGTCGGGTCTGAGCACCTCAGCGAAAGCACCCGACACCGTTGCGGCGCTCATGGAAGCCCTGCTGCGCGACCCGTCATCCTCCACACGGACACCCAACGCGCAAGCAGCCATCAAGCTCTACACGGCCTTCAACACCCCGCACGTGCCGCACCCGGCCACCCGCCACGCCCATCACCTCGCCCTGGAAGCCTACGCGCTCGTGAACGACACGGTCAACGCGGATAAGCTGTACAACATCATCCACCAGACAGAGGCACTCACATCCCCGCACGCCACCGCGGCCTACATCGCCGCCCTGCCCGATGCGGCTGCGGTCACGGACTTTATCGCCACCCTGCCCTCGTCGTCCGTGACCGGCGTCGACACCCTCGTCACGGCGGATGTATACGACGCCCTCGTTGCCGCTGCGATCAAACGGAAGGTGGACCCGACGACCGTCGAACGGTGGGTCCGGGAGGCCGTCACCGCGGGCGTCGTGCCTGTCCCCGCGAAGCATGCCGCGTTGGTGGGTGAGATGCACCGGTTGGAGGTGAGGGCCTTGGTGGACCGGCTTGCGCGCGGGAAGAGTGGGTAGTTTGCGATGATTCTTCGCCCCCCCCATCCTTTGAAAACATAGTAGAGTAGATACACACCACCCCTCTCCGCCCCCCGCCCCCCCCCCCCCCCCCCCCCCCCCCCCCCGAGGCAGATTCTGAAGATATCGTAATCTAAGCACTGTGAACGTTTATGCGCTTCTGTACTGGTGAAGGGGTTTGAGCTGAGCGTTTGTCGCAATACGACTTCAAAGAAAGCCCCGGTGCTCTTCGAAGTTCGAACCAGCGGCGAAGGCTGGGCGCGAGACAGTCAAAACAGAACATTTAAACCCACAAGTGACCCATCACGTGACCTACAATCCCAAACTCGCCCCGAAAGCCTCGACAATTTTGGGCCCCATTTCGCTCCCCCCTAGTACGACCAACACCACCAACCAACAACAAAATGCCATCCACAAAAGCTGCCCCAAGAGCAAGCACAGGAGCAGCCTCGCTGTCGGCCAAGCCTACACGCAGCGCCGCCATGTCCCAACCCAGCGTCCGCTCACATCCCCAAACCCCGTCGACAAAACCCATAAGGTAACAGTACGCATTCCGACTCCCCCCATGCTGTCTTGCACCGGACGTAATCATCCTCTTTTCTTTTGATAGCAGCCGCAACCGTCCTGCGGGCAAGAACGCAGATTCAGAAGCCGCGGACTGGGCCGCACGGCGGTTGGAGGCGATGATGATGGCCCGGCTGGGGTTGGGGGGTGGGGAGGGTGGGTCTGGGGCGGGGATGCGGAAACGGAAGGCTGGGACGGCTGGTGAGGGGGGGAAGGGGAAGAGGAGACGGGTGGTGGTGGAGGAGGAGGAGGAAGAAGAAGAAGAAGAAGAAGCGTGTGTGGTCCCGGGGTCGCACGCGGTTGAGGATATGCGGAGTGATGGAGAGGAGGGTTTTAGCGGGAGTGAGGGGGATGAGGGTTCATCTGGGGTTGGAGGCGACGATGACGACGACGACGACGAAGAACCCGCGACAACGCTCCCGGGACTCTCGAAATCCAACTCCAACGCCACCCGCGACCCCAAGATCGTCGTCTTCACCGACACCTCCACCACGCACACGCGCTCCACCGGCTCCAAAGGCGACTGGAAAGCCTTCATGTCCTCCTCGATCAAGAGACTCTCCTCGGTCCCCAAACCCGCGTCCAAACTCACACCCACCGAAGCCGCGCAGGAAGTACAGGACGTGCAGAACGACCGCTCGCTCGCCGAGCTCCTCCGCGCCTCCAAGCTGATCGACGACTACACCGCGGCGACGCTCACGGGCCGGGACAGACGCAGACACCTCGAGCAGCGCACGATCGCGCTGGGCGGCCATAAGGCGAAGGTCAACGTGCCGCAGCAGATCAAGACGGGGATGGACGCCGCTGAGCGCGCGCGCGCGGCCAAACGCTTGCAGACCGCAAAGGAGCTCGGGCTGTACCACGCGTCGCTCAAGACGCAGATCATGGGCGCCACGGGCGAGAAGGAGCGCGAGGCCAGGACGGAGCGGATCAGGGAGCGGGTGAAGCACAGGAGTAGGGGCGTGGAGGGCGGGTTTGGGAGTTTCAGGAACGGGGTCCTGAAGGTTAGTAAGGCGGAGATTGAGAGTGTGGAGAAGACGGCGCGGAGGGTGGCCAAGATCGGGAAGCCGAGGAGGAAGGCCGGCGGGAAGGAGAAGAAGCCGAAGAAGTTTAGAAGGTGATTGAAACGAAAACTCCTGGATGGGAAAACGGCGTGCATAGAGCGAGGCGCGCTGCCAAAGACGGACCCCCCCCCCGTTCCGCTTGCATTCTTCCCCACGTCTCTTTTTGTACATACGACACATAAGCTTAATTTATCGGACGCCCATACCATCACCCCAACGCATCATGATTTTAGTGCTCATCTCATTGAGTTATGCCGTATGCAAGTGTGGAATAGGGGGTTTGCGTCAGTGTCGGGATTTGTGTATGCGTGTCTGAGAAGGCTAACGAGTCCAGAGCGGTCTTTCCGTTTCAATCACCCTAACTGTATGAAGGTGCTCGACCGGTTTTCCTACTTGTCGTAGGTGTAGAATCCCTTGCCCGATTTCTTGCCTAAGATGCGCGGGAAGAACATGCGTGAGCGAACTGCCCTCCTCCACCGCTTCTCAATCATCCAAACCAAACCTTCCCAAAACTTACCAAGCCACCCAGCATCGACATACTTCACCAACAGCGGCGCCGGGCGGTACTTATCATCACCCAACTGGGTATGCAGCACGCGCATGATGGCCAGACATGTGTCGAGGCCGATAAAGTCCGCGAGGGTGAGGGGACCCATGGGGTTGTTGGTGCCGAGCTTCATGGTTGTGTCGATGTCTTCGCGGGTTGCGATGTTCTGTTGTTGCAAAAAGATGAGATTGTTGGCCTCAGTTGCCACCATGTAGGCATCCGACTTTTTGAGATGGGACTTACATCCTGCAGAACAAAGACAGCCTCGTTGATGTAGGGCATGAGGACACGATTGGCGATGAAACCGGGCATGTCGGACGACTCGGTGGTCGTCTTTCCCATTGCGTGCGCAAGGGCAAGTGTTTGCGCGAGCGTCGCGTCTGAGGTGGCGATGCCGGGGATGATTTCGACGAGTTTCATGACGGGGACTGGGGTGGACAAAGGTCAGACGCACGTTCAGTTCAGTTCTGAAGTTTCTTGCGCATGTGAAGACATACCAGGGTTCATGAAATGCATGCCAATGACCTGCTCGGGGCGCTTTGTTGCCGCGGCGATCTTTGTGATCGAAATGGACGAGGTGTTGGAGGATAGGATGGCGTGGGGCGGGGTCACCTTGTCCAGGCTGGCAAACAAGTCGCGCTTCAAGATCGGGTTCTCCGTCACGGCCTAGACTCGAGGGAGCCGGGTAACGTCAAAATACCGCCGCGACGATGGGAAACCACATCCGCCCACTGATACGTACCTCAATAGCAAAATCCACATCCTTGAACGCAGAAATGTCGGAAGTGGTCGTGATGCGGGCCTTAGACTCTTGCGCCTCCTCCTCTGTGATCTTGCCCTTCAACACATCTTTGCGCAGCAGGACGTCTATTAAGGGAAGTAGGGGTATGTGTCAGTCAACTGTAAGACTGCGAGCTGAGGGATGTGCAAAATGATACCCTGCTCACTCCGCTCGCGACAAGGATGTTGGGCGAGAACGCGGAGTTCGCTCCCGACGTGTAATGTGAACGACCGTTCGCTGTCGCTCACATTCACTGCTCGCTTCGCCCACCATCTCACCCACCCCATCTCATCCCTCTTCTCTCCCCTCCCCTCCACCCCCTAACCACCTACCAACAAACTTCAACCCCCTCTCAATCTGCGCCTTATTCGCATCCAACAACACCACCGGCAATTTCGCCACATGCGCCGCCACAAGACTGATCCCAACGCCCATTTGCCCGGCGCCGACGACGCCTACGCGGGATACATTGTGCGCCGTGGATAGGTGTTTGCGGAGGGTGGGGGATGTGCGGAGCTGGGATGGGATTGGGGGTTAGATGGGGGGGGATTGGAGGGTTGTGGGAGTAGGATGATGGGGCACTTACGCAACGACGGGCGTGCCGCGAGAGGAGGGGGGTGGGTGAGGGGAGCATGATTGTGTGTGTTTGGGCGAAGGAGTGTTGTGAAGCGGAGGAGATGAGGACGCTGCTGGGGGTTGCGAAGGAGCTCCTGAGCCTGGGGAAAACGGAAGCGCAAAGGGGGAGGGCTGCTTGTCTTGCGTAGTCGCCCACGTGAGGAAGCCCCAACGCGTCTCGTTTCTTCTCCTTTCTCCTTTCTGAGGATGCACATGGTCACTCTCCTGACGAAAAGGGCCGCTTCGACGGAGGTATTGTGAAAAGAGTAGGGCTGCAACACCAAGGAAAATCCAAAAAGAAGAGAAAAAGAAAACAGCTCCCGCCACTAACAGCGCTTGACAGGCTACACTACCATGAAGGCTCAGCTAGCTATACACCGCTCTCCGCCCCGACAAAAGTCTTCCCTAAGCCTTCCCAGGGTATCAGACCACAATCCCCTCTCCTCTGTCACCCCTCCCATTTCCAACCGTCCAGCGCTCCCAAGCATCACTCAATGAACCTCATCTCCCGCTTCCTGTTCTTGGCGTACTTGTCCTTGTACGTGTCCCAGATATGCATCAGCTCGTCGAGGTACTTTTGCTGGTATTCGAGGAGCAGTTCTTGGGAAGGTGATTCGACTTTCGGGCAGTCGATTGGGCGGCCCACTAGATGGAGGTAAAGTTGTTAGTATCGGGAACTGGAAGGTTAGGTCTGACATATCAGGTTTCCTTCTCACTTACCAACGGAGATGATGGGCCTACGATAGGGCATCAGCCCAGCATTGTACTGAAAGATGCCCCGTCCAAAGAACAACGGCGGGGCAAACGTCATGTACTTCTGGAACACCGTTTGGATCGTTCGCACAACCGATCCCGGCGGATTGGGCACCTGGTCCCAGATATCGTTCTCCCCAAAGCTATACACCGGCACCAGGCTCGCACCATTCCGCAGAGCGACCTTGATGAACCCCAGCCGCTTCTTGACGATCAAGTCCGCGATGCCCGGGAACGCGTGCAGCGATTCGGTGGCTCCGCCCACGACGATCATGCACGAATGACCCGGCCCTTTGTTGAGGATGTTGTCGCACGACCGCCGACTGACGGACGAGATGCCGAGCGTGAGCAGTATCTCCCTAACCAGCGGGAGGTGGAAATTGGTCTGAAGCGTCAACAGCCTCACGTTGATCCCCGAGAACTTCTTGCTGAAATCGGACGCATCGGTGCCGAAGCTCATGAATGCGCCCAGGCCAATGATGCCATGAGGGTGGTACCCAAACAAGTAGTTCTTACTCGGGTCCAGCTCGACGGTGGGGAGGAGCTGCATGGGGAAGTAGTCCTTGCACCAGCGCCAGACGGGCAGACGGCGGAAGAACATGCTTCTGCGGGCGCCGACTTCGGGGGCGGGGTCGAGAGCGATGAAGACGAGGTAGGCGAGGCACCAGGGGGTGAATGTTGGGGTGATGAGGAGGTAGGCGAATACTGTGAGGAGGATTGGGATGAGGAGCATCCAGAGGAGGACGGCTGTCGTCTGGCGACGCCGAGGGAGAGGCGTCGAGAGAGGGGCCCACTTGACGGCCATTGTGTGAGGGAGGGAACGAACGTCGGGCCGAGTGGGCTGGAGAGGGAGGAGTGGGTGTTTCTTGGGCGAGTTGGTGTGCAAGCCACGAATGGAAGCGGCGGCCCACCTCTGTCTGCAAGTGGAAGCCTTGTTGGGAAGGTGTTCAACAACTTCGCTCCGAGTCCCACCCCATGTGGTGGCACTGGTGATAGTTAAATGAGAGTGCGAGAGATGACTCCCACGCGCATTTCACCCGTTATTTCACACCTCCCAAAGCATTAAGGGCAAAAAAGTCGACTTTGTGAGAACGACAACAGGCGGAAAGCGGTTTTGGTTGGAGGCACAGCCAGCACCCAGGCAGTCGTGGTTTCTTTCTGTCTCTGTGTCGGTCGGTCGGTCGGTCGGGTTGGTGGGCTAGCAGGACTGCACGTTGGAAACTGGAATTCCGCTTCTACTCCGCTTCGCTCGGAATTGCAGTCTTCAACAACTCATTCCCGCACAATGGCACCCCTCAAACTCCGCCTCGGGTCCGGCATCGCCTCCGACATCCGCGCCCGGCTCGCCGTCTACCCCTCAGACTGGACCGACGGTCTCCACCCACGTATCCTGCCCGCAACAGTGTTCATATTCACCGCCAACTTGTTGCCGGCGATAGCGTTCTCCAGCTTTATGTTTAGTGCGACGAACGGGGAATACGGAACGACGGAAGTGGTGCTAAGCACGGCGATTTGTAATTTGATTTGGGCGGTGTTTGCGGGGCAGCCGATGGTTATCATGGGCGTTACTGGTGGGTACTGCGGCCCGCGAACGGGGTGAGAGGCGGGCGAGAACGAGCATTTGTGGTTTTTGGAGAGCGGAGCTAGCCTCCGTTCTTTCGACGAGCGACGCGAGCCGCATTCGTTTCTGCTACGACGGCCTTTACGGTTCATTGCGATGGTGGACAGTGGACGGACATCGGGCATCGGCCTCGGACATCGGACATCGGACATGGCACTCAACATGCACTTCATCACCCTTGCAGGACCGGTCGCTTTGTTGACTGCAACGATCTACGGCGTGTGTGTGAAATACAGTGTTGTATTCCTGCCCTTCATGTTCTGGAGTCATGCATGGGCGGCAGTGTTCCATATCATCTTGAGGTAACCCTTCGCGGGCGTTGCTTTGTACGTGATATTGGACCCAACTGAACTCCTTCACGCAGCATAACAAACGCCTGCTCCATCGTAAAGCATACCACCCGCTTCACTTGCGAAACCTTCGAAGTCCTCATCGCCACCGTCTACATCGTCAAAGGCATCGAAGAAATCACCGAAACACCCCTCTCAACCCCCGACTCCCAAAAAATGTCTCTACACCTCCTCGGCGTACTCCTCGGCCTCGGCACGCTTCTCGTCATGCAATTCCTCTCTACGGCCCGGCGATGGATCCTCTTCCGCAATTGGACACGGGCGATTCTCGCCGACTACTGCGCGCCGTTAACCGTGATCCTGTTCACATGCCTGACTCTCATCCCCACATTGAAAGACGTGGGCGTGCCAACGCTACCAGCCCCGCCGCGCTTCGAGACGTCGTCCGGGCGTGCGTGGCTGGTCGAGTTCTGGACACTACCTGTCGGCTGGATCTTTGCGGCGATCGTGCCTGGCCTGATTTTGACGTGTTTGTTCTTCTTTGACCATAACGTGTCGGCGATTATGGCGCAGAGTCCGGTGTTTGGGCTGAAGAAACCGACGGCGTATCATTATGACTTCTTTGTGTTGGGGATTGCGACGTTGATTTGTGGGTTCCTTGGGGTGAGACTTGGCCCGCTCTGACATCGTGCCATATTTTGTTCTGACAAATCCTGTTTACAGATACCAGCCGGCAACGGCCTGATCCCCCAGGCCCCCCTCCACACCAAATCCCTCGCAAAACCCATCTCCCACTCCAAACTCCACCATCCAGCCGCCACAAACCCACCAACCGCCCACACCTTCACAGACCCCCTCACACCCCCCCTCGCCCCCCCGACCGGCGCCCACACACCTACCCCCACCACCACCAGCACCCCGCCCGCAGAATACACCGACGTCCTCGAACAACGCCTCTCCAACCTCCTCCAATCCCTCCTCACCCTCCTCTTCCTCACCCGCCCCTTCCTAACCGCCCTCCGCGCCGTCCCACGACCCGTCCTCGGCGGCCTCTTCCTCTTCATGGGCCTCGGCGCCCTCTCCGCCAACACCTTCTTCTCCCGCATCGTGTTGCTGTGCACCGACCCTCGCCTTGTGCCTAGCCGGTACGAAGCGGCGTTCGGGAGGTGGGGAAAACGGACGGTGAACCTGTTTACGCTGATGCAGGTGGCGATCACCGCGGTGACGTATTGGCTGAGCGAGCGCGCGCCGACGGGGGTGGGGTTGCTTTTCCCCCTCGTGATCCTGGGGCTGGTGCCGGTGAGGCGGTGGGTGTTGCCCAGGTGGTTTGGGAAGGAGGTTGTGGAGTGGTTGGATGATGTTGGGGGGGATGTTGGTGGGAATGTGGGGAACGCGGGAGGGGACGAGGAGGAGGACTGGGCTCGGCGGGAGGCTGTGCGGCATGTGGAGATGGAGATGGGCGTGGGTGGGAAAGACGACGGTGGGACGGGGCGGCATCGTGCTAGGGGGGACGGCGGACATGATGGTGATGACGGTCGGGTTAGGAGCGTGGGAGGCGCATGAATGGGACCCCATCATTTCGCCCACATTCGGGGTTGGATGACCAGATCTAGGACGAGGGCATCTGCCGGACTCGAAGCCTACGCCGTATGTCTCCCCCGTCACATTCGGGTGTTGTTGCGATACCCGTCCAAGGCGTCCATGACATCACACGCTCCTCTCACGGACGGGACCCCGCCAACTCAAATACCTCCCCCGACACTTGGGCATACTTTTGGTTATTTATCTTCACATTATTCCGCGTTGGAGAACGCAATAATGGAGGCGCTTGTACAGTAGTCTATAGATGCAGGACTTCACAGTATATATGTAAAGACGTGGTGCGAATAGAATGCGAGTAGCGGGTCGTTGCGAATAAGGAGAGGACTGTATATGTAGGGGTTTTATCGGAGATTGGCGTTTTTTTCGGGAGTCATGTCGGGTGCTCTGCGAATGCGCCCTGCCCACGTTCCAATTCAGCCAGCACTATTCAGCAAAAGTAAGGCATATCTGCACATGCTGAAGCGCTTATTCCCGAAAATACCGATACCAAATGACAGCGTTATCCGTCGTTGTCGGCCCCATCATTTCAAGCCTGTGGGAAAACAACAATAGCGCACAGCCAGTCGACGTGCTTACACCCCAGCCCCAACGCCCGGAATCCGCCCACGAACACGCTCGCTCTCCTGTGCGTCTTGTGCAGGGGCAAACCTCCCTCCTGCAGGGATTCCCAAGGAGGTTGTGCTGGCGGCTGGCCACCGCGTCGACGCTTACGTGTTCATGTTCAGAACACGTCCCCCGACTGCATTCTACGTGGCGCCCTTCTCCTGGCTGCCCTGGCCTCCCACAGCGAGATGGGCGGCGGATGGGTTCCCGGCCGCCGCGCTCCGGATCCAAGACGACCGGCGCATGCAGCCTGCGTCGGCCGGATGACGGCTTGACCCTGTATAAATAGCCGCAGCCCGATCTAGCTGCCCAATTATAGTACTCATGTATGTTCCAGTTGTATAGTCAGTCATCTTCTCACAGTACGGTACAGTCACTCCCGTATATTTTAGCCAGCTACCATGCCGCCGAACACAGGGCCGCCACCCACTACCGGTAACTTATCCTGGGACCAAGAATTGGGCAGCTGGATTCCTGGTTCCAAAGAGTTGTCCCTTCAACAACTGCCATCCCCAGGTCAGGCCTTGAGTTTCTCACTGAAGGCCGCTGGCGTTGGCTTCTTGGTATATTGTTCGTGGAAGGGATATCAATGGCGGGCTTATCGGAAGAAGGTAGGCGATAGTTGTTCTGCGGCGTCAGGATCAAGTTCCCCCGGAGGCGCAATAGGACTTGTGAGCGAAGCGCGTGGGGTCGTGGGTTCTCGGGCGATACCAAATCCTATTCTTGCATTACATGTGTAGGTCCTTACAATTCAAGACGGAACCATTCTTAAGTGGAAGTTGAGTCGCAATCCTGTGGTTGAAGTGCGGAGCGACGATGGCCTTCTGGGCAAACTGTCCGGTGCAGGCCAGCGCAATATCACACTCTTTGAGGCACTGGAGACTTTGAGATGGGCGCGCGATGATGGGCGCATCAAAGGTCGGTTCCGTTCATTGTTCTGCTACACAAGTCAACACGTGCTTGGAACTAACGACACCTTCCGTATTCCTCCAAGGTCTGGAGATGGATTTTAGCACCGGGTCGAGACTTTTGCTGGCTAGTAAGGGCATGGGTTTTGCACAGGTAGGAAGGCTAAGCAGTTATCATGGATCGTCCTCAGTCGTGTTTATCCTTCTCCGTCATCTTCAAGATGCAAGAACTCCATGAGGCCATCAGAAGTTTTGGCGACGCAAAGAGGTGCGCTTTCGGTGACAACTGTCGACTGGTAGCGTTTACAGACACATTTGGTACAGACTCCGATATCCATCACCTTGAAAGGATCACTGGACCATATTCATAGATGCCTCCCACCACAGATTCTCAGGACCACTACTTCCTTTCGACGGCCTTTGACGAGGTCAAAATGGAGCCCAACGGTGTCATCCCCCTCTACGGCTTCGCGCCGAGGTCACCGGTAAGTATCCAATCTGAAGACGTGCTGATCAAAATGGCATCTCACAACTTTGGTGCGGCAGTTTTTGGGAAACCTGTTGAAAAAGCTGGGGATCGACATGATACCTCTCTCAAAAGGCAAATGCAAAGGCGCCACGGAGCATTTGACGGAGACCAAATACCCACCGCAAATCCTGGACAACCTGGCCTCCCTATTTGCATCGCTCACCGACCAGTTTCGCCGGCAAATTGCGTCTAGCAGGGATGTTGGCCTGAAGAAATTCACCCGCCAAGGCATGAACAAATGGCGCGGGATGTCCGCCGCCTCCAAGGAGCTATCGCCAGCGTCCTCCGCTGCAGACGCGTCTTCGGACCAAAAAGTGAAAGCACTGATGGATGTCGCGCCGCTGACGACAGGAGAAGGTGTGGAAGCCGGCCTGATTGACCGCATCGCCTACAAGCGGGAGCAACTGCACAGGGGTCCCGACAGCGACGTGAAGGAGATGCCGCTTACACGATACAAGTTCCTGCGCGCTGCGGAGGTGAAGAGGGAGGTCAGGAAGATGCCGAGCGACCAGAAAGTGAATGTCGCGCTTGTTTACCTCTCGGGCGCCATCAAAGAGGGCGAGGGGCAGTTTGGTCCTGACAAGGTGGCCAAAGCTATTTTGGACGCTGCGGCGGATAAGAGCATCAGGGCGATCGTGTTCCGCATCGGTGAGCTATCTTGTGGGCAGCCCACTGCAAAACTTCTCACGTTTCTGATCCCCTCGCGCACCGTGCATTAGACACCGGCGGGGGCGGTATGTGGGCCAGCGACACGATCCGCGACGCCGTAGACCACGCACAGAAAACCTACAACAAGCCCATCATCGCAAGCTACGGGAACGCCGCGGCATCGGGAGGCGTGTGGATAAGCATCAACTGCAAGAAGATCCTCGCGTCCCCCGGCACCATCACCGGCTCTATCGGCATCGCCTACGCGCGTCCCATCTTCACACCCGAATTTCTCGACCGGTTCGGCATCACCGTCGATGAGCGACTTGTCCTCACGGACGGAGCGAAAGGGTCGTCGGTGTTTACTCCGCCGACGGGACGCGCCCTGGAGCGGTGGAAGAGTCTGATGGACGGGTACTACCAGACGTTTCTGCGATTGGTGGCGGCGGGGCGGGGGATGACGGTTGAGCAGGTGGCGAGCATCGCGGAAGGGAAGGTGTATACCGGCGAACAGGCGCTCAAACTCGGTCTGATTGACGAGCTTGGTGAGTGGGCATACCCCTTTATCCTGCTCCCGTCATGAAATCAAAACGGTAGTTCTGATCCCCCCCGCAATTCTCTCACCATCCGCTCCCTCGCGGCACCCAGGCGGCCTCCAATCCGCCCTCCGCGTCGCCGTCGCCCACTCCGGAGCCGCGCCCACGTCCCTCCCCATCGTACAGATCTTCCCGCGGCCACAAGGTCTGATCCAGAAACTGGTGGAGAATGGCACAGTGGACGACATGCTGGGCAGTTTGTCGATTGATATGCAGGCGAGTTTGGCGGCGGCCGCGGCGAGGGTTGCTGTGGGTGTGGGTGCGGAGGTTGTGGAGGAGAGGGTCGGGGTGGGTGCGGGGCCGGCCTTGCGGATGCAGCATTTGGATTAGAAGCACTGTCTAATCAAGGGGCTCGGGCGATGATATCCATTCTCGTACTAGCACTGTCGTTCACACCCATGCCTAGCTCTGGTAGTTACTGTAGCCTCATCGCGTAGATCCACATCCTCTCACCTCCACCCCCTTTCTCTGCGCCCCCCGGGCCGGTTCGCCACTTGTACAGGCAGGCGGAAGGGACCCAGGCCCCCTCAACCGCCGCATCGAACCCGAAAGCGGCGTTTTGTATCTTTTTTTTTTTCTTTGAACATGGACCCACCGCAGAAGCTTTGCTTTCTATTGAACCTGACTGGAACTTGGGTCTGGAGACCCATCCCGTCTCTCGGACCTGCATACTGTGGGGTCTTACTTCATCCCGCAAACAAGTTTCGCCGTTTTCGTGCTTATGTAATATGACGCGTCAGCCTGAGGCATCTCAGCGACGCGTTCATGGGGAACGTAACGGCAGTCAGGTGCAGTGTGCAGCTTGCATACCACAACGTACAGTACGTCCTATGCGCAGGCAAAGGACATGCCGGCCTTCAGCGGTACGAGTGCATAGGAGTACCTGGAGCGAGCGATGCACACACGGGCAGTGGTTAGCAGAACAAGAAAGCCACTCAGCTATTTTTTGGAGGCTGCTTCGGGTTCTCCGACCCATGATGGATGATCTTGTTCCACTGACTGAACCAACCCTAATGGAATAGATAAATGCAGCCATTCAGGATGTCATTCGGGTAGCCAACTATTCCACACGACCTTCAGCGTGGTAGATGGTCCAACAACTGAGCTACAGCGCAGGACCCATCCGTCTTCAGGTAAACGAATGAACCTGCAAATTCTTGCAGCTAGCCACGTACAGGACCCAGAACGACATGGTCATTCCCCGAAACAAAAAACTTCGGCGGCACCGTGGTCCGACTCCACTTTTCCAGCACCCCGCACCTTGGAGGTGATGCACACTGGGAGTTACAAGATCGTCGAGAACGTGCTCCTCCTTGTCTCCCAGGCCCTCCGTGCCGTGTGCAACGTGGCTGCTGGCGGGTAGATCTGTGGTTTGGATACACTCCCTGAGGCTGCTGCTGGAACTTGCCAAGTGAGGTGGAGACTGCTGCTGCCGGGATGCAGATGGCTTTTGGAGGTGTCTGAGGCTGGATCGGCGGTCCAACAGTCATGATCGATGGAGGAACCCGCAGAACGACCCGCGAGAACAGGATGGGACGCAACTCGGTTCCCGGAGGTCAAAAAAACGCGTTGAGCGCGTATCACGTAAGCATTGACGGCACTGTCAATACGGCCGTTGCACCCAGCACTCGTCCGACTGAGCAGGCCAGGGAATGAGCTTCTCTATTCGGTTGGTCGTGCACGGGAGACGGCTTTCACCCGCAACACCAACGGGCATAGGTTTCGCTCACATTACTTACTTGTGAAGCCAACAATTTTACGCAGACAGACGACTCTACAGGGATTGACGGGAAGGATGGGGTGGTTCGCCACTACCCCGATTCAGATTTGTAGAAAGCCACCGCTAGCGGGAGGGATCTCGTGAATACGATGAGTGAAGCTAGCGATATGTGGAAGGAAGGGAGGACGGTGCCGGAGGACGTCTAGATATATGTGGGCGTCTAGAAATATGACTGGTGCATCCAGTGGTAATAGTAGGCAGCCCGATGTAAATGGTATATAGATGATGTATGTTTAGTGGATAGAGTGACTTTTCCGGAAGCCACCAAGAACCTTCCGCTAGCCCTTTCTCCAATCGGTTATCTGAAATGGAAGAAATGGAGTGAGGTCATCAGAAGTCTGCATGGAGTTCGGCGACGGGGATGTAGGGATGTAGAGATGTTAGGCGGGGTGATCAAGATAGTAAACAGGAATGTTCGCTATCGTTCGCAGACCGACTGAAGCTCGCTTCGCTCGCCGTCGCATCTATCGTCATCGTCATCACCCGCCATCGTTCACTCCCCGTTCCTCATTCCTCGATACTCACATTTCTCCTTATTCCCTGGCGGACAGCAGCACCACATGCACGGAAAACACAACATACATTAACGATATCTCCGCCGCTCCACTCGCCGGTGCGCACGAACTCATGGTTGCAGTTGAACCAGCTGCTAGTGTAGACTGAGTTGACCGGGATGACCGAGTTACCCCCGTTGACCGGGTTGCCCGAGGCGACCGAGTTGAAGTAGACACGTGGTTGTGCCGTGGTGATAGGAGTGCCGTCGGCGTTGTAGGCGATGGGTCGATGTTGTGCCTCGGGGTAGGGTTGCGGTTGCGGTTGGGCGGCGTAGATTGGGGAGGGTACGGGTTGGCGAGGGGTTGGCAGGCGGTGACGGGCTGAGCGGGGGTGAGTCGCGGCGCCGGTAGTGGGTTGGTATTGCGGAGGGCTTGGGTTCTGGGGGTTGCCCGATTGTTGGTGTTCTTGCTTTTCGGCGGACATTTTGGTATGAGTTGCGAGGCGTGAAACGGAACGCTCGATAGGGCGGGCTCTCCTGCCTGCCGGGGTTCTTTATATACCAAGCGGCGGCGAGCATTGTGCGGGAGCTACTTCAAGTTGGACTTGCCCACTGGCCGTAAGCCTGAGAGGCTGAAACGGAGGGTCCAGGAGCGCCCGGCTAACATCCCCGACGCCGTGCATTGTGGAGAAGCGCCCCAGTTGAAGTTGCTGCAAAGCGCAAGGCTGCGAACAAGGAAACAAGACTGAAAGTTGGATCTGGAGAGGGAGAACTGAGAAAGAGGTATCGAAACGCGTCTCCCACGTCCGAAGGGGCAACGAACGACAACGAGGACAGCAGCTTCTCGAAGCAGGTCAGTTTCGTCCAACGAACACTCGCAAAAAGCATGGCCGGCCTCTTCCACATCCGCCCAACGCTACGGCTGCCTCTCCCTCGCTCCGCCGCTGCCTCCTCGTTCCGTCGCAATGTTCGCTCGCAAGTCGTAGTTCCCGTCTCGTCGTCGCCGTCGTCAGGGACATGTTTTCACACTTGCAAAGTCGCATACAAGCAGAAGGTGAGGGGCGCAAGCTAGAGTCTCACTGGATACCTTTGCCTCACACGTTCATGCTTTCTCTCTTCCTCCCACCCAGCTGAACTTCGCAGAACGCCAGCAAAAGCAGAATTCCCGAGGCGCATGGAACAAAAAGCACAAAAAATCACCCATCCCGCCATCCTCCGACCCCCGCGGCTGGGACTTCCGCTCCGAATCCGACCGGCAGCTCGTGCCCGATGGGTGGGCGACCATCGTCCCTGAACCCTTTGAGCAATCCACAGCCGCCATCCCCCTCGAACCGGCCAAAATCCCGCGACTAGCCCACGGCCTCGAAAAAGTGCTCGAACGGCCGGGGATACATTACCTGAAAGACCCAGAGACCGGCGAGTACAATTTCGACCCATGGCTGGAGAATATCTGTCAGCCGGAGGACTTCGACTATACGAAATTGCCTGAGTACATGATTGCATCCACCGACACGAATGCGCATCAGATTGCAAGGAAGCACGGGGCGCGGTACGTCTCCTCCACGTCCTCCATCACCAGCCTGGTCGCCAAAATGTACCTACACATCTCGGAGGAGCGGCCGCCCAACATCGCCTCCTTCTCGCACGCTCTGGACGGCGAACCACACACCTTCACCAAAACCCAGCGCCTCCCCACATCCGCCCTTCTGAAAAGCCTGGGCGACGGGCTGTATGCCGTCGACGCCGACAAGTCTGCTCAAGGAGACAACGGGAACATCATGCAGATTCTGGGAAAATCGATGGAGCTAATGCTGACGGCCCCCCCGGAGAGGTTTGAGAAGTTTACGGTCGCGAATTCGGCCAATCTGAAACCTGAGGAGTTGGATGAGGATTACCATCGGTTTACGAAGCTGGACAAGTTCATGTTAAGGGCGCAGATGGATTGTTATGATGAGCGGCTGCCGTACAAGACGTTCGATTTGAAGACGAGGGCCACCTTGGCTGTTCGGATGGATCCGGCGGGGTATAAGGTGCGTCTGCTTTGTAAGCGTTTCCGGAATTCACTCGACTGCTAACGTTTTCACGATTCATACAGGAAAATCTCGACTACATCCTCAACAAAGAAGAAGGCCTCATCAACTCCTTCGAACGCGAAGACTACGACATGCTCCGCTCCGCCTTCCTCAAATACTCCTTCCAAGCCCGGATCGGCGGCATGGACGGCATCTTCGTCTGCTACCACAACACCTCCACCGTCTTTGGGTTCCAATACTTCCCCATCGCAGACATGGACCGTTTGCTGTTCGGCACCCCGGAATTCGGCCAGCAAAGTTTCGACATCTCCCTCAAACTCCTTGGGCGGTTGCTGGACGCCGTGACCAACGCGTTCCCGGACACGGATACCCGCGTGACGATGGGGAGGGGCATCGATGGCAAATTCCACACGTTTGCGGAACCCGTCTCCATCCCCGCCCTGACCAACATCCCCGAGCCCACGGCGCCACCCATGAAATGGACCCTCCACACCGCGTCCAAGATCAACGACGAGTTCACCACGCCCCTCTTCTTCACCCCCCCGGACAAGTGGACCGTGCATTATAACCTTGTCAAGAGCCCGCATTCGGGGAGGAGGTTGAGCGAGGAGTGTGAGAAGTTTAGGGAGCTTGCTAGTGGGGAGAAACGGGGTCCGGACGGGAAGAAGGAGAGGGGGAGGAATTTCAAGTTTATTGATTCGTTGAGGAGGATGGCGGGGTTGCCGCGCATTGACAGGGGGCTGGGGGAGGCGGGGGAGAGGGAGGAGGGGGGGTGGGAAAGGGAGAGGGAGCGGGAGAGGGGGAGGGAGAGGTTTGAGCGGGAGCGAGTTGGGAGGTGATCTGACTTCTCGGGGCTTCCAAGACCTTGCCCACTTTGGAATCGAAGATGGGTGGGGACCGCCTAGCGCATCCCTTCTTGGCGATCCCCTCGCAAACCGTGCGTTCAAGCAAACGCGGGCGGGCGACATCCAGTGAATATAGTACGCACGTCATATATATGTATCAGGAATAGCGTACCTCTATAGACCCCAAAAAAACTAAACTGTACACTATCTAAATCGTCACCACCGGTGTAAGGAGTCACACTATGCCAATTCAATCGGTAGTAGCGACGGGTGGTGTGTGCAAAGGGCAGGGACGTAATCAACGCGGGCTGATACTCACCCTGCCTTCTCACAATTCCACACCCACAATCTCGTTCATTCACACCCCAACCCCCCAAAAATCCCCCGCTACACCTCCCCACCCACCGCAATCCCCTCAACCTCCCTCACAACCCCCTCAATCTCCTCGACCACCTCCGTCTCAATATACGGCTGGTGCAGCCATGCCGAGAGCAGAAACATCCCATGCGCGCGGTGGTGTGGTTCGTGGGGTGGTGGTAGACGGGGGTGAGTATCACTGTCGCCAGCACTGCCGGTGGTGTTGTGGATGGTGATGTCGTGTGAGGAGGTGATAAAGTTTGCGATCCGAGCTTTTAAGGACGTTTCCAGGGCGTACATGTCCGTCAGGCGGCGCATTAGACCCACTACCTCCCAAAAAAACTGTCAGTTAAGCCCCTCCCCCACATCCTGCGAAAAGGGAACAAAAACACATACAATGCCCTTCCAGAGACGAAATCCTAAACACGGCCATCTCAGCCGCCTTCTCGCCAACATTATCGATTGTGTCGTCTACCAACGCCGAGACGCGCAGGAGGACGGTTTGCATCTTTGTGAGGAGGTGTTGCAGGCGGTCTACTATGCTGTGTAGTTCGCGGAGGGGGGTTGTGAGGTCGTCAGGGGGTGGTGGGAGGGAGGTGGGGGAGGGATGGGGGGAGAAGGCGGATTTTGTGGATTTTTCTCTGTGTGATGGAGGCTGTGTGAGTATTGGAAACGGTCGATGCTCGCCCCTCGCTTCGCTCACCACCGTCTTCGGTGACTTTGCTTCATCGCCCTCCTAGCTCAACCCCATTTGCCCCCCCAAAGACTAACCTCCCCTTCAGCCCAGTGTTAACAATCAAATTCGCTACCCTCAATCCATCGGTATCGAGCTCCTGCCATTGATTTTTGAAATAGTAGATGTCCTGCCATGCTGTGCGGGTGGCGCGTTGGAGGGAGGCGACTTGTTGGGGTGGAATTTGCTGTTGGTGGGTGTGTGGGGAGGGTGATGAGGGCGAAGGCGAGGGACTGTGCATGGCGGGTTGAAGGGTGGCAGGACACGGATGATGCCGGGGTGATGGTGCGTTGGAAGTTGGAAATTGGAAGTTCCACAGGAGTCGTCCTGGCTTCGCAGGAGAGTTCGAAAGAGACTTGACGCGTGTTCGCCTTGTTCGCCCCTTCGCTCCCCCCAAGTCCCCCAAGTTACCCCCTTGCCCCACCGCTTCTCTCCCCCATCCAGGGGCCACATCGACCCCTCCCTCATCTCCCAAAGCCGCTCATTTTCCGTCCGCTATTTCACAATGCGAGGACAATGAGGTTTCATTATATTAGGACTAGCATGCGCCAAAACTGGCGTGCGATTCCAATGCTTGCGCATGACGACCTTGACTTCACCCCCTGCAGGGGAAAGCAAGGAGTGAGAGGATGTGTGCGGCGAACATCCATGGTACATGTTACTGGAAGAGATGACATCCTCTAATACAGCCGCAGGGAAAAGCCCGAAAACCAGTGGGACAGCCGGAAGCTCCGAAGTGTTCCGCCGACCGCGTGTCCGAAAGGACAAGTTTTCGCTTGTCACACTCTGGATCTGGCAGAAGCGATATCTGCCTCCGGTTGCTCGCCCCATTCATACGTACGTACGGCGAGCAACCACTGACTCCAGGCTGACATGCTCACGGCATCGCTCGCTATCAAAGCAGTGTGTGGTCCGTCATTGTAGCCCGCCACCTCCCGTCGCCACAATTCCGCCCACCATGTCTCTCCTCCTCCGCACCCTCCTTGCAACCCACTCCTTTCTCTCCTCCCTCGCAACCTTCTTCACGCTCACTGTCACCTCCGCCAACAGCCGCCGTTTACTACCACCGCCACCACCCCCAATAGAGCTAACGAACGAGAATGCGCGGACGAGGGAGCATGTTGCTGTTGTTTTTAGGAGGGGGAGAAATGGGGGAAATGGAGGGGAAACTGTGAATTGTAATGGGCGGATGGAAGGGGAAGGGTTGGTTGAGGAAGTAGAGAGGATTGTTGGATGGTGTTTGGAGGCTGGGGTCAGGGTGTTGACGGTCTTTGATGATAAGGGTAGGTTTCCGAGTGTGTTGTGGTGTTGTTTGTTTTATGGGAAGGTGTGCGGCGGTGTGTCGGAGTGTGTAAATGGGGCCGCTGACGGGAAGGGACTGTGTTTCTCGGCCATCATTGAACATGCCGTACTTGAACCTCCATCTTTTTCTCACACTCCTTCCCAACCAGGCCTCCTAAAAACCAAAGCCGCCCACCTGCACCGCACCCTCAAATCCACCCTCAGCCCCTCCATAAAGCAGCCATACACCATCGGATCATCCACCCCACCACGGCAAGAGGAATCCGACCCTGTAGTTGTCCAAGTATACACCAGCGGCCGCCGTATCCCCAAAACGACAGCCCAACAACGCACAGACGAAGCGGTAGACGTTGACAGCGCGCATAATTCGGATGACGAGGGGGGAACTATCGGTTCGTGCATCAATCTCATCACTCATATTCCCCGCAAGTACTGATGTGTATGTGAAAACTCAGACCTGCACATCAACATCGTCTCCCCAACGGACGGCCGACAAGCCCTTGTCGATGCCGCAAAGGCGCTCGCTCGCGAGGCTATCACCAAAACATCTCCCACCATCGTTGATGTCGATATCGTGGACCGCATACTCCATAAAGGTACGTCTGTGTCCTGTACTTTATTACCACATATGTCAGGGGGATGAACTGATGCTGCGGATATTGGTAGGACGAGATGCATCCCTCCGTATAAACAGCAGCGAACCACAACTCGTCTTCCTGACACATACGGATCCGGAGTTTATCACAATTGGGAATTTCCTGCCATGGGAGATCCGGTTGTCGGAGTTTTGGTAGGGCTTTTGCCATTCCATATTGAGGACTGCACCACTGACATCTATCCATAGGCCTGTACCAAGGGAGCTGACACAGGCGGAGTTTGTGGACGGGTTGCGGCATATGGCGTCGTGCCAGCAGCGGTTCGGGAAATGAAGTGAAACGGCCTTCCTGCATGGAGTTGACCCACCCGATAGACATACCAATTCACGACATCTAGTATTCTCATTCGGCTTTTTTGGGGTTGCGGTTGGGAGAAGCGTAGGACGGCGTAGATGGTAGATGGGGTAACTTATGAGAATACAGAATACACATGAGCATAGTGCATATGTAGCCTCCAATGGGATGTTCGGTCAGACGGCGTAAATCGAAAAATGTGGATTAGTCCCTGCGTAGCAACCTCGATTTGCCCCCACCCGGACAAGCAGAGAATCATATCTGCCTTCAGACGGTCAATTAAACCATAGAAACACACTGTTCGCAACACTTTGTACAACCAAGCCAGCGTTGGGTTCAATATGAAGAAAAAATTACGTTGAAATACAGGTGGGTGGTATTTGATGGATGTTCCTAAAAAACTACCGCCGTTCTAGCGCGGGATGCCGGGGTGATGGTGATATTTATGGCGGGGTGGAATATGGCGGATGCTTTGCGTGGTGAGACAATGCTGCATTTACGCGTTGTCAAAGTCAAAGTCATCACCGAAGACAACATCGTCGTCCGAGTCGTCGTCGTTGGCCTCAGGGAAGCAGCCCTTGGAGCGAAGGTACTCGATACCCTTGGTGAGGGCCTCGTCGCGGACCTTGAGGGTGAAGATGCCCTTGTCGGGGTTGGCGAGGATCTCGCCGGACGCGAGGAGGTTGTCACCGGAGAGGACCTTGCCGTCGTAGTGGCCGACGACGCTTTGGAGCCACTCCTTGGCGTCGATCTAGCGGAACGGAGCTATAGTTATTTCCACATCGAGCAAACTCGTCTGCAAATAATCCGGCACGCACCTTGTCCTTCTTGGACTCAGGGACGTGAGCAACGATCGCGACGCGCTCGTCGTTGGTAGAGAAGATCATCTTTCCAATGTCGCCGGCTCCACCCTTGCGCTCTTCCTCGGCGTCGTCACATGGGGCGTTCATCTACTCAAAGCAAATTACTCCTCGTCAGATCTCTCGTCTCGTTAACATGCGGATTGGTGATGAAGTGAGTACATACCGCCTTGACGGACTCGATGAGGAGCTCAACGTCACCCTCGGGCTCGTCGACCTTGGTGCAGAAGAACTCGAGACCGCCTATTCATTACAAAGGAGATGCGATTCGACAGTCAGCAATAGTACAGTCAGTGAGGTGTGAGAATCCACATTCTACATACCCATGGTAGCGGCTCCCTCGATCTCAACACCACGCTTTCCACCCTCCTTCACGACCTTCTTGAGCTTCTTGTCGTCGACGGGCATGGTTGCGATTGTTATTGACGGTTTGGGAGTGTGGGGTAAGGGGGGAGGATTCAAGAGTTATGGTGGCTTTTGAAGAGACGGCGAGCAAAAGTTTTCGTATGGCGGTTGCGGGGTGTCGCTGTAGTAAGGAATGTGGGGGAGGTGGCGGCGGAGGGATATCCGCACACTCATCTGTGTCATGGCACGTGGAGAGTCACGTGAAACGAGGATAGACTAATGAGCGGTTGTTTTTGATGTGACATTCCTTCTGGGCGATTTTCCCACGGACTGTTTCTTTCCCACGCACCACATCTCAGGCATCGCATACATTTGCATCGAGTTGCCCAGGCAACAACGACAGTACTTCTCACAGGCGCCTATACCGAACGATGGACGACAACCCCTTCGCCGAAATCGCGGCTCGGCCTGCCCTCACAAAGACTTACAGGCGACCCGCGGGAGGCATCGCCCGCGCTCAGCACGCGGGGACGGCCATGCGAATGCATTCGCGGCCGTCGCAGCAACAACAGCACGGCGGGACAAGAAAGGGCGCGCTGCGAACGGATGAGCAGAAGATGCAGTCGGGTGACGAGCAGGAAAATGGGGGACCGATTAAGGGTGAATCTGAGAAGGGTATGTCACAGTCGAAGTCGACGGGTTCAAGTTACATATAGCGCTGTTTTTCTGAGGCCCTCGATATCGCTTCAAGGGCAAGGCGGGAAGATTAATCAAAAGAAGCCACGCTTTACTGGCACTCATCGAACCAAAACGGCCTTGTCATCGAAACAAAACGGAAGCCTGCTTCGTAGTTCCGATCAACAAACAAAGGCTGGGGCTTCCTCCTCGACGTCAAACCGCGCGACGAAATCCTCCAAGAAAAGCGCTCAACATAATAAAGTCCTCACCGGTATGCGCTTACCCAGTGACCCCATCAACGTCTTCCGCGATGATTCCTCGGACGACGACGCGTCGGCTGTGGAAGGAGCTGAGCCCGCCGACAACGGTGCAGCAGATGGTGATTTCCCAAGGAACGCGTCGCCTGTTCCGTCCGACATGTCGCTCGCCTCAACGCCTTCGCCAGGCCCGCCGCAAATCTTTGGGCGTCCCTCCGTTACTACTCTTGGCCCTATACATAGACCGCTGGGACCGGCAGCGACTGCGCGTAACCGCGTAGCTGACAATGCACGACAGGATACTGGAAGGAGCATCGTGCAACAGACACCACTCATGAGGTCTTCGTCGCAGCAGCATATAGAACATAAAGACCGCGGGAAAGCTACTCAGAAGATGACCACTCCGCCTACTGCAGCTGTAGGGTCACCATGGGCAATCTCATCCGGCGCGCCTCGTCGCAAATCTCAATCCTTCGTATTTAAAAATGCAGCTAAGCACGGGGATAGTGGATCAACGAAAACCTCGCGGGAGATGGGGTCTGTGTCGAATACCATCGTGGCGAAACGGTGGCAAGCGGATGTGGCGGAGGATACGGTGCAAACTAGACCACGGGGCATTCTGATCAGCAGCCCGGCTCTAGACAGCATTCTGAACAACATGATCAAGAAGCCGCGGTCCCCGAAGATTCGTTTTTCAGATGACGATGTCTTCGGAGGGTCGGAGAAGCTCGACGCGAGGGGAACGGTCGATGTCGGTGGAGGGGACGGCTTGATGGAGAGAAGTAACGATATGGGTAGCGTGCCGCCGCCTGCAATCGAGCAAGACATGGAAAGTGATGGATCTGGGAATGAAGAGCAACAGAAGCCGTTCACACATGGTGAGATAATATACGTCAGTTCCCACATCCGGCCATCGTCCCTGTTTTACCCGCTTCCCTTCCGCCAGATAAAACACCTATCCAGCTACCAACCACCCGCCCATCGACCCCACCCGCCCGCGCACACCCAGCAGCAGCCTCACCAGATCCACTCCTCACCTACCTCGCCGAATTCGCAAACATGCCCGCCAGCGCAGGTCGTCGCCAGTCGGGGTATGCGCGTGCTAGGGCTCGGATGGCTGAGTTGGGTGGTGAGAGTGAGGATGAACTTGTGGTTATCGTGCGGATGTGACTGTGTGACTTGTTAGGGGTGGGGATTGGATGTATAGGGATGATGGACAGAATTAGATCTCGATGGGGGAGAAACCTATTAGGCAATCATTGGGCATCCTCGGGCGTCGAGTATTTCAGGAGGAGGATGTTAATCAGGGTGAGGAGAGGGAGTGTGGGTTTGTGGGGTTCGTCGGTGGACATAGCTTAGACAGGGTCGCCTCAACCATTTTCTGTACCTGTACATACGTTTTCTTGCAAAAAATGGTCAATCCGTGAAGCAGTAGTGACGACTTTATCTGGGAAGACAAACCGAGAAGTACAGTACGTAGATGGCAACGTTTCATGGCAGTCCAGGGGGCCAACGCGTCCGGCCGTTTCTCATCAAAGATTGGAGATTGTGTGATGATGATTAGAAGGTTGTAAATGAAATCAGGAGCTGTGCAACATGCTTTGCCTAAATTGCCTTGCGTGGCTGACACCCATCCATTGACAATCAGATTATCAGGCCGTTTGCCACGCGGGGCCTCGCTCGCAGAACAGAACAACAACACCACCTCCGACGCCCGGCTTTCCGTTCCCGTACAAACTCCCACCACAGACTCGACACTCAGACACCCCTTCTTCAGAGTCGCCTCTCGCAAAAGCTTGAAAGGGCTGCTCCCCCACTGGACCCCCAGCCGGTCTAGCGTTTCCAGCCGACTCGACTCATCTGGCTCCAGAGAAAGGTAAGCCTGACGTTTCCACAGCTCAGCTAGCTTCACAAGACTGGACCTCTCCCCCCCGGAACGTATGTACACACGCGAGAGTGGGAGAGTGCATTATCTCCACGATTACCCTTGCCTTGCCGGCCTGCGTGTGCATGGAGACGCGCAAGGACCTGACCGCCAAAGTTAGCCTCTTGATGAAAGCCTCCGGGAGTTTGGAAGCTTCTTCGCCGAAAAACCATCACGCGCCTGACTCCATCCTCCGTCTTTTCCCCACAGGAACAGGACGCTTAGCACCGCAATCACTTCCGATACACGCAGTAAACGCTGAGCTCATACACAGCAGTAGGTAGGTACGAGGATCCTCGATTTTACAGTCGGCGGCAACGCTATGTGAAACAGCTCACAGTTTCACCCCACACAGCATCACCCGCACCCATAGCCCGCAATCATGCGCATCAAAAGGCTTACAATAGGAGCATACCACCAAGACAGCACCGTCCATGCCTTCTCGGTGTATCACTCTCCATCGCCGGCCCCCGGCGGAGTCGCCCCCGACGTCAACTTCTTTCGCCTGCAAGACCTGGACGCCATGTTCTTTCGAAAGGACCCCGGCTACATCCAAAGCACCGGAAAGATATCCGCTACCTTCCTCTCTTCCCCCGCACACATAATACGGGATCACGCAACAGGGGATGTGTATATATCTGCAGCGGCTTTGGAGGATACGGCGAAGAGACTGGGCAATTATTTACTTGCGGAGGTGTCGTCTCTGACGCGGGACCAGGTGAAAACTGGAGTCGCGAACGATATGCTGAAGAGCCTCGATGGATTCCAGTCGAAGCAGCCGTTTGTTGAGGGCGAACAGGAATTGACTACCGACGAGGAAGCCGCGAGGAGGAACGGTGGGGAAGGTAGAAGGAGGAGAGATAATTCTCGGTCTCCAGAGGCTGAGCCGATGGATACAGATGTTAAGCCACCGCAAAGGCATGACAGTGGAGAATCCTATCGGAGTGGCAGGAGTGAAGCTGGACAGGTTTGTAAAATCTGCAAACTTGCCGTGCAATTATTGTGCCGTGTAATTCACAAGTGTCATGGTTCTAGCGTTCCGAGGCGCCCTCTGCATCTCCAGCTCTCTCAAGGCAAAGGGAATCATCCTCCGAAAGATTGGAGCTTCGGCCACATTCCGATGTCGGTCCGGGGCAGTCTCCTGGGAAACCTGCCTTGCGGCTTCAGGACTCTAACGAGTCTTTGCATAGAGGGTAAGCTTGGGCAATATTGTGGGCACCCGACATTGCAGCATACTCCGGGCTGGAATTTGTACGCTCTCGCTGGGCCAAAATCTAATCTGCATTCCCAAATCTCGTACCCAAGATCGACTGAAATTGACACCGCGCCGGTGAAACGAAACCGCTCAGACGCTGAGCTTTCCGAGTCAGCGCAGTCCGAAGCAACCTCAGAAGCCCTCAATGATGATCCACAAGGCGCAGGACGCCCTAGGCAACGCAAACGGTTATCCATCAACACCGCCGTGGGTCACAATCTCCCGGGACGCATGTCTTCTTCTGCCCTGAGCGCAAACCCGGAGGTTCTCGAACAGGTTCGCAGCAGTCTTCTACTGAAGCAACAACAGCAGGCTATCATTGAGGCGAGGCAAACCGCGCAGTACCAGCGCAATGGCCCCATGTCCGCCAATCCGGACGGGTCTATGCGACCACCCATGTCGGCGGGTGGACCAAATGCGGGGAGTTTCGACCAACGCGGAAATCGGAGACAGTCTTCGCCGAAATTCAAGAAAGGGAAATTGAGCGTCTGGACGGGAGAAGGCACGTCCGGCGCTGGAGGCGGTCCGAACCCTCCGTCTGTGTTGCACCCACCTGCGGGCCGCTCTCATGGATCACCGTCCAGTTCCTCCCTGCTTTCGCCGAGACATCTCAATCCGCAACCTGGAAAAAGCACGAAACTATCGGCTCGCGGTGCTGGAGCCCCGACGGGAGCAGAAGCGTCGCGATACAACCCCGTGTCTATCATGTCTCCTCGCGGCGGGGAGTTCCCTTCGCGAGAACTACCACTTCCGACCCCGATGCACCCTCACCACGGATCTGGCGCACAGGATCGTGATGGCCCGCCTCGGTCTCCGTTGCCACATATGGGTCACAGTCAGAAACACTTCTCCTCAAGCTCCTTGGCGCCGCCGCCATCTCCTGCGTCCGGATTCCCTCAACAAAGTGGGCACCCAGGAAGCAACAATCCGCCCCACTCTGCCTTACCGCAATCCCTGGCCATCAGCAAGTCTGCATTTGTTTCCGTCGCCGAAGCGATGTACGACCAGGTCGAAGAGACGGCCCGGCTGCAGTACACCCTCCGCGACCAGATCCGTCGCTCGACCGCCATGCTGCAGACTCTCCAATCCAGCGGACAGATGATCGAAGGCCTCGTCCGTGGCCATTTCAGGGAAATGCAAGTCGCATACGGAGAAAAGTTCGGCAGCGCATTGTACGAACTCTCCCGCCGCGTCGAACGGCTTGAGCGCGGAACAGCCGCCAATTCGCGAGCGGGCACCGTCGAGAACGGGTACGACAACGACGATGAGAATGGAAACAACAAGGCCGCCCATCGCCGACAACGGAGTAGCAGCCATTTACTGGAAACCGGCACCGCGGACCACCACCACCACAGCTCCAGCTCATCCCGCCACGCCACCCCCGCCGTCATGCCAACCATCACAACCACAGCCTCCTCCCCCTCCCTCCCCACAGGTCCAAGCATATCCCACCCGCAACAACGGTCCCGATACAACTCGGCCTCCCCGCGACCCGCCCCCGTCGGCGGTGACTCATCCACCGCCACACAAGCCGCCGGCGGATCATCATGGGGATTCAGAGGCGGTCCGCCGACCGCGGTGCCGGAGAACGCGGGGAATATGACTTTGCCGCTGCCTGGAGAGACGGCGGCGACGGAGGGGAGGAAGGAGGGGTACGAGGGAACGTTGATTCAGACTTTGATGGAGAGGGTGGAGAAGTTGGAAGGGAAGCGGAGGGAGTAGATTCGTTGGTGGAATGGGTTTGTGGGATTCTGAGGGATATTGGTGGGGTAGGGATGTTCTCACATCCATGCCCCAGTTCGGAAAACAGTTGAGAAAAGCGAGGGCATGTTGGGGGTTTGGCAAATTTCGGGATGGGGGATACCGTGGAGAAGGGTGACATTAGGGAAGTGAGCAGATGAGGTAACGCATTGAGGAAGGAGGGAACTTAAGAGCTATATAGGCACACCGAAAGAAAAAAGGATCGGATGGGGGCTTTCTCCCTCCCTCACTCTATTTTCATACATCAAATAGCAACGAACCGTTGCCATCACCAATACGCTCTGTGTGCGTTTGATCGTTCGCGTCCCCCAACCTTGGAATTGGCACATCCAATCTGCATCGCAGTTTGCGGTTAGCCATGAGAGCCTTCGCGGATGGAAAGAAGAGGAACATACGCCCTCTGTTCAACTTCAGCCGTGAATGTGGAGACGCGTCTCCTCCTCGCCTCCTTGTTCAATCCAAGATTGAATACCCACTCATCCACAGTTCCGCAACGTCGGTAAAGTATTTTACTGTATTATCAACGCCTGGAATCTCATGCCCTCCAAGGTGTAAAGGAGCCTCCAAGACAATGCATGATATCCAACTCTACTTCCCCCAAACCTCGCCACACAGTACGCATCGGTCCCGTCTCTCAAACGTGAAATGCCGCTCCAGTCAGTCCCACCATTCCCCACCTCCCGTAACGCCGATCAATAGCTGTCCTAGCCCTCGAAGATCTGCGCGTCGCCTTACGGTGACAGACTCCCCCGTACGGACGCGTACGTCCAGAGAAAGATCGTGGCCATCGACAAACATTGTCATTGGAAGCAGATCCATCTTTTCACCTAAATTGCACACTAGCCCCCAGCGTAAGCAGGTGGCTGTGTTGAGATGGGGGGGTTCCTCATCCGGCTTGGCACTCGCCGTCACAACCATAGCGGGCCAAACTCGCCGTCACGAAAATGCGCGTGTGCTGCACATTTGGCAGAAGCGCTGCATATTCTCAATGGCCCTGCTGCAAGAGGGAGTTTGGCTTTGTCGCTTCTGGCTTCGAAGGAGGCGAACCCGTTCTTCGAGGGGCTTTGAGCAGGGTCAGGACCCCGTTTTCGGGGCTCTATGCCCGTCACTTTTCGGACACGCTCGCGTCAATTCGACAGTATGCATTTTCGGACAATCTGCTTCACCCGGAGGTAAACGATGGACATCCTGTACATAACATATATATAGGCATATCCACATGAAGAACACGCTGGCTTACGCCACAGTGAAGCTGCCGGTGAAGCTTATCGATAGTCGGATTGCGAGCGAGGTCACAATTCTCGGCGTCGAAGGCTCAAAGCGTCGATGATGTGCTGACAAAGCAAGAATCGTGACAAAACGCGTCGATAACGCGTCGAGTCTGGGAAGGTGTGTGAGGAAAGCTTTGTACTAGCGGGTCGGAAGGCAATCTACGAGTTCTGACATAGTACAGGGGCCGGTTCCTGTACACCGATGTTTTTGCCGTGGCTCTATCAAGGCTTTGGGCGCTTCATATTGGTATGGGAGAATGGTGAAATGATACAAGGACAGGGGTTAAGGGACTGGCGCTTATCTCCTACTCCCGTTTGCCAACGTCCCTAATGCTTGTCATTGTTGCCATCAAAATCTGAACAGTATCTCAGCTCAACACGTTAGCCTTCATCTTACATGCTTTCCGCAGATCAACGGAATTTGAAAAGCATCCATTAGAGGCCGAACGTTTTCCTGGACCAGTTTACTCAACCTTGTCATTTCGTAAGGCGTGCGTGCGCATTGCGGGGCACGGTAAAGAAGACTCAAGACCTGCGCCTCCCGCAGCTTATTCCACTGCCAATTGTAGCTGGGGGATAGTTTTGCCCGAAAAAATGGTGATTTCCTTGGACAAGGTTGAATCGTTAACGCGTCAGAAACGCGTCGAACCTGTATATGTACATGTAGGAGCCGAGACTTCTCTACATGTCCAGTCTGGCCCACGTCTCTCATCCGACTCTGTGTCATGCTTGCGCTGTTGAAAGCACATCGTCAGAGTTTTCCCACCACCTTAAGTGCTTGCTTGGCGGGCCTGCCACGAGATCATGCGATGAGGGAGATAACAGGTCGGTAAACCCGTCGAACAGAATTTTCGTGCACGAGCCAGCTTCAACTGCGTGTCCCCTGATGCCCTTTCATGGCGCTGGGACCATCTCCTCCGCCGGCCCCTTGCTCCCTCTGCTACTGGTGCCTATAGTTGCCTGACAGCGCTTGTCCGAATAGGTGGTTCGGCCTCACTTTCGGATTACTTTTAACGCGTCACTAACGCGTCAAACGTTTGAAAGCTTTTGGCTCATCAAGCCTAACCTACTTCTCCCGTATAAGACAAGAATGTAAATGCCGGATGCCGTACTTGCGCTGTTCATCCATGTCCAGCTGCTTGTCCATGGCTCCGATGATGTTGAATGATACTTGCTAGTCGTCAAACTGATGTCGTCAAACATGGCCTTTCTTTCCTTCTCTACGGGCGGATGAATGCTTTACATACTACCAGCGATCGGGGATGTCCTGCATTGCATAGCATCTAGGCTTTGGCAGACGAGATCCGGCATGCAAAGAACTATCCGGCGTTATCACGTAGTACATGTTATTTCAGGCCCTTTTTGGGTGAAAGAGACGAAATGCACTGGCAAGGTCCTCTTTCGCCTCTAAAAATACAATAGGATTCAAGGTGAAACCGTTTGCTTCCCTTCCCATCCATTCCAGTTACAGAGTACGCCAACTCAACGCCCCTGAGATGTATATTCATGCCAACTTCGTCTTCTAACTGACATCCTTCGCTCTGCCTCTGCCTCTGCCTCTGCCTCAAGTCGCGAATCCCGTCGAGAAGCGCACGGTACCCCTGACCTCCTTAATTACAGTCCCTACTCATCTCCCACGACTCCTGTAATTAAGTGGTCAGGAGGTACCCCTGACCTCCTTAATTACAGTGCCTAGTCATCTCCCACGAGTCGATGATCTGCGACAAAGTATTCGACATAAGCCAGATACACCAAGATGCCATAATGTACATGCACGCTTGGACTATGACTGGTACGCTCTTCCAGACCTCCCAAAGAGGCCACGTGGTCGCCGTGCCCAGGAAGGCGAACCTATAAAGCGCCCAACGGCCTTTGTCCTGCACAGAAAGAACGTAGCCAGTTTTTTCGTCAAACGCAATCTCATATATGGGTCCGGACACCTACCTTCATCTCACGAACTTTGAAATCCGCCTCTTCCATGCTCCGCTGCGTATGCAATCGTAACTCCAAGAGCTTGATTCTGTTATGGGGTTAAGACTCCTTCGGTTAGTAATATTGGACCCCGTTTGGACCCTGCTTTCGGGGCTGCAATTTCTGAGTTCCTCACGCGCCTGGTCCGTCAATTTTCGGACACGCTCGCCGCGACAGGTTTGACAGTCCCTTTCGGACAACAGCGGTTGACAAGTGCTTCCTTTATGCACGCTTGGCCTTCATGGGGGACGAGATGAACATATAAATATGTACATTGGCAATGGGGTTCTGCAACGCGACGCTGCCGTTGGAGTCGTCTCTCTTTCTAACGCGTCGATAACGCGTCGGGGTCGAGTCAGCCCGTTTGCTCAATGTCTATCCGTGAGGAAAGCACTTGAAAACGACGCAAGTTTAGGGTGATGAACACATCTGGGACGCCCGTCTCTCTGTCCTCATCCCGCTTTATTTCTACTGGAATGTCCTCTGATTCGATCAGAGAACTTGCATTGAAATTACCACCATGCCTCCATCGGTCCAGAGTACTTGGTGGGTAACCAGCTAAATTGAGGATCACCCCTTTTCATCTTCCAACATCAAGATACATGTTGATATACACGAACACGTTGTACTGCCTGAGCCTACTCATCGAAACAGCGAACTAATAGCTTTCTACGTTCCAATGCTGCCGTTTATACTCCCCTATACGCCGTTTAGCCGCACCACATAGTGTGTAACGAGGACTATCATTCCGGTTGGGTGTACAGCGTGACGGGCGTCTCCGGGTATCGTTTGCGAAACTGTGGAGGACGATGCCCGGACAGGTCAGCTGTTGAGCGATGAAGTGAAGCAAGAGCCCAAATGGAAAGCAGAGACGTATGGAGGAAGCAGAGGGTGGGACAACCCGCTCACCCGCTCAAGCATATCCTCCTCCGAAATCCGCACCCCGTCCAGCTGGTTACCGAGTGTGAGCCAGCCGTCGCGCGTGTTGTGCATTCGTCCGAATATTTCTGCAAGTCGCCATCACATCGGCGTGGTGATGCGTTGAGATGGCAGAATAGGACAGATACGACAACCGAAGAGGAAAGGCCGAAAAAGGGTGCATTAGATTACACATCCCATTCCACCTCACGGTCGGCCGCCAAAAAGAATTCAAACACACTCACCAATCTTTCTCGACCCCGGACAAAGCCGGTCAATGATCCCATAAACCTCATCCGGCTTCCTGCTCGTCTCGCGCACCTCCGCAACCAATACATCCGTATCGATCCCGACATTGTGGTACCGCGGGCGGCCTTTGATGCCGACTAGGCAGTGTTCTTTGCTGTGGTTGAGCCTGTGCGGGTGGGGTGTTATCAGTGCGGTAACGATGGAGGAGAAGGGGGATGGGGGTGATACCAGTGCCCGGTTCGACCGGTTCGGATGAGTTTTTGGAGTTGCATGATTTTGACCCAGATCAGTTCGTCGATTCGCTGGTATCTGCAATGCAAAAAGCGATACATGGTCAGTCTATCGAAAACATCGGTCCGGGAAACTTGCACAAGAGCACCCCTCCCGAAACTCACCCCCAGATCCGCAAACACTCCCTCCCCAACTCCATCGCGCGCCCAGTTACCCACAAAAAGATGAAGCCGTCATCCTGCAACGCGCTGATGGGCATCGCGCGCATCTCGTCGTCGGTCATGGTGCCGTAGGGGAGGTTCATGTGGATGTCCCATGGTGGGTCTGCCTGGGTGCGCCCAAGAGAGGAAGGGCGTTAGGAAAAGAAATCGCCCATTTGGGGGCTATTCAGGGCACCGTCGCTCTCCTCACGCACCATGATAACAGAAAACTTCCCAGCAACGCTGAAATCGAACGTGCGCACATCGCATCGAATCCACTGTGCGGGATGCTATAGATTCCAATTGCCATTGACGTGAGATACATGAAATCCACCATATCTCGCCAGATCACCCCTCACAGAAACCTTACCGGATTGCCCACCCTCGAAACCGGAATAGCCCGCTGAATATCAATCACGCCCCCAACCTCATCCAGCTCGTAGTGGATGTACTTGCACACGTCCATGCGGTGGCAGGTGTTGAGGTAGGAGCAGTCGCCGAGGGAGGGGTCGGTTTGGGGTTGGAGGATGCGGCGGAAATGGAGCTGTTTGGAAATTGGACGGAACAAATGAGATCGAGGCTTCATGAACAGATGTTGGTGGAAAAGACGAGTTTTGACGTACCTTATCACATCTGTATCCTTGCGGATGGTGGTTTAAGCACTCGTCGCGGAGCCGCCAGGGGCAAAAGTCGCGGAAGGGGACATCTTCTTGGCCTTTGAACTAGGATGACAAAGGCCCAATGCGGTCAGCCGTCTCATCGATTTTGCATCCAGCACTGATATGAAATAGAGAACACCTTCTCAGCTATCAGTCGCCACCGCGCGGTTGGTTTACGTATCAGTGAGTAGATGTCCTCGCACATGCCGTCGCGAATGGCTTCCCGGGCGGTTGGGGTTGCTAGGACGGCGTTTGCTTCTTCCAGTCCTGATGCGGGCCCAGAAAAATGTACTCGGTGAAGCAATGCTGGTTGTTGGACGAGGGATGAAGGGAGATGCTTTACCAGGCAATTTTGGAGCGACATCCCATGTCAGGACAGGACCCTCTTGTGGGCTTTGTGATCTCGGCGCAAGTTGCGAGTCGTTTTTGGTATCTGCCGGGTGCTCGGCGCCCTCACGGGAGGTTGGCATTGACGACAGCCTCATAGCGGCCCTGCAAGAAGAATCAGTGTTGGGTCAGCGAGACGGGGAGCACATGTTGGTTGGCCGGTTGTGGGGTTCAATGCTTGGCTGGATGTTTGAAACGATGCCCTGCTCGCTCCACTCGCGACGAGGAAGGTTGGGCTCGTGTTATGCGCACGATCGATGGCTTCCGACCTGCTACTTTATATCTCTCCTCGCAATTCGATGGCTGGTTGGTTGAACGAGACCCTGCTCGCTCCGCTCGCGACGGGGAGGTCGAGCTGCGTGTGCTCCAAGCTCGCTTCGCTCGCAAAGATCTGACGCTCGCATTCTCCTCGCTTTGCTCAGCTTCACACACCTGACGGAATCCACGGCAACCACAACATCCCTCTCCTTTCCATGCACGCCAACCCTTCTCAATTCCAAAACGCCATCCCTTTCCAGATCCTCCAAATACACCTCAATGTTTCTCAAATTCCAATCGTTGACGTGCAAATTCGTAACAGGAGGTATATCAGATTGCCCATGAATGTGCTTGAGGAGGGTAAGAGAACTCATGGGCAGGCGCGCAATGATGTGAGGGTTGCATAAGGCATGGATTATTTGGGTGTGAAGGATGGAGGAAGGCGTTACGAAGGTTGGGTCGAATGCTGGATCGAGAGTGGTATCGATTTGCTGCATGGTTTGGTATTCTGATTGTGACTTGGCGGGTTTTGACTCGAAGGTTTCTCGGCTCGCTTGATCCTGGTGGGATGAAGTTGGAGATGAGGGGCGATTGAGTGCCTGACGTCGTTTCAGAGACGCTCGGAGACGCTCGTGGATAGACAAGGATAGTTCGTCTGCAGGGGCCATCGTTCGGCGGGCGGTGAGCGAAGTTATGGATGACAGCGGCTGCTTGCTTGGAAGGCGTTGAGAAAGCGAGAGGAGAGGCTGTTGACCAGACGAGAAGGAATGAAGGTCAAGCCGCTTCCGGGTTGTTCCACCTTTTATTGTGGAGAGAGACGACGGCGACGGCGGGGGGGGGGGGGGGGGCGTTTGTCCTGTCAGGCCGTCAATGCTGTCAGTCAGCAACCTGCGTCACGCACGCTCACCCGCCCGCCCGCCCGCTCCCTCCCCGCTCCCCTTTGAGGACAACAACAATTGCGGCCTTTCCCCACCAACTACCATATGTAGTCCCATCGCTGCTTTTCTTGCTAGCTCGCTTGGTGCACAGCAGCTGACGCACTTGCACTTGCAATGGCCACTCCCGCAGGCGCACCAACTACCTCCTTGTCCACAAGGAGTATCGCCGCCGCCGCCGACACTGACACCGACGACGAGGGCTTTGACGAACTGTGTCTATTACCTTCTCACCATAACAGCAACAGCGACAGTACCAACAACAACAAAAGCGAGCAGTCGCCCTCTTACTCGGAAAACAGCTGGAAGTCGACTCATGGCCTTCCACCTACTTCCGTATCTTTCGCCACTTGGTCTGAAATAGAGCGCGCTGGTAAGTGTTTTATTCCGAGCCGTAGCGAGCCCAACACGCACAGGAGCCGAGCGCAGCGAGGAGAATGCTCAAGGCACGCGAGCGAAGCGATCTACTCTCCGCCCACCGCAACCCAACATCCTCGTCGCGAGCGGAGCGAGCAAGGGAGCGCTTGTTGGTCGGCGGTTGATGGCTGGTGGTTGTTCATCGGCGGCTGATGGCTTGGTTGATGGCTTCGCTTCGCTCATCCATGTTCATCCGCGTCAAATCAACTTATAAACCCACTCACTCGTTTATCACCCCCAGAATTCGCATTTGCTCTCCTCCAAACCCTTTCGGCCCCTCTCCTGGGCTCCATCTCCCGCCGCATCCAGCCTCTCCTCGCCCGTGACTTTATCGCCCGTCTTCCACTTGAAATCGCTGCTCACATCCTCAGCTACACGAACCCACGGACGCTAGTCCGCGTCGCACGCGTCTCGTCGGAATGGAGGGCTGTAGCATACGATAACTCCGTCTGGCATAGCTTGTATGTAGGCAAAGGGTGGAAGATCAGCGATAACTACCTCAATGAGAGGGTTCGCTGGAGCAATGACGTTGAGCGGCGGAGGCTGAGGAAGGAGAGCCGAAGGGCACACGGGAGGAAAAAGAAAGATGACCTGATGGACGAATTCCAGAATGTGAAGATTTGCGATTCGGCAGGTGATCATATCGGCGTCGCCCGAACCTACAGCAACACTCGTAGCACTAGTAGTAGTAGCAGCAGTAGCAGCGATAGCGAAACCGATCACGAGGAGCCAGCAGCGTCGACAACGGCACTCGCAGCAGAGCAACCCTCCTCAACATCCCTTCTCAAACCTCGCTCATCACTCTCATCCCTCATCGACCGCGGCACCATCCCCTCCCCCTTCGGCCGCCCCCAAAGCCGACTCTCCACCGCCAGCCACTTCTCCCATACCTCCTCCTCAACCCCCTTAATCCCCTGGCGCGAGATCTACCATCAACGCCACAACCTTGCCCAAAACTGGCTCCACAACCGCTGCAGCACCACCGTTTTCCAGGGGCACACCGAGGCCGTGTACTGCCTCCAATTCGATTCGCGGAAGATCGTTTCGGGGTCGAGGGATAAAACGCTGAAGATATGGGATACCCGGTCGGGACATTGTAAGGCCACGTTGAGGGGACATACCGGGTCCGTATTGTGTCTGCAATACAATGAAAACATCATCGTCTCCGGCTCTTCGGATTGGAGCATGATCGTGTGGGACGTGCGGAGTGGCAGGATGTTGCGGACGATGACGGGACATATGGAGAGTGTGCTGAATTTGAGGTTTGATGAGAAGTGGGTGGTTAGTTGTAGTAAAGATACGACTGTCAAGGTGTGGGATCTGGAGTCGGGAAAGCTGGTGAGGACGATGGTGGGGCATCGGGCGGCGGTTAATGCGGTGCAGATGAAGGGGAGGGTGGTTGTTTCTGCGTCTGGAGGTGAGTGGACCGGAATCCTTTATGCTGTTTGCAACATCGTGTAGCAGGCTGATTCCGTTGAGCATAGACCGCTCCATCAAACTATGGGACCTCCACACCGGCGCCCACCTCAAAACCCTCCTCGGCCACACCCGCGGCATCGCGTGCATTCAATTCGACGGGGATCTCATCGTCTCCGGGTCTTCAGGTAACTTACCCAACCCCCTCGCCATGGCCCCGTATCTCAACCAGACTCGAATTCTTCCCATAACCAGACAGCACAATAAAACTTTGGTCAGCCCCCACCGGCACCCTTCTCCGCACCATCGACGGGCACACCTCCCTCGTCCGCACCCTCCAATTCGACGACACCCGGATCGTTTCGGGGAGCTATGACGAGACTATCAAAGTCTGGGATTTGAAGACGGGGGAGCTTCTTCTGGATTTGTGTGGGGGTGGGAATCTGGGGGCGACGAGGATGGGAGTGGAGGGCGCGGGTGGGATTACGACTGTGGGGGCGGCGGCGACGAATGTGGGGACGACGCCGACCCGCGCGCATTCTGGCCGCGTGTTCAAACTTGCGTTTGACGAGACGCGGATCGTTAGTTGTAGTCAGGACCAGGTATGATTCTGAACAGGAAACGAGTGGAATTTGGCTGCAGAAAAGCATCACTGACGTCTGTGTGTGTTCTGAAACCGAACAGACCATCATCGTCTGGGACTTTGCCAAGGGCGTTGATTCGCGATACTTTGTCTAGGACGGTCTGCGAACGCTTTCAACGAGCACCCCGATACCCCGAATATCATCCCACCATCCCACTCAAGTCGACGATCTCATCGATGTTCGTCCCGTTCGCAGCGCGTACGCCCAACTTTGCTCAAAAGCTCTTGCACAACTCCGCTTTTGGATGTCCGGCGGCGTTTATACCCCTCTTTGCGTCCCTGACACCATACCCGACTCCCAGCAACGGACAAGGGACACCGTGTCGTCGAATAGAAGCTCATATACCCACCCCATCATACCCCATCAGGACACCAGCTCCGCGCATCCTCTCCCCTCACTCCCAAGAAAAGACAATTTGGCTTTCCTTAATGAGCGCGGCCCGGCACATCTCAACAAACACGCTTTCTGCCAGTCATCGCGTCGGACCGCATCCACTTCAGCGGTTTTCAGTGTACCGCCGGCATGTTACGAACCCTTTTTGTCTATGGTGTATACCACCTATAAAAGTTTTTGTGTTTTTTTTGTTCCTTCCCCCCGTGTAAATACACTCAAGTTTTTGGTTTCCCTTCCTACCGCATTCTTTGCATTTACTGGCCTCCAGCAGGGGAGGGCTTCGGCAGTCAAAGTCGGAATGCAACCCAGAATGCAGGACATGAGAACACGGTCCACGCGATTGCGCCATGGCCCTCTTGTCCCTCGGTGGCCGATATCTCCCGCGCAACTCACAGTTCCCCAAGCAGAAGCACTTCGCACACAACATCCACCACGACGAACCATGTCCGCCAAAACCTTCACCCTCGAGCAAGTCGCCGAGCACAAGTCAGACTCGTCGGCCTGGGTCATCGTCAAGGGCAAGGTCTACGACGTCACGTCTTTCTTGGATGACCATCCAGGTGGCAAGAAGGTCCTCTTGAAGGTGAGTGTGTAAGGAAGCGGGGGGCGCCGACCCTTTCTGGGGTGACGGACGGATACGTGTACTGTACATTGATGGTCATATGTGCTTACGGTTTTAATGGGTCAATAGAACTGCGGAAAGGACGCGACGAAGCAGTTTGAGCAGTTCCATTCCGACAAGGTTTTGGACAAATATGGGCCCAAGCTATATATCGGTGATGTGAAGACTGCCGCCAAGCTGTAGATACAGATACGAAGCGCTGCTTTGCATCGAGATGAGCTGGATGGGAGTGCAGGACTAGATATTCCGGTTCGCCCACTGCACGATGGTCCGCCTGGACACCTGGGACTGACTTGAATGGAGGAGGAAAGCGAGCGGCGCTCGCTATGGGACCTGATGCGAGCGGAGGACTGTGTTCCGTAAGGCAGTGTCAGACGACACTTACAACCGCCTCCATGTCGTCGGCACTATAGAAGCTATTTCTGTCGTTACACTCGACACCATCCCATATCCTTTGATTTCTTAATGTGATATCCTTGGGCAGGAAAAATATCATTTGACAAACGACGTAGGAATTGGAAGCTGTAGAAATCGGGAATCCATCCCATCAAACCTGGCGATAATGGAAGATGCCACGTTGCTGTCCTTCCGGCTTCTCTGTATTGGGTAGCTAGCTAGTATGTCCTGTGCTATTGCGTATATAGCTGTTGGAGTGTCTTCCCAGTCTCCCAGTGTCTTCCCAGTGTCTTCTGTGTACTGTATGTATATGTATTTGTCAGCTGCTGCCGTCACGGTGAGCCAAATGCGCGGAAACGCGTCAACATTGAGATGCTGAATCACTAATGCTGAGGAGGGAGGAGGAGGGTATAAAAGGACCCTTTCCACCCGCCCATCTTGCCCGTCTTGCGTTCGGAAACCACTCTCAACATCACTCGCGGACAACAGCAACACCTCTCACGCAACAAACATGTCCCAAGTCACCACCTCCTCCCCGGCAACCGCCTCACACCCGGTCATCCGCAACGTCGCACAACCAGGCGTCTCCTACTTCACTCCCGCTCAAATCCCGCCAGCCGGAACCGCCAGGGCGGAAGATAATGACACCGTCCCGAAGCTATTCACTCCCCTAACCATCCGCGGAGTCACTTTTCAAAACAGAATATTCCTCTCGCCCCTGTGCCAGTATTCGGCGGACAAGGGGAGGCTTACGGACTGGCATTTGACGCACCTAGGCGGGATCATTCAGAGGGGGCCGGGGTTGAGTATCGTTGAGGCTACTAGTGTTACTCCTGAGGTGAGTGGTCGAACGAGGCGCTCATTCGCTAGCGAAGCCTTTCCTCACGCCCACATCCCACCTACATCTCATCTCAACCCCCGACACAGGGAAGGATCACACCAGAGGATAGCGGTCTGTGGGAAGATTCGCAGATAGCCCCGCTGCAACGTATCGTCGAATTCGCACACTCGCAAAACCAAAAGATTGGCATCCAAATCGCTCACGCGGGCCGCAAAGCCAGTACCGTTGCACCCTGGCTCGACTTTGGGGCCACCGCCGTGGAAGAAGTCGGTGGTTGGCCGGACAAAGTCGTTGCCCCTTCCGCCATTGCCTATTCCAAGACGTTTCCTTCGCCAAAGGAGTTGGACAAACAGGGCATCGAACGAATCAAACAGGCATTCGTCGATGCGGCCAAGCGGGCCGTCACTGCAGGATTCGACGTGATTGAAATTCACAACGCCCACGGGTACCTCCTGCACCAATTCAATAGTCCCGTCAGCAACAAACGAACCGACGAGTATGGAGGAAGCTTTGAAAACAGGATTCGTTTGACGTTGGAGGTGGTGGAAGCCGTCAGGGCGGTCTTGCCAAAGGAAACACCCTTGTTCCTTCGCATCTCTGCCGACGACTGGTTGAAGGGGGATTCAGAGTTCCCGGAATCTTGGACCGTCGAGGATACGATCAGACTGGCACCCCTGCTGGCCGAACGAGGCGTGGATTTGCTCGACGTCAGCTCCGCGGGCATCCATCCCAAACAAAACATCTTCAAGCGCGGCCCGGGCTACCAAGCCCCCTTCGCACAAGCCATCAAAAAGGCCGTGGGAGATAAACTCCATGTGACCGCTGTGGGATCAATCGACACGGGAAAATTGGCGGAAGTGCTTTTGCATTCGGGATTGGACGGGATCATGGTCGGCAGAGGGTTTCAGAAGAATCCGGGATTGGTCTGGACTTTTGCTGAAGAGTTGGGTGTGCATATCAAGATGGCCAATCAGATTGAGTGGGGATTTGCCGGAAGGGGTGGCGGGAAGAAGAAGGCGGAGAAGAAATGATGGTGCTTCTCAGGAGGCCCGGCCATTGCGGTACGGCGTAGGAGGAAATTTAGCTCACGTTTGCGTGGGGGGTGGCTCATGGGATGGGTAAAGCGTGAGATAGGGATGAACTGCGTCTCCAGCAAGGAGTTGGGGAAGAAGTGTTGATCCCGCTGACGCCCCTCCCAGTCTAGCTTCAGTTTAGTTATCCCCCTCTCTTTTATGTATTCGATACTGTATCCAATAAGGGAAGATGCCACGTTGCTTGCCTCTCCAAGACTCTCATCCCATTCTATCGTACTGCATCCCGCTGTCTACATCCACCTGTTCTGTTCTGGTTTGCTGGTGTGTCTCCCAGCGGTAAGCATCCAACGCGAATGGCGAATGCAGGCCTCAAATTGCAACGCGTGGAAACGTGAAATTATCGTCACGAAAGCCGCTGTTATCTGGGCGCTCTTTCCACTTTCCCACCACCGCTTGTCCTCATATGCCTTCGTAGGCTTGAACTGGGTGTGCTTCGTGAGACAGCCGTTCACCACCAGGTGCCAAGAAAAGCTCCTCCCCTCTCCCGCAAGCAACTGTACAAACGGTCTCGGTTGGGTGTCGGTGCCACCTTCGTTGCATTTCATACTTTCGTCGAATGGCATCCCTCCAGTGACCCACCTCTTTTCAAGAGAACGGAACGGCGGCAACAGTAACAGTGATGGATATCAACTCGATAATCGCGGCGTTGCCGCAGCCGCTGTCTAGTGAGGACTTGCGTATGGTGAGTCAAAGGTGCCCATGTCCGTTGTCTTTGTCGGGACTGTCAGGACGCCATTGGGTGGTTTCCTTGACCGGGTGCGACTGCTCACTCACGCTTTACAATCATAGGTTCTGTCCATTGCGGAAGAGCATCGGAAGGCAAAAGAGGCAGAGCAGAAGTCAAAGGAGCTGGAGCTTGCTATACTGCAGCAAGGACGCACTCACATTTGCGAGGAGGGGTTGCCTTCGTTGGGCGACATACCACAACCGCAGCCGCTACAGCAGCAGCTCAATTTACCACAAAACCAGCAACAGCAGCATACCGAACAACAGTCGCCATTTGAGGGTTTGCAGCCAGTGCAGGCTGCAGCGGCTCCACCGCGGCATCACCACTCAGTGCCCGTCCACTCAAATCCATTCCAACATGTGCCCCAACTACCGCACTCCGAGAGCTTCCCGCGCTTTTCGCCCCCCTTCTCAAACGACCCGCTCATATTCCCCAACCCCCTCGGATCTTCATCTCAGCATATCCCCCCCTTTGCAACACCACCGGCGTTGAATGATTTCGTCCTCAACAACCCCTCGCCGAGGAGTCTGTCGTTCCAGCAGGATCAGCCGGTGGCGGACTTCATGCAGGACTTCTCGACGGACCTCGATGGGGAAACGGCGCACTTTTATTCGGATTTGGCGTTCCTACCGATGTTGTTTGAGAATCTCCCGGAAGCGCCGGCAACTGCGTCTTCTTTCAACACTGGTGTCTCGCAGACAGTGCAAAATGGGTTGAACGCGGCCTCTCTTCCGTCCGTTCCCGCAGAGACCGATTTGGCACAGCCACAGCCACAGCAACGACAGCAGCGCCAGCATTTCTCCGTCGGAAGCTCGTCGTCAGTCGGCTCTCCAGAGACTGTGACAACAACTTCGCCACCCTCCGTCCCGGGCACGAACCAAAACCTCCCCCCCAAGCGCGTTGACCGCCGCGGGGCATACCCACAAACAGGGGCTCGCGCACCCAAAAAGAGGGAAGTAGCCCAAGAAGACGGCACATGTCGATCATGCGGCGAATCCTTCGTCCAGCTCTTCTTGCACGGCACAACCGCCCAACTCGCCTCCGAATACCTCCTCGACCTCGAATGCCCTTCCTGCGCGCCCAAAATCAACGTCAACACAGTCGTCAGCGGCCACGCCAACAAACGCCCCAAACGATCCTCCCGCAAACGTCCCGCCGCGATGGCTAACCATCGCAAACACGCTATCTTCGAATGTAATGTGTGCAGACGACCGGGAGGCTGTGGGGGCATCAACGCGGATGTGGATGGCACGAGCGAGGCGGGGTGGATGGATCCGGAGTTTGCGGTGGAGTATGTGTGTAATACGTGTAATGTGAAGTATGCGTTGTGTTCGGAGTGTGGGGCTGGCGGGGGAAAGTTTCGGACGGGAAAGGTATGTTTTCGGTGACATAGCGGTTCTCTTTTCGATCGTTGAGAGTACTAACCGTGAACATCCATAAACAGTGGCGACCCGTGGAACTCTTCGGCCAATCCCGCGCCACCTGCTCCCTGAACCACTTCCGCTTCGCCGGCCTCGATACCCAAGTCGCCGTCTACCTCGTCGGAGGCGAAGCTGCCGACTTTGAGCATCTACCCCACGGCTGGCGCACCCCCGACGCGCCACTCTCTTCTCTCTGCCCCGAATTCTTGCAAGCCATCAAACAATGCGCATCGGACGGCATCCTTGATGGTGAAGCCCTGCCGAAGGTCATGGAAGCCGTCGATCCGCCATGGAGTTGGGAGAAATTGAGCACCCTCGTGGAGGATCTGACCTGCAGGATCAATATGGCTGTGAGCGGCGGGGCGGCGTACCGCGGTAAAATCCCGAGTCAGACGGATACGGATAAGCGGTTCATTCGCACGTACCTCGGCGTGCGTTATGTTACGCCACGGCATATCCGGCAGCAGATGCGGGCGCAGGGGAAGAAAGGCAGCGCGAACGGGGAGGTGGTGTTGAGTGGGAATGGGTTGGAGCCTACACCGCCACAGGAGGAGGTTTTTGCGAACCCGTCGTACCCGGCGCCCAAGGTAGTGACGTATTCATTTCTGCAGTGGCATATGCGGCATGGGACTGTGCTTGCTACAAGCGGGTTGGGTAAGGATATTTCCCTTTTGTGTTTTGTGGTTAGCGGGGAAAACTGACGGGTTCCTTTTTCCCGGCAACAGGTCGAGCAACATCCAAACCAGCAGGCCGCTCACCTATGGGCGAAATCATCCGCCGCATCGCCGACGACCAGGAATACATGACCCGCGCCGCCGCAACCCACCCCCGCACCTCCCTCCACCCCTCCCTCTCCGACGTCACCCCCCCACTCCCCGCACATCCCCCCCGCCCCAAATGGATGCGCTTCACCAACTGGTCCTCAGGCGCGACCGGCGCCGCCGACCCAACTCAATCCACCACCTTCGACAAAACCCAAGAACCCGGCGTCCCCAGCACAACCCCCTTCGAAGACGACGGCATGCGCCCATACCGTCTCGTCGGGTTCCGCACCCTCCCCGAGATCCCCGAGTGCGGGTGGTCGGTGAACGACGATAGATGGACGCCGGGTGTGCATCCGGCTGCGTGGGCGCATTGTAGGGTGACCACGTGGGTGGCGCCGTTTGAGGAGGCGTTGAGGGGGTTCACGGTGTGGGGGAATCGGACGGTGCCGACGGGGGCGGCGTTGACGGCGGCGTTGGTGAAGGGGGGGTTGGTCGGGGGGGATGTGGTCATAGGCGCGGCGGGGCCGGGGAAAGGGAGGAAACGGGGGAGTGTGGATGAGGAGGATGAGGAGGAGGATGAGGAGGACTCATGACTTTTGCAATCCGAACGAATGGAGGCAAATCGTAAGTCAACGCCCTGGACAGCAGATCCGGTGTTCAAAGCCCCCGGACACCCTTTCACTCTAAAGTTGATGGATTCTTGAGGTGGACGGCCGGTGAGGGACGGACCATTGACCGTCGTCCCATCTCGTTTACCTAGAATAGGTAGAAGTTTAATGTATCTGAGGAGATATCTGCCCCGGAGACGTCTACAGTAGAAGCAAAGCGTACAGCAGTCGAGGGTGTGGTATGCGTTGTCGGTACATGTGCAGTTTCGGGCGTATGTAGTGTGTAGTCGTTGCTGGGTTTCCTCGGCTTCCCTCTCTCTCTTTGTGGTGGACGTGAACGGTCATTTTGTGTACCTCTCTCGCAACACCTCTTTTGGGAACAGTTCTGAGACAATGGTCGACACACAAACTGATGAGGTATCAAAGCATAATCGACCAGGCCATTCGAGCAAGCAAGGTAGGCACCATTTTACACATTCCAAAAAAGAGAACACAGAATAGGATTACACAGGGGGTATTAGTGGATTAGATGGAAGGGAGACGGGAAGGAAAGGCGGCCCAAAAAAGAACAGTCGTAAAGGTAGGAGAGACACGTCTGAGGTTTGAGAGATACTGTAGGCGGTAGCGCATGCAGGCGAGGGTGGCAGCCGTGTGTCGAGAGATGGTGGGAAGCAGTCCCCTGCTCGACAAGGAATTTCCCCGGCTGGCGGTCTGATTGCGCCCCGCTCGATCCATCGCGTCGTCCTCCCCACATTCATCACTGGGCGAGACCGGTCGGTGACGAAGCGGCAGCAGCCGGACTATGTATCCCCACGACCCCACCGGGCCCAGCACCCGGTGCCCCAGCCCTATTCTCATTCGTCAACGTCTTGATCAGCTCCTCCAGCGGGGCCAGCTCCTTCTTATCGATCAGCGCAAACTCCTGCACAAAAAACACAAAGTGCTTAAACGACGTATTCAGGTGCGCCTCCTCGCCCAGCGCGACGATCTTTGGGAAATGCGCGTGGTAGATATGCGCGTAAACTCTGAACAACCGCTTGAAGATATTTTTGACAATGCCCGGGAACGACTTCGGGAACGGCACGCCGATTTTGGAAGGAAAGATGGCTTCGTCGTCGAGTTGCGCTTGGACCCAGGTCATCAGGTAGTCGACGTATTCGGGCGCCGAGACTTTAACGGGTTTTTTGAACTGGACGCCGTCGCACCAGTGGTATTCGTATTTGGGGCCCGCGGACATGACGGGGCATTCGGAGGGGGTGCAGAATTCGGTGATTGTGCCGTAGAGCATGTTGATCTGGTTGAAAAAGTCAACGGTGTTGACTGCTAGCCACTCGTTCATGTCTTCGCCTTCCGGAAGGGAGACGGCGAGCCGAAGGTTACCGGAGCCGAGGGTTGCCTCTGCATATTTTTTGAGTTGATATTGTTTGGTGCCTTCGGGGATGTTCCGTTTTGGCTTGAACGTTTTGTTCTGTAAGACGTGAAGGACAGGGTTAGTGAAAATAACACATGGGGCGATTCTTTTGCGACGCACGGGGAGGACCGCTTTATCGCACCGCCGACCCCGTTCTTCTCGGGCTTTCCCAAGCGCTGATAAAGTGCTCGATGCGCACCGGACATCCCAATGCTCCCCGGAAAGCCCTCAGTTTGACGCGCGATTGAGCACATTCGCGCGCCAAGCAGCCAGCTACACAGTCGGGTACATACCCCTTTTAACCCGAAGAAGCTCATGGCGAACGGCGAGTGGAGGAGAGCGAGGTTGAATTTGCGAAGGGGTGGGAGTTACGGTCTTCCGAAGTGACTTATGCAGTGTGCAGGGAAGGCTGGTGAACTTTCAATTCCCCATTACGGCACACGAGACGGGACTGATCCAAGTGGAACGCGTGATGTTTATCTCACAGGTCACGTGCGCAGACTGCCCTGTGAACATGCAACATGGGCAGAAGGGCTTTCCCAGACGAAATTTGGATTTTGCGGTGAAATCTGTGGGCTTTCATTGGAGTAGCAGCCGACACAAATAACAATTTTACCATGAATGTCAGTTGCGCCGATGGCCATTCCAATAATAAACGTCGAATATGCCTCTTTGCGAAGATATTACAGTGTGCAATCGCAGTTTCATACACTTGACCAAGGCGCACGATGAATGTGTGCAAACAGAAAAATGCTAAGCTAATAACGACACGGCCAGCACCACTTCAAACGTGCGGGACGGGGCGTTCGTTCGAGGTCGTGTGGTTCGGAGATTGGTTCCGCAACAAAACCGGCCGCTCTAGCACATTTCAAGAAATAATAGATGATGTGGTCGAACCATCGCTGGTCGAGTGATATCGGTCGCTCGATCGACCGCGCGAAATCGAGCATCACGTCGTACTTGTCGTCCGGCGGCGGGGTAATTAGCTCAAGCGTACTCCGGACTTCCGAGCTCGCGCATTCTGTCCGCGAAGCACGCGCGTAGCCCCTCGTCCTCTAGCTCTTCCGCTTCGGTAGACACGGTAAAGAAGCTTGCTGGATAGATGGCAAACGAGTCGAACGCCTCCACGTTTGCCCCATCCCAATCAAGGATCGCAGTTATATGACCACTCTCGGGATCAACCATCACGTTTCCACTGTGCATGTCCGGATGGCAAATGAAACAAAGGCCACGGTGGGCGGTCGGACGTGCAGCACCTATGCGTAGAACAAGGTGCGACACTATGGCGAGATTCTGCAGGATACTGCGTCGGACGGCGCCTGGTAGTGTGGCTCAGTACGATTGACAGCGCCTGAACTTGGTTATATGCGTACTCCTCCCAGTGTAAGTAGGGGCCCACATTGACGGCATGTGCACCTGCCAGTCTGATCGCTTGATCGTGTACGTCAGAAAATAGTGCCCCGACGTAATATTCGCCGTTCGGGGACAGGCGCAGGCCCCGGAGCTTCCGAAAGGGTTTTGCAAGGATCCGCATTTGCAAGTCTGCGAAATCGAGCAGTATTCTTTCCTTTAATTCGACTGGCGCACCCGGCCAAACAGCGTGCAACGGCTTGCCAGTTGTTTTCGCAAAGATGGCCGCATGTGGTGGTAGGTCGTGTGACGGAACGGGTCGTTCCCACCGAGGCCATATCAGCAGTGGTGCGGGAATTCCTACGGCCTCACAAAATCCGCTGGTAGCCGCGCAGCTGTTAAGCTGAGCTTTCCGTGATTTCTGAGCCCGTGCGGTATCTCGAATGGGAATCCGCACCGCCAGCGGTATGCCGTACCTGTCGGAGCCCTCGGTACGGCATTCGATTACAAGGCGGTAGCCTCCGCAACCCAGAACTCGGGTCAAGACCACGTCCGTTCCTGGTATGGCGCGGAGACTCCGTCGGAACCGCCGTCGCTTGAAACAGCCGAGGTGGGTGCGCAGAGCCGCCTTTAAAACAAGGAGTTCTTCTTCTTCTTTGCTTCCCTCTTCGCCTGCTTTGCGGCTTCCTTCTGCTCCCGGGAGGCTTGATGTTGCTGCCCCTTGACACAAGTCGGGCACTCCTCCGTTTTCAGGTGCGCCATGGAGTGCTCCAGGCATACTTTTTGATGATCGGGACAAAAGCGTTGGCCTGATATAGTCCGCGGTGTCTTTTGGCAAACAGGACAATGATGAACTAACCTTCCGACCCGAAGGAGGTGTCATACCCGGTGACTCTGGTACGCAACTCCAGTGGTCTATGGCTGCAAAGCAGACAGAGTCCTAGGGCGAATCGATGAAATTTCTCGAAAGCCCCAACACGAGAAAACTTCGAAAGAACTCCGTTATACGTTCGAAAATGGATTAGTACGACACGAAGGATGTTTATACGTTCCTGAGGATATTCGCCCGAAGATTTTACGGAAATTCCATGACGAACTCGCCACCGGAGAACATCTCGGTGTTAAGAAGACTCTCGCGAGAATTCTTACGGACTATTACTGGCCTACCGTACGCTCCGACGTCATCAAATACGTTGGAACTTGCAAAGCCTGTCGACAATTCAAACCTGGCCATCGTCGATACGGATTTCTTCGACCTCTTCCTATACCTTTTGGAAGATGGCACACGATCGATTTCGACATTTTCGAAGTAGATGAAACAAACTCTTGTCTCGTCTGCATTGATTACCTTTCCGGACGTGTGATTCTAACACCTATCAAGAAGACAATCACCGGACGCGAACTAGCCTGTGATGTGGACTACCTTCCACACGGGTTGTATAACTGATGTTCGTATACAATAACTACTTTGCTGTAAGGTATTGTAGACGGACTGGGTGTTTGTCGGCTCTGCTATGTGATATCTAGTAGAAGAACTACTTGTTGTGCATAGGAACGCGCGACGAGCACTGTTAAAGTACCATGTCGGAGTCCACTGGAGAACACTCTCAAAACGCATCATAGCCCAGGAAATACCTGTATGTGCCCATCACATACAGGTATTTTTCCCCAAGGCCTGTCTAACAGACGCAACGTGTCGTTCTCCAATAAGACCGGACACTCCACATTACATAGCCCAAGTCTTCTTAGAGCAGTATGGAAACATGTCGGTACGCCAAAAGTCTTCGTTACGGATCGTGAACCTTGCGCACTTTCCGATTTCTTCCTCGCATTCGATATTCTCCTCGGTGTAAAACAAGAATTCGCTACGGCTCGTCATCAGCAAACCGATGACAAAGTTGAGCCAGCCATCCAAACCCTGAAAAGGATTTGGAAGCAATATCTCAACTACGACAAAAGCAATTGGAAGAAACTATTGCCTTTAATTGAATTCGCATACAATACCGCTCCGAGGGAGGAATATGAAGGTTTATTGCCATTTGAGGTAGATCTTGGACGCTCTCCAATCCTCCCGGGTTGGAATCCAACACTTGAAGGACAAGAACTCAAACTTCGAGCTGCGGATCAAAACGAAATCGAACTCTTCAAGAAAGGGCAGGAAGACATCGCCCACATTGTACGCGAAAAGCTTCAGAGATCGCAAAATCAATTTGCACGTCAACGCGACAAAGGTCGAACGCCAATCGCATACAAAATTGGCGATCTCGTTGATCTGAATTGACAAGGAATCAACCTAGAAGTAGACGCTCGAAGAGGACTTTGATACTCAGCTATGTGGATCGGACCATTCAAAATCATCGCACTGGGAGCACATCCCGATACCTACGAACTCAATTTATCACCATTGAAGATCAGCGGCATCTTGCCCGTCTTTCACATCGATATTTTATGATCACATCACGAAGAGCAATATCCGCTACGTGCAGTTCCACAACCTCCTCCACCAATCAAAGAACGCGGACAACCTGAATGGGTTGTAGAAGATATCATCGACGAGTGACGCGCCATACGAAATCTTCTAGTCAAATGGCTCGGTTATCCTGACCCTACCTGGGAACCCAAATCCGCACTTTGCTACACGCCTGTCTACAAACCATGGCGAAGAACTCATCCACAATCTTTGTGGATACGGAGACGAACAGCATAGAGCATCTCATATCACGTCACACGCGCGACGCCGCAAGAACCGCTCACTATCAATCACACCGATGACAATAGGGACGTAAACTACATCACATCACGCGCGGCGACGCAAGAACCGACCTTACACACACATATCATACACAACGTCAGCTTAGGGACGCCTTTGCCTCAAACACACACATCACACAGTGCGTCAACACTATAAAATGAACATGTTGTAGGCCGAGCAGAGCTACCGAGGGGCTCTATCGACCTTGGAAAAAACTCGAAGATTGATTTGTAGCAGTATTCGTAGTATTCCGGAGCTGACGGCGTCATCAAGAATTTCCGTAATGCGTGACCCAGCATCAACCTGATTGGCTGAACCTTGTTGTTGATTAGGTTGGCAACTGCGCTGCGGAATTTGAGCGCCACGACCGCGCTGCCAAAAACCGCCGCGTCGGTTCTGGGTTTGCGAGCCTTGCTGTTGATTTTCGGGATTTGACCAGCATTCATCTCTCCAATGTCCCATTTTGTTACAAAGGGGACAAGGAGTCGTTGGACGTTGACGAGGAACGTGAGGAGTTTGCCATTGTCCACGTCGACGAAAGGGCTGTTGACGTTGGTAGGGAACTTGACCTGTGGTGGGACGACTCACTCCAGGGGGGTAGTATGACGTACCGAGAGCATTGAGCCCAAAGGTCATATCATCTAAGTCTTGCTTGAATTCCGTAATTCGAGGGTTGGTGCAAGGTGCAAATCGTCCGCCACGACCACCGCCACGACTACCTCGACCGCGACTGGCTCCACGGCCGCCAGGAGCACTTGTTGCCGAGGCAATCGGACGAGGTGTATTGGCGTGGTTGCCGTCAGTGAACCCATGAGCCACTTGAGAACGACGAGCTGCAGTGATAGCTTGATCGAGAGTGATAGGGGTGTTGATGTTGGTAGTGCTCGAGACTTCGAAGTTCGTAACGGCTTCAGTGAGATAATGACTGATTACCGTATTCTTGAGAAGACCGGCCTTGAAGTATCGAATTTGATTGATAAGGGGAATGGTGCCTTGAGTGTTATCAAGATGATGAGCGGCTTCGAGCTCATTATTGGTGTCTTGAAACTCCTTGATATATTTTTCAAGAGAGTCACCGAGCTTGAGGCCGGAGAGCTTGAGCTCAATAGTATTACGCAAGTTGCAAGGATAAAAGTGAGCGACAAGAGCCGTTTCGAAAGCTGCCCAATTTGCGGGAGGTCCAGCGGCGTAAGTCGTATTGTACCACTCGAGAGCAGTACCCTTGAGATAGGTGGTGAGCGTAGGGGCGTACTCTGCCATAGTAAAGGCTATTGTTATGGACGACGCGCCCATACCATAAGCTTACCTACTGACAGCCGCCAATGTCAACCGCCAAATGTCAAACGCCAATGTCAATGTCAATGTCAGTGTCAATGTCAGTGTCAATGTCAATGTCAATGTCAATGCCACTCCCCCTCTCTCCTCTCATTTTCGCCAATCCTCCCACAATATCGCCACTCCTCCTCTCTCCTCTCATTTCGCCAATCCCCCCTCGGCTTCTCCACACCCCCCACTACTTCCCCATAGCCAGCAGCTGTAGCAATGCTGTCTACGCTCGCCACGCACGCTCTAGGAGCATAGCTGGCGCCCCCCCAGTCCCCTCTTGTTGTTGTTGTTCTCTGATCTGCTGGGTTGCCTATCTATAAATAGACGGCCTCTCTTCGTCCATTCCCTTCCTCCCCAGCAGATCAACACCAGTTCTTCTCATCTCCTGTTCTAGTCCATGTTTCTTGTTTCGCCAATACAATCTCTTGTCGCCTATCACTCTCGCCCTGACTTCTCTACTTCGCTTCCGCCTCCGTCGTCGAGATCATAACAGTTTGATCTGCTCCAACACTGCGAAGTTCAGAACCCGTCCAGCCCTGCATCCGACAAACCTTTTTCGCCATGGCCCAACCCGAATCCGTACCTTTCACCGCCAAGCAATGGAACGATATGTGCCAAGCCATCGCCGCCTTGCAAAGCCAAAACGCCAAATGCAGGCCAACCTAGCGCAAGCCCAAGCCGACGCACAAGCTGCCCAGAGCATCGCCGCCCAGGTTCAAGCCGATACGTACACCCGTCCCCAAGCCACCAACCCTGCTCTGGAGCCAAGAATCAGCTCGCCCGAGAAGTTTGATGGTACCCGCAGCAAATTCCGTGGGTGGTTGAACAACATCCGGTTGATGTTTGCTCTCCAGCCCGACCGCTACCCCAGCGACATCATCAAGATCCAAACTATTGGCACCTACCTCACCGGCACTGCACAAGCCTGGATGGCGCCCCTAGTCGAACGCCAAGATCACAGCCTTCAGGACTTCGATAGTTTTATCAGTCAGATGCAATCGGTCTTCGGAGACAGCGACAGGGTCCGCACCTCTGAAAACAAGCTCCAGAACCTTCGCCAAACCCGTGCAGCAACCGAGTACGTCGCTGAGTTCCGCCAGCTACAATGCGATGTCTCCTGGAACGACCAGGCCCTGATCGCTACCTTCCGCCGTGGCCTCAAAGAAGACGTCAAAGACCTGATGCTCACAATGCCCCCTGCGGCCACCATTGATGTGGTGATGGAGCAGGCTATCCAGTGCGATAACCGGCTGTTTGAGCGCCGCCTGGAGCGAAACAGAAGCCGCCAGACCTTCCCGGTTCCCCATACCTCGTTTACTACTACCACCACTGTCGACCACAGCGAGCCTATGCAGATTGACGCCGCTCGTCCCCGCGGCCCTCTGAGCCCTCAGGAACGCCAACGCCGCATTTCCAACAACCTCTGCCTTTACTGCGGTGGCGCGGGGCACATTGCAAAAGTCTGCCCCGTCAAGAACAAGACCACCACCCGTGCCGCCAACGTCGACATCAAAGAACCCTCCACCGAACAGGGTTTTCCCAAAGTCCAGCCGCAGTAAAGCCCCAGCGACTGGACAACACACACCGCCCCGGGCCTCCTAACCTCGCAGCTCCTGCAACGGGAGAGGCCACCCCCCTGGTTCCCGACTCCGTTATAGCCGACACAACCCTCCTAGCCGCTGCCCATGTCGAAAACTCCGAAATTAACCCCCGCGCCATGCTTGCGTTGGGTCCCGTCGAACCCTTCAACTACCCCGTTACCATCATGGTATCATCCAGCCGCGCCCTGATACCTATCCTCAGCCATGATCGACAACGGTGCCCTGTCCTGCTTCATCGACAGAGACTTTGCCCGCAAACACCGCATCGCCCTAGTCCCACAGCAGCGTCCACTGACGATCGAACTCAGTTGACGGTCAACCCAGCTCTGCTGGGCCAATCACCCATCACACCCAACCAGTAGGCATGTGGGTCGACGACCACTTCGAAGAACTCGTCTTCCATGTCACCAAATCACCCC